ATTTGACTTAATAAACTATTACAGTATATAGAGCGAATCTGAATCAATATTAAGACAGGGAGTGCTCTGTGTCTTGAAATGTGACTGTCACTGCTCTGTGTCTTGTTTGTGTAACCATTTTGGCGTATATTTAAGTCAAAGTGCGTATAATGTAGTCAATATAAACCACAGAATGCGTAAAATGTAGTGAAAACGGCGTATATTCCTTCCTTTTCAATCATTAGTATTTCAGATACCTTGCTATTCTGGTATTATTTGACTTTTTACAGACCACATCTGGTCAAGTTAATCTAAACTAACATTCCCTTTATCCATACTCCATACTATTCGCCATTTATTTCCCTCAACGGAAATGAGGAGAAAGTGCGTTTAGACGCTACCAAACGCCAAACGGATCGCAAACGCGCGACTCACAAACATACCAATTTCTTTTTATTTTATTTTTTTGGCAAAGCAATTAATGCATTTAGTATTTTATTACTATATCTATTATTATATATGTTACTATCGTACATGCTTCTATATATGCTATTGTTACCTACCTGGGAAGTGTATTGTCATTTATTGGTCATCTTCAGGATCCTCTTGCTCCCTAGCTTTCATGGATATCAACAGTGAGTTAATAGTCTTTCCCTCATTTGCCTGTGACCACTCAGCAACAATGTCTTCAGGATTGCGACCTTCCCTTCGTGCTGCTTCGTTGATCAGCCTAATTAACTCATATCGTCGATTGTAGGCCCTTTGGTCTGATGTATTCACTGGCCAACTCGGGTTCAATCTTTTAAATGCTGCAAGGGGCCCATGAAACTCATCCCAAGCATCTGCCACTGTGAGCTTTCCGCGGTCTGCTTTCCATTTGAAAGTGGCGCTTGATGAGCTGGGGCCTGGGGACGAGTGATGCGATGGCTCTGGCGCTCGTTGGAAGCAATGTAGAGGAGCTTGAACCAGCGATGAGTGCTGTTGAGGTACCTGTGGGGGACGCGTCGCAAACGGCTGCTGTTGAGGGACTCTGCGCAGAGCAGGATAGCTTGGCATAGTATGGGGATATGGCCCAAGAAGACCGGCTGAATTCAAGGGATGCGCTGGAGCTTGGCGAGCTGACGGATCCTGCAATAAATGTATCACTATCTCCATTTGCTGCTTTAGCGTCGCGAGCTCTGAGCTCATGGCAGACAACTGCGCCCTTTGTTGTGCTTCTTGCTGTGCCATTTGTGCTCCTTGCCGAGCAATAGCTGCTTCAAGAGATGCATTCTGGTGACTAAGGCTGTTTAGCGCGTTGGAGACCACATGTTTGTCAACTGGGACTAATGGATTGACAACATTGGCGCTCTGCTGATGCACTTCGATCGCACGAAGGAGCTCTCTCTGAAAGTCAAGGAACAGCTGACTCTCAAAGATTTCTGGAAGTGATTCTAAAAGCTTATTGCTCAGAGTCCTTCCTTTGCTGTCAGGCTTCAGGTACAGCACGGCGTCTTGAAGGATAACTCTCCTCATTTGTACCAGCAATAGTAGGAAAGCTCTTCGATCAATCATTGCGCTGTTCATGAGCTTATTGGCCGTTGCGGCGGAGCTTCCCGTAGTTTCTTCATCTTGATCCCTAGCCGCTGTCGAATGGCGCATACGCTCCTGCCAGCCTCCCCAGTGCAGGTCGTCCTCCGTGATGAGATCCGGGTTTACATCTGTCATAGCATCATTACAATCCTTGACCCATTCCTCATTCTCTCTAACGCTGCTGTTAAAGTTCCCTTCGATCCAAGGGAAAATTTTCCTCTGCAGCTCCAAGTCAGGGATAACGAGATTACGCTCAAGGATATAAGGTTCCTGTTCCTTGTTGAAATGAGCCATATAAAACGCGCCAGTGGTGGGGTTCTTTGGAGCATAGAAACTCTCCATCTGTCCCATTACCCAACGCCCAAGGTGACGGATATGCTCCAAGCCTAAGCCCAGACGGTACGCATCTGATGTTCCTGCGTGTCGACCGGCGTGAGTGACCTTGGTCGAATAAATGCCACAGGTTCGCATCACAGAAGCTGTGGCATCGATTTGAGTCTTTGGTGCAACAGCATTCTTGCGAAGGCCTGCGTTGCGCTTCTCGATCGTACTAGCCGCGACCAAAAGCTTGATGTTGTACCAATCGTCAGGATCAGCGAAGTTTGGGACATCCTCCTTATCCAGCTATTATAGGAATGGTACGCGACCCAACATTTAACAACGAGCTAGGAAAGTACATAACCTATATTGCAGTAAGAAGAGACAAGAATGGCACAAATCTCTTACCATAAATCGTTCTAACATGTAGAAGCCAAACGCTCCTACAGTACACCTGTAAAAAACTTTATGACGAAAGGCGGTTGCATAAAGCTTAACACCCTTTTTATTTGTTTTGCCACGAGATATGCAAAACGTAAGTCCGAGAGCTGGCTGGGACCCACTTGCCGGATGGGAAGACATGATACTGAACACATCAGATAGGTTAAGATTGCGAATGTCTTCATCTCGCAGCAGCATATGGTGTCGTGCCAAGATGCAAAGGCGCTCACGCATATATTGAAATCTACCTTCCGCATGGTACACTCGCTTCCCTTTTAGCCGCAGCATTGGCTTCATACCCCACGTATGGAGGGCCATCCGAATGAACTGCTTCTCATTATAGGGGTCGCGAATAGAACAGGTATCAGTGCGCGTCGATCCCTGGAATGAGGTGTCGTACACTAGTTTCCCCTCGTATTCCTCGATAGCCTCCTTCAGCGGGATATCCTTGCGCGGATGAGGTGCAGGGTTTGGCCAATCCACCTTTGATGACGCTTGCTCCTTGTAGAGATAAATTAATGCCTTCCTGGCACAATCCACTGTTTCTATCGAGATAGGCGCATAGATGAATCTTCGGCCAGTCTCATCAGTTTGCGGATGCGAAAGAACTATATTTGGATTAAAATGAAGTGTCAGAATGTCAATTAAGAGTGAGCCACAGCTTTGAACAAGGTTATTTTGGTTACATGATTACACTAGATTTACTTTTTGCTCTTTCCGCAATGGAGGAGACCATGAGGGCTTGTGGTTCAGCAGACATGAGGGCCTCTTCTTCAGCTGGTTGCGAGTGATTTTGTTCCTCGTCTTCGCTTCCTGCATCGTCTTTGTCACCTTGGGAGGCTTCCTCAAACCCCTCAAATGCCGGAGTCTCATAAGGCTGTGAATTACGTTGGCTATAATTTTGCTCCAGCTCATGGACAACATCCTGAAAAATACTTTCCTCTGTCTCTGCTTTCCAAGCCTTTGGTTTTCTCTTATTTTCGCGAGTCAGCTTGCCCTCTAACACTGATCTGGCCGCTTGTGATGAAGCCTTTCCAACGACGCCACTGAATCCCGCGTTTGAATCAATATATTTCTTTACTGTGCGCTTGAAAACAACCTCCTCGAAAAACTTTAACATTTTTCTTGCGTCAACGCTGCAGTCCCCTTTTTCTCTTGTGCTGCAGAACACCTATCATTTATATTGTATTTGCATATTTTGTATTACGAAGCATGAAAAAAAAAATTTGACTGTCCTAAAAAATAAAATAAACAAATAAACAAAATAATAAACTTACCTGCCAAGCTTTCAAGTATGTCTTGTACTGCAGCAATGTCTTTGAGGGATTCTTGTTGGCGAGGAGAGATTCGAGAACATGGTTAGCACAGGTTTTTCTCTGCTCTGCTGTTTCTTCAGACGAAAAAGGCGACTGAAGGTGGCTGGAAGAGTTATCAGTTGTTGCACCGATAATCGTGTCTTGGGAGTAGATCCGCTTGCGAGGGGTGTGTTCCTCGGAGACGTTGTGGACGCCTACAGAACAGGCCCTTCTTTTGCCCTCGCGGATCTCTCTCCTTTTTTCTTTTTCATCTCTGGCTTCCTTAGCCTTTCGTGCATAGCCACTTCTTCCTTCTTTCCCTTGCTTCACGCTAAATTCGAAGAAGGTCCCGCTTGGACCTGAGTTTATTGATGAAGAGGCAGCGTTGCCAGAAGAAGAAGAAGCGATAGTGCGGGGCATCTTGATAGGTTACTTTATATTTTTTGTTGAGGGAATTGGGTAGATATTTGTGAGTACGATCAAGTGTTGCAAGTAGTGGTTATCGTAATAAATAGCGATGATGTATAATGTATAAAAGAAAAGAATAAAAAAGAAAAATGTAAGCGAACATGGTTTTATACTTTTAGCTCATATTGTCAAGTCCAGTTCAAGAATATACTCTCCTCATATTTCAATTGTTCAATCGCTATCTTAGTGAGCTTGATCAATTGTTAGCTTCCCTCAAGCGCGTTATTTTCCTTTGAGTACGGAATGAGTACAGATGAGGAATGAGTGGAATGAGTGGAATGGAATGCGGGAATGAAGAATTGAGTATGAAGCAAGGTGTTGATCAGATCAGACCGCTTTGTGAGCGCGCTACGCGCGTGTAACTAAAGATACTTTTAGTTTCTACTTTTCAGTTAGATGTAGTGAAAAGACATGTGCCTGAATTCTAACCTCTGTGTCTCTGTGTCTGTACGTGAAACCTATGAAACATTTTGCCTATTAATGGGCATACACTGGAATTTGACTTAATAAACTATTACAATATCGGCATGTTGTAAATAGTAGGTGTATCTTTGCTTAAGGGGCAAAAAGAGAGACACAAAATCAGGAAAGGACAGTACAAAGAGTGTCAACAAGAATAACAAGAGAAAATAAAGACAAACAACCTTGACGACAAACAGCGCCATAGGAAGCCGAAAGAGAAAGATGGGAGCTTTATAGGTTAGCTCACAAACTGAGTTCCTGGACGGCAAATGCTTGTTGTGAAAAGGGGAAAAGATAATAGCAAGAACAAGACGTATGGGGAAAACTAAAGACTTTATTGAGGAAGAAGTTCTTTGGCTTTTATAACTTAGCCTACAGGCCTGACTGTGATGCTTTCTAGGTGAGGTGGACTCACCGATAGCTTAAGGCTTTGCACAAAGGTTCTTTTAACTGTGGATTGACAGAATGTCCCGATTAGTAGATACAAAGTAAAAATAAAATAGTTATAATTAATTTATATAACTATTAATGACCAGCCACAACAGGCAAAAGTCACGTGATATATGACGCATTCAATGTCAACCCATCCCATCTGTTTGTTTTTTTTTTTTATGCCTTTATTTTCATCATACTTTTCATTTTATATCGAGCTATTTCAACCATGGTCAAACTATTTTGCATTGTTGATGGAGAAAAGACGCCCTTCACAAGCTATCGTGTCAGAAAGATGCCACTGTAGACGATCTCAAGAAAGCCATCTACTCCAATATTACTGTGGGCCTCAAACATCAAGCCCAAGGATCTTCAAACTTGGAGCGTCTCCATCCCCTTTGGAAACGAGGATCAGCCAATTGAATTAAAGAACCAGGACGACGCCACGAAACTACCTTCAACGAGCATTCTCTCAGATGTCTTTAACAAACTGTCTAAAAGAGCTATACAGGTCATTGTTGAAGTACCAATTTCAGGTAAAAAACAATTCAAAAATATTAATTGCATCAGTAACTTGAACTCCTTTTTAATTTTTTAATTTCATTTTTATTAGAGACGACAGATTTACAGAAACAACTGGATCTAAAATTAGAAGAGATCGCATATTTACAGAAACAACTGTCGGATCTACAAGCTCGACAGGTCGATCAAACTAATAATGATTTGAGAGCCACAGAGATATGTAAGTGGCGATCGACGTTGCAAAGACTATTTGAAACTTATGATTTCGAAAGAAGCATTCTAATATAACTTATTTAAACTAGCGCTTGGGATTGTGCACAAAAGAGAAGGAAAAAGGATTGTTTGCCAATTTAACACTGATACTCAAACAGCAACTCTTGAGGAACTGCGGCAAGTCCTTCGCCAACATTTTGAGAAAATTGATGAAGACGAATACGAATACATCCAAATATATGTGCATGATGGGGTCACCCTGTGTTGTTGAGAAGCAACGAGCAACTGCGTGCTATTTTGGAAAAAGCTCTGGATAAAAAGTCTCGAACCCTTTCTATATCTTTGGACAGTCCATCTAAGCAATTTTCGTCATGGACCTGGAATGACGTCGTTGTAGAGTATAAAGTGGCAGCATATCCGGGAGCCCTACCAGATTTTAAGATTGAGGTCAGCGATTTGACAATTGAAGAAGCGAATATGCTCGATCAAGTTGTGAAACAGTGTCTCTCAGGAACAATGTCTATATGTTCGACCCAAGTGCAAATGAGGCTACAAGGTCAACAATCATCGATACTATAATGGTTGGAGCAATGGAGTTTTCTTTAAGTCAGAAATGTTTTCTGGCGCAACAACATAGATTTGTGGGTAAGCGCGGTCAAGGACCGTGGACTTCGCTTACTTGAGCGCCACATGGATCTCAAATTCTTGTAATCACCGAGGTGAGAAAGAAAATTATGTTCAAGGCTGCAAACAATATGGTGCAGCTCGACGTGGCAGTGCAACAAAAGAAAGAAAACGAGTTGAGGAGATGAAGAATACCAGCTTGCTAAGTCTTACGGAATTGTTACAGACGCATCAAATGGACGCTTATCGAATGTACGCTGGATACACAGACGGAGAGAGGCGAGGATATTGCGCAGTACCGAACTTTGGATGTAACCCACCTACCTTCAATTGAATAACGAGATGGACACCAGAAAGAGTTGTGAGACTATATTTAAGTATATTCTTGCTTTGTGTAGGTTAATGCGAGGTGAACTTGTGAATAGGGGTAGTTAAACAATGCGAGTTCTGTCGCTCATCATCCAAGAGGGTGAAGAGTGACTGTGAATTGAACAAAAACAATTTTATCTTCTCCCTCCTCATCAACATGAGATCATTTTTTGCATTTCCCCTTCCTCCTTCTTTTCCGTAATATTTTCAATTGATATACATATACCATCAGTAATAATCAATATATATATTCAAAATAACAATTTTTTATCTCGCCTTATTAACTACTCAACTTTGAATGATGCAAATACCAAATAATGATAGCAAAGATATTGATTGAGACCTATTTAACCTGTGCTTGCTTAAATGATGTCTGCGAGTCATTTCTTACTTTTAGACATCTGTCTTTCTACAACCTTCATCAGTATGTTAAAGCCCTCGTGCATGGCTTTAGTTCAATATATAGTTTTATCTTTTCAATTTGGCAATGATTATTTTTGGTAACTAGCGGTACTGCACAAAGAAAAGAGAAGGAAAAAAGGAGAACGAACGAATGAATGAATGAACAAACGAAAACTAAGAGACGAAAGGATCCACTACAGCGAGCTACAAATCAGCTAAACAACACAAAGGATAGGCGACGATTTTATCGAGGGTGAAGGACCTCCATCTGGTTCGTCCGATCTATGGTCGGATGAAACGTCGTGTATCTACTGGGGCCGGAGCTAGCGTCCGCTGCCTTGGATGTACTGATGAGGGTAAGGATGGGAGTGAGGATGGGAGTGAAGGTTGGCATGATGGCGAAATTGAGGATGAAGACGAGATCCGGACCGAGGATAGGGATGAGACTGAGGCTGGGACCAACGCACGCTGCCTTAGATTTGGTGGAAATGCTGACGAGAATGGGGCCAAGGGTATGGATGGGTATGAAGGTGAATAGAATATGAAGACGAAGATGGAGTCAAAGGTAGGGATGGAGCCGGGGCCGAGGGCGGAGTTAACGCACACTGCATTAAGCTTGGTGACTGCGCTGATGGATTTTGCAGCTGTGTGAGTTTGCCCATCAGCTGGTAACTTCCTACACCATTCAAATACATATCTCTAATTTTTCGATCCTCCTCTACTATTTGAGATGCCATCCGCCGCTTCTTTAACTCATCTTCATACAGAAGTCGGTGCTTCTCGAATTGACTCTCGGGGATGCAAATCGTATCTTCTTTAGCTGTAGAGTCATACAGAACCTCTAGTCTTTGTGCACCTCGCTGTAACCAAAGTGTTCTAGCACCGTTGAAGCCTCAAAAAAGTATGTATGGGTCCTGAAGATCGATTTCAGGATTCATGCATATATCGCGCCTGTCGCCATCCAGATCCATTTCCTCCATTTCTTCCATTTCTTCAGACGATGCCTCCCGAGCAACACTGTATGAGCTATATACCTGTCTCCGCGTTTGGAGATTTCTCGTCTCTGGGGACAGAGTATTGCTGTAGCCATCCACGACAGGGCTGTCAGAAGAAATACTGGGTTCATAATCATCATCGTCGTCCATGTTCTCTTCTTCAAGATCTTCTCCTATCCCATGGGGCCGATTACCAGATCAGTCCTGTTCTCACGGTTAAAAAATTCTATGAAATGGGACGTTTCCAGCATTGAATCAATGTACTGGCAAATAGGACGGGATCCATCTAGGAGCTTGGACAATGCCAACACCATGGCGTCGGATTCAAGAGAGCTCTGAACTGGTCTTATTTCTGGATCTTGTCCGTAATTCAAAGGAATATCTTCAGCATCAAGAGTCTCTGTTGCTCAGCAAAAAGACTTCTCCGTATTTGGTCTATGCCATAGTAACCCCAGGATCTCGAGACTGAGTTTCTGCTCCTCTGAGCTCAGCCTCTTGCTGCTTACAGAAAATTGGGACGTGTGCGAAACAGTTTCGAATCGACTGTTGTTTCACATCAGCCCAAGCTCGCGCAACAATTTTCCCATCCTACAATGTTATCAATTCCCATCCTCCGTACCCTGGCTCCATCTATCCCCGCGCTCAGTGCTTGCTGACGTTTAAAAAAAGTCTTCAATAAGCATTCTTTTTTGTAATTCATTTTGAATACAGCTATTATGCCAGCATCAAGAGGCTGTGTCATGCTTGTTGAATTTTTCGGAAGAAACACCAGCTGTACATTGCGAAGTTGTTCACGCACAATATCCCTAGGCATATGGCACGTGGCGTTGTCCAACAACAATGCGACTCGGCGGTCAGGAGCTTGGGCTGCGATACTCAGCTGGAACCGAAGTAACCAAATCTCAAAGACTGAGATCGTCATGTAATCTGGTCTTTTACCAATCCAGGGTTCGTAAAGTGCCCTTTGAAGCTCCACTGGAAGCTTGCTGAACTCTCCTTCAAAAAACCCCGGGAGATATCCACAACTTGTCCTTCGGCTTCTTCCATGGCAAAACTTCAAACTTTGAATGGAATAGTTCTCTAGCTCCCTTGAATCCCTGTGGCAAATTCTCGCCTATAATGGCAAAAAATAATGGATTAATATGGTGTTTTATTCGTACCAACTTCATACTATTTTTTCACTTACTCAACATGAAGGGCTTGCGCTGATCGGTTCCTGTTGCATTTGTGCCGAAAAGAATTGAAATCCTTGTGCTCTGCACCTTAGTGCCAGAAACCATGGCACGAGAAGCCCATTCATAATCCATACTCCAGGAAGATGTGGACTGAAGGAACAAATCAGTCTCATCGCAATTGTAAATGTCTTCGAGCCTATATTGACTGAGGATATTTTTAATACAGTCCAATTGGGGGCGAATCTCCTCCATGTTGACTGACGCCGCCTCTCCTTGAAGCTTAAACGTCTTGAGTCCATACCGCTTCTGAAGCCATTTAGCCAACCCTTCGAAAATTTGGGTTTGTCAAAGGTAAGCTTACCCACGGAGGACTCAAGGAGCGTATAAATTGCGCTTCCCATGAGCTGCACTGTCAAGCCACCGACAGGCAGAAGAAGCTCGCGTCTGAAGTGCTCAATGGTATGGTTAAGGATCACTTCAACTGGGTAGAACGATTTGCTTTTGGCTGTAAGGCGATATCGCACGGAGGACTGGTTGGCCGGAATGTTCAGCAGTTCTTCCCTTTTGGCTAGTATGTTGTTAAAGGTCTTCGTTGGAATGTTTAGGAAATCGCAGAACACTTTTTTTTCAGGTTCAAATAGAGATTCTCCTCCGACCTCTATGTTGCAGTTTGCTACGTGCCTATCCCATTTTTGTAATATTTCCTGTTTTTGTTCTAGGGTCAACAGTTTTTCATCGTTGATAGGCTGGATTGACCGATATTTGTGTGAAGGTGTAGACATGATGATTGCTGTAAGTTTGTAGAAGAAATAAGGGCTTGCTTGCGAAAAGATAGAGATATGGTTTCACACCACACCCGTGGAGTATTTATACATTTTTTTGTGCAATGAAGAGCACAAGAAAAAGGTTCTGTAGTTGTTTGTAACTTTCGGATTTTCGGCAAATATTAAAGCGCCTCTGGTAACTCGGAAATTAATGACAAATGGAGGTTTTTCCATACAATTTAAAAAAGTTGTCTGTTACAACTGGTATTCACACTAGCTTGCTTTTCCAGGCCGGAATAAGCCTTAACTATTGGAGGAAGTCTGGCTGTCTCTTTGTCTCTTCAGTTCCACTTCTCTTCTACATCTTCTGTCCTTCTCACCTAAACTAACACAAAAATCAATATCAATAGAGACCACTTGCCATTTGATCTGCGAATTGTAATATAATGAGTCAGGTCTGGATAGTCCCAAATTTTTATTTTTCATTCTTCAAAAAGCTATTTTTAATAAAAATAGGATATTATCAATGTATCTTAATTCGTGTTGTACACTCACCCTGTTCTTTATATTTCCCTAGGTCCTGCTTGCAAATTAATCCCTGCTTGACATCTAGAAGTTCCTTTGTATGTGAGATCTACACGATTAGTTCTGAAGGGTTGTTTCTTGAATCCCTTAATCTGGTCTTGCAGAACAACAAAAATAAATGCGACCTAAATCCAGTTTTTTTTTTCTTGCAGGTTTTTCAAAGAGTTTGCTTTTGTTCGTCGTACTGGAATAGAAAATTCGCAGCTGATAGCATAGCCACACAGGGAAGGTCTTGCTTTTTGGAATCCATAAGATCCTTGCATAATATCTTCCACATAGGGCTTCAGAGTATGAAGCAATTTAGTATTCGACCTTGCTTTGACATCAATAAGTATACCAGTCTTATCATCAAAGTTCTTGACCAGAAAGCGACGGTCCCTACCTGCAGTATGTACTGAACATGACTTTCGAACATTACTCCTTCTTTCCTGTACATGTTGTATGTTTGACAAGCGATTCCAGTACCTGATACCAAACATCGTGATCCGCTGAATCATATACCATTTGCATGATATCATTAGAAGCTCATTGCAATATGAATACCCCATGATCTTTTGTTAGATAGTGGTGCAAAACCGACAGCTAATCTCGAGTCCTGTGTGAAGTACTGCATTTATCTTCAGTACTCTTGTTGCTGCTGCATGAATGCCATATTTATCATTATTGTAGACCGATATCTATTACGGACAGCACAGCTCGGTGTATTTGCAGTCCGATATTAAATGTAAATGTACTTACTTCTTTTTTCACGTAGGTTAAACAGCTGTTGAGGAACAACGAGTTTTGCTCAACTTTAGAGTAATGCTGATGAACAAACAATGTTTGCATCATTGCGGATGCCTATATTGACCAAGACGTGTGGCGTGGTGGGAGTGTTCGACAACGTGACTAAATAGCTGAAGCACTATTTTTCCTTTTTTAGTATGCCATGTCAAATGAGAATAGCTTCGTTTGACGGAGGTTGTGTACATACGTATTGAGTAAGTGGAAGCTGATAGGCTGGTTTTATTGAATAGAACACTAAAAAAATTTAAGGGAACTTCAGCGAGCTGTTAACAAAACACTGGTGTACAACACGCCTTTCTTTTATTAGTGACCGCGGTTTCACGTGCCTACAATGTCGCGTCGTATATAAAGTTAATAAGTTGTGATTACCTTTTTTCCTTTCTTCATTCAACCATTCCACTTGTCCAAGCTTCAGAAGCTCTTACCTATTGCCTTGTTACCTGATACCTGATACCTGATACCTGATACCTGATACCCGATACCCCCTTTATAATTATGAGCCTTCCCAACTTACCCGGTACGCAAGAACAGAAGAACGCAAAGATGACACCACTTCGAAATATTCGTATGGCAAGAGCATATCTTCAAGGCAAGCAATGGCTACAACAACAGCAAAAACATAAAGAAGAGCCCTCCATCTTTTATGATCCAACTCCACACATCAATAAAAACAATGCTACCAAGTCACATTCTAATCCACAGGTTGTTGCACCAATGCTGCCAGTTGCTACATCAGCGCCACCAGTTGCTACATCAGTTTCACCGGTTCTGCAAGACCTAATCGCCAATGAGCAGCAAGCTAAGCCCAAGTCACCTTTTATTCCTCTCTCAGAACGCAAGCAGCAGCTTGAAAAGAGTGTACTCATGAGTCAAAAAAAGGTAATTGCTTAACTTGTTGTAGAGTCTTCAGTGGAGAGCTTTATTTTATTTTACACTATTTTACTTTATTTTATTTTAATTGTTTTATTTTGTTTTATATTTTATTGCTGTTGTTGTTGCTGTTGTTCTTGAGTTCTGAAATATGTGTATTATATATTTTATGTATAAATGTGTGTCTGTAAAGAATCGTTGTAACAGAATTATTATTTTCTCTAATACACAATACACGTGCATAGGTCCTTCAAAGATCAGGAACCTCGAGTGTAGCTAAAGTGGAGAAAACACGACTGACAGCTCCTAAATCCCCTGTGGTCACCAAGAGACGATATGATCCTCTTGGTGTACGCCCAAAGCCGACGCCACGACCTCAACAGCCAAAAACAGAGGCAACGCCGCCACCGCCACCACCATCGCCACCAAAGGCACAAGCGTTGGTGAAAACCAGACTGGCGGCTCCAAAGTCGCCAGTTATCGCCAAGAGGCGATACGACCCTCTGGCATCTCGGCCACTCGCGCCCAAACCAATAAAGCGCGCATCAACGCCGATGCCCACGCTGAAGCCGAAGCCCAAGCCCACAGGGACAATCCCTAAACCCTTCCAGTTTGAGACTGAAGGTAGAAACAAACGATACTGGGCACGGCTTCAACAGCGGGAGGAGGAAGAGAGGCTGTTGGAAGAAGAGGGGAGGATTAAGAATCCAAAGGCGGTGGTTCTTCCTCCTAGGCAACCTATACCCAAGAAGGAGGTGAGGCCTCTGACTCAACCTAAGCCGTTCATTTTGCGAACCCAGCAAAGAGCTGTCCGTGCAGAGATTGAAGCTCAAAGAAAAAGAGAAGAGCTCCATCGACTGGAGCAGCAAACACGACAGCAATCATCACAATCGCAACGACAACGACAAGAGGCTAAGGTGAAGGATAGAGGTAAGGAGAAGGCTAGGGGTAAGAAGAAGAACGAGGCTAAGGCTAAGGAGGAGGAGAAGGCCATGGACGAGGAAGCGAATAAGGATGAGGAAGAGGAAGGAGACGAAGAAGAAAGAAGACGTAAACAAGAAAGAGAAGAAATAGTAAGTTTATACAAGGAGTTTGCTCAACGTCGATATCCTACCCCTGATCCCAATATGGATGCACAAACTTGGAGAAGGATGAATGATATTTGAAGCGAGGAAAAAAAAAAAAGAAAAAAAACTTTATTGTTTTTTTGTGAAGTAGAAATATTTGAAAGAAAAAGAGGAAAAAAAAAAAAAAAAAAAAACTTATTGTTTTTTTTAAGTAGAAACATTTGAAAGAAAAAGAAAAAGAAAAAAAAAAGAAAAAGAAAAAGAAAAAGAAAAAAAAAAACTTTATTGTTTTTTTGTAATAATTAGCTGAATAAAATATGAAATCGTAACTTCACTCAATGCTTTGAACCTGTTCATATTTTATATTTATCTAGAAATTACTTATTCACCGTTGCCTCTGACGTTTATTACTAAGTTTGAGTCCTGGTAGCACTGGAAGTCGTGCTTCGCACAGATCAGAGGCTTTCTGTACAGCCTGTACTACTTCTTGTATTCCAGGAATAGGTGCATTGTCATCTAAAATGCTTTCTAAAAGAGACTGTTCTCTAACTTCCCCAGGATAAAAAAAACTGGTATGAGGGAGCTCTAACGTCGCTAATGCGATATGCTTGCAGCACATTTCTGCTCGAAAGAAATCAAGACATGTGCACCCATTGAACTGGTCAACTTCGCCCGCCTTCCAATCGACTGCCACCTCATATGATTTGTCTGGGTCAGTGAACGACTTTACACTGAAGACCTGTCGCTTGCTGTCAGAGACATGAGAACAGCCTCAGGGTTCTCTGACCGCTTGCCCTCAATATAATCCAAGACCTTGATTTTGGCTGCCAGTTCTTGCTTCGCTCCAGGCGTCATCCTTCCAACTCGAACAGTGTGCCGAATACACATATATTGCTTTATGGACAAGGGATGCACATGACGCTATCGACACGTCGTTGCTTCTTATCCTTAAAAAAATGGCACTTCAAAGTGTTATGCTACGACTCAATATAGCTATTGGTATTGATGGAAGCATAAGAAATACTTCGCGATAGCAAAACATCCAGGGTCTTCTATCTGCTATTGAAATGAAATAGTTCTTGTTCAAATACTGTACTATTTTCGGAGCACGACCCTCTCAAGCCGTTCAAAACTGTCAATCAGCCTATCTACCTCTTTTTCTGACTTCGTGTAAAGAATCGTATGAAGCGCTGATCTTATCTATCGGGTGTTCAAGGCAATCAGTTAGCACGCGAACCCAGATCACCGCCAAAGCAGCACTACTCAAGCTCAAAACCATTCTTACCATCTACCTAGTATGCCATACCATACTAGACACCTGATTCTAAAATCAATACGATCTTATTTTTTTTATTATTTTTTTTTTTATTTATTATTTATTATTTTTATTTTTTATATATTTTTTTTTTTATTTATTATTTTCATTTTTACTTTTGTTTTTTACTTTTACTTTTATTTTTACTCTTATTTTGAATTTTACTTTTATTTTTAATTTTATTTTATTTTATTTTTACTTTATTTTAATTTTACTTTTACTTTTATTTTAATTTTATTTTATTTCTTATTTTTATTTTTATTTCCATACAATACAATGCAAAATGTGTAATAAAGAATAGTGAATAGTAGCTGATTATGCGAGTGAGAAACAGAGTATGCGAGTTTTAATATGCTTGTACTTTGGGTCTCGTCCTTTTACTCCAGCTACAGCACATTGCTCACTGTTTTTTCTTTCTTTCTTTGTTGTACACCATACAAAGAGGGCAATGTGGCTCGTGCTCTTGTTGTGGGCAGGCAGATTGTTGTATGTATGACCCTGCATATCTTTGAGGATGGAATGTTGTTCTCTTTCTCCACCTTGTAAGCATATGAAAATTGACGAATGATATCACAGGTGCACAGATTATTGATTTCAATTCCCGCTATGCCGTTTTCTTTTCTTTTTTTTCTTGCATAAAAGCAAAATGTCGTATTTGTATTGCTATTCAGTCAATACTTTGAGATCACAAATTGGTTTCACTTACTATTTTCCCTGAGCGATTACAAAAACCACTCAGCATTCATCCTTTCTCCTTTTCTCCAAAGCACAATCCGCCAAAGAGCCCTCGCCGTCGACAGCAAGAAAGTATATGTCTATATAATGCATTATTTTGTATTATTCATTATATTTGACTCAATGGTTCTTTCCATACTCATTCATACAGCATTTGGAGATAAAAAAGGTTAATTTTACCGAAGATGGACAATGTCTGCTTCTCTTATCTGCCGTGTAAATGTTTTGACCAACCAGAAAACAGAGTTTTCATGCGAACATCTGACCGAAGGCGTCATGGCGGAAAATAATAATTTTGTGGCATTGCCCTCTGAACGCGTTATCTCTTTACATTTCAAATATTTATTTTTTACTCACTCATTCGCTTACTATTATACTTCACAATGGCTTTCTTTATTGCTGACATATGATGGCTATTAGTATTATTATTTAATACCTTTGGCAGTGGGATACCAATTTCCTTTGCGTTGCTGTAAAACGTCATATCGACGACACAAAAAGAAAAACAATTTTCATAAATACCCTTCGTCTCCCCTCAGCTTTTCTTTTCTTTTCTCCTCTCTTCACCCACATCCTCTCCACCTCCCTTCACATGCCTTATAAAGGCCACACAGAGACCATAAAAAATGCTCTATTCCAGCCGTGAAATACAATCCACTATAGAGCCGTCATCAAGTAAGTATCTAGCATATGTATGGCTTCGTTTTGTCTTGCCTACCGTCACCCACTGTTTAGCTATTGCTAAATGAGTCCAGCAGGTCCATTAACTTACTCCTATTTTTTTGCCTTTGTCCTTCTAGTCATCACAAGAAACACTACCGATGGATGCTCAGCGGCGACCATCCCAAAGACTGCAATAAGCTCATGCAGTGCTTATCGAAATGGGGCCCTAAGCGGATCTGTAAGTACTCTCTCTTATTGAGTAAACATATTGCACTTTTTTTTCTTTTTTTTTGGTGTTTGCTGTTTATGCTATTCTTTATAGTATTCTAACCACGCTTTTTTTTTTTTTTTTTCTTTTCTTTATTTCTTCGGCTCTTTCCGTAGAGGCCTATCCGATTCGATAAGGGCTCCACTCCGTCCTACCATCGGAGCCCGGGGCCCCTCCGCCGGCCTCTCTGCCGCCTCCTCCGAACTCCTCATCTGCTCTGATGGGGGGTTCCACTCCGTCGGACCCTCACGACTCCTTGAGGAAGGACCATTGTGGTGGCGCTAGAGAACTTCTAGTCTCTGGGCCTCACTTGATCCGAGTGCCTCTGGGGATTTCGCGTAGGGACAGGATGACACACAGTTGCGGTAGCCTGAGAATGGTAAGTCAGTACCAATGAATTATTCACTGGGTCCTGTAGAGCTCGAGCTTCGGCCGTCAAGGAGATTCCCCCTCCAGCAGGATCAGGATCAGGAGCAGGAACAGGTGTTACCGAGGCCTGGTAACATCTAAGGTAGGTGAAAAGAAAGACACAAAGAGCATATTAATTCTGTTTTACCTTTGCTTTCGTTCTCTCTGGTTAGGTGGAATCTTTGGCAACTCGGTGCTCTATAGGGCTTTGTGAATAGTTCATTGTTACTGACTTATCATCCTTAGGCTATCCAATTAGCGATGCTGCGCCAGGGACGCCTGGTCGTAGTGGGTGCATGGCGTAGAGGCGTCATGTTGTGTGATCCCTGTTTCCTGCCGTCTGAACCAAAGGTGCTCTGGTCAAAGTGAGGCTCCATTGATTAGTTGTTCGATAGACCACTGCAATGGGACTTTTGCTTGGAGGAGCGAGGCCTACGATCCATGGAGGAAAGCAGAAGGCCTGGGAAAGAGCATCAGACCGAGGTAGGGCGTCTGAGGAGATAGACTCAGAGCTAACAAGCCAACAGCCAACAGCCAACAGTTCACAGCCAAGGCCAATATAATAACCCCAAAAAACTCCAAAAAATACTTAAAAAAAAAAAAAAAAAAAAAAAAAAAAAACCAAAAAAAAAACCAAAAAAAAAAAAACAAAAAAAAACCTCCTGCAAAGCAGAAGCCAGAAAGCACAGAAGTCAGAAGCCAGAAAGTCAGAAGCCAGAAGTCAGAAGTCAGAAGTCAAAGCCAGAAGTCAGGAGCCAGAAGCCAGGAACCAAAAGTCAAAAACCAAAAACCAGAAACCAAAAAGCAGAAGCCAGAAGCCAGGAGCCAAAAGCCAGAAGCCAGGAGCCAGAAGCCAGAAGCCAGGAACCAAAAGCCAGAAGCCAGGAACCAAAAGTCAAAAACCAGAAACCAAAACAAAAGCAGAAGCCAGAAGCCAGAAAGCAAGCAGCAGATAGCAGCCACGTCAGCGCAAAAAAAAAAAAAAGAAAAAAAGAAAAAAAAAAGCCAACAAGCTCACTCCACTCAACCAAAAGAAACCTCATTGAAAGCCAGCCAAGGCCCAAAGCCGGTAGAAGGTTGCCTCAGCCATACTAGCCAGAGATTGCCTCAACAAAATCAAAGACAGAAAACCTTAGTCAAAGCAATCGAAGGCAGCCGCAATTAATCAAACACAATTTGCCGCAATCAAGGAAATCAAAGACTACCAAAGCCAAAATCCATCAAGGGTAACCTGAAAGAGCCCAGACAATCAAAAGCAGCTAACCAAGGGCAGCCAACCCAAAGCTAGGTCATTAGGCCCAGTCAACCAAGGTTACCAAGGCCAGTTAGCCAAGGCACCATCAAAGGATATGCTAAAAAGCATCATCAAAAGAATCCAAGCCTACTAGGAAATATCCAGCCATGCACACGTACCAAGGGCATTGCCACTCTTGGGCCAAGATGCAGCTTGGAAACCACAGCAGAGAAAACAATTAACAATAAATATTAAAAGACAAGATCAGATATAATGATCTTTGTCTTTTGTCTGAAAATGTGATAGATCTGTGATTATTGTGAATGCAAATGTCCTCAAATAGGAATAGAAGATTAGTAGCGACAATCAATAGCAAAGCCAATGGACTAAACTGTGTCAGCTATTGGTAGCAAGCTGCTCAGTAATATATAGCTGGCTAATACCTACATTGACTCATTCACGGCCTTAAGGAGCAACCCAATCAAGCACATGAATACCTTAGTGGGTTTTGATTATAATCGTTAGTTTAGGCTGCACATTTGATTTGTCGAACGAGCTCCATAATCAATATAGCTCATACTCTACTGAAAGGAGAAAAGGACCTTCAACCTAATCTACAAAGGTGTCAAAGATAAAGGTTGCTGACCATAAGTTTTTAAAAGCACCTCTACTCATCAAGCATTGGTTTATTTCTTTAGAGGAAAACGTCGTGCAAAAGTGCAATTTTTTTTTTTTGTTTTCAGTAGCATAGCATGCCTTAAGGCCTATGTATTTAGCTTTAGCTGCGCTCATACAACTGCATAGCTCTGGTTAATTCCTTAAGTAGAGTCTATGAGCTGTCCCTTAGTCAATGATTTCGGACTGCCACTTTGGTGGACGTGTGTTGTTACAGGCGCTTACCATGTTACAGTGCGTTCACATTTACATAGCACATAAAATCCAAAACATTGACGGGAAAAGAGAGCCTGATTAATAGAAATGACGAAGAAAGAAGGATTCCAATAGAGTTAGCTGCTCTTTGATCTACTGTTATAAATTAGTATCTAAAAAAAAAAGCGATGAATGGGATAAAAGGAATAATAGGGTAGCGCAGATGATTATGAACGCGTCTAGTGAGACTATGCAACCCAGCTACGGCGAGAAAACCCCATATTCATCTTTGTTGACCTATGCATGCGGCAGGGCTCGGCCCATCCCGACACAATTCACCCTTATCAACTAACAATTCGCATTCAGCAGCTAGTTTAAAATCTGCATCCTAGCACGCTTTAATGCGACAATGCGATTATGACGGTTACTTGAATCTGCTAGATATGCACTGCGTGCTATTCATTCCTACAAACACTCAATGATTCAGAGGTGTTGAAGTTATAAAGGCCTCTGGGCCGGTGACCTGTATCTGCTCTGTCGCCTCTTTGCAGGCTGAAGGCATTCTTTTTTTCAGTGGAGTATGAGTAACGTTGGCTACAGGGAACAGAATGGGGGTGCTTCATGACTAATAGTATAAATTCAGCTCTTTTTATTTTTATTTTCTTAGAAAGGCACGGCAAGAGATGATAAATACGCTGGCATTTAGAGCTTTCTACTGCTCGTCAAACGAGTGCTATAGTAATAGTTATATACAGCTAGCGTTCCCATGAACGTTCAGGCAGCTTATATTATTATTGTTTATATTCTTTGTAGAATTACAATACAAAGCATACATTCAAAGTACGCATTATTACCTGTATATATCTACCCGGCGATGATATCACTGTTCAGGGTCACCAAAAAATAAAGCTGAAAAAAAGAAAGCAGTTTGGATATAGTCTGGCGCAGTATAGTTCCCACGGCAGTATGCCCTACTCTTCCTTAGGAGAGAAGAGAGAGAATAAATAAAGGGGATAAGGCCGGTGAGCCATGCCCATTCTCTAAATGGCAGCATATTTATCATCTCTTGTTGTGCCTTTCTAAAAAAAATAAAATAAAATAAAAAATAAAAATAAAAAAGGGCTGAATTTATGAAGCATCGCCATTCTGTCCCCTGTAGTCAACGTTACTTAAACTCCACTGAAAAAAAAAAAAAAAAAAAAAAAAAAAAATGCCTTCAGCCTGCAAAGAGACGACAGATTAGATATAGAACACTGACCCAGAGGCCTTTATAACTTCAACACCCCTGAATCATCGGAGATAATAACCATCAATTCTTAGACTTTTCCAAATTTTTATTGTCACGATCGAAGCATTGTCATCAGCAAAGTAGACACACTTTGGGCAAGTGAATGTCCAAAGAGTTTTATTCATAGCAGACCATGAAGTGATAATGTGGTTCTTTCTTTAGTCTAACTACGTATAATATTGCGTGAACCGAATAAAGAATCCACGGAAGTGGATACAGAGAGGTCGTCGTCTATCAGAAAGTGAGACAAGAACTCGATGTTTGGCCAATTATTCACAATCCATGTTGCATCCTCAAAGTCTAATCGTTGACTTCCATCATATCTAAACCATAGCCAAGTCAGGTTCTTCAGGTTGACTAACTCATCGAGACCTGCTCTTAGTTTTATATCCAGTTGTCCGTTTTTCCCCCTTATTCTCGGACTCTGTCGTGTTAGATCAAGATAACGTAGTCGAGTCAACTTTCCGAGTTGTTTGGACGCAATACGCGACTTCGCCATGCCTTCTGCTGTCTCTTGATCAACGTCTGCCTCAAGGTAGATATTCAGATCAGTCAGGTTAGTGCTCACCCATCTTGAACCATTGACAATCTCTGTCACCGTTACTTTAGATCCTCTCATCCGCTTCAAGCGCGGGCAATTTGATAAAATGGCTTGAACAATGCCATCTGCGCTTTGTACATTGAATGTCAATACTTCAACAGTCTCGCAGAGCCTCCGATGCCTTGTCTTCCGCATCGTATGACCATTACTCAGAATTCCTTGTTTTTCAGTTAGCAACTCTTGCAGAGAGAGTTGGCCGAGTTCACAAGATGGGACTTGTAGCTTTCTTAATTCAGTCATCTGTCTGAGAAGCGCTGCAAGCTCCTCGTCTTTTATGATCATAGAAGGCATACATAACTCTGATAAGTTTGTTAGTGCCCAGGGATGCTGAAGGAATGCTGCCCTGCGGAAATCATTGTGTTTTGGTTGCTCAATTTTGTAGGACTCTGTGCCATCGTCAAATGTCAGTGCACACAACCCTGGACATTCCCTGACCAACATGCCGAGACAATAAGATGATGTGTACGGATATGGGGGATTGATTATTTTGACGCTTCTAATACTTAGTGTGTGCATATTTGGGAAGATATGCTCGCTGGCCTCACTATTTTGGAAGTTGAAAGGTAGCTGGTGTAAGAATACATGATCCAATCCAAGTGTCGAAGTCTCTTGCAGACTTGAAAAAATAGATCGATGTTGGCATTTGTACGCGTGTAAGCTATTTCTAGGCGCTCGAGATTGGTGCATCCCAGAAGTGTCTGCCAGAGCTCATCCGAAACCGAATACCTGGTTAAGTGAATTCTGGTGATGGTGGAATTATGAAGTTGATGAGGTTTGAGAGTTGGGTTGGGTCGGGCATGTACCGTGTTGACACTGCTTCGTAGCGATGAACTCGAGGCGATGACATCCCTGCAAGACCAATACTCCTTTGGAATGTCGCCATATAGTCTAATCCCTTCTATGTATTTCTTGTTGTTCTGCAGTGCTTCGCCAGATGGATATCCTTGTACAGATGAAACCAAGATTGTCCTCCATATGGACCTGATAAGAGTAGAGTAAAATATCTTGGAGACGCGAATGCAGATCAGGTGGTCATTCTGATCGAGAAAGCGACCAACATGCGAGATGATTTCTGGGAGATCCAAGAGATTCACTTTATTGTTCATGGGAAGAAGGATGCTTGTGCTGATGATGGCGATGCATCTGAGACAAACATGGTCAATTATTCAATTTTTGGCGCACGTGCCGCGATGTTAAAACGTCTAAGATATTGAACCCATCGTTCTATCTGCCTAGCAACGTTGATATGAAGATTACTACTCTCCAAGCCGAAGAAGTATAGAAAAGCTCACTCTGAATAAAACTATTCTTGGCTTCCTATCCTCGCTCCTGCTCCACTTGCCACCACAATGTTTACATGTAGAATTTATTGGTGTTCCCATCATGAACAGGTGCAGAATAGGAAATAAAAGATCGCCTCTTCCTTCTTCCTTCTCTCGTCTATCCTTTCTTTCCTAAGTACCTCTCATTTAAAGACGTCAGTAGTCTCTCGCTCTTCAATCCCTCAATGCTATTTACTCATTGCCTCTCATTCAAATCACTATCAACATTTCAACACTTCATTGCTATAAATTTCGTTGCCAATTTCTAGACCATGGAGACTTCGTACATTGTATTTGTGTCTCCACAAGCTTCCACAATATACCTATCAAACCTATATGGAAAAGAATCATTATTAAATATCGTTCAATCAGTGTTTTGGAGTAATAGTAAAAAAAAAAAAAAAAAAAGGCATAATAAAAGCAGTACATTTGCTTCTTTATTTTCGTTATTAGGGCATAAACAAGATAGAGGGGCGATGTTATCTATACCTCCAGTAATAGAGTGACTCTTTGCTCGGTCCTCCGGCGTACAAAAGGATATGACCATCCACTGGAAAGGATAGCAAAGCGCTAAGATCATAAATATATTTATACGCACACATTTCTCTTAGCAAGATTCTCTCTGACCGTAGTTTTTACAACACGTAAATCAAGCACCGATTCTCTACCATACTGTGGGACAGTCCTAGGCCATGCATTTTCCTTGGCACAAAAGAAATATCATCTAAAATGTATTTGTCAACCAACATTTTAAACATAGTTGACTCAGTTTGGCATAAATTTATTTTTGTCATCCCCTGAACCATGATTCTGAAAGGTGGTTGGTATCTATATGTTGAGTATTTCTGCGGGCACATTGTAAGAAGAGATGGCTGATAATCACTTTCCAGGCCGGATCCCATACTGATCTCAATAACGTGCTTTGATAGACATGTGCTGTTATCCCGCAGGTCTGGCCCTTCAATGCTTTTTAATTAATGATTTTTTTTTTCCTTTTTTTTCTGATAACCTTTTATAACATTATGGCAAAACTTTGAGAACTATGTTGCTATTATCCATATTTCCAGTCCTTGGAAGAGTCCCAGTTGGACGAATGGGTCCACCATGTAAACCTTGTCGCCATCGGAACCGATCCCTAGCTCCCTCAAACTGGACCTCGGTCATCCACTTGTACATCAACCACTGTAAACTAAACCAGCCACCCCACCCCAACGGCCACCATCAACCGCTGTAATCGTAACCTTCCTATCTGTAAGACTATCATACGCTGCCAACGCGTCATTCGGATGGCCCGTGATCGCGTCCTGGATCTTCTTTCCTTTTCATTCATATCATCCCCCATCTCCTCGTCTGAAAAATCTGTCTCCCCTGCATTTCCGTAACCCTGTGTTGCAGATTCCCACAATACCCTCCCTCGCTGCCACGCTCTATCCATTCCTGAACGACCACTGGACCACCCATCTCAATCGAGCTTCTTGACGCGCTTCTTGGTCTCGGATGGACCCGCCAAGGAGCTTCCCTTCTCGCCCTTGACTGGTACAGCAGGGGCCTTGTTGTTCCAGTACAAAGCCATCTGCAAGGCCAAGATGCAGTTGAAAAGCGTGCTCAACATAAAACCGGATAGGATGATGATGTCATCTACTTCTGTCAAATGTAGTGTAGACTCTGGCAAGAGATCCTGCAAAGTAATTAAAGACAGTGAATGCTGCGAGTTGTCCTGTACTTCCGTTCTTGTAGTTTTCAATGATCTGAGGTACCTTCGAGAACAAATTGATGGGGATAGTGGCAGCCTGCAAAAAGGCCAATGCACCTGGTGAGACCCAAGCGGAGGTGATGACAGCCCATCAACCTGAGTAAACTGTGTGGTCCTACCAAGAATGTTTCCCAAGAACAGGAAAGAGGAGAGAACGACAAAAGCTGTGGTGTTCTTGCCAGAGTAATGAAGCATCAGACCCAAGATAGCCAAGTTCTGAATTGTGACGAAGAATGTCCGCCATAGGTGGAAAGGGGGTTGTTCTGACGGATATTGTAGGCAAGTGAGATCACACAGGCAAGGGTCTCGAGCATGTAGGAAGAGAGTGAGACACCGACAGCAGAGCGAGCGCTAATGATCTTGATGATCTGTGGCACCTTGACGATGGCACCTCCTGCAACAATTCCAAACCCTAGACCCTTTGAGATGGCATACTTGATGCAAGGGACATCGCGGTAGTTAAAATCTTCAATCAAGGACGTATAACACGTATCGCCAATGATGGCCACGGCGGGCTTCTTAAGGAAGAATGGCAACTGCATTAGGGCGTAAGAAAAAACTGATGATGGTTTAATGAGTAATCGGGAAAGAAAAGAGACAACCACCCAACTGTCTCTTTTCTTATTGGCCGCCAAAATCCCAAAAGCCCAACCGATAGTCAATTAAGAAGATGTAGTCACATGATAAATGTTTCAAAGAGTCTATGCTCGACATTTGCACGGTCCATTACACTTCACGCCTGCATTACATACTTACCCAACATTCTTCAGAGCATCTAAAGGCCTACGCTGAAAAAAAATAAAAAATAATAAAAAAAAAGAACGACAACAACATTTCATTTCATGTGTATAGCCGTATAGCCTACACATAACCAGATACTGGCTGACAACATAGTAACCATGTCATCTCAAAACACTTCAGTGCCAACGAGCTTTGCTCAAGGCTATGGGCTTTCGTCTTCACCTGTTGCATCAGGTCCACTATCGTCATCGTCATCCTCCTTTAGACATCCACGCAAAGAAATCCTCAACTATTCTGCACCATGGCCAGTCTATGGTCTCGATTGGTCCAACCAGCTACAGAACGAGAAGCTCTTAGGCTAGCTGTTGGAAGTTTTATTGAGGATGGAAGCAACAAGGTTAATTTTATTTTATTTAATTTTTTTTCGATCCTCACTACAAGGCCATAGAAGCAACATATCCATGTATTTCATTCTTGTTTCTCAGATGTTGATGAGAATGGAAGACCTCTTCTTTATTTTATATGGGAATATTAGATTCAAGTCATTACACTACAAGAATTTGCTGGGAGCGAGGGCAGAGATTACAATCCTACCTCTATGTCTGACTGGGTTGCAATAGCAGAAACGAACTATCAACAGTACCCTGTAACCAGAATCAAATGGGAACCATACAAGGTAAATTAAGGAAAACATGAAGGACATTGACATGTCGATAACTTGGGAAAAAAAAAAAATAAAACAATTCTAACAGATACTTATTAAATGCTGTTGTTGAACCAAATGAATTCTTATCCAACAATGTAGGGTGGACATCGAAGACCATACGATCTTTTGGCAACAACAGGCGATTATTTGCGGTTATGGGATCTTAAGGATGATCCCGATCAGAACGAGAGCAGCAACACAATAGGACGAAGACATCCTCACAGTTATCAGACAACAACTCGCACAAAGAGCAGTACTACTGCTAATGTAAGCATACATATTAGTTTTTTTTTTCTCCCTCCGTTAACTTGTAACTACAGGTGATTGTTGTTGAGCTTATAATAGCGTGAACTCGGAGAGAAATATATGTTGACAAATAAGGCTACTCTTCTCGTTGTCATTGCAAATTTTTAGACAAAGGCAAATTTTTGTGCACTCTGACATCTTTTGATGGAATTACATTTGATCCGGCGCTCATTGTTACCAGTTCTATCGATACAACATGCACTGTGTGGAATGTAGAGACACAACAGGCAAAGACTCAACTGATTGCGCACGACAAGGAGGTTTTACGACGTTACATTTGCAAATAACAACTCGGATATATTTGCTAGTGTGGGTGCAGATGGAAGCGTGCGTATGTTCGACCTCAGAGCATTGGAAACTCAACGATCATTTACGAGACGACATCTTCTATCCCAGGAATGCAATCCAGCAATCCCCAAATGGCTGCTCAACCACCTGTACCATTTTACGACTCTCGTTTAACCAAATTGGATCCTAATTACCTTTCAACTTTTCACATGGATTCTTCAAGTGTACAAATTCTGGATATCCGTGTCCCAGGTATTCCGATTTCTGAACTGCGAGGACATAAAGGTGCTGTTAATTGTATGGCATGGTCACCTATTGGGAGCTCTGAGATCGCCACCGGAAGTAAGTATTTTTAGTTTGCCGTACGAATAAGCGTACAATTCCGCACTTTGCTTGACTCGACTTGACTTGCTTTAATCTATATTGAAATGCGGCCATAACTCAATATTTTATATCTCCTCAAAAAAAAAAAAAAAAAAATAGGCGATGATCATCAGGTGTTTATCTGGGAAGTGAATCAAATAGGAACGATAAAGGCGAGGACTTGGAACATCATCACGGCAAAGCAACTTCAGCCGTAACAGTAGTTCGAACGCAAAAAGTCCCTCCAGCATCCACAACCCGTGTGTTTGCACGAACCTTTCCGCGCAGCCAATGTAGGAGGGGAAGTCAATCAGATTGCATGGTCAAGCTCTGTCCGGACTGGATTGCTGTTGGATTTGGAAGGACTGTCCAGGCACTGCGGTTGTAAAGTGATTGTAGAATCCTAGTCTTCAATATTTTAGATGTCATAATAAAAGAATAATTTGTCATAATGTGATGACCGGGATTTAGTATGTAGTAAAATGAGGATTGAAAATTTTATATCAGACAATCAATGCGACAATGGAGTCAAAATGTTTATCAAAAGAATTGTAAATACCCATCTCTCACGATATAATTATAAAAATTTTAATGCTTTATGTTTTTTTTCCTGAATGGCTCTGATTTACTACTTTCTTCATGGATGCGCCATGTCGCACACAAGAGCCCCATTGGTCTTCAATATATTAATCCACTCTTTTTTCTTTTCTTTCCTTTTTTTTTGTTGTCGTTATTGTTGTTGTAGTTGGAAACTAAAGAATCTAGACGACACTGTACTCAATTGGTGTCAAAATGCTCTGCTTGGAGAAAACCACTTCCGAGCCGTCGGCGACCAGCGTGACAGCAGTGACCTATATATCATTCAAAAAAAAAAAAAAAAAAAAAAAGTTATTAGACATTATATATTTGCATAAATATAGACTTTGCTGGTTCTTATGATACATACATCGACATCACAAATGAGACGCTGCTCTCAAATTGAACAGAAACTGGGAAGAAGCTTTCTGCGTCCTCGCCCTGACAGTTGAACTCCAATGTGCCTGATGGATTCGAAGAGCTGATAGAGGGCAATTGCCAGATCAACGCGCTTTGTTGACGATCTACAAGTATGACCATCCGCTTCACCGACTGTGGGGCTTGTTCCTTGTCTAAAAATGAAAGATAGTTAAAGTGGTAAAATGAAAATTAGTTTCATAAAATTAACTATTAGTATAAAAAAAAATAAAAAAAAAAAAAAAAGAAACAATATCCAAAAAAAAAGAGAGAACATACGGGATAGGAATGATGATGTTGACGTTCTTGAATTCCATAGCCTCATTTTCCAACTGGTATTCATATTAACATCGCATGAGCCATCCCCAGCAGGAGATGGCCAACAATTAACTAATGTTTTTTTTTTAAAAAAAAAAAAAAAAAAAAAAAAAAAAAGATCAGAAAATGCACGATCATAGTTTTCCAAGTCCTGCCAGAGATAAAAAAAAAAAAAAAAAAAAAAAAGATTTAAACGTACTTGACAAGGGAATAGAGTCTCATCCTTGCTGAGGAATCTCCATCGTAATACTCCTGTAGGAGTTGTTGAGTGGGAACTCTTTTGAAGAATCTCTGAAAGCAATAACCTTGTTGCTATTGAACAAGACCTTGTTAACGTTGGGGTGGGTCTACGGGCATAGTATAAAAGCAAAGCAAAGTAAAAAGTAGAAAACAAAAACAAAGGGAAGATTACGTTAATAGAATCATTCAACTCTTTTTTGATTTTTGGTTTTGCCTGTCTGTACAAAAAAAAGTCTTACCTTGAACTGGATGCTCGAATCATCCAAATGACTGAGAGAGAGACTGATCTTTGTGAAAGAGGGGTCTGAGACACGGAGCATCAGATCACCTTTCACTTCCATGTTCTCCAGACCACCATCTCTATTAGCAACCATTGTGATCTTCTCTTCGATATGAACATGTACGCTCTCCATAGGAAAGTCAGGTTGAGTGGGTGCAGAATAATTGGACTGAGCTGGGACATGTTGCGGCTGTTGTTGTTGACTAACAGGTACTGATTCCACTTCTGAACGCAATGATTCAAACAAATCTGTGTTGTTTTGTTTGCGACCGAGCTGCATTCCTCTTGCTTTTGTTGCTGGTGCCGCCTTGGGGGCAGGGTTGCTATTTCGGATTATGAAACAGTGTTGTTAGTTCTATTTCCAACTCCATCATGAGCTTAAAAAAAAGTTTCACAGTGCCCTTACTTGAATCTAGAGAGGCCATCATCCGAAGGAACAGGAGATTCGTAACCCTGATTACCTCCCATGCTACCCATACCACCCATGCCACCCATACCATACCGGATTGACTGCCAAAGCCCATAGGACTCTGGCCATATCCACCACCCATTCCTTGGCCATAACCGCCTCCCATGCCATGCCGCCCATGCCGCCCATGTTCTTTCGCTGCTCCTTCCTCTGCAAGATCCAGGATCTTTGCCCTTCGCTTGAGCTCTTCCTTGGCCTCGCGTTCCTTGTTCTACTCGGTTCAAATGACATCAATTCCCAAACAAAAATATTTCAAATTAGAATGGTGGGAAAGATGGTAAAGACAGGCTAATGGTTGATCGACTCAGAAAGGTTTTAAATGGTTACGGGTGTTTTTTTTTTTTCACAATTTTCCTTTTACCTTCTCGATCATCTCCTGAATCTTTTCTTCATGACTTTCCATCTCGGAAATGCTGGCGACCTGTGCCAGATTGACGTTCTCCCTATATTCCTAGCGAAATGATTTCGTCAAACGAGCTGAGCAGTTCGAACGCGTTTCTGTCAATCTCACGAGCATCAGTAGGTCTACAGATCGAGGACACAACTCGGGAGACCAATTGCAACGTGTCAATATCTAATTGGAACACAGCCGTTATTTATCAGGTGAGCATAGAATACAAAAATTATATATATAAAAAAGAGCAAAAAAAAAAAAAAAAAAAAAACTGAGGATGAGGTTGGCTTGCTTGCTCCGTGAATGCAATGAACATTCGCATCATACCTTGAAGAATGTTGGATTGCTTATTGGTGATGAGGACACAAACAAGTCCTCCAATGGCTGGTAAACATATCGCACATGCTCTGTCTCAATGGTAGTATGTTGTTGTCCACTGCTAGTCAATTTTGGGAAGGAAGCAATCAGGCCCTCAATCCTGGCTCTTGTCATCTCACGGAATTGACGCGAGATGAGAGCTAAAGCATTGTTTACGGCGCGAAGGAAGGATGGGAAACAAAGAGTGTAATGTGAGCAAAACAAAGGGTACAGGTCAGGTTGGTAGAAACTCCATGATCTTCTTTTTTACCTTTGCCGCTCTTGGTGCAGACAGAGATTGCGAGAACAACCTATTGACAGTTGAGGTGATGAGTGATTCTTTCAGCAACTGGTCCTGCTCTTCTTTCTTTTCTTTTTTTTTTCTTTTTTTTTTATTAACCAAATAACCAACATGTCGTTCGTTTATCCTGATACAAGTATTCCATCTAGTCCATCATGGATTATGGTTTACCATCGTGATTTTCTAATGTTGGTTGTTGCTAATTGGGTAGTTAGGATACAAGGGTCCTGGGTAAACACGTTACGGAAATGGTGCTATATAAGGATGGAGGATGAGACGCTTTCACTGAAGACATTGTTAATGAGATGATGGTCTTTTTTGCCCTGACGCCTGCCTGACGCGTGACTGCTAGTTCTTTTTCCTACGTGTATGACGTGCAGTAGGTTTAATCCCGAAAAAGGAAAGTGATATTTTAACAGCACATGTAAGTTCCTTTCTTCATTCTTCCCTTCATTCTTCAACAAGCAACAATAAATTTGACTCAAAATCATTCTCAGAAAGGAGAATGTTTCCTCATCTCAGTAGCGGATCGCCTGCTCACCAAAGAGCACATCAACACTACTCTACCTGTTGTCCACTAGACTGTCCCGCACGAAGAGCTCCTCCTCATATCTCTCAACACTATCCAATGCAAAAAATCCAGCAGGGCCCTAATATTGGTAAAGCTTATATTTCTTTTCTTTTTTACATGGTTAAAATCGCTATAGGGATAAAGTTGAACGATATTGTCTATGATATGAACATTTGCTTCTTAGTGCATACACTTTATTAATGAATCTTTATTATTTTTTATTTTTATTTTTTTCCTTACAATGGTAGATCCATCTCTATTGCATCCAGCCTTTTCGGGTCTGTTTTTCCAGCAACGGAGGAGCCATACAACCATGACTCGCGCTTTTACATCATCACAACCACAACCACAACCTCAACCTCACACATCATCGCTACCCCCTCCATCATCATTACCTTCCCATCCTTCCTTTACAACAATGGACCCTGCAAGGATTTCACCCATCTTTTTTGGATATTCTTCAAAGCCTCAACGAGCAAAGATGTGAAGATTATTTGTGTGTTAGAACAAAAAAAATTTTAAAATTATTTCATCATTCTGCTTTATCATCAACAATGTAACAATAGTTTATCTCACTCTCCTAGCTTTTTTTTTTTTTTTTTTTTTTCGTTTCTACTTTTTTTTTACACCAAAAACAAATACGACTTCAGAAATTTTTAAAACGCGCTTTAATGCTTTGTTTACAGAAATAAAACAAAATGTCTAAGAATTCATCATTGTTGAAAAAGAAAAAAAAAAAGAAAAAACTAAAACTATTGAATATAAAATCGTCTCTAAAAGTAAAGAAAAGAAAAAAGAAAAAAAGTCTATCTGTGTAGTAGTTGAGAGAGAAAAGAAAAGAAAAGAAAAGAAAAGAAAAAGAAGGAAAGACAGAATTGGGGTTGGGAAAAGTGGGTATCTGAAAAAGAAAAAACAGCAAGAGTGAATGACATGAAATAATACAGACATGTAAAAAAAAAAAAAAAAAAAAAAAAAATGAAAAAAAATGAAAAGAAAAATATTTACATGATGGTGAGAATGGGTAACCATGAAAAAGGTTATGATAAAATAAATGAAGGCATTCTTGGGCATAATTTTTGTATATATATTTTTTTTTTGTTTTTGTTTGTTTCTTTTAGCCAGAGATCAGATCGGTGACAGTAGTCAAATGGTGGTGATTATGATGATGGTGATGACCCTTTTGTGTGCTCATGGTCCAATAGACTCGATAATGCGTGTGAAGAGTGCAGATGACCAGTAGCAACATTAAAGCTATTATGGTTACTACTCGTCGAATGAAGAGTTCCTCCTGTGGAGGCAAGCACTGACGCTACTGGAGACATCACCGTCGTTGGAGTTGAAACGGAACAATTCAGCGAGGACACTGCTGAAGGAGGAGGCGATGATAACGAAGTCGTTGATTCAGATCCTGACAGGGTCGGGAACGACGTAGACACACTCAACTGTTGACTGTGCTGTTGATGAAATCGCTGCTGTTCTTGCTCTATCTGCTTTTGAAATATCTGGTTTGATTAAGAAGAGGTGAGCCTTGTGTCTGATACTCATGTTGTTGCTGCTGTTGCTGTTGTTGTTGTTGTTGTTGTTGTTGTTGTTGTTGTCGCTGCTGTTGTAACTGTTGCTCATAAAACATTTGCTGCTGCTGCATTAATGGCATGGATGTCAACGACATTGCAGCAGAATAAGTCGATTGAAGCTGCTGTTGCTGATCATAAGAGGTAGTGGTATAATCATTGTTCTGGAAAGGGTGCTGCTGATACTGCTGCTGAGTTTGGTAAGTGTTGATCCAAAAGGGGCGAGTACTGGGCATTGGAGCTCAAGGATACGCCATGGCATCATTCTGGTCATGGTAACCATATTGCGAATCAAGGTCGGTAGGAGATCCAAGACTCAATGCGTTATGGTATTGTTGGCTCTGCTGGGTCAGATGACTGAGAGGAAGCAATGTGCCTGCCTACTATTGGGTCATAGGAATGTAAACCAGGCAGGTCCATCTTGGCCATGATGATGGGGGTCGAGCAAGTACTGCTGAAGATGATAGACTTGATTGGAACTGACCTAGCCCAGACAATTCACTGAAATTGCTGGCAACATGACTATTTCCTAGAGTCATCTCTGAAAGATCCAAAGTCATACTGATCTGATGAGCGTTCATATCCAAAGCGTTATGCATTTGTTGCATCTGCTGATGCTGATGCTGAAGGTAGCTCGTATCCATAGTACTGCTGCCGTCGCAAAAGAAGCCAGAGCTGGATGAATGTATCATGGGTGAAACAGGAGTCATGGTTCCTTGATCACATTTGGAAATGATGCTATTGTATTGTTGTTGAAGTATAGTTGCGATGTGCTAGAGGAGGGACCAGAGTAATTGGCGGTATCGCAAGCGAGTTGAGATGACTGCTGTAGTTCTTGCTGTTGTAGTTGTGATGGTGGATGAGGTTGGGATGATTGCTGCTGTTGCGATGGCTGTGAGTGGGAGTGAGGTTATGCTGAGGGTACTCATTCTCGTTCAAGATAGGACGCTTGTTCTTGCTGTACTTGCGCACACCAAGGCACGTCTGACAGTTCTTTGTGAAGAGCGAGACGAGCTCAGCAGGGACTTTTGAGTATGACTTGGTAATCTATAGGAGTCGATCGTGTAGAGAAGGAGAATAATTCACAAAGGGGGGAGAGAAAAACGTGGAGGCGATATAAATACGAATGAGCAAATGAATGAAGGAGTAAGGAAAGAAAGAAATGAAAGAAAAGTAAGAAATTCAAGAAAAAGAAAGAAAAAATCGCCGTTAGTTGGTATTGGCGAAATGAACAAATATGTGGTCAAGGAGAAAAAGGAGTAAGGAATCTGGAGAAAAAAGAAACATTTTGTTGTGCATGCATTTCTTGTCTTGTGGAATGGGCTAATTCAGGGGGAGTGGAAGGGACAGAGTAATTTAGGGTTTGTGTCACCCTCGATCACTTACAGCTGCAAATGTCTTGTCACGTCCACCGTGGCCTATAATATGGTGGAAGTAGCACACTTTATCATACAATTGCTCGCGCACACACACTGGCTTGCCATTCTTCTTGTCAAGCAAGATCCGGAGATCACCAACGACTGTGAACACAAAGTGCTTGCGCACCACCATCTAAACTTTGGGTTGAAGATCGCTGTATTCTCAGGGTTGGTAAGAACCATCAAACAGTCGTTCGCAAGTTGCTGTAATAAGGGCTTTGTTTCTTTTACGGATATGCAGCTGATTAATATAACCTTCAACCAATGTCTCAAAAGTCTCTGGGCTGAGAAATGAATATGTTTGTTGCATATAAAGCCCACTACTATTATTTGGTCCATGGTTATGGAATCGATATATTATTTTTAGTATATTTGTTTGTACCGTCGAGAGAAGATGAGGATGGGAGTAGAGTGTGGAGGATGGAGGATGGAGGATGGAAGGTGGGACTGAAGGGTTGAGATTAGAGAGAGCAGAACTCGAGTAGAAAGTGGAGAATGGAAAGTGGAGAATGGAAAGTGGAGAATGGAAAGTGGAAAATGGGGAAGGTAGCGCGCTAATGGTTGGCAAGAAAAAAAAAAAAAAAAAAAAAAAAAGCGAGCTGTTTGTTGGTTGTATTCGGTAAACTATTAAGGACCTCTCAGCCAGCACGGAGGGAAGTCAAGGTTAGGAAGGGATAAAGAGAAAGTGTGAAGGGGATGTCAATATTTGTGTTTATATCAGAATGAGATGTAAAAATAATGATAATATAATAATATATTAGGGGTCGAAATGGGGATCCCGTATAGCGAGTCAAGGTTGATCGGCGATCGACGAACGAATGGATCGATAGCCAAGTGCAATTCTGCGGAAAGAGCTAACGAATGTGTTGTGAGTGATAGAAAATAGAGCGAGAAGGACAAAAAGTGCCGGCATAATGGTGGAATTCCAATCTTTATATTTAATTTTTTATTTTTTTTATCCCTCCTTTTTCCTTTACTCTCTCTCAGATCCTAAGATAAGATCATTTTATTGATCAATGGACCCATGGAGGATGATATGGATGAAGACATTAAGCTGCGAGTGAGTGACAAGGAGGGGATTTCACTCTTTCCTCATTTGTGTGGATTGTCTGTGCTGGATTATATTGTCCATCTGTGTTTCTGCACAGAAGTATGCGGTATCGACTGGAATGTGGAATTATTTTTATTATTTTACTTTATGAATACAAAGGATTCGACAAATGTAACCACAGATTAGGACTATTACATTTGCTTTGTACTACAAAACTGATGAATGTACCACAAAATAAACTATTGTATAGCAAATACTCATTAACCATAACCATTGCATTGTCATTACTAGACGCCCATCATTCATACGATTAATCCAAATGTGCTCATAGTTCACTCAAGTTTCATGCCTAAAAAGGGTGAGCAATAAGATCTGCACGACCCGTGACAAGTCCAGAGAATTAATGAAAAATCCATAAATAAACATTCAAATGAGTGGAATGAGAAAAAAAAATTTAAAGGAAAGAAAAGAACAAACCTGCATTTTATCTTTCCTTTCTCTATCTTCTTTGGCCTCTGTGCTGCCTCCTTGTTTTAAAAGGCATTTACAAAAGCTAATAAAGGCACATGGTCGGATATTGTGTCTGTGTCTATCGTCATTGGCCTCTGGGCTCAAAATGTAACACAGCTCCTTCAATCTCCTCTCCCCTCTTCCTGTCTCCTCTCATTTGCTCTCGCTCTTCTTCAGCTGCCGTTCTTTATGTATTAATCTGCTAGATGGCTGTTTCGTCTGTGGCGAGCAGATCAGCAGAGATGCATATATAATGTGCCAAAAGAGTGTCATTGCAACCCATCTGCGTCCACGGGGTTTGGAATTCAGGAGACAGAAGTGGATCGACGCGTGAGTGCGCCTTGCATGTAATCTCCCGATGGATTGAGAGTCCATCCCACCATATTTTATTATTATTTATATTGTTTTGTCTCCCACGCGTAGTTCTCCGTTTCTTGGCGTGCATGTCTATCCCTCATTTTTTTTTTTCTCTATTGTTGTGATGCCTGCCGTCTTTTTTTTTTTTTTTTTTTTTTGGGCTAAATTTTTCAAGGAGAGAACAGAAGACGTAAAAAAAAAAAGGAGACATGTTCAAAAAAATAAAACATCGGTATGCAGAAAAGGCAAACGAAGGCCGTCAGAGAGTGTGTTCGTGTGTGCGTCATAGTGATATCATGGGAATGATGAGTTATGTTGAAACCAATAATCACTTCGTTCCAAGTGGCCACAAAGATTTATCTTTCTCCCATATTTCACCATGCATGCCACATTGGATGTTGCATAATGAGCTAATTGTTTCATAATCATGGTTGGCCTTTTTTTTTTTTCCTCGTCGATGTGGATAGTTTGAGAATCTTGGTTTAAAACTAAAAAGCAACTTTTGGTCATCATGCACGACCCTGGAGTTAACTAATTAGTACACATGTATGGGGTACACCTATTTCAAATACTTGCTCGGTTAGGCTTATTGACATCCTAATCATATAAAGCGAGAAGCATTAATTATTGCAGGTGCGTTTTCAACATTTGTTAACTGATGTTGCTCATACGTTCCATAAGCACAGCCGGATGACGGAGTGCAAAAGAAGGGTAGTAGAGTAACGACGCAAGATCATATGAGCACCGGATAAATGTAGCTCTTTGACTTATGCCCTCTACTTCTTCTACGTCGCTAGAGTTATTTAGCCTGAGTGTTAAAGGCTACAACTGGTCACGACGTGTCGCGTCACGTCAAATCCGAATCTTGACGTCCATTCACGCTCTATTTGGTGGCGTGCGGGACTGCCATTTTTCCTTGAATGATCACCATGTTGTTTGTTTCGAACTTTTTTTTTTTTTTTTTTTTTTTTTTTTTTTCGCGCCACCATTATCTGTCAAGTGTATTTGCAAAACATGGTCCCTTTGTCTCTTTGTTCCTTTAATATAATTTCGCCATGAATGACGGTATTCCTCCTCAGATCCCCATTACTTATGAACCCCGTCTGATTCAGCCGCCACTGGTCTCAAACAGTCATCAGCATTCTCTCATGGCGACATTTACGTCTTTGACATTGTAGCCAACAGCTCTAATTTGATCGTTTCCGCCTCGAACCATGAGATCAAGCTATACAACCCTACAACACTTGCTATTAAAAAGCTTACTCAGAGGCCATACTAATACCATCACGCAAATAAAGGCCCACAATGAGCATATTCTCATGTCGTCCTCAAAAGGATGGCTCTGTTGCCGTCTGGGATCTCCGTACAGACGGAGGTCCAGTTCAGCTATTTAGCAGTATGTGTGTGTTTTTTTATTTATATTTATATTTTTTTTCGTTTTGCCACTAACTTTGGCGAAATATGAATGATACTTATGCTTATATCCATATACCTTACAATGTGTTTTTTTTTCCTTCCTACTTAGGCCCATCGTATACTCCATTGCTTTCATTTGAATCAATATATCGGAGCAAATATTGGCCGCAGGATCAGAGTTGATAGATATTATGATGCCAGTATTTTTTCTTTGATGCTCGATCCAACACTTCAACGATTCTCAAGAAATATGATGAATCCCATAGTGATGATATTACCAATGTCAAATTTCATCCTACGAACCCTGCACGTGTCATGACAGGACTGTAGATGGATTAATTTGTCAGTTTGACCTCACGGCATGGATAGGAGGAAGGATTGCTAGTGGTTTCAAACACGGGGGCCAGCATTAATAGAGTTGGCTACTTTGGACCCAATTCAGAATAATCTATTGTTTAAGTCACATGGAGACGCTATCATTGTGGAATAGTGATGATGCTGATGATTCATCAGTTTGGAGACATTCGAGGGGTCAGTTAATCCGGCTTTAGGATTAACATTGGATTATGGGATCGACTGCCAGTATGAACCAGACTCGGGACGTTTGTACCTCATCTCTGGATCCAATGAGTAAGTAGAGAAGTAGCCATCCTTTTTTTTTTTATTCCATTATTTTCTATCACAACTAACAAAAAAAGCTAATTCATGTCTACTCAGAGGTAAATCAACATCCTACATGTAAAAGCCGATTCATTACAACTCTGTCAAGTATTGCAGGGTGGACACAGTGAGATTGTCAGGAGTACATGCTGGGACCCCAAACGTGGGATATTGTTTTCAGGAGGCGAGGATGCCAAGCTTGGGCTATGGACATCCACTGCTAGTACGACTACACCCTCGCCTCTTGTTGCCAGTGCATCTTCAAACAAAGCTCACCATTGCAGCTTAAGGTACAAATATAACTAGCTTTATAAAGTTATTTAAAGTTTTTTCCTCTCTCTCTTTTTTATATTTATTTATTGACGCGTTTTTTGAAATATAATCTTGATAGACAGAAAGTAGGTCTGCTCGGTCAAATCCATACTAGAGGATACTGAGTGACTAGATTGATATCTTTTTTCATACAGCATTCTTCCTTCTCTGATAAAAACTGATAAAATTAAAAGTACACAGATACTTACCTTATTCGAACAAAAAAAAAAAAAATTGTTAGTCCCTGCAGAAGTCGTCGCGTGGGATATCTTGAAGTGTGGTTTTTGGCGACATGGGAGAGGAGGGGCTCTTGATCTTACTTCAGGAGATAGAATAGAATGAAAGAAGAGAGAGAGGAAATACAGGAATGGAAATCACGGAACAAGACGGGTGAGCAGAGCATTCGTTGGGCAGGGCAGGGGAAAGAGAAAGAGCAAGAGCCAAGAGGATGGGATGGGGATCACAGCGTATTTTGCACTTATGCTGTGGTCATGCTCATGCTATACAACACAAGGATCGTATGGATGGTATACATTGATGATAAACTGGTATACATTGATGATAAACATGCTATTATGGTTCATGAAGCGAAGCATGGGCAAAATACAAATTCATTGCATGGGTAACTCTCCTCCCCTTTTCTCTCATTATCTCCAATGAGTTCTTCACAAACATTTACATCTCTTCCTCATTTTGTCCACTTCATTTGATTCGTTTACCAATCCATCATCTCATCTTTGCTCTTTTTTTTTTTTTTTTTTTTTTTTTATTCTATTTTCTTTCAAACACAACGCTCATTCTTTCTTCACTCACTCACTCACTCTCTCTCTTTTCTGTCTCTTCATTTAAAAAATAAACCACACCTTGACGATTCGTTTTGAGTAACTCTTTTGTCTCAGGCCATGAATACAGCAAGGTCTCCGTCTAGGAACCAACACAATACAAACAACAATAGCATGGGCTCAAACTACAACATCTAGGCGTGCCAAAGTGGCCAGCATGGCACAAATGGACATCTCATCTATTCCACTCACAACCAAACCCATAACAACTCGGTCAGCTTCTTTACCAGGTTCTACCACTGCTACGCCTACTAGCAACCCGAGGGTGACAGTTTAGCCATTCTAGTGGTAATAACAACGGCCCTGTGATTGGATACAGTAACAAAACAGTAACAGTAATAATACAGCCCCACCTCCACGCTTGGCATCTGTTCGAGTGGGTCTTCTAACTCTGTCGCAACGACCGCCTCCTTTAGGAGCTCCAATGGGACAAGCAACAGCAACAGCAACCACACTAACAGTAACCGCAAGGACGGTGGCTCTGTCACCTCAGATGATGGTACTGTCTCTGAAGACTCTGATCTAACTCGGGACGACATCTTACACCTATTGTCAGGCGGTCAGGCCGGTGTGGCTGGTGGTATCAGCTTACCCTTCGATGGTTCCAGTCGGCATAGCAACAGCACCTCAACATCCAAAGTCGGTGTGGTAGGAGCCGGTTCCGGAGGAAGCACAGGTCGGCCGCGAACAGGCGAGTACGGTTGGATACAGTAGTAGTAGCAATAATGGAACAACGGGCGCTAAACCAGTACGGATGGCAGCAGGTGCATCTATTAAAATCGACTCTGTACCATCATCATCACAATCAGCTGTGGGCACATCAGCGTCTGGATCAACAGTTGGATCAAACCCTTCATCCTCATTGCATCTAGGGGTTGGAAGTCTCAGTAGAATGGATCAATCCGTAATGGAAACCATGGAGGCAACAATAGCAACAATAATAACAACAATAGTTATACCAGTGGCGGCGGAGGAGATGACGCATCCTCTGCAATTAGTGTGAACTCCACAGTCTCTACCTCGACTCATCTGACTACCCGATCAAACAAGGGTAACATTTCCGCAGCGGCAGCAGCTAATGCAGCAGCCAATAAACAAGCCGAAGACAGTCGGCGTGCAGAGGAAGCAGCACGGACAAAACGGAAGATTGCAGATTTAGAAATTTCGAAGCCTCACTTCTATCGATCAACCAATCCCTTGAGACTACTGTTCGGAAACAAGCAAGTAGAGTCCAAGAGCTCGAAACGCGATTACAGTCGTAAGAGTTTTTTTTATTTTTTATTTTTTATTTTATTTTATTTTATTTTTTTGTTCTTGACAGTGGGAGTGTATGACTCTCAAGTGGCTTCCTGATTCCATAATCCAACAACGCTAATCATGCTTTTTTTTATTATTTTTTTTTTTTCCTTTTGACTGCTTTGTGCTGCATGCAATCCCTATTTGCGCTTATTCCGTCAACCCTTTCTCTTATAACTTTCTAAACACTGCAATCCCATTTATGATCCGCAACCACACATATAACACTTTTGACCGGCTGCGCTTTTTCTTTTTTTTTTTTTTTTTTTTTTTTTTTTTTTTGGATGATGAATGGTCTACACTTACTCTATGGACAGTGGAGTCACCGCAGCTGATTTAGCACTAGCGCAAAGTGTTGCTGCAATCGAGTTAACAGAGGCTGAAAACAGGATGATCAGGTCTTTAAACGACTGTGTTTCTCGATTGAGCAAATGATCTGTGAGGCTAAGCAGGCTTTAGACCAAGCGACAAAATCCACTGGTATGCGAGTTTTTCGCTTTATGAAGTGTGTAAGTTATAGAATACATATATATCCCATCATCAATCAATTCAACCATGTTCTTAAAATGCTATTAATTATAAATCTGACGAAATTTTATTTATTTATTTCTAACTCTTCCATTGCGATGATACCTCAACCTATCTTTTACATAGATGAGAAGGAATCGCTGAAACAGAAGAAAGTATTAGAGACGATGCTGAAGATCAAGATGACGACGATACTCAATCTGTAGATCAGGATCAAGAGGAGCACGGAACGAGCAATAGATATTCAATAGAGGCCACGAGGCAATATGAAGATAGCACAGGTCAGAAATTACAAAACAGCAATCCTAATGGCGAAAATAACAGGTCCTCATTAGCATCCCCTCTCAGTAACAGTATGAATCCACTACCACTATGGAACCGCCTCTGACCATGGTGACATGAGAGAACTAGTACAATCTTTTCCGTCTTTCTTACTTTCCAATATTATGTATTGCCTATGTTTATACTCTCTTTATTTCTAAAGAAAAAGAAAAATACCCAGGAACATATAGCGCACCATCATAGTTACAGTTTTGTTTTAATTTAGTCAGCATCAGAAGGAAAAATATATATAGTTTATTAAAACGTCTGATAAGATTAAAAATTTTTAATAGGATGATAATGCAGGTGTGCTGATGCAGAATTTTCTTTTTTTTTTTTTAGCATGTATATATATAACCGTTATTGATGCCTTGTTTGATTTCCTTAATATCCAAAACCAAGGCCTACACTCTTGCCCTTCTTCATCTGCTGTCGGATCTTGAGACCTTCTCGGAATTGTTTTTCTAGATCCCTATTCACTTGTCGGCCTACCATACTATCGATTGCAGAGTCCGCATTGGTATGTTGGCTCGAATTAGCAAATGAGCCCAATGATCCGAACAATCCACCACCTGTTTTGTAGTCTTAGTTGAGGTGGTAAAAGGAGATAAAGATGGTGATGAACTTCCTTCAGAAGTACTCACGGCTTTTTCGCACCGAGAAGACGCAAGAATTTGTTTGTTTGCTTTTCATCACCCAAATCAGCTTGGCTCCAATCGTTCCAGCGTTTTTGTCCGACAGATACTTCTGATTCTGGCACAGAAATAGAAGTAGAAGTAGAGGTAGAGACAGAAGCAGAAGGCGATGATTCCTTTGCTTTGTTTTCTTCCTTATTGTCCTTCTTTTCCTTCTTCTCCTTCTTTTCTTCCTTTCCTTCTTTTCCTTCTTTTCTGATTTTTCCTTCTTCTGCTTATTCTCCTTCTTGGCCTCGTTGTCCTTCTTCTCCTTCTTGTCAGCTTTCTCTTCTCCTTCTTGTCAGCTTTGTCTTTCTTCTCCTTCTTGCTAATTTTCTCCTTTCCCTCCTTGTCAGCTTTATCCTTCTTTTCTTTTTATCCTTGTTCTCCTCCTTTTCAGTCTTATTAACCTTCAATTCTTCCTTGTTAGACCTGTCTTCTTCTTCTTTTTATCTTGCTTCTCGGATATGTCTCCTGTTACTTTTTTCTTTTCCTGCTCCTTCTTCTTTTCCTCCTTTTCTTCTTTTTCCTTCTTCTTTTCCTCCTTATCCTTCTTGTCTTTGCTTTCCTTCTTTCTTTCTTTACTTTCTTTTCCTTGTTTTCCTTGTTTTCCTTGTTTTCCTTGTTTTCCTTCTTCTTCTCCTTCTCCTTCTCTTCTCCTTCTTCTTCTTCTTCTCCTTCTCCTCCTTCTCCTTCATTTCAGAATTGTCAGGCTTGATCTAGGCTCGTCCTTTCCCTTTTCCTTCTTTTCTTTAGAGCCTTCACCGGAGTGTCCTCCATTTCTAATAGACAAAATAGAGAGAAGAAAAAGAAGAAAAAAAAAAAATCAAGTCATTGTCATAGTTAGTAGCTTTTAAAAATATACTTTATTTATTATCTTTATTTATATTTTCATTTCCAGTTTAAAATATTTATAAAGTCACCTGCTGCAGTGCGTTTCTTGCTCTTGTGCTCTGTCATGACTTTATTGATTTATAAAAAAAAAAAAAAAAAAAAAAAAAAGTAGAGGATGCTTTTTAATGAATGAGAAAAAGAAGCTCTTGGTGGTGGATAAAAACAACAGGGAGGGGGAAAGAAAAAAAAAAAAAAAAAAAAAAAAAAAAAAGAAAAGGGAGAGCAAAGCCACCGAAAAAACAATAATATACACAACCCTCACAACACGCATCGTCCTACGACGATTCTATTTATACTTTTTACAATTAACATGATGGGAAGGAAAGACAAAAGGGGTCTCTCCTATCGTAAAGAGTCCTCATATCCTACCAGCATTCTTTACAGTTTTCTTACATAGTGCACAATATGTCACATATTATGCAACCAGTGTTTCACCAGTGGATCTTGCACTATGGTGTAGGATTTTTTTTTTTTTTTTCGATGCACCACTCAGAAAACCCTCACTGTCGGTGGTTTCTGCTATGGTGTACCAAGGGTGCACCGGATATTTCTGTTCTATATACATCATGCCGCTACTTAAAGATCAGCGTTGCACCGTACGTCAAGCCCATCGGTAAAAATAATATCTGACTGATGAAAAAAATGCACCGGTATCACTTATGATACAGTATTGGAATGTTGCCACCATTTTACAAGTCGCAATTCTATTTAGTTTGCCATGTGTCAGGTTAATTTTCTTTTTTGAGACTTGGGATAGCCTGCAGGGCTGCTTAATCAAAGGGAATTATCAAACAGATTCTCCAAGTACCACCCTCTACGCGCCATTTGTTGACATTGATATTAATATCATGCGCAGCAGCTTTGAATTACATTCTCTGGGTCTTTCAGGAATCATCTCACATGCCGAGAGCTTCCTCGATAAAGAAGACCTCTTGAAGTGTATCTGTATCTCCAAAATCTTCAAAATGCACTTGAACAGCTTCATATGGAGAAGCATCGATATTTATAGACCGAACTATCCTACTGGCGAAGCTTTGCAGAAACAGATTGAGCAAAACATTAAGCTCTTTATATATATATATAAGAAAGAGAGTGACGCCTGTATAGCTCAATGGAGGTATAGATTCATTGTTTTGCCATGGTGCTTAATATAAACTTATATAAAGAGGCAGTGTTTACAACGCTCATAATAAATAAGAACAAGAATACGTCTGGAAGCCATAGTAAGAAGGAGATGCTTTCTTCGGGTGAGTGGCCTCCTTTGGTGAGGTAATAGCGGCGAATATACAAGGTGTTGATGAAGCATTTACAGCAGTCAACCACGCGTTTGAGTTGGTCTGATATTGTGATGCCTGTATTGCTGATCATTGTAGAGTGCTAGGTCAGCGCGTATCAAAGAGGCCTGTATGGCGTACTGAACCACAAGTCCAAGGAGCAAGGATTCGGAATGTAGAATGCTACATATCAAATAGCGGGTCTTGGACATCTAAAGGGCATAGTGATGATAGAAGCAAGAGAAAATAAATGCTACCAATCTCATCTAAGTTTACATAAGCGTAAAGGCTTCGTTGCTGTTGCTTGTCTGAAATTGAGTTGACTAGTTTGATCCAAGAATGCGTGAATAGCAGATCCATGTTATAGTTTTTTAAGTTTTTTTTCTTGGCAAGCTGCATTAACAACTACAATAATAAATAAACAAAATAAAAGTAAAGTCAAATAAAGGAAGAGAGGAAGAGCAACTCATTCTAGGGGATTGTCGTTCTTTGCATGACCGACGGAGAAGAAGAGGATCTGCGCGATTGATTTTTCTTCATGGATATACAAACCCACAGTGTCGGTCCGATAAACCTCAAACCTCAGAGCTGAATTTTGATCCGCCGGACTTGTAGATTTTCTTGGCATGCCAAGAAAAAATAGAAAAAAAGTTCGCTGTCACACAGATCATGCTAATAATGATAGAGCACCAGCGTCAATTAGAAAAACTTTTTACTTTGAAATGTATTGAAATCTGAATCGAAATGACAAAGAGCCGAAAAATAAAATTTCTTGGCACAGCCATTTTTTATTTCAGCCAAGCAAAAAAGAACCGACGATAACCCTAAATGGCCACATGCCATCCGCACGAGTACACTCTTTTCACCGGGATCAAGATCTCCCTCAGAAACGCTAATTGCGCGTGGGCCATCGTCATTCTTGGCTTGAGCTTTTCCCACATTATCACTTTCGGTTTTGGTTCTTAATTGGTTTTCATAATATATATAAAGACACAAGATCCTCCCTCCGCTTCCATAAAAAAATTAGTTTATCATCATCATCATCAATAACAGAGAACAGTACAAAGACGCCTCTTTTAAACTAGTCAGCAAATTCACTCCAACGCACAAACCATTCTTTTAACTTCATTCGTGTGTTACCTTTCCCTTAAACTATATTCCTCGAAAGCCTCCTTACTGAACACTCTCTTTTTCACCCATCTTTCTTCACCCTCCTCCTTTCCATTCTTAATAAACAATAATGCAATCAACGTTGACGAAACCATGCATCGCCCAGGGACACCGTGAGTGTGTCCGGGGTTTCCACACAGAGGACTGCCACAAGTGCACTCGTGGATCGGTACCTTGCGTCATGTGCCATCCAAGCCTACCCTCAAGGGACTCATCATCCTGCAATTCTGCTTTGAAGGTCGTAGGGAATGTAATGAATGCTTTGGGCTGGGTCACACCCGACGCATTTGTCAACCCTGCATCAAGGAACATTATCGCGGCCGGACCCCAAAGGCCAAGGCTGTGAAAAAAGTCAAGAGTCAGCTAGAGTTTGCACAGGAACAGTTCTCAAAGAGTGTGGATTCTCTCACTAACGTCATTACTTCTACCACAAACTCGCTTGATGAAGTCATTGGGACTTTCAAATGGGGAAATAAGAGCGAACCGGATGTATCATCCCATGGTCTTGCTGCTACAACGACAACTACTGCAGACAATGAGAATGCTTCCACCCCAACAACTATCTCTCCTCGACCTTCTGTTTCATCTTCATCATCAGTATTCACTTCTATTATCAAGCGAGGCAGGAATAATTTACTGGAAGTCTTGATGATGGTAGCAAGACACACCGTCGCAAGTGGTCATGGTCTTCCTTTACGAGCATGCCTAACACCTCCACCGCAGCATGAATAAGGAGCAAACAACCAAACAAACAAGCAAACAAAAAAGATCCTTTCGATTCCTCCCCACTTGTATATTAGTTTCATCTTATAGCATTCACACGACTTCATATTTCTTTGTTAAAATATTCCGCTTATGATACTCCTTCTTCTTTGCAATGATAACGAATAACGAAATTAAAGAGACATTAATTTTTTCCATCTTAATCTTCCGTACTCACTTCCCCCCCCCCCTGGATCCCTTCCCACACCCCTTTCTGTAACCATTCCTTTTGATCCATCGAATGGATAAGATTGTCGAATTATGATTTGATTGCATATTAATATTTTTGAAATTATAGTTGTTATGCAATTTTGTTGAGGATAACGCACGATTCAGGGCAACATGCAGTAGATCCATTTCCTTCGAACGTCCATGTGCATGTAGTGGAAGTAGAAGCACGACACAGCTATTACGTGCATGAGCCAAATGAATATAATCTATACAAACATTGAGATATACAAAACAACATTACATACTCTTGTAAATTTGATTTCCCCCTGATATCCGTTTATTATGCAAAATAAAACTCATGCATGAACCATGTAATCCATGCGTTACGAAATATTATTCTGTTTAGAATTGAAAAGGTTGAAAAGTCGTCCAAACATTGGTGCACAAGATCTCAGGGGCGAAGCATAAGGCAAAGAAGCGCCCTTTTTCTTTTAGTTTGGATAATTTGTACAACTTGATTGATTCCTTTGAAGGAAAAAAAAAAAAAAAAAAAAAAAAAAAAAAAAAAAAAAGACGAATTAGACAGAATAGAGGATAGAATGGTCGCCTCGATAATCCAAACGGCCCAGGCGCATAGTATAAAAAAAAAAAAAAAATCCTGCAAATATTGCAAACAATGCAAACAACACTAACAATTACAATATCATCAATCAATAACATAGACGCACCCACCACCCTGTTTTGTGGCTCAAACAGTCTTGCCATCACTTTCTCTTCTCTTCTCTCTCTTCTACATCACCTTTCTCTCTCTCTCTCTCTCTCTCCTCTGCCTCTTTCATTCAAATGCTTTTATTCCTTTATCCTTTGTCTCATTTCCTTTCATTAACTGATCACTCAACACAGCACATCAATTTGAATATTCTTTTATTTATTCAGCTTTGCTCTCATATTCTTCCTCAATCTGTTCACTAATAGTCTACAGGGGCCTTTTTCTTTCTTTCTTTTTCTTTCACTTTCAGGTATTGTACAAGGTCAAGTTTGAAGTATTAACGTATTAATCCAGTGAACAGCAGTCATGACCCTTCATTGCTAGATCTAAGCTTCATTTGTACACTGTTATATGTACTACAAAAAAAAAAAAAAAAAAAAAAAAATCCAAATGAAGAGTAGGTTAACCATGAAATGGATGTATAATACGCAAAGAAGAAGAAAAAGGAAAAAAAAAAAAATTTCTCATCATTTTCCTTTCCTTTCACCCTTTTTCTTCATAGTCATGGGTTTATTGCCAGTGGAGAGGAAAGAGTGTTGACAAGGTCGCTAATTGGATATCCATCTTCAAATTTGTTTTCATTCATGCAGTGCAACATTGATATAAAGAACTTTATAACAATAAATATGTACATGTATATATATATTACATGTCCCTTCCACCCCACAATACCACAAAATAATAAAAAAGAGCAGGGTGTCTGTATAATAAGATGTAGAAAGAATTGGTGTTTGTAAAAAAGGTTTGCTTTTTCTGCTTTTTCTGCTCTTCTGGTGCATGCCCTTTTTTAGGATTTATTGTTTTGATCTGTGTGTCCGAATGCACAGGACATCCAACATGTGGACATCTTTTGTTTTCAAGGCGTCTTTTCCCCTTGCAGAGAGTTTGAATGGCTCAGTAGAACATCCACTAACCACTTATAAATACTTCTTTATACTTTATATCCTAAATAGGTCTACCCAAATCGATCTTCCTCTCCTCATCCCACTCCTCCTTTCTGTGCCCTTTTGTCCTTTTTGTCCCTTTATCCTTTTTGTTCCTTTAGCATTCTTCACCCCCCTCCTTCCCCTCACTTCACGACCCGGTTTTTTAAAACACTTTGTGTTTCCTCTTTCTCGGGTCGGATGATCCCATTCCTTCAGCAACAACGACAACAATAACGACAATAACAATAGCAGCAATAATAAGTTTCATCCAACAATCTCATTCAGTTGTTTCCTCTTCATTCATCATCTCATTCGTGTCATAACAATGTTCAGACCAGATGTCGAAGGTACCACCTTATTTCGAAACCATCAAAAATTCAGCAGTCTCTATGCATGGCACACGCGCGCATTTACGGCTTGTACGGATGTAACTAAACTAAAAGTAACTTTTTTTTTTTTTTTTCTGTCCTTTTGATTGGGCCTATAGAGTCGGTTTCACTTTTCATATCCTTGGCATGTATCTCAGTCATGTCCTTACTCTTTGGTCGCAAGACCTCTGGGACACGATAGGAACCATCAACTATGCACGAGGGCTCGTCATTTCTTTATACTTGGTCTCCTGGGCCTTTTCTTTCGTCGCCACTATGCTGACTCAGACCAACAACTTTAATACCATATCCTGCAGTATGTCCATCCTCTCTTGTATCGTCCTCTATGCTCTGTCCAAGATTATCATCTACCTCTTCTTGATGGAAAAGGTCTACGTCGTCACTGCTGTGGGTTCTACACGAAAAGACTTTCCAGTAAGCAGAGATTACCGAAAGAAAAGAAATATCATGGCCAAGGATATAAGTACCAATAATGAACAACGAACGCGCCATCGTATTCGCACATGTATTAATCATAGCTCTTCTTCCATTTAATTCACCATTCACTTTATAGCTATACAGAATCAATATGGTCTTGATGCTACCATTCGTAGGGATTCTGGCCCTGATGTTCATTTATAGAGTGTCCAAGGTCAACGAGGTGACAGGGATCTGTCAAATTGGTTTGAAACTCGAAGCAACCCTTCCTTTAATTCTTTACGACACCTCCTTTCTTCCTGGTTGACTGCCTTGTTTATTCGCCCCCTCATGAGCTCGACCTCCCTTCTTCAGGGCCCCTCCAAGGGCAAGCTTCGAGATGTGGCTCGGAGGACATTAATGGGATGTATCATTGCTTTGGTCCTTAGTTCCGCAAACGTCTTTACCTTGGTCTACTTCAAAGGAGAAGAAAGAGGCTTAATTTGCTTGGCCTCTTGTACCTTGGACGTTACCTTGAACGCCATCACCATCCATTGGGTCACCTCCCGTGGAGGTGGGCGCTATGCTGGAACCGCAAGATCAAGAGATCGGCGGGTGGTGAGCGGGCTACCTGGTATACATAGCTATACTGGTGCTGGTCCTGGTACGTACCGTTACTCTGTAAACGAGAAACAGGTCGCACCTTTAGATTCACATTTATCTATCACAGTCGAGTCATACGTGGAAGAGTATCACCAAATGCACTATAGCAGCAATAACAACAGCAACAACACTAATAGCAACAGCGTCAGCAAAATCAATGGCGTAGGAAGCAAAAGCGATAGTGGCGGTGCTGGTGGTGCCAGTAACAGTAGCAGTGGTAGCGGCAGTGGTAGTGGTAGTGGTAGTGGTAGTGGTAGTGGTAGTGGTAGTGGTAGTGGTAGTGGTAGTGGTAGTGGCAGCAGCAATGCTAGTAGTAGTAATGCAATAGTGGTAATGGCGGCGGTATTTCTAGCCAAACACATTCCTAACAGAAAACCTTGGAGAAAGACAGCAGACTCTAGTGTATTTGTATATCATAATTCGACCATTTCATGTAACATTAAAGGCTTTTTTTTTATTTTTTTCGAAAACTCCTGCGTCAAAGAAAAATTTTGCTTCAAAGGGCGATCTGGCAGTTGGTTTTGGAATAGTCGTAAATGCCTCTGTCCGGATAGCAGCCCCTAAAGCTGTCTACCTTTCGCAGCAGAATAGTATCCATTTTGGAGTACAGGCGGTGTTTATCACAGGATCGTAGCGTAAAGCTAACATTTGTTCTGTGTCATTTGATGATGGACAACGGGAATAAATTGAAAAAAAAAAAAAAAAAAAAAAAGCTTAGCCTTTCAAGAGATCGGAAATGACAGCTATTTTCTTTTAGAGATCTTTTTAAAGGCGCAGTCGCAACTGAGTTAACCAGAGTGAAAACTCGCTACTATTCATGGCTATAAATGGGCCTCGTTCAATATGTTCACCTTGTCGTAGCCAAAACTGTACTCCGTTATCGTCTCTTGGAACCATGAACGGTGCAAAAATACCCTCCGGATCTTCCAGATATCATCTTAAATATTGGCAGCTTCCTCAGCCGAAAAGATCCTGTGAGCTGTCTTCGCATCTCCAAGACCTTCCATGATACACTTGTCGGTTCCATATGGAAAAGCATCGATGTCAATAGCTTTAAGAGGTATCCTACTGGCAAAGCGTTACAGAACTACACGAAATATATTGAGAGCCTACGACACGGTAAAATATCCCCAGAAGATTACATATTGTTGAAGGGTGTCGAAATCTATGGATATATGCTTATGCTTCAGAGCGATGGCAATCCTAGGCACTGTACCTGAACCCGAGCGGATGCAACTTCATACTATACATGAGATTGGTTAATCAGATCCATTCTATGCATAAGGCTTGGCCCAATCTCGCCAAGGATTGCCTTGAAAATGCCGACGTTGCGCAGAATGTCATCGTGTTAATATAGAACGTAAGGGATATCACCCGATGAAAGCAATACATGCACAGCTGCCTGGCGAACACATGGCTGTTGCTCTTGCTGGCAAGCTACCTTGCACGGCTAATGTCAATGTCAGGCTTCTTGCCTTAGTTGGTGTATGCACAGGATTTGTATTCTTAGTCCCTCTGAAGGATAAATCTTCCAAAACCATGGCGACTGTATTGTTCAATATTTTTACCCATTGGAGTTCCATGTATCCTGCAATCCGATAACGGCAAAGGATTTGTCCACTAGGTTCTCCAAGAAATGGCTCAAGAAGGACAAACTCATTTCCTCGATATGAAGGCCCTTTTACTGTTCCGGGGTAATACTGCACTGGCGGACTTCTTGGCCACCATATGCACCATCACAATTCAAGCTTGCCTTAGACGATCTTGACGGCGATGATGCTCCTGAAGTTGAATATATTGTCGGCCATCGTACCGCTGCGTCTGACGGAGGGAGATACTTCGTAAAATGGGAAGGCTTTCCCGCCTGAAGCCAATATCTGGGAGCTTGAAGGCAATTTCATTGAGAGGAAATGCATCGACAACTATTGGAGCAGTCGCGGCTTCTTCGTTGATGCAAGATCTCGGCCGCAGCCTCGTTGGAGACTGCAGACCACCAAGCGGCAGCGGCAAAAGTACAGGCAGTTAGATGCACATAGCAGTGCTTGCAATGTTGATGGGTAGAACAACATGCAGCAGTGACAAGAGAAGCGCTGTACTAGCGCACGCGACCACTCATAGCTATAAACCCATGGCGCTAGCAACGGCGATTATTTTGCTTCATATTATTTCTTTCCTCACATTCCTCATTTTATCAAACCTTGGAACGAAATTATGGCCTTATCAATAAGTGACCTGGCTTAGAAAAGAGATATAAATACTCGTTTCTACTATGAAAATAAAGATCTACATTCTTGTCTCGTCACATTTCAAATTCGTTATTAATCTATATCAGGCTTGATTCTCTACTGTCGACTCCAATGATGCAATAAACTTAGTAAGCCAGACTCAACCTTCTGCAATGCGCATGGGTATCAAAGATTAGCTGTATAGAGAGATTAGTCCCTTAAACTAACAACTATTTCCAAAAGAGGACTGAAGATGTGCCTGATGAGAAAAAAATATATAGCTTTATAGCTTGACTCATCCTTTATTAGTTCATGATAAATGAGAGAAATAGGATGAATGTGTCTGCCATCGCCGACCATGCTTTTGGTTTGGCAATAGCATTTGAGTCTAGGTTATTATTGGCGATTTACCATGCCAGCCTGTGCTTGCTGCCATTCTAGGGACCTTTGCTGCTCTGGATCAACATAGCCAGAGCTTCCTGGAGAAAGTGGCTGTGGTTGGGCTATTGGGGGTTTGGGACTGAAACACAGGCTGAGGTTGGGCCGGCGATAAAGGCTGAGGCATTTGCTCAGGTGGGGTCGCTACCTGAGGACATGGTTGGGGCCCTGGCGAGAGCTGGAATATTGGCTGTGGCTGGAAAGAGCTGCGCCAATCATGTTGTGATGCTACTGGTACTTGTGATGCTACTGGTACTTGTGATGCTACTGGTACTTGGTATGCTACGCCGGTGTTTGGATTTGATTAGGAAATGTCTGTTGTCCTTGTGTCTGGGTTTGTGCTTGCATTAGTGTTGATACCTGGTGAGGAGGAGCATAATGGCGGTACGGGTCTTGGCTAAGTGGTTCAGGAGCGACCAAAAGCACAGGTGGGTCCACATCTGGTGAAACCACTAAGCCAGTACTAGGTTTGACATACTCTTTATTTTTCTTGTGACGCCAGAATACTGCACCGAGGAAGGCAAGCAAGGCCACAATACCAATGCTACCGCCAATGATCACTAGCAGGTTAGGCGATTCTGGACTTTCGGTGGGGTTCCCTGTAAGTTCATTTGATTCGGTAGTGTAGCTTGTTGTCCATTTTCGGGTATTGAGGTTATAAATAGAAATGTATCGATATCTGCACCACTTGAAAAGCCTCCCCAGACGATCAATTGGTTATTACTAAAGGCACACACATGTCCAGCTCGTGCACCCGACAGCCCAACATCAGTACCCCGAGTCCATGTCAACGTTGCAACATCTAGAATATAGATATCTCCAAGGACAGTGCCTGGCTCTGATGCTGATGGGCCATTCCCTAGGCCCCCAAAGAGAATCATCTTTGTACCGCCATACGCGGGGATGAAGCAGCCCAAGAGTCGAGCTGAAGGCCTAAATCCGTTTGTTGCTAGGGTCTTCCAGCCTTCTTCATCATTTAGTGCGTATAAACTGTCGCGAGTGAAAAATGTCTCAATAATGGATCCGCCAAAGACCAATAAACTTTTCAGCCCAGGCGCCCATGTCACCATGTAATTATTCATCTGAACAAGGTCCGGCTGTGAAGTTTGTTCGTAATAATAGTCTTCTGTTCTTGGATCATAAGTCATCAGCCGTTTGCCTGTTTCGATGGAATAGTATCCGTTTGGAATATAGACCCAACCCGAGACAGGATTTGTAGCGGCTGCCAGTCCAAGGCCAGTATTAGCATAAGTGGTTTGCTTAAGTCTTCTCCAGCTGCCTGAACCAAGGCCATAGCTATAGGCTGTGCCGTTGATGAAGACAAACCATTCTTGATTGTTCTTCATGAGTGCGCTTGCAAACCGTCTACCCGCGTAACCATTGGAAAGTTGCTGGTAGGCTGGGCTGCCGGTATGCCAGGGCCTCGATAGATCAAGATAAAACATCTGTGCCGTAGTTGGATCGGTGGGCAAAGTGGTGAGGACAGAGCCGCCCAGGAACATACATGGCCTTACCCTCTATAACACCACATACTGCTTAAATAACATGGGAGGGGCCTATAACTTTGTGCATAACTAAATAATGAGGCGGGGATCAAGAATGGTGATATGAACAAGACAATCAGTCGGCAAATCGAGGACGCATGCTTTATACCATGGCGGTGGAGTGGAAGAACAAGAGGTGAAATAGAGAAGAAACAAGGGAAGGTATGAATTAAATATGACCATGGCCACGATTATGGCGAAGTAATTCTGTCAACTTTAAAAAGGAAAAGAAAAGCAAAAAAAGCTCTCCATCAGATCATGAGTTGAACGCACAGAGATGTACCTAAAAAATGCTAGGGCCGAGATGGTCTAGATGCAGGTCCAAATGTTCACCGCAATGTAAACAAATACAATAATAACGAAAAAAAAGTGAAGACTGGCAGGGGCCTGGGCCGGGGATTGTGGTAAGTTCTGTGGTTGCAATGTCCCTTACTCCCCCTCGGATCAACAGAGCCAATATCTTCAAAGGCAAATGCCTGGAATGCTCAAACAATCTCGGAGATTTGATTTGAAAGACATGACTACTTGAGAAAAAGGTGGGCATTGATATACCAAAGTTTTTTTCTTTGGTTCTTGTGTTGAATGTCTGACTTTATTTTTACTGATCTGCGTTTGTTCAGATAGTCAATTCAAAATTACACGTTCCAAACTTAATTTGTCTAACTCGTTGATCATTAAACAGGTTAAAGCGAACATTCTTTTGTTCTTGTCAATCATTACAATCCCTTCCATCGCTCTTTTGTTTCCGTCGATTCATCGTTTCGATCCCACTGCAATACATATGCATCTTTTCAGATCATTCATCAGTTCTTTAGAATCATAACACCATCACTTTTCAAGAAAAATGAATAAAACCAAGTTAAATCAAACTTGGCTTGCCACAACATGTTCTGATAAAAATAAAAAACAATTAATTCTTTCCATTGTTTTCTCAGCAGTTATATTGACTATCGTTTTTTTTTTTTTTTTTTTTTTTTTTTGCAGTTGCGGCTAGTCATACTACCTCTATTTGCAATAGCGTTCTTTGAGCAGGTTAATTCTATTAGGAAAATGTCTAGGGAATCATACTTCACTTTTAATCGCTTCATTGATTGAGAAGTAGAATATTTCTCCTGCTATATCAAGAAAAATGAAGTGTGATGGAAATGATAAATGACTTTTTGCCTTAAATCCAGCCTCGAACTAAATTCCTTAATTTCAAGTCCGAGAGTATCCTTATGTCGCTCACATGAGGCCTAAAAAAATTATTTCTCTGAAAATTCAATATATTCTTTGATCTGGTCAAAACACTGCCATTGTTACACCCTCATGTCTTTCTAGGCTCATCGGAGCAGATTCTCAAGAGGAAAAACAAATGAAGGTAATAATTTGCTTTATGCTGTATAAATAGATCGACTTGAAATTTAATAAACGCGATTCTTTATTTTTGAGATGTATCACGGCTAAAACATTTAACTGGGGCGACTTTGGACTTCTTCTCTTAAAAGAATTTGAAAAGTCGTCTCATGGTCCGTGCGCGATAAAGAGAAGGTCCTCACTCACTTGTAAAGGTGGCTGTTCGATGCCTGTAGGTTTTCCCAAATCTCCTTTGATTTAATCGTATCTAGCGGGATTGGTTAGCATCCCCCTGACTACTTCGAATGGACAGAATTCACTGTGTTGTTCAAAACAATAAAACTTGACTAAAAGTCTATTAATACTCGAGCCATGAGGAATATAATACCTCTGAATGCTTCAATAGGATTTTGGCATGCTTTTCGGGACGCAGGAAAGACAGTATTGCCTCTTTTGTGCGACGAGGAGTATAGGGTTTGTTCCTTGGGGACGAGCTTTCTCAACTACGCTTGTTGCTTATAAAAACATAAATGGTTCTCGTTTTCCGCATACTTTCAGCGCTTCCACAATCCAAGAGCTGTGATGTAACCATTAAATGTTATATGTTTGTCGAAGCATTGACACTCCCTTGCGGTGTTAGGAAGCCAAAAGCCCCATAGGCTGTGAGAATCCAGCTATTGCATAGGATACACTCTTTGCGATTGGGTGCATATAATGGATCGCCAAGCGGGTGTGAAGCCAGTTGCCTTGCTCAGATATCTGATGTATCAATCCCATGCGGGCTGCACGTTATGCTCCGGCTTTGCGGCCTCCATGAGGAACCTTATCGGCGTGATGACCTACCGTCTCCATAATCCCTTTTATGGATCTATAAAAACAAGAAGCCATGAAAAAGACAATTTATTAATATTATTACAACTACCGTGTAAGGTTCTGAACAATTCAATCTACTATTTTACTTATTTGTAGAGCGTGGTTGAAGAAATTACAGCACTATCAGAGGCACCGAAAATGAGAAAAGCTTCCATTCACTTGTCTTCACGAAATGAGGATAGCTACTTCCTTTATACTATAATTCAAAAGATGGAGTGAAATCGAATGTGTGGTGGAGACTACTCATTGACAAGCTCCCCTTCGGTGTCCGCCTCCACCGATATATGCCTGATAAACTCCCTCTAATTTGTCAGATATGTAGGAAGTCTCCTGAGACGGAACAACATCTGCTATTTCAGTTGCCCCAAGAAGCTGGAAGTAGCAGGTGCAATGAAGTAATTTGTCGGAGAAAATGACTGGTCAGCCTTCCTACTGGAGTCGTTATTTTATGCCAACCCGACGAAATCAACCCACTCAACAATGTGCACCAACTTCCCCACATAACCCGTACTGATAAATATATTTTGGAAGATCTTAGAGGTACGGATATATTTCTAAAGCTCTTTTCGACTGAGGAAGCTGCCAACATGTGACGATTCAGGAAGATTCGAATAATGCAATTGAATGATCTCACTGTCTGTGTTACAATCAATTCACCCTAATGTGATTTAACGAGAAACACTTTCTGTTGATCTTGTAACATTCTAAACTCTTGATGCTGTTTCTTGGACTCACGGTTAGGGATACTCCAGAAGCGATAGAGACTGAACGCTGATCAACCACACTGCATGATCAGTAATATCACTAGTTAAATATAGGTGACAAATCGAGGGTGCTTGATACTGCGTTTTTCCACAGTGGTTTTACAGACAGATATTATACTTCAATTATACCAGCAAAATAGTGTGTGCTTAAATAAATAAATAAATAAATAATAAAAAATAATAAATAAAATAAAATAAAAAAAAAAAAAAAAAAAAGGCGGGAGACCCGCATTGCTCGCAATACTATAGCGCTTGGCGATAGCAACTTTGGTGATGCTGTCTATAGCAGCCTCAGGTATTCTCTTATGGTATGGTACAGGATTAAGGAAGGTACATCAGTAGCAGACATTTTATATGTTCATCGCTATTATCACATCAAAAAAAAAGACTTCGCAATTAAAGAATGTCTGCAGCACCTCTATAGATGATTCAAAAAGCGATCGCGTCGATAATACTCTGATTGCTTTCTCACAACTCATGACTCGTAAACAAATACAGCCAGCATCCAGCGTCGAAAATAAGTCTATTAGAGTAATGTCATTGATATTTACAAACATATACACAACAATCATGACAGAGTGTCATCTGTCATTGCAGGCCTGCGATGAGCTCAATATCATCATGACTACCAAGGGGTTCCGAAGGCAGATACTAAGGCATGCGTGGTGTTTATCTTCAAAATATTACTTGTAGCGATACCGCCCCTACGTTGCAATCGCAATAAGAGAATCAAACAATCTAAAGGCGCACATCGGCAACAACAAAAGATTGAGGGCAGACCTGGACTGTAGACACCGGATTAGCTGGCTTTTTATTTATCTCTGTTGTACCAACTTCCTTCCGCTCCAGCTAGCGGCTCCTAAAGAACCAAATGATATTTGCTTACATAGTAGTTTCTTTTACTGCTATTACCACCAAGGATCATTCATAAAGACCAGCCAACAATGCAGTAAATATAGCGGCTCAGAGGTCATTAGCTCTCAAAGAAAATCAGAGGTACTATGCTATTGATACTCAACCATCCTTGAGGAATTTAACTATTTTGAATGTGATGGCCACAATACTTCTAATTTTAATGGACCTGCATCTTTTTTTTTTTTTTCTTTTTCTTCTCCTCCCTTTCCTTCTCTTATTCATTCTCTTTCTCTGATAACTCCCCCTCCAACCGATCTCGCACCAAAAAATGTCTTCATTCGATATTCATGCACTCCGGAGGACTACTACGTTTACCAGTAGCTCCATTGCTGTCCCCACTAAACCATGTCGAGCCAATGGCAATCCTGAATGCCATCGGGGCTTCGTCCGAGAACGCTGTAGAAAGTGTACTCTGGGCTCTATCGTCTGCCATATGTGCTATTCGGCGCCCTCACCTTCTTATTTAAAACCCTCAACGTCCGCCCTGTCCCCATCCTTGCTATCATCGTCATTAGCATTGACAACAAGATCTCCTTGCTCTGGTCAATACCAAGGTAAAAACCCCAAAGCAAAAGCGCCCATCGTCTGTCATCACCCTCTGTTTTGAACGCGGCCATCCCATCCGCTTCAACAACTACAACTAGCACAGACACCGGCAACGCCTCTAGGGCATCAATCTCGTTTCTGCACGAAGAAGCCTTTCTTTCGAGCCTTCAGATCTTGTACCTATATCTGCTCCCGTATCAACGGCCTCATTTAATCCTTCTCCTACCCCACAGTCAGCTTGTTCGCCCACATCGATCACCTTTTCATCCAATATCGCTGTATCAACAAGAATTAATGGTGCTGCAGCCAACAGCTCAAAAATGGCATCGCCAACAGGAACAACAGTAGCAGCTTCGCCTCTTGTTCTTCCTTCATCTTCTTCTGCATCCCCTTCCTCCTTTCTAACGCCCTGTATCTACTGCAAAAATGGCCGAAAGGCTTGTGAAGAATGCTTTGGACTGGGCTATGTCCAACGATTTGCCAAGATTGTATCGAGAAAGCCATCGACGGCATAGTAAAATAATCATCACAACATCATCAGCCTACGTCGGGGCAGAAGTAATGAGGGGTACGGGGTCCACACTAATAGCTGTAATAATAATGGCAGTGGTAGTGGCGATAGCGGTGATGAAGGGACCAGTCGTGGTCGAAAGCGTGGTTATAGCAGGAACAACAATAATAGTGCAGCCTACCGAAGAAAAGCTTCTCTACCATTGCCAACGTCTTGGAATCAGATGGGTGAAGGATGGTCCAAATTTAAAGAGCAGCTTTTGGTAAGCACAACAAACATGGCAACTGCAACAACAGCCGCGATGGCCAAATCAATCTCTCGACCGGAGGGGGCGGATCGGGATCTGTAAAGGGCAATGATAGGGTACAGTAAAGGGAGCACAGGTTAGTGCGGCCGTGCAAGAACGGAAGGAACAGGAGCAGGAGCAGCAACCGATCGACATATCTCCTACCATTGCCCTCGCAAGCGTGAGCTCTGGCATAGGTACAAGCCCTGGCACAGATACTGACACGGCGACAACAATAGCACAACCAAGAGCCCCAACCACGCTAACATTCTCTGTCCCTGTGCCAGAAGCTCTCATAGAGCATTCACCCTCTAACCAGTTTCCTCTCCCCTTACAACAACAACAAGAGCATAAGCTACTATCCTACCCCGAGGCTAAAGATTTTAAAGAAGATGATGAGATCGAAGTACAGACCAAGGACTGGATTGATGGGAATGGTACTTCTGATGCGCTGATGCTACTTTACACCCCGAATATGGTTGCGATAACAGTAAGGTCAACAGTAACGGTAGTGGTAGCCGTCTCTGTCATTCAAGGACACAGTCAAGAAACATCTCAAAGTACCAATTTTATTTTCAAACATTAACAAGCGAGCAACCAACAAAGCAAACGTGTTAAACAATGCCAGTGAGGTCGATGGGCATAATAGGCGCCGTCAAAAGAAAAAAAAAGACAAAGCATCATCGTCGACAGTGGTCATTGTCACTACTTGCACCAAGTGGCCTCCTGCGTTCCATGGCCTCATCAGCTGCATGAATACGTTACATATACATGTACGCCTTTTTATGTTTTAATCCCCGTACTCAAGTACATGTACATCCATAATATTCTGTTTAATCCCATGTAATAAGTCATGATGCATAATTCAATATTCAATAATAAGGGCAGACTATATAATCATCGGCAAAAAAAGAAAAACCAGATTGTTGACACATGCTTATTTGTTGAGAAAGGGACCAAACTTTAATGACAAAAGCGCGGTAAAAAAGATACACAAAAGATCTCCGCTCGTAAAAGGCTCCGCATTGTTGTTGGGCACGTTCACAATTCTATTGTCCTCGATGTGCCCATATTCATAAACGTATCTCTTTTTTTTTTTTTTTTTTTTTTTTTCTTAACAGCCTGCTTCTAAATTGACATGTATCCTTAAACCAAAAAAAAAAAAAAAAAAAAAAAAAAAAAATTGATGGGGAAGAGAAGAGGGGAAACAAAGAGTCTTTACCTTCTTCTCCTTCACTCCTTCCTTTCTTCTTTTAAGTAAAGAACAAGAGCATGATGCTTCCGTGTGACCCAAAACAAACAAAAGGAAACGAAAAACCAAAAAAAAAAAAAAAAAAAAAAAAAAAGCCAAACAAGCCAAAAAAGCCAAAAGTCAAAAAAGCCTCTGTACATGAATGCAGGGCAGTGTTTTTTGTCAGAGGTTGTGACCCATGACATGTACAGTATCATGCGAACCAAACAAACAACAAACGTGTGAGATAGATGCATGGAAATATGAAGTATTTGCTACTACACACCATGCAGAACCTCCCGTTTTTTTTTTTTTTTTTTTTGCATGGTGAGAAAAGAGGATTTAATATTTAATGTAATCTAGAAAATGCGAACATGTGGATGACAGATTGAAAGGCGATAATGGTGTATAAAGCAGTAAAAAAAAGGGGGGTAGGAAAAGGCGAAGAGAAAGAGTTGATGCTGACAATGATGATGAGGATGACGATGGCGATGAAAGATAATAATAATAATAATAATAATAAAGGTAATGATATTACAACTTGAGCTTGGCGCCTTTGGAATTTTCTGCTTGTGATGAACCATTCTTGATACTTGACCTCTTGTTGCCCTCGCGATCGATGAAGCTGATGTTCTTTTGACCTGAAATGCTTTGACAGCATCCATCTTGTCGCGCACCACTGTCTTGGAGTTCCCTTTGTCCCCAGGCTGGCGACCCAATCTCCGGTCTCTGGCCTCCCTTTCGGCTTTGCGTTCTGCTTCCTTGCGAGCCTTTTCTCGGATCTCGACCTTCTTGGCCTTTTTAGCCTGAGCACGCTTCCGTTTCCTATCAGCCTGTTCCATCTCAGTGTCGCCCTTGATGGGTTGTTTACCTGCAGAGTAGACTTCCTCTGGGGCTAATAGTGCCGCATCAGCAACACTGACAGGAATAGCTTCCTCCATACTGATCGCTGGTGCATTCGTAACCACTGTGAGTTCAGCCTTGGGTGGCTTGGGTGTGTAATGCCAATTGCTGAGCGAATCAAGCTTTTGGCAAAGCTGTTGCCATAATTGTGTGATTCTTCATGTTTCTTCTCCAAGGCTGCTTCACGCTCACTCAACACAGGCCCTGTGGTCGATGTCTGACGAACATATTCATCCTCATACAGTTCTGCAAGTGATTTCTTTGATTTCTCATCAGAAATCTCGACTCTTGTGGATGGATTGAAGGCCTTTTGGTTGGGTGCGGCCTTGCGAACCACATCATCAAAATTACCAGCCAAGATACGTTCCTTGATCATGTCTTCTAACGTCTGTGTTGTCTCTGCGGTGATAACAGGAATAGGCTTCGCTACCGTCTCGAAATCAAGATCCTCCTCTAGCAAACTGTTGACAGGACGATCTGAAAGATGATGCCTCTCCTTTGATGGTCCAGTCTTTAGCTGCAACATTCTCCTGCTCTAATGCCTCGATCTGTGCCTTGAGTTTCCTCTGTTGCTTTTCAAACTTTGACAGTTTTTCTGTAACAAAAAAAAAAAAAAAAAAAAAAAAAAAAAAATTTAACAAATTAATTCTTCGTCATCCATAGTGAATTAAAAAAAAAGGTTGATAAGCCCTTTCTTCAATCAAAGTTGTTCTTTTTTTTTTTTCTTTACCTGCTTCATCATCTTCCGCTTCGTCTATTCCAAAGAGATTAGAGACCCTATCACCGAGTTCATTGATCTCTGCATTTTCATCATCTTCATCAGCGTCTTCCATCTCCAGATCATCGCTATTTTCAGCTTTACCAAAAGAGTCTTCATTATTTTTTGATGGGCGTTGAGCCTTAAACCTGTTAGTCGTTCCTCTTGGTGGTGGAGCGAAAAAGTCCTTGTATGTCACGTCTATAAAAAAAAAAAATGCACACCCACATGCACACATTAAAAATGGTCAACAACGGTCTTTTTTTTTTTTTTTTTTTGATTAGAAACATAGCAAAAGGTATCGCATCTTTATAAATTTACCGTGAGCATCTGCTTCATCCTCATTCTCGCCCATGTTTCCGAAATCGTCATCCTCATCACCACTTTCAATAACATCCGGATCTGCAAAGTAGTCAATCTCCTCATCATCATCTTCGGGTTCCTTGTCTTCCAGCTCATCCTGCTCCTGTTTCTCTGTTAAGGCATTGAACTCCTCAAGATTAAAAAAATCATCATCCACTTCTGAGGTCTTGGTCCTTTTTCTTGACTGGCAGATCGAGATCATCCAAGTCTTCTTCTTCTTCTTCTTCTTCTTCTTCATCATCATCATCATCCTCATCCTCTCCCCTTTCCTGATAATCCTCTGGTTCCATGTCATCAAAATTTTCTGCATCATCTTCACCAGAGAACCCTTCCATGTGATCAGTATCAGCGATATCAACACCATATCTCATCATCAAGGCCCAAATTCATTTCTGCCTCATCATCATCTTCTGCTTGATCATGATCCTGACCATGCTTTCTTCCCCCCTTATTCTCGTCCTCATCATCATCACTAGCTGCTGCTTTTGACGATGGTGTTCCTGATTGTTAGATTTAAGGTTTTTAAGTTCTAGCTTGAGGTAAGATAGGAAAGGCGTATTTTGCATATGAATCTCTTCCCAGATTTGGTCGTTATCAAAGCCATCGATAAATAATTCTTCTAACATGGAGCCATGTTTCTTGAGTGATCCAGATTCAGTTGACTTGCCTAAAAGAAAGAAAAAAAAAAGTCAGTCTAAGTACCCATGGTTATCAATCAATTGCTTAAAGCCATCTTAATGAATCAGAGAAAAAAAAAAAAAAACATAATAATAGTGTTTCTCTAATGCCAATTTTATTTTACCAAGGTCATAGAGGTATTTTGTGATGGCTTTGGCTTGCCTCAGCCGAAGTCTCAGACTTTGTAAGGAAAACCTCTGGTCGAGCGAGAACCTGGTCATGGAAAGACTTTAGCAATGCCTCATCAGGCATTGTCTTTTTCTAATGACATTATGCTGTGTTATATGTAAATGTGTATATGTTTGAAGACAGTGTCAAGCCAAGTCAAGCAGCTGATGTTTGCAGGAGATGAGGCAAAGGTCGTTATTGAAAAGGCCACCTCTTTTTGTTTAAAAAAAAAAAAAAAGACTGTACATAAACAATGTGGCTTATTGATGACTACTAAATACCACATGACTTATACCCGAGTGCTCTCTTATTTGCAAACGCGCTTTTCTCTTCTTTGTCTCCGCGCTTTTTTCATTCCTTGTCTCTACCTTTATACTTTAAATGTCTGCTGCAAACGTCCCTGAGGGACTTAAGTCCATCACTCCATACCTGCAACGCGCTGCCCAGTTGCAGGGCCGTGAACCTATCGTGTCATACTATGGTATATAATAGATAAAAGAATAAGGAAAAAAAAAAAAAAAAAAAAATTGTGAAAAAGTATAATGGGGTTTGTTCATTATTCACGAGGAATTGTTCATTCATTATTATCGCTTTCTCTTTCTCGCTGCCATTCTGTCTTTATATATATATTCATCCCCAGCCAATTATTATGCTGCCAAATTGGCTATTCCTAAGGCAGGACAGGATGCTAGCAACAGGGCGTTTGTGTGGAGCTACTCGATACTTTGGAGAAGGTAAGAACAAGTGCTGGCGCAGGAAGTAAAGGAGGAATTCATTTCTTTTTTTTTTTTTTTTTTTTTTTAACCGGCTTTATGCCTGCTATCAGTGTAACACAGGATTCTTGGCATTCTAGAGAAGCATTTGTAAAAATAATATCATGTAAAATACTAATGAACCCTTTTTTCTTTGTGTGTCCTTTTCCATAACAGCAACGAAAAGAGATTGGAGAGAATGAGGCCATCTCGAGTGATTTGGTTGGATATGCTCACATTGAGAACTTTGCCCTCAAGATCTTTAGCAGAGCTGACGACGAAGACCGTGCTGGACAAGGTTCACAGTAGGGGACATACATCGTCATTCTCATAAAATGTGCAAAAATCAGGGCTCATATCCTTACTATTTTTTTTTTTTTTTTTTTTTTTGTGCGTACTGTTTTTCCTTCAACAAACAAAAGAAAAACTGCCAAGAATTTTGTCGCTGCTGCTAACTTTCTGGAACTACTCAAAGTGTTTGGTGATATTGATTCTGAAGTCGAAGCCAAGATCAAATATTCCAAATGGAGGCTGCCGAGATTGTAAAAGCACTTCGTGATGGTCGTACGCCCCCCTTACCACCAGGAGCTGATAAACCCAAGGAGGAGATCATCACAGATGCCAGTGCTAGCGCCAACTTGACAGGATTGGAATCTTCATTGGACATGTTGGGAGGCGATAATAAAGTCAACAACAATGATCTTGATAATACCAATGTTACTTCAGCATTCACTCCTATACTTCCACTCCTGTGTCCCATCCTCATCTATGATAACAACGCCTCAGTCTGGATTCCCAACAATCTCCAATTCCCTTCGCCTCCCTTGGGACCTTCCAGCACAAGCGGCAGTAACGTTGGTGGTGGAAATGCCTTAAACGGGACCTTTACTGACAGTAACAACAACAATTGGAGTCAAGCGTCCCATAGCCCCAACCCCACCTTTGGCCAGAACCAGAGTCAGAACATATACCAACCAGCAGCTGCACCACCATCACAAACATCAATACCCTCTACTTTTAATCCCACTGCGGCCAATATCAACTCTCCACCAACTTCAGGACACATTACAGGGCCTTCGGACACACAATACGGATATGGAGTAGGAAACAATCAACCTCATAGTAGTGGTCCATATCAACAACAACCTACTGTGAGTCATATGAACACACCTTCACCAAACTCATATGTCCAGCCATCTTCTGGATTCTCCCAGCCTTCCGCACCTTATCAGCATCAGCCTCATTCTCAAACACAGCCACAACCACAGCCACATCTGCATCCACAATCACAACCACTACAGGCACCGTCTCTCAAATCCCATACACACCTGTCCAGATGGTTCTGGACCCTGCTGTCAATACCCAAATTCAGAAGCATTGTTAAATGGACCGTTTCTGCATTAACATATGATGACATTCCGACGGCCATTGATAATCTGGAAAAAGCACTTGCTCTTCTTCGTGTAAGTATTGTATTGTTTTTTTTTATTTTTTATTATTTATTTTTATTTTTTTGTACTAATGCTTGGTGTGTGATAGAAACACTAATTTGTTTGTATTCTTTTCTGTTTAATTATCTCCTTCACATTGCCTTGACTGGTTGACCATCCATAGCCATATCATAACAAATAATAAAACATCCGAATCTTTGCATAAATCCATCCACAATCATCTCGGGCACATTCATGACAAAAATAACTATTAGAATTGACGATTATGCGTCCCCCCGCTTTTTTTTTTTCCTTCCAAAATCAAAGGCTCTTGTTTATTATGCTAAGAGCAATCTTCTTGCGGAGATAATCCATATTCCTCTGTGAAAAATCTAACTGATCCTGTCCTCGACTCTTGAACTCGATGAATGTGCATGTGAACACTCCACAATCAAATCCATTCTTTTGAGTGGGAATGTCTTTGGGACAATCATTTTCCCATCCATGAAAATCAAATGGCTTCTTTCAGTTTATCTGTGTTCTGATTCAAGGTAATTACGAAGAAGCTTCATAAAGTGGAAGAAATAAAAAAAGAATCTTTAGTTTCGCTTAACAGTAAGGTTCAACTTGACCAATTACTTTTTTTTTTTTTTTTTTTTTTTTTTTTTACCTCACCAGAAACATTTAGGATTATTGCCAAGAAGCGAGTCATAATATTCTATCCTTTTCTTCTTCATGTCGATCACAGCTGTGGTCCAGTGATTGCCTGAGTGATGAATGGTATAAGCACATAATCCATGTCGAAGATTTGATCTAAAGTGACCAAATAAGAAAAATAACATTAGCTTTCATGCTCCTGATTATAACATCCTCATCTGCTCACGTTCATCTCCATTCTATACCTTTTTGGTCCATCGCCTGACTTTTTCATAGCCATTTTCGCTGAGCGTTTTGTAAAAAAAGGTGCTAAAAACATGGACCTTCGGTAACTCTGTGGATTCTTTGCTCCTGGCCATAATTAGATTTCCGTAAAAATTGATGACCTCGTCATTAAGCCATTGACCTGGTCGCAATGTCTGAATATCTTTTTTGAGAATCGCAACATTAAATCCTTCCGCGCTACTTGACCATATCCATCCGCTAGAGCTTCAGCAACCTAGTAGAATAATACAAAAAAAAAAAAAAGAAAAAAAAAAGAAAAGACATTAAATACCTGGACTTTTAAGTTTGGTCCAAGAAAGAGATGATCTCAAAAAAAGTGTAAAACGAAAGCAGTATAATGAACTCACGCGTTGCTCGTCGTCTTTGGCAAGTGGTGGAAAATGCTCATGTCCTGATTTTCGTGCTTTCAGTTCCTTCTCGATACGCTCATGTTCGCTCACAATAGCCTGGTGACTTGGTGGCCGCTCCTGCTTCTCAACGCTACATGTTGAATAAGTTGTCAAAGAAGATAAGAGTCAATATTTAATAGGTTAAAACCTATGACCTGAGCCATAATCATAAAGAAGGGGAAGCGAATCCAAAAGTACCTTGGCAGATTCCTGTTGATCAGATTTCTAATATTCTTGAGCCATGTTGGCTCTTTGTTTCCTTGATACTAAAAATAAAGCAATGAAAAAAAAAAAAAAAAAAAAAAAAAGCTCGATCGGACCTGTCAGTAAAAAAAAAAATTTTATAAACATTAACGAAATGGATGCTTTCCTATCATGTAGGAAACGACCGTAAGTTGAATGGCCCTTTCTGTGTGACCTACCCCTGTCCTTAGCCAAGCTGGTTGTCTAGATGTTATACTACGCTCTAATAACAAATCGTCCTTGTCGTAAGATCGATAGTATTCTCTCATTCGACGATGTTCTGCAATCTCTTCGTCAATAGATGGCTGTGATGTCCTCCTTGAGCTCACAATGCTTTCCCGATCTGATCTTAATGCCCCAATTGTTGCATCCAATGCAGCTTGAAGTCGATCTAAGTAAACATACATATAAAAAGAATAAGAGAAAAAAAAAAAAAAAAAAAAAAAAAAAAAAAAAAAAAACGTAAGATCAAATTAGGAATGCTACTGCCAAAGATACAGACATTATGAAATGATATATCAAACATTACTTTGTCCCGACCGTGAATGAATCAAATTATGCGCTCAACAAACGCTGACGTGCGACGGACTCATCCTTATTGTACTACAATTAAATTAAATTAAATTAAATTAAATCAATGGTAGTACAAACCAGGTTAGACTTTAGGAGCGATTTGCCACAATCGGACTCCACTTTTCCTTTTTCTTTTCATTTTTTATATATATTTCTTTATCCTATACCTTGCTCTGCAGCAACGAAGTTGTCCTTTGAGCTTTGCTGGCATAGATTCGTGGTCGAGCCCGCAGTAAGGAGTTTTGTTCAAATCTATGTGGTGTGGCAGGTTGCTAAATCGTGATGATCCAGTGACAGAAGATACACTCGAGGAAGATGGTGATCCTGAAGCTAATGAACTGTTTGATTCATCAGCGCTCTGGATTGAAGTCCATAAGTTGAAGGAGTAGAGGATAATAGGCTAGATGAAAACAATGAAGGCCGTTCCCGGAAATCTGGTGCTGTAAAAGTGGGAAGTTTTGTATATGGCTCCAGCTGATATGGTTTGTTTTCCTCAGAATTATCCATGGCAGCAGCAGTAGGCTCTGCTGGCTTTTTAGATCCATCGTTCGGCGATAGAGACGAGGGGCTAGGACGACGATGTGCTGGAAAATGTTGATCCTGACCTTCTTTCAGAAGTACGCCTCGGACATAAGCTCCTTCGTAGCGCTTCCTGGATATGCTCCTACCCAATCATGCTTCTTACGCTGCTGCTCAATAACTAGAAATACCACAAACGAGTAAAGTAATTAGAATGTACATGATAAGTTGCTTATTGTTGATATACCAGTCCCTACAATAAACAGGCATGTCAAAGCTGATGCTAACGCTACCTAGTGATTCTAAAGGTTTTAGTCCAAGATAAGAGCTGATTCCATCTAAACCTTCTGTGAACCATAGCCTTGCGCGCTTTGACAGCTCAGCAGTATCGACAATTGATTTTCGTTTCGAGGAGGTCATGTAAAAAGTAGATGTCCAATGTTTTCAAAATAAAAAGGAGGAAGAATTAGTTTGCCGGTGGCTGCAAATGTATACTGGAAAGGAGAAGAGAGGGAGAAAAAAAAAAAAAAAAAAAAAAAAAATGTATGAGAAAGTAAAAAGAAAGTAAGAATGGATGAGTTTTCAATGAAGAGTATGAGAGGAGATGAAGGGCGATGCACCAGAAGGAAGAAAAGAAAGAAAAAAGGACCGCGTTTGTGTGCATACAAAGACAAAAGGTGGAAAAGTCTTGGTGACATGGTCAGGGCTCATTTCCTCATCGGGATATCTTTCATTAAAGGGCGTTTTCCTTTCATTGTTTTTGTTGGAGGCAGTGGCTTATGCTAACCTCTAAAAGAATAGATTGAAGGTTGTATGGAAAGAAAGAATATCATGGAAAGAGTGGCCAAGGGAAAAAAAAAAAAAAAAAGAAAGAAAAGAAAAGAAAGACGTTGTTGATTCTTCATTCTTTTCAACCTTGACATTCAAACCTCATTTTTCATTGCTCTATAATATATTACCATGGAAGCACAAATTGAAGAGGTGCGTCAATAAGAAATAAGAACAAATAAACGAGGGCCTCTTCTTTACTTTTATTGACCTGGCCTGTGCTTGCTTCGCCCACATCTTACCTATACTCTTATTACATTGTATATACCTTGATATTTTATCTCGATCTTACTTAATTATCAATAGCTCCTGCCATTTTTGCACGATGCTAGGATGGAGGTAATATAGACATTTGTATTTCAATCTTTTTTAATTTTTTAAACGCAAAAAAGAAAAGTATCAATTGATCCGCTAATTATCTTTTCAACGTATGATTTTGTCGGCATTTTCCCACTCCAGGTTCGTCAAATCGCTATCCAAAACATCGTCTCTTTCACTCCCAGCACTTCTGAATTCTTCAAAGTCTTTCTGAAGCATGCCAAGCCTCTTACCAAGGATTTGAAAGCATGACCAAAGAGGATACCGTAAGGAAAAAAAAAAAAAAAAAAAAAAAAAGTGATTAAAAAAAATTAGTCAAGTAAATCTTTTTCTTATTTTTCTCCAATCTCCTTTTTTTTTTTTTTTTTCCTTCTGGAAATATTAGGCAATCGCTCATGATGCTCTCCGCTCGCTCATCAACCTTTCTGGAGAAACTGTTATCTGCAACGAGCTGGATGATGAAGAATTTATCAAGCATTTGATCTTTAATATCATCATTGTAAGTGGTTGGGCAACTAGGAATACAACTGGATGGAGCTGAGACTGAGACTAAGAATCATACAGGGTGGAACAATGGCTACAATTACAAAAAAAGCTCGTTAAATGTGTATCTTTAATTTCCTAGATGCCTAATGCTGGACAATATATTCGTCCTCTATTTCTCTCTTTCCTTGGCTTTTTTTTTTTAAAAAAAAAAAAAAAAAAAAAAAAAGTCCAAAACCAATATTTTGGGTGATTTAGGATCCATGTTGCTATCCAACATGTGTAAGAATGATAAAATTGCAAACAAGATCTTGAATATGACTGGAAAGCCTGTCGAGGGCCTCACAGTCGCCACCTCCGTTGTCGGTCAACTCGCTGATATCTTTTTAAAGGGCAATGAAAAGAACTACAATCCTCAATGCAACTATGATTTTCTGGCAAGTGTCTTTGCCACATTGGCTACGGTATGTTTTGATGAAAGAATGGAAATGATATGACGAATGGGAATTGTGAATGAGCGATCAAGGAAAAAAATAAAAAAAAAAAAAAAAAAGAGACAGTATCAAATGATTAAACATTCATGACAATTTCCCTTTCTTTTTTTTTTTTTTCTTAATTAAGATTCCTCTTGGTCGTACTCAATTATTTGCCAAAGATAGCGGTGGCCTCTCTCCTCTTTCCAAAATTGTTTGCTTCACTGAACATCCTAATTTGATCCGCCGTGGGGGCGTTATCACAACCATCAAGTAAGTATTATGATTAACAAAATAAAAATTAAAATTAAAGCGTCGGTATTGGTCTTAAACGGCCTAATCGACTATAAAATAAAAAAAAAAGTTCGTCTCTCACATACACATCTGTGTTCTCCATAGGAATGCAAGTTTTGCTGTTGAAAGCCACCCTGCTCTCCTTGATGAGAGCGATATCAATGTGTTGCCTTACATTTTACTCCCTCTCTGCGGTCCCGAAGAATTCGATCTTGACGTAAGCTAGTTTTCTTTTTTTTTTTTTTTTTTTTTTTTCTTCCTCTCTTCGGCTCATTAGAGGCTCTTGCTAAAAAGTTTTAATATTTTTTTTCTTTCTTTTAATCCTTATACTGTAGGACATGGAGGGTATGCCCGAAGATATCCAGTTGTTGCCTCCTACAAAGAAACGTGAGGCCGATGCCCATTTGCGCGAGACATTGCTCGAGGCCCTGATCCTTTTAACCACCACGCGCCCCGGACGGATTACTTGCGTCAAAAGAAAACCTATCCAGTCATCCAAAAATGCATCTGGCCGAAACCGAGGAACATGTCCAACAAGTGGCTGAACAGATTGTCAACATGTTGATGCGTGATGAGGCCGGCGCCGAGATCACAGAAATTGACGACACAGCTACTAAACCACCAGTCGTGGAAGACGATGAAGACACCATCACTGAAGTATAATGACATTTATATAAAGGCGAAATGTCTGCAAATATGTAATTGAAAAAATAAAATAAAATAAAATAAAATAAAATAAAATAAAATAAAATAAAATAAAATAAAATAAAAATAGAGAGCAACTATTTTATTTATTTTTAATGGTCATCGTCTTCAAGTTCGTCTTGTTCCTCTTCTTGCCCCATACCTTTTCGTCTCACTTGTACTGAACTAACAGCGGGCTTATTAAAAGGTGCGCTTCCAATATCTCCATGCATTTCTTCGTCTTTTTGCATTACGCTTCCTCTTGATTCAAATGCTCGTCTCTGTCGTCATCTTGCAACGCAATCCGACGTACACCTTCAACATTTACATCCTCTCCATTCCCTCCTTTGCTTTCTCCTCCTCTGGTTCCTCCTCCACTTCCCTGCTTCCTCCTCTTCTTCGCATGCTTCTTCTACCTCTTCATCCTCCTCTTCCACTTGAATAGTGCTTCTGTGCTGTTGCTGATGTCGGCTCTTCTGCTCGCCAGTCCTGAACGCACCTTCATTTTGGCGCAATGCCTTTGTGTTACCGTTGTGTTCCGTCATTGCTGGCCCGTCCCGTGTTTGTGTCTGCTCCCTTGCTCTTGGACCTGGTCTTCCGCTCCAATGGCAAACTCAACCTCTTCAATCCCTTTGGGCTTCAGCATCAGTCCAAATTCGTCTGATCGGAAAGATGCCACCACATTTGGAGGAATCAAGATTCTCCATCCTGCGGTTTCAACCCGTGTGAACATGGAATAGTCAATTCCCATCTCCTTTTTCTGATCTTCTACCAGTGCATAAGACGACCCTTTCGCTACTCGTAATGCTTCCACTGTAGGGCTTGTTGCCATAGTTGAAAGGCCCAACCCAATCTCTGCGTGTACTTGGCCATCCTTCATCGTAGCATCTTCATCATTATTAGCCAGATAGTCTACGCCAAATACTTGAATGGCTGTTGAGGCTTCATTCTGTGGCTTCTGCGCGCCTGATCCATGACCTTGTGACGTAATGGTATAAAAGGACTCCGTGGCCGTAGCGGATGCAGAAGCGACGGCAGCCTTTGTACCTATAGAGTCACATCAGAATGCCCTGCGCTGGAGCCGCCAGAAGGGACGGAATCCGAATCCGCCCTACGTTTCTTAGTCGAGGATCCCTCACAGCTTGACCTATCTAGAGAAGGTGACCTTCTCTGTCCAAGAATTGACGAAGATGATCGAGCAAGCATTATATTGGGCTGTGAATTTGATCTTTGGATAATGGCAGAATGGCTGGCTCGGTTGCTGCTACTGCCGTTGCTTGCCATCTGCATGTAAGATTGGGGCGAGCGTGGCTGATGGATCTCAATCACGAGTTTAGAACTCTCATTGAGATGCATTGCCATAGCCTCGGTCGTGTCCAGAGTCCTGGTAATAGGTATAGGATTGGAGGTAATATTAGAGTTATCTCTTCCAGGGAAACAGCTCAGCTTGATGGAGCTTTGAGGCATTGCAGCATTAAGATCGTGGTGTTGTTGATATTGAGATTGATCCAAATGGTTTTGGCTGCTACTACGATGGCTAGAGTTATAATGATGTTGAGAGTGTGAATTTGAGGAATACTGGTTCTGGTATTGCTGAAGGCTGGTCGAGTAAAGGTTCTGATTAGAATTGGAACGACTGAGTGGCTGACCTAGGCTCTTGCGCTTCAAGCCATGTGAGCGCATCCTAGCTATTGGGCCTGTAAATGAAAAAAAAAAAAAAAAAAAAAAAAAAAAAAAAATGGACGTTAGATTTGCTATAATCTATTAGATTTTTGCAACGAGCCATTATTGAAACAAGCAATACCACTATAAAAGAATACTCACGGCCATCAGAATCTACGTCGTGATAATCAGGAGAAGGATCTCTGTCGTTTTCGCTATCAAATCGATCCCTGTCATCTTGTCGTGGGGTCTGATAGTAGAGGCTTGAGGAAGGGTAGAGATGCCTAGGAGGCGGCCTACTTCCGCTCATTGGTAGCGAATGCGAGTATCTCATCGGCTCAGATTGTGGGGTCTGCATACCATTCTGGGCCCCATGAATGTTCCCAGGACCAATCCATGGTGGTGACGCTGCAGACGAGGCTGACGCGACGCCATGGCCTCCAGAAGAAAAGTGATGTTGGATGGGCTTCATAGGAGGCGTCAAGGCTTGTTGAGATGTGTTTAAATCGTCAGCAGCTTGGTGATTGGTGCTAACATCCAACGGATGCATACTATCACCGCCTGGCGAACCTGGAGGATATTGTGATCGGTTTTTTGGCTGCTGTGGCAACCTTGATGGGGCTGTAGCAGAGCTTGGTGCCAACATTGTATTCGCATTTAGTCTCTCGTACTTTTCGCGGTGCATTTGTGGATACTCCTCTACCTCGCTGGCTCGACGATCATATGGATGCGATAATGGGGATGGCAGTGGTGGAGGCAACCCCGCATGGCCGTTACTACTATATACATGACTCGAATGAGGATGGCTCATTCGTCTCTGGAAGTAACCCCCATTTGTGCTGTCGTCAATCGACTGTTTCCAGCGTGTGGTACGTTGCGTGACGAAGGAACAGCTGAATCATGTGATTGTGCCGAATTATGTTGCTGCAGTGAATGACTATACGGTGTCTCTCGGTCTGGAGATGATCGTGGAGACGATGACGGTGCGGGTGAGAGGGACTCTCCGATGTATTTGGAACCCATTACAGGCGATGGTTGCGAAGACCGATGTTCTGTACTACCAAGGTACTGTGAAGAATCACGTCGGACAAGTTGATATGGAGCAGAGCGCTGTTGATGGCTCTGTGACAGCTGAGATGTCGAATGGTTTGGATAGGCCGATCCACTGATGCTTCCACGGTGCTCGCGCTGCTGCATTTCCTGCTGCTGCTGTTCAAGATAATGCTGGTAGCGTTGTTGACCAATGTTTGGATGCGAGTGCGAGTGATGAAGCTTGTGGATTTGTCTCCCTCCTGAGGAAGAAGCCGCAGTGGAGAAGGTTGATGCTTGCTGCTGAGGCAGTGATGGGCCGCCAGGGCCTGTGGGTGTTATAGCGCGTCCATACCCGGAGCGCGAGCGCTGGAATCTTGGCTCATCCCTCCATCCATCGGTGGCGTTGATGGAACTTGAAAATGACCAGTATGGTTGGGTGCGTGTGCTTGCTGCGTTGCCTGCTCATCATAGTCCATCATCATAGACTCATCGCCCGTCATTGATGGACGACGAGCCAAATGTTGCACAGAACCGCGCCTACTTGGATTACTTTGGGATGGATGAAGTGATTGCGAGTGTCGTCGGCTCTCGGTCGTATGGTGATGATGAGTATCTTTATATAGCTCATGATCATCATGGCTCTGGTCGTGCGTTGATGTCGCTACTACTGGCGTTCCTTCCTCTCCCTCCTGTTGCTGCTGCTTTGTTGTTGTTGAAGGCGTTGCTGAAGCTTCTCAGGCGTCACTTCAGAGCTGATTCGTGGGCTACTGCCCATTTTCGATCCACGTCGAGAAGTTGATGTTTTTACCATGGGTGGTGGCGCCAGGGCCAGGACATTTTCGCCAGAGTCGTTAGTGGAACTGGATGAATTAGTTGGATCTGGCAGAGAGTGGCCGTAGACAACACCCGCGATCATGTTGCGAATTTTAGACTCTGAATATGACTTGTTACAAATCAAGCTTTTAGAAACAGGGGGTCGACACTTAAATCGAAGGTTGCCATCTGTTTCGTATGCCATAGCGGTGTATGATTTAAAAAAAAAATAAAAAAAAAAAAAACAAGTAATAGTCAGAGACCATAGGAACATCGCCTCCTTGACCTTGCCTTTGGATATTGACAATGGATATATCTTCTTTTTTCATTACTTACCTGACATGCCATCACGCTGAATGGTGTTACGGGAAAAGCATTTAGCACATGGAATCAAGTTACGGTACTGTTTGAAAAGAGCAATGGTCTCCTCTTGGAGTGCAGATCGTGGAAGCGTTGCCGTCATAGTTCGCAAGGAGGGTCGTCTAGACGTTGGCGCTGCTGTCCCTGTCGTTGCCATTGCCATTGCGGGCGCGTCTGAGGACGATTTGTTATTATTTGATCCTTCAGTTGAAGCCATATTGACATCTGATGATACACGACGATTACTAGAGCTTCCTGACGAAGGACCATTAGTTTCCTCAGAATCATCATTCGACATAACAATGTCAGGAGTACCCATGACGGAAACGGAAGAAGGATAAGATGGTGACGGGCTCGAAAGACCATGTTCCGTCTTTAGCTTCAATAATTGTTGATGCGCTGGGCTTGTGTAGATATTGCATAAGAGGGCTGCTGCTGCTGTACTAAGGGCCTTGCCGGAGCTAGAGGATGTAAAGGAGCCTCGTCCGTATATTCCATCCGATCTCCCTCAAGGTCACTCTCTAGTCCATTGCCCTTTAGTATATGGGGAGAAGACGATGCTGCTGCTGATCGCTGCTGTGCATCGTCATTGCTTTGTTCCTTTGGAGTAACTGAGGACGAGTGAAAGGATTCGTGTCTTGGCTCAATCTTGATACCGCTAGAGGGGATCTTCCTTGTAGGTGACTGTGGCCTAGATCTTGTGGTCTTGTCATTATTGTTAGACATTGATGGTTGTGTAATTGCAGAGAGCATGGCTATCTTATATTCGTATTGTCGAAGAGGAGGGTGGTCTGAGGGCTAGATCTGAGGATGGGGGCGTTATGTATGTGTTTTTTCACTTGAGAATAGACGAGCGGATAGCTTTGCACAAAAGAAGAATAGGAGTCAGTAACGAAAAATTATATGAGATCGGTTTATGCCAGTGAAGGACTAGTGTAAGAGATGGGGGAGTAGGGAGGATAGAAAAAAGAGGAAAGAAAAGGAGAGAAGGCTAGTGAAGGGAAAAAAGAGTAATAGAGAGACGCGGTTAGAAAAGGGTTCAGGATGAACAGACACAAATAAAGATGAATCTTTTATTCATCCTAAGATACACATCCAACCACATTTTTGCACTTTTCGGTATTCCCTCTTCCCACTCTTGTAAGGAACAAAAAAGAATGCATGCTGCCGTGTGCACTGATGATCGATCAGACGTATCTGAATCATGGTGGCAACGGCTCCTGAAGACAGTGGTACAATGCGCATGCAAAGATACAACAGTCATTTTGTTTCTTCTCCTATGTGAATACATAAAGGAAAAGGTATGTCTATGAAGACGGGGATAGAGAGACCGCCTTCGACCCCATAACTATAACTGAAAACCAAATTACTACTATCGTATAGTATACCACAAGAATGAGAACAAGGGAAAAGGGAGAAACGAGGACGTAATACGCAATTGACAGGAGCTGATACAGAACAAGGGGTATACATACACAGAGAGAGATTATATGCGTAAGATGAGGAAAAGATAAAAAATTGAAAAAAGAAAAGAACAAGAGTATGAACAATAAAAGAAAAGGGTAAGAAATAGAAAGAAAAGGACAAAGAAGACAGGAGAACCTGTAGGTATGGAACCAAAAAACAAAAAAACAAAAAATAAAATAAAAAGAGCAATCAAAGGATGATAAAGACAAGGAGTTGATTTTTTTTTTTTTTCCTGCAGAAATGAATGTAACCGCAGAAAGTAAAAAAATTATTTGTTTTAATGTCTTTTTTAGTTTACTTGTAGCACTGCACATTTATAAAAATAAAAAGGAAATACAAAAAGGGGGGGGGAGAATCTGCATTGGTCCATGGACATTGACAGGTGTATTTTTTTTTTCTTCTTCCCCTTGCTTCTGCCCATCTGGCGCTCAAACAGGACTCACACATCCACACGCATAAATACAAAATAATGGAAATGAGGGTGAAGCGAAACAAAGACATGAGTAGGGGGTGAGCAGCTAGCGTAGAAATGTCAAAGGCATGTTTTCAGATTCTTGTCTTCTATTCTAGTTGCCTGTTTTGGGTTTAAGATGCTCTGCGACCCCCGATGTTGCTCTTGTGCGCATAGACAAAAAGGTTGCTCTTTCTCTTGCTGGAAACAAAATGTTAGATCCATACACCGCATATAGCTCATTCACAGAACAAAGGGGGTAAAAGGGGGAGAACCATGCTATTTTGGTGAGAAGGAGATGGGGGACACATAGGGGGTGGAGAGGGAGAGGACGATTCTGTCAAGCCCTTTCTTCCTGTCTACTTCTGCGAATCAGGAACAAGGCGACAACCAAGGCATTAAAGCAAAAGTAAGCGCGGCTACTAAAGCAGATGTATCCATACACTTTAACATGATGCTATTCGCATTCAAGAAAGGAGAGGAATACACACTATGACCAAACAACAAATCAGACGAGTGTGATCGACGTGTATCCCATATTGCAAAAGTCTCTCTGATAATGGAAATCAATACCGGTATTGCATATAGATGAAAGGGAGGAAAGAGGATAGGGGGAATCTCATGCAATAAATGTATGTAAATATTAAACTGAGCAAAAAGAAGCTTTGAAGGATGATAATAATGCAAGGAGGTCCTGGTACGATAGTAAAACAAAAGAATGTACTGTACAGGTGTGTGTTATCGCTTGTGCAAGTTAGTCGTTGCAGTGACAAAGCAAGGGAAAGTATGGGTGGGTGCAAGATATTAAAAAGTGGTCATTCAAAACAAGGTCTGAAAGACAGCAGACAGCAGACAGTAGCCAGAAACCAGTTGTTGGCGTGATGTGTGTAACGTATAAATGTTTGTGCTACACAAAAAGTCCGGATAATATTTTAGATGGAACACGTTTTTACCTTGATGTATTTTCTGATAAGAGATAAAGACAATGACCAAGTAAGATGATGAAGACTAGTGATTTTGTAGCACAGTCAGCGTTTCCTTGTAGCTTGAAGAATGTATTATTGATACCAAAGGCAAATTAAGGGAGAATGGCCAATCTTTTGGATATCAATGCTGACGTTTAATTGTTATGAATATGGGATGTTATTCTGCTGTCAATGTGAGTTATCAATAAGGGAAATAACCAAAGCTTTCCTTATCAACGCGTAAAATTAAGTGAAGGAAGTGAAGAGTCGATATTGAAAGATAGCACTTGCTGTTGTTGGATAACTGTCAGTATGAAGATAATCAAAGGACACAAGGAGATTTCAAAGAACAAAAAAAAAAAAAAAAAAAAAAAAAAAATGCAGAGAAGGAAGAGGAGGGTAAAAGTGAGTAATGTATACTAATAAATAGTAGTTTCACCAGGAAGATGGGGGTAAGTAGAAATATAGTAACTGAAAGAAGGAATGCACGGTCGGAATGCGGTGCAAGGGTTTGTACGCATATACACTAATATACAAAGGACGGTGTTGTCTCAAGGAGAGATGGGGGTCCTTGACTAAAAACACAGGTCCTTTGTAGTTGGATGCACAAGAGAGGGGAACAAGGGACAAGGAGTGGATGTCAATTTGATCCTAAAGAAATAGAATAGTAACAAGAGGGATCCCCTGTCACTGTAAATAATGAGATCAGTGATGCTGATAATTTGGGATACTCAGCTAAACGCACTTTGATATCCACGGACCAATTTTCACCCATACTCCTCTCTCTCTCTCTCTCGCTCTCTTTCTCTCTCTCTTCCTCTCTTTTATCGCATGCGTACTTTTTCCTATTTCCGGATAGACGGAAAGGGGGCGAACGGGCTCTAACACCCAGAAAGAGGTGCCAAGAAAGGAGAATTGGCGCCCCAAACTGTATTGCAGACACACGCAACGAAATGACCATCTAAAAGCCCATTATCCTCTGACTTTTAGGTAATCTTTATTCTCAATTAAATCCATCCCGGTGGTCTTGACTATCTTCTCTTTGGCTTCTCTAAACCTTATTTTGTTCGTTTCACTGCTTTACGCATTAATCCGTATCAAGACGTTTTTCCATAGGAAACGGACACTTGAAATTTCATTCATGAAGATCTCGGTTCCTGAGTCGCTATTTTCGTACCTCCTCGCGTGTTCTATAGCCACATTTGAAGGCCAACGCATACATGAACTCATACATACACTCTCCTCGCGAGTAATTTTGCTGAATATTAGGAAATAAAAAAAAAATAAAATAAAAAAAAACTATCGTAAACACTTTGAACAGCCCGTCGACCCCTTTTGTCTTATTTTATCTTATTTTCTAAAGGACGTGTTGATGTTAACCCTTGGACAAAAAAAGAGAAAAAAAATAAAAAAGCAGTATAATGATGTACATGTCCCCTTCAAACACACAGAATACTTAAGCTTAGCAGCGGAGAATTTCCATTAAGATAAATATATTTATATATATACTATTATACATAAATATAATAAATGTGTGTATTGCCTCTCCCTCTTTTTTTTTTTTTTATCCCTTTCGACCTTGCAGGTTAACATAACCTTAATTATCGATCGAGGGTGCATGTCATTTGTCGCGGTATTTAAACACGCACATTTTTCCTTCCCTATTTTCCATTGCATCCTTGAATATTTTAAACAACCACACAGGGGGAGCTCAAGCATTAACTGATTATGTTGGAAGAAAAGTTTGCATGGTCGAAGGGAGAGAGGGTCTGCCCTATTTTTTTTTTTCTGTTTTCCCTACTTCCGAATACTATTGGATTATCAAGAGCAACTGGAATCGGTGAGTTGGAACATCTCCCTATTTATCTTCCTGAGAAATACAATACTATGCTACCGAGTCATGGTTGCACACTGCTAATTATAATAATGGAGTGAGCATGAACGTAGACTTGCTTACCAGAGGAAATACCATTCTTTTTTTTTTTTTTTTTTTTTTAAAAAATTTGTGGATATTTGTCTCTATTCGATTTGCATGATGAAACATCGGTTGTTGATATTCGAGCTGACTATGTGCATTGTTTTAGCACACTTCTGTGTATGGTCTTGATTCTAGAGTGGTGCTCCAAAGAAAAGAAGAGATGGTGGCCGTCGACGTCTAAAGGCTGTCCTTGATTTATAAAGTAAGCTAGTCTACATTGAGTAAAATGCAAGAAATTTCAGGAGCAATAACAGCCTCCCTCTCTCACTGAAAGATATTCTACCACATTTACAAAGCTCCGTATGTCCATGTCAACAACGTATGGGTTTTGCTACATCGCTAGTCATGTCGTACAATGCCAAAAACAAAACAAAACAAAACAAAAAAAGTCAAAGCGCAACAACGACAACTATGGCAAGGTGTCATGCATCTGGCTCTGGCAAATCCGATCGCACGAAATCAATGGTCACGCGCACCGCATCAATTGTTCTGTTTCCTCACAAGAGTCTCAAGAGCTCAAGAGGCTGTGTGAATACTCAACTTCATGCAAATGTCGCGTAACGATTTAGTACGGCTGTGTCTCTTTATTAGTATAGACCATGATCACGCCATTCGTTGCCTTCAATACCTACAGAGACTCTCTCTTTCTTTCTCTCAAAGAAACTAATAACAATACCAAAAAAAAAAAGGCATACAGGCATCAGAATAAAGGTGAGAGCACTTTAGTAATTATTTTTATCTGACCTAAGTCAACATAGAGGGATCAAATGCCTAGAAATGAGGTGATGGATGAGAGCATGATGAATGTGCGCTTTATATTCATATACTATCATATACTATACTCATTAACGAAAATACGTAAATATTATACTATCACTAACAAGAGCCATCACATTGTCTTGTCCTAATGGAGCACAGTGTTCATTTTTGGTTCTAGTCCCTCAATCCTTTCTTGGCTTATTATGACAACTCTTTTTTTTGGAGAAAGTTAGAATGCATCAAACTCATAGTCCCTCAAGACAAAAAAAAAAAATAGAGAAAAAGACTTATAGGACGATAAAGGATTGGCAAGGAACTCAATGGAAAATACGAAAGTAAACAGAAAAAAAGACTTGAATGAGCGCGGGAAGAGCACGAGCATTTTGACAAGAGGGAGGAAGCAAGAGCCAATCCTTGGGAAATGAAATGGTCATTTGCCCAAGGGTACAAAAAATGAGACGAATGTCCACTTCTTTCTCTTTTCTTCTTTTCTCTTTCTCACCTTTACACGCACTCATACCTTTCTATCAACTTCACCTTCACGCACATTCCTATATACTCTATCTTTCCACAAGCTTTATTCATAACGGCAATCATTTAACACCAAAAAAAAAAAAGTATACATTTAATAAAAAAACATAAAAAGTCGTACAAAGAAAAAAGCAATGTCTGAACCAAGTAGCCATAAACCGACCCCCTTTGCCCAGTTCTGCTTCTTCAAGAGTCTGTCTTACTCACTCTTTGAGGATGATTGGATCAACATGGTCGAATCTTGGCAAGCCATGGTTCTGTCAACGCACCCATTCCCGAGTTCTCACAAAACATGACTCCGTTCTTTGCCAATGCGCCACGTCTGCTTCCTGTCTTCCATCGCTATATGACCTACGCTGAACAGGTATAGTATTCATAAGCCATTCTGTATCTGCTTTCAGTTCACCTAATTTCCCTCGTATCCTGAGCTATGTCCTCTCCCCGTATCAGGTGTTTTTCGACAAGCTCGATAAACGAATATTTTGTCCAGACGCCACCTTGCATGTTCTGTTCACCCCCAATTTTTTTTTTAGTCCTCGTGACCTTTAAAATAGAATGTGTGCTTTTCCATAATTGGAATGAAACTAAAGCTGTAATACACGAACTAATGTTTGATTCATGCAAACGCTATTACACTTTTAATCTTCAGGATCCAGAGTTCCTTTCCATGTTGACGAATGTTCTCATGTCAACCCCTCTTTTAATCAAGGTCCAGCATATTCTTCAGTCTACGGAGCTCTTTCTGGCTTACGTCGTGGCCCTCAAGCTCGATGTCCCATCGGCCTCACACACCCAGGTCATGCAGTCTCTTCAGACTTTCTTGTCATCTCTCCCCGAAGATAAACGCTTGGAGATCCAGAAGGTCTTCGCTGAGGAGGAGGCGTCCGACTCCATGGGTATGTCCTTGACCCCTATACAATCTCGTGTTTTCTACGGCCCTCTTATTTTTATTGGAAATGTACAAACAATTAATTTTTTTTATTTTTTTTTTTTTATTTTTTTTGCATTATTTCTTTCCATGTTGCAGGCTTTACACCAAATACATTGGATACTGCTTTGCAGCTGCTTCACGCAGATACTCAGCTCTACATCGATATTCTGTCGACTCTACAGCTGAACCAGACCGAGAACATGCCATGGGATGAGGTGTGTGAGCAAGATCAAAGGTCTTGTTTTGGCAAAGAAGCCACATGCTTGGGAAGGCATCGACCAATTCCTTCAGAGCTTGCATTGGGCACCCTCCTTCCCCTAGTGCTGAGGATATGGAAGCAGACAATGATGATGATGATGATCATATCATTGAGATGGTTGAAGGGGTCGACTACTACTCGGATGAAGATGAAGATCAAGAGTTGGGATCGTTCCTTGAGAGCGAAGAATACAACAAGTATTTTGCGGCGTTCTTGCAGGATGTTCAAGATATCCAGACGGGTCGCGATGAGCTTGTTGATGATTTCGGCAAGATAGCCGTCACCGCTGACAACCGCCAGGCAGTCGAGTCTTGTTAAAAGTTCAGATTTACTTCCGGTCCTAATCATCGAGACCACTGTTTACCATGCTCTGAATTCGTCTGTTCGACTTTCTCAGCAAACTCGGTAAAAAAAAAAAAAAAAAAAAAAAAATGGAATTATTATCAGAATCAACGCTTTCAATACCAAACAACTTACCACGGGATTAGTCAGTAACATGGACTGTAGTAGAGGATAAAAAAAAGAGCTACTTGCTCAATGGGAAACAGAAAAAAAAAAAGAAAAGACCAGCCTTCAATTCAATTATTCAAGTGAGAAAAAAAAAAGGGAACCATAATCAATAACCGCGACTCCAAGGACTTTTTAAAACCAATCAGAAGAAAAAACAAAAAAAACCAACAAAAAATCTCCTCGAGAATGTGACGTCTAGATGAGAAGAAGGAGCATATGGATCCCCATCAGCCTTCATCAATCTCATTTTTCATCCACCCAAAAAAATTATACCCTCCATCAATTCAATCCTTTGCAATTTCTTTTTTTTTTTCTTTTTCCCTTCTTTTCTGTAACCTTTTTTTCCGTTTTTGGTTTTGTATTTTAGTCGCGCTTTGTTCCTTGTAGAAAAAAAAATATGTATTCATTTGTCGCGTTGTTTTTTTTGTCTGTAACTGTTTTAGTTGTCCCTTTTTTTTTTTTATTGTATTGTTGGTTAACACCTTGTTTCCATTGTAACAGCATGCTCTTAATAAAACTACAAAAAAAATTGTAAAAGTGATTAAAAAAATATAGTTCATTATTGTTTATCAAGTGCACTTGTATGGCGGTAGGTATCTATTCAATAGTACATGGACGCCGCTTGAGACTGCCTATCAATACATGTGTTTAATGGTGTTTAAAATCCAGGCGACCTGTCCTTTTTTTTAGGGGCGAATGGGTACGTGTACATGTATAAAGCCTATATTATTATACTTTATTTCACTTCATTTTGTTTTCTTTTATATATATATGAATATTCCCTCATGGGGAGCCAGGTGAATAAGCATGCAAGCATGCAAATAATGTTGGCGATGCTTATTTTTAATATGTTTATACAAAGGCGAAGGCGAAGGCGAAAGGCGCACCTAAATTTGGAAAAGTGAAAGCAAAAAGGGCTCACTCTGGGGGCTGTGTCACCATGGAAAAAAGATAAAGAGTGGGACAAAGCTCCCTTTCTAAAAACCAAGTTCCCAATGGTTAGGATTAGGATCAGAATGGATTGGTTTGGATTGGGTGGTGTGTTGGACTGAACCATACAACAATTGACCGGGACTGATAGAATCGAGCTGGGCTGAGAAAAAAAAAGCTCTGAGTTTTGGAAAGGGGAGAGGAAGGTTAAAACAGCTTTTGCACTGGATTGGACGGCAAGAGACTTTCCTTAAAACCCACTTGTAAAGATGCTGTCCCTCCATCTGAGGTTCTAGAGCATCATGATGCCTTTTGAATATATATACAGCCAGTCCAAATGTTACGACTCCGACTAATTTAACCAATGCATAAACTGTATAAATATTTATATAAATATTTATATACACCCGGTACATGTATACTTCAGATACTGTTCTTTGATGAGCGTTTTATTTTTGACCCAATCAAGAACAAAAAAACGATATGAAGCAGCGTGACCAGAGTGCTGGAACTTAATCGACCCAAAAACTAACTTTGTAGAATGAACAGCATTTGAGCAGTCGCTGAATAATTGCATAAGGAGGGGGGACCTTTTTTTTTTTTTTTACTTGCAACATGAATATTTTTTTACAGGAATAAAAAAGGCATTTGTAGATCTTGCCGAATAGTGATGTGAGTAAAATACCTCATTGCTTTAATTGAATGCAGAACTGATATGCATGATCACACTAAAGAATGAGAGAGAAAGGAAAGGGTCATTAAAGCCTCCCTCTTGTTGATGGCAAAAGGGCGAATGAACCCTCTCACTTGTTGTTTACCCTAATCACAGATGTCCATTGTCCATGGCCCAACCACAATAATACAAAAAAAAAAAAAATTATTAACCCGAAACGGGCTTTGGATGTATTGAATACAGCTCAAAGTCCCAAATGTGTGTTTTGGTCACAGTGCCTTCGTCCGCGACTGGAACATGTTTCATCATACGTACAAAAAAAAATAAAAGAGCTTTGTCTACTTTAAGTGTCGATTCTCGGAACGATGACGAAGGAGAGCGGGAGCTCTACAAGTTAATCAAGTGATGGGCAATAATGATATAACAAATTCATACTAATAGAAAAGTTAGTGTATTTGATATACCATAAACTGTGACCCTCACTTGTTTAAAATTATATTACACAGGGCTCCTGACCTGGCTTTGTAAAACAACTCGCTTCAAACAGTAATCGCCTTACGGCTCTATGGTGCCTGATCTCATTGAAATCGGGAAAGCAGTTGGAAAAATGAATATGAAGTTGTAGTGTAAACAAAAAAAATAAAAAAAACGCCTAAACGCCTGTATTAAACAGCTGTTAATCCTCAGAACATAATGATGCATATTTACGGTTTGTATCCCCTGGTAGAATAATGCTGAGTGATTAGACAATATATAATATAATGAAAAGTAAAAAGAAGCGTAATGATACCTTGACGATAACTGCTTTGATCTGCATCAATTAGTAATCCATAAATTTTTGGATCAACGGGTAGCAAAAGTAAGGCAGGAAAGGGACAGTAATAGCTGTAAATCTTTGTGATCATCCAATTGGTAATACGTCTTCGCTACAAGTGATCATTTATAAGGTTATGATATCCAAACGTGGCCATGAAGGTGTCTGTTTTCTAGGTTAGATTATCCAAAATATGGACACCCTTTGGTTGTAGAAAACATTAATAAAAATCAGTAAAAATGCCCTAAAGTTTAGATTAGACAATAGATCATCTTTAAAGTCAAAAAAAAAAAAAAAAAAAAAAAGAAAAGAAAAACGAGGCAGTAGAGAAGAAGGAAGCAGCAGCAGGGAAGAAGGAAGCAGCAGCAGGGAAGAAGGAAGCAACAGCAGGATAAAGTGCTAATATTAGTCCTGTAAGGACTAACCACTCTATGCCATTCCCTCTATGTATTTCTCGAGGTTCCTTATTCCGAACCAAATTACGAATAGCAAATAGCATCAAGGAGCCAGACAACAGTTCCTTCCCTCTTTTTGAAAAGAGGACGAAGCCCTTTGACCCCTGATCCAGGACCGTACCCTTTGAATTTTTGATCTGTTCATTATATTAACACAACCCTGGAACTAAGAATAACTCTCCCTCCCCTTTCAACCCTCCTCTCGAACAAATCCTGTTTTCACAAGCATGATCTAGCAGGGACTATGCATGATAAGAACAAAAGGAAGGCAGATATATAAAAGATCTGCGACAGGAATCATGAGCCAAGATAAAACAATGAATGAACTATTCTTTTTATTTTCTATTTTTATTATTTTAATCAATTTTTTTTAAAAAAAAAAAAAAAAAAAAAAAAAAATCATTTCAAAGACGTTATTGGTTACGAAGTCGTCGCAGATTTCTTGAAGATCATCTCAACATATCGATATCTTACCCTTACTCCCAAATTCCTTTCATTTTTTTGGTTCTTTGGTTACTGCATTTCCACCGCTTCATATCGGAGCCAAGTTAGTCCGAGGTTAGGCATTGCAGGAGAGGGATTTATCTTGGAAATGAAAGAGTAATCAATTCAAGCTAGCAGATGTTTATTAGTTGTGAAAAAAAAGAACATTTATATTATATACATGTTCATATGGGGCCAGTACCAAGGAAGACAAGGTTTTGCCTGTGTCTGCAGATGAATCCTTGTTTCCAAAGTAAAAAATAGTTTGCTCCGCATATTTTATTTTATTTGGTATTTTCCACGGTGAAGTTGACATCTTTCATTCATTGGAGGTGGAGGGCGAGGAAAAAAAACAAGAAAAATAGTGAGTACATTCAATTTCAACACCTAATGGGCAACAGCAATAACAATAAAAAAAAAAAAGACTATTTTGTAAACAAATAAACAACTTGGCTTGAAGCTTGTAAACGTAACTTGCATTGAAATGAGAGATATGAGACAGACGAGGAACATGACTGGATGTTGTTCTCACACCCTCTGCCTCCATTATAAAAATATATTTAAATCATTCAATTACAAATCTCTCTTCTCTTTCTTTTCTTTTTTTATTTTGGATTCATCACTCACACCCCACTTTTCATTGGATCCATCCCATCATTGTGGCTGGACACTTTTGTTTCTTTCTTTCTTTCTTTTTTACGCTTCAACTCGTGGAACAATTCATCCAACGAATGATCCTCAACTGATCAATTCTCTTCTTCTTCCACCCATAGACATTCGCTCTCCTCTCTTTCACTATATTTTATCACACGCATAACAGCAGATCCATTCCGACATCAGCCTCATTGTCTTCTTGTCCATTAGACACTTACACATACCCTTCATTCCTCTCTTTCATTTCTCTCCTTCACTCCCTCACTTTTCTCTCTTCCATTCCCTCTCATTCACTCCTCACTCTCTACTCATACTTCATAAATATTTTCCTTCTTTCTTGCCCAGTAAACGTTGACGTATGAATCCGTACCTCTCGGCCACTGTGGCTCCGCAGCCTCACCCTTTCCCTTCCACTGGTCCACATGACCCGCAAATGGTACCATCTCCTCCATCGATGTACCAACAGCACCAGACTGTTCCTTCTCAACTTTCTTTACAACATCAACATCAACAGCAACAGCAACAGCAACATCAACATCAACATCAACAACAACAGCAACAGCAACAGCAACAGCAACAGCAACAGCAGCAGCAGCAGCAGCAACAACAACTAACCACCACTATGAGTGCTGCAAACACAATTCTGTTCCATGACAACAGTAGCAATATCAACAACTGCCATCTCACAACAGCATTCTACTCAACCGCAGACTTATAGCACTTATTCTTCAAAACAAAACTGGATATCCTTACAGGTCCCAATGCCATCGATAACCCCATGGCTCTTCAAATTAGTCCTGATGGTACATTCGTAGCTCCTCGCTGGGGAGCATATGATCTCAGCAACCTGCCTCCTGTCCAGATTGCTCCCAGAGCAAAAAATATCAATGTCGTACCTCGCACACCAGTCGACTATACTGTTCAACCACATCCGTCCATGATGCTTCAGCGCCAACATCCACTACAAACTCAGCAACAACATCAACAGCATCATTTTCAACAGCATCAACAAGAAATGCATTTGAGCACTCAGGATTCTGTACTACATCCAACAACAACAACAACAACAGCAGCAGCAGCAGCAACAACAGATGGCGACTAATAATCAATATGTATTTAGCACTCCACCAGTAGCATCATTATCTCCATCCGACATTGCAATGGTATCTCCACAGCAGCCACAGCTGTCTACCTCTCCTAGATATCTCAAGACAAGCTGTTCGCCCGAGATGTCAATCAAGACTTCTTCCTGTCGAGCAACAGCTCTCATGGGGTGGGTCTACGTTCTCTTATTTATTTTATTCTATTTTCATCCTCCCATTCCTCTTCTCACTTTCATCCCTCATCGGTGTATGATCACCCTGTCAGACACAGCACTCTTTTTAGTTTTTTTATGGGGGCTGAAGAAAAGGACATATCGTGCTCTCGTGCCGATTATCCTTCATCATCCCTCATCTTATTTAATCTTTGTCAGACTACGGTGACGCCCATGATCGTCCCTCTCCCTTGAAATGATCCCTTTACACAATTCAATCCCTATCATCTTTTTATGCACTGCTTTTGAAGACAGAAATTTTAACAGAGCTTGTTTACTTGCCTCCGTTTTTTTTTTACGCTCACTCAACATCTAGCCTCCTGGGAAGAGGCCATTGCTCAACAAGACGACTCATATGCTACCCCGGCCCACACTCACACAAGCTTCGACGAAGCCTCACTGGTAAAGAAAAAAAAAAAATTGAAGGCTGTAGTTAGAGTGCAGTAATGTGCTCATGGTGTCTCCAACCCTAACACGCCTTATTTCATGCATATTTGTCTATTAAATTCTAATTAGGAGGAAGCCGAGTCCATGAGTACAAAACCCTTGAAGGTCTTCACCTCATCTAAAAAGGACGATGATGGCGAGTTCCGCAAGGGTCAACAGTTCTACCTCAATATCCAGCTCAACCCAGAAGACCGGGATAAGTATCACTTCCTCCGAATCCCGACAGAGAACATTGTCCCCCTTGTAGAACAGACTCCACGGGACGCATTGGACTTAACGCTACAGGAAAGAGAAGCGCACAAACCATGTCGACACCCACCAGCGCTCAGGAGGAAGATGTCTTGTCCTTGAAATTAACCACTTACTTGGAACCCGAGCATCGTGTTGTGGTGCCATGTGGTCGTTGTAAAGACAAGCACCAGAAATCCTTCGTTTCCACCCTGGTGTGAATGGAAACCTATGATTGACGAGAACGGCATGGTTGCGCTCCGTGACGGCCATGTCAAACTGATTGCCTCCGCTTGGTGCGCTAGCACATCTCATCACCGTGGTCCCGGCACCAAATTTAGCTTCCAGGTTGAGTTGACTGGCATGACCCGTCACCAGTCGGAGCCTTTACTGATTTATGAAGGCAGTAGTGACGAAGTTGAAATCTATGCAAGCCATGGTCGCGATAAAGGGGCTCGCATCGCCATCAAGAACCTTGAAAAGGCTTCGTAAGTTTTGTTTTTTATTATCTGCAAAATGATGGGTCATGTTTTACTTTCAGTGACATATTCATTTGAAAATCTAAATTGAACATAATTTTTTTTTTTTTTTTTTTTTTTTTTCTCGATGGTTTCACCAAAACAAGCAGGAAAGCACAGTCACCAGCATTCCATGAGCGTGGTCATACTGGCCCACCTTCTCCAGCAAAGACAACAGCTTCGAGTCCTCCGAGCTCGCCCTCAACATCAATGGCTCAATATGAGTCTGGTCCTGCAAAGAAGAGGCGAGAAGACCCTCCATTGACTCCACCCATGATCGACTCGGATATGCCTCCGACTATCAAAAGTTTGGAGCCAAGGAAAGGCCCCATCTGTCGGGAGAATCATGTCATCATTATTGGTTCCAACTTTTCACGAGGCATGACACCTATGTTTGGACGAGAATACGGCACAGTTGTCGACATCAACCCTTACTATATCGAGTGCACAACCCCAAGATACCCCAATCCTGAGACTGTCCGCATTTGGATCTTCCACAACGAAACATACATTCCGACTGACAAGACATTTGAGTTCACGGATGAGCAAGCGCAAAGCGATATGGAACAGTTGTTAAGAAACCTGATTCAGGACGGCGAGAGTGGCGATGCTGGCTCGTATCTGTCCCTTTTGGAACGCATCGCTGGTCTTCCACCATCAGCAGACATCTCTGGTCAAACACAATCTAATGGTTCAACTATGTTGCACAACAGTGTCATTCTTGGCTACCAAGTGGGTGTCAATCTACTGATTGAAGAGGGTATTGAACTAGACATTGAAGATGATTCTGGCTTGACAGGTAATTTAGACTTTTTTTTATTTTATTTTATTATATTTTTCTTGTGTGGACTCATATATCTTTTATACTTCACGAATTTTCACATTAACATGTTTAAACTTTTATTTTTTCTAGCCTTGGATTATGCTATTTTCACCAACAAAGTGGAGATTACACGGATGTTACTTGAAGCTGGTTCAATGCTTTCTATGGAAAGACTTGAAAACTTGTCTCTCTCGCCTTCTGAGGAAATGTCAACACTGCTAAGAGATCTCTGCAACGTCAGCCTTCCTGAGCGCACTACTCTATTGGGGCCAGAGCTACCACAAGCAGTGACACCTATCGAGACTTATGATGAAGCATCCGTGGGAGGTATGATCGAGGACACAATTTTGGAGGAGACCAGGGCAGAGTCGAATCAGAACTATCATCCTCAACTCCAGTCTTCTCATCCTCATCTGCTCAAAGAATGACCCGCCCTCTATCTATTGCAACAGTCTCGACACAGTCTACTGGCATGATGTCCCTTGCACCCACCATGTCCACCATGGCTCTTTCTACAACCTCATCAACACAATCACGCCCTTCCATTCCTCTCATGGGCAGTCGTGCTGCTAACCAGAGCTCCAAGGGTGGGTTAGAGAATATCTGGCAATGCGCCAAAAAGGGTAATCTGGATCTAGTTCGCTGTCACTTGGAGAAGGAGCCTGGCTTGATTAACATGCCATGGAAATTTGATGGTCGATCTGTACTAAGCAGTGCTTGTGCTTCCAGTCAACCTCTCGAGCTTGTCGAGTTCTTGGTCCAGCATGGTGCGCAAGTAAACAGCGCAGACAGTTTCTATAAGCGAACAGCACTTCATACTTTGTGTGAGGAGGGTGGTCTTTCCCAAGATGACTGGCGCATTGTGGTCTCGCAAGCAGATCAAGATGCAAATGAGCATGATGTCTTGGCGGCCATGCGCTTCCTCTTGGACCATGGAGCTGTGGTTGATGCCAAGAACCATTGGAAGGAAACAGCGCTGATGCGTTTGTTTTCAGGACGGGATTGCCCGTTGATGGTACAGGAGCTCTACAGTCGAGGTGCGGACTCGAGACTTAAAAGTTCCAAGGACGCGTATCCACATGGCACAGCATTATGTTATGCTGCATTCTATGGTCGTATCAAGTCACTCAAGTGGATGCTGGAGAATGACTTGTTGCTGAACGACGAGACCAATGTGAAAGATGCACTTCGATGGGCTAAACTGAGCAAAGGCGAATCCTCGCTAGTCAGCTCTCAGGGAGGAGGAATGCACAGTGCTAGCATGGTCAAGAGAAAAGAGGAACGCAAGGCTGAAGCCATCCGTTTGCTGGAGTCTTGGTTGGGTGAGAATGGTGCCTCGCGGCGTAAGGACTTGGCGAAGGAGATCAGTGCCCAATCAAGTGAAGACTGGTGGCGTCGCATGAGTGGAATCGTGGAAGATGTTCAGAATAAGAAGTTGATTGAGATGGATGCCTCTGAATCTACACCAACTGCCGCCACTGCTCTTGCTAGTCCAAAGATGCCCTCAGAGATGCTTCCTCTGTGGAGAGAGGTTCAGGGTCTCTGTGAGAACCTGTCGCAGAGTGTCGACATGGCTTCCAGCCCTGGTAGCCGTTTGAAATGGAACCCATTGACGATCTTGCGCAAGTAAAAGCAAGGTTCCAGCGCATACACAAATGTGTATGATTGTGATACCCCCTTTTTCTCTATCCTCTCATTGTTATTTCTAGCTCGCACCTCTTATTTCCTCACATCAATCTTTTTCTTTCTCTTTTGTCTCAATATGTATTTTATTTTTTAAATTAATTCAGTCAGTATTAAATATCACAATAAATTTCGAAATACTCTTTTTTTTTTTAAAAAAAAAAAAAAAAAAAAAAAAAAAGATGTTCACTACAACTACTATGATCGTCCTTTAACATTGCCGCAACGACTTAATAGGACCGCTGGGCAGTCCATTAGTGCTGCAAAACTGGTTAAAGTCCATAATGGAAATGTAGACATGAACAAGCCGGTGTTTTTGTACGCGAGAAATGTGATTGTTGTGTTCTACGATCTCTTTGATTTTTAAAATGCATTCAGTTTGAACTTGTAAAATAAGCCGGTTTCGGTACAGGGCGCAACCCAACCTCTCACAAAGAACGCATTTCATATAAGGCCATGAGCAGAATCGCTCTGCGTTCGGAGAAGGACAGAAAATAAACATGCTCCCATCCGCATTGGCGCCTGTACCACGTCCTTCTAATCATAACATCTGTTATTAAAAAAGATGCATCCACCAACATCTCTACGGCTAAATTGAAAAAGAGATTGGTCATCAACGAGGAGGAGAGGATCTAGTATACCAACAATGCTATAATAGCTTTCGATGATTATAGGATATTCATTAAAAAAGGATCTCGTTACCAAACACGACTACTATTTACAATATTAATCTTGGTATGTTTGTCAAGTTCTCAGCTGGGGTTCCCATCAACACAAGACAAATATATGATAAAAATACAAGTCTCCAGGCGGATAGTTTGTTGTTACGCCAAAAAAAAAAAATCTAAAATTATCTCATTCATTCATTTTTTTTTTTTTTTTTTTTTTTTTTGTTCCTTCCTTTGTGAGCACGCTTCTTAGAAGGAAATTGTGATCATGGTGTCGGAATGTCTGCCGCCTAGTAAAAGGAAAAGAGGAATACACCATCACTATCCAAGGGGTTAGAACTTACTTCTTCTGAACATGTGGGGAAAACTAACTACTGAAATTATCCTTGACCAATTAGTGATAATCTGGCCCTGGATTTTTTTTATTTTTTATTTTTTATTATTTTATTCGGAACCTGTCCCGGATCTTCGAGAGAGGCGTAGGAAGAAGATTTTTTAGAGACAAAAACAATATTCACGCGGCCATTGAAAGAAAGATTACAAATGCAAACCTTAATATCTTTTCGAATAAAAAAAAGTAAAGGACTCTCATCCTCTCTCATCCTCTTTCTTTCCTTCCCCTATGTCTCGCTCACTTCTCTTGATTGATATGATAGATGGAGAGAGAGAGAGAGAGAGGAGAAAAGACATCAGAATGATAGTAAATGTAAAGGCATGAGATTATGAAGAGAGAGAAGAAATCATGCATGTATACTGCACAATGCATCGCGAGCTCAAATACTGGTTTTTTTTTTTTTTTTTTTTTTTTTTTTTTGTGTCGTGTGTATGTGAGAGCCCTACTTCGTGGTATTGACCAAATATATATTTGATCGTTTGAGCTGACATCCCATTCTGGGTATCCAACTGGACTTTTTTGATCAATTTTTGCCCAGACGCTCAAATTCACGGTTAATTATTAAGTCTTGATCCTCAGAGGTTGCAGCGCCCCATGTAAGATTTGAAAATTGAGCATTGTATTCAACCCGAGCTGGCAGTAACTTTGTGAACAATCAAGATAATAGTAAGATAGACAAACCTCATGAAAAAAAAAAATAAAAAAAATAATAAAAAAAAAAAATAAAAAAAAAAAATAAAAAAAAATAAAAAATAAAATAAAAAAAAGGTTTATTGCATCGCCGTTCCTGGCCTGGCACTTACTTTTATTTTTATTTCTTTTCTTTTTACCGCCCACCTTCCCTTTCCCCCTTTCCTTACCCGACAAACTCTCAAAAAACCGCAGCTTTACGCTGTCCCTTCCTCTTGCGCTTGCACACCGCATTGACAACTTTCTTCCTCGGAAAACTTCCCTGTCTCTCATTCTCACTTAACGATCTCCTCCATTAACGGTTCCTTGCGTTATCATCACAAAATATTACATAGCCTATCGTAATTTTTGGCGTTCATTCTTCCTCCCCCTTTTTTTTTTTCCTCATCTAACTGCTTGTCTGCCTGCCTACTTGCCATCTCCAGAAAAAGTCTTAAATACTTTTCAACCTCCATTTGCATTTCTCGTCTTTTTCACCAGACCCGAAATTTCACCTCTCTTCTCAGCTAAACACCATCGACACTTGGAAATCATTTTATTTTTTCCTCCTTCTTCTTTTGACAATGGCAGCCGAAAAGAAGCCTATGCAGACCAAGAACAAGGTCTTGATCGCCGGTATCTCCCTCATCATTGTAGCCGGTATCGCCGTTGGTGTTTACTTTGGTGTCCACAAGAACAGCAGCTCGAGTGAGAACAAGGCTAACGAGTCAATAGGCGGTGCAACGGTACCCCTACTACATCTGCACCGCCCACATCCACCACAGCTGTCACACCTCCGGATCAAAAGGGAACCATGATCAATGGTACCCTGTTCCCTTACTATAACTTGACTGGTGAGGCCCCCGCACCCGTCGGCTTCCTGGTGTAGTCTATACCACCTGCAAGACCCCTGGAACGTACTCTATCTCATACGATGATGGCCCCTCTGAGGTAAGCCTCTAATATAATATGACTCTTATTGCTTTCTTACCTCTCTTAATCATCCTCATATTAAAAATCAAAGAGGCATGTCTTTTTTCAGACATGAAGATGGAGCCCAAATTTGGGTTTTGGCGTAGGAGGAAATATTCTATCCATCCTCCTTTTTCTGATCTCCTAATTCTATCGAATTGACCTTTTTAATATTTTATTTATGGATCCTCAAAAAACAAAAACAAGAAAAAAAAAAAAAAAAAAAAAAAAGTGAAGGGCATTGTCCGCCCTATTTTTACAACGCTTTTTTTCCTTTCTTTTTCCACCCCCTATCTCCGGTCTCAGAAAAAAAATGTTTTTTTTTTTTTTTTTTTTTTTTTAACGCGTTGATTTGAATTGTTTACGAATTCCTGTTAATAGTACACGCACGAGCTCCTTGACATGCTTGACAAGGAGAATCTCAAGGTGACGTTTTTCGTGAACGGTAACAACCAAGGTTGTATTTATGATCCCAAAGTTCAATCAGTCCTCAAGCGCGCCTTTGAATCCGGTCATCAAATCGCATCCCACACTTGGTCTCATCCTCAACTGCCTAAACTGTCCGTTGAAGGAATCACGACTGAGATGACGCGTTTAGAGCAAGCCTTCCAAGATATTCTGGGTGTCGTTCCCCGATATATGCGTCCTCCCTATGGCGCTGGAACATTCGGCCCTGCAGACACAGATGCCAAGGTTCAAACCACACTCAAGAATTTAGGTTATGTCATCACTACCTGGGATATTGCAACCACCGATGCGGATATTGATGATAACAATGCGGTCCATAAATTGTCTGATGAACAGTTGATGAAGGTGGAACAAGGCCAAGTCACTTCTGTGGTTGAGACGGGTCCAAAGGGCGCAACTCATATGCAGTTGATGCATGATACTTATATGCGTACAGTTCGATTGATGACTCCTTGGACCATCAACTATGCCAAAAATTTGGGCTACAAGCTGGTTCCTGTAGCCACGTGCTTGGGAGACGAGGACCCAAGAACTTGGTACTCCCGAATCGGACCTCCTTCTCCTAATCCTCCTACCACCTGCACCAAGTAAAAAAGTAAAAGGAAAAAAGTCAGAAGATAGAGAGATACATTTATGACCTAATTTAAGCAATTTTTATTTATTAAAAAGAAAAAAAAAAAAAAAAAAAAAAAAAAAAAGAAATGGTCGTTCTAATAGCCTCGTTACTACCTATCAGCACTGACAAAATCTTTGACGTAGACTGAGAGTTGAAGGTTTTTATTTGGAATCTTCATACATGTTGAAATATCTGGGAAGTCAAACCGGAAGCATTCAAATTGCAAGTGAAATGAACGAAGCAGCTATGATGTTAATGGTGAAGATAGTGGGTAGATCCTAAGGTTACAGTTGCCATGCCCACGTTGGAATCGTTCTAACTATGGAAGGGGAACCATTTATGAAGCAAAGAATCAAGCCATATCTCACATAACAAAGAGAAAGAAGGGAGGACTCTGCATACATCCTATTTGATCCGCAAGGGCGCTGATGCCAAGCACTCTCTATCCTTCAATAGTAGCTTCTAGTTTAGATATAGCAGAACTATAAATATCAGGATTACTTTCCACGGATTTGACAAGGTTGCGAGAGTTCAATTGCATGAGAGAAGCCCTAACAAGGTCTAGCGTTAATCCGAAAGAGCCTGATGGAAAATGTAAAAGGGTTAAAGTAGATAGTCCTTAATACAAGGTTGCCAAAACCTGGGTTTCCATATATATATATATATATATTTTGATCACATGACTTTTGGCGACGCGAATCACTATCTTATGCTTTTCAAAGACAGATTGCTATCGAGCGTGCCAAACTACACCAGGCGGGTGTGGATATACCGGATTGAACATAGGAGCAGTAGCGCTCACCGATGAGGAACCACATCGCTAACTTGAAATATACAACACCTAATGCTCTCACTTTAATCTACACATAATCTACCGGTTGTGTATATTGATATCACATTCGGAACTTCAGACAATAGTTTCCTTAGGCGTAGTTGATTGGCTTTTAGATAACCCCATCTAGCAAATTAGATGAAGTCTATTCCTCATCACACCCTAGAAGATTCTTTGCTGTCCGTAATTTGGGGGCCCGTGCCGATCTCCTTCGCTCCTATCGCTTCTGTTGTGCTCAGTACTCACCGATGGGCCCCTATCTTCACTTCTACCAAACAATTTTGGTGGCTATATTAATGTACCAATATGCTACGACGTATGGAAAAAAAATGATGCTATTGTTGCTTTAACATTACTTGAACGAAGCGAGCCAACAATGGAATCACTCCAATACTTTATTCGCGTCCTTTCCGAGGTTGTTTTGCCCGTCAATAAAAAGGAGAATCATATGTTTAAAGCGTTGTAGACATATAGATACATTTGCATGTGTACGCTCTATTTGAGTAAGTGCTGGGCAATTCTGATGCCAGCCTCATCATTATGGTAGGACAGAGCTGCACACACATGAAGCAAGTATAACGCTTTATGAATGAGGATATGAGAATGTATACATGTAACCACGCAAGAGGCCAAAGAGGAGGCATAGGAAACTATTTTTATTTTATTTTCATCCCTTCTTGCATAGGGAGACATGGGAGTAAATGAGTGCTTTTGGTCCCATAAAGCTAGGCTGCATCACTACCATTACTTCTTTTTACAGGATTGGGTCGGTGTTTTTCATGTTGTGGATACAAAGGCTGACACGAATCCGTTGATCTCCCTCGATCTATACTCTGTCAATACTGAGATGGACAATTTGTAATGTAAGTTCTAAAGCCTATTCTTTTCTAAAAAAAAAAAAAAAAAAAAAAAAAAAAGGAGGGGGGGGGAGTGTTCTATAGGAGCGAACGAGTGAAAAAAAAAAGAGTCTGGAACCTACGCTTCCAAAGACTTTTCGGATTGGACTGGAGCAAAGGATGTTTTCCGAAAAGGGTCCTGTATAAGAAATGACAACATTGCATAGCAAAAAACCACATCTTTTTTTAGGTTCAAAGGCGTAAAATTTTCGTTGTTGAAGACAAAAAAAAAAAAAAAAAGAACATATGCTTGAGACCTATCATTTCTTTTTGTTCGAGCATCACCTAGGGAATTCAGGAGGTGACTCCTGCATTCTCCTTGATGGATTGTGAGATCTAAAAAAGCTAGAAGGAATGTGGGTTCTTGTATCAAAACATTTCTCTAGATTGCCACATACCTTGGGTACTGAACCGTCGGTCCCCGTCATTATATTTCTTTTTATTCTCTCAAGGGTCCCCAGAAAATTGAAGTGGTCACTATTAACTTTAATTCGCCCAGTTTGTTTTCGTAGAGTCGCATGAAAATTATGCGAGGATAGCGATTTTATTTTTTGCGGGAATGGTATATATAATTGGGTGCCAACAAGTGACATGCAGCTGAGACGGGACGTTAGAGAGGAATCAAAGCAACAACAAACACTGAATGCCCCTTGTATTTAATGTACCCTTGAATCAGTCCAATGGTCTATACCAACGGGTTCGCCTTTTCGCCTCTCTTTGAAAACAATGGACTCCCTCCTCCTTCCTCCAAGAGTGTTACTAGCCTGTCGATGCTATGTTTTCTAGCACGCCAAGGCGCTAGGGCGCCACCATTCTTTTTTTATGACACGGACCGAGCGTTTACATACAAACCTTATAAAAACAGCTCTCTCACACCACTCGATCAAGATGCGTTCGACTTCCATGTTACACGCCGTTACTTCTTTATCACCACGGAAGGGGCTAATTAGCACGAGAGCTTGTAATACCGCCTAATTAATCATCAATGGTTTGTACCACAAAAACTCGTATATCATATTAAAGTCGAAAAGATCGACACTGAAAAAAAAGAGTACTTCTGAAACCCTGCAGGACAGGACGTTACATCGCGCGCTCCCGCAACCAGTAACCTGCAGCATTATATTATCCTTAACCGCCCACTACAAAGGGATCCAGACTGGTTTCTATTTGTTGCAGCTATTGGTGCAATTATATGCATACTATTTTTTTTTTTTTTTAGATCGGATTTTTTGTAGTTGCCCCGTGCACGAAGCAACACTAAAGCGTGTTCCCTGACTCAGAGATTGCTCATGATTCTAAGAACGGTACTTCAATTGTCATGGCTAAAAGAATAAGCTACTGGCAGATTATTAGGTTAGCATATAGGAGAAAGCCTTGTTTGCTCTGTGTTATATTATGAATTCAACAAACCAAAAATTTGAGAAACTTTATACACTCATATCCAGACAAGACAAAATAAGTGAAACAAAGAAGTAGATCTGGTTCCTCTATTTTCCAAGCAAGGCTCATCATGGCCAATTTGAGGTGGTATGTCACATTCAATTGAGCAATACTTTGATCTTCAAGGATGTGCACGCACAATCCCGAGGTTTAAATAATACAAACGGTTTTTATTTATTTTATCCTCTTTTATTTTTGTTATTGATATTATCATTACTGTCCTCAAAGCGAAACGGATCGTAATTACCCACATGGCATAAAGGAACTGTGTGTTGGCATGTTCCCTTTTTTACGAATTGTAGAAAAAACCTGAAATATATACCATCATCGACGCTTTCTATAGAACTCATATGTGGTATATCGGTATATAATTTAATAATGATGGGGATGTTAATGATTATAGATGAGAGAGCCAATGAAATAACAAAACCGCATCAAGTCATCAGTCAGGTTAGAAAAAATGGGTCAAAGACTCGTGCTAAGTATGGGCAGAGTCTAATAGTGAGCCTTACTGATTAGATTTGGATCCCATACCGAACAGTTCGCGTCAATGAAAATGAAATGAGGATATTCAATACATCCCTTGGGGTACCTGTCAAGGACTCCAAATAAAAAAATAATAACAGTAAAAGTTCGTCGAGCGGGCATTAGTCCATTCCTAACCACCCAAGAAATGATTCTAAAAAAGTAGGAACCTGCTCATGGCGGAATAACTTTAAGCAACGCGCCAAAATATTCTCCTTTATCCTCAATACTTTAGTAGGCCTTCCCGCTACTGTTTCGGCTGATGCGTAAAAAACAATAATGCCCCAGGTCCTTTCGTCTGTTTGTTTACACCTTTGTCCGTTGTTTGTTTTAGACTATCTCTGAACATTACAATTTGGAGCAGACATTAATGCAAAAAAGGATACTCACTACGTATATCCCGCCGATCCAGATCCATGGCATGCATGATCTTATATGCAGTGCTGTGAGAGACACATGTCTGTACCAATGATGTGCCTTTTGCGTTATTGAACTCAATGTTGCTCGACATGCAAAATCTGTCAACCGTGCTGTCTCCTTCCTTTTTCTACTCTCTCCTCCTTTTTTTTTTTTTTTTTTTTTTTTTTTAAACATTTCTAACTAGTAATAGTATTCCTGCCTGTGTTCGATATTGCTCTCTGATGAAATAAATAAATAATATATTTTTAAAAAAAAAAAAGCATCGCAGGCTCCGTTGTTATGATAAGTTTTCAGGCTTCTAGTGTGTCCATTTCCAGAAGCGCATGATCGTCGTACCAAATTGATATCTGTTCTATTGTTGAATATGTCGAAATTTGATATTTCTCTTCTTACGAAACCATCTGCTGACATCTCATTGCAAACAAACAAATAGTTGATAATAACCTACCCATCAAATGTTTATGGCTTTGCTTCTACCCCTTTATGTTCACAATTTCAAAATGGGTGCCAACCTACAATGACGGGAAACAGAGAGCGTCTCCCCATGTAAGGAGGCTGCCAATTGGGAGAGGCACTCCCAACGCTTGAAATATATAAATTAAGGGATCATTGTCCATAAAAAAAAAAATCTACTGCTACCTAAACCTGATCGCGATCAATCTATATTTTCTTCTCTCCCATCCTCTTCTCAAGAAGTCTGAACATCATTTGTCAACTGTTGCATGCGCATTTCTTGTCTGGTTGGACATTACATCGCTGCATTTATTACTCATCTCCGTTGCTAATTGGTCAATTACTGCTTCATATCTCCTTTTTCTCTCTTTCTCTTTCGCTTATAACCTCAGTCTCTCTTCCATTTCACAATATCGTGCCCTTCATCAATTCTTCTGATCATCTCTTTCTCTTCTTCTCTCTTTTGAGCTTATCGACGATATATACGACATACATTCATAACTTTTAACAGCTACGAAGTATTCAAAACAACCGAGACTAAGACGTCTCTTAAGGATAGGAATTTTGATATATTTACGAAACCCAACGCGCCTATTTTTTTTTTTTTTTTTTACTTTCGGAGATAAAACGTCTGTATTTCAGCATCTCCAAAAGGTAAGATAAGCGCGTTTTTATTCCTCCTTCCTAGGATTTAAAAAAGGTATAAAAGATATAAACCAAAGGCTCTCTGCGACTACCATTTACTCATTCATAGCTCCATCTTTCCTCCCTTTTTTTTTTTCCATTTTTTATATCCTATCCTCACTCATCTCATCTGTCATCTGTGTAATCTTATTACCACATCAACTTGGCCTTTCCTTTTCTTGCATAAATGCATGTTGTACACGTAAAAAAAAAAAAACCAAATCATCTGCACTATTGCGCATAATTTCGTTGCACATTTCATATTTTTTTTCCGTTACATTCTTTTTTTTTCGTGTCACAGCAAAACTTCCTCCCTCTTTCACGAGTCATAATCACAAAAGAAAAATGTCCGTGCACGCGCACCGAAGCTCCAAGATCGTATCAGATGCCCTGATTCACCCTGGTCATCCCTGTCAAAAGCAATCTAACTCGCATGCAGCTTCAATGGCGACAACGATAACGGAAACAACATCAGCAACGTCAAGGGTTTCGATCAAGTCACTCTCTTTGAAAGATTTTTTATCACCTGAAACTCGAGCTGGTTTCTTGATCGAAATGCGTGAGTCCTTGATGGAGATCGGTACATTTTACATCAAGGACCATGGGATCCCTCCGGAGCTAACGGCTAGCGCTATGAAGGTTATCCAACAGTACTTTGCTTTGCCGCTCAATGAGAAGAAGAAGATGTTGATTGGCAACAGCCGTCACTTCCGAGGTTACAAACTTATCGGTATGCCCTCTCTCAATGTTTTTTATTTTTATTTTTATTTTTTCCTTTAACCATAAAGGGATATGATACTTGCGTTTGGTTTTTTTATTCTGACTCGGTATCTTTCATAATAAAATATTTGAATCCTTGTAGGCCAAGAGTTTACCAATGATCAGGTAGATCATCGTGAGCAGCTTCAATTTGGGCCTGAACGACCTGTGATCGAATCCTTCAAGCCGACCATCTCACCTGACTATGAAGGTCTACAAGGTCCTAATCAATGGCCCGCAAGTACGTTAGCTTGCCTTCCAGATTTTAAATCCTGCGTCCTTGAATTCATGAATCAACTCGAGATCCTTTCTCAGAATTTAATGGAAGCTATTGCGCTTTCGTTGGGTTTGGAGGATGCATCTTATTTCCGAACCCTCTTTGGAGAACAACCTTACTATCGCCTCAAATGTGCAAAATATCCTTCGGTTGATAAGCCCAAGACCATCGGTTGTGGAGCTCATAAAGACACGGGATTTTGACAGTGCTTTTACAAGACATGGTCGGTGGTCTACAAGGTCAAGATCCTGTCACAGGTCAATGGATGGATACTCGTCCAATACAGGATACATTCATTGTCACATTGGGTGAATCGATGGAGAAGCTGACCGGCGGGTTGTACCATGCTACTGTACATCGTGTGTTGAATAACACCTCGGGTCAGGATCGTTACAGCATCCCCTTTTTTTATGATCCGGCCTTGGATGTAAAGGTTCCTCATTACATCCCAGGTCTGGATTCGACGGGATCAAAAAAGCAGTCTTTGAAAAATTCTCGGTCTACTACCAGTATGTCTGTCTTTGCCTCGGATGCAGAGACAGGCCCAAGTTCAGATGATGACGATTTGGAGAGATTGATGGACACACTAGATATCAATCATACCTCTTCTTCCTTCATCAGTAGCCCTGAAGGTTGGAGTAACGGTGATCATATCTTTGAGACCGTTCACAAATGTCATCCTGAAGTCTACACCCGCTGTATGGACAAGGAGCTTAAAATCCTGTCATAACCTGCATCGCCTCATGACCAATCATAGTCACTCTGCATGCTACCCAGAGAAACATGATATGGTCCGCCTTTATATTCCAAGCATATTAGTTATATACCTTATCATTTAGCATTTGAATCAAATATATGAAAAAACACACCATTGACCGAAATAGGGCATTTATTTTGGACATTTTTATGGATTGTTGGAATGATTGACAGTACCACCATGAAGCGTAAACAAGGCATTTTATTTTGATTCGATTTAAACCTTGAAGCCGCGGGAGGCACGACGACCACGAGCCTTCTCGAACTTACGACCCTTGCTCTGGACATAGGGCTTGGCATGCTTGCCAGGACCCATGCCAAAGTGCTTGACGGCCTCACGGGTGTTCTTCTTGCCACGGAGCAAGACGGTGTTAGCACCAGTGGGGGCACGGAGGGCGAGCTGATCGAGGGTGATGACCTCACCACCAGCCTTCAAGACACGAGCCTTGGCCGACTTGGTGATGCGCAAGCAGGCGATCGACAACTTGGGGACCTCCAACAGACGGATGTCATCAGTCACGGAGCCAACGACGACAGCAGTCTTGCCTCCCTTTCCTGCCATGTTACGAGCAATGCGGGAGATGGACATGGGGGACGGTTGACGCGCGACATAAAGAGACGCTTCAAGACGACCTTGTTGAAGGCAGAGTCCGTACGGCGGGCAAGGAATCTGTAGAGCTATTATCGAGTTTGCAGCGAAGAAAAAAAAGCATGTCAGAGGAAATTTCATGTAGTTACGACTCCACTGTTTTAAAAACAGTGTGAAAATTTTTGCGATGCCGCTGAATAACATCAATGTATTAAAGAAATACTGGTTGTTTCCTTGACGAGTATCTTTAAGTTGGCTGTTGAGTGTTAAATACTGGGACTGATAGGGTTGTTTTACTAATATTTATAAAAAGGGTTTGCACTGCATGAAAGCTAATCCTGAAACATTGTTCTGTAATAAGATTGAGGATGCTGAACTCTCCTGAATCAGTAATTTACAGTCGAAGTTTAATTCCTCTGTCTGGATGATGTCGCTTTGGTATGCCTTAAAACTTTTTTTTTTTTTTTTTTTTTGATTGGGCGAACATCTTCGAAAAAGGATATGATCGTTGCCTTATATCTCTGCGCTCCAGAATCATAACAAATGTGACGTGTAGAGGTCGTTTGATATATGATAGTCTCTCCAGCTCGAGAAACTCAAAAAAAAAAAAAAAAAGCTGCTTCATACCTTGACGAGCAACAACAAGTAAACGTCTCCAGACTTGGGAGCCTGGCGGTTCTTGTTGCGAACTGGTGCTTCTTAATGTCAATACCCTATCAATTATAATCAATTGGATAAACATAAAAAAAGAGAGAGTATCCTGATTAGCCTTTCAAGATCATAGCCCATCACTATTTATTGAAGTTGTTCCCAAGATTATCCCTGGCGAATGGGTAGATCTGCATAGCTTCTTCCTGGATTTTTAAAAAATCGTGTCGATTGATGTAGTCCTTTGATTCTTTTTATGTTGTTGTATGTACAAGGTGTTTTATCTTGTTTTATTGATTCAGCACTGCTGCATTGGCAATCAAAGTAAGCCAAGTTTGGTCAAAATCTTTGAATAGTAATCCAGACAAACTGAAGGAAGATACTCTAGTGTTGATCCCTCATCTGAACAGATCTTTGTTGCAGGGCTCATTTTTCTGCAAAAGCTTGCATTCCATTGTAACGTCTATAATGCCCTTCTAAGCATTTGATGGAAGGTAAATAAAAAAAGAGAATGGGATCATGCAAGATGTCGACGGAAGTTGCAAAATCAAAGTTCCAGAACATGTCTCTGAAAAAAGACTAGGCAAAAAGCCATCTCGAGTCGTTTTATTGAGATATGTGATCGATGGTTGGCAAATATTGCTGGATGTGCCTATGGATGTAATTATTTGCCATTGATAGAGCTCTCTATAATGAATGGATGGGTGACTGCTAACCATTTTGAAGTTGAACTGGTTCAGAGAAGGAATCAAATGCACTGCACTTTGTGCTCAATAATAAATTCGTCTCCTTCAGTGACACCCTTAAGTCACTCCAATCCATTTCTAATGACACAAATTTTATTCTGTAATGTATTTTATATTTATATTTTTTGCCTTTGACGATAAATCAGGATATCCTCGTTAACAGATCAGCAACAGCAACCATCTGATCTTGTGACATTCATGATAAATGCCAGTTGTTCAAAAATTACTATTGTGTGGCCGCGGGTCATGGGCTTTTAAATTCTCTATTTCGGATCAAAATTGACGCGATCACGAAGATATTCTAGTAGATGATAAAGCAAAAAGCCAAAGTATTAGCAAAAGCAAACATTTAAAATGGATTTCAATATAAAAGTCAGTGTTAACTGTAGTATACATACAGGCAGTAGCCTCAATCTCGGTAACCTTCACAGGAGTAGCCTCGGTCTCGGTATTGTCAGACGAGGTCAACTTAGCAATACGCTCCTCTGCCTTGCGCTTATTCTCCTCAGTTGCCTTTGCTTGGTTGGCCTTGAAGTATTCTTTCTTCTCAGTCAAAGCATCCAAGGTCTTTCCAAGGTCAGCTGGCGAGGTAGGAACAACGACTTTTAATTCAAACTATTGAATATTGAAAATGACGGTGCAGTGTTAGAAAAGGACCATTCTGAGAAGCCAAACCAGAAAAATAATATGTAATTATAGGTAGCATATAGAATTAATACCAATTGTTCAAGAATAGCGAGAGGAAGCTTGAAAAGTTGCCACTCTCGGTTTTCTTCTCCTTAGGACCCTTGTTCTTCTTTGATTTTCCAACAAAGAATACTTCCTCTTCCTTGTCAGCCTTTTTCTTGAGCATCACACCGCTAGGAACATTAGTGGTAGTATCGGCCTGGCGAATATTGAGAGTGCTAGCCTCAGAGGGAGCAGCAACAGCCGCTTCAGCAATGCGTTTCTCGTCATTGCTGAACTGGAGCAAGTATCTGTAGACACTGTCGCAAAGAGTAATTTCATTAGTGTAAGCAGGAATCTCTGCAAGCTCGCGTTCCTCCTTGGCAATGGCAAGGCGCTCTCCTCTTGCTCTTGTTGTTTCTTGGCCTGGTACTCTTCACGCTTGCGAACCTGCTCCTCTTGCTGGAACTTCTGATACTCGCGGAGAGCAGCAAAGTACTCATCATTCACAGTCTTCTTGCGTTGGTACTCAGCGTCAAGCTCCTTCTGTAGACGGGTGCGTTCATCAAATAGATCGTTGCGCTTTTTCATGCCTTCTTCCTTGACTTTATTGATTTCATCCAATTCAGCCTGGATCTTGTCGATTGCATCAAAGCTTTTGAAGTCTGATAATCAATTGTTCCCTTAAGCTCAGCGATTCAGCCTTATCAGCATCAATAGCTGCCTGCTGCACTTGAACAGCCTCAACAGTTTTCTTGGTCTTCTTTAAACTCGAGATCTCGGATAAGACACGCTTCTCTCGACCAACTTGAGTGATCCAGATTCGACTTGTTTTTCAAGCTTACTGTTAATTCGACAGTCAAAACAGTTTGTTGTTAGAGAATTTAGGACGTCAGAACAAATATTAAGGTAGAAACGAACACTAGGCTCCAGAGCTTGAACTCACATAATCTGAGCATCAACAGCTTCCTGGGTCTTAAAAGGGAGCTTGTCCTGAGTGACTTTCAAGTCTGCGATCTAGAAATAGACCTCAATAGGGTTTAGTAAAATTTATCACCTTCCGACTAATGCGTATCCGCTACTGTGGATCAGATCCGGGAACGCGGACCCTCTTCAATTTGAATAGAGCTGTAAAAATGAAACTCACCTTCTTCTTCAAAGAGTTCTCCAAGGCAGTGAGCTGATCGAGCTTGGCTTGTTTATCCTTCTGTTTCTGGCCTGCTGAGCACGGAGCTCGTTCAGACGTTTGCGAAGAGGAGTTCTAGGATCAGAATCAGACTTGTCATTCAATCCGGCAATGGCATCACGGACAGCATTCTAAGAAATCACGAAGTACCAAAAGAAGTATGAGAAAAGATGTTAGAGATGAGATTCAGAATCAGCCATTCCCAAGTGTCAATGAGTATAATCTGGGTTTCTTTGCTTTAATACTCGCCCAAAGTGAATCTTAAACAGATAGTTCATTGCTCACTTTATTAGAATGGGTGGTCCATCAAGTTGCGGGATTGGCACTTACCAGACGAGGACGGATCTTTTCAATGTTGGCCTCAATCTCTTTGATGGTTTCATTCTTTTCATCCTGGCTTGGCTTCTTGACAAAGTGACGGCTAGTCTTGTGAGTTGTTGCTGGCGCGGCAGGTGTGGAAGCAGTGACAGACATTATGTGCAAATGGATTAAAAGATGAGAGAAAAGGGTTAGAGGGATGAAAGAGAGAGGAGAGAAATGATGAGAATGTTGGCATTTTACATACCCGTATGGGGAGGAATTTTCCACTCGCCACGCTGTCCAATCAGCGTGAAGGACATGTTACAAGCGGTGCCTGATGCTCTCATTCATTTTTCAATTCGATCTTCCTAAAATGTCAAATGCCACATGTGATATGGACGAAGAAGTACATTTCCAGTGAACAGCACGTTACTGAATACACGAATAGGGATCTATGACTACATGAACTTGAGGGCTGCTGCTTCTAGTGCTCCTGCCAGTACCGGTTCCTAAGTATGTGCAAATGCCTGTGCTTACACCGGTACTGGCATTGCCCCTTGTATGTTTTCTGCTATGTTACCTGCAGAGATACAGGCCAACACAAGAAATTCATCGTACCTCAAATCCTTCACTAATATTTCCAGGTTACTCATTGGCGCATCACTATCCCCAATACACATACAAGAACTATCCTAAGAAACACTACATGTCCGATTGATTTCATGCAATATTATTTCAAACCGCACAAACAAACGCCAGTAGAGGCCATTAACAACACTGTCAAGGCAAAGACTCCGCGACGCCTTCAAAGTCCCCCCTAAAGCTTTGCGAGCCATGCGAAAGACTATAGAATACTTCATGCGGTCTATTATTCCCGCTTAAGGAGTCTTGTTATATCGATGAATAAGGATGTCAAAATTCATTTCTGTGCATCCCTGCGGACCAAGGACGGCCATTAAACAACGGATTGGACGTCTATATTGTAAAAAAGAGGCGATATGTAAGCACCAAAGTTAGAGCATAGAAGGCAGAAAAGTTTTTTTGTGTATCTTGTGTATCTATTCAAGTGCTTATTCTGAAAAGGGTATTCTTTTCATCCTCAGATTCGTAGTTGTTCCAAGGCCTCTGCTATTCCGCTGAAAATCGTTGCAGGGAGTGATTTTTCACCAGCAAACCTTGCACCGTGGTGAAAAGTTTTTTGGTGTGATGCACTACCATTCAGGAAATTCTCACCATCGGCAGCTTCTGTTATTGTGAACCAGGAATTTTGTATTAGGGTGCGCCACACCGCTAACTGTAACCACCAGTCCACCGTGCCAGTCAGGTTCACTGGTGAAAAAATCCTGAATTGAGTGCCACTAATAGACCGTACAAAAGATCAATATCGATTAGAGCCGCCAGAATCGATGTACTGCTGAAAATTCTGGGTTGTAGTGTATTACATTAAAAGAGGAAAAAAAAGCTTGCACCGTGATGCGATGTACATTATCCATTATAATAGTAACCCTTTGTATGCACCTATATCAAACCACGGATCAGTCGATATTTAGCCTTGCTCTGTCCTCGCTCAAGAGTACCATTGTGCTGCATCTCAAAAGTACACTTAAGGTAAATCGAACTAGGAAGAAAGTTGAAAGCGAAGAAGCCGCTGTCTAGGCATTTGGCTCCAAGGACAAACCATTAGGCTTTTAGAACTAGGCCATCCATTGTAGGCATGAAAAGATGGCACTCCTTGCCACGCCTTTATATAAAGTCTACAGGTTCGAGACGTTGTGGGCACGCTTTCCACCACCCAACCATATTAACCGTATTTGGGCCACCATTATTCGACAAAGATGGCAAGGTGACGTCGATTTCTCACTTTCGGGTGGTCTCGTTCCGTACAACTTAGAAACACAATTGGCTCCCTTTTCTCTTCTCTTCCATCTCTTCCTCATCTCTCTTTAAAATCCAAAGGTCCCTTCTCGCCGTGGATTGCCATCACCCACCACCATGTACCCCTTCGCAACATCTCGCGTCTCTCCAAGAGCGCCGCTGCCATCAAGACTGCCCCCAAGGCTTTCAACGCCGCCTTTTTAAAGAAGGGTAAGCGAATTCGATCCCTCTCTTCTCGCTTTTCTCTCTCGCGTCACTGTACATCCCATCCATACACGCAATATATTATTTCCACCAATACTCCTTCATCGTTTCCTTTATTCGTATTGTATTTTACGCATGTGTTTGATCAGTCCATTACTACAGAAGCAATTTGGATCGGGAGGGGCATATGGCTGTTCTAGATGATTTATCTGCAGTAACTTGATCGCGTTCTCTTTAGTACTGGTGCTTTCTTGTTCCACTGGAACTGATCAAGGACCTTTACTGGAAATGCTGAACATTATGAATGAGACAACGTCATCTAGGAGATCGTCTTAATCAAACATGGATTATTCATTCGGGATCAGACTAGTACTTGATCGTACTCGTTTGAATTCAGATCAGAACCTTCTTTCTGTGAGCGGCAACAGCAAATCTGACCCCGTTTGCACGATTCAAGGACAGGGCAACTGGATTTAAACATCATCGTCGTATGATTATGTTGTTCAGGATGCAGAGAATAAAGAAGAGTCGAGCTGCGTTACGAGTTTGCACAGGGATTAATCAACAGCAATATCCTTTCTGCATTAATGAAAGCATCAATCTCTTTTTCTCTTATCCTTCTCTCCAACCTGGTATTTATGACGATGGAGGTACTGACGACGCAACTCACTATTTCCTTATAATTGAATTAGCTGGCTACGCTTCTGAGGCAAAGTCCTCTGGTCAGATTCGCTCTGTCATTGGTGCCGTCGTCGACGTTCAGTTCGACCAGGGCAAGCTTCCCTCCATTCTTAATGCTCTTGAGGTCAAGAACTTGGATCGCCGTCTGGTTCTCGAGGTCGCTCAGCACTTGGGAGAAAACACTGTCCGTACCATTGCCATGGACGGTACTGAGGGTTTGGTCCGTGGCCAGCCCGTTGAGGATACCGGTGCTCCTATTACCATCCCTGTTGGTCCTGAGTGCTTGGGTCGTATTATCAACGTCATTGGTGAGCCTATTGATGAACGTGGTCCATCAACGCCAAGCAATCTGCTCCCATTCACTGCGAAGCTCCCGAGTTCGTTGACCAGTCCGTCGTCCCCGAAGTTCTCGTCACTGGTATCAAAGTCGTCGACTTGCTTGCCCCCTATGCTCGTGGTGGTAAGATTGGTCTCTTCGGAGGTGCTGGTGTCGGAAAGACTGTGTTCATTCAGGAGTTGATTAACAACATTGCCAAGCATCACGGAGGTTACTCTGTCTTCGCTGGTGTCGGAGAGCGCACTCGTGAGGGTAACGATTTGTACCACGAGATGATGGAGACCGGTGTCATCAAGCTGGACGGTGAGTCCAAGGCCGCTCTTGTGTTCGGTCAGATGAACGAGCCCCCAGGTGCCCGTGCCCGTGTTGCCTTGACTGGTTTGACCATTGCTGAGTACTTCCGTGACCAGGAGGGTCAGGATGTGTTGCTCTTCATTGATAACATTTTCCGTTTCACTCAGGCAGGTTCTGAGGTATCTGCCTTGTTGGGTCGTATTCCTTCCGCTGTCGGTTACCAGCCTACTCTTTCCACTGATATGGGAGGAATGCAGGAACGTATTACCACCACTAAGAAGGGTTCGATTACCTCTGTTCAAGCCGTCTATGTGCCCGCTGATGATTTGACCGATCCCGCTCCCGCTACTACCTTCGCTCACTTGGACGCTACCACTGTCTTGTCCCGTGGTATCTCTGAGTTGGGTATTTACCCTGCTGTCGACCCTCTCGACTCCAAGTCCCGTATGTTGGATCCTCGTATCGTCGGAGAGGAGCACTACGAGACTGCCTCCAAGACTCAGCAGATTCTCAGCCACAAGTCCTCCAGGATATTATTGCCATTTGGGTATGGACGAGTTGTCAGAGGAGGACAAATTGACTGTCGAGCGTGCTCTAAGATCCAGAATTCTTGTCCCACCCTTCACTGTTGCCCAGGTTTTCACTGGCTCTGAGGGTCTCTTGTTAAGCTCGAGGACACCATTCGCTCTTTTAAGGAGTCCTCGAGGTAAGCAACGACCACTTGCCGAGGCTGCCTTCTACATGGTTGGTGACATTGGATGCCACTGCCAAGGCTCCAAGATTGCTGCAGAATCTCTGGGCAACTAAAGACATTTTATTAAAGTACATTACTTTTTTAAAAAAAAAAAAAAGGACAACTGGTTACACTTTCACTCTACTCTCCTCTTGCCTCTCTCCATGCCTTTTCTTTGATTGATCAATTAAACCAAATTATTTTTACTATGCTGGTTTCTCAGTTCGTATGAAAAATCGATGGAATGCTTGCGATAAGATCTTGCTGTATGGTTTTTCTTATAAAAAAAAAGTAAAACTGGCCCTAAGCCATCAGCCATTCTATTTCACTTAACCATTCACTCTCATGAGCTTCACCAAAAGGAGAAACAACAATAGTCCGAGGACTCCTTTGAGGATAATTCTTCTAACACCTGTGGAAGATTTTTATTATTTTATGTAGACACAAAACTTAGTCGCTTGAAAAATTGATTTTATGGGTTGGAAGTGTAGCAGTGGCACCAATTTCGTTTGCTTTTCCCTCATACTCTCTGTTCACTACCTCTGTCCGATTTGGTTCGAGTACAATGGCTGTCGTTACTGATGGTATTTCTGCCTTTGCCGATTTCTTAAGCAACACCCATCTCTTAATCTTGTTATGCCATCGACTTCTTTGACCATCAATACCCTCACTTTCCTCCTTCTCGTCCATTATTGGGGAAGGACGGGTTTGATGTTTCTGGGGCTTCACGCGGTTTTTGAAGAAATGTCTTTTCGACTTTTGTTTCTGCGTCTGCATTTGCTGCTGGTCATCCGGAGCTGTTGTTGTTTTTTGTTTTCGTTTCTCTTGTCTTTTAAAGTGAGACTGAAGTCCTTTCTGTTGCTTTTTCATGGCTGCAACTGGGACAACATGGATTTTCTAGCCTCCCGGTCAGCTGCAGAGGCGACATCATGGTCCACTCCACCAGCAATCTTCTGGGACCTTATCCAGAGCCTTGCGAAAGAGATTGGCCCAAAAGTTTCCAGTAAAGGCTCCAGCAAAATATGAATGATCTCTAGTTTAGTTTCACACGGACTTTTTGTGCGTCGTGATGAAGTTTTGCTGTTGCTCCTGCTAGGCCGCCCATATCAGGGTTACTGCCATTACCTAGGGAACCGCTTGCCTGAGGTCTTATCTCCGTGGCTACAGAGGATGAAAAACAGCGATTGAGGCCTCTGGTGCCCTTCTCCTTTCTGGTTCATAAACTGGCATGATGACAACGTGTTTGAGAATTTGATGGTAATGCCGAAAAGTAGGCGACGACTCCATCAAAAACAGGAACGAAACGAGTTGAATTGCGGTGTGAAGGTGATTGTCAATTTATTGCTTGGGCGAGAGCTGCAGTGGGTCCTTGCGTCAAAACTGTCATTCCAAGTTTTTTGAATTGAAACCCTAACCATCGTCGAAAGAGGAGTCTAGACATAACATCTCTTCCCTCTGAATTCTCGCCTTCGCTTCGTTTTGGTTTACAGTCTGGAGCCGCTTTCATGCTTTCGCCTATAAGAAGCCTGTACAACGCGTATAACCCTCGATCGCACGCGATCATAAGTGCTTGCATTATATGAGCAATTTTGATATCTGCAAATGATTCAATCAGCCAATGAACTAGATAAGGTCATTTCGAGTGGTAGCCGCCATCAGGCGATGACTGCATTCTTGTTCTTACGCTGCATCATCACACTTGGCAAGTGCCACAGGCCTGAGGACGAGAGCATAGTCATTGCGGGTGGAAGTTTCGGTGTTGCGCAACTTTCTCTGGTGGTTTTTGCTTAGTTATGGTTTGGCTCCTAATTTCATCGTGGCAATGCTTTTGGTTCTGTTTTCCTTCTTGCTGATGCAGTTGCTTGGGAGGTTTGGCAGAAATGATGACAGCTTGTTCGCAGGGATATGTTCGTATTGAGGGAATAACAGGGCCCTGCACAGGAGGAGGCGACAGAATGAATGTGGATAAGACGACAGTTGTAGTTATGGATGATGCGATACCAATATTAGAGCAATTGATGCCGGACATCCCGTGTGATCCAGGCCTCGAGGCCCCAATATTGGAACTAACTTCAATCCCTCCTCTCGTATTATTGCTATTGCCCATCATTTGTATGGTATTACTATTGCCGACGATGGTCTACTTAGGTGTAACTGGCTGCTGTCGCTTCGGTGTCGACGGTGACCACGGTGGCGCGGGGCTGTTCTCCCAAGTTCCATCAATCGTAGCAGCCCTAGCCCTTCTTATACCTCTTTGAATATCATTGCCCGTGGCTATATAGCTGTTCTTAAAGCTGTTCACTTTGGGTTTGCTTATCTGTACAGAGGCCATTGCTGTGCATGGTCCCATTTCATAACGTTGCATGGTGAACATGCTCACTTGTCGTTGTCACTAGGATCAATATCCGCCTCCATTCACCATTTTCCATTAGTAGAATCTCAAGGCCGCGTTTCCATCCGACAGACGCTGCCACCTGCACAGCTCCTGATAGCGCGTCCTGAGCAATGAGTAAGCGGTGATCAAGCAATACTTTGAGTAGCAGCTCCTTTTGTTGGAAACATGTCTGGTATAGACAAATCCCACCGTCATCAAATCTATGTATTCTGATCTTAAGCACTCGCGTACGCGGTGTTCAGTATTTCATCAAGCGCTCTCTGATATATTGGACTACAGCTGCCGCTTGCCTGATGGGCTGACCGACATCAAGGCCCAAATAATTAATAGCGCTCGTTATTTGCTCAATTGATTCGCCGAGCTGTATAGGTGCCAAAACGAATTGCGAACGATCAGAAGGCGGTTGGGCTGAAGACGACGTCTTGCCAAACATGTAGGTGCCTCAGCAATGGCAGTTGATGTGAGGGTTGCGGATATTGGTTGTTCCTGCATCCACTTCTTGTTCCTGTTGCTCGCTGCTGCTGCCTGCGCTCTTTGCTACCTATTATGGTGTTGCTACCGCTGCCAAGATGGTGGATTTGGGGATAGTAAAACTGAAGCGGAGCTAGACCTACGCGCTTGCTTGCTTGATCTTGGAAAAAGAAAGTTTTCAACTACCCGAGCATAGTACTTTCGGTCAGCGGCATCGTACTGAGGCTCATGCCTCGCCCTATCTAACATCTTCAAGCCTTTTGCCTTCGAGCCTTGCTCACCTCCTACCCTCCTGCTGACACCTTCAAGCTTTCCACGCTAGAACATACAGAACTCGATTAATTGTCGATTCATTCTCTCTTGCTCTCGGAACTGTAGTGCCAGAGGTGGTGATCGTCTGATGTCGAGATCGCAGATGCTAAAGAACCGGAAACCCATTTTCAACAGGGCCTTGACGATATGCTCAGGTGCTTGGACTTGGATAGCAATCCCACAATACCTGGGCCAGGACGCGAGCTTGATGAGTACTGCTTCCAATGCTACCGAACGCCAGATTTGAATCCTGGTGTTAAATGGTTCAGCGTCAGGTTCTTCAAATCCACCATTTTCATAGTCCATCGGGTCTACTATTCTATTCATTTCAGCATGGCTGCGCCCATCACCCACAGAAACAACATAGTCTGTATCGATAGCTGGCTGCCAATGGCCCTCTGAACCAAATAGAGCGTCAGTTTCGATGGCGGAGGTACTCCGAAGGCCCTCTTCTTCTGAATGGCTATTAAAGGTTCTCCAGAGCCAGCTTCATAGTTGCCTGCATTTTCCACGGAGCTCGAGTGGCTGCTGCTATTGCCCCCGAACCCACGGAAGCCTCCCCGCGGAAGCATGTAGCTGTTAGTAAACCTGGTTCCACTTCCTGTAAATAACGTCCGACTAGCATTGTGTAACGTTGATGAGACATTATACGATGCCTGGCCAATACCCTGGCCATTGAAGTAACTTAATCGAGTACCAATACCACATATCCCAGCTTCACGACAGATCAACTCGCGTGCTTGTTGACGTCGATGGTCTTGTTGAAAATTACTTAAAAGGTGTCCTGAACCAGCGCGAGAATGATGGCGTACTCTAAATGCAGGTCCTTGTCCTTAGTCTCAAGATGTGAACTCTTGAAAGGACATAAATCTAAAACTACGCTGAGGTCATCGAATTCTTGGCGCTGCAGGTAATATTTAATCAACTTTAACCACTCACGAGGCCCAATTCTTTCCATCAGCAGATCCATCACACAAATACTGCCTTTGCCATCTCCTAAGTATTCCCTGGAGTCCAGACTTTTCTGTGAAGCTGGATTTGGCTGACTATTAGATGATGATGATGGCCCTCTTTGGTCGTACCGCTGCTTTCGTAAAAATTGCTGTCGCCGCTCCTGAGCCCTCTTCAGAGAGCCTGGTGATCGCGAGTAAGCAGCACCTAGTACTGCTTGTCCCAAGGCCTGGGCTGTAAGCATACAATCATACTTCAATATCTCGCTTACAATCGGAACAGCTCTGCTCTCCTCCAGCGCTTCTGCCTCCTCAGATCCATATCCATCTCGACGGAAGCAGATAGCTAGAAGAGCGCTTGTTAGGGCTCGGCCATCAACCCATGGCATATGCAGCTTCGACTCAGAGCGCCCTTGGTCTGATAGAGGGCTGTATTGCTCCAAGCTGCTATCGCTATCGACTCTTTGTCTGGATTGAAATATAGCTGAGCGGTAGGTGGGACCATAGGCTGTTGATAGACCAGAAGCTTCTGGGGGCATGGGCATAATTACTGGAACATTCTGTTCTATCGGTGCCGATGCAATGTCCTCAGCTATCACAGTCCGACTTCGTGAGTGAAGGGAAGAAGCTTGTTGCGAGACTGATGGTCCGGCGCCAACACCAGCAGCAAACATCATATCATCTTCTCCCAAGCGATGCGCGGCGGGCTCTACACTCATGGAATCATGTCGGTGGTCATGGTGAATCCAACCTTCATCATAACATGAGTGCCTTTGCTTCCCTTTATCGACTTTTGATGCTGCGCTATGCTCACGATCGGACTGCGCGCTCTTTAAGACATCCAAGGACGGTCGAGGGCTAATAAGTGTTGCGTCTAACACTTTAAACACTGCATCCAGGTCAGCTCTTGAGCATGACTCCATGAGTTCCTGATTACTGACCCGCATACACCCCCAGATACAATTTAGCTCCTCCAATGATTTCTTTTGAAGTAAAAATTCCGATCTGACCTTTTACGATCCTCGCTCGGACACCGAAGCTGATCTTTACTTTTATAATGAATGTTGTTATCCACGATCGTAGCCTCATGGTCAGGTACAGTTGTTATTGTCTCAACGGGCAAGAATGGAATCATTGAGAAATATTCTGGTAGATCGCGTGGACGGAAGCCGCGATGCAACAGATGATCTACAAAAGGTGTGTATCCAAATTCGATTGCGAGGCGGACAAGATCTGGCGGGTCGCCTGTTGTAAAGATGGGATAGTCTAGTAAATCTCGGCGTCTTCTTTTTGTCCTTTTAAAGACGGCTTCAGCATAATACTGGTGAATTGATGGTTGATTGTCAGCAGTAATTCTAGCGCCAGTGCGCTGTGGCCTTTGTCGGACTTGATGATGTGGGACATCGATGATATGATGGCGAAATGAGTAGCTGGATCTCATGAGACGGGGTTGGAACTCTGGATGCGTCAGTATCCTAGTTAATCGAGCAATGATGTCATTCAGTTGACGATCCTTGTACAAAGAATGGATATCTGGTTGTGATTGTGGTGGTAGAGAGGAGGAACGGTCGGATAAGGGCGGTTGAATTCGACTACGTCGTGGCCTAATCTGAAACAGGTGTGAAGCTTGTAGAATCTGCAAGGGGAAATAAAAAGGGGTAAAACGGAACAAGGAGTGTCAGCAACCAGACAAAAAGATACTAAAATAACTCTATGCAATGCACAGCGCACCTGCATTTTTGTTACTGATTATTGGTCGATCTACGCTTAGTTTTCGAGTATGACATTATATTCTTACCAATGTTGCGTGTGGTAAAGGGATTGAGTGGTAAAATGTGGATGCGGTTGTGCGCCATTGCATAATGTCATTCAATGATGGAATCGTGGTGAAGCAATATACAGTAAGATGTCAACAGGCAAACGCATGATGGGACTAGAAGATGTCTCGCTGCCGATGTTGCTGTTGTAGTTGATGCTGTTGCTGCTGCTGCTGCTGTTGCTGTTGCTGCTCCTGATAGTGAGACTCATGTCGGATAATGTGAGGTTGATGATGATGTGGTGAGTGTAGTAGGGTATCAGGAAGTTGTAACGTTTGAGGTTGTTGAACGATCTGCAGAGAACTGTCAAATAATTGGGCCAAACCTGGCTCTGAAAGCTTCGAGGAGCTGTTCCTGGGCAAAGACAGAATTTCAATCCTGTTCATGATTAATGGTACAACAACGGTTTTAGGAATAAAAGGAAAGTCGATTGGATAGAAACGATCGAGTAATGCCAAGTGACAGTTAAAATGTGGAATACACCACTTGACAACTAAATAGGAGGACGAGAAAAGAGAGAGAAGGATTGGCGGGGCAATTAAAGAAAAAGTAAAAAGTAAAAAAAAAAAAAAAGGAGAATGAGTAATGAGCCGTGCCATCCAAATTGAATGGCGCACATGGCTGATGCAATGACATTCATGCGATGGTTGTTGTCTGGGCTATAGAAGTGGCAGTAATTGTATCTGGGGGCTAACGTCCTTGAACTGTCTCCTTCTTTATTTCTTATTCATCCATCACACCATCGACTAGGGAAAAGCTCAATTGTAGTGCGCAATATGCGATATGGTGCAAACGTGTAATTCTAAGCAATCTGGCGCTCGGAGTATTATTATTTGTTACTGTTCTTATTGTAGACTTGTTTATCATTAAATATAAGGGATGAATATCCTGAAGGGAGAAAAGGAGCTGTCGACGAAAGTCATTGCCTCCAGGTCCAGGTTCAAGGGGTCTTCCTTTGATATGACAACAAACAATAGCAATACTGAGCAGTTTCTCTTTTTTGCTTTTGTTTGTTGATGCACTCTGTAGGTCATAAGCAATACCAAAATGACAAGGAGAAAGCTCATTTCGGCCCTGAATTAATGGAAAGGAAGGACAGCTAAAAAGGAGTCTTTCAAATGGGCCGAAAGGCGCGAGATAAATATTTATATATTTTTAAAGACCAAATCAAACAGTAGCCTCAATCTCCTTTCTCAGATAAAATCCCGGTTGCAGCTTTGAACTTTGATTGTGGATTCAAACACAAACGCGTACATCTACATACACGCGTTTTACCTTTTTTTTTGTTGATGTGCTTATTCATATTCATATTGCACTACAACATCCTGTCGTTAGGATAGCAATGGAAAAATAGTCAGCGCACTGTGGTCGATGTTTATTTTATGCCCTCAGCATATTTTCAAATCCAGTTTCCTGGAATGTGCTTATGGAGTTTACCTGCCATCTAGTAATGTGATCAGACATATTTTTGAATGTGTCCGTATTAGGAGTACTTCCTTGCATTTTTTCGAATATTTATGACGTTTATTATACCCAGCCTTTGGAACAGTCCATTGGACGCGTAATCCACAAGTTGCACCGGTATAACGCTTTGTTTGCATCCAAAGGCATCATAACAATAAAGTTTAATTAACAGTGGGATTTTGAGTAAAAAACTTGTTGTTTGTATTTTTCTTCAATACTGGACCATAAAATCCGACTGTGGCTCCAAAATATATGAGCATAGCATGAATATCTGAAAATTGAATGATTGTCCTCCTTTCAGCTCGCACATATTGGTCTTTTTATTCTACCCAAGTCATTGATTATTCTTTCAGTGTAATGTAAGGAGTATTGGAAGACTATCACTTGATGCTTGCCTTCTCCCTTAATATTATGTTACATCTCTAAGCATTACTGTTGGGAATTTGGTCAGATTGAATCGTATGAGGAATAGGTCCTTGTGATGGCATTTGAAAGCGTACATCCAGCTATTACGATGATGAATATCCTTCTCAAAAAAAGACAAAACGAGAGCAATCAGCGTCCTGTGGTTGGTGGCCATTCACGTGATAACATTAAATCACAATAAAAGGTGTTTCCAAGCACATCCCTTATCCATCGTTAAACAAAAATATTCGGTTGTCACAACGGAAAATCCCTTGCCGGTGTATGTAAATCCCTACCAACGTAGCTTTCTACAAGAGCTCTTCAAGACTACCAAAAGAAGTCAGTTGTGCTATAAGGGTGTCGAATTGAGTTGGCGTATACTTGGACTTATTGAAGCAGAGATTAAAACGAGAATACAGTTACAGACTCTTCCTAGCGATGAAGCCGGAATCCAGATCAAGATCTACTGCTAATATACTATGTTAACGAATGTATCCGTGATGGACACATAGAATCATCAATCCTGGCTTTTCGAATCATTACCAATTAGATCATTAGTATCGAAATTTACGACCGTAATCAAAGCTGATCTCATCGTTGAAGATGAAGTTCTCTTGGAGCGATTCACATGCTGTGCCGATATAAAATTTTCACATTAGTTATCTTTCGAGACACTTGCTGTACCATTGTCGATAAAGAAGCCCATCCATGTTATCAATGAGGATTTTTAGGGGTTCTTGGCTGTCAGAATGGGATCTTATTTAGTGCAGAGGGGTTTGACAGGAGTATTGACGGCTGCAATCATCTCTTAATCTGTCAGTTTCAACTTGATAAAATAATTCGTGAAATCTGCGAGTGATCGAGTAGTCGGTCCGTGCCATTATTGGTGGCACTTTTTATTTTTGCTTGCTCACGTACACGCTCGGATCGTCACTTCATTCAGATTTTCTCCATTTCTCATGCATTCATTTTTTCCTCTCTTCTTCTCATCTCTACCTCATTTCACTCCATTCCTCTTCTTCTTCATAGTTTTCAACCCTATTCGCTTTTATTTCTCACTATATCATGTCATCTATGCAGTCTTCCTCCTTATTTGACGTTAAGGATAAGGTCGTCCTTGTCACTGGTGGCAGCCGAGGGTAAGGGAGCCTTTGTCTTGCCAAACCGGCTGGCAATCCCTTCTCTTTTTTTTTTCGGAGTACAGAAATTTCCAATCCTATTTTTTTTTTCTCATATTAACTGAATCTGTTTGATTGCTCTGTTGCTTGAATTCATGCATCATAAATAAAGGATCGGCTTGATGATCGCCCACGGTTTTATCGTCAATGGTGCTAAAGTCTATATCTCCTCACGTTCTGCTGGTGTTTGTGACAAGGTTGCAGACGAATTGACAAAGCTGGGGCCCGGCAAATGCATCTCTCTCCCTGCAGACCTTCAAAGTATGGATGAGGTCAAGAGATTAGTTGCAGAGATTTCAAAGCGAGAGTCAAGTAAGTGGATAGGTGTTAACTAAAATTATTGGATGTCAGATGGCTGACAAGCATATGGATCACTAAGAGAAACTAACATCTTCAATCTCTTCGATTCTGCAGAGGTCCATGTCTTGGTGAATAATGCTGGTGCGACGGTAAATCACCAATATTTGCTGCTTTGATTTAGATTAAGCAAGGTTTACCTATTCCAGCGACCTAATTATTTTATTCTTCCTTTATTGTTATAGTGGGGTGCTCCTATTGAGTCCTACCCTGATGAAGCGTTTGAGAAAGTTATGAATCTCAACCTGAAGCGTGTCTTCTCCTTGACACAGGCAATGTTACCTCTCTTGGACGCTGCAGCCACAGAAAAGACTCCTGCTTCGATCATCAACATTGGATCTGTTGATGGCATCCATGTACCTACCCTTGAGACATATGCCTACTCCGCCTCCAAGGCAGCTTTGCACCAGATGACACGCGTCTTGGCAGGTCACTTGGGCCACCGCTATATTACCTGTAACGCCATTGCTCCAGGCCCTTTCCAATCCAAGATGATGGCAGCTACCTTAAGAGACTTTGGAGAGACCATTGTATCAAACATCCCTATGGGTCGCATTGGTCAGCCTGAGGATATTGCTGCCACCTGCATCTATCTTGCTTCCAGAGCCGGTGCCTACACTACTGGGGCTATCATCCCTGTCGACGGCGGCGCCTTGGTCAAGGCGAAGGCCTAAGAGATGTTTTCGCAATACATACACCTAATCTATTTAGTAGTTTGAAAAAGCAACCTATGTCTGCCTTGTCTATAAAGTATTATATTTTTATTTTTGTACTATTCTTCATAAGATTGTTCCTTCTGTTCTTGGTCACCAAAGAAAATCAAAGAGTGATGATACATCCGAGTGCTAGCGCTCCTAAGGCAATGCTCATCTTTTGAAGGATAGCCATTAATCCAGCACGCATATTCAAAGATCCTATAACGCCAGCGCCAGCGCCGGTGCTGCTACCAAAGGTCACAAGAGCTGCAGCAGAGCTGGATGATCCCTTCTTTTCAAGAGGAGCCTGAATACTAACCAAGCCCGCCAGTAATAAATGCTCGGTAGAGTCGTAGGAAGAGCCGGACGCGCAGTTGAGGTCGGGACGGGTGTTCCTGTTGTCGACACCACTAGAGGGGGAATAATGCTGGTTGTATTAGGTGTAACAATCAATTGTAGCTAGATGATATGAAAGAAAGAAAAAAGAATCAAGGAGTTAATTAGAGGGCTCTACTACGAAAGATCCAATGTTTGCTGAAAAATAACACACATGAAAAACGTACGTAGTAATCACCAATAGGATAGTCAGCAGCGGTGACATTCCAGGATTGAACCAAGCGTCTTATAGATAGACCTTTAATATCGGCAATGGTGGTATTGGAGGAACTCTCTGCCTTAGAAATCGAGATATAGGCAGAGCCTGGTACAACACAAAAATAAAGGATTAGTCAAGTAATAAACAAAAAAAGAAAGAAAAACGAAAGACAATGAGAAATGAGGCTTACTGATAGGCCTTCCCCCAATCACAGCCGAAATATACACGATTGACTCTTGATAAATGGCCATTCCGTTAGACGGGACGACAGCCAATCCTGGTGTGTTCTGATTTGAGGGTGGTAGAGGAGCACCCCTAGTCGGAACTGCTGACTGAGTTTGAGCCAGGACCAGTGCCAGTGGTTGGAAACATGCAATTATACCGGCAAGGATTAGCATAATTCTGATAGTGTTTGACATCGACATTGACTTTAAGCAAAAAAGTGTGGAGGAAAAAAAAATTATTAGTAGATCGACAGAAGGATTGGAGATGAAGAAGGACGGATGAATAAGTGATAGGATGAGGAAACAAATCAATGGGGAGTGTGGTGTTGGGCAGGAAGGGGATCGTTAAGCACTTGCAAGCGAGAGCGTTATGATAAAGAATGAAAGAAAAGAAAAAAAAGAAATGAAGAGTAGGATGAAGAGTAAGGTGGGGAGAAGAGGAAAAAAAAAAAAAGGATTTTCAGGAAATCAAAAAGAGAGAAACATGAATATGCCTCTTTCAATTTGCCCGCCGAATGCTTATTTTTTAATAAAGTGTAGACATGAAAAATGGCATGCGCTTCACAAAGTGCTCTCGAGTGTTTGTTTTTGTGTACAGTTCAATTGTTGATCAAGTCAAGTGAAATGCTAATAAACAGAATTGCTCTTCATAGCAATTCTGTTGGAAGATTGTTTGTGCAACAAACAACCGTCGTCTTTATTTTTACAATAAGAAAGTGGAGAAGACTTCAAAGTAACTAATAAAAGAACAAGTCTAATCTCTCCAACACAAATGTCCTGCATAAAATAGAGGCAGCAACAGGCTATTTTTTTTTTACAAGCCTTCCTTCAGCACCAGAATGCCGTCATGAGGTGTTGCTACTTTCTTAACAATAGCAGCAAGGATATTTTTGTTACGAGGTTCCTTCCGCAGCTTCTTCTTCAAGTCCACAATCAAGTCGCGGGTGGTCACCTGTGGTCGACTCTTGAGTAGCGCTATCACTTCTGCCTCTGTAATAAGCATTGAATCTATTTGATCACAAAAAAAAAGTTCTATGTTCATTAAGGAAGTTCATCATAAAGGCAAAATACAAATAAAAAAACGTAATAAAAGAAGAATACGTTTACCATCTCCAGGTGCTCCAGTATCTGCAGGAGCATTAGCACTTGATGATGGTGCTGATGGTGCCAGCTCATTAGATCGAGGCTGCTTTCTACTTGGGCCATCATCTGCCGCTTCGTTAGCATCGCCCATTTTCTTACGCTTCTTCTCAACTACCCCAGCCGCAGCAGGGGAGGATGCAATGCCGTTGCTAGGCAGTTTTGGACTTTGAGAAGATAAAGCCCCAGTCTTGACTGTGAGCTTGATGGTTTACCATTGGCGCTCGCATTGACATTCCGGGGCGTCGGCATGGGTACTTTAGTCTTGACCGCCTTGGCAGTGACGGGTTTATTGGGTGTGGCAGCTTTGGCAGCGTTCGCCTTCTTGGCAATCAATGGCGCCTTAGCATTGGCTTTGCCCTTGCCCTTTTGTTTAGCTGTCTCTTGTGATAAAGGATTCGACTCGTCCTCCTTCTTCATTTCTTTCTCTTTATCAACCTCATCTAAGTCAGAATCGGACGAATCTTTATCCTAGGTCGATCAAAAAATAAAGATTCGCATCGAATGAGTTTTTTTTTTTTTTTTTTTTTTTTTTACAGAAAGAAACAAATAATGTCATGTGTTTAAGAACTTACACTCGCATATGGATCTTTGTCATCATCACTTGCATAGACCTTGTTCTTTTGCAATTTCAAAAGAGCTTTTTTAACCGCTTTTCCAGTTTCGGTCAAACGACCCCTATCATCCTCTTCATCCTCATCTTCATCAGAATCCATAGATGGCCCTTGGTTTCTCCGGGACTGAGGCAATTCCAAAGTGTTTCCAAAGATGAATGGAGCAACAAAAAAAAAAAAAGTCAGCGCATGATAAATGTAGTCCCAGACAGCGCCTCCAATGTCAACTATCTAGACGTGTTGTCCATGATTATTATTATCATTTTTTTTTTTCGCTCACTTACATCGTCCTTGGCGTCATCTTCAAATCCTGGCATCTCGGCTGGCATCTCTTCGTCATCTTGCCAGACTTCATCAAAGTCCATTTCATCCACATCACCATGTTTTCCGCGTTTTTTCTTTCGTTCCTTAGCCTCATCTTCGTCGTATCCAACGTCATCCTCATGATCAACAGTCATCAATTGTTCATGTCCCGCATCCTCTTCAACGCCTTCCTCGCCGTCTTCTGCTTTTGTCTTGTTCTTGGATCTCATAAGCCATCGGATGTTATTGTTCTGCTTCTGTGACTTTTGATACTATACGTTCGAGAAAAAGAAAAAAATTGAATAAGAACAGTAGGGAAACAAGTTTCCAGTGCATGCAATGTGCCTAAACACATTCATTTTACTCTACCTGCTCTTCAGCCTCCTCGGCAGTAAGGGTTGTATATGGAATCTTTGGAGAGAATTTGTACCACTTATCAGCAGGTACGACTTTAAAACCGTCATCTGAAAACACAAACAGGACATAGTTTGCGTGTTGGCCTCCTTCGAGTTGGCCGGTCCAGTTGTTTTTACTATCATAGTCCTCAATGACCCAAGGTGCAGCTTCAATCTCCTTTTTCTTCCGTTCTTCTTCATTAGCAATATAAATCTGTCTCGTCCGCTTCTTAAACAACATCTGTTTATTCCTGACACCGCTCCGCTATAGGGTGCAATCAAGGATGTGTCTGCTCCTGTTGTTGGGCCTGTTGATGGTGCCCCAGGGGTACCTCCGTTAGCGCCACCTCCTGCCCCTGTGGTGGCGCCATCCTTCTTGTCATCGCCTGTCTTATTATTTTGGTTATTGTATTTGTTTTGATAGTTATATCCGCGATAGTAATGGTTGGTCTCATTTCGCTTGCGTTGCAACTTGACAGGTGCAGTGAATGTAGATGGGTCCACTTCTTTTGTTCCATGAAAACGCATAACATGATGCAAGACATCTCGTGAGGTTGAAACCAGCTTATAGTCCGTATGATTCTCAGGTATTGCCTGGGGCGCAGGCTTTTCAATCTTTCGCTTAATAGTAGGGCCAGTACCGACGCCTGTGCCTGCCCCGAGGGCTCTGCGCTGCTGTGCACGATTGGTCTGAATAGGTGGACGTGAGCGTAAAAAGGACATGACAGGATGTGATGTGTGAGATGTGATTTCTTTTTTTTTGTTGCGTTAATGAATCCGCCTTTTTTTTTTTTTTTTTTTTTTTCTTTTTTGATTTATTCTTAAATGTTTCTCAGATAGACAGTAGATTATACAAATAATACGAATTAATTAAAATAAAAAAAAAGAAAAAGAAGAAAGAGAAAAAAGGTAATGAACAATCATGCATCAGATCATCCACCTTTATGATAAATGATAAGTGCAGCGCACAGCGATTGCTTTATTTATATTTGTAGGGTGTCACGTGTAAGGAGTATCCAAAAAAGCAGAGGGTCAAGCTTGTCGCTCTTTTTGGCTAGGCTCTTTCAAATATAAATGGTTTACTTAACAAAATTCTATAATTGAAAGGACTAACCAAAAAGAGTGACAAGCTTGACTCTCTGCAAAAAGTCACATACACGGGATAGGAGCTCCCAATAGCCTCTATTTGAATAGATATTGTGGCACCTCATTGGTAATTGGGAGATCCTTTTTCGTTGTTATCTTCGATTGCGCTGTAGTAGCCGAAAAGGTCGCTTTTAACGCAAAAGGCGAAAAAAATATTTTTTTTACTTTTGGTGCGAGTTATACGAAGAACTGGAATAACTCAGAGAAAGCGACTTCGCTACTGCCACGGATGAGTCTGTGCTGATACCAACCTAAAAATTGAGTCCAATATAGCTTATATTCATACGTTTTCTGAAGTCCTTCGTATATTGTACCATTCTCCTCTGGATCGGATTAAATGATGAAGCAACTGTTTTCAATATCCATTAACTCCAAGTCAAACTAAACTCTCTGACAAAGAGCTTGCGGAGCAATTAAAGAACAAAAACAGAGTGTCTACTACCAATGAACGACCTTTTTACCTTCGTTAGTTGAACAGATTTCATCATTATCAAAAGTATCACTGCTCATGTCAATCATGCTATTTGAATCATTATCAAAAATCTGGCTCGCAAGATCCTCAAAATTAATTAGGGGAGGAGAGTCCTGTAGTAGACTTTTAAAATTCAATGTATGGAAGCTGTGGAGATACAAGCAAATATTCTCCATCCTTTTGTGAACGAGCTCATCGGTCGTATTTCCCTCCCCTCTGAACATCATCAATTTGTTGTTTGATGGAGGCATTTCCTTATATGTTGTATTTTCGGTTCCACTTGATGAAGATCCCATCGAGAAGGCCAGATTTCTTTCTTTAATCGCTATGCAGGAACATGATTATCAACGATACAATATGACTGAGAATAAATTTACCACAATCTCTATTCGGATCTATGATATTAACCAATAGCAAACCTCTAACCTGAACACACTATTTTATTTTAATTCGGCATTGAAGGTGCTGTAACAGGAATGGCACTCAAATAGGTCAATTGGGATATTGAATAACAAGGCTTTGTCACACAGACACTCTGACACAGCGGTCATGTACACAGATGCCCTTCCTTTAACTTTGTATATCTATCACCAATTTATAGGCCCTACTGGAAATTGGAAAGGATCTGAATTGTTCGGGGAAAAACTGTAGAGTCATTTAGCCGAGACTATGTTATTTGCAGTTGGTTGAACATGTATGTGATAAAATACAACAGTATATTTATTCATAAAATGTTTATCCGCTATGGGAAAACCTCTTCCCTTTAAGGAATCCTCCTCCGCTACCATCACCGTTTTTCCCTAACAGTGGTCCAAACAACGAAGATCCAGACAGGATCCCACCAGACGAACGTCTGTTGTGCTTGCCTCCATTTCCTTTGCCTGTACCATCAACAGTTAAACTCTTCTTCATTTTGAGCGTGCCTTCCGGTGGTGGAGCAGCAGATGACCGGATTTGAGATGGTAAAAGCGTAATTGAAGATCGAGTAGAAGATGCGGGCGAAGCTTCACCTCCTGGTATTGCTGTGGATGCCGCCGATGCTGTTGGTGCTACTGATACTGGCGCGGATGCTATTGAAGAGGGAGATGAGATGGCGGATTCTGCAGGAAGTGCAGATGTTGCTTCAGCCATGGTCGTAGGTGTATTGTTCGGCAAAAATAGAGACGAAAGTGGTCTCATTTCTCACTAGGACTAGTCCGTCCCGGGAACTTTACGCCTGCGTGAATGGTGGCACTTGGAAAAGAGCACTCTGAGAAGACAAAATGCCGTTACTACTGGTGTATGTTTGCATGCTTCTCAAATCAAAATCAGAGGCGGACATGTGCACGGGTTGAGCAAAATGAGGTTGGTAGTCAAGCTTTTCGATTGGAAGGAGAGATGAACGGCGCCGGAATATCCCTTTAGATTTGTTTTTTGACTTTGTCAGCTTGCGCTCTGGACGAACAACGACGACAGGGACGGGAGAATGGTGTAAACAGTATCGTGACACTGAACCTAGTAAAAATCCTTTGACTGGATTGCGGCCTCTCGTCCCGACTACTAACATGTCTGGTTGGTACAACTTGATCTTTTTTTTTTTTTTTTTTTTTTTTTTTTCAATGCAGTGTTAATGCTTGACATATTGTAATATGTTGATTCCTCAATGGTAAATATACTTATTGGGTCCTTACCATGTATTGAATGGTATCACGGACATTGCCAACCATGCATTCAACAACGATACTAAGTTCTCTCCCAGACAGATTCTGCTCGCGGATCGAGGCCATAAGTTTGTTAGCTTCTTCACGAGCTGCACTTTCCTGACCTTGGAAGGAAGGGATACGTGTTTTTGACACTAGAAAAGTATCGATGAAGGGCCAAGACGTATGTTAAGAACGAGCTGATTCATTAAAAATGATTCGAACAGATGTATTTGTTATCTTGGCAATGCATTTTTGTATTCTTATATGCGCCGGTTTATGTAATAATCAATTGTTGCCTTATGACGCCTTTTCGTTTCGAACAAGTCGTCCTCGAGGACAATGTTCAACCCAAAAATAAACTTACAGGAATCTCTCAGTTCCACAGGGACGACTCGAAGGGCAACTATCTGAATGATGCAATAGAACAGAGGAAGGCACGTCAGCTTCGTGTGTGAGATCGATATGGAGGATTGAGCTAGTTTTTCGACTTGTACAAACAGTATGCATGTGTAAAAGATTGAGAAGTGTCCATAGAATAAAGTACAAATGCTGTCTGGCTCAAGTAAGATGGACCAAACATTCCATAACCCTCTTGTGTTAGAAGAACGATCGGAACAATGATTTCTCGAACTTTTTATGTCAGATTGTCTCATATTGCAAGGTAAAGAACTCTAAAAACTTTTACCTCATCACCGTCTTCAACCATGTTCTCCATGACCCACTGCAAAGCATGAGCCGAATACTCATTCAAGTCGGTTCCAACAAGGAATGTTCTACTATGCTTGCCTCTCTTCCAGCTATCAGTCTTTGCCTGAAGCGTAAACGCGTATTCTGAAGTATCGTCACAGCCAAGTGTATCAAAGCCAACTCGAGAGACATAACCGTCCACAGAAGAAGATCTTTTCTGCTGATTCTTGCTCTGGCTTTGGATTTGATGGGGCTCAGCAGAATTGTCGATATCAAGTGATGTTGTATTTGATGAAGTGGAATGACGAGGATTGTTTGCTTTTGGGTAAGTAAAGGCTGCGGTTATCTGGGCATTAGCAATAGTGTTATTCATGGTGAGCGTATTACAATCGCTCATGTCATCTATCTTTGGCGTAGAAATAATCATATTGGAGTCGCTACCAAGCTGGTTGGAGTAAATTAGTAAAGAGGTAATGCAAGGATGGAATGGAGTATACGGGTAATAGTAAGGAATGAAAGAAACAAGAGGATGAGACAACGTTGTAATGGAGGGAAACGGTGGGGTGGGAAGTTGGGAACGACGAAATTTTTTGGACGTGTCTCACAATGTGACCCCATCTTGATGTTGTCGCAGCCCAATGCATGGTCTGGATCAATCGATGCTCTCTCTGCCCGCTATCATATTTTGCTAGAATTTGTCCTCCAGATAAACCCTGCAGCATAATATAATTATAACGGAAAAGGCATGAATGAAAAAGTTTAAAATGTTTCTTGACATGCTCAGCATATTTGTTATTTCTTCATTAGCCACACTTAATCTACCACAAGCATAGGCACAAGCACAGGCACAGCTAACTATCAACATAGCCATAAGAACACAAACACATAATTATCTGATCAAGGCTACAAGGTTTTCAGGATCAATCCATTCAAGAAGTAAGGAGATCTTGTTAAAGCAGAAGGAGTACCTGGTTAATTAAATGTGATCGGTCCTTCATTAGTGGCTGGGACATTGGGACTGTTTGTTTTGAAGACCATCATCAAATATGCAGCATTTTTTTTTTTTTTTTTTTTCTTTCTTCCTCCTCTTTTCCTCTCCATCCCTTCCGTAGCACCATTAACCTGTGTTTGCAGAGCATCCAGGCATTGGGAGACATTTACGCGAAGAAGAGCTCCTTCACGAAACTTTTTCTTTAAAAAAAAAAAAAAGCGTTCCATGAAGCGAGAAGGAGTCCCTTCCCATATCATATCATTAATTCACAACTAAAACCATTAAACAAAGCACAATTCCTCCACAGTTTAGTCTGATTGCATTATTCTCCATTTCTGTTCAACACACAATTCCATTTCTTTTGTGGCGATGGGTGGGTAAGTCATTGTTCTTCTGATCCATTCTTCGTTTCACGTCTTTTTACTCGGCCATTGCTTCTCAGCAGAACACCACCCTCAAACTGTACTCAACTTTATTATTGCTCCCTACTTCCTTCGCTTTTCTATCCAAAGTTTATGCCAACACTGTTGTGGTTCTTTGGTGACTTCCTTATTGTTTTCTAACCTGTCTGATATGTTTCAGTGAAGAAAAACCTCGGATACGATAATTGCAACCACATTGGAGCCGCCTTTTTTTTTTTTTTTTTTTTTTTTTTTTTTAACGTCCATACTTGCATTCTGCTATGCTTAATCTGCAGAGTGGAGAGCGCGGGCACCTCAAATCTGGTGCATTATATTTTATTTGTTTTATTTGCAGAAAGCATTTTTGCATAAAAGGGAGGGTAGCAAGAAACAAAAAAAGTTGCTTTGATCTGATTATCAATCTCACATGAGCACCGTATTTCTTTATCTCATGGATGGTGTACACCACACGATCTAACCGACATTTACACTACAAACAACACACTTTTACTTGCCAAACTATACCAAAAAGAGCATCCAATTGACGCTTGCTGTCTCATTGAATCGTAGCATTTGTCCTGTGGGAAAAAAAAAGGAAAATAGAAAAGATGCGCTCATGCTTGATAATGAAATATTGGGACTAAGGTTGAGACATGGGCTTGGGAAAAGTCAATTCTTACTAACATGCTCATATACATGCCACATGTACACTATACACTTCATACTACTCCATAACACAGTATCAAAGAAACTCGAGTCTTGCTCAACTTCCTAACCCACCCCTACTCGAATGAATCCATAGAATTACTCTTGTAGAGGCTACTGAATCAGCGCGTCCTTCTACCAACCTCAAGAACCCGCTCAGGTCGAGGCTTTGAACCAACTTGCAATTGATACCAATGCCCTTTTAGCCCAGAATGCTGTTCAAGCTCAAGCTCACCAGCTCCAATCATCCACTGGGTCGTTTTCCATTTCAGACTTTCTTGTCTCTGGACTTCAATCCAAAGCCTGGGAAGACTGGCAGTTAATGATGAGTTGAATCTATTCGCGTAAGAAGCACATATGTTGCCCTTGTTACAAAACAAAAGCAAAGTTTTGATCATCTATTTTTTTTAAATAATAATAATAATAATAATAAATAATATATTATTATTATTTTATTCATAAACAGCACTGGATGGATTCTCAGGATTTTACTTCCGATCTAGCAGCTCTTCCTTTTGGATTTGAGCCAGATAGTATGTGGATACCACCACAGGCGCTACCAATGTCGCCACAGACTTTCCAGCTGATCAGGCTTATGAATGAATTTGTCTTTGACCTGGGACCATCCAACTTTGCAGTGCCTGAGACTGTCAACGTTGCTGATTTGATTTTGGGCCCAATTCGATGGCACCTACGGTCCCATCTCTAGAGCTTGTGAGCCCTAGTATGCCCACCAATTTCAACGATTATGAAGACCTTGCGCTCGCCAACTTGTACGATTACAGAACATGATGATGATCTCTCTAGCTCTGATTCCGACTTGGATCGGACCTAAGTGAAGCCAGCTCTTCCGATGATGAAGGAGACGATGAGATGAAGGCGATATGGAGGACGAATTGAACAGCGAAGAGTCTATTGTTGTTGATATCAGCTGGCCTCCGATTGACTAGGAATTCCAATAGCCAAAGTCTTTTCTTAGATGACAGGGACTCAAATGCTGCCCATGTCATGTCCCCTGCTACTGTTGACACTTTACAAGACCAAGTGACTCAACAGATGCCACAAAGGTCCGTAGTAGAGAATCTCAACAAGCGCCCATGGAAGAACTTCTTGCCATCCGCATCAGCAATGACCTTGGCCCCGAGCATATGGCAGGGCTCCTCAGGATTTTGAAGGTACGGGCGATCAGAGACTGAGGATGACGACGAAGAAGAAGTCGAAGTTATTTGTCCCACCTAGACGAGGCTACTCTTGGAAGGTATCAGTACGTCGAGGCATGCGCTACAGACCATGGCATCAATCCTTGCAGCTGAAGAGCAAGAGCACAAGAAGGCTGTTCCGAGGCAGCCAAAGCAAAGAAGGAACAGGGATTGCTTTTGAAAAAGGAATGGACCCAGAGAACGCCAGAACTTCACCTAACCACTCCGCTTCCTCTGCTCCACCATCGCCTCTGCATTCTTCGTTTACAACTCCAGCAGATGTGGATGCAACTACAGTAAGAAACGTTCTGCTACAGTATCTACTTCTTGTACCATTCACTACCATCCTAAGAGTGTAGAGGAGCAGACTGAGGCTCAAATGGAGATACAGTTCAACACAAACCGAAGCGGAAAACGAATAATAATAACAGCCCTGTCTGCGTTAGGCGGTGGCGGAACTAGAAGGACGCAGGAAAAGGATTTCAGGACCTGTTGCTGTCGAGCAGGGACAGTTTGATGAAGAGATGATATTGGTGAAGATGATGAGATTGAATATTGTTGGTTTTAACAATGTCTCGGTCATTCTTTGCAAACCTCTTGTCATCTATATCCTTTGCTGGTTGTATCCAACCTTTTTTTGTACTTTAATATCCTCAGCATCCCTTTGATCACAAACAAACACACACACACAAACAAACAACAACAAACAACAAGCAAAAAAAAAAAAAAAAAAAGTTTTGTTTCTAGCATTTTCAGATCGTGATGACCCTCGTCGAGAAGCTTAGCCTATTCCCTGTATTGTATTTTTATGACACGACCGAACGACCAGTTTTTTATGCCTCTTTCTTTTTTTTTTTTTTTTGCTTTTCATTTTATTTTTGATTGGATTGAAGTTTTTTTTTGTTGAAATGGATAGAGAAATGTAAGATCCATAGACTTTCAATGAAATGAATTTTCTTAATAAAACGATAAAGAAAAAATAAAATGAAAAGAAGAAGTGTCATTCATTGTATAAAGGACGTCCAATTGTTGAGTCTTGGCCGTTGCTCTTGACGTTTATTTGTATTTCTGTAAGCATTATTCGAATAGACGACTGTTATTCGTTACTTGCTTGTTGTGTGTTTTTTTAGCAGTGCGCATGACGAACTGAAAAAAATAAGCTAACACTGCTAATAAACAGACCCACATCCGCCTCTCTCCTGTCTCATTCACTTTTCACACCAGCTGCACTCTCACGCGAGCTTACTCCATAATTTTTTTTTCTTCATCTTTGATTAGGTCTTTAGTCTTTCTTTTTTTTTTTTTTTTTTTTTTTCTTCCTTCTTTTCTTCATTTTTTCTCTTCCTCATCCATAAAGACAAAAGAAAGGGAGTCTCAAGTTCTTCACTATGGATCAACAGCGACAAAACCTCATGCTGTCGCCATTACCATGGAGAAGGACATTGTGCTAATGCTCGATCCTGTCGTGAGCGCCGTAACATTCAACGCGCTCTTGGTGCCAAGAAATAGTTCTTTATGTTTTTTTTCATCAACCTTTTATTCTCCTTGAGACTCTCCTGGCTTGGTCGCGTCAAGGTGACAATAGCAACTGTAACCAATATGGATCATCATCTCTATTCGGAAAAACCACCGCCTCAAAAAGTGGGCACGGAGGCGAAGGCGAAGGCGAGGATGCTTCTACTCCTGAGTTTTGGCTCAAAATGGCACTAATCGTAGGGTTGGTACTTATTGGAGGGATCTTTGCTGGTAAGTCTTTTAAAAAAAGTATACCAATGTTTTGTTTGATCTAGGAAAAAAAAAAAAAAAAAAAAAAAGAGGGAAGGAGAGGTAAAGAACTATCCATGTACAAAGCAGTTTTATTAACGTGTATTTTCTTTTTGCTTTTTGCTATCATTATTTATTAGGCTTGACGATCGGATTGATGGGTCTGGATGAAACTAACTTGCATGTCCTGATGGTGGCAGGTTCTCCTAAAGAACGCATCCATGCAGAGAAAGTCTATAAGCTCCTATCCCGTGGAAAGCACTGGGTCTTGGGTAAATTCCATCTTCCTTCATGCCCTTTCCTTCTTTTGTATTATTTATATAAACTTTTTTTTTTTTTTTTTTTTTTTATGAAGACTAACCTATATTCATTCACGTGTTTACTTCAATAGTGACACTACTTCTAGGCAACGTTATCGTTAATGAGTCCTTGCCAGTGGTGCTTGATTCGGAGCTTGGCGGTGGTATCATTGCCATTCTAATCTCGACCCTGTTGATTGTTGTCTTTGGAGAGTATGTTCCTAAAAAGCCTGGAGAAATATCGCTTGAAAAGAAGTTCATTTAAACCCTGGTTCTTTCAATATTCTTATTTTTAATATATCTTTTGTTGCTTGTCTATTGTCTTATCTTTAGGATCATCCCTCAGGCTGTGTGTGCGCGTCATGGACTGGCAATCGGATCATTCTGCTCCAAGCCCATGCTGGTGCTCATGTATATTATGTCGCCTGTGGCCTATCCGATTGCAATGCTTTTGGATTATTGGCTAGGTGTTCACCATGGAACAACGTATCGCAGAACTGAGCTCAAGACATTAGTATCGCTGCATCAGGTCGATGGGATCGGCGAGCTCACAGATGATGAGGTCACTATCATTGCTTCAGTGCTTGACTTGAAGGAGAAAGCTGTCTCGGCAGTGATGACCCCCTTAGAAGACGTCTTTACTTTGAGTGAGGATGCCATTTTGGATGAAAAAACTCACAGAGGATATCCTTAGAGCTGGCTACTCTCGTATTCCAGTCTATAGGCATGATGACGCTCATAACTTTATTGGTATGTTACTTGTCAAACGTCTAATCACCTATGATCCCGCAGACCATACTCCTGTACGCCAATTCACTCTCAACTCCCTCCCGGAAGCTGCCCCCAATACCAGTTGTCTTGATATCTTGAACTTCTTCCAAGAGGGAAGGTCACACATGGCTATTGTCACATCAAAGCCCGGCGGATTTGGAGATCCTGTGGGTGTGATTACGCTTGAAGATGTAATTGAAGAGCTTTTGGGGGAGGAGATCGTGGATGAGTCTGATGTCTATGTCGATGTCCACAACAAAATCAAGGTTATCCGTAAACCCTCTCGCAACGTTAGCAAGCTCAAGAACCTCAAAAGCCTACTCCAGTCACCAGCACTCAATGAGTCTACGCCTCTGCTGGGTCATAACTCTTCAACTGCAAGTGCGCGCACAGTAACTATGCCTGCTGATAGTAAATATATGATAGTGGAAAAACTATCCTTTCGGCTTCCCGTAAGAATTCATCTGCCTTGCTCGATACCACGACAGCGACCAATACTGCAGCCAACACTCAGCCAAGTACTACAGTAACCGCCGCCAACGGCGCTACTGGAGCCGTACCTGCTGAGAATTCTTCTGCCACCAAGGATACAACTACTGCAGGGTCTACAGAAGGCGAACATCATGTTGTCAATTTCAAGGATGATGTAGAAGTTTTCAAGCCAACCCAAGAGTCAGCTCAACTAGAAGAGGAAGTAGAGGGAGAACGTTCGGTTGTTATTGAGGTCCCTGAGCCTACAGGTACATACTCGATTAATCCCCCAGAGACTGTTATAGCCGCTGTTGAGGGCGCCGAGGCCGCCAAGGTCGCCAAAAAGCCAGATGCCGAAACCCCCAAGGTGACAGAGGAAATATCGCCTATTGTAGGCGATTCAACCGCCGTAATCACATCGAATACGCCTGCTGAGTCTGATACAATCACTGACACCAAAATGCTCTCAACATCACCACCTTCAACTGTAGTACCAGCTGTTCACGAAGCGCAAACACCTGTACTAGATCCACCAACCACAGAGGTTGTTGAGCCAACTGCTTCCTCGAGTGAGATACCAAAGTCGACTTCAACATCCACTCTTTTGACACAACTGAGCGAAGATCCCCCATCTACACATGGTCCACCTAATAAGAGGAAGAAGAAGAAGAAAAAGTCAACAAAGTGGTAAACATGGAGTGCAGGATGCGCAACAGAAGTGATACATTCTTTTTAGTAAAAATGTCTCCAAAATAAAATATCATTTTTATAAAAAACATCATCACCAAAATACAAAGTAATTACACCGGTAGTATGAATGCATTGTCAATATTAAAACGCAATTGTCCTTTATTGTTTTGGATCAATAGTCTTTGTCTTTTTCCGTCTCTTGGTTGGTGTCGCTACAGGAGTAGCAGGGCCACCTGTGGCAAAATTTGGACCTCCTGCCGTAGATGGCGGCCTTGTGAGGTTCCAACACCACCAACATTGGTATTTATGCCCATGCTTGCGGCTGCAGCTGAAGCCTCTTCACTTTTTTTCCGTCTTTTAGTATTTGCCTTAGGATTACTTTTCGATGTCGCAACAGCACTACTAACAGCAGCTGCAGATCCATTTTCCTGTTTGACTTTTGAATCCGCTACAGTTGCAGCACTGGTGGAGGATGATCCTGCGCCACTAGATATGGGTGCTTGTAGCTTCTGCTGTGCTCGTAACTCTACTGTATTAAGAGCATAGTCTACTGCTACCCTGAACTCTTGTGACACTACAATTCCATTTTTTTTTTTTTTTTTTTTTCACAAAAGTCGAATATGAAATTGAAGGCATGTAAGAATAAAAAAAAGCCTTTAGGTATGGTATGACTGATTCTTTTTTTTTTTTTTTTTTTTTTTTCCTTTCCAAAAGTACCTGCTTGAGTTCCTGATACAGTTGAGGTGGTAGATGGTATTATAGATGTTGAGGCGATACCTGGTGCTGAAGTTCCTGATTCAGGGGGAAGAACCGATTTCCAATGATAACCTGTTGATGGATGAAACTCTGTCATGACTCTGGCCTCATTGAAAGCAGCTTCGACAAGGTGCAGGCTTCCAAGCTGCTCACAATCCAAAATTCAAAATTCAAAAAAAAAAAAAAAAAAAAAAAAAAAAAAAAAAAAGAGAGAGAGAAAATATTTGAAGTCAGGCATTACATTGGAGGCAAACAAGAAAAAAAAAAAAAAAAAAAAAAAAAATGAAATGAAATATAATATAGGATCAAAGCTTACGATTCGATTTGAAAGCAAAGTTTGAAGATCGGGGCATTGATAAATACTGCCTTGAAGAACATAGTATATCGCTATGGGCTTGACTAAACAGGAGGCCAACTCATAGAATACGTTAGCATCAAAAGGAGTCAGTACAAATAATCATAACAATAACAATAATAATAATAGCAATAATAATAATTTGATCTGTATTTTTTTTTTTTACCTTCATGTGGACTCCTTCGCCTTTGCTTCTGAATGACGAACAATGTTGGATATCTTTCCAATACAAGCGCGAACTCAACACCAGTCATTTCACTTTGAACCCCCATAATAAAATATTGTGAGTACAATTTTTTTTTTCTAACTATTCAAAAAATAAATAAATAAAGGAAAGGAAAAAGTACCTTAAGCGTTGCTTCATCTCACCAAGGTTATTGAACTGGGTTTGCATCCTTAGGACTGCATTATTGCATTCAGGATCCCAGAATGGTGACTGAGCAAAGTAGTCAAGTACATTGTCCGGGTTGAGTCCACCAACACCCTGAGTAGTAAAAAAAAAAAATAAATAGAGAATATCCAGTTACTTTACTTTTTGTCTCCTCTTTGTCATGATCTCTTTTACATTCCTCTTTTTTTTTTAAAAAAAAAAAAAAAAAAAAAAAAAGATACCATGATCCACTCATGAAAGCGCCATTCCACATTAAGTAGGTTGATGTCTGCATTGTTAGAGTTGGTAGATGCTGCCATCTGTGCCGTTCCCGTTGCCATGTTTTATGAGATTATACAACAAGCGCGTTTGCAAAAAAGCTAAAAAGACATTAAAAAAGTGATGCATTATTTCAAGGCTCCATTTCCAATAAAAGGAGCAGTCCACTTTTTTTTTAAATCCGTACTTTCCTCCTCTCCTAATCAACAAAAACTATGCAGTTAACAAGGAACGTTACGCGTGTTGCATCAATAACGACAACAACAGCTGTTAAAAAACTTCGGTCTCAAGTCTTGTGCAATCATATTTATTCCAACAGGAAGACACTCTGGACTGCTGCAACCTGTTCTGATCCTGATCTATCCACAGCTTTGTCTCGTTGCCTTCCAACTGCTAATAAGGCAAATACGACTGCCTCTTTGTCCAATGCTCAGGGTCAGAAGGATTCAATAACGATCATCCTGGCTTCCAGATCTTATCCAGGTCTGATCTGCTCTCGTTACCTTCAAAACTCCCGGACCATGTCTCTAAATCATCCTTCATTCTCGGCGCAGTCGTCGATCGAGTTCCTACAAAAATCTGGACATGGTGTCTCCACACTCACACTCACACCCGACCCTCCTGTTCTGCCTACCAACTCCTTAGACCCTACAGATCCCTTGATCATTTCCTGTCAACCATTTTATCGTGTCTGGTCCAGAATCTCGTCGGAAAAGATTGAAAGAAAAATCAGGGGTAAATGGGCTCGCCCTCAGGACATTGAAGAGCGAAGCTTGGATACTGCAGATCCTGGTCGGCGTTTAAAAGTATTTCAACTGGCAGGAATCAAGTTCAAGTCCCTAGAGTTGCTCTCCCATCGTCTTCGTCGTCTTTCAAAGCACTGTCATCACCATCACCATATCTCAAGATATCTTCATGATTTCTGATCTAGAGGTGCATCAATTTCTGGAAGCCCTGGATACCGCGAACCCAGATGTAATAAACTGGGCATTTTGGCAAGCTCAACCCCGTTTATTACTGGGAAACCTGTGACAATGTTTATGATGCAAGATCGTACAGGATGGTGTCCTGGTGTTTCGATATAAAGTGTAAGGAATGCTGCAACAGTAACAGCAACATCACGGACCTCTATAAGTTATCCGTCCATGGCACCCTTAGGGCCCGCTATGCGGATTACCAGGTATAAGAACAACAACAAACAACGATAACCCCCCTCAAAAAAAAAGGATGCTTTGCTAATTTTATTGCTATTATTATTGTTATTTACCATCGAATGGGGTTTTTTTTTTCTTCTCTATTTTAGGTTCGTGGCAACATCATTTTAGAATTAGATGAGTCTAATGCCACTCGACTATTATTGGATCGATTACAAACCACACATTAACCAAGGACAAGGAGTACTTTTTACAAACGGTGAAATCACCAACGCAAACCAAGGTCAGCATATAGATATCGACATGGTATGTGACATTGCTTTTTTTTTTTTTTTTTTTTTAAAAAAAAAAAAAAGTCCAAAAGCCTCGTCTGTTCCAATCAACTGTTGGCAAAATTAAAAATATTAGCAAAAAAAAAAACCCCTAATATGTTCTTTCCTTCTCTCTGCGTATGTGTATGTATAGCAAAAGGCGACAGTGTACAAAATCACTGGAGGGATCCTGCCAAAGGAAATATGGCTGTTGTACTGTCCATGATCTTAGTGTTGGACAATGGGTTCAGTTTATTCATCACGAGAGCCTCAAGCACATGGTCATTATGACTCTCAGCTGAGTATACTCAAGGTATAACAAAAAAAAAAAAAAAAAAAAAAAACGAAGTTGATGATTGAGAATAATATTTCCAAATCATATCAAACTTCTGATCTGGGAAAGAATATCCTATTTTTTTTTTTTTTTTTTTTTTTTTAATGATATCCATAGGTTCTTTCAGATTTTCTATATCAGATCCAAACAACACATTGAGGAACAATCACAATCGCCGGAACAAAATCAGAAGAATACAGACAACACCTTTATTTCCAATCTTTTCGGAGCCTCCAGTGAAAATGGCTTTATTGTTGGACAACCCAACTCTCATACATGGGTCTGTGCTGTCACAGATAGCGTCCTGACATTTTTGAAGTAAACTGTGCGTACCTCGAGATCATTATCCAGCTAAAGGTCATTTATAAAAATAAATAATAAAACAAAAAGTCTAGATTACAAAATCCCTTTCTCATTTGACTAACATGATCGTTCGGAATTTACATGGTATAAATAGGTAGCATATCAAGTTGTCTAAGTAAAGATTTCCAGCGGCGTCACCGCGCCTTCAACAATATTACCCAGCAAATTTTCTTTACACAAGAACCTTGTTGGAAACTCCACTAAATGTCCAGTGATGCCCTGAAGTTTCTCAGTCACATTCTCTACCGTTGCTCCCTCCATGACCACATGTCCTGTCAATACTTTCTTATTGTCCGGAATAAATGCTTTGTACTCATCCCACGTTTCCACAGTTTGATCTGGAACACAGTGAAAGATCTCTCGGAAAATCAATGTGTTTTGGTTCGCAACCCGCTTCCACCAATTCACATAGAAATCGTCGTGCAGTGGGTCCATGACAATTTGATCCGCCGTCTTGGGATCTTGCTTGACCTTACTATCCGATAACTTTGCATGCCATTGCTGAATGCCTTCGAATCCTCTTCATCTGCGTCGATGTTTGTAAAACCTCCGTGACCAAATGGTACATGGACTTTTTCCTCCTGCTGCTCTGTAAGCGAATCAGCAATAAGCTCCTTACATACAAGCGCAGGTCCTTGCTTGGCGCTTCAAGATCAACAGGCAACACACTTGCTTGAGTTACAACATCATGCTCAACGTGAGGTAGTAATCCCAGATGCTCTTTGAACAGATCTGTTCGGAGAGCGTGTGCAATCTTTCCAGCTTGGTACTTTTTTTTTTTAAAAAAAAAAAAAAAAAAAAAAGAGATATGAGTAACTGTGCTGATGCTATTAAGCTGTGATCATGATAACGACACGAACTTTTTCCCCTTACCTCTTCTCCATTCATCTTGGAAGGAACCATCTCCGTATCCTCAATTATAATAGCAATCTCTGAATCACGATATCCAACTTGAGAGCGGTCATTAATATTTGCTATGTAAAGTTAAAAGCGTTATATCAGCTCAATGATCATTTACGAAAGAGAAAAAAAAAAAAAAAAAGCTCAGGAACTTACCAGATCCAATAATAATTATTCGATCATCGATAATCATCAGTTTGCTGTGGACATATAATTGCTTGTTACAAAGTCATCCACCTCGTTATCTTCGATTAATGAGTCATCATCGTCCTTGGTTTTCGAGCTGCTGCCACTACTACTACTGTTGCTGATAGGGAGAGGAGCGTTCTCAGGTGATTGAGATGCATTGCTCTCTTTTGGTGCAGGCTCGATAATCATCTCAGACTCCTCTTTAGCCTTTTCAATCATTTTGATCATTGACGTCATCAATATTAGAACCATCTGTATATGAAGGCGTATGGTTCTTATTGCTCCAGACCTATCAAAGATAGGATTGCGCGTAATCTTGTGATGCTTGGGCTCTAGATCGCCTCTTCCTTTTGCCTTTTAGAGTATTCACAACATTTCGGATTTGCGTGCCTAAACCTTCGGCCACATGTGGCTCGCTGTTCTCAGTAGTTCCCCTTATAATGATGTTTCTTAGCCTCCTTTTCTTTTTTTCTTCGTATCCTTACGGGCCTTTTCAGCTCCCTTTTGTCCTTCAAAGTCCTCTCGGTGGCTGCAGGGATGAATCCATGTTCTCTTCGGACATACCCATGGCTCGTTTGTAATGCTCTCATCCCATCTTCTATGCTTGTCTTGAGCCCTACGCCTATGCTATTGCCTTCATACGCTCTGCCCGCTTATCACGCGGAATAGGGTCGAGAAGAAACTTCGAAGCAAGTGACTTGCGTTCTTTTACTTCACCGCCCTCTGCAGCCTTGACCTGTTTGTCTTCGTCTGCAGAGATATGGAGTGACTGGAGCCCGAGGGTGTTGATTCTTACTAGAACCGGCCTGTACTCTGCCCTTCTCCTGAGTATCAACCGAATCAGCAGTCTCCCCAGTTTGACCAGAAGACAATAGTACTCCTTCAAGCTCAGCCTCTTTAACTGCTTCTAGAATTGCGTCAAACTTTCCATGTTTGATGCGGTCGAAACTACGAAGCCCATAAAAGCCGATATACTGGTCTGGGTTGATGCCATTAGCCTCCAATCGTTCCAGCACAGAGTTCCCTCCACGACAAATGGACATATATTGGAAATGCATGACTTTGCGTAAAGTGCCTGCCTCGCTTGCCATGATGTCAGCTTCGAATGCAGGCATAAGTGGCATCATGACAATCACTCGGAACTTTTCGCCCTTACTGTGTGCTCTAATAATGCGATTCACTATGGCTATTCCAATAGTGTTCTTGAGCTCAGGGTTGCCATCCTCCACAGCAAGGGTGACTAAATGGAACAACAAAGTAACCGATTAACAATTGAAACAGAATGGCGGAGTAGATGACCACCATAATAGAGTCAATGAATACAAACATCATCTTACCGAAGAATTGATTTTCAATGTAAATAAAGTGTTCTGCGTTTTCAATGCAGGATAAGTAAGCATTTTGGATTGAACGCTCCAAATCCACACCTTGCGACCAAGTGGTGCTGCTTCGAAGAATCTGAACCTTTTGCGTGCCTGTCCAACCGGATTCGTTGCGTGTGCTGACGAATTCTCCCTTGGGGGTCAAGAACTTCATGTGTGTTTTTTTCATACCCTTTTCACGCTTCACAAAATTCCAACGCTTGAACAAAGTGGCGTGCAATATCTCCGAGCGGGTTGACCTGCAACACCAATCGAGACATCATGCCATGGCATACGACTAAGCAATTTACGCTCAATCAGATCACTATGGTACTCTTTTACTGTTAATATAAGACAAGGATTATGATAAACAAAGTCGAATCAGTTCACGCTCTTGAATGCAAAAAAAAAAAAAAAAAAAAAAAAGTGTGCTGCCCCCATTTTTGTAAGGGCTAAAGAGTCACTGTACCATTGACAAAATCCTTAATACGCGGATTGGAATAATCTTGACCTGGCCAAATAGTTCCACTTCCGGAAGGGTGATAGTCTGATAGCTGGTGAGTTCTACTATCATATCTCCAAAACAAGATCGAGACCACCAATGAAAGCCAAACGACAATCAATCACGCAGATTTTCTAAAATGATGCGAAATTAAGATTTGCCTATTCTTTAGCTTTGGATCTCAAAGATAGTAGAGGAGTCCTGACATGTAAAGCAAATCACTAACCTCGTGATGGGCCCAAAACTGAGTAGCATTGACACCAATATGATCAGGATGGCGTTGAACTATTGAAATAATGTTTTTTACATAATGTACAAGACCAATGAGTTATTGTTCTTTTGGTAGTACCCACAAAGGTCTGAATGAATACATACCCTGAATGTTACGATGAAGGTCTTGAAGCCAGGTCTTAGTATGGGCAGAATCCAGTGTCAAAGCAAGCGAGATCTCCTTGTAAACAACTACGTATATCTTCACCTTCCTCCGCCTTCCTCTTGAGCAATCGGTCCAACCTAAATTCTTCGTTTTTCTCAGGTGGACGCCGAAGGTACTTTTTACAAAAATACAAAGTTGGGATAATGTAAAATCATTAAAAGTTGGTTATAGTTTTATCGAACGTCAGCTGCAACCTAAAAAAATAAAAACAAGATAATTACCAATTCGGGAGACAGCCACCAGTCCGCAATATAAATTTCGTTTTTGGCCGCCAGGATGGCATCTGAAACTGCATGAAAGTAGTCCTTGCCATCAACATAATAGCGAATCTTTGCATCCTCACGTTCAGGTGCGAAGCTATCAAAGCGGTGATTCTTGACCCAAGGGCTTGCTTGCTCCATCTTTTTGATGTGATCCACCCACTCAATCATCTCTCGGTTATACCCGCCTTTCATCTCAACCTTGCGATGCATGTTTCCAATCTCAATATGATGCAAATTAAGGCCAAGGACCTGTTCTTTATGCTTAACATAAAAGTTTTGATCAAAGATGAACACGTCCGAACATCATCTGAGCTAATATCAGGCAAAAATGCCATATAAGAATCGCGAAGGATAGCCCATGATCGAGTGTACTCCGAGAATTCTATGGTATTCCACAGAATGTTTTGGTAATATCGACGACTTTGGTTTCCACGTACCCTCTTTACCTTTCCAACCCATATCTTTGGTTAGCGACAATGCTGAAATCTCAAGGAACTCGTAAAGATCATAGCAACTGTGCCATTGAGCGCCTGCATCACTGCAAGAGGTAATTTGTAGTTGCGGCGAGCCAAGTTTGTCTCCCTTACAGCTGTGTCCTTGAAAACAACAACGCCCATGCTACCTATACACACCAATAGCCCAGTTTCCGGTCAGACAAATATTTGCAATAAAAAAACGAAGGCAACCATTACATTGGCAGTTAATCAGACCTGTCAGGGAATCTGGTATGTTTCGATATCGCTTGGCTGTTAAAGTCAGGTGCAGTTTATAGAGTCGTAAAGTGTTCGACGGATAACCATTTGATATCTCCATATTGAACTCAACGCGGAAGATCATATGTATTCCAGCCCCAGGATCTGATTCCGAGTCGACAATACCGAGCTAACGATACAATTCAGACAGAGATAATAGGGTCAGTACTAAAACCCTTGTTGAAAGGTACAAATCTTTAACGTAAATTTTTTACTTGATGCCAAAATGAACCATACCTTAAATCAGCTGAAAAAGGATGGGTGGCTATACAGGAAATGATAAATTAGAGGGTCAGGTTAATTGAGTTGGATTTTTCTTTGCGAACGTTCATCAAGCGAACTTGCTCATGACATAATCACGACGTTGAATAGCATGATAAATATGTCTCTGATCAGAAATGTTGGTTGTCAAAGTCAAATGACAAAAATATTCCAGTTTTGGGCACCCCTTTACTAGACTGTAGAGGGAAAATGTCATAGCTCAGGAAAGAAACAAATCATTGTCCAGAGAGTCATAAAGACATGCACCGAAACGGTTGCAACAGATGTAATGGATAATACTCAAGGGCTTCCTCCAACTAGAGTAAAAAACTTACTGGCTGCGCCCTTTTTCATCTTTTTGAAACAAAAATGCTGGGGCTGCTGCGCCTGTCACAGCCAAGGATTCAACTGTAAATTCTATCGTCTCCAGATTTTACCACGGAAGAGTTAGTGAAAGCATTTGCAGCATGATCTATTGTTGTCAGCTTTCTAGGTGGAATTGCTGGGCGAGGAGGTACTGTAAGTTGAAAAAATATAAAAAAAAAAAAAAAGTTAGTTTCTTCTCACGGACTGTACGTCATTTTTGCAAAAAAAAAAAAAAAAAAAAAAAAACCTACAGCTGGCTCTGGTGCTTGAAGTAGGTCAGTACTACTTCTGAGCTTTCACTTCGAAGGAATTGGGATGGTAGGAAGTATGAGTACCAATGCTGATGACGTTGCTGCTGGTTCCGCTTCTGGGTGTCGGACTAGACTGGCTCTCTTCTTGAATAGGGGTTTGTAGTGCGCCCGGGTCGCTCTTTCTGTATTTCACGACACGGCCAATAGCGTACCCGGTCCAACTTCTGCAACGATTCTGGTGTTTGGGGGCTATGGCGTTTGTATCGTCGAGTTTTGGAGAAGCGCATCGGGGAGTTTTGTCAAACCCTCAACCTGCTTCATGTGCTGTCGCTGCTGCTCTTCCGCAAGCAAAGCGCTGAGATTAAGTGGACGAGTTGAGTCACTAGATTGTGAGTAGTGGCTCATGTCTGAAAAAAAAATAAATAAATAAATAAACTATTTGGAGCACAGATTAGATTTAACAGTAAAATGCACGCTCAGAATAGATGAACCAGAGTAATGACGATTGCAGGTCAAATAATCAAAGAAGAAATGGGGAGTGAAGAGTGAAGAGTAAAGAGAGAAAGAGAAGAAATAGAAAAAAGAAAAAGAAAAAGAAAAAAAAAAAGAGAGAGTGAGTGAGAGAGAGAAGAATGTGAGAGCGAGAAGTGTGGCATGCTCAATCCTCTTTTCCTTTCTCTGAGCTTGAAGGCACAGCTTTGCACAACAAAGCCCAATCCTCTTTGCCCAACATGAAGTTAAATAAAGTATTACTTCCGAAGACGAATCCCTACACGTTCACTCAAACAACTATTCTTAATGCCTTTACTTTTTTTTTTTTTTTTTTTTTTTTAATTAAAAAATGATGTAGGCTGGAACCTTGTCTATTATCGGGTCAAATATTAATGTCAGCAACAACTTTGTCCCTTCGGATGCTCTCTTTCTCAATTTCAGTGACATAGCCATTGCGCTTATACCAACATGAGCAACATTGTTGATCCGAATAGGGTATATTTTGGTCCGTTGACATCCATCATGACAAAAAAAAAAAAACACACAATATTCAAACTAAGCTCATAAGATAAAAAGGTTCGACTTTCTTCACTTCATTTAAGACAAAAGTATGTGAATTCAAATCTGAGGCTGAGTAACCATTCTTACCCCTGAAATTGCTTCGCATGGATGAAGAATATTTCTGAAACAACTGTCTCATAAATCTTTTAGGAAACCTGGCCATCCGCAATAGCCCTTTGTATTGAAGTTTGAGGAATAAAAAAATCAAATGTTGTATGATCTTCAAACATCATCCTTGAGGATGTGAATAGCGCCATTTGGTGCATGAAAACGTCTGTGTGGGAATAGAGCACATTTCATGGTACATTTGGTGTTCAACTTTCTGATATCCTGGCTTGGTTTGCTGCATCTTGGTCACGTGAATTCAGCGCCTGGCCTGGCTTTTTTTTTTCCTTGAGTGTCCCTGAAGGATAAGAACAGAAAAAAAAAGTTCATCCTTTTTAACACATTGAACACCTTGCACTTTGCACTATTGCACTTTTGCACTTTTTGCACCTGCTCTCATTGCACTAACCATTGCTTTCTGCCTTTTTTTTTGTTTCTTTCGACATTTTGCGCTAGACACATCCTTTTCGGATTCAAGAATTCACACGCAAGAACTTTGCTGTACCTCTTTCAGCCAATAGCATTTTTTTAAGAGAAAGACCGTCTATTATTTTATCACAAATCAAAAAAAAAAAAAAAAAAAAAAAAGTATGGCCCACAAAGTGCCTGATATGCATGAAACAACCGACATCCAGCACATCCTCTGCTTCTACGGGTGCCTCGTCCTCGGCTCAAGGTTCTGTGACAGTTCAGCAGCAACAGCAACAGTTTGCACAGGAGTTTTGGGAGGAACAGGTTATTGCTGCTGAACAGTTTGATTCTGATTATAAAGTCCATCCATTACCGCTGGCGCGTATCAAAAAGGTCATGAAATCTGATCCTGAGGTTAAGGTAATATTACGCAACTAAGAATATCTCGAGGAATACAGAGTGGAATAGAGAGAGAGAAAAAACTGGGCTAAATAAACCAATCTAATTCTTTTTTTTTTTTTTTTTTTTTTTTTTTTTTGGTTATAAAAAGATGATTTCAGCGGAAGCACCTATACTGTTTTCAAAAGCGTGCGAGATTTTCATTTGTGAAATCACACGGCGTGCTTGGATGCATGCGGAAGAAAACAAGAGAAGGACATTACAGAGGAGCGACGTCGCCAGCGCGGTCTCACGGTCAGATCAATTCGACTTTTTAATTGATATTGTCCTCGAGAGGAACCACCTAAAACAAAAAGATCATCCGCGCGCGAGGATCCTGCACCCAACGTAAGTTGGAAGGCGAGATAACTGCAAAAGAAGAGTTATTTTATAAATATCAATATCCTGATGGTTTATATATATATATAGGCTGAAACTATGATGATCAATACAGTCAGTATTACGCTCAAAGCGCAGGAGGATTGGCAGGATATGCTCATGCGATCGACGGTGCCTCAATCTACCAGTCATGTCCCCAGAGCAGTTTCAACAGTACGTTCAGTACCAGCAACAGCAGGCTGCAGCTGCACAATCATATCATTCTCAACAACAACAGCAACAACAACATCAGCCACCAGCTCTCGTGGGGGATCAGTTGGTTACACAGCACAAGAGTAACGACACTCTTTATTGCACTCTTGAAACGGTTCATTAGCTGAACTAAACCAACTTCATTATACTTTTCATTCATTGTCATTTTGGTTATTCTCTACTCTAAACCCATGAACAATAAAGTAGAGTACCTACCCGTTATACCTGAAGACTTGCTCTAGACGAATGCACCATCTCCTTATTTGCAAACTGATAGGTTTTATAAAAAAAAATACATGTCATAAACGCTCATTAAACTCCTCTCAATCTGATATGAGACAAGGTTATCTTTCGCGCACACACCCATTGCAAATCAATGAACAATTTCTCTTTAGATATTTGACAAGTTAAATTTACCTATATCATATTAGGGTCGAGCTCAACCTGTTTTGTAGAAGAAACCATGGACAGACGTACCTCCTAATGTGTGAGAGATCCAAGTTGAATCTCAAAACAAACGGTTAAAAAAGCGGAAGTCGCCGCTACTTTGCTTTCTAGTGACAAATCTCTTCTGGTGGTGATATCGCTCCAGGCCACATTACTCACAATGATTTGTCTTCAACGCTAGCACAACGTCACAGATATACTCCTACTAGAGTCTTGGTGTGTTAAAAGAGATGACACAAGTTCTTTGGATTAAGTGCAGCTTCTTACTTTTACTTCTTTATTAAGTAGTTATATGCTATCTAGCTATCTAACTTACCTGATTGCACCCTAAGCTACAGGCGGCCAGACTCTTGGCCAGCTTGAGAGGTATTTCTTCTTTATTTTCATCAAAAACATCCTCCCAAGCCATTGTCTAGAACACACCGGCCTGGCCCACATCATGCTCCGTCAGGTCAGGCCCCATGGCCTCGCAAACGCCCGCACACACCCACACACACCCACACACACCTATTTGCCCACCCTCTTATCCCCACCCGTCTACCCAATCGAAGGACTCCACCACCGCATGGTCCGTTGAAGAATCAGCTCAGGTGTATGCCCGTTTGGACCTTGGATATGTGTTGCTTAGAGTTTGTTCGCGTTGTATATACCACTGCTATAATAAAGATTGTTTTGTGTTAGTTCAGTTTGTGTTGTTTTTTTATGATTTTTTTTCTTATGACGTGTTTGTCTAGGCTCACTGTGGATCTTTGGTTTCATTCTCCAGGTGCGAGACGTCAGTCTTCAAGTATCGGCGCAGTCCAGAGCGCACCATGAAGAGAGGGCCTGCTCACCATGTCTTTGGGTTGCTCAAGGAGGCGGTCTAGCTGCTGGGGCGATCTGGTCTAGCTGTTTGGATGAGGAGCCAGCCGGCTGAGTGACGGAGTGACAGCCTAGTTGGCTGATCAAGCCTGCCTGGCTGGTTGGACGAGATGTCCTGGCCGTTTCAGCAAGGAGAACATAGCTGGGTGAGTCGATACCGTTTGTTTATAGGAGCATCAGTTGCCCATGGAGTTGGCCAGAGCCACTGCACTCCGGCTGGTTTGGGGGTAGGGGATTCGTATCGTTTATGGCCTAAGAGTGACAAGGAAAGATAGAGGCAGAAAGGAAAATATAAAGCCAGAATAAGGGCTATACAGCATATAGTGAAAGGGCTGAGCGCCTCAGTAGGAGTGGATGTTTGGAGAGTGTTGCTTACCTGTCATCTTGGTCATAGAGAAAAAGAAGAGAACAGAAAAAATTGAGATTGGCCCTTTATACATTCGTCTTTAAAAGCACTTACGAAGGGAGGATAAAGCGATGAGTGGTTCTTGAAAGCGATCAAGAGCACGAGAATGAGTAAAGCCATTATGTGATAGAAAAGAGTCGACTGAGCAATGAGTATACCATGTGCCTTGCTTTTGTAAAGAGAAACCGATATATGGATGGTGGCAAAAGAAATCCAAGCTTAAATGCCGCCGCCTTGCCAAGCATAAGAGGAAAAGGCGTGAGTGAACTGATAGTATATGACAATGGTATCATCCATAGCCTAAATCAACCATTATTATCGCTACTAATTTTCTATTTCTATTGAGGACATTTGCATTCATAATAATCACAGATCCACCAAAATTTCAGACAAAAGACAAAGATCGCTGTATCTGATCTTGTCTTTTAATATTTATTGTTAGTTGTTTACTATGTTGTGGTTTTCAAGCTGTGTCTTAGGCCAAGAGTGGTGATGCCCTTGGTAAATGTGCTTGACTGGATATTTCCTAGTCTGCTTGGATTCATTTGACGATGCTTTTTAGTATGTTCTTTGATGGCGCCTTGGCTTGGTAACCTTGGTTGACTGGGCCTAGTGGCCTGGCTTTGGGTAGGCTGCCCTTGGTTGGCTGGTTTTGATTGTCTGGACTCTTTTTTTTTTTTTTTTTTTTTTTTGCAGTTAACTGCTATCTGCTACTTGCTTTCTGGCTTCTGACTTTTGGCTTCTGATTTCTAGCTTCTGACTTTTGGCTTCTGGCTTCTGGCTTCTGGCTTTTGGCTTCTGCTTTCTGGCTCCTGGCTTCTGGCTTTTGTCTTCTGCTTTCTGGCTCCTGGCTTCTGGATTTTGGCTTCTGCTTTCTGGATTTTGGCTTCTGCTTTCTGGATTTTGGCTTCTGCTTTCTGGATTTTGGCTTCTGGATTTTGGCTTCTGGTTTTTGACTCCTGGCTTCTGGTTTCTGGCTTCTGGCTTTTGGCTTCTGACTTCTGGCTTTTGTCTTCTGGTTTCTGGCTTTTGGTTTCTGGCTTGGCTTCTGGTTTCTGGCTTCTGGCTTCTGGCTCCTGGTTTCTGGCTTCTGGTTTCTGGCTTCTGGTTTCTGGCTTCTGGTTTCTGGCTTCTGGTTTCTGGCTTCTGGTTTCTGGCTTTTGGTTTCTGGCTTTTGTCTTCTGGTTTCTGACTCTTAGCTTTTGGTTTTTGACTTCTGGCTTCAGGTCTTTCTTTTTTTTTTTTTTTGAAGTTTTTTTGAATTTTTTGAATTTTTTTTTTTTTTTTTTTTTTTTTTTTTCAAGTTTTTTTTGAAGTTTTTTTTATATTGGCCGTTGGCTGTTGGCTGTTGGCTGTTGGTTTTGGTTGTTAGCTCTGAGACTATCTCCCTAGGCGCTCTACCTTGGGCCGATGCTCTTTCCCAGGCCTTCTGCTTTCCTCCATGGATCGTAGGCCTCGCTCCTTCAAGCGAAAGTCCCATTGCAGTGGTCTATCGAACGACTAATCAATGGAGCCTCACTTTGACCAGAGCACCTTTGGTTCAGACGGCAGGAAACAGGGGTCACACAACATGACGCCTCTACGCCATGCACCCACTGCGACCAGGCGTCCCTGGCGCAGCATCGCTAATTGGATAACCTAAGGATGATAAGTCAGTAGCAATGAACTATCCACAAAACCCTATAGAGCACCGAGTTGCCAAAGATTCTATCTAATCAGAGAGAACGAAAGCAAAGGTAAAATAGAATTAATATGCTCTTTGTGTCTTCCTTTTCACCTACCTTAGGTGTTACCAGGCCTCGATAACACCTGATCCTGATCCTGATCCTGATCCTGCTGGAGGGGGAATCTCCTTGACGGCCGAGGCTCGAGCTCTACAGGTCCAGTGAATAATTCATTGATACTGACTTACCATTCTTAGGCTACCGCAACTGTGTGTCATCCTGTCCTACACGAAATCCCCAGAGGCACTCGGATCAAAGTGAGGCTCAGAGACTAGAAGTTCTCTAGCACCACCACAATTGTCCTTCCTCAAGAGGTCGTGAGGGCCCGACGAGGTTCGGAGGAAGCAGGAGAGGGCCGGCGGAGTGGCCCCCGGGCTCCGATGGTAGGACGGAGCGGAGCCCTTATCGAATTGGATAGGCCTCTAAGGAAAAGAGTCGAAAAAAAAAAAAAAAAAAAAAAAAAAAACGTGGTTAGAATATTTGGTAACCAGAGTACAGGAGACCATATCTCATTACAAAGAACAGCATAGCACCAAAAGAGAAAAAAAAGTGTAATTATTTACTCAATAAGAAAGAGTACTTACAAATCCGTTTGGGCCCTATTTGGTAAGCACTGCATGAGCTTATTGCAGTCTTTGGGATGGTCGCCGCTGAGCATCCATAGGTAGTGTTCCTTGCGATGATCAGAAGGACAAAGGTAAAAGAAAAGGAATAAGTTAATGGACCTGCTGGGTTCATTTAGCAATAGCTAAACAGTGGGTGACGATAGGCAAGACAAAACGAAGCCATGCATATGTTAGATACTTACTTGATGACGGCTCTATAGTGAGTTGTATTTCACGGCTGGGATAGAGCATTTTTTATGGCCTCTGTGTGGCCTTTGCAAGGCATGTGAAGGGCAGGTGGAGAGGATGTGGGTGAAGAGAGGAGAGGAGAAAAGAAAAGAAAAGAAAAGCTGGCGGAGACGAAGGGCATTTATGAAAATTGTTTTTCTTTTTTGTGTCGTCGATATGACGTTTTACAGCAACGCAAAGGAAACTTGGTGTCCCACTGCCAAAGGTATTAAATAATAATACTAATATCCATCATATGTCAGCAATAAAGAAAGCCATTGTGAAGTATAATGGTAAGCGAATGAGTGAGTAAAAAATAAATATTTAAAATGTAAAGAGATAACGCGTTCAGAGGGATGCCACAAAATTATTTATTTTCCGCCATGACGCCTTCGGTCAGATGTTCACATGAAAACTCTATTTTCTGGTTGGTCAAAACATTTACACGGCAGATAAGAGAAGCAGACATTGTCCATCTTCGGTAAAATTAACCTTTTTTATCTCCAAATGCTGTATGAATGAGTATGGAAAGAACCATTGAGTCAAATATAATGAATAATACAAAATAATGCATTATATAGACATATACTTTCTTGCTGTCGACGGCGAGGGCTCTTTGGCGGATTGTGCTTTGGAGAAAAGGAGAAAGGAATGCTGAGTGGTTTTTGTAATCGCTCAGGAAAAATAGTAAGTGAAACCAATTTGTGATCTCAAAGTATTGACTGAATAGCAATACAAATACGACATTTTTGCTTTTATGCAAGAAAAAAAAGAAAAGAAAACGGCATAGCGGGAATTGAAATCAATAATCTGTGCACCTGTGATATCATTCGTCAATTTTCATATGCTTACAAGGTGGAGAAAGAGAACAACATTCCATCCTCAAAGATATGCAGGGTCATATATACAACAACCTACCTGCCCACAACAAGAGCACGAGCCACATTGCCCTCTTTGTATGGTATACAACAAAGAAAGAAAGAAAGAAAGAACAGTGAGCAATGTGCTGTAGCTGGAGTAAAAGGACGAGACCCAAAGTACAAGCATATTAAAACTCGCATACTCTGTTTTTCACCAGCATTAAGCGCGAGTACCTTTTGGTTCTTAGTAATGAGGTTCATCAGGAACTACCAGTCAAGTTTGGTACTTAATCCTCTTCTTCTATTCTCTCTCTTCATCCCTAATAAGGAATATAAAGTCTATCGCGCGAACTGTACTGCGGCAGTTTTATCCGAACAGACCTTTTTTTTTTCCTTTCCTTTTCAGAACGCCAAGGAAATACGACATGTATTCCTCGGCGCGCTTGCGTGCTTTTTATTGGTCGACATATAAACGTTGATACTTTGTTTCACCAAAATCCACCGCCTAATCAGCTGCTATTCACTATTCTTTATTACATATTTTACATTGTATTACATGAAATTAAAAATAAAAAAAAAATAAAAAAAGACACAATGATATATATTCTGAAGATTGTATGGTTAGTACAAAGGAAAATTAACCTGTCCCATACTCAGGTCGACCTCACTTCCCGCACTGGGCGGATTAAGCTATTAACAGTAAAAATATAACAATCATGTGAAAGCAACGCAGAAAAGAATTCAAAAGAGTCAGAGCGTGAATGGACAAAGTAAGCCTTGTTCAAGCAGGATCCTAGCAACCGCGTTGTTCGGTATTTTCTTGCAATTGAAAGATCGTAGTAAGTATACCGCTCTAAAAACGATTACACCTATCTTTTTACACCTCTTTTTACACCTACGCCTCTTTTTACACCTACACCTCTTTTTACACCTCTTTTTACACCTACACCTTTTTTTACACCTCTTTTTACACTTACACCTCTTTTGCACCTCCGCTTATTTTACACCTACGCCTCATTATACATTTTCTGGAGCATTTTGTTCATAGAGTGTAGAAAATAAATCCCCATGACCCTGAGGATCCTTGTTATCAAAAAAAAAAAAAAAAAAAAAAAAAAAGCCTCATTATACATCTACAATATATTGAGGTTCTTACTAAGAATGATTATATAATTTTTTTTTAGTACAAGGTTATTCCGTAACAACAATACCATCACTGCAAGTAAAATTAATGAAAGAGAAGGCTGCTCGTATTTTACTTGGAATTTCATAAGCGGGGCCCTGGATTTGCTTGAAATCCAAACGGGGTGCTTTGAGAAGTTGATTATCGTAAATGGAGGTCAAGCATTTAAGAGGAAGGAATCTGCAAGTAGAGCTGATGGGATTGCTGTTAATGGAGAAGGCCATCAGATCTACCTTGCAGAAGCTGCACTCCTTAATGGAGCGATACGAAGTAAGGAGGGGAGCGATGAGCATAAAGTCAAGCGATGTATGCTTAACTCATGGTTATATCAAATGAATGACATCTGCAAGCTGTCCAATCCACCGACGAGCACGAAGATATTCGGATCAACATCGTATGGAAAAGACACGAAGTTTTATTGCCTGCACTACAAAGGCGTCTTCCAAATTGACTTCTTTTCAGAGTAACTTGTTCTCCCCTCCCTTCCTCCCCCCCATGAAATCAATACTTCAACATTTCTACTCTCTTAGGACCAGGTTAAAGCAACAGAATGATTGTCCTGAGATGGAAAATCAATTTTGTGCGCAGTTGCTTTTGAAGTGCTGTGAATTTGCAGCTAAGCATTTCTTATTCCCTCATTCCATTAATGTCGTTAGACATCTTAATGCTTTGGTTCGTTATGAAAATGCTGGAAAGAACGTCCTCGCCTAGAAGTTATTAAAGGTCCAGTGCAAAATAACTCGAGAGAGACTGAAGGCTTTGGGTCCGCACTACGTAAAAAAGCATCAGCGGTACGAATCAACAGTAAAAACCTTGAAACATCTTAATCGTCTTGGAAAGGAGGTTTTGCCGAGGTGGGTTTTGTTTCCAGGTGATTTTATTGTATCAGACGAAGAGTTCAATTCAGTCGATAATATCAGAGTGGACATCGAAGGTATTCAGTCATGCACATAAAGATGATAATTTGTTCAAGCTTGTCGCTCTTTTTGGTTAGTCCTTTTTCAATTATAAGGATTTTGTTAAGTAAACCATTTATATTTGAAAGAGTCTAGCCAAAAAGAGCGACAAGCTTGACCCTCTGGTATCATGATGTTAATTTTTTATTATCTTTATTTGTTTCATAGATACAGAGTTGTTTACAATGTTATTGACCCCTACTCATCAGTTGGAAAAAATGAAGACAGGAGTAAAAGAAGAGTGGAGAATGAAGTGGATCGTGCAGAAACAAATCATGAAACTATCACTGCAAAGCGATTGAAGACCCAGCTAATATCTGCGAGGTGAAGAAGGAGGCGAAAATGAATATACCGATAGGATGTGCAGGTGGCTCGAAGAAATTTGTGAAGATGTTCCAGAGGAGGTCAAGCAGAAACTCGCGCATTATGTTAGCAAATCTGAACAAACCAATGATGAAACAGAGTCTTTGTTGGGAACAATCAATCAGCTTACCTTTAAAAAGCAAGCGCCATCGGTCACTGAATTATTGCCATCCATCACAGCAAAAACTACCATTCATACAGCACACACATATATCCTGGCTGCATCATTACTAGCAATCGAGATGATGTTGGTAATCCAAAATGAACAAGAAGAGAAAAAAAAAATAATTGCTCAATGAAACGAATAAATAAGTCTATCATAAAACAACAACTGGTCAAATGCAGAGAAAAGGTGAATAGAATATAACAAACACTAGTACGAAAAGTACGTTGTATTAATATACTTCCTACAAACAAAAAAAAAAAAGAAAATTTGAGTCAAGGTCCTTTGGCTATGAGAGACCAGGTTGAGAACCATGTTCTACTTGACATACTAACGCGCCACACAGCCCTCTTGCCATTAACGAGGAATCCGTGATCCATGCAATAGCAGCCTTCTCAAAATCCTGAAAACACACTGTTTGAGCCAGTAGGACACTCCAATGCAGTTGTTAAGACCTTAATTATGATTAAAAGGAATTAAATAAACCAAATCGAATATGACTATCTCCTTTCTTTGGCTAGTCAAGAGACAAAGTAAATCGTAAAATGAAATTAGATTTTTTTATTTTAAAAGAATAGAAGCAATATTCTGTAATTTTTTTCTACGTCATTCACTCGTAGTATGTCATTGAATCGTTGCTGGCCGAGTTTGTGTTGCTCAGTCAACCGCGTATAATGCTCAATCTGTAGTCAAGAATGGGCTAAGGCTTGTCGCGCATCCAATTCATCTAAGGACTGTCTTGCCTTTTTTCTTGACCCCTCTTCGATTCAGGAACAAGAGGTACCTTGCTTGGGAATAGAATTGGAGTTCTCTCTACGCATACAAAGGAGGGATCTATTGGACCAATCACCATTTGTGTTTGTACATTCTTCCTCCTCAGATCCGGCTGCAAGCAACTTTTCCATTTCATCTTCGTCATAAGCCCTCTTTGTTTTTAATAGTCGGGGTGCTGGCGGTGGCTGAAGAAAAATACTTTTTTCAAATGTCTTTTTATACTTTTACTCTTTTACTAATGTAACATTTTCTCCTGTTTTTTCGCTAGACACTGTTCTACTAGTAAAAAATATTCTCTCATATTGCTTGTTCTTCTAATATATGATGAACAGATGTTATTGATTTTTCCAACCTGATGGTTTTTCTTTCCTTCACAGAAAATTAGGTAATTTTTTTTGCATTTCCTATAAATTTAATTTTATTTAATGCATGCTTTTCATTTAAAAATAAATATTCAAAGCTTGATCAATAATAGGTTGCTTGTCCAGAATGTTCTCCTATCAAAAATATCCGCCGTGTCCCTTTGGTTGTTTTGTTTACTCACCAATTTCCGTCGGTTATGGATCTAATTTAACTTCATGTTTCGCCATCCTATCTAAAATAGTTGTTTTCTTACCATGCATGAATATTTAGCCTTTCGCCGTTCTCCTATCGCTAATGAGTCATCTCTCCTCCATAGGGTCGATTGTTTTAGTCTCATGATTAATCCAAAGGAAAAAGAGATGGTATGTATTCTTACCCTCGTGACAGAAAAATGGGCCACAAAAGACGCCGAGATTTGGATGAAGAAGAAAGGACGAGAAGACCCAAAAGACGACTTGATTGTGGAGGAGGTGAATCGGAAACAGAGAGTAAAAATGACAGTGGTGCAGAAGGCATTAGTTCGGACGAAGGCATCATCGAACAAGAGAAGGATGAAGTGACTTTTTCCGACGATGCAGATCCACCCTTCATTTTAACAAGACTCGAACTGGAAGAGATAGAAGAGGAGCAAGAGTGCTTAGAGATCAGCAATTCCTTAAAAACATATTGACGGTATTGAGAGCAGATGGATAAAACAGACAAACCGTCTCGACATGAAGGCAAAGATGTTGCGGTTGCTCTGGCAAAAAAAAGTGGAAGAAAGAATAAGGCAAAACTGAAGAAAGAACGGTGTGAAGTTTCCGAAAAGTATTTTCAAGAGAAACTTATTGTATCACTGGAAGTTAGAGAAAGGACAAGAACTTTTCGAACGGACAATTAAAGAAATAGCAGAAGAGATAATTAAGGAGTATAGTGATATTATAGAGTTCGGAAAAAATATTTCACAAAAGTATCATTTACATCGTTATAGTACATGTATAATTTCATTTCAAATGGTAAACTTTGTATTAACCTTAAATGTAGACGCGTCTAAAAAGCCCCTTAACGTTTAGTACTAGAATTCTGCTCTACATGGATGATGGGAGAACGAACATAAAAGGATCAAAAAGCAACGTCTCTATGAACGCTTGGCTGCCACAAGCCAGTTATTATTAACCCTTTGGGAAATTTTCTCCTCCCTTTTTCCCAATAAGGTTTTAATAAACGGGAAATATAAAAGGCGAGATTGCAAAAGAAAAGAAAAAAAACAGACAGCAAAAAATTTCTCCCTTCTATCCCTTTTATCCAAACATAAGTTGAGTATTAACATCAGTATAGAAGATATAGGTTTCCGAGTGTAAAATATAAAAATATAGAAATAAAAGAAATAAATATCGATTTTTTATTCAACGGGTTTTTCATGAATGTCTTGCCAATGTTCTTTTAGAACGCCGTAGTCGTTTTTTACTCTCGGCAGTATTGTCATTCTCACTGTCATGATCGAGTCGATTCATTTCTGTTGATTCGAAAAGCTTTGCCAAAGATTCAAAATTGTCAAACAACTTATGAATGTTCTCAAGCTTTGTCAATGTCACGAGCCCATGCTATGAACCTTTTTTTGACATTTGCTCTTGCCATTATGAAGCTTTCGAGTCGGCAAACGCTGGTGCAGGAGAGTGCAGATACATCAATGAGGGCAGAAAGTGGTTTTCCATCAAGTAGACAAAAAGAGTGAACGCCTTATTTTTGGGGTCTGCGTTTTTGTCGGAGGATTTTTTCCAACATATTTCAAGATATCCATAGAGTATGAGGAAATAAAGGATGAGAATTGAAAGTTTTTGTTTCGTTTTATTTGAAAAGGGGTTTATTTAAAATAATAACAAAGAACTACTGTTCTTGTTCGCTATTTATCATGACATGGCGATTGAACTTCTTCTCTATTTAATCTAAAAAAAAAAAAAAAAAAAAAAGAAGAATCTATTAACTCATTAAAACAACAAATAAAGGATGTCATACCTCTTTTCAAGAGCGTCTATCCTTTCACAAAGCATTTAATTACTGCCTCATGTTTTTCAACAATATCCTGTAATGAATGGCCATCTGAACATGTATCGGCATTCGAGGCTGGAGGGACCGGCGGAGCATTATTTTCGGCAACTTTTACAGGTCGTCACAGATGTACGGATGAAAAAAAGAAAAAAAAAAATACAGGGTGAGAAAGGCCATGTCTGACATGGGATCACGATGAATGAGGAAAGGTTCAGTTTGTATTTTCTAACTCGATCTCAACCAGGATGGATAAGTGATAACGATTTAAATGATCATGATATTCACGAAGTAATTTTTCTTCACCTTTTTTCTTTTTTCCACGAGTCCTTTGGCACAAAAGAAAAAAATGTATTTGTTGGATTCACTCATTGTGGAAAGATAAAAAGAAATATGAAAGAATGGTCAAGAGGAAAGAGACAAAGAACAAAACCAACACGCAGCGAGGGAGATGAGACACAAGAGAATGGAAGAAAACACAAGAAAAAGGAAGAGACACAAACCAAAAAAATAAATCTGAGCATGCAGGGGAAGAGACACGGGCCATTTTTTGGCAGACGTCGATTACGCCTTATCAGCGGCCCAATCGATGTGTCAATAAGTGGGCCAAATACCTTAAAGTTGAAGCCAAAGATAAAAATATTTGGTGTACGTGTTTCTACTTTCAAATGTGGAAGGCTGTACATGGCTAACGTCACTTTTCTGAGCCCATGTAGCCCAGTTGCTGTAATGAAGCCCGGATGGCGCATTTAAAGTGAGTTTAATGATCTGATATCTTTTTCAGAACAAATTAATGCAGCCAAGTTTCGCGGTAAATGCCTTGCGCTTCAGTATCATGATTCGATTCGTATTTTCAGTTGTCATGAAGAAAGTTTCAGTCTTCTCTTTATACTACCCTTTGTGTCCATAGCACTCTCAAGCTCATTTCTCGTATCAAAAAGTTCGAGCTCGTATTGTGTGAACCTGGTAATCAATGCCAATTTATGTCGTTTCAGGCTACCAGGCCCGCTTATTCATAAAAAGGCAGCAACTATTTATTATTATTCTACATAGTTCTTCAGATTGGGTGGATGCTACTACGTTGAATGGTGTTTACGTTATAGAAGATATTATGTCCTTACGACAAATTTGGTAGAACATGCTCCGCATGCATCGACATTTGTTGCTGAATAGATATCATTTGCCCAAAAATAGGTCCCGCAATAAGGCTCGTGACGTGACAGCCAGGTTACCCAACTCGACCCGAAGCCTTTCTGACTAATATACAAATATAGATTAAGGTATAGATACATAATGTAAACTGTTTATCATTAATGAAGAGAGAGTGTTTTAATACAATCAATGCGAAATATACAAAGCAACAGCTATTTAAACAGATCTGCAAAATTACAAGCCGATATCAAAAAATATGAGGGGGCGTTTTGGATGTTCCTTACAATGTTGGATAAAAAAAAAAAAAATAGAATTGCTGTTAGACAGTCAATAGCTCATTGTCAATTCTTTGAGTATTGCCACTCCTGTCCTTCCAGCGAGCACTCATCCGCACTGTATTAAAATCTCTATCGTGCCAGAAATGCACCAAATTCACCCCTTGCTCCAGTTCCGCGTCGGTTTGCCAGTGTGGGTGCTCAAAATAGTCGTCCTCACGGGTAAAATGAACAACCCAAGCTTCTTCTGCTGAGAGTAAGCGTCTGTAAGTTGGCGTCTTGCTGATATGGTCTTTAATAGAAGTTTGACTCCCTGTAGCCAAAAGCTCGATAACAACCGTCGGCTCTCCGGCTCTCCTGCTTTCTTGATGACAATATCACTATATTTGTGGTCCTCAAGCTCACGGAGGTGCCACTGACCAATGATCTCATATTCTTCTGCTTTGTTTAGCCAGTTGGTGAGAACCCTCATCAATTCCGTGTCATAGACGCTCTCTCGAGGGACACTGACATTGCAGTTGCCCATAACCTTAACTGTTTCCCCCGATCCTTTGTATGATCGACTTCCCGCCTGCATAATCAAGTTTTTATCGAAAAATCGAAGAGCAATCTTCATAGTCTCCAGAATATCCAATAATTCTCCTTGGCTTTCCTTTGGGGGTGACTCCGAAGGAGCGTGGGGATATTTTGATGGGATAATATATCTCCTCACAAACGAGTCAATGAATGCTGAGGCCATACAGTAGTTACTGCCACCAAGACTTATCAGCACCCCTTCTGCAGTTAGGAAATCTGCTAATTTCCGTTGCTCCATGTCTGAGATAGATTTATCGCCGAGATATCCAATAAAACGTGTTCGGAGAAGATTAACAGCATCTGTAGCTGATTCAGTCAATAATGAATCGGTCATCCTTCTGAAAGTATGGTACGAAAGCATCCTCTCATTCTGATTGTCTGTGGAGAAGTCCTGCCATGTATCGTAATCGAGACAATTCGTCGAGTCGTTGACTTTCGAGCGAAGATTCTCATGAATGGAGCGTCCACAAAGACAAATCATTCCTGGATGACTATTGACATTGAGCACAATTCATTGTATTAGAATGGCACATCAACTCGTGGAGATGAGCATTGCTAACTCGTGATTTGTAATAGCATTCAAAATTCTCCTGTTCACGTCATGCTTCGCAGTGTCAACATAATAGACTGATTTTATATCAATGAATCGGATCGCTCCATTAACAGTCCATCTCTTCTTTTTCAAAACTGGCGATACTAGAAAAAAAAAAAAAAAAAAAAAAAAAAAAAAAAACAGCAGGACCTGTCAGAAGAGAAAAATAAAGAATCGGTTTCCAATCCTTAAGGGAGAATTAGCTTACATAGGCCATATAGGTCATCGGCCCTCCTTTTTGTCTCCGAGTCTGTTGGTAAAGCAAGCAATGATAGAAATTGGCAAGAAAAAAAGAAAAAGAAAAAGCATCAGAGGTAGCCATCAAGCACATGTGCGGTGATTAACCTTTTGAAAAAAGTAGAGAACAATTAAACAAATGAGTCTTACTCGAAGTGGAAGTAGACGGATCTATACCAAAACCAAAAATAAAAAAAGATGGATCATTAGACATAATCAATGATTACAACAAGCGTCACCACATGGCAAGTAATTAAATGCTTGCATGCCGCAGTAACAGGCACAATTAGAATTTAACGGCTTCTTACCTGCCGATGGCCGCTAAACAATGACGTGTATGGTTTTCTTGGGTGGAGTTGGTCCAAAGACGTCAGAGATCTCGCTTGTTGAGTCTTCAAGTTCCTCCAGCTTCTTCTTTGACTCCTCTTCGGCAGTCAGATTGTTAAGCGCGATTTGTCAATTTTACACACATCCGATACATCCAGATAACACTCATCCATCCATCTGAGCTGCTTTTTCACCTTATCTTTCAAGTTGTGTTCATTTTATCTGAGGATTTTGTCTTTTATTGACGAGAGTACTTTTTTGACCGCAATCCTCCTTTTTACTCATGCTAACACGCGCGTTCGCACTGTTATTAATCATTTTCTAGTATCTCTATCTCTCTCTCTCTCTCTCTCTCTCTCTGTCTATTTTATATTAAGGCAAGTTTCATCTTTTATTGTATGACTCAAATTAGCTTGTAGACAAATTGCAGTCGCGGCTCTATGAGCTGCACACGGATTTAGTTCGCGGTCCGTCAGCCAGGTCGACTGTGTCTATTTTAGTTTAAATTTGGTCATTTATTTTGTTGTAAATACAGTCGCGGCTCTATGAGCTGCACACAGATTTAGCTCGCGGTCTGTCAGCCAGGCTGACTGTAACAACGTTATCCTTAAGAAGCTTGTTTCTTTCTAAATTGAATTGTACTGACGAAAAGTTCATTCCATTCTTGTAATTTCGATATGGCCGCCAAAGATTTCTTTTTAGAAAATCCGATTACCAAATGGGAAAAAAGATTCATCTCGAGCAAAGCCAGACTATATTAATTGGGCGTTGAATAAAAAAAAGGGCGAAGAGCACGTTACTTTTCCAAACTTTGTAAGAGAGTTTGGCTACACGGATAGAAACTCTGCAATCTCTGCATACACCAATCTACTTCAAGTGTCACAGATAGAAACTCGTCGGAGTGAAAGGCTTATGGATGACTTCACAGAATTTCAAAACAATTCTCTTGAACTACTTTGGAGTGAAGTTGAATCCAGAGTTGACACCATCGTTACGTCAAGAAAACAGGTGTTCTAACAAGAGCTGCAGGGCTCTAGCAAGCCATTCATGACTTTGAAAGCTTCAGTGGTAAGTTTTTTTTTTTTTTTCAAAAAAAGACAAATGCTGTCTTCATTAAATATTTGTTCATTAAAACTCATGTGCCTCCAATAATAGAAACATTAACGTCAACTAAACAGGATCAAACAAAGGTTTGTATAAATGATGAGGACAAACTAGAACCAATTATTATTATTATTATTATTATTATTATTATTATTATTATTATTATTATTATTATTATTATTATTATTATTATTATTATTATTATTATTATTATTATTATTGTTATTATTATTGCTGCTGTTGTTGAATTATTGTTAATATGTTAGTGGGTTGCCATTAATTTAATTTCAAATATCTGATGCTAGGTGTTCATCGGAAACGGACAATAGAGGAGATTGAGAATGAAGAGGACCAGGAAAACGAAGAGATACAACAATTTTCGACAATGAAACAACACAGAAGTTCGAAGTTGATGATCTTTCCTGTGACAGTAATGATGAAGTCTTTGAAGATAGTCTTGGATATGAAACTAGAAAAAGTAATGTGCAAGACTCTGAGTTCATACATCCTCCGCCTGGAAAGAAACGAAAAAATCCCAAAATGTAAGATGTCAATAGCATTGAAGTGACCCAAGACAATTAATTTTGATGATATTAATCAAATTTGGACAGTTCGATGATAATAGGAGAATTTCATTTGGAGAACGCTATTCTGATCTGAAGAATAAGTGGCAGCTCAAATCGGGAAAGATTGTTGAAAACGTTCTTTACAGGGCGGGGATGGAGATGAATGACCTCCAGTAAGTAATTTTGGTTATAGGTTTGACCCCCTCATCTTTCTTTAGCAAGCATTTTTTTTTTCTTGTCGTAATTATTCAATCGACTAACTCTTAACAGTCCAATCCAGTCTTTCATGATCGATTTAAGCGACAACAAAACCCGATCACTTTTTTCCAAGGAGGAATGGAATGAAATCGTCAACAGCATCCATATACTCCTTCATTTTCTAAAGAAGCGTTGGAATATTCTAAAATATTTGATTCCGTTTCTACAGCCAAGGATCTTGAAAGACTGTTGGAAAAGCGCCCCAGCATGTCGAATGTCGTTTAATTCACGAATGTCTCTATAACTGGTAAGTCGCAATACCCTGTTTTTGATTTATTTTTTGGATGTTGCTATTGAACCTCCATTTTTTTTTTTTTTTTTAATTTTACAGGCTAAGCATATACGAAATGAACAACCCTTCACCGTTCACTTTGCATGATAAGTTGTCAGAGCATTGGTGGATGAAATCTGCATGGGGCGTATGCACCAGTTTAGCTAAGGATATACCTGGATGTTTTGTGATTCCAGGAGAAAAGACTATCATTGATTCTTCCGTGAGAAGAAATAAAGATCGGGAATCCACTTCTACACACAAAAAGTTTGGTACTCGTTCTGACCTTATATGGAGGGATGTGAGACTACCTGAAACTGATTGGGCTGTAGCAGAAGCAGCAAAGGCTTGGTGCCCCAAAGTATATTTCAGAGAGCAAGTTTAAACTTCCAAGACAGCTTCACGATATACTCATTGGTCGGTCCATGGAGGTGGGTGGAGCAAACGAGCTGAGAAAAGCCATTGTATCAGGTCTAATAATTGGAGGTAATAATGCTAGCACTGTAGCACGTTTTAACAGTTTTTATTACAGGCATTAACAAATTGCTTATTTCATTAGGTCCGTGCATCCAATGGTTAAGCCTTTGCTGGGGTGCAGCAGGGGACAATGTTACGATTCTTGTGAAGATGGAGTCAAACAGGCTACATGCTAAAATTAGCTCCTTATCAAACTCTATATTTGCCATTCATGATCTGTTATTATTCCGGGTATGTTTTCACTTAGTTGTTGTATCTGATGAGGAAGCGACTTTATTAATGGCATGAACTTCTCTGGATATAGACATCAACCATGCATCTAATGGCAGAATACGAGTTGGCAGAAAAGCGGTTTACAAGTCGTAAGAAGAAAGAAGGTCGTATTAACCCTCGAATGCTATGCTGGAGCCAAAAGTCTCTTGGCGTAACTTGTTGCAGTCATAATATGATTTCAGCATCCTGGCCCACCATTTTTTTTTTTTTTTTTTCACTCAGTGTGTATGCATGGAAACATGTGTCAAAAGCGTGTTTCGCCCAGGCTCGTTTTTCAAAGCAACATTGTGTCAATTTCTGTAGCACGCATGGGTTTCGACTGGTCACATCATGGAGAGGATAAAATTTTGAAAAAAAAAAAAAAAAAAAAATGGTGGGCCAGGATGCTGAAATCATATTATGACTGCAACAAGTTACGCCAAGAGACTTTTGGCTCCAGCATAGCATTCGAGAGGTTAATACGACCTTCTTTCTTCTTACGACTTGTAAACCGCTTTTCTGCCAACTCGTATTCTGCCATTAGATGCATGGTTGATGTCTATATCCAGAGAAGTTCATGCCATTAATAAAGTCGCTTCCTCATCAGATACAACAACTAAGTGAAAACATACCCGGAATAATAACAGATCATGAATGGCAAATATAGAGTTTGATAAGGAGCTAATTTTAGCATGTAGCCTGTTTGACTCCATCTTCACAAGAATCGTAACATTGTCCCCTGCTGCACCCCAGCAAAGGCTTAACCATTGGATGCACGGACCTAATGAAATAAGCAATTTGTTAATGCCTGTAATAAAAACTGTTAAAACGTGCTACAGTGCTAGCATTATTACCTCCAATTATTAGACCTGATACAATGGCTTTTCTCAGCTCGTTTGCTCCACCCACCTCCATGGACCGACCAATGAGTATATCGTGAAGCTGTCTTGGAAGTTTAAACTTGCTCTCTGAAATATACTTGTTGTTTTGGGGGCACCAAGCCTTTGCTGCTTCTGCTACAGCCCAATCAGTTTCAGGTAGTCTCACATCCCTCCATATAAGGTCAGAACGAGTACCAAACTTTTTGTGTGTAGAAGTGGATTCCCGATCTTTATTTCTTCTCACGGAAGAATCAATGATAGTCTTTTCTCCTGGAATCACAAAACATCCAGGTATATCCTTAGCTAAACTGGTGCATACGCCCCATGCAGATTTCATCCACCAATGCTCTGACAACTTATCATGCAAAGTGAACGGTGAAGGGTTGTTCATTTCGTATATGCTTAGCCTGTAAAATTAAAAAAAAAAAAAAATGGAGGTTCAATAGCAACATCCAAAAAATAAATCAAAAACAGGGTATTGCGACTTACCAGTTATAGAGACATTCGTGAATTAAACGACATTCGACATGCTGGGGGCGCTTTTCCAACAGTCTTTCAAGATCCTTGGCTGTAGAAACGGAATCAAATATTTTAGAATATTCCAACGCTTCTTTAGAAAGAAGGAGTATATGGGATGCTGTTGACGATTTCATTCCATTCCTCCTTGGAAAAAAGTGATCGGGTTTTGTTGTCGCTTAAATCGATCATGAAAGACTGGATTGGACTGTTAAGAGTTAGTCGATTGAATAATTACGACAAGAAAAAAAAATGCTTGCTAAAGAAAGATGAGGGGTCAAACCTATAACCAAAATTACTTACTGGAGGTCATTCATCTCCATCCCCGCCCTGTAAAGAACGTTTTCAACAATCTTTCCCGATTTGAGCTGCCACTTATTCTTCAGATCAGAATAGCGTTCTCCAAATGAAATTCTCCTATTATCATCGAACTGTCCAAATTTGATTAATATCATCAAAATTAATTGTCTTGGGTCACTTCAATGCTATTGACATCTTACATTGTTGGGATTTTTTGTTTCTTTCCAGGCGGAGGATGTATGAACTCAGAGTCTTGCACATTACTTTTTCTAGTTTCATATCCAAGACTATCTTCAAAGACTTCATCATTACTGTCACAGGAAAGATCATCAACTTCGAACTTCTGTGTTGTTTCATTGTCGAAAATTGTTGTACTCTCTTCGTTTTCCTGGTCCTCTTCATTCTCAATCTCCTCTATTGTCCGTTTCCGATGAACACCTAGCATCAGATATTTGAAATTAAATTAATGGCAACCCACAACATATTAACAATAATTCAACAACAGCAGCAATAATAATAACAATAATAATAATAATAATAATAATAATAATAATAATAATAATAATATAATAATAATAATAATAATAATAATAATAATAATAAAATAATAATAATAATAATTGGTTCTAGTTTGTCCTCATCATTTATACAAACCTTTGTTTGATCCTGTTTAGTTGACGTTAATGTTTCTATTATTGGAGGCACATGAGTTTTAATGAACAAATATTTAATGAAGACAGCATTTGTCTTTTTTTGAAAAAAAAAAAAAAACTTACCACTGAAGCTTTCAAAGTCATGAATGGCTTGCTAGAGCCCTGCAGCTCTTGTTAGAACACCTGCTTTTCTTGACGTAACGATGGTGTCAACTCTGGATTCAACTTCACTCCAAAGTAGTTCAAGAGAATTGTTTTGAAATTCTGTGAAGTCATCCATAAGCCTTTCACTCCGACGAGTTTCTATCTGTGACACTTGAAGTAGATTGGTGTATGCAGAGATTGCAGAGTTTCTATCCGTGTAGCCAAACTCTCTTACAAAGTTTGGAAAAGTAACGTGCTCTTCGCCCTTTTTTTTATTCAACGCCCAATTAATATAGTCTGGCTTTGCTCGAGATGAATCTTGTTTTCCCATTTGGTAATCGGATTTTCTAAAAAGAAATCTTTGGCGGCCATATCGAAATTACAAGAATGGAATGAACTTTTCGTCAGTACAATTCAATTTAGAAAGAAACAAGCTTCTTAAGGATAACGTTGTTACAGTCAGCCTGGCTGACAGACCGCGAGCTAAATCTGTGTGCAGCTCATAGAGCCGCGACTGTATTTACAACAAAATAAATGACCAAATTTAAACTAAAATAGACACAGTCGACCTGGCTGACGGACCGCGAACTAAATCCGTGTGCAGCTCATAGAGCCGCGACTGCAATTTGTCTACAACTAATTTGAGTCATACAATAAAAGATGAAACTTGCCTTAATATAAAATAGACAGAGAGAGAGAGAGAGAGAGAGAGAGATAGAGATACTAGAAAATGATTAATAACAGTGCGAACGCGCGTGTTAGCATGAGTAAAAAGGAGGATTGCGGTCAAAAAAGTACTCTCGTCAATAAAAGACAAAATCCTCAGATAAAATGAACACAACTTGAAAGATAAGGTGAAAAAGCAGCTCAGATGGATGGATGAGTGTTATCTGGATGTATCGGATGTGTGTAAAATTGACAAATCGCGCTTAACAATCTGACTGCCGAAGAGGAGTCAAAGAAGAAGCTGGAGGAACTTGAAGACTCAACAAGCGAGATCTCTGACGTCTTTGGACCAACTCCACCCAAGAAAACCATACACGTCATTGTTTAGCGGCCATCGGCAGGTAAGAAGCCGTTAAATTCTAATTGTGCCTGTTACTGCGGCATGCAAGCATTTAATTACTTGCCATGTGGTGACGCTTGTTGTAATCATTGATTATGTCTAATGATCCATCTTTTTTTATTTTTGGTTTTGGTATAGATCCGTCTACTTCCACTTCGAGTAAGACTCATTTGTTTAATTGTTCTCTACTTTTTTCAAAAGGTTAATCACCGCACATGTGCTTGATGGCTACCTCTGATGCTTTTTCTTTTTCTTTTTTTCTTGCCAATTTCTATCATTGCTTGCTTTACCAACAGACTCGGAGACAAAAAGGAGGGCCGATGACCTATATGGCCTATGTAAGCTAATTCTCCCTTAAGGATTGGAAACCGATTCTTTATTTTTCTCTTCTGACAGGTCCTGCTGTTTTTTTTTTTTTTTTTTTTTTTTTTTTTTTTTCTAGTATCGCCAGTTTTGAAAAAGAAGAGATGGACTGTTAATGGAGCGATCCGATTCATTGATATAAAATCAGTCTATTATGTTGACACTGCGAAGCATGACGTGAACAGGAGAATTTTGAATGCTATTACAAATCACGAGTTAGCAATGCTCATCTCCACGAGTTGATGTGCCATTCTAATACAATGAATTGTGCTCAATGTCAATAGTCATCCAGGAATGATTTGTCTTTGTGGACGCTCCATTCATGAGAATCTTCGCTCGAAAGTCAACGACTCGACGAATTGTCTCGATTACGATACATGGCAGGACTTCTCCACAGACAATCAGAATGAGAGGATGCTTTCGTACCATACTTTCAGAAGGATGACCGATTCATTATTGACTGAATCAGCTACAGATGCTGTTAATCTTCTCCGAACACGTTTTATTGGATATCTCGGCGATAAATCTATCTCAGACATGGAGCAACGGAAATTAGCAGATTTCCTAACTGCAGAAGGGGTGCTGATAAGTCTTGGTGGCAGTAACTACTGTATGGCCTCAGCATTCATTGACTCGTTTGTGAGGAGATATATTATCCCATCAAAATATCCCCACGCTCCTTCGGAGTCACCCCAAAGGAAAGCCAAGGAGAATTATTGGATATTCTGGAGACTATGAAGATTGCTCTTCGATTTTTCGATAAAAACTTGATTATGCAGGCGGGAAGTCGATCATACAAAGGATCGGGGGAAACAGTTAAGGTTATGGGCAACTGCAATGTCAGTGTCCCTCGAGAGAGCGTCTATGACACGGAATTGATGAGGGTTCTCACCAACTGGCTAAACAAAGCAGAAGAATATGAGATCATTGGTCAGTGGCACCTCCGTGAGCTTGAGGACCACAAATATAGTGATATTGTCATCAAGAAAGCAGGAGAGCCGGAGAGCCGACGGTTGTTATCGAGCTTTTGGCTACAGGGAGTCAAACTTCTATTAAAGACCATATCAGCAAGACGCCAACTTACAGACGCTTACTCTCAGCAGAAGAAGCTTGGGTTGTTCATTTTACCCGTGAGGACGACTATTTTAGCACCCACACTGGCAAACCGACGCGGAACTGGAGCAAGGGGTGAATTTGGTGCATTTCTGGCACGATAGAGATTTTAATACAGTGCGGATGAGTGCTCGCTGGAAGGACAGGAGTGGCAATACTCAAAGAATTGACAATGAGCTATTGACTGTCTAACAGCAATTCTATTTTTTTTTTTTTTATCCAACATTGTAAGGAACATCCAAACGCCCCTCATATTTTTTGATATCGGCTTGTAATTTTGCAGATCTGTTTAAATAGCTGTTGCTTTGTATATTTCGCATTGATTGTATTAAAACACTCTCTCTTCATTAATGATAAACAGTTTACATTATGTATCTATACCTTAATCTATATTTGTATATTAGTCAGAAAGGCTTCGGGTCGAGTTGGGTAACCTGGCTGTCACGTCACGAGCCTTATTGCGGGACCTATTTTTGGGCAAATGATATCTATTCAGCAACAAATGTCGATGCATGCGGAGCATGTTCTACCAAATTTGTCGTAAGGACATAATATCTTCTATAACGTAAACACCATTCAACGTAGTAGCATCCACCCAATCTGAAGAACTATGTAGAATAATAATAAATAGTTGCTGCCTTTTTATGAATAAGCGGGCCTGGTAGCCTGAAACGACATAAATTGGCATTGATTACCAGGTTCACACAATACGAGCTCGAACTTTTTGATACGAGAAATGAGCTTGAGAGTGCTATGGACACAAAGGGTAGTATAAAGAGAAGACTGAAACTTTCTTCATGACAACTGAAAATACGAATCGAATCATGATACTGAAGCGCAAGGCATTTACCGCGAAACTTGGCTGCATTAATTTGTTCTGAAAAAGATATCAGATCATTAAACTCACTTTAAATGCGCCATCCGGGCTTCATTACAGCAACTGGGCTACATGGGCTCAGAAAAGTGACGTTAGCCATGTACAGCCTTCCACATTTGAAAGTAGAAACACGTACACCAAATATTTTTATCTTGGCTTCAACTTTAAGGTATTTGGCCCACTTATTGACACATCGATTGGGCCGCTGATAAGGCGTAATCGACGTCTGCCAAAAAATGGCCCGTGTCTCTTCCCCTGCATGCTCAGATTTATTTTTTTGGTTTGTGTCTCTTCCTTTTTCTTGTGTTTCTTCCATTCTCTTGTGTCTCATCTCCCTCGCTGCGTGTTGGTTTTGTTCTTTGTCTCTTTCCTCTTGACCATTCTTTCATATTTCTTTTTATCTTTCCACAATGAGTGAATCCAACAAATACATTTTTTTCTTTTGTGCCAAAGGACTCGTGGAAAAAAGAAAAAAGGTGAAGAAAAATTACTTCGTGAATATCATGATCATTTAAATCGTTATCACTTATCCATCCTGGTTGAGATCGAGTTAGAAAATACAACTGAACCTTTCCTCATTCATCGTGATCCCATGTCAGACATGGCCTTTCTCACCCTGTATTTTTTTTTTTCTTTTTTTCATCCGTACATCTGTGTTACGACCTGTAAAAGTTGCCGAAAATAATGCTCCGCCGGTCCCTCCAGCCTCGAATGCCGATACATGTTCAGATGGCCATTCATTACAGGATATTGTTGAAAAAATGAGGCAGTAATTAAGATGCTTTGTGAAAGGATAGACGCTCTTGAAAAGAGGTATGACATCCTTTATTTGTTGTTTTAATGAGTTAATAGATTCTTCTTTTTTTTTTTTTTTTTTTTTTAGATTAAATAGAGAAGAAGTTCAATCGCCATGTCATGATAAATAGCGAACAAGAACAGTAGTTCTTTGTTATTATTTTAAATAAACCCCTTTTCAAATAAAACGAAACAAAAACTTTCAATTCTCATCCTTTATTTCCTCATACTCTATGGATATCTTGAAATATGTTGGAAAAAATCCTCCGACAAAAACGCAGACCCCAAAAATAAGGCGTTCACTCTTTTTGTCTACTTGATGGAAAACCACTTTCTGCCCTCATTGATGTATCTGCACTCTCCTGCACCAGCGTTTGCCGACTCGAAAGCTTCATAATGGCAAGAGCAAATGTCAAAAAAAGGTTCATAGCATGGGCTCGTGACATTGACAAAGCTTGAGAACATTCATAAGTTGTTTGACAATTTTGAATCTTTGGCAAAGCTTTTCGAATCAACAGAAATGAATCGACTCGATCATGACAGTGAGAATGACAATACTGCCGAGAGTAAAAAACGACTACGGCGTTCTAAAAGAACATTGGCAAGACATTCATGAAAAACCCGTTGAATAAAAAATCGATATTTATTTCTTTTATTTCTATATTTTTATATTTTACACTCGGAAACCTATATCTTCTATACTGATGTTAATACTCAACTTATGTTTGGATAAAAGGGATAGAAGGGAGAAATTTTTTGCTGTCTGTTTTTTTTTTTTTCTTTTGCAATCTCGCCTTTTATATTTCCCGTTTATTAAAACCTTATTGGGAAAAAGGGAGGAGAAAATTTCCCAAAGGGTTAATAATAACTGGCTTGTGGCAGCCAAGCGTTCATAGAGACGTTGCTTTTTGATCCTTTTATGTTCGTTCTCCCATCATCCATGTAGAGCAGAATTCTAGTACTAAACGTTAAGGGGCTTTTTAGACGCGTCTACATTTAAGGTTAATACAAAGTTTACCATTTGAAATGAAATTATACATGTACTATAACGATGTAAATGATACTTTTGTGAAATATTTTTTCCGAACTCTATAATATCACTATACTCCTTAATTATCTCTTCTGCTATTTCTTTAATTGTCCGTTCGAAAAGTTCTTGTCCTTTCTCTAACTTCCAGTGATACAATAAGTTTCTCTTGAAAATACTTTTCGGAAACTTCACACCGTTCTTTCTTCAGTTTTGCCTTATTTCTTTCTTCCACTTTTTTTTGCCAGAGCAACCGCAACATCTTTGCCTTCATGTCGAGACGGTTTGTCTGTTTTATCCATCTGCTCTCAATACCGTCAATATGTTTTAAGGAATTGCTGATCTCTAAGCACTCTTGCTCCTCTTCTATCTCTTCCAGTTCGAGTCTTGTTAAAATGAAGGGTGGATCTGCATCGTCGGAAAAAGTCACTTCATCCTTCTCTTGTTCGATGATGCCTTCGTCCGAACTAATGCCTTCTGCACCACTGTCATTTTTACTCTCTGTTTCCGATTCACCTCCTCCACAATCAGTCGTCTTTTGGGTCTTCTCGTCCTTTCTTCTTCATCCAAATCTCGGCGTCTTTTGTGGCCCATTTTTCTGTCACGAGGGTAAGAATACATACCATCTCTTTTTCCTTTGGATTAATCATGAGACTAAAACAATCGACCCTATGGAGGAGAGATGACTCATTAGCGATAGGAGAACGGCGAAAGGCTAAATATTCATGCATGGTAAGAAAACAACTATTTTAGATAGGATGGCGAAACATGAAGTTAAATTAGATCCATAACCGACGGTAAATTGGTGAGTAAACAAAACAACCAAAGGGACACGGCGGATCATTTTTGATAGGAGAACATTCTGGACAAGCAACCTATTATTGATCAAGCTTTGAATATTTATTTTTAAATGAAAAGCATGCATTAAATAAAATTAAATTTATAGGAAATGCAAAAAAAATTACCTAATTTTCTGTGAAGGAAAGAAAAACCATCAGGTTGGAAAAATCAATAACATCTGTTCATCATATATTAGAAGAACAAGCAATATGAGAGAATATTTTTTACTAGTAGAACAGTGTCTAGCGAAAAAACAGGAGAAAATGTTACATTAGTAAAAGAGTAAAAGTATAAAAAGACATTTGAAAAAAGTATTTTTCTTCAGCCACCGCCAGCACCCCGACTATTAAAAACAAAGAGGGCTTATGACGAAGATGAAATGGAAAAGTTGCTTGCAGCCGGATCTGAGGAGGAAGAATGTACAAACACAAATGGTGATTGGTCCAATAGATCCCTCCTTTGTATGCGTAAGGAGAACTCCAATTCTATTCCCAAGCAAGGTACCTCTTGTTCCTGAATCGAAGAGGGGTCAAGAAAAAAGGCAAGACAGTCCTTAGATGAATTGGATGCGCGACAAGCCTTAGCCCATTCTTGACTACAGATTGAGCATTATACGCGGTTGACTGAGCAACACAAACTCGGCCAGCAACGATTCAATGACATACTACGAGTGAATGACGTAGAAAAAAATTACAGAATATTGCTTCTATTCTTTTAAAATAAAAAAATCTAATTTCATTTTACGATTTACTTTGTCTCTTGACTAGCCAAAGAAAGGAGATAGTCATATTCGATTTGGTTTATTTAATTCCTTTTAATCATAATTAAGGTCTTAACAACTGCATTGGAGTGTCCTACTGGCTCAAACAGTGTGTTTTCAGGATTTTGAGAAGGCTGCTATTGCATGGATCACGGATTCCTCGTTAATGGCAAGAGGGCTGTGTGGCGCGTTAGTATGTCAAGTAGAACATGGTTCTCAACCTGGTCTCTCATAGCCAAAGGACCTTGACTCAAATTTTCTTTTTTTTTTTTGTTTGTAGGAAGTATATTAATACAACGTACATTTTCGTACTAGTGTTTGTTATATTCTATTCACCTTTCTCTGCATTTGACCAGTTGTTGTTTTATGATAGACTTATTTATTCGTTTCATTGAGCAATTATTTTTTTTTTCTCTTCTTGTTCATTTTGGATTACCAACATCATCTCGATTGCTAGTAATGATGCAGCCAGGATATATGTGTGTGCTGTATGAATGGTAGTTCTTGCTGTGATGGATGGCAATAATTCAGTGACCGATGGCGCTTGCTTTTTAAAGGTAAGCTGATTGATTGTTCCCAACAAAGACTCTGTTTCATCATTGGTTTGTTCAGATTTGCTAACATAATGCGCGAGTTTCTGCTTGACCTCCTCTGGAACATCTTCACAAATTTCTTCGAGCCACCTGCACATCCTATCGGTATATTCATTTTCGCCTCCTTCTTCAGCCCTCGCAGATATTAGCTGGGTCTTCAATCGCTTTGCAGTGATAGTTTCATGATTTGTTTCTGCACGATCCACTTCATTCTCCACTCTTCGTTTTACTCCTGTCTTCATTTTTTCCAACTGATGAGTAGGGGTCAATAACATTGTAAACAACTCTGTATCTATGAAACAAATAAAGATAATAAAAAATTAACATCATGATACCAGAGGGTCAAGCTTGTCGCTCTTTTTGGCTAGACTCTTTCAAATATAAATGGTTTACTTAACAAAATCCTTATAATTGAAAAAGGACTAACCAAAAAGAGCGACAAGCTTGAACAAATTATCATCTTTATGTGCATGACTGAATACCTTCGATGTCCACTCTGATATTATCGACTGAATTGAACTCTTCGTCTGATACAATAAAATCACCTGGAAACAAAACCCACCTCGGCAAAACCTCCTTTCCAAGACGATTAAGATGTTTCAAGGTTTTTACTGTTGATTCGTACCGCTGATGCTTTTTTACGTAGTGCGGACCCAAAGCCTTCAGTCTCTCTCGAGTTATTTTGCACTGGACCTTTAATAACTTCTAGGCGAGGACGTTCTTTCCAGCATTTTCATAACGAACCAAAGCATTAAGATGTCTAACGACATTAATGGAATGAGGGAATAAGAAATGCTAGCGCAAATTCACAGCACTTCAAAAGCAACTGCGCACAAAATTGATTTTCCATCTCAGGACAATCATTCTGTTGCTTTAACCTGGTCCTAAGAGAGTAGAAATGTTGAAGTATTGATTTCATGGGGGGGGGAAGGGAGGGAGAACAAGTTACTCTGAAAAGAAGTCAATTTGGAAGACGCCTTTGTAGTGCAGGCAATAAAACTTCGTGTCTTTTCCATACGATGTTGATCCGAATATCTTCGTGCTCGTCGGTGGATTGGACAGCTTGCAGATGTCATTCATTTGATATAACCATGAGTTAAGCATACATCGCTTGACTTTATGCTCATCGCTCCCCTCCTTACTTCGTATCGCTCCATTAAGGAGTGCAGCTTCTGCAAGGTAGATCTGATGGCCTTCTCCATTAACAGCAATCCCATCAGCTCTACTTGCAGATTCCTTCCTCTTAAATGCTTGACCTCCATTTACGATAATCAACTTCTCAAAGCACCCCGTTTGGATTTCAAGCAAATCCAGGGCCCCGCTTATGAAATTCCAAGTAAAATACGAGCAGCCTTCTCTTTCATTAATTTTACTTGCAGTGATGGTATTGTTGTTACGGAATAACCTTGTACTAAAAAAAAATTATATAATCATTCTTAGTAAGAACCTCAATATATTGTAGATGTATAATGAGGCTTTTTTTTTTTTTTTTTTTTTTTTTTTGATAACAAGGATCCTCAGGGTCATGGGGATTTATTTTCTACACTCTATGAACAAAATGCTCCAGAAAATGTATAATGAGGCGTAGGTGTAAAATAAGCGGAGGTGCAAAAGAGGTGTAAGTGTAAAAAGAGGTGTAAAAAAAGGTGTAGGTGTAAAAAGAGGTGTAAAAAGAGGTGTAGGTGTAAAAAGAGGCGTAGGTGTAAAAAGAGGTGTAAAAAGATAGGTGTAATCGTTTTTAGAGCGGTATACTTACTACGATCTTTCAATTGCAAGAAAATACCGAACAACGCGGTTGCTAGGATCCTGCTTGAACAAGGCTTACTTTGTCCATTCACGCTCTGACTCTTTTGAATTCTTTTCTGCGTTGCTTTCACATGATTGTTATATTTTTACTGTTAATAGCTTAATCCGCCCAGTGCGGGAAGTGAGGTCGACCTGAGTATGGGACAGGTTAATTTTCCTTTGTACTAACCATGACAATCTTCAGAATATATATCATTGTGTCTTTTTTTATTTTTTTTTTTTTTTTAATTTCATGTAATACAATGTAAAATATGTAATAAAGAATAGTGAATAGCAGCTGATTAGGCGGTGGATTTTGGTGAAACAAAGTATCAACGTTTATATGTCGACCAATAAAAAGCACGCAAGCGCGCCGAGGAATACATGTCGTATTTCCTTGGCGTTCTGAAAAGGAAAGGAAAAAAAAAAGGTCTGTTCGGATAAAACTGCCGCAGTACAGTTCGCGCGATAGACTATTATATTCCTTATTAGGGATGAAGAGAGAGAATAGAAGAAGAGGATTAAGTACCAAACTTGACTGGTAGTTCCTGATGAACCTCATTACTAAGAACCAAAAGGTACTCGCGCTTAATGCTGGTGAAAAACAGAGTATGCGAGTTTTAATATGCTTGTACTTTGGGTCTCGTCCTTTTACTCCAGCTACAGCACATTGCTCACTGTTCTTTCTTTCTTTCTTTCTTTGTTGTATACCATACAAAGAGGGCAATGTGGCTCGTGCTCTTGTTGTGGGCAGGTAGGTTGTTGTATATATGACCCTGCATATCTTTGAGGATGGAATGTTGTTCTCTTTCTCCACCTTGTAAGCATATGAAAATTGACGAATGATATCACAGGTGCACAGATTATTGATTTCAATTCCCGCTATGCCGTTTTCTTTTCTTTTTTTTCTTGCATAAAAGCAAAAATGTCGTATTTGTATTGCTATTCAGTCAATACTTTGAGATCACAAATTGGTTTCACTTACTATTTTTCCTGAGCGATTACAAAAACCACTCAGCATTCATCCTTTCTCCTTTTCTCCAAAGCACAATCCGCCAAAGAGCCCTCGCCGTCGACAGCAAGAAAGTATATGTCTATATAATGCATTATTTTGTATTATTCATTATATTTGACTCAATGGTTCTTTCCATACTCATTCATACAGCATTTGGAGATAAAAAAGGTTAATTTTACCGAAGATGGACAATGTCTGCTTCTCTTATCTGCCGTGTAAATGTTTTGACCAACCAGAAAATAGAGTTTTCATGTGAACATCTGACCGAAGGCGTCATGGCGGAAAAATAAATAATTTTGTGGCATACCCTCTGAACGCGTTATCTCTTTACATTTTAAATATTTATTTTTTACTCACTCATTCGCTTACCATTATACTTCACAATGGCTTTCTTTATTGCTGACATATGATGGATATTAGTATTATTATTTAATACCTTTGGCAGTGGGACACCAAGTTTCCTTTGCGTTGCTGTAAAACGTCATATCGACGACACAAAAAGAAAAACAATTTTCATAAATGCCCTTCGTCTCCGCCAGCTTTTCTTTTCTTTCTTCTCCTCTCCTCTCTTCACCCACATCCTCTCCACCTGCCCTTCACATGCCTTGCAAAGGCCACACAGAGGCCATAAAAAATGCTCTATCCCAGCCGTGAAATACAACTCACTATAGAGCCGTCATCAAGTAAGTATCTAACATATGCATGGCTTCGTTTTGTCTTGCCTATCGTCACCCACTGTTTAGCTATTGCTAAATGAACCCAGCAGGTCCATTAACTTATTCCTTTTCTTTTACCTTTGTCCTTCTGATCATCCAAGGAACACTACCTATGGATGCTCAGCGGCGACCATCCCAAAGACTGCAATAAGCTCATGCAGTGCTTACCGAAATAGGGCCCAAACGGATTTGTAAGTACTCTTTCTTATTGAGTAAATATATTACACTTTTTTTTCTCTTTTGGTGCTATGCTGTTCTTTGTAATGAGATATGGTCTCCTGTACTCTGGTTACCAAATATTCTAACCACGTTTTTTTTTTTTTTTTTTTTTTTTTTTTTCGACTCTTTTCCTTAGAGGCCTATCCAATTCGATAAGGGGCTCCGCTCCGTCCTACCATCGGAGCCCGGGGGCCACCCGCCGGCCCTCTCCTGCTTCCTCCGAACCTCGTCGGGCCCTCACGACCTCTTGAGGAAGGACAATTGTGGTGGTGCTAGAGAACTTCTAGTCTCTGAGCCTCACTTTGATCCGAGTGCCTCTGGGGATTTCGTGTAGGACAGGATGACACACAGTTGCGGTAGCCTAAGAATGGTAAGTCAGTATCAATGAATTATTCACTGGACCCTGTAGAGCTCGAGCCTCGGCCGTCAAGGAGATTCCCCCTCCAGCAGGATCAGGATCAGGATCAGGATCAGGTGTTATCGAGGCCTGGTAACACCTAAGGTAGGTGAAAAGGAAGACACAAAGAGCATATTAATTCTATTTTACCTTTGCTTTCGTTCTCTCTGATTAGATAGAATCTTTGGCAACTCGGTGCTCTATAGGGTTTTGTGGATAGTTCATTGCTACTGACTTATCATCCTTAGGTTATCCAATTAGCGATGCTGCGCCAGGGACGCCTGGTCGCAGTGGGTGCATGGCGTAGAGGCGTCATGTTGTGTGACCCCTGTTTCCTGCCGTCTGAACCAAAGGTGCTCTGGTCAAAGTGAGGCTCCATTGATTAGTCGTTCGATAGACCACTGCAATGGGACTTTCGCTTGAAGGAGCGAGGCCTACGATCCATGGAGGAAAGCAGAAGGCCTGGGAAAGAGCATCGGCCCAAGGTAGAGCGCCTAGGGAGATAGTCTCAGAGCTAACAACCAACAACCAACAGCCAACAGCCAACAGCCAACGGCCAATATAAAAAAAACTTCAAAAAAAACTTGAAAAAAAAAAAAAAAAAAAAAAAAAAACTTCAAAAAAACTTCAAAAAAACTTCAAAAAAAAAAAAAAAGAAAGACCTGAAGCCAGAAGTCAAAAACCAAAAGCTAAGAGTCAGAAACCAGAAGACAAAAGCCAGAAACCAAAAGCCAGAAACCAGAAGCCAGAAACCAGAAGCCAGAAACCAGAAGCCAGAAACCAGAAGCCAGAAACCAGAAGCCAGAAACCAGGAGCCAGAAGCCAGAAGCCAGAAACCAGAAGCCAGAAGCCAGAAACCAAAAGCCAGAAACCAGAAGACAAAAGCCAGAAGTCAGAAGCCAAAAGCCAGAAGCCAGAAACCAGAAGCCAGGAGTCAAAAACCAGAAGCCAAAATCCAGAAGCCAAAATCCAGAAAGCAGAAGCCAAAATCCAGAAAGCAGAAGCCAAAATCCAGAAAGCAGAAGCCAAAATCCAGAAGCCAGGAGCCAGAAAGCAGAAGACAAAAGCCAGAAGCCAGGAGCCAGAAAGCAGAAGCCAAAAGCCAGAAGCCAGAAGCCAGAAGCCAAAAGTCAGAAGCTAGAAATCAGAAGCCAAAAGTCAGAAGCCAGAAAGCAAGTAGCAGATAGCAGTTAACTGCAAAAAAAAAAAAAAAAAAAAAAAGAGTCCAGACAATCAAAACCAGCCAACCAAGGGCAGCCTACCCAAAGCCAGGCCACTAGGCCCAGTCAACCAAGGTTACCAAGCCAAGGCGCCATCAAAGAACATACAAAAAGCATCGTCAAATGAATCCAAGCAGACTAGGAAATATCCAGTCAAGCACATTTACCAAGGGCATCACCACTCTTGGCCTAAGACACAGCTTGAAAACCACAACATAGTAAACAACTAACAATAAATATTAAAAGACAAGATCAGATACAGCGATCTTTGTCTTTTGTCTGAAATTTTGGTGGATCTGTGATTATTATGAATGCAAATGTCCTCAAATAGAAATAGAAAATTAGTAGCGATAATAATGGTTGATTTAGGCTATGGATGATACCATTGTCATATACTATCAGTTCACTCACGCCTTTTCCTCTTATGCTTGGCAAGGCGGCGGCATTTAAGCTTGGATTTCTTTTGCCACCATCCATATATCGGTTTCTCTTTACAAAAGCAAGGCACATGGTATACTCATTGCTCAGTCGACTCTTTTCTATCACATAATGGCTTTACTCATTCTCGTGCTCTTGATCGCTTTCAAGAACCACTCATCGCTTTATCCTCCCTTCGTAAGTGCTTTTAAAGACGAATGTATAAAGGGCCAATCTCAACTTTTTTCTGTTCTCTTCTTTTTTCTCTATGACCAAGATGACAGGTAAGCAACACTCTCCAAACATCCACTCCTACTGAGGCGCTCAGCCCTTTCACTATATGCTGTATAGCCCTTATTCTGGCTTTATATTTTCCTTTCTGCCTCTATCTTTCCTTGTCACTCTTAGGCCATAAACGATACGAATCCCCTACCCCCAAACCAGCCGGAGTGCAGTGGCTCTGGCCAACTCCATGGGCAACTGATGCTCCTATAAACAAACGGTATCGACTCACCCAGCTATGTTCTCCTTGCTGAAACGGCCAGGACATCTCGTCCAACCAGCCAGGCAGGCTTGATCAGCCAACTAGGCTGTCACTCCGTCACTCAGCCGGCTGGCTCCTCATCCAAACAGCTAGACCAGATCGCCCCAGCAGCTAGACCGCCTCCTTGAGCAACCCAAAGACATGGTGAGCAGGCCCTCTCTTCATGGTGCGCTCTGGACTGCGCCGATACTTGAAGACTGACGTCTCGCACCTGGAGAATGAAACCAAAGATCCACAGTGAGCCTAGACAAACACGTCATAAGAAAAAAAATCATAAAAAAACAACACAAACTGAACTAACACAAAACAATCTTTATTATAGCAGTGGTATATACAACGCGAACAAACTCTAAGCAACACATATCCAAGGTCCAAACGGGACACCTGAGCTGATTCTTCAACGGACCATGCGGTGGTGGAGTCCTTCGATTGGGTAGACGGGTGGGGGATAAGAGGGTGGGCAAATAGGTGTGTGTGGGTGTGTGTGGGTGTGTGCGGGCGTTTGCGAGGCCATGGGGCCTGACCTGACGGAGCATGATGTGGGCCAGGCCGGTGTGTTCTAGACAATGGCTTGGGAGGATGTTTTTGATGAAAATAAAGAAGAAATACCTCTCAAGCTGGCCAAGAGTCTGGCCGCCTGTAGCTTAGGGTGCAATCAGGTAAGTTAGATAGCTAGATAGCATATAACTACTTAATAAAGAAGTAAAAGACTTGCTTATCAGATAGGTAGAAAGGCCATGGTAATCGACAAATTCTATTTGCAAAGCCACATTATCGTTGGTGCAGAGAATGGCATGACGTCGTTTAGTGAAAAAAGGGAAACATTTCATTTGTACAAGAATGAAGGACAGTGCATTCGATTCCAAATCACTCGATCGCTTCTCTTCTTTTACCGTCTCATCTGGAGGAACTTGTCCGAAATGCATCAAAGCTCGTCACTACGTGGTGGACAGAGAGGACATCAACGATCAGGGAGAGTCAAAATCAGAACCAAAACCAAGGTCAGAACGTTGCTGCGCCGCCGTTCAAGTTACTCACTCGTGTGACACCCCAGGATGTCGACACTACGAATGGACCTCGTACAGGAGGGATGATAACCATTGGCAGTCCCAAAGTCCCAGCTTACAACAATACCCTTATGGCCATGGTCAACCCTATCAATTCAATACCTATCCAACTCCGCAGCAGCAGCAACAGCAACAACAATCACAGCAACCTCCCACAAGAGGAAGGGAGCAACTAGAATGCACCAGCAACCATCTCTGAATCAATCATATATGACTCCACCACCAGGTATTGGTGGGATTAATATGGGTATGAACAACATGAGCACTATCAATACACCACCATTAATATCAACATGTCGTAGTGGAGGAGTCTCCGTATCAAGCAATGGAACCCAAGGAAGAAGGGAACGATCAGGATCCATCATAGGCGGCCAGCAAAATAATGCTGATCTCCCTTCATCATCTTCACAACACGTACACCATACACCTCAACAAAACATCAATCAGCAACATCTTGCGGATACTGGCATGGACAGTCACAACAATCGAATCAGACATTGTAAAGGAGCATAAGCCAAGAAGAGAGCGCCGAGAACGAAGTAGGCGGGATCGAACATCACGCCAATCACAACAACAGCAACAAAATGATTTAAATAAAGATGAAATGAGCAACACTAACAATAACAGTAATGACGGATCCATGAAACAACAGCAACAAACAACTCACCGAGTGATAGTCGATCCTAATAGCTTTCAGCGCCAAATTCTACAGCCTAATCCCAATAGTAGCGGCGGTAATGATCGGAAAGTGGCGATGGCAGGAGGAGCAAGCACTCGTAGTGTAGGCGAACTATACGATGATGATTCGCGGGATTAGATCCTGGGAAGTTAATTAATCGGAGACAAGCCCCTGCAGTAGAACGGTTTATTCTTGGCAGGGCACTAGCGCTAGTACAAAGCTCAAACCAACAGCAGCAATCACAACAACAACCACAACAGCAGCAGCAACAGCAACCACAGCAACAGCAACAGCAACCACAGCAGCAGCAACACCAATCGCTACGTGGACCGACAGGACCATATTCTCAGCCCGGTTTTAGAGATCCACGATCTATAGGCGGAATTCATTCTGCGCCTGGTGAGCTGGAGTTGGTACCATGTCCACTGGAGGCGCTCGACCAATGCAAAATCTGCCTATTGCCGCAATTCCTCCTGCTATGGGGCCCCATTCCGTCAAGTTAATGAATGAGAACGGTAAATTCTTGGAGTCTGCTGAACAGGTATATACTTGGATAGGCTCAGGGAATGCTTTCCATATCGAAATATAGCCCTTGAATGCTTAAAAACTGATTTTTGTTTGTGCATTTAATATGGTATCAATAGTGGTTGTCAGACCATCCTGGACATTTCATCGTTGGAATTTTGGGGACACAAGGTGCTGGGAAGTCATCACTCCTCTCCTCATTCTGTCCGGCACCCTTTGCCTCCTCAGCATTTATAAAACAATCATTGTCGATGGCTAGCGTCGCAGGATTCAAACATCAGGTATCGATATGTACATCACACCTGAGCGGATGATCCTCTTGGATACGGAACCAATCTTCTGTTTATCAAATTTGGAAAACGCTTTGAGAAACGAACGAATCACAGAGGGGATCTCTCTGGATACCTGGCTGGAGAATCAAGCTCTCATTTTAGCAACGTTTTTGATCTCGTGTGCAATGTTGTTTTAGTTGTCGCGGACGAGCGGTCAGCGGGTGGTGGTAATGGAGGCAACAGTAGCAGCAGGATCTTGAAATTACTACAAAGGGTTGAAGTGTTTTATGAGAAGCTCTCTCAGCGGCCTCATCCAATTCTAACCAGAACATCCAGGACAAGGGATAAACACTGGTCTAGTTGGGCCAACAACAACAGCAACAGCCTAATATAGGGCAAAGAAGTCACAACGTGAAGGACTAGGTGATTGGTGCGCTGATATTGGTAAATGTTTATAGAGATATATTTTTGCTTTTTAATTAATTCTTGCAGCAACATACTTTGCCTAACCCTAGGATCCAATCCTTAACTTTGCTATTTATTTTCAATTCGTAGTCTTGATCTCAAACAAAGTACCAGTAATGCAGTTTGGAGTCGAATACTATCGCAAATATGCAATGGAACAAACGCTTTTCTTCCAACATTCTGCACTACATCTCTTTGGATCCATCAACATGGCATCCATTTACCCTCGATTTGAGCACACCTTCAAAACGAGCAACACTTCTATCGCTATTAACAATGCATCTACCACTGCATCCACTACAGCTGCTGCTTCACAGAAGAAAAATATACTTTCAACTCCATCCTCTGTATCAACAGGAGCAGGGGGAACAGGGATAGGGATAGAATCTTCCGCCTCTGATGCAGAGGCTGCATCAATACTGGATAAGGATAGTAAGGAGCAATCCAAAGTACTAGTAGTATCGCTGTCTAGAAAAGAGCGCCAAGGTCCAATGGAGACTTCGACTTACCAAGAAAGAAAAGCCCCTTCATACCTGAACTTTGTCATGCTGCCTTTCGACTCGACTCTCATATCTGGGGCGCCTTCTACAATCTCTTCAACAACCTTAAGCAATAAAGGCGGCTCAGTAAAATCAAATACAGCACCAACATCAATATCAGCATCACACTCTTCGAAAAATAGTCATGACAATAGCAATAGTTCGCCAGCATCATCCTTGATGGCATCGATAATGTCAAATCTGTCTATTTCCTTCAATCGCCCCGATATTTTGAGTGCTTCTTTCATGGACCCCTCTCAGGATGTCTTTGGAATCATTATTCACGATCAGGAAAGATGGAAAGTCTGGAGCAAAGGTCTGAGGAACAAGATTTTATCGCTCTCCATGCGTCCCCATGGCGGACCTGCGCTCGGACCGAGGAACCGGCCTGGCATTGTTTCTGAGCGTGAATGGTAACGTTACAAGGCTTTATTTTTTTTTAAAAAAAAAAAAAAAAAAAAATCATGTGTTCAGCATTTTAATCCTTTTATTTTATTATTTTAAGGCTCCGATACGCGTCATGGACATGGGATACAATACGAAAAGCTGATTTCTTATCAGAATATGCCCGTGCTGTCAAACTATCGCGGGAAGGATAGCGTCGAATTTCGACGCGTATCAAGAGCCTGTCAATAAATAAAAAAAATCAATTATATCAATGCTTTGCCTTGTGATCGCAACTCTTTCTAACATTCCACCACGTAAATTATTTATAAATGGGTGCTATATATGCTTAGATTTAATGAGGGGCTGCTGTTTCTTAAGACACTCCACTTTCACTTCCATGGATTGACGGTGGTAAAGCCGCGGTTCCTTCATTCGGGTTTAAGACGATAGTTCCATCATCACCGAGATGGTGTGGATGGTTTGGTGACATATATTCATAGTATACAATGGTCAATATTCGTTATCCAAGGATCCTGCACGACATCCCCTATTAGCACACGCCTGCTAGGATCTATCTCCAGGATTCGGGACATGATCGGACGACTCTCACGAGGCATCAGCTTTAAAAGGCGTAGCTTCCCAGTTCCATCAGGATTTGCAAATGCCAGGAACGACTGGTCCTGCTCTGCTCTCGGAACCCTCCATGGGAAACGACGCAATGTCATACATAAAAAATAATGCCCATTGACCAGACATCGGCTAAGCGAGGGTCGTGTTGATCTGTCACAAATACTTCAGGAGCAATGTATGGGTCCGATCCAGAAATTCCTAATAAGATCATTTTACACACGAAAAAATAAAAAAATAAAAAATAAAAAAATAAAAAAAAAATAAGAAAAGAAAGAAAAGCAAATAAAAGAAAGTCAGTAGCTTTGAAAGATGAAAGAAAATGCGCGTCGCAAGCAAAGTCACTCATACACTGAGATAGGAATTTTTTTACCTTTTGCCATTTCAATCTTCTTCTCAAACGGAGGCTGAAAGACCATGGAGCAGCCAAAGTCAATAATCTTGACAATCCCACGCTCATTCATTACGCAGTTATCGAGCTTCAAATCCCGATGAGCAACGCCCATACTATGAAGATAGGCGACCCCATCGACAATGCCCTTGAAACAGCAAGCAACCTCTTCTCGAGTCATCAGACCTGACATCACAGCCGAGAACAGCTCATACCTTGCATACTCCATAACCTCATAATAGTTGCCTCCTTCCTTTACGATATCCAGTGTTTCAATGATGTTTGGGTGATGAAATGTGGATCCTAAACAATATTCAGATGTAACCTTCTTCACATAGGACCGCTCAGACTCGCTTGGTCGACGCTTCCTGAACTGCTTGATGGCAAAGGTCTTGTGATCAGATGATCTCGAGAGGATACGTACCGTTCCGCCCAGCGCCACGCCAAGGACTTTACCAAGCTTTCCATACTTTTTCCGGAGGTCCGATTCGATAGCATTACCATGTGGTCCCACTAGTAGAGCGTGAAGTTTCTGATCCGTGTACGCTCCCTGCGCCATTTGTACCGTAGCGCATGGCGCCGATGCTCCCAAAAAGTCCTGACTTGCGCGTTTTTGGCGTTTGTGGTACGTTCGAGCGGTTGCTCCTGTGGGCTTGCCTGAGCAACGACTGGGGAGACCTGCGGTGAGTGACCAACATTGAAAAACCGCTTGAGATCATGAAATATACCATGAGAGGTCTCTCTGGCCGACTTTCTATGGATCGTTTTGGAAGGATCAGCTTCTTTGTCTTTCTTTTTGATGCTGCTGGGTTGAGGTTGTCTTGGCAACATATCAGTCCTTGAAGTAGATTCATTAGCCATGACATGCTCTTCAGCTACAGACGATTGTGCTGCGGATGGACCTGGCGTTGACGGCGCTGCTACTGAAAGTCGCCTAGCCTCAGATACCCCTGGGGTTGATGAATTAATACCAACAAGAGAATCTGTAGCTGCTGCCGTCCTAGGTCGTCAGTAATCTCCTGGATATTAGAGTCTTCTGGGCAACTGGATGAAGAGATCATTAGTTGGTTGCTGAAGAGTGAAGTTGGAATTAAATTAGGCTGCCTGCGATGAGGCCAGTCTATCTCGTGGCTGTGGCTAAATCTTCATCTTCGGAAGGATCCGCGGTTTGCAGCAAAACAGATATGAGACAAGAAATTCGGTTGCATTGGAATCAGTTCTTGAAAACAGGGTCCATGTAAACGTCTTGATGTATTTAAATTGTTAATATAGGACCTGTTGAGGCTCCATTGCGCCAGTATTAGCATCTTGGCAATGTTCCGTTGCAGCAGCGTTAGTGTCGCCATTCTGCTCCGATCCCCCACCCCCTGCCACTACCTCTGATTCACGCCTTGCGGTAGCCAGCCTATTTGCAGCATCCTCAAGAACCTCCTCGAATCATTTAGGAGTCAATCTGAAATTACAGCCTTTGACCTTTTCTAGTGCCCATAGTCTGAGCCCTAAACTTCCCATACCTTCCAAGTCCTCATTCTCACTAGTTTGCGGTAGGGAGCTCGGCTTCTTGTTTGTAGTCTTTCCTAATGACATTAGATTGATGTATCCGAACCTTGACCGACTGGAAGCAAGCTCGAAGGCTCATCTGTTTGATTGAGGTTAACATCTTTGCCTCTATATTCTCATTGCCAGGGACGGAAGAGTTGAGGGCAAGGGGTGAAATGGGCAGTGTACGTTTTTGATGGATAGGCATGTGTGGCAGAAGATGGAGTCAAATCCTGAACGGAATGTGATGTTGTCAACTCTTGCGACTTGGGACAATATTGTTCAGTCATCTGCCCAGAAGGCACAGAACAGGGTCTTCAATTTTCTGAATGCATCGACCGGAGCAGGCGAAGCAGGGATAGCGCTAACATCTTGATGTTCGGAGCCGTTTGTAGCGATACATTCATTTGGAGGTGGCGGAGATAGTGTCGAAGCAGGCGAACCAATGTGAGAGGTGAAGAATATTAGGGTACAATGTTGTAGCAATGTTAGGAATAGGCGATGGAGGCTCGAGGTCCGATGATGGCGATAGTTGCTCAGCGTCATGAAGCCTATTCTGGTCTGATTCTGGTTTTAGTTGTTGACATTGATCTGAGGGTGTTGACTCAAATAGCGTCCAATGTTGACAACTTCTGGAGAGTTAAATTCTGGCGTATAGTGGTGAAGGCCTGCTGAGTCCAATTCAGACAAGGCCTCTGCTTTCTTTTGCATCAGGAACCGCTGTGGTATCAGAGTGAGTAGGCGAGCTCAAGCGGTTGGCATAAGCCGGTAAAGCTGAAGAAAGTGATCCTAGCTTCCGCATTTCCTCTGCTGAGTCTTTTTAGCGTCTGTCATCTAATGTATAGATATGTAAGGATTAAGGATACAGGTGCTGTCAGTTGTGATGATATAGAAGAACGAAGAGAAGTAAGGGAAGCAATAAACAGGCTGCAGTCGTACATAGCTCGTAAGCTCATAAAAAACTTCCGACTGTTGTATGGGGGAAAGGAAGCCGATATGGGGACGAATCAGAACCATAATTAGATATTTGGAGAAGTCAAGTGCCCATGCAACTATGAAGTCATCTTTCTTTTTCGGAAATCTTTTTCTCTGATCACCAAGAATTTATCTTGCATCAAAATCAAATGCACCATGTTTAAAGCGAGGTTTTGTGGCAAATCTTGATCAATGAGAGCAAAATAAACTTTTCGCGCTGTTGGAAACCTTGGATAAGGAAAACATGCCTTGATATTCTGAATGAAAGCATAAGGAGGATAGGAAGCATTGGAAGGATTCACTAGCTAAAAAAATATTTAATGTATAACATACTCTTCTTGATAAATCTCAGTTGGACCAAGTAATGAGACCCGTACATTTAAGTGTATTATAAACAAGCTAGTAGCCAGGTTGTAATAGATTAAAAAAAAAAAAAAAAAAAAAGAAAAGGATTCAATATGAATGAGGAATGAAAGTGAAAGAAAAAGAGAATTAGTATGCCAGAGTCTAAAAAAAAATAAAAAAAAGTCTTTCAGCACTGACCCTATTCACCAAATGATTTGGAAACACAAGTACGCATGTTTGTGGCACCATCAAGCATAAATCTTGAAGTAATGATGATCTTAGTTTAATGAATGGCAATTTTTATCTTATCTATTTTTACTACACGGCAATAGCATTGACAATATATCTACAAACGCCAAGAAACGATTCCATATTAGACAATAAGCCTTAGGTTCAACACGCTATTTATGAAAAAAAAAAAAAAAAAAAAAAAAAAAAGATTGAACGAAAGACACATACCCTTTCCTAACGAGCAATCCGCGTCCAGAAAGAAGCGCAGAGTACTTGAGGACAAAGTTGGGGGTTAAGGTCGAATCTGAGGTGACAGGCAAGTGAGGCCGTAACAAAGAAGACAGTGTAGACTTGGGCAAGATATCTATGAATATACATGAATAAAGATGAGAATTACTCAACTCATCATTCACTTTGAGCTTACAAAACACATACCAAACTTGCTTATCATTATTTTTTTTTTTTACACATACTGTAGCATCACCGTGGGTCAAGATTCGAGCCTTCCGCCTTTGCATATTCAATCAAGTCCTTAGGAAGGACACAACAGTCATCCAGATTGACTTGATCAATCTCTGGTGCCGCAGCTCCATTATTCAGTGCCACCGTCTTGAAAGCTTCAAGTTGCTTTTAGAAAACTCTGCCACACCCAACCGTCCAATTTGACCGCCTGTGCGGAGTTCTGATAATCGCTTCCAGATAGGCAAATAAAGTTGCTCCACATCGTTTGTGAATGCCTCAAGGTCTGCCTCATCGAGTCCATTTTCATCAAAAGTCTGATTGGGGATTGCAAGGATGAAGTGATCGATCACATGACTTGATGCACCCAGTGCAGTTTGAAGATTCTCAAAAGCAGGTTCAAGTCATCTACTGACAATGTGTGGGCGCTGGAGATAGAAAGAATAGTTGACTTTTTTTTTTTTTTTTTTTTTTTTTTTTAATTTGTCAGCTCGCTGTTTTGGAATCACGCAAAAAAAAAAAAAAACCCGATGTATCACCATTTCAAGTCATCCAACAATACACAACAAAATATTTGCACTATCATTACCTGTGATGTCGTACTTGGATCTATCACCGTCCAATGCGCCAAGAGAGGCGGCGTCTGCAATTGTAATGTGGTTCCGTTGATCCGAGCAGAAACGAGGGAAGAGAACAGCGATTCCTCGACTGCGGAGACAAGCTATGAGCAATCATTCAAAGTTAAAATACAGGTCAATGTCGAACATGTAAAGTAATTACATACATCAATATTCGCCGTATAGCATCACACTCCACCATCATATCTTTCACACTGTCCAAGTGTATTGTCTCTGACATTTGTTGTATTCGTTACATAAGGCTATTGTATTTTGAACCAGTGATGGTTGAACAAAAAAAAAAATACACATTGATTTGCTTTCCACTTTCTCCACACTTGTGTGTGTGTATAACTGATGGAATAACAATTGAGGATAATAACAAATTTGATAAGACGGGATTTAGCCCAGAGATTCAACTTAATTTGTGATTCTTCATTCCTCCGATCACTCTTTGGTTAAATCACCCATGCATTTTTGAATATGAGCAATAAGCTCTTACTAACCTCTTGATTCGACTTTTTAAGAGAGACATTCAATTGCCCTGTGGTGCCTGTTCGGATTGTGTTACCGGTATAAAGAGTCAGATGTTGGAACTTTTCTTGTGCAAATGCGACCGGTTGGGTTCTCTTGAAATGCTTGTTGACAGGAATGTGATCGAGCGTATGGCTCTGACCGTTAGAAGCAGAATACAAGTCCTGCGAGGCATGAATGACTGTCATGGTTGAATATGAATGTATGTGATAATAATTAGAATAAAAGACTGAAGAGCGAAGGTCGAGGATTGGAATCGAATGAGTTTTAGAAGAAGAATGAGCGAGAGAATGAAGAATGAAAACAGATCGGTTTTTTTTTTTTTTTTTTTTTTTTTTTAGAAAAAATGTATTTGTAATGCGGCGGACCTTTTTTTGTCGCACAAAAAATGTTCAGCAAACATGATTTTCAAGGGGGCCAATTCAAGTTCCATGGCAAGTCGGGTTACATTTTGAAGCATGTGCTCACGGATTTCTGATCAAACATAATGGATATACGTATACATAATGCACTTCCAACAATCGAGTTTTACTTCTCACGATCAAAACAAATGAACAGCATGACAACAAGCAAGCAACAGATCAAAGATCGAGACTTTCACCAGCTCTCCGAAATTGTATTTATGGCTACCATTTAGGGGGAAAAAATGTACTTGTCGCCCTTCTTGATATTCAACTGCTGAAACGTTACATTATGCATGCGGTGGTGTATACGGTGGTGTATGCGCCCCTGTCCTGATTGTTTTTTCCTCTTTTTGCAATGCAACAAGGACAGACAAGGGCAAAATGATACCATTCGGGAATTTTAGAAGCCATGAGTGCATAAAAAAATCCTATTTCTTTAATCGATCTTTACAGATTGTAAAAAGAAAAAAAGAGCTGCATATTAGTGTATAATGACAAGACCTTAGGCGGGAAAAGCACACCATCGTAGACCCACTCTTCGTCATTGGGTCGCTTATTTTATTTAATAAAAAAAAAGAATGGGAGATATAGAGACAACTCCTTCTTTATATTTCTGTCTTTTCATCCTTCCATCTTTCATCAATTGCTCCCAAGAGATGATCATAAGAAAAAGGAAAGAAAGAAAAAATTGTAGAGATAGATAAGTTGGAACAACGGTTAGAAATAATTATTATGTTTTAATGTGGCCTTTTTTTATGTTTGGTGTAGTATGCAAGAAAGGTTATTAAGATCAATGGAGCTTTATGCGCTCTTGTCATATGCGGCATCATGAACTCTCTGAGCGCGCCCAGAAGGATCGGCAGGGCATCCCCAGTCTTCACGGGGAATCCAGCGAACTACAGATTCTGTGCAGGCCTCTTGAGGGAACCACTGCTCAAAGATATCGCGATACCAGTAAGCCTCTTTAGTCTGAGGTGTATCCTTCGGCCAACGCTCTGATGCTTTAGCAAACGCCTCGTCTGATACCTTAGTCAAAGAGAGCTCCTTTAGTGTGTCGATCCAACTATAGCCAACTCCGTCAGAGAATTGCTCCTTCTGACGCCAAAGAATCGAGTCAGGAAGGTAAGGTTGAGCAGTGGGATCATCTTTGGTGTCAAAAGCCTTACGAAGGATATACTTCTCCATCCTACCCTTGACAGATACTTTTTCTTGAGGATCGATGTTCATGGCAACCTCGAGAAACGCCTTGTCCAAGAAAGGAACACGAGCTTCAACACCCCATGCCATTGTTGACTTGTTGGCACGCAAGCAATCTGCATAATGCAGGTTCTTCACACGGCTTACGGTCTCTTTGTGAAGATCAGCAGCGGATGGGGCAGCATGGAAATAAAGGTATCCTCCAAAAATCTCATCAGCGCCCTCTCCTGAAAGGACCATTTTGACACCCATAGCTTTGATCTTTCTGCTCAACATATACATAGGAGTCGAAGCACGGATGGTGGTAACGTCGTATGTCTCCAAGTGGTAGACAACATCGGCAATGGCATCCAGACCATCCTGAACAGTAAAAGTGTACTCGTGGTGAACAGTTTTCAAAAAGTCAGCGGCGATACGGGCAGCAGCTAAATCGGGAGAGCCCTCTAAACCAATCGAGAATGAGTGAAGTCTTGGCCACGAAGCAACGGCACCTACGAAAGGGTATAAATATCGATAAGAACAAGTCTAAAAAAACTGCCTCTTAACAACTTTCAAATTGGCAAGCAAGGTGCATACTTTCATCAACATCATCACCGTCACGGTTCAATGGGACCTGTCCATGGATAATCTTCTGAGTTTCCCTTGCAGCGATAGAAGCAATCAAGCTTGAATCAAGTCCTCCACTGAGCAACACACCATAAGGGACCTCGGACATTAGTCTCTTGCGAACAGCTTTCTCTAAAGTCTCACGGAGGAGCTTATAATCGACAGGAGCAGATGGGATATTTTCGCCATCCCACCATGTAGGCTCAAAGTATCGAGTGGTCTTGCCAGTTTCAGAATCAAAAATATGGCCAGGCGGGAAAGCGATAATGCGGTCGCACTCCTCATTCAATGCCTTGAGCTCAGAAGCAAAATAGATGGTGCCAGGCTGTTTGCTGCTCCATCCCTGATATAAAGTGGTAATTCCAATAGGATCACGAGCAGCCAAAATCCTGTTCTTCTTTGTGTCGAGAAGAATCCAGGAGAACATTCCGTCAAGGTGTTTTACGACATCAGTATCCATTTGCTTGTACTATCAAGTCATAGAACCATCATTTAAAACTTTTTAGAGGATGATACTGCTAACTGCTATTCGAAACAAACACGAAATAAAGTAATAACATGATAATGCGTACAAGGTGGAGAATGACTTCACAATCTGACTGTGTCTTGAAGTGGGTGTCGGGGGGCATAGTTTGCGGAGAGCCTTATGGTTGTAGATCTCTCCGTTAACAGAGAGAATTAGCGACTCGTCATCATTTGTCAAGGGTTGGGCACCAGATTCTAATCAGTGCGTAGGCGAATTGTCACAGAATTATCAGTGAATATTAAAAAAAAAAAAAAAAAAAAAAACAACCCAGAACAGGCGAGAGACTTTTAAGGTATATTTCTGACAGCTCAAACGACAAGCTTTTGATGCGACTCACCAACGCCAACAATAGCCAAACGCTCATGGCACAGGATATGCTTGCCTGCAACAGTACATCCGTTCCAATCAGGACCACGGTGTCTAAGCCTAATCAGTAAGAAGTCATGGTAAGGCCGTTAGAGAAAGAGAATTTCATCAACCATGAAAAATTCTGCACTAAGCTAATATGGAATATTGATCCCACATTCTTGCGCCACCAATTGATCAGGCAAAAAAAATTGGTGATATCAAGCCCTTACTTTTTTGAGAGATAAAGTGCACGTTGCGGAATGCATTAGCATCGCCCGGCAGGTTATAGACTCCGAAAATACCACACATAGTAAGTTTTAAATGTGAATGTAAAAGTGATGAATGAAGAGAATTAGAGAAGAATTAGAGAAGAATGAGAGAAAAATGAGTAGAGAGGAATAGTGAGAACCAAAGATACGGGAAAATATTGGGGGGGGGGGTTTTAAGGAAAGCGACAGAAAGAAAGACCTCATCATGCTTTTATATGCGAAATGTCGATCTAGATATTATTTTTATCGATACGATCCACTCAAGCTCAAAGGAAGGAGTCATTGATTTCCATTTTTTCTTTTCAGCTGTTTGGTGGCTTCATTTAGAGGTGACTCTTCGATTTAAAGAATCTGAATTCAGATTGTCGCCGTTTTGGCGATATTATTCGGGAAACTATAAACATGCAACATGCATAATTAATACAAACCCAACTGCTGCTACCTGTATATACTAGAACCTCACTAACAGAAACAAATGATGTCTGGTCCAGCAGCCTTTATGGGCCTACTTGGTAAATTCACCTCACTCTGAACATCCGCGTTGAGGATTTGTGTGCAGGCGATATCTGTCAAAGTCTTGTTACACAAGAGCTTCTTATTTGATGACTCGACAAGGACATTTTCTGCCCACACTTCACAATTTAGATGAACACCCTCTCCTTCGGTTGTATTAGCGGACAACATCGAATAGTGTTGTCATCTGACTAAATATTAAGCTCCTGGCTATCAATGATGAATCTCATCACTTAGTACTTGATACTTGTCTCTAACAATGCAATTTCAGCGGCCATCGCCGCCGCAACAGCAGCAACAGCAACACTATGACTACTTCAACAAGCAGCCTTGTTTTTCGTCGCAAAACCATGTCCTACCTTGTTTGTTGGCAGCTATAATTCTCAAACAAGCACGCACCAGTGGTAACTCTGGCTTAGGTAAGAATTGCCTAGGTGAGGCAACTGAATAAAACGCTTTTCTTACTTCAATGGTGATACAATGTAGCTGCGCTGACAATAATGAACCGGCTATATCTCATAATATGGCACTTTAGATTGCTTGGCACAGATCAAGTCAAGTCGAGGACTTGTCAAAAGAAACTCATCTGCAGCTGCTGTGCACCTACATCTACAAGACCAGTATCAACAGTGTCCATCTTCTTTATCGCAACTGAGTGATGTCACTACGCTGGTTACTGAAGAACAAAACCGGAATCATCTAGATACATACTCAACAATAACAGAAAGAGTAGGGGCGCAGGACTTTTCCCCGGAACGTACTGCTTCACCACCACCAGGTCCACGCCCGTCCTTTATGGAGACGATTGCCGAACTTGAATCTAATATTAAAACAGATAGCTCGGACAATCAGATGAAGGAGTTGCTGCAACAAAGAATGGTAACCTACTGGAGGATGTTCCCATGCCATGAGTATTGAGAGTCTTATTACCCAAACTAGAATAAATAGCGCTGCTTAACATTTGACCTTGTCATAGAGAACGAAACACTTAGAAGATGGAAGTTGGAGCATGAGCTGAAATTAGATCAACTATGTATGCGACTTGAGCCTATTCGTCAGGAGCCTGTTCAGCCTGATCGTGTTGTAAAAAAACGCGGCCGTCCTCCAAAAAAGCGGAAAATACAGGATCAACCACCTGATGTCTCGACTGCCCCCGTCAATGAATCATTAAACATCTCAGACAGTATAATTGGTAACACCCTCACTATTTTCAATGGAAATCGAAAAAAAAAAAAAAAAAAAAAAAAAAGTGTGTATCAGAGATCACTTATATTTACGGTTTTAAGACGATCCACGTTCTTTCTAGACCGTACAGCAGCTTTCCCACAAAGTCAAGCTAGAATCTTCAAATGTATGGAATCACTTCGGCGTAGCCGATTCTTTTTAGAGTCTGCTGATAGAGATAAGGTGCAAGATGGCTTTCGTGTAGAGGCATCTATTTGGAACACGACAATGACCACAGGAATGATACAGCTGATTGAAGAGGTGATACAAATCTTCTTATCCCCATGTCCGACTTATAATTCGAGTGTCGTGCAACAAACGTGTGAGCACAGCATGGTGGTTGCAAGAGGTTATTAGCAAGATAAAAAAGCTGACAAAACTGTGTTACAGTTATTAAATTACATGTACTTGCCACTTTAATGAAGCAATTTCGATACTATTTTCACATATTTTAGAGCATCTTTCGGCATCCCTGTTAACCTTTCACCAGTTCGAACAGGTTCTTGGCGCTTTGGAATCATCATGGAGCCAATACCTACTACAGAAGCCATCCTCACGATCAAAGGTTCCGGACCAACTGGGGGAAAAGGAGGCGATAAAGATAATCCTCGCTGCGAACTGTCCCATAACGCCCACCGACATCCATTTGAATCTACTAAATTTATGTTACATAAGCATCCTACTTCGGGTAATACTCCGAAACTTGGTCAGGACACTCGAATGCATAAATCAACTAAAGGCAGGGTCCAAAGAACAATGCTTGACGGTAGGGCTACAGAACCGCGGGATCTCTTTGAAATCGGGCGCTAAAAGAAAGGCAAGGGCGCTAAATGCGCGCGATAGATTAAAAGTACGTCATCAACAATATCAGCTCGAAGAACAATGCATTCGGCCTGTCGAGATGGCCAGCATAATTTCGCAAGCATACATTGTTCAGAAATGTAGCTGTGAAAACTGTTTGAGCATAAGGCACAAATCGTGTTTAACAGATAAAATACAGAGGTTAAAAGGTGAGGTTTGTTGGTATTGCGCCAATTGCATGCGGAATCTCAAGATTTTTAGCAAGATAACGGCATATTGATGGACCGACGCTTCCTTCCTCCTCAACGTGTTAGATGACTGTAGGGAGATGATACGACGAATTTCGTCATATGTACTCTTCTCTCCTGCCAACGCCTCATCTTCTCAACCTGTTCTGTCCAGATGGCTTACAGATCAAATCCTTGAAATTTTGTCGAGCACTGGCAATCCATGTGAGGTATAATCGATCGTCCAATATCTTTTATCTTTTTTTATTTTTTATTTTTCTTTTTATAGTACTATACATCTATCAGGCTGCAGAATAAAAGACGTTGCCTTGCGGTAGCGGCGCATTCATCAAGTGAAATGCTCCTTTATCGTTTCTTAAAACCAAACTTTTTCCGTCATAAAACAGATCTGTTTTTGAGGATCCCAAGTTAACAATCTTTGGACAGCCATCTCTCTTTAATATATAAACAGATAGCAGGTTAAAGAGAATATGTTAGAATACCTCCCCCTTTTTTTTAAAAAAAAAAATGAATAGATAAATAAATAAATAAATAAATAAATAATAGTCCTTCAATATATACTTACGTCCTTTTCAGCTCGCGTACAATTAGCGCAATAATATGCGTCACTAACTCCTGGCGATCCACAGACTACACAACGTCCCTGAAAAGATCCATAATTGCATTCATCACAGACCCTGACAAGCGTTACTGGACGAACATATCTTTAAATAATAACAATTAAAAATAATAATAAAATAAGACGATCAGTAGAGATCAAATAGAGCAAAAAAAAAAAAAAGCGAGCTGGTAAGATGTTGCTGTTGTTTATTTAAACCTCAAACTTACGAATCACAAATAACACATCGACCATCGCATTTCTCGCACACACGTCCGATAGCTATCCTCGATGTTACGAAGGAAAAAAAAAAAAAAAGAAAAGTTAGTAAACATTCATATGTGCTGCCAGTACAAGATATATTTCCTGTTAAGAAACAAAACATTAAATGTTGCATGTAACGCCTGTTGGTGGTTATAACTATGCTCTTGCTGATTACCAATGCCTGTCTGCTTCCTGCACATAATCAGATCTGGGTGATGTTTCGACTTTCTATTAAGAAGGAGAAGCGAAAATAAAAGCAAAAGCACATTGATATTCCGGTTAATAAAAATAAAAGAACCACACACAACTCTGTCATGTTGATCTCTTTCTTATTTTTTGGTTGCTGTGTTGTCTAGACATGCAATGTCCATCCCAAGCTCTCAAATCGTACTTTATATAATAATACTATAGTCTTGTTCGTTGTATAGTGTAATCTTCTTTTTTCTTGGTCCTGCGAAATGAGTAGGTTAGTGTTTTTACATGAAGCGAGAAAGTAAGGGATGTGGTCCGCTGCGCCACCATCATGTCCCGTGACTGCTTATAATTAAATGACGCGCATAGCAAAGCAATATGTTCAAAAAATATACATACGTATCCTGTAATTCCTAGGCTCTCTAGACTACTGGTTTTGTATCAGTCATCTGCTCAAATGTTCTTGGCAGCAACAACAACAACAATAACAATAAACACAACAACAGCATGTGAAAAAGGACTATGAAAGGCGTAGTAAAAAAAAAAAAAAAAGAAATGACTCTGGAAAATGCCGCGGATGCAAGAATATGACATCAACAACTTCGTTTTACTATCTTATGATATGTTGCCGCCAAAATATATATGATGGAGGGCTGGGTTTTAAGATGGATAAGAGAAACACAAAAAGAAAAGGGGAAAGGGAAAGAAAGAGGGCGCAGTGATCAATGACCTACTGCTTGGGGTGTCACTTGGATCAAGTGTACGTCTGTGGTTTCTTGTAATGCTTGTCTTAGGATTAGGCGTCACTCACATTCCACCCCCCTGACTCACTTGTCTTCACCCGTCAAATTACATAAACGCATGTTTTAGTTTATAATGTTGACAACTTGGACAAGAACAGCAGAAGGGAATAATAGGACGAAATAGCATTAGAAAAGAATGTGTAAGAGAAAATGAAATAGACAATCGATAAAGATTTATTTACTTTTTTTTTTATCTTTATTAAATATAATACACATTTACAATTTATTTTTTTTTTTTTTTTTTTTTTTTTTTTTTTGAAAAAAAAGGTATTCATGAATATTTTGCATCAAATTCATGCATCAAATCTATGCATCAGCCCAGTCAGAGATACGACGATTCAGTGCACGTTTGCCTTCTGCGATCAGAGTCGTCAGTTTGGCTTCCATCCTGAGAAATTGCTCGTCGTTGTCTTCTGTGCCTGTTTTGGCCTCTCAGGCATGGGTAATGAGTCCTTGGAAAGATAATCATTGTCATACGCGTGAGGAAGCGATATCGACAGCCCATGGCCACGAGGGGATTTATAGGATGAATGCTTGTAATTCCTTGATTTATGACGATGTGTGTTGTGGTGAAGAGATTTTCCAAGCACACCAGAAGAGGAATCTCGGCGTTGAATTGTTCTTGTCGGGATATCGACAGGTGCGGACTTCATTTGCTATCGTTTACGAATGCATGTTGCAGAAACAAAACAATTGTGCATACATTTAGAATCTAAAAATGACACATGTTTGGCCCCATGCATTGCGGGAAATTATCCAAGAGGGAAAAAAAAAAAAAAAAAAAAAAAAAAAATCCAAATACTTACAACTACAGACTTCTCAAAGACTGGCTCGCCATTGCCTTGAGGCGCTGCTGGCGTGGCCTTGGCCGACTCTGCTGTGGGAGAAGACATGGTCGCATCAAGTTGTTGCCTGCCCTTACCCGTGAGTAACTGATATGCTGAAAGAGCTACAGCACTTGTAAAGATTACTGTCTCAACTGCAGCGCCCAAGATAACTGCTGCCGCTGATCGCTGTCGCTTCTTTGGAGGCTCGGCTGCATATAGGGCGTCATCCTCATTGGTTTGATTATCCTGCGCTCTGAATGCACCAATACCAAAGGCTGGAGTACTTCCAACAATAGTCACTGCAGTAGAGGTATCGTTAGGATGGGCCTTCCAGCTCCAAGGGCGCAGAGTTTTCGAGCTGAAGCTGAGCATCATTCTCCTCAACGTTCAAAACGGGACAAGTCTTCATCGTCATGGTCAGGTACAAATTGAGGGGCACCATAGCGTCTAGAGATCTTTGCAAGAGTCCTATCAGATCTGGAGCTATGGTGACGACCCGGTTTATGATGATAACAGGAAGGATGATGGTGACGGCGATGATGTCGCTCTTGATTGGATGGCAGGATGAATGATGGTGATAGTGTCGTGCGGGTGATGCCCCTTGGAATGATGGTGACAAAAGACTGAGCAAGAGTGGGGTGGAGCTAGGAGATGATACGTTAGAATAGGACGAATTGGAGGCAGTTGACGAATGAGATGAATATGCGTAAGTTTTGGTGTTCGTGGACCTGATGTAGCAGCCAGATTAACACGTGGAGAGCCAGGGCCTTCAGACGTTGTTGTGGAACCGCGCCCAGACCCTGGGCTTTGCGTTGGACCAAAGTAAAAGAACCATCGAAGGTATTGCTGCCAGTGTTGGCAATTGAGTGTTGATGGAGAGAGGGAGGGTCGCTGTTTTTGACCAGTCGAGTCTGATTTTGGCGTAGGAGATTCTGTTGTAGAAGGTGCCGAAGTAGATAGTGGTGATTCAGGTGTGGAGGAAGATGTGGTAGAGGATACAGAAGATAAATCAGGGATTCCCAACAGATCCGAAGGTGTAATAGGAGAGGGATATGCTGTTGCTTTGCGGACACTGCTTTTAATGTTAGTATCGATAGGAGTGTTGCTATCTTGATTATCGTCTTGAAGTGGAAATGAGAGCTCGTCAGAGAGGTTCCTTGCTTTGCTAGGCTGTCTAAGAGGGCTAGAGTGCTATGTGGATGATGATGATGATGATGATGATGACCACCCAAAGAATCGTTGCTGCTGTTACTGGTGGCAAGAGACATGGGTAAAGACGCATTACTGCTGTTACTGCTGTTTAACCTTGAGGAAGAGCGCTTATTGTGCAGTGGCAATGTTTCATTACGTGATGAGTGATATTGATGAGAACTTGTAGTATGAGGGGCCCTGGGCAGAAGATCAGACGCGCCGGAATGCTTGTGCACGGGCGAAAAGGATCGACTGTGGCTGTTGGAGGATTTTTCTGGACCAGGATATTTGAGCCAGGGCCTGTCGTCCTGGTGAAGTTGCGGGTAGTGAAAAGAACGCTTGTGAGAGGACATGGTGGCCAGGAAGGATTGAGAGAAGCCCCAAGGGAAAGGAAAGAAAAGACTGAGCGGAGTGATAAGTTTGATAAGAAATGTGAATTTTTTTCGATTTCACAGGGCGCTATATGCCATTGGGTAGATGGGATGATTGGAATAGAATGATCAGAAATGTGTTGAGTGAAAAGGAATGAAGAATGAAGGAGGTTTGAGAGAAGAAAAAGTGTAAATAAAGAAGAAGAGGAAGAAGAGAAAAAGAAAATAAAAGAAAAAGAAGGGGAAAGAAAAGAGCATATTACACCTCTTTTTTAAAAAACCCTTGGTGGACAGACGCCTTTTCTCCTCGATAGACTTTTGAATTGAAAATGTGATTATTGATTGTATATTTATATTATTTGTACGACTGAACTAAGTGGGAGTAAAAGCCATTGAATACAGCGGTAATTGATTACTGTCATTTTAACAAATACATGAAATGCCTTGCATGGCCTGATCTCTTTTTGTCTGTGGTTGGTTGGTTGTGGTTGCAATGTCAAAAAAAAAAAAAAAAAAAAAAAAAAAAAGGCAACAAGCATGGAACACGAGCGTTTGGAAACTATCATCGCCATCACCATCACCATCACCACAATCGGTGTGTTCTTTCTATGATGGGACTAACAGTGAATTATTCAGGCTGTGTAATAGTCGTGCGCATGTGTGTTGGATTTCATTGTGATAATCCAAAGTGCAAATCATATGCTTTTTGAGACCGCCAAACAACCAGCTCACCAACAATAGCAATCAAAACCAAAAATATATATTTATCCCAAGTACATGTAATACAGTGCATTTATACCCCCCAATTCAAAAAAATGTTAACATTCGAAACCATGTCTACACAACGTGGGCTGAACTGAATCATATCCTACCCTGTTTCCTGCCCGATGGTTCTTGTGCATCCTCTCTTTCATTTATTGTTTGTCCTTGGTATTGATGTTGTTACTTTTGCAGATGTTGACAGTGTTGATTTTGATCCTCCTCGCCATTTTGTCAAACTCGGTCCAAAGATGTTCATCGTTGCCTCCTATCAATGGTATATACCGAACAGGAAAGATCAAACAGTGCAAGTGCTGCAACTAAGAGAGGCATCTTTTTACGCTTGTTGTGCATTGTGTCTCTAAAACGCAAACAGAAAAAGGAGACGAACAGATGCAGAAAAAAAAAAAAAAAAAAAAAAAGAGAGATGCCACTGGCCAACAGGACGGGGGTGCTTTTGCTATTGATGTCGTTCTGTGATATTTGAATAAGGGTTTGTATTCAAAAAAATTGAAAAGCGTGCCCTTCTCGACAAGTCACTATTACTAAACATCGATTGATTGATGTATTCATCAGGCAAAAACACAAACTTGAATCGGACCATCGTACATATTTACTATTGTGGACGAATGTTAAATAGATGAGCGTGCTTTATTGTAGCCGTTAATATGGAGTAGTTCGGTCCAGTTGCATAACAAACCAATTGTTATTTAAAATAAACATCAATTGAAACACAATAGACAGATTATAGCAAAACGCCTTTATGCGCACCAAAAGATCTGTGTGTATCGATGCCAAGTACATGTACCGTGGCCGTCGAAGACGAACATTGATGTAGTAGAAGAATGAGAAGAACATGGATGTATGAATGAGAGCATTCTCAGATCCTCTACACCCTGTCCTTTGGCTCCTGCTCGCCTTCTCCCCGTGTCTATTGTGTACCAAACGAAACAATTGCTCATTTGTACACGAACATGTACATGTACATGTATATATTTACCAGTTTTCCTTTAATGATAATCGAGGTTTGTCTGTGCCGTCGAGATTTGAAAGAAAGGATGGAGCCGCCATGGTGTTTTTTTTTATTTATTTTTATATCAAAATTAACCTCTTTAATATGATCAGTCTCCATATTACAAGAATGTCATGAATATTGATAATATTACTTTAAATAATTTTTTTTTCCCAGAACTTTCAATAAATAAACAAAGAAGAACGGTCTCCGATCGTCTGGTTTTCTGGTCTGTGGTCGTACACCTTTCCCGACATTATTCTCACTTAATATATTATATATTTATATACGATAGACATTGATTGCATGCACGCTAATGATTCCATCCCGAAGTATCAATAAATTGTGTGCCAAGACCAGGCAGGACAGATAGAAGGAAACAATTGGCCTGGGCATTCTTCTCTTCCTCTTCCTTCTCCTCCTCTTTATCATATGCCAACAGGGTAAAGAAGAATCGGGAAAAAAAAAATACGTCAATTTCGGTTTGGTTTTATGTTTGAATGACAGTTCGCGCAGGAAAGCGTGTGCATTGATTGAATACGGTTGAATACGGTGATCAAACCCTTGCCCTGATGTTTTTTTTTTTTTAAAAAAAAAAAAAAAAAAAAAGGCAATTGAGTTTTCCAAAAGGAAGAAGGCGAACAGACCACCTGCTCCTATCATGCTACTGAACAGCGGTTTTTTCTTCAAATAAGCATGTTGAATTACCTTGGTAAGATCTTACTGGCCCCTATCCCTTTTTTTTTCACAGACATGCGCGTAAGCTCAGTGCCCATGCATTCCTTCATCTCGTCATCACACACTTTTAAAAGCTATTGTTATCGTTAATGAGGGGGACTCCACTGATGCTGTGTAGTTGGGTAAGCTGTTTATTCTACTTACGAAATACATGAACTTGTTTCCTCGGAATGTCTGTAAACTAAATGGTTTGACTGGTACAAATATTATATTTGTGTGATTATAGACAGATGCTTTTGTTTGTTAGTTTGTCTACTCTGTTATCCTTCAGTGTATTTATTGGCTTCACTCAAAGGATAAGAAAGATGAAATTGTACTTGAATGCTCACTATTGAAACGGAGGAAAAAAAGGAGATTTAATGCATTGTTGGGAGTATTTCGTGGTTGTGTGATGATGATACCGCGCAGGATGCATTGGCTAGGCATTTCGTGAAATGCATAAGATTATAAGCACATCCAGAGTGTACGACAAACATTCACCCATATTTTTTTGTCTCTCATCGCACAACATTTAACCGTCCAAAAAAAAACAAAAAAAAGTTGCCACAGGTTGAAGTCAAAGATTAGGGGTGGGACTTTCGACAAGGCTGCTGATAAGGATTGGGATTTACCCCCAACACAATTATGCTAAAAACGGTCTCATCCCTGCGCACATCACAAAATTGCAAAATGAGCCAGCTGATCCCTTTGGCGGCAGAATGGTATTGAAGTCACATGTCAAGCCAATGAGAGGGAATTACTGCCAATCACAAGGTTATTTATCACCATTACCCATTACCACACACAAAGCATCCTCAGCAAGAAAAAAAAAAAAAAAAAAAAAAAAAAAGCACGGACACCGATCGCAAGACAACATTGAATCAGAACGTGATATTCACGATTCACGATATCTTTTTTTTTTTTTTTTTTTTTTTTTTTTTTTCATTGCGCACGTCAAGCAAGTACATGCTGCGGATTAATGTAGACTGGAGAAGAGCGCGCAGGACTTCTTTTTTTTTTTTTTTTTTTTTGTAAAGATAACAACGCGATATGCAACTAAATACTCTCAGCCTATCTTTCAAGCGCAAGTTATAAACCACTGTTCAGAACCGTTGTGGCGCGATGACTGTGCTCGTTCGATTTCGAAAAAGTACAAATACAACGTGAGTCAGCTGCAAAATGCTCAGCTTTTGACCCTTAAGGAAGAGCAGTATGATAGAGATGTGCACCACCTTGAGATTTGAGCAACATCTGGGAATCGTGCACGGATCTGTGGGATTTACATGAATTCTATCCAATAAAAACAAAGCTTACCGTGATGAACATGCTCAATAATGAAAGTCTCTTGGTGCCTGGTCACCAACCAGAACATTCTTCCTTCTGTGGGAGCTGTGGTAGTCTATAGCACAACCAATGATCTCTGAACGAATTAGGCACACAAGTTTGGAAGAGATATTTTATAAAGCCAATGAGTCAGGCACATAGGATTAAGAATGCTAGTAACAGATGAAGCTGGCTGTTATGATTTTTATGAACGTTTTGCTTAAACGGTAACTCCCTAACTACAGTTTGTGCAATGCTTTGTAAGTGAATGCTCCATTTGGAATTAAGGAATGAAGTCATTTAATAATGAGTGAGCGGACAAAGAAAAGTTGAGACGCCCACAAGATCAGCTAAATTATGCCTGCGCTCTTTCTATTGGCTCGAACTATTTCAACTTCTCCATCCGGAATGCTTTGGATGCGTATATATAACTGATCCAGAAGAAGGTACATGGAAAAAATAAAAGAATAATTACTCCTTTCCTTACATCTTCTTGTCTTTTCTCAATCTTTTTTTATTCTCTGAACTCTACCTTCTCATATCTGTTCTTACAGCTCTTTGAAAGAAAATTCATTCCAATGGCACACACTCCTACCAGCCAAAGATGCCCAATGGTAACATCGAGTAAGTATTTCTATAATAATAGCCTCCACACACACAAGCAATAGCATCAAACACATTATATATATATATAAAAAAGAATCACATTTTTTTTTTGCGTAATGAGTTTGCATTCATGCATAATGCTTTTTTTTTTTTTTTTTTTTTTTTTTTTTTTTTCCTTCCCACAGCCTATTGCCATTTGTATTATTTTTGTGGCCATCATTATCTTGGATCTATTGATCACAAAAAAGGTGCTCTGGCGAGAGTGGCAACTATGACCAACGCATTTTGTCCAACCACTGCAAGTCGGCTTGAATGCTGCTAGTTCAATTGTGTGCACAGGTCCTTTCCCTCCTTTTTTTTTTTTTTTTTTTTTTTTTTTTGAACCGCTGCGGTGTAAATATTTTATTTCCCACGGAGAGCCAATCATCAAAATTTATAATCGCATTTTCCTTTTCAGGTCCATTCTTGACAATTAACAACAGCAGCATATCTCTGTTTACTTAGATTACTCTATCCGACTGCCAAGCAAGCCGCACTCTCACATGCCTTGACCGGACACTCAAGTTCCTCTGGCAATAGTCTTGTCAAGTCAGGGTATTCTGAGAGAAGTGGATCTCCTATTGACTTTGACGGTCTCAGTTTCCCCAGTAAGGAAAATTGTTAAACTTTCATCCAAACTTTCTGCGAACCTTAAAATTTTTTTACAGAGTTCGAGAACGACGATCGATTCAATACTAATCCCCTCAAGCGTCTTATTATTATTATTATTATTTCGTAATAGGTATTGGTGCTAGGGAACGCCGTGAAGACACAGAAGAACAGCGTGAGGTTAGGATTCAAAAGATTGCTGGGGCTGTCCGTACGATCATAGAGTGCATCGGCGAAGATCCTGACCGTGAAGGCCTACTTAAGACCCCGGAGCGCTATGCCAAGGCATTAATGTTCTTTTCCAAGGGATATGAAGAGAGTGTCACTCGTAAGGGCTTATTTAGGGTTCAAGGTTAATGTACAAGTGACAATTGGTTTCGTCAGATATCCTAAACTTCTCTACTTTCTGTCTGTATTCCATCTATTGGCTTTATGTAGATCTTATGAACAAGGCGCTTTTTCAAGAAGGTGCGACAAAAAAAGAACGCTAGATACACTATTTTGAGGTTAAAGTTGGTCCATTTACAACAGCGCTATTATACTAATTTTTTTTTTTTTTTGTTTATTCATTTACTAGACCATGATGAGATGGTCATCGTTAAGAATATCGATGTATTTTCGCTATGTGAGCACCACATGGTGCCATTCACAGGAAAGGTATGAATTGCAGAACTGTATGCAGTAGGCAAAGGTAAAGGTTCTCCATTTGCGATATTAACAAAGCGAGTGGCACATTCCCTTTATTAGATCCATATCGGCTACATTCCTCAGAATGGAAAGGTTGTAGGGCTAAGCAAGATTGCTCGTTTGGCAGAGATGTTCAGCAGACGCCTTCAGGTTCAGGAGAGATTAACTAAGCAAGTTGCCGTGGCTCTCAAGGAGCTTCTCGACCCCCAAGGTGTTGCTGTAGTCATGGAAGCTAGGTAAGGATCTCTTATGTATTTCTATATTCTCTCTCTCCACCTACCTTTTATTTATTTATTTATTATTTTAATTTCATTCCATTTATTAAATGACGATTGGAAATGTTAACACGACTATTTTTGCCCTCATTCGTACACTCATAGTCATTTCTGCATGGTCATGCGTGGAGTCCAGAAGCCAGGTAGTCAAACGATTACCAGTTCCATGTTTGGTTGTTTCCGTGATAATGCCAAAACTAGAGAGGAGTTCTTGTCTTTGATCCGAAGGAGTGGTATTTAAATTTTTAGTTGCTAGACAAGCCCCGCCAAACTACAAGGATACCCAAAATAGACCAATTCCACATTTCCACATTTCCAATTTCCACAATTCCACATGTCCACATGACGCACTTTCATGCAAATAAATGTATAATGCGGTATCACATTATAACCACACTGTTCTTCTTTGTCATCGATGTTCATAACAACACGTCCAAACAGTTATGTAATGAGGAATGTTGACGTGTATCCACACCTTCTTAATTGTCGTTTAAAATGAAAATGGGCTTGGTTTTGTAGGACAAAGACGCCACCCTCAATACACTGCCTCGAAGTGCCAGTTTCAAAGTTTATGTAAATTTGCCCTGAAGAGGTCCCGACCCTTGATTTTTTCATCATCTGATTTTACTGTTTCCCTTTTATCACTTTTTGAATAACTTTTTTTTCTCTCTCTCTTCTCCTCATGACCTTCCCCAAAAAAGATATCCCTTGCCTTTCTTATCATCATGCAAATATTATATCCTTCAAAGCCTTCGGAACCCTGCTCCAGAGTTAGCTCAAGATTCGCTGCACGCAAGTTTAATCCTTCTTTTAACTACTCAATAGAACAAAAATATTTTCGCAGCTGAGCTAACCTTTTTATTTTAATAATAATAATAATATAATAATAATAATAATAATAATAAAACAGTGGTCTTGTTGATGAGACGGTCGCTCGTTCAGCGATCCTCAAGTTTTTCTCTTTCTCTGGGATACCAAAGTGGGTAGTTGGTCAAAAACACCATACGCAAAGACGGAGCGCATCAAAGACACATTAAATCCGTGTTCGTCAACGCATTCAATTGACTATCGTTTCGAGACAGAGCAACGTCTTAGATTTGCTGTCTATGATATTGATGACAAAAACAGCGACAAATTTTCGGATCAGGATTACCTTGGAGAAGCCACTGTCGACTTGGCTTCCATTGTGACGGCACGTGGAGGTCAGATAGGGTTGAATCTCACACTCCCAGGTTCAAATTCATTGCTTCAATGGGTACGATCATTATTCAAGCTGAGGAACTGAAGTCTTCTAAAACGTATTCAGGTAAAGGGTGATGGGCAACAAACCCCTTTTAGCCTTCTTTCCTTCGCCGCGAAACGATGAAGAAAAAAATATTAAAAATAATCCTTATCTTCCTTTCAGTTTCTCTATCAAAGCAAATGATTTGACAAAAAAAGGCTTTTTCAAGACAAGGCCTTCCGCCTTCTTCATCGTTGAGCGCGGAACGAGAACGGGACATATTCGCCTGTATACGATCCAAGGTGCGGGAAGATGACGATGAATCCTATTTGGGATCCATTTTCAATCAAGGAGAGTGTTCTTAACAATGGAGATCCTAATAGATCATTACGAATCCAGGTCATGAGCCACAAGGAAAATGGAAGTATGTCTCAAAAGAGAGTTGTGGCTATGAATTTACAAAAAAAAATACCGCCAAAGGAACAACTAGGAGAAAGAAAACAACAATGGTGAAAATGGCCACAATATCCACACAAGAATGAAGCAAACTCTGGGAGATTACTAACATGACTAAACTTTTTTTTTTTTTTTTTTTTTTTGCACAACATTCATAGCCCATACAATCATTGGAACGACGCCTGTTTTCACGACTGCGGATTTGAGCCGTTACAGCTTTCCCCACACAGTCCCTATCCCGCCTATGACAGGAACATCTTCATTGACTATTACCAACTTTTCTATTACAACTCCACCATCATTCATGGATTTCATGATTGCGGGCGGGACTATAGGTCTGATAGTTGCAATTGATTTCACTCAGAGCAACGGTGATCCTCAAAATCCAAGTTCGCTACATTTCAAGTCTCCCACAGGCGACAATGAGTATACTCGGGCAATCCGCAGTGTGGGAAACATTCTGCAGTTCTATGATTCAGATAAAAATTTCCAGTCTATGGATTCGGCGGAAGGATTCAAGGCCAAGTCAACCATGCCTTTCCGCTAAATGGCAACCCAAGCAACGTAGGTTTTACTAAGTTAAAAAAAAAATTAGAGTATGTTCGAACCGATCTGACCACCAGCATACTGCCTGCATACTTTATATTTTTTTATTAGCCTGAAGTTAATGGCGTAGAAGGTATCCTCAATGCATATTGGAATGCTCATTCGTTCGTTGAATTGTGGGGCCCAACGAACTTTACGCCTGTGATTTCTGAGGCCACAACGATTGCCAAGAATAGTGAGCCCTACAATTATACTGTTCTTCTGATCCTCACAGATGGAGCCATTACTGATATGTAAATCTTTGGAAAAGTCCCCAATAACGCACGGTATTGGAGAGTGCTGAGTATTTCCATGACACTCAGTTGCTAACAAATGTTTTGTCCGATGTCTGTTCAACTTTTTTAGGAATGACACTATTAGCGCGATTCAGAAAGCAAGCAAACACGCAATATCGATCATCATTGTTGGCGTCGGAAAAGCAGAGTTTGGAAAGGTAATGGTTTATGCTAGAGATGATTGATGATATCTAAACAATGTGCTGGCCATTAGATGTAAATATTTAGTGTTCTTTATTGATATTTCTTTTTTTTCAATCGTCAGATGGACGCTCTGGACGGAGACGTTGAAACTTCTTCTGTTCGCAGCAAAAAGAGCCGTGATATCGTCCAGTTTGTGGCCGCACGTGACTTCCCTCCTCACCTTGAGTATGGACTTGCGCAAGCATTGTTGGCGGAGCTTCCAGATCAGTTTGTGGCGTACATGACCATAAATAATATTAAACCTCCGCCGGTTGTCCTCGGGTCTGTCCCCATGCCTATGGTCCCAGCAATCCCTGCAGGGTTCACACATGGTTGACACTGTTCCTACACATCCTATGATTGCACCAGGTCGGTATCCTCCGTCAACTATATATCCACCACCCTTTATGTCCGGAGCTTCAGGTTACGCTCCAGGATATCCTTCTCCAGCCGGGCCACCACGTCCTGATTTTTACCCTAGTCGTTCTCCTTCGCCAGTTTTCCGAGCTTATGGTACTAGTCCACCTACGCATATCAACCATCCAAGGTACCCCCACAGTTTCAGCCGGAGCCTCATCGCTACCCTCATGGGCAACATCTCTACCATCCCTCTGCTTCAGGAGCATATTCATCTCCTCCATCTCACTATCCCTTCCAACCCCATCGCCGTATCCACCACACTACCCTCAGCATCCGCTCCAGCCTCAACCGCATCAACCATCTCCAAGCGGCATCCATGCGTATCCACAACCTCGACAACCATCACCATCTTTAAATCATGAACCCCTACCCCAACCCAGCAACCAGTGACAGTTACGAGTCATGAGAATTCTGCACAATCTCTTCAGCAACCACGAGCTCCTGGTGCCCCACAGACTGCCCTGCCCTCCGATGAGGCAAATGGCAAGCATTAGCCAAGTCAAGAGCGATTCATCCAAGGCCTTGTAACTCTAGTATCTTAAACTGCATCTTTCCAATAATAAGTAGGGAAAAAGACAAAAAAAAAAAAAAAAGTAAGCAATAGTAAGGCATATGTATTCCAAATTGAATACAGACTATTCGCTGTTTCTTTGTCTGCAATAGCTTTCGGAAATAAAAATAAAAAATAAATAGGGCAACAAGTAATGGGACGGTAGAATGTAGCAAATAGAATTCAGAGTCTTGTGTTCTTAGTCACCTCTGCAAAAGGAGGGTTCTTTATAGAGCACTAAGAATAACTGCGGAGGTTTTTTTTTTTTTTTTTTTTTTTTTCAAAAATGGCGGGAAAAAATATTTGATTGAATGTTCGCTATTTTACGAGTAGAAAAGAACAATTTTAAAAAGCGATGGCCCATGCCGGTCATGGCACATGCATTAGGAATGTAAGAGCGTTGTACTTGGTTCAGGAGAAACGAGGGAATGAAGGAGAGTGAATGGGGAGCGGGAAACGAAAGTTGCTGTCCAGATTGGATTCATTGATTGACATGGTACATGTACGATAAATTTTCTCATTGGCCATAACGTCTCATCCTGATTGTTCCTTTCATATTCTCTAATGTGCTGTTGGTGTGCCTGAGCTGAGCTTGCATATGTTTTGGCGGCTCCATTTCAATAATACAGGAATGTTTATAAAAACTAGTTGTGCACATGTAACTCGTTCTCTTTTTTTTACACACGGCTGTTGAGCAAAACGCACAATCCCCTTGTTTTGTCTCTCTTTTTGATCATTTTGCATTTTGATCACAGGAAAAGCTCCGTGTGTCTGCCCTTGTACGACGTTGGACTCTGTTTCTGCAAGTCAACAGGGTCTCGTATTTCAATCTGACATTCAGTTTTGAATAGAGCCCAGTCTATGATTCAAGTTGGACATGTTGTATGCTGTCTGTACACACAGAACATTGTGTGGCGTCTTTGTGCACGTTTCGCTTTGTCTTTCAAAGAACAGCTGGAAAATAGTCCCGAGAGAACAAAAAACCATCTGCCCAGCACTCACAGTTTTTACAAAACGGTTGGGCACACGAGACGATTGGCCCATGCCCGATCAGGCAAGGATTGGTCATCAGAAGAGAACAGAGGCGAATACCTTCTTTCTGCTTGTTCTGTTCCTCTCCCTCTTTTCTTCTCTTTCCTCTCTTCTGTCTTTCTCTTTTCATCTTTTTCTGCTCTTGCTCTCAGTCTTCTTTGTCTTTACCTCCTTCCACTTCTACTTCCTCTCCCTTACCTAATATCACAACCACCCTTCCATTATTCGATAAAAGACACCATTATACTATCTACATAGTTATTCCTTAATCCATAGTGTTCTTAGTCTATCTCGCCTTTCTACAAGCAATCATAACAATCTCACATTCTGCTCTACACATTTCACAATTCACATTTCACATTACAACATTACACAATACACATTACAGATTACAGATTAGACATTACATATTCCATTCATCATGAGTTCGAAAGAGCCTCGTTTGTCACAAGTCCTACCAATTATTCGGTGCTCGGATTGTGGAAAAGATGTCGAGTTCCGCAAACTGAGTGAACATGCTTGTATAGCTATCCCGACATTGCCTGCAATGCCTCTGTACATCCCCAGAAGACGTAAGTTGCATGATCAATCATCAGTGAGCGAGGAACACTGGGTGCACATAAGAAGGTGGAAAAAAAAAATTGAGCCTCAGGCGGAATCTTTTTTGTGTACGAGTCCATGCGTGTACACTTTGGATATTTTCGGTGAATTGTATCAGCGGACAAAGCTTTGGACATTGGAGCATGTTACAGCATTGCTCACAACTATGACCGACAGTATTTTGTAAACATCTCTGTCATCACAGGTTTTGTTGATCATGAAAACAAGAAGATATATCAAGAGTGATGCCAAGATTGCAAAATTCATTTTCTCCTGTTCCATTCATAGGAAAGCTTGCTTTCCTAATACTGTTGGTCCCTTTTTTAACTTCTGTTCCTTTCAGTCGCCGGCCCATTTTTTCTTTTGTTTCTTTGCGGCCAAAATTGCATTAAGATTGGTCATTCTTTTGTTCTTCATATTACTCGGTGAATTTCTGTGCAATCAGATTCCTAGGATGAGGCTACAACTAGCGTTTTGATCTGTGATAGATTGTTCGCCGCCATACTCTGCTCTATTCTTTTTGCCATTCTAACATGTAATCATCGTGTTCTCAATAGCTTACATACCATCAACGAAGACGACAACAACTACAACAACGACAAGGAGCGGAAGTGCTCTGAAGGACTTTAACAATAGCAAGCAACACAATCAAATTAATCAAGTCAGAGTCAAAAACAAGCATACCAACCATTTCTTGCACAACTAAAAAAACAGCTACCATTAACACAGCCCCACTCTCACCCATTCGTCCATCCTCTGTTCAAGCGCGACCTGCTCTGCCATATCTAGAAAAATACTCAAAACGCAAGTCTGCATCTGCTCCAGCGCTTCTTTCGCAACCCACTAATATTACTTCAGAACCACTCCATTACAATAAACGCAATAGTCAGACAATATCGCCCATTGTGCAGCTTGCTTTCTTGTAGTACGATGATGACCAGGATACTCCCATATCACCTACACCAAAACGACACTCTACTGATTTTTATTCTACGCCATCCAGAACTTCGCTTGACGAACGGCACTCAAATCAGCCAACGCTGTAGGAGAACGCTCTACACACACAGAGTCGTTGAAGCCAATCATGGAGTCGATAGAGTGCAACTACCCATCTCGTAGCTCACGGATCAATCTCAGCAGCAGCCTGTTCCTGCTCTTCCTCGCAAGTCTTCACAGCGTATATCCGGCATCGTCCCAGCTGTAGCAGGCGTTAATGCTCCTCCCATTCACAGCACTGGAAGCACCAGCAAGAGCAACGGGAGCAACAATGTACCCATGCAGTCAGTATCGCAACACAAACATTGGATTCTACAATAGATCATGATCAGGAACGTACGATTGAACCACCCTCGATCAAGCGACCTACTATGCTAGCAGTTAGGAACGTCTTCAGGCTGAAAGGCTTCATCAACGGTCCCTGTCAGAAACGATCCGAACGATCCGAACGATCTTCGCTGCAGACAGAAAGGCCTCAAAGAATTGATAGAACGCGTCCGAGGATTTGAGACATTCTGACAATACGCTTCCGAAGCATCGATCTGAGAGAGATTCGACGCAGATATTCAGTTCTTTGACAAGCTCTGGAGCACGAGAGGATCATATCAGTGTTCAGGATGGAATCTATGTTCAAGGGAGTCCATCGCCACCATTGTCTTCACAAGAAAAAAACTCGTTGCATGCAGAGCAAAACACATTCAAGGACGAGGATGACCTGTATTGCTCAGTTACACCACCTGGGTCTCTATCGCCTTCCCCTATTCCATCAAAGGTAATACGCCGGTGCAATCTGACGTATTTCTTTTGAAATCAATTTCTATTCATTCGACAACGTCAGCATGACTAAACTATTTTTCTATATACATATTTGTATTTATATGGTGACCGACTAGAGAGCTCAACACGTATCTCATCAGAAGCTGGGCGTCCCTTCGATACTTGGAGGTCTTCTGTGAACAGCAGCAGTAGCTCACTGGATGTCCCAAGGCGGCTACCTCCTGGTTCTCAGCATCTATCGCACAAGCCTAGCGTAGACCAATTCGATGCCTTGATGGAAGACCTTATGCAGGAGATTAAAGTCCGACCGACTGTGTCTCGTAAACCTGTACTCCCACCACGCCCACAAGTGTCTGAAACTTCTCAGACAGAATATATCAGGGTTATTACTCCTCAGCCTCCAGTCACTGTTGCAGATGAAGACCAAAACACGGATGCCCTGCCTATGACACAGCCTAGTAATGATGACAGAGTTCTATGTGTTGCAGATGACAGGAACCTTACAGCTACTAAGTTGACTCCAAATCAGGTGCAGCCATCCAAGGTTGAACGCCGATCTGCGTCTACGCAAACATCGGTGTTTCTTACTCCTGAGCAACTACAACAGCTACAACTACAGTTATTACAGCAACAGCAACAACAACAACAACAAATGAAAACAGCCGTTCGTCAGTCGCTCGATGCGGATTCGTCACCAACACTTACACTTACCTCACAGCCAAAGACATTGGCTGTACCTCGAAGTGCTGAGGACGGCCGTCGATCACCATCTCCTAGACCAGCCCCCCGCCCAGCTCCTCGTCCGGCCCATACTCTTACCACAGGCTCCACTTCTCGTCAGACTCAGACCTTGACCAAACCTGAACCTACTCACAAAACGGCGATACACCAAACAGACGCTGTGGAACGCTCGACCTCTCCTATCCCTTCTCGCTCTACTATTAAAGCCACTCGCTCTCATTCGGGCACCTCCATTCAAACTAAAGCTGAGCTGACTAAGAGCTCTGTTACTTCCACAACACCTCTACCACTCCAACCCAGACCTATCCGTGCTGCAGCAACTGATACTGCAGCGGATAAAAGTCCCAAGGTCGGTTCAGTGACGCCTCCACCACTGAACCAAGACCCCCCGTCGGGAAGATGGCCTGGTTATCACGCCCACTGGTTCGGAAACAAATTCCCCATTGCATTCGCCAGTGGGTTCACCAGTGATGACAAATCCGCCTCCATTGAAGCCTCGACTGCTGCTGTTGCTCGTCGATCGGATAGTGCGCTAACTAACCCTACATCTCCACCTGTACTCAAACAACGACCTACTCGCCGCGCGGATATGGAAAATATTCCAGGCAACGATGAAAATAACAGGGATAATAGCAATTCGTCTCACGAGATCGTCCAATGCAGAGTGGGTCGCCGCCTAGCTGAATATGATGATGAAGTCAAGAACAACCGATTGAGAACCTCAGCTCCATCTTCATCTTCGTCTCCATCTCCGTCTCCGTCTCCAGCTCCGCCTTCGTATAGGTCTTATCGACGGACAGAGAATGAGACTGCTAGCGGTGATAGTCAGCCACAGAGCCCCGCTGCTTCTAGACCTGCTTATCGTAGCCATGATAGCATCCAAACGTCGCCTCTGCCTTTGTTGGATACCTCAAAGAACAGCCGCCAATCAGAAGATGGTCGAAATCCCTCTCCACCAGCACCTGAACAGCCAAATATGGCGCGCCGGTCAACTGACCGCTGGCATCTTCGCCTATTCCGAAGGAGTAACAACAAAGAGAAGGAACAAAAAGAAAATGATTTTAGCAAAGTACAAGAGGAGGGAGATGAAGATCAGACACAGGAACTAGAGAAAGGGAATGAAAAAGAATATCAGGAGATGAAACAAAAGCAACAGAAGCAGCGCGCTGAGCGAAGAGGATTCATTAGCGGGAGAATTAAGTCGTCAGAGCGAAGTAATGGTACTGAGCGTGATGATTCAGTTGATGACTATCATTCACGTGATGAAGGTGTTTCTGAAGACAGTCCTAGCAATGAGAGGTTTAGGAGAAGCAATAACGCCAGCGATAGTAACAACAGCAGCAACAATGGCAGTAATAATCGCATTAATAGGAATAGCAGCAACGACAATATCAACTCCAGAGGAAGAGAAAGCAGTAGTGGAAATAACAACCGCAACAACAAGAATAGCACTAATGACAATAGTAGCCACAGTAACAGGGCTAGCAATCATGACAACAATAACCATAGCGGCAGAAACAGTAACAAAAGTTGTAATAGCGGTGTTGAGGAGGACAATTATGATCATAACTTTGACCAAAGTTACGAACAAGTGACTATTCGAGACTGCAATCGTTCCTCATCCTCGAATCGGCTGTCGGATTCATCAAGAGCTCTTAGTACACATAGCCGGTCGACCAATGGACGCAATGGTCCGACACTGGAGCGTTGTGCGGACTGTGATGAAGATATTCTACCTTCCGAGATGGCGGATTCAATCAAAATGGCGTTCAGTAGCTATCATGGGGAGTGCCTCAAATGCGCCCAATGTCGCATGCCGATTGAATCATCTTTGGATTGTCATGAATATGAAGGACGTATCTTCTGTGAGCGTGATTTTGCAAAGTTATTGCAACAGGAAGTCTTACGACCTCAACGCCTTCGAATCTGCGCAGGATGTGAAGGGCCTATTCAGCAAACCGAACGGACTGTCTTCGCACTGGACAAACCCTGGCATGAGCATCATTTGTGTTGCTACCACTGTTTGAAGCCACTCCGAGTATCCCATGTGGAAAAGAATGGGCGAGTCTATTGTCCCAAGGACTATGGTGAACTGTTCTTGCCTAAATGCAATGCTTGTGGACTGAGGATCGAAAGTCAGGCAGTCTCTGCACAGGATGGTAAGCTGAGGGCAAATGGCATGCTAATTGCTTCAGATGTCAGACGTGCAAGAGACCATTCCCAGATAAGAATTTTATGTCTTTGATAAGCAACCCTATTGTAAGCGCCATTACCATCGGCTGAATAACTCGATGTGCATGAGATGCGATGAGCCTATTGAAGGAGCTTGTGCTCAGACCTTGGAGGTAAAGACTTTTTTAGAGGAAAAAAAAAAAAAAAAAAAAAAAAAAAAAGCACCATTTAAGTACGACCATGTAAAAGCTAATCTGGATATCCTCTCCTATGATCTTTGAACAGAGGCTGGCGATTTCATCCAAAGTGCTTCAAGTGCTCACAGTGCGGCAACAAGCTGAAGGATAACTACTACAGTTACGACAATCAAACATATTGCGAGAAAGACATGCTCCACATCCAACGTACCCGCAATGTCCGTGCAGAGCGGGGCAGGACTATCTATGGTGAAATCTAAACAATAGTGATAATATGTAATAAAAAGTTATTTGTAAATAACAGTATAAATTAGACCATTGGCAGAGTAGCACTACATTTGAATAGTTATAATGCATGTATGATAAGTATGATAAAAGCCTTGGTGAAGTTGCCATTTTGACTAAATTGCTTTATTCTTCAATATCATTTAATGTTTTTTCTACAGCTTGGCCTTCTTATCACCACCAACAGTCTTGCCAAGAATATTGATACCATACTGGGCGTAATCCTTGCAATGTCGCCTCTGCATGAGTCGTCCTCAATCAACAACATGAACGCATCCGTCACCATTTCAACTGAGACCAAAGGACCCATCTTCATCACATCCTCCTTGATAGGTTCAATGATCTTTGTTGGTGCGAAGCTAATATGGTCCCACAGAAAGACAAAAAAAAGTATGTGAGATATGGAGACTATGAGCAGACAATTGTTTTATATATATGGTTTCCTCTATCATACCTGGGGCGACAGCATGACACGAATCCGCTTTTCCTTAAATTGTTTGAACGACCGAGTGAAGCCGATGACTCCGAATTTAGCAGCCGCATACACAGGGGTTCGGGGCTGAGGATACAATCCAGCCAAAGAAGCCGTATTGATGATAACCCCTCCTTCAAATTTAGAGCCTTCCTTTTGGAGTTGTTTTTGAAGGGCCTCAATACCCAGACGAGTTCCCTCGATCACGGCTGAGAGCAATGTCAACGACTTTTTTCCAGATCTGTTTCTTATCTGCCCACAAAGGTTCTCCCTCTGCGATACCTGCGTTATTTACAACAATGTCGACACTTCCAAAAATGATGGAATGCTGCTTGAAAAAGCTCTGCCTGTTGAGCATAGTTGGTCACATCACATTGAATAAAATGTGCTACAGGTTTCTCCTTGCTTTTTTAGGGTGAAAATCATGAAATCATGTTTTTATTAAAAATGAATTCTCAAGTGTTTTTATTGTTCTTAAAATTTTTTTTATTACCACTTACCATGGTTCAATTCGTCCAGCAAGGCGCAGACCTTCATTCTTGTCAATGTCTCCGAGATAACCATGGCACTTGAGCGTTTCAGGAAAGAAAAAAATAATAATAATGATAATGATAAAAAAAAGTCAGCCCGAAAAGTCACCTTTTTAAAAAAAAAAAAAAAAAAAAAATTACCCTTTGCTAACAAGGCGCTCCGCAAGGGCTTTACCGAGACCTGGATACCATAGATTTGTGAAAGAGACATAAGGAGATCATTAAGGGAATCCCTAAATAATTTGTGCGAAGCAAGATCAACCTGTGTGTAGTACGCGGGTCATGAATAAAATAGTTACCTGAGGATGCACCAGTGATAATGGCGACCTTGTTCTGGACATGCATGATAATTAATAATGTTATTTATGAACTTGCTTTTTTTCTTTTTTTTTTTTTTTTTTTTTTTTTCAGAAAAAAAAAGGGGGATCAGAAGGAAAAGACGATGAATGGAGAGAAGAGAATGTAGAAGTGGAATGCATTAAAGACAACTCTGTGCTTTCGAAATGTGGGGTAAATTTTCGTTGCCTAGTGACTGTGTGAGCATTTGTTCGCTCGATCATTTTTTGCCAACCACACGGATAAAAGGCCGGTGCAAACCCAATCGGTCTGAACGGGTCGTTTTATTTTCTCTGTTTCCCCTGCCTCCTCCTCGTTGTCCGATTTATATTCATGTAGGCGTCCATCATGATATATGTTTATATATTATCAAAGGAATAGAAAAAAGTCGAGAAAAGACAATAGAATGGTATATGCTTTATTACAAGAGAGTCTGTGCTACATGCTTCCATAGCATCTTAGCCTTGACCGTTGTGAATCGAATGTTCTTCAATGCCTTGTCCTCGGCTGACCACATGTCCCAATAGAATTGATCATTGCAGGTCCCTGCTCCGGAACAATCACTATTCAGCGACGAATAAGGGTCCTCTAATGACAATTTGCCTACATCCCCCATTACTTCAGTATTGCTGCTAACACCACTCAGTACTGAAGACGCGTCCGAAACTGCAGATAATGCAGATGATTGCTTCATGGTATTAATAGACTCTTCCACATATTCATCTGATTGGTACATCCATTCATAATAAATGCACTTTTTCGGGGTTTGACCTCTCCCTCCTTCACATGCAGCTCGAACCAAGTTCTCCTCCGCGTCCTCAAAGCAAGAGTCTCTGTGAGGACACACCATCCAACTATCATGGAAACATTGCATAGCTGCAGCCAAATGATAATCCAACTGGTACAGCTGTCGACCGAAGCTAGAAGTCATATCATCCACAATCGTCTTAACTACCTGTGACGAGATTCTATAAGTCGATACGTGAATACAAAGATGCAATAATGCTAGATACAGCTCCGTTGGTAATCGACGGGCCTGAGGATTGGGTTTCAAGGTCGGATTTAGCTCTTGGAATATACAAGTGCTCGTTGCGGCAAATGACATTCTAGGTGAGATGGAGATAGTCGATGTCATCCCAATATCCGAGGGTTCAATCGTACTGGAAGTAGAGCTTGAAGTAGACGTTGCTGCCGCTATCTGAGGAGAACCGATGCTAACACTCTTGCGAGATTTGCCCATGGGCGAACTAGGCGATAGATTCGTTAAGTGAGGCAAATGGCGAATAGGTCCCACATTCCGCATATCTGCATAAATTTCAAACGCGAGATCCACCAATGACTCCAGAGTCATCGGGTGCGCTTCGTTCAATGAAAGTGAAGACGATCTCCGGCGATGCTTCATGACCTCTGTCTTCACTGGGAGCGATGGAGAGAGTTCTTGCTCGGATTATTGATCACAGATAGTGTAGCATCATATATAGCCTTGATCATACAGGACATCACAAATGGGTCACGCAGGTAGCCTTGATTCTGGGTATCGCTTCGGATAGCGCTATACACTTTGAAGGCCTTCAGGTAGCGCGAAGAGATCTCTGGAGATCGGACCGCAATAGTCAAAATATCGTGTAGGAACAATGACACAGCTGACACTCCATTATTTATGGATATAGATTGGGCTCCCAAGGCGCCCTGAACCACTGCAGGATTTGTGGAAGGATTAGAGGAATGTGAATATGAAGGGCCAGACTTGCTCGATAGAAAAGTATGTGGGTTCGTCATCGCTTTGTTGTATACGACCCATCCACGTACTTCCCACAACTCTGGATCATGTTTCATTGGCTCCTTATTCTGCAACCCGCTGGTGTCAAAGTCATCATCATCAAAATGGATGTCACTAGCGACTATATTAGGCAATCCAGGGTGATGAGTGTCAAGGCCATTGTGTCCTAGAAAAGCATGTCTACATAGGCGCATCGCAATCTTGGCAGTATCTGCATTCTCCAAAGTAGGCCCCATTTTCTCATAAATGTGCTTCCAACCATACTCGAATTCTCTATAGGTGATGCACTCTTCCAACATGCCATTATCGAGAACAGTAAGATGATGATTCACATTTAGTCGACTAGGAAGTACCACCGACGATGTACTCGAGTTTTCATCGGTAGCCTTTGTAAATTTGAGAGTTGAAAAGAACGAAAATGTCCCCTTGGCTGGTGCTGATGACTGCGTAGTTGTGTTCAGTGCGAGGTTCGCAGATGTGGTCGTGGCTCCAGATGGCCACGCTGATGCTATTGAGGACGTGGTCGTGGCTCCAGATGGCCATGCTGATGCTATTGAGGATGTGGTCGTGGCTCCAGATGGCCACGCTGATGCTATTGAAGGGGTACGATGATGACTGAATGATGATCTTTGCTGACCTGACTGGCTCCAGAATAATGCAAGGAAGGTGAGCGACGAAGAGAAGAAGCTAGTGATGATGCCACAGATTTGCTGCGTGCTTGTATAGGTTCTTGTCGTTGTGGAGACGCCTGAAGCTCATGCTGCCGAAGTGCCTGGGGCGTCAGCTTGGCTTCGGGGCCTGTAGAAATTTCTTTGTGCTCGGCGTTGGATGACCCTTCGACAAGGCGAGAGCGCCTCCGCTCGTATTGCATCTTTATCTCTTCCCACTTGGATGCATCCACTTGTAGTTTGAACCATGATCTAGCCTTGGATTCTTCGTCTACATTCTGTTGCCTACTTTCCCTCAGGAAGCTGATATATTTTTGTAGCAGAGATTCAGCTTCTTGAAGCTGTCGTGGTCTGGAAAAGAGAAGGCATGTAATCATATTACGGTACACAGGTCCAGTCCATCGCACTGGCTCGATTCGACCAAGACAATCCTGAGCCTCGTCAAACTTCTTACGTTCGATCCAATATTGGGCCATGGCAATGTGAGCACCATCCTAAAAAAAAATAAAAATAAAAAATACCAATAATAATAAATAAATAAATCCACATCGTTATCATCAGTTTGAGCTTGGTTTCTGACAATCGTGGCTTACTCATTTGAAAGTGACAGAAATTTACCTCCAGATCATATCCTCCCTGCTGTATAGAGCCGTAAAACGGGTAAACATTGCCTCCGGTGACATGACTCCTTGTCGAAGAATCTCTTTGCCAAGCTCCTCTGCGATGTTAGAGCGGCATATGATCTTCATGATTTGCGAATACATCTTTGCAACAGCATTGCTTGATTCCTGAAGTTGACGATAGAGGGGTGATAATGGATCATTATGCTCTAATTCTGGAGACTGATCTTGTTTGCTCTGTAAAACAGTGATGGCAGATAAAATTGCAACATATGATAGCTCCATATCTCTATCCCTGTTTAAGCACTGCAAGACCACCGTCGCGACATGCTCATTGGCGACATCCCATGAAGATAAACTTAAGGCAGTACCATCAGATCTTTGGGCGTCCATAGTAACTTCAGCTTCACTTGTATTCAGCAGCTGACCTTGGTCTAATTGGTATGCTTGATCTGCCTGCAAGTTCGAAGCAACTCCAGAATCTAGAGCCCCAACCTCAGTGCTCTTCGAGACAGCAGTACTATCCCGTTCTTGAGAATTTAAAGCAGCATTCTCAAAAATAGCAGATTCTGTCTTATATCCTGTGGGTTGTTCCTGATCCTGCTGCTGAGTATATGAAGAGGTGATAGGCTTATTTGGATCAACATCACTTTCAGTAAATATGTTACCCTTAGAGCCAATCATTGGATGTGAGTCTAGAATAGGCGCAATTGTGGGTGTGGCTGTGGTTGTTGTGCCCATAACATTCGTCGATGTGGTAGGTGAGTGTGACATACTAGTATGCAGATTGATAGCGTCGCCAACAGAGCTGATATTGTCTATGCAATCAACAGCGGCCGATGCGGTAGCAATGAAGGTGTCGATTGTGTCGGCGATGTCTACGTCTATGCCTTCACTTGTGCTCGTGCTTGTGCCTGTCGAGGTGAACGTGCCCTTAAGAGCCCTAGTGGCCCCACGTTGTTTCTAACTCTTCTTCAGAGAAGCGCGCCGCTTTCCCTCTACGTTATTGGTTGATTTATTTATCGGCAGATTGTTGCGCGCGAAAGAGTGGATAGTGAAAAGATGGGTGGTAGGGAGAGAAGATAAAAGGAGTGAACAGAGTAGAAGAGAAAAAAGAATAAAAAAGCCGATTTTACACATGGTATTTTTTTATTTGCAGAAAGGACGTCACATGGTTGCCTAAAATAGATTAAAGTATTACCTCGAGGAGTTACTGACCGAAGGCGCCCCGAGTCAAGGTTCGTAGTTGCTGACACATCGTAGTTTTAACCGAGTACAGTCGTATGAAGGGGATGGCTGTGAAGATAAGTGCTTTAGTGGCTCTCGAGACTATATGGTTGAAGACCAGGATCGCTTGGATGACTGATTTATGGTTTACAATGCCACTGGTAAAATGCTTAATCGTCTACTAGTTGTTTCGTTGTTGATGTGATTCTTGGATTAACTATTTAATTGAAGGATTCATTAATGAGGTGATTGATGGTATTGATGTCTAACGAAGAAAGAGTGCTTACCATGTATTCTGCGAGCTAGAAGGGCTCAAGTATCTTGTTTGAGCTGTGAAGAAATTTGATAGACCCGATCATTGTACTTCCTGTATGTTGGAATTTATGCACGATCCCACGTTCTATAGAAATCGTTCGTTTGCTTTTGGACAAGGCAAGCACACACGACAGGGTAAAAGTGAAGTGTTGAACGAACTTCATGCATTTCTCGTAAAGTTACTATGGCCCGCAAGCACAGCATCACTGGGTCTCTAGGTTGATTCTATACTGCCATTCTACCGATTCTTATACAGTGCTATTTCTCCCCGCTTTCCCTCCTTTGAGAATTATGTGAGAAAAGATCATAATATGAATACAAAATAGAAATAGTGGTCTGTTCACCAGAGCATCGCGTTAGAATGATACCCCTATAATCCAGACGCTCAACGATTAACGCACTTCTATGGTGTATGCAATTTACATACAGGTGCTCTGCTTTATGAAGCGTTTCTTACTATTTCATCTATTTTATCGCCAGTGAAGCATTGAATTAATATTAAAAAGGATGTAATCCAGAAGAGCTTCCACGACGATCACTTCATTATAGGTACAAAGCCGTGTTATGGACATGAATATCATTGTGATGCAGCAATATCTAGATATGATTGTTCATGAGAGTTAAGGATCAGTTCTTTCGACGAAAAAAAAAAAAAAAAAAAAAAAAAAAAAAAAGTTCTATAATGTCATATACAAAGGCTTGATCATTGAGCGAGTAGGGCGAAAATTAGAAGAAAATGGAGGTCAAAGCAATGCTCATTTACTCACCACAATAATAATATTTAGATCGCCCGTATCGGAATTCTGTTTATTCCCTTTTTCCTTTTTCTAAAAAAAAAAAAAAAAAAAAAAAAGCATCCTCTTGTGAAGAACCAAAATAAAGAACTCTCGAATAAGTTAGGCATGTTCGTCCTTGGGTCATAAATGAATATATCCGTAATTGATACCCTCCGATTCCCCTTCTTTTTTTAACTATTTTTTTCTTTGACAGATGGTTATTGCCTTTGTTGTGACCCAAGGAGGTTGTTTAGGGCATGTTAACAGCGACAGGGTGACATTTCATTCCTATCCCATTGACTGCGGGAAAATAAAGAGGAACCTAAAATTACTGTGAATCCCATATTGACCTCATTTTTCGCATATACCTCAACTTTCCATGTTACTAATCAGTCAAACTGAAAAGCTTTTGGACCGAACAAATTTATACTCATCATGTCTCTGAAACGTTCGTGCTCTCCCAGATCACATTTTTTGAGATTCTCCCGTCATCTCTATCAGATATGGGTCTTAATCATCTACCTTGATAATTTGAGCCGCTTACCACTTTCTTTGAATAGCCATTGTCTTTGCCTGTAACCCAAATTTGGGCAAGTTCGCCTTTTCATCCACCGAATTCGAGCGGCGTTATGCTGCCAAGCAGTTGGTGTTGTGTTCAGTGTTTACGGAGCATTCCTTTGAAAAATAAATAAATTGGGGTGAAAATTTTATGAAGGTTAAACTCATTTTGAGAGCGTGAGGATTGAATAGGGCCAATATATTTTATTATTTTAACTAAATTTGTGTCCATGCATTCAAACGTCCTTTCAGATGAACATTCTTCGAATACAACCCTTGCCGCTTCTGTTCCAAACTCCGATCTTACAAATTGGGTAACTGGCTCCAAGAGTATTTCCCCAGCCCTTTCTGCTTTCTTACCCGAGTATTTGGTGCGCATTACGTAGCGGAGGAAATTGGCTAAAGCATCAAATCTTTGTTTCAGTGTCTTTTGTAAAGTTCGTAGACCAATGGCTGGAACAAACCACCTTGTATTGTAAATGATGACAGCTCAAGATCGGATAGAAATTTGAATGTATTATCTACTATTCGTTATCATGATATAGGCACCCCAGGGTATTATATACTAGCTTTTGGTCTGTCATCCTCATTTTTTTCCGGTCCATTCACAGCAAGGACAAACTAAAATATCATTGAGAAAGCCGCTTGAAATAGAAATCTTATTTTCAAAGGAGGGTAGTTTAGAATACAGGAGGTATCAAACCCATCTGTTCGTTTTTTGTTCTCATAAATATGGAAGAATATGTGGCGCTGGATGAATTTACAAGTATAAGGCTAAGAATACAAGCACCATAATTGCCATCGCTCCGGTAAGGCTTCTTCGCTCTATCAATCCGTATATTTTAAAGGACGACATGGGCATAATCCTGTACCCAGTAAGAAGCCTAAACAGGTGGAGAAAGTGATCGATGAACTAGACAGTGACCGTATTCCATTTGCAGCCTTATTCTTATGAAGTTCCTCGGGATGCATCAACATCGACGACAACAATGACTGTTGGTCTGCTCTTTTTACCGAAGAAGCTCTGAAAATTTGCCTATGTACAAATGTACCCTTTTTGTTTCTTTCTTGTTGTGAATAAATAAGAACTAAGATATGCACACACCCCCTGACGTGGATGGATCGGGGACATGAGCAAGATCCCTGTTTGTTTGTGACGATCGGATTCTTTCTGTAATGGATCTTCAAATGGTATTTTAGGAAGGGACGCTAATGCCATGGGAGATGAGGAAAGCTAAGAAAACACACGGAGAGAAAGATAGAAAGATCCGATGCGTCTTTAAAAAAAGGAAAAAAAAACAATGCTCTCCTCTCCCTCTCTTCAATTCCTATCGCATCTTTTTTTTTTTTTCCTTTCTTTCTCCTTTTTCATGCAGGCAAGATGGCGCGCCTAGGCATGCATATCGGATAGTCGTATCATCACGAGTGACATAAAAAAAAAATGCAATCCATGCAGTCCAATGCAAACGTAAAACCATACAAACTATGTAAATCTACTCAATTGAACAGCACGACCCGATCGTGGTCTTCCTCCACCCCTCCACTTCTCCCGCCTTGCATCGAACTGTTATAGCATATAGCGTAGTACAATAAGACGACCTACTTTGAACTTCCTTCTCCCCTTCTCCCCTTTTTCACTTTTATTTCTGTGTGCTTTTTTTTATTTATTTCGTCTTCGAGTCATTTGACTGGAGTTAAAGTGTACGGGAATGGAGGCAGAAAATGATTGTGATATTGCAGACCGCTTTGTTGTCCATTCTTTTTGGCTTCCTTACATGCCATGCACGATAAATGAGATTTGATATTTGGCTATTTTGTGTTTCCTGATTCCTGTTTCTTGTTTCCTGCATTTCTTCATCCACTTTTTCCTTCATTTTTTTTTTTATTTTTTTTTTTTAAAACATTCACGAAAACCTAGGTTTTTTACTTCTCCTAAGCAACTCGTTTTTTTTTTTTTACTTTATTTTGGGGTGGTATCTTCATGAGGTAACATCACCCTGTTTCTATATTGCCATGAATAGTCGTTCATTCGCTTCTCCATCCCTAGAAAGCTCTCATCCAGTCCAGTCAACAGATGTGAATCTGAATCATTATTCCTCTTCTCATTCTTCTCTTCAACAACTACAAAAGCAGCACTCATACTCCACTGAATTTGATTCCCAATCTCATTCTACTGTACGCCCTTTCTCAGACGACAGGCTCTGTGCACCCCTCTGTGAACAATCAGGGTGGCCAGAACAGCCAGGACAGCAGCAACAGCAACAAAACAACATCATTCAATATATCGCCTGGATATAGACATGAGTTCTTTTGAGAATTCATCCGCTACTTCTAGTGGGTCACCTTTCGGTCACCCCCCGCCTGCAGCACTGACCAATGACGCCAGTGCTCAATCTCATAATCATCCCCAAGAGTCTACAATGGCAAAGGCAGGTTGTCCCGAAAAGCTTTGCCCAGGAAGACACCCGACATAGGAGTTATCCTCTTACTCCCTCTCATCAGTCTCGCATCCGTCACTTGTCTCCTCCATTTCCACTATCATCTCCTCCTCCTACATCTCTTTCATCCTCCTATCCTTTGCGCCATTCATCCTCCTACATGTATACACCATCTAGTTATGATGCAAGTGTGGAGCGTGGTAGAGATAAAGAAAGATATAAGGGGAGAGAGAAGGAAAAAGAGATGGAGTTCGAGCATACAAGTTCAGAAGTTGAGAATCATCATCCTGAGGCCACAGTAGGCTCGCTTCCTTTGGGTTTTCGGCAACACCACCATTCACAGCATCAGCATCACTCTCCTCGGGAAAATGGCAGATCATCTTCTCCATCATTTAATGGCTCGATCGGAGTACAGAGCAATCAAAGCGACAGCGACCTTTATCAGCCCTCCTATCCGCAGCTGCAGGTGCAATCTCACCCTGCTGCAGGAAAAGATCATGGACTGCAGCGGGAAATCAAAGATTCTGCCATCGCCGATCGGCTATCGTCTCTTACGAAATCTATGTTTGTGCACCCTCCATGGCACGATGACAGAGAGTTTGGTCACAAAAACAATACAAACACACAACATACTACATCTTATTCGGCCCAATATCCATATAGACCTGAATTAGGTCAAAACCGTAGCAATAAGGGTGCATTCTACTATGACTTACCTAGCAGAAGCGTAGAAGATGTTCTAGATCATACCCAGGATCCATCTTCTCGCAACCATGCACACTCTTATCAGTCAGGACTTCGAGGTTTCTTACCTTCTCATAATCAAGATCCTTTGAGACATCATCACCCTTTAGACCAATACGAGCGCAATCGATATGAGTTTAATGAGAATACCCATACATCTCGCACATCTGCAAACATTGAAAGCAGCCAGTACTACTCATCCCCTTACTCTCAGGGTAAATATCCACAAGTGAACCACCCCATTTCATTTCACGCTTCACATCGACCTTGTAGTCCTGCACAACTATCTCAGCATCAAGCTCAGCAGCAATATTCTCAGCAACAGCACAATACAGGCCGTGAACAGCCAGAGCCTTCGATAAGCCAGTCTTTAGGAGCAAGATCAGACGTTACACCTAACTTACTTCCTCCTCCCACGAACATTGACAGGTCGTGGAAAGGATACAATGGATGCACAGTTGACCGTAGCAGTGCACTTCATGATTCTAGCTATGATAGCAATGCAGAAGAAGAGGAAGCGTTGAGAGAGGAGGAGAATATGCAGCAACAGCGCCATCGATTCAAGTTTGGAACAGAAATGCCGAGTACAGTTGATTTAAAATCAGCGATTGAAAGTTGTGACGCACTTTGCAGGTTTGCTCTCCATTACGCAGAGCAAGCAAATGCAGTTCATAGCGGTGGTTATGACTATGGCCAAATGGATCCTGATATGCGAGCGAACTTACAAAAAATCCGCAGTATGAATACCACTATGCTTATTGGCCTTCAGCATATCGGAGGTGGGTCCAATGAAAAGTCTGGTGCAGAAGCATCAGGCAATGCTAACAATCAACAATACGAACGAATAGAGCGAGAAATGAGTCCTCTACGATTCGGACCCGGTAGACCACCACATGAGATGGTTCATGAGCTTGCGAAGGCAGCCACATCCATATTCCAGCTAGCTATCCGTATCAGGTCTTGGATGGGGATGACTCCAGAAGAGCGGGAACTAGATGAAGAAATCAATACAATCCGCGGTAAGCGCTGTCTACTTATGGATAGTGCATTGGCATCCGCCACAATGGACCAGCATGGCAATATCCAAAAAGATTGGACCGTTGTCCCTGCTGCTGCATCAAACTCCAAGTCTTTTATGAACGACAGCGGATCTGGAGCAGCACCGACACACATCTTATAGTCAAGGTCAGAAGCATCACAACACTATGCGAAGAATAGTCGATTACCTGGCCGTACTTCAGATTATCGTGGTCGGCGCGGTGGCATGGATACGGACGTTGATGGCTTTGGAAATAATAGCGACACAATGATATCTGTCTCGATGTCGCATCATCAGTCTCCTCACAGACCCTCATCGGCTCCCTATCTGTCTGACCCGAGCGTGGCTAGATCTCATCAAGAAGGGCTCGGAGTAGGAAGAGAAAGTAGTCGAGCGAGTAGTGTGAATAGTCAAAATGGGCGTGGTGGTAGCAACGCTTCCAATAGTCGCAACTCTAAAAACAGCGATGTCCCATATCAAAAGTATCGCAAGCGAGCCAAGCGGACACAGCCACCTGGCCGATGCTTGTCATGTGATTCATCAGATACACCCGAATGGCGCCGTGGGCCTGACGGTGCCCGCACATTGTGCAATGCGTGTGGGCTTCGTAAGTGCAAACACTTTTTGTTGCTCTATGTCTTATCACCGATAGTGTTATTATTGTTATTATTATTTTGCTTCTTTGATTGACGCAATATATCATCAATCATGCTAGATTATGCTAAGTTGGTGAAGCGTCAGAATGAGCAAGCGCAGCAGCAAAAACAGATAGGTTCAGGACTTTCGCCGATGAAGAAGGGCCTATTGCCCAATAACGCACGGATGGCACAACTGCAAGCATTAGCATTTCCCCTCCGAAAGCGCAATGGCAATCAGTCGGTCGATTCATCAAGGCAGCAGAAACTGGAAGTCGGAGTGAATTCATTCTCTGATAAAAATTATCCTCCATCTTCGCCTGCTCCTGCAACTATTACTCCACCAAGTTCTGAGCACATGGGTTCGAACGCTTCGTCGCTGCCTCCACCGGATCGCGATGCTGATAGTGATACTAATGACAATGGCACGGGAAGTGCTTCTGCAGAACGGGGCGAGGCAGACGACTCGATGAAGCAAGGTCATACATAGGCCGCTTTTTAATCTGAATATTTTCACTTTGTCTTTTTTTTTTGTACATGGATTCTTTTTATTTTTATTTTTTGTTTTTTTGCCAGAGTTTTTGTTGTCAATGCTCTTCTTAGTATAATTTCATTTTGCTTTTTTTTTTTTTTTTTTTTTTTTTTTTTTTTCAACATTCGTATTTATCTTTCATATTCAACCTGTACTATATCTTTGTTTTTGTTTTAGTTTTGCTATTGCTTTTGCTTTTGCTTTTCCCTTTGACTTTTATTTTATTTTTTGAGAAGCCAGCTCCAGAAATATATTTACATTTTTGTAAAGAATGTTTATGAAATACGTCAATGAAGTAAAATAAGAAAAAAAAAAAAAAAAAAAAAGCTGTAATTATTGGTTATCTTATTTGAAGGGTGTATCTACATTTTCAAAGATTTTTTTTTGAGAGAGAGAGAACGATGATAAATGCTCCTCTGAACGCACTCAACGACAATGATAGCCTAAGGCGGCAACGGCTGGTTTTGTTCTTCTGATATAGTTTAATATCGTTGATGTCTTGATCTTAGCCGCTCATGTTCAGTCATTCCTTGCTCTTGTTGCTGTCTCTCCATCTCTACCTCTCTTTCAAACGCTAATAGAGCTGAGTAATCTTTGCAAGAGGCTCTGCAGTCCAGTGCATTAACGAGTTCGTCGATCATCCTCTCATCCTCGGCCTTTTTTTTATTATTAATTCTATCATTACTGTTACTTGAAGGTTGCTGATATTCAGAATTGCTGTGCTTGTCACCGTCATCCATCTCCATGTCCGTACCATAATCTTGATTTGCTCGTTCAAGCCATTGTGCTTTTTCTTCTGGACCTAGGCTCTCCCAAACAATCATTTTTGCGATAAACAACTCGTCATATCGCTGAGTCTGCGACGCCAGTTCCTGAAATGCTTCATGTTTCAACATGACAAGTGCTTGATGCTTTGGATCGATTGATTCTGAAGCTGGGTCACTTGGCAAGGAAAATAAAGAAGGTGTAGAGGGTGATGTGAGAGGAGAGGTCGGAGTCAGCATAGGAGACGAAAAAGACGTGCTTGGATAAGAAGAAGAGGATGGTGTCCATGGATGAGTACTATTGGAGCAATTGGAGTCTATGGAGACTGCTGTTATTGTGTCTGAGGAAGGAGAGAGTGTAGAACTTGACTTTATCGTAGGAACATCCGTAGCTGCGCCTGCGGCGTCAATAACAGTTCTTGGTTTTGGACCACCAATTTTTGAACTAAGCTTTTGAGAATGCCTCTTCAGTTGGCTGTCATGGAGGTAATGATGAATCCGGTAAGCTTGGAAAGCTGAGTAGAAGTGGTAGTTAAGGAAGGTGGTGATGAATAGGTTGATGATGTGGAAAGCTGATATTACATATTGAAACGAAAAAAAAAAAAAAAAAAAAAAGCACCATTAGTGACGGATCCCCATATTTCTTAACAGTCAAGGAAGATCAAGCCAAACTTTTCAAGTACACACCCTGTGTGTTATGTGGTTGTGGTCAGCAATACAAAAAGTGGCAACAGTAGCATTAGCATTTGTATTGGCATGAAGACCATGAAAGCGAGCGATGCGTTCCTTGAGACGCGTGTGATGAGTACGTAGCAAGGATCGTTTGAAAGTAGGACGAGCATGATGTAGATGATGAGAATATGAATGAGATCGTTTTTGTTTCTGTTGCTGATGGCGTTGTCTATCACCCCGCACGGTCCCACCAGGCCTGTGGATACGCATTGTTCAAAGAAATGTTGAGAGAGGAAGAGTGAAAGAGTATGAGAGTGTGAGAGAGTGAGAGAGAGAAGGAGAAAATGTGGATGGGTTTGTACGCGTGGGAAGAGTATTAATAGAAAAGTAAAAGAAAGAGAAGAGGAACGAAAAAGAATTGTCACAGGAAAGAAATAAAGATGGCCCAAATGTTTCACAAATCATTGTGAAGAGTGTTTTGGCTTTGCCCAACAAACAGAAATGCACTACTAAAAGCGCGTTGTTTGAATTATGACTCTCTGGCGGTTGGGCGTCTATCTGTTTCTGTTGATGTTTCTGCATGCAGGATGCATCAGATCTGGAGGACGCAAATCTTCTTCACGATTGATTATTATTATGCCGACTTGTATATTAGCTTTATTATTTTTGCTCAACCTACTCCTTCTGGCAACACATTGGAACTTTGCTGTTATATTTACAGCTCATCACTGCTCTGAATGATGCAACCAGCCTACAGGCTTTTTTTTTATTTTATTTTATTTTTTACTTGCCAGCTTCTTGCGCAAAGCTCTGGTCCTCTTACGAAGCTTCTTATATTTGTGCTTCCTCATCTTGATCCTCCTCTTGCGTAGCACACTTGTCATATGCATCACATTCGTATCATCCATTTCATCCATGATGGTACCGATAGTAGGTGGAGTCTGAAACCCGAGTCATTTGGCCATCCACAATGGACACGACATTCAATAAACGACTCTGTTGCTGACGCTCGATGAGATGGAAGAACTCCTGCACAGTTTGCTTTGAATCAGTGGATCTGAGATTGCTGCTACTGTTGGGCGGTGAGTATGGGCGAAGTGAAGAGAAGTAATTGTTCAAATCCTCGACAGATTCTATTAGCAGTTTTTTTTTGTGTTAATATGTACGTTAGATTGATGCGGTCCATAAAAACGCCCGAAATATATAAGTATATCAGCTTTAAATTAACCAGGCAGCTAACCTTCAAAATCACTAAAAGAGTTGATCCTAGTATCAACAGGGACATGGGTAAGACCAAGCAGGGGACGATGAAGCGCAAAGAAGGATCCATGTGCTAGATCAACTCTATCCATTGACGCCGCGTTCACTTGACGCTCGGGCTTAACAATACTCAAAAAATCAAGCTTAGAAAGATCACTCGAGGAAGGGGACGAGGAAGACGAAGACTGGTAGCGGCGTGCAGTGGTGTAGATAGAGGAGCGAACCGTGGTAGCGGCATTAGCTTTGATAAGCGTCATGACACCTGAGATGGCAGATCTCTTCAATGTTGAGGTACTTGAAATCATTCTTTTTTATCTTTTTTTTTTTTTTTCTTCTCGGCGTGATATAAATGTCTGTTCCTTCGGAGGAAACAGAAAAAAAAAAGAAAAGAAAAAAAAAAAAAGATTGAATGGGATCCTGTAACTGAAATCTCGATGGATAGTAAGTTCCTCAAGAGACGGAAAATCGGGTTGTTTACGATAAACGAAGAAGCAGTCGTGAAAGTGATCACTATTGTATAAAGGGGAAGCCTGTATGAAACAAGGTTGGCTTTGCATTTGTATAAGTGTAGCCATCCCACTATTGCACAATTGCAAGGCATCATGCATAAATAGAATTATCTTTGTACTTGGCTTGAGACATGAAAAAATCCAAGAAGGCTGCCCACGACTTTGTCCAAGGTTGAAATGATAGTGTGCAAAGCAGGAAAGAGCAGGAAAAAAGTCGTAGGACCCACATGCTTCAATTACTCAATTTTTCACCTTTCCTCTCTATTTCTTCTATCCCTATCCTTTATCCTTGACTTTACATATTCTTCGTTGTTCATTTACCCAGAAAGTGTTCATCCATCTGGGACCCATTAGGCTTTTTTTAAATTGATTCTGACCTGAACAAGGTATGTTTTATACAAGGTGTGTATCCACCACTTTGAATGGCATCAGATTATCCAACAGCATCATCCAGACTCAAGCTCATTTATACTTTAGATGAGGATGGATGCATGGCTTCATAATTGAACAAATGGATGGATGAATCTTTTAGACATTGTCGTATCTAGCTGTTTTCCATAGCCTAAATTTTTTTTTTTTTTCTTGCATTGTAAGATAGTGATCATACTAAAGCTGTGTAGACCAGTTCAAGCGCTGAAAATCTGAGAATAGCACTGACACACAAAAGCAAAGAGAAATAAGTGTGCTGCCAACCAACACTTCCCGTCGCCGCACGCTCCGCTGACCAAACCATACCCCTACCCTCTTCCTAACCTTCTTGGTCATTTCAGCTCCATCTCTTTCTTTCGCATCGCGACAAGAAGCAAAGAGGAGATTTTGACTGATACCCCTGAAAAGAATGCTTTCACTTCTCTTAACAGCGGCAATACTATAACCATATATCCAATTCTCAAGCCTCCAGCAGTTTGCATAGAGACTCTATTTTTTTTACCTCTTCCTTGTTTTATTTTCATCTTTTCTTTTCTATCTTGCTACCAAACCTGCGCAAATCCTCTCCTCCATCGAAATCAAGTCATTTGAACCAGATTCGATACCTATGACCAACTCAAGTACAGTGGTAGCAAGAAGGACAGCTGACTGGGCAGAGTTCTACAAGAACGGGCAGCCCAAGGAGGTGATCGTGATCGATGACGATACGCCACCACCCTCACTCTCATCCTCGTCTACTTCCTCAACTTCCTCTGTTCAACATGTTTCTACTGGCAATCTTGGAACCTCACCACGGTATCGTGTCGTGCAGACACTGCCATCACACTCTGGAGCCCATTCGTATCTCAATGCATCCTCAATACCAATGGTAGGAACAGGAGGGCAAATCACAAGGAGAACAAACAAACGACTGCCTTCGACAGATTTGGCATCAGGATCAAGCGGCGGTTTTTCTCATAACACAAACCAACATTACACCTATCCTCAGCAATCATATGTATCCAATCATCATGAACATCAGCCATCTTACATATAATAACCCCATCGTGGTCGATGCTCCCACCAAGAAGCGGAGGCGTCCGGATATCAAATACGTGCAATCGCGTGCACCACAGGAGAACCAGGCGCCATACTACCCACCAGCACCTTCGAGCCATGCGAATACCTCCGTAGCCAATCGAGATGTAATTGACAACACCCTACATTAAATGCTTGCCTCAAGACGATGGTGGAAGTACGACCTTATAACTATACGGTGTTATTTATCTAACTTACGTTTTGCTATACTTTGCTTTGACATCATATCCTAGACCCTAACCAATGTGCCTCCATGGGATGACAAGGAGGGCCACTATATTGTTGTTGTGAACGACGACTTTACACCACGCTGTAAGTGCATTGATAGAAGCTACAATAGAGTTTTCCTCGAATAACGCATATTTTATGTACAGCAAATATGAGATCTCATCCTTGCAATTTCATCCGCATAGATCGAATTGTTAGATTACTAGGGCAAGGCACATTTGGTAAAGTAGTCGAATGTTTCGATAGGGAAACAGGAAGACACTGCGCCATCAAGATTATTAGAGCAGTACAAAAGTATCGGGATGCCAGCAAAATCGAGACACGCGTTTTAAACACGCTCAAAAAAAATGATCCTCCCAACGCATAGTAAGTTATCCGAACAGTAAGAAGATGAAAAAAGAAGAGTGATGTATCGCTCAGAAACCCTTTGAATATACTATACTAACTACATCTACCTATTTCACTTCTATCCATTTGTTTTTCATTTCTTTTATTCAGTAAATGCCTTCATTTGAATGACTGTTTTGTACATAGGAATCATGTGTGCATGGTTTTTGATCTTTTGGGTCAATCGATTTATGACTGGTTGAAGGATAACTCGTTTTGCCCATTCCCGCCCAACCAAATACAATACTTTGCTTATCAGCTCTTGAAGAGCGTTGAATGTAAGCCTTTATACTTTTATTTTTGATGTCGGTATCAACCTAGAGTTCTAGCACAGTCAACGAGCTAGAAATTTAATGATTTTTAATCCATTTTCTCGCTAGTCTTGCATCGGTTACGGTTGATTCACACAGATTTGAAGCCAGAAAATATTCTCCTGGCTAATGGGGCGTACCGACAGGTCCCATATAAAGTAAGTGAAAGGACCGTGGCATTATATGATATCAAATAGTGACATAGAAGGACCTTTGGAATACTAAATAGAAGCTTTTCTTGCTCAATGCCCTATTCTTAATTCATTCTGTATTAGAAATCGCCTTCAAAAATGCGGAGGATTCTATTAGATCCAGAGATTCGTCTTATAGACTTTGGAAGTGCAACGTTTCAGGATGAGCATCATTCGAATGTTGTCAGCACGCGACATTACCGGGCACCTGAGATTATTCTTGGTGAGATTACATATAGACTAAGCTTTAAAAGCTTGAATGAAGTTGCGGCTCGATTTTTTTTTTTTTTCCTTTTCAAACATTAAGTTCAAATTATATGCTTCCTTTTTGGATCTTGATATCGTTATAGGTCTTGGGTGGTCATTTCCATGTGATATATGGTCTATAGGATGTATTTTGGTCGAGTTTTTGACTGGAGAGGCCCTCTTCCAAACGCACGATAATTTAGAACATCTTGCCATGATGGAAGCGGTGCTAGGACCTATCCCCGATAAGCTTGTCCGGTCATGCAAGTAGGTCAATCATTTCCTCGAATATCCATGCTTTTCTACTACCTTATTTACTTTTCACATTTGAACGGAAGTGACTGCATAACATGCAGAGCTGGTTATATTAAACATCTTTGATTACCTCTGTCCTTTTCAGCAAATCTGCGACCAAATACTTTGTGCATGGGCGTCTGGATTACCCTAATGATGAAACGAAGCGGACTAGTCGAAAATATGTTAAGGCTTTGAAGCCTCTCAAGGTAAAAGAGTTAATTTTTTAACTTCAATAGAGCTCATTCTGTCTTTGATTGAGAGTGTGTGTGGAGGTGAGAATGAGAAAGACGGAGAAAAAGAGAAATGGAGGAAGCAAAATTTTCTAACCTGAAATATTTTGTTGCTTTTCGTTTATTATACATCGCGTAGGATTATGTTGTGCCGGTCACCAACCGTGTAGAAAACTTGTCGTTTGCAGGAGATCTCCGCGATCTCTTGAGTAAACTGTTGACATATGACCCTGAGAAGCGAATCACAGCAGCGCAAGCATTGAGGCACCCATACTTTGGATACATTGTGGATGAATCTGGACAGATATCAGGCAGAAGGATGTCTGATTCGTACCATCCGTCTAGATGAAATACCCACAGCATCTACTTTTCTTTATTGTCATCCATTTTTTAATGTCATAATTATTTTCTTTTATTTCAAATTGTATCCTTCTTTTTTCTTTTCTGAGTAACGGAGAAATTTTTTTTCGCTTCCTCTTCCTTCCTATTCATGTAGAAGCAAAATGCTTTATGAAGCATGCCGCTACCCAGTTACTGTGTTGTTATTTTACTGCTACTGTTTTTTTTTTTTTTTTTTTTTTTTTGGTCCTTATTTGATTTTTCATTATTCATTTATTTATTTTTTTAAACAAACCGCACTATTGTACTTTTAACGCTTGCGAAAACGAAGTTTATGAATAATACAAAATGTTTATTTTGTTTTTGTAAAATCAATTGCTACAAATGAAAGAGTAGTAGGAGTGAAAAGAGAGAAGGGAGTACGTTACTACTATTCTTATTCTTATCTCTGTATTTTTGTATTTTCTCTCCTACTCCTCTCTATCTTCTGTTGGAAATGACACGTAAGTATAGCAATGAATGTTTCACTCTCCAGACATCCAATTGCCAAATTATTTATTTATATTATGGAAAGAATACGTTTTTGAAAAGTTAAAAACGTTTTCGTCTTTAGATTCTGATGCCTGTTTATGAATAAAAAAAAAAAAAAAAAAAACATCAATGTGTCTATCTGGATGTTGGTGCGCTGGAATGTGTGTATGAATGGGATAATTTATGATGCTGAAAGTGTAAAATGTGAATGCATAAAAATAAGGATATGTGAAAGTAATCATGACATGCATAAAGTAATAAAAGTAACAGATATGACAACAGCTTGGTAGAGGTAGCCGCCATAATAGCCTCTCTACTCATCGAAATTGAACTGTGATAGCCTCGTCCCAAATCTCCCAACTGAGGGTCTCCGGCTCGTTTCTTTCGACCGCCTGGACCTGCAGCGGGTGGATCCTGTAGCCATGCAGCTGTCAAGACAAGCTCTTTAGAGGATGGTTTGTGCTGTGACTGATATTGAAGTGGTGGTAATGGTGATGCCTCTGGTATCGAAGCTGACGGTGAGGAAGTCGTTTCTAGGGTTTTTGCAGAATAAGGTGTAGTGGGCGAGGTTACGCTCGTGGGAACTGGAGATACATGATCCATGACAGGCGATATCGCTCCAGCTTCAGCTTGTATGTCGGCGTCGTCCCTTAAGGAGACAAAGATGTATTAGCTGAGCTCGCATTGTTGGGAATGACTGACATACTAGAGTTTTGGTCTGAGCTTGTGGTCGTGATCGATGGGACGGGCGAAATGTTTCGAGCTTGATCTTGATATCGCATATGCTGTTCTTGGCCTTGTTTATGATAATGTTCGGCTACTATCTCTTTGCCATTCGGTGAGGATGGCCGACTAGAAGAGAGAACCGGGGGAAGGGGAAATGCGGCTATGGCAGAGGTCGTGAATTGAGCGGTAGGTGCGCTAGGCTGCTGCATGGCAGGTGTAGAGGTTGATTTGGACGTTAATGGAAAAGGTATCGGTGTAGCTGTTGGTATAGGCGTGGGCGTGAGTGTGGGCGATGGGGTTTTACAAGTTTCAGAAGATGGTAGTTCTGATGGTGAGAATAACTTGCGCTGTACATAATTTTGGTGACGGTGCTGTGGCTGTTGCTGCTGTTGCTGTTGTTGCTGTCGTTCTGATTGATGCGCTAAGAGGGATGGTTTGCGTCGAGGTGGTCTTATCGGAAGGGGCGAAAGGTCTGCAACTGTTGGCTCTGATCGAAGCAGGGGATCCAGAGTATGAACCGTTTTTTGGTACGGGCGAAGGCGCTCGAGCTATTGCGGTGGGTTCAGGCGAAGGAACTTGTTTGACAGGAGTATGAGCATTGTTGTTATTTACTTTCTTATGAGCAGTAAAGTGGGGGGGAAGAGGAAGGGGAAGAGGAAGATGAAGCAGCATGCATAAGTGCCCGGGCAGGTGGATGAACAACGCCAGCGTTGCCATTGGGGTCAGAGTCCGATGAGGGTATGTTACTGGAAAAATCTGGGGTTGGCGGTAAATATGGCCCCAGAACGAGATGCGCCGTATTTGGTCCACTAGAGTCTGTGCTAGAGTCTACATTTACAAACAGTTGTCTCTGCTTTCACTGTTGCTGTGGTTGATGCAGCAGCTGGTTTCTTTAGACCTAGACTAGCACCATTAGGTCGGCGGTGGGGTTGGCCCCTAACAATGCATACTTCACAGTTTCTGTTAACACATCAGTAAAGACAGGCTGTTGATGGTCCTTAGGCAGGATTGCTTGGGGCGGATGTCTTGTAAGTTCCTCTTTGCCTTTATACAAATCAGAAGAGCTCGTCTTATCCTCGACTCGTTGTCGCACAGGCGTAGATGGTGCAGTTGCTCCTGACTGTTGTTGTTGTTGTTGTTGGCGGCTTGTTGCTGCTGTTAATTGAGTTTGTGTTTGTTGTGTTGCTGCCTGAGTTGAATTAGTTGTCATATCTTGAAGTTGTGGCGTCAAATTCTTGTGAGCAATATGCGATGGTGATGCTGCTGATGACAATGGCCCCACTGTGATCATTGTTGGTTCAGATAAGGGCGTCTTTGTCTTCAATGTGTCAGACAAGTCCAACTTCCGAACTGCCGCTCTTGTAATAGATACGGTAGCCTTGGCGGAAGGCATTAACGGCTTTTTATCTGTAATGACAGGGCGTGCGTGATTCAAAGGTCGCGGAAAGGTGAAGGGAGGTAGCCTTCGAGCCTACTTGGGGCTCTTTCACTTTCTCTGTCTTCCGATGGCTGGGCTGAGATTCCACGCGGCACCATGACTGCCGGTGCCGACATGAGGTCCATCGCTTGATTTCTTTGAAGAACAGTAGCATTTTTGTTGTTGCTGCTGTGACAAGTGCCGCTTTTGCCGCTCGAGGCGTGAATAAATGCTAATTGTGTGGTGGCGTCAACCCAGGATGTAAGGCAGGAGTAGGCTGAATTGGACTCGGAGAACGGCATCGATCGAGGGGTAAGGCAGCACGGAATTGAAGAAGACTGACGTTTTTCTGAACGTCATGATCATCATCGTCATCATCACTAATGTCGCTGCTTATCCGCAATAAAGCTTGGTGTGCTTGGCGATCTTTTGAGCTCCTGTTGCTGATGTGAGCGACTGGGCGTAAAAAGGGACGGAGGCCGAGGAGTAGTAACAGTATTAGAATTAGTTGTAGTGATAGTAATGACGGTGGAAGGGGTGGAGGCAGCAGTGGTATTTTTGATTCGTGAACGTGTCTGCTTGTGCTTAATAGCTCGTTTTTTGTAACAAAAAAGAAATATCCCTCCAACGATGACTACGGAGGAGATGGCGATGACGAAAAATGGGGTGAAGTCCATATTAGCGGGCTAAGAAGACATTTCCAAGTGGGAAGACAGAGAAGAGAACAAAATGAATATATTACGAGAAAGGTGTAAAGATAAAACAGAGCAGGCCGCGTAAAAAAGGCCGTGTAAAAAAAATATATATCTATATGAAAAAGTGAAAGGAAGGGAGTCCAGTCATTTTTATAACTGAATAGACTTCTTCTTTTATGGGGTCATCGAGAAAGAGAACAAACAAGAATAAAAGTGAGATCAGAGCTTTCTACATTTTCTACATGAACTAAGAACTGTATTTTACTCTTCGCCCTCGTTTTTGTTTTGTTTTGTTTTTTTGCTGTAAACATAAAGCTATCGCGATATCATATTTTATTTATTAACCTTTGCCCATATTAATTCCTAAGCTTTGCTTCCTCTTTCTTCTCGCCCTGTATGCTCACTGCTTTTTTTTTTTTTTTTTGTTTTGCTTCATCGGAATAAGAGCCGATCAACCCGCCACATTGCCCTTGGTCTTGCAAAAGCCTACGCTTTGATACACATGTCGAAAACAAACTCACTTTCTTCACACAAATGCATCAGGTGGCAAGTCCAATCTTAAAAAAAAAAGAATGTGTTCTTTTCTAAAAGGAACGGGTTACACATCATGGATAGAGGAATGAGCCAAACTTGATCGTTTGTTTGTTTTTGCTCTCACTCAATCATCTTCTGTGCACAGCAGTAGGGATGGCCAATAGACCGCATTGGTTACAAAAATGTATTGAATGCATGCTCAGTACACACATAACCATGACAAGTGTCATTGTGTTTATGTTGTTCCCAACCTCGCTTTTTTTTTTTGTTTCAAGGTCCTTTTTCGGACAGTTATTCAACCGACCATATGAACGTAAACGGTCGAACGGCTTCCAGCTCTGTTCTGTCTTGTTGTTGTTGAATGTGAGTGTTTTTGACACGCTGTAACACGGAGAAGACTACAAACAAACCACAGAATGAAGAAGCAGAGAACATCTGTTTATATACATGTATTTGTATATAAATAAACCGTCGCCTAATTGCCCATCCACGTTGCAAATACAAACATGTAGTAGGAAACTCTTAATTATGGGACATCGATCCTATTTCTCCGCTTGTTTTCTTTTGTTTATGATCTAACGTAGTATATTTAAACTTCCTTTTCATTTCGAAAGGCCCTTTCGCCTTTTTAATACAACCTTGCGGGGCCTTGAATGTCCTTTGGAGAGCACAGTTCCCAAGTTATCCTCCGGTGCCTCAATAGACTATTGGCTCGGCTTTCTTAACCCTTGCATGCTTTTCTTCATTGGACACATTCATCTCCAATAATTTTTAATTTTTTATTTGGACTAAAAATATCAAAATCGACAAGATCGTATAATATAAGCCAATATTTGTGGGGTGCTGCTCTCATGCCAAAGATGAAACCTAATTGCTAAATGGTTAATACTTTGTTTAAAATGTCTGAGCGAGGATTTTAGCAGCCTCACGTCGTCCTGTCATGAGTGCACCATGCACGCTCGCAAACGAAGTTGAGGTTGTGTGTTCACCTGCAAAATACACTCTTCCTCGGATCGCATCGTCCACAGCGATCATCTTCACAGCCTTGACGGAATTCTTTTTGGCCAATCCAGGGTAATAGTTGAAGTAATCACCTTCGAAAAAACCACTGGCCCCTCTATTGTTGCTGATCAAGGAGTCCTTCTCTGAGAGCAAAACAGCCCTATTCTGCTGCTGTCTTTGCTGCTGGTACTGATGTAGGGCCTGCTGCTTTTGTTCCTTAATGCCTGTAGTTATCCTGTAGTGGTTGTAAGGAGGCCTTAATGTCTGAGATGACATGGTAGTATCATTGGTGATCGCTGTTGAATTTATGACCGAATAAGGGTCTTTCAGCTTGAAGGTAGTGTTTTGTAGGCCACTATCAGGCCCAACGGCGGTTGCATTGTCGGTGGGTTTTACTGAATACTTAGTAAGGCTATTAGATCCATGATTAGGAGTAAGGGCTCGATCGTTGAAAACCTTATTGTCACCGATCTTGCTACTGTGGTAGCCATGACTGCCTTCGGCGCCACCCATCTGTGGAAGGCCTGCAAATTGATTGAGGCAGTTACCTGTGGCCATCAAGCTGACGGGTAACAGTGTCTTCATAACTCTTAATCCGTCAGTGCCCTTGAGCTTTTCAGCATAGGTGTCGATCACCTTTTTGTTGGTGCCCAAAAAGCTGTTTCCGCAAGCCTTGATATCCAGTTCTTCGAAACGCGATTCTCCTCTCTTTAATACTTGCTCAGGACTCGACATGACGACAACAGATCGGGCTCCAACAGGAGTTTCAAATTCCGCAAGATCCGATTGATGAGCGCCAACGGGTTACTTGTATAAGAACCTTTAGCAAATGGATCTGCGTTCCATCGAGTCATAAAGACAGCTGTGGGCCTTGTACCAACGGGATCCTTGATGAGAACGTCGAAGTAATGGGCAAGATGGCAAATCAGTACCTCTTTAGCTTCATCCTCTGTGAGTTTTTCAAAGACATCAGCGGAGTCATTAGCCATGTATGCAATCATGATAGGCGCATTGTGGATGGGCATGAAAGACGTGTAGTTCGCAAGGTCGCTCATATAAGTCTCTAAAGCCAACATCTGTCGCTTATTAAGGTGACGACAGATGTTGGCGTTAGGTATACTTGAAGAAGGTATAGGTAAAAATTTATAAAGTGTTTATCCTTGGGCCAGAAGCAAATAGGAAAATGAAGGATCACTTTCACCATAGTGCCAAAGCCCAGGCGTTTGATAGCTGTTTGCTTATTCATGGGCAAAGGCGGTGAAAATGTGACGGAGTTGGACTTGAGGACTCCAAGGGGAAGAGTGACCAAAACTATATCCGCAGTAAATACACCCTTGTTGTTGAAACCTTGACGGCAGACTCTATAATTTTGAAAGAAAGGAAGATAAGCCTGTAGCGGTTAAGAGCATTGCTCTAATTTTGCTGTCAGTTCATCGTAGTTCAACTATCTACATGTTTCTATGTATCCCCATTTCTTTTGTTTAAAATAAAAAAAAATAAAATAAAAAAAAAATAAATAAAAGCGAGGGCTTTTCATCATTCAAAGCGCATGTAATCACTCACCATCATACGCAATGTGATCCACAACGTGCTCTAGCCGTATATCGACAGGACCCATGTCCTTGCAGAGCGTATCCAATACGCGGTCATAACCGTTTGTTACAATGCAATGATCGCCTGGAGGCATATTTTCAGCATCCATGTACTTGAGAGAGACCTTGTCAAGTGGGATTGCATTTTCATCTGCCCAGAACTGCGCTAACAGAGGCACTATTTTCAGTTCTCTCTCTGACATGTAATTGGGTAGTTTTGGGTCGCTGGACTGCCGGGTTGCCAGATACTGACATAGCCAGTTTTTGAAGGAGGTTCGAATAGAAATTCCTTTCCGATTGTCACGAGAATATTCTTTGGCTCTGCCAAAAATATCCCAGAGGATGGCCCAATAATGATTACTCTCATCCTGGGCGAGCTCCTTATGGCCGGGACGATCATATATGACATCACTGTTCGTAGCTTCTAGACGCACCTGGGCTGCCTGGGCCAGGCTCACAATGGGGTTTGAGGGGTCGACACCATGGATCCAGGATGCCCCAAAGTCGACAGGGATATCACTATGTTCACCAGAAAACAGATTTCGGTGCGTGTCGAGTCTACCTCCGATGCGGTTCTTAGCTTCAAGGACGGTCACCTGAATCGTGGAAGGATGTTTGGATAGCTCGTAAGCTAAGCATCAATGACACAGTATGGATATATATTTTGTCGAACGTTAAGAGAAAATAGCATGCGGAATGATGAAAGAAAAGGATAATTTGGGAAATAAAAATAAAAAAAATGAACATGTGATATGCACCAACCCTCACTAACCCAACATCTCCTCTTTAGACCATTTGTCATTTTATTATAACGCCGCAGCAGGTGTGGGAATGCAAAAAAAAAAAAAAAAAAAAAAAAAAAAAAAAAAAAGGAGTGAAGACTATGTTCTAGTGGAAAGGAGTGAGACGGCCTCGAGAGGGCGGTATTATTGTAGTTTACCTGCAGCGAGACCAGAGATACCAGCTCCAATAATGATAACGTGTTTCTTTATAGAGTCCATAGCTTTAGGTGTTGCGAAAGGTGTTGCTATTATAGTTGTGTAGGCTGAAGTTGTGTAGGCTGTACTAATTGGTTTTGTTGTTGCTGTTTGAATATATACTCGAATTGACTGAAGATGGTTTTTTCTATTGTTGGGCGAATGCTTCAAAGTACAAGAGAATTACAGAAGGTTGGTTGGTGTGACTGGTACTCTGGCATGCAAGGATGTGTCTTTGTGCAACCACCAGTCAACTTGAAAAAAGGAAGTGAAATGAGAAAACTTACAATGGGAAGCGATGTAACGAACAAAAAAAAAAAAAAAGATGAACTTGTTCGGTCAGTTGGCTGGTTGCTGCTTGCTTGAGGGTTAATTTGTTGAAGGTGAAGAGAAAGAAGTGGAGAAAGAAAGAACGAACGAAAAGATTACTTGATGGGGAAAGTACGTCTCTTTATACGATTTTAAAATCTTTAAATAGCAAAGAAATATGCCCACATGGCTGTTCGTTTGGCTTCTTTTCAACGAACAGTTTATTCCAGGAGAGAAAGAATTGAACAAAGAAAGCAGGCATGCTATTGGTGTCTACTTCACTCTCTCTTCTCTCTCTCTCTCTCTCTCTTTTTTTTTATTTTTGTTCCTGACGATTATGTTCCTGAGTTTGGTCTGCAATTGCCGCAATAGGCCTATATTTTTACTCGTGGACAGAAAGGCATTCCTTGCTTTAAATGTTCCAAGCGCTGAAGATATCAATCCCTTGTGATGAAGGGGTGTAGGGACTTCTAAAAATATAATCCCTCACGCTTTTTATGGTCTATACTGTCTTTCTCAAAATCACATACCATGTCCTACTATTAACACCATTCGGCTCTTCTTCCATCAAAGATCTTTTTTTTAAAACGACATTTGATCACCATTAATCTGGCTCACTATTTCTTACAAGTCCTTAAGCCCTTTTATCCCAACTCCTCGAATCAAATCTTGCTACTGACCTAAATTCGACTCTCCTGCGACGCGTGGCCCACAAAATCTGGAACAAATGTGCTTTACATGCATGCCACACCATATGATAAGTGTCATTTTAAGAAGTTGGACTGAGCAAGACGGCGTTGGCACTGAAGTCTTGAAATTCGAGACTTTCATTGCGTTTTTGCTGTGAGAGTGACTGAACCTAGGCAGTTGACATGTAATAGAGGACCTAGCTCCTTGGTACTTGGGATTAGTTGGTCTACTGGTCTGGCTCTTAATCTCCTCGTTAATGATGTCCAGATTGTTCTCTGTAACTCTGGGTGAACGATAAAGAAAGTCAACTCGTCGCTCGCTGGAGATGTAGTATTGCTTTGGAATAAATGGTTTCTTGAAGCAGGCATTAATATCCCAATATCCTACTGTATCGGACATTGCTGATCGTCTGGTTGTTCTACTCAGTAATCTCTCCTTGTGTAGTGCTCGGCTGAGGATGTTGCATTGTGGTATAGATATGTGTCATGTATTGAAATAGTGCCTACTGCCTATACTGTTGGTCATGCGGCCCTGCATTTGTTTGAAGGAGGTATTGGATGAATCGAACGAATAGCAAGACACCAATCAAAACCATCATGAAGAAAGTTCGATTTTACTCACCACAATGTCAGATCGCGTTCTATAGTAACCCCACCGGTCTTTCAATCCATTTGGGCCCCCATAACTCACTCTTTTCTACGAGGAAAGGACGAATTTGTAAGTCACCAAGGCCTGAGAAAGAATCCAAAACAATGGCACGCCACACGGTACATCAACCTCTTGACCTTATTTTCTTTGTAAAAAAAAAAACAAAAAAAAAAAAAGCAAAGAAAAGAAAAAGCATAGAATGGAATCAGAATGTAATGATCAGCCACGACTTGGCAATCTACTCTCTTGTTGAGTTCTCATTGAGTTTTGGAATGAGCATCGGCTCTTTTGAGGGTTTGTTTGATTCATACCACAAAAGAAGGTGATGGGTGTATATGTGTATATGTGTATATGACTCTTGGCCAAGGTAATTTCTTTGTCCTCCGCTCCTTCTATTATACCCTCTCTGTCACCCTACTGCAAAGGGACCATACGCGCTGCATTTGAGTTCTTTCGTACAGGTGCTTCACCTTGGTCAAAAGAGGATCATCCTGTCACCTTTCACTGACGGACTCAATATTGTACTTTATCTAATCATTCTAAATGCTACGTGTTTAAACATTGTCGAGGCTTCTATCGTCCTCAATCCCATTACCATGTAAGATTGGAGCTCTTTCCTTTTTATGGACGAAGAAAACAAAAGTCAAAAATGACAATGCTTCTTAATGTAATGTCTTTGTTACGACTTCAAGGGTATTTGCCTGTCATCTAATTGTATCCGAGATTTGTCTGCCACAATTGACTCATGTGCACTTCTGCTACCTGCTTACAACGACCACCATATCCAATAACCGCTATTAATGGAGCAAGGTTTACCACCAATAAATAGCAAAGAGCCATTGGATGACAATATTCAAACTCTTCCACATCTTAGTATATTGAATTTGTCACCCCCACCTAGTCGGCGGCAGCTGAACGCGAGCCTGTGCCTCCACACGGTCCTTTTCGCAGTACATCGCTATCAACCAATCAGTTACTATGCTATGTGGCTCAGCTGCAAGGACTTTTCCTCCTCACAGTGCCGCACAAGCCAACCCAATACTCATATCCAAGGGTGCCCGAGCTTAGTCTCAGCTTACGGAGCCACCATATCTATCTCAACAGCGGCAACAACAGCAGCAACAACAACAACAATTGTAACGTTATTATAACGAGATAACGACGCCCGCTATTTGGCTCGTTATGAATGGGCCGAAGGTAGTAACGAGTTAAATTCTTTCTTCCATCAGAGGCATTAATGGGTGCTATGAGATTTTAGGGGACGTTCCTGAGACTATAGTGCTTGCGAGTGGCGTTGGTATGTCACGCCCTGAGAGTTAAAACTATTTTGGTCTCCATCATCCATTCAGGCTAAACTTTAAACAACCTCTAGAAACCAAATCTGCTTCTCCATCAAGAGATTTTGACGGAAGCAATAACAACAACAGTAAACTAACAATAGCACTGGCAAGTTTTATGTGCGGCAACGACAGCAGCGGCCATTGCGGTTGCCATCTGCCACAATGAAAAAATCTTACGGGGCTGCTGGAGAAGGCACAAAGCCTAGTGAACAGGATACTCTGTTACGTCTGGCAGATATAGAGGGAGGAAAAAAGAAGAGGAGAGTGGTAGAGCCAAGAGATTTATTCCAGACATTGTGCTGACACTCCCTACACCTGCAGAGGCAGGTAGATTGTCCAGCAACTTCGCCATTTAAAACTTAAAAAAAAAATGATGGCGAGATATCTACGTCAATGTGATTGAGCGATTTTAGCATTCAATTGATTACATTATTTGTATTCTCTAAACAATATAAATATATTAAATGAATTAAATGGGTTTTTTATCATTCCTTCTCCTTCTTTCACTCCTTTCCCTTTCTCCCTCATTCTGAATCTCATTGGAATCTCATTCCTTGCATCGCTGATTCGGTTACAATCTCTAAACTGGTTATTAATATTATAGCTATTACACCATTTGTCTTCTCCCTTTCCTCGTCTCGTCCGAATGGCTTCGCCCTCCTCAAATTCACACACTCTCTTCCGTGCCAAAGGCATTGGCAAAAAAAAAGAAGACGGCACATGGCTCTTAAAAAAAAAGAACAAAATAATAACTAAAGGGGGAATTTTTCACTGGCCCATTTCTGGTAATAGGGTATGTGCAAATATGAATAACGGACATATTAATTTAATAATATTATTATTCGTCTCGGCAATTAACAATTACTATCTATCAAGCTGATCCCATTCCTTGTTTTATCCCACTTTAGTAAATCTACTCTGCTCAAGTGCATCAACCAGACCATTTCTATGGATGAAGGTCAGGTTTGGCTGAATGACAAGTAAGTGAGGAGAGATAATAATCATGAGAGACATAACAAAACAAACAAACAAAAAGATCTAGAACTTAAAATTAGAGATTAAAAGAAAAAAAAAAAAAAAACCTGCAATTGCCAAAAATGGTCATGCTCCTCCGATACTGATACTGCCATCTCTTAACTTACAAAAAACCATAAACAAAAAAATAAAAAAAAAATAAAAAAAATAAAAAAAAGAACTCCGGATCAATGGGCATCCCAACATGGCGAAGTTTAGTCATGTATATCCCTCAACGCACCGCTGTCATGGAAGGAACGCCTCTCGATTTCGTAGAAGTGATTCGAAAGTTCCAAACTCACAAAAATAACACCGATTATTACGATGACCCCGTCCAAGTTGCACTAGAGTATGTCTCCATGTTTTTTGTGTGTCATCTAATCGAAGACTATCGATACGCCAACCCAAAAAAAAAAAAAAAAAAAAAAAAATTTAGTAAGTATTTAACATAAAGTACTAACTCCATCTCATCTTTTTTTTTTTTTTTTTTTTTTTTTTTACATCTTGTGTACGCATACCAATCTGCTCCTTTAATTATTAATCTCTAGCTGGGGTGTTCGACCCGATCTCTGGCATAGCAAGTGGAATACTCTCTCTGGAGGAGAGATACAACGAATCGCTCTCGCTATCGGATGCTCTTTCCGTCCAGAAGTCCTGCTTCTTGATGGTATGTGGCTACTTCTTTTTCTTCATAGTTTTTGGTCTTGAAATCGATGTGAAATCATTTTATATTTTTCATTGAAATCCTTTTTTTTTTTTTTTTTTTTTTCGAAACTATCGTGCATGCATGTGTATGTGTACTGATAACCTGCTAGAACCCACATCAGCGTTGGATGAAGAAAGTTGTGACAAGGTCGAGGAGACCCTTCGAGGACTCAACTGTATCTGGGTCACTCATAATCCTCACCAAGCCAAGCGTATCTCTAGCGCAGGAACATTGCAAATGCGTGAAGGCGATAACAGCGAACCTGGCAGCCCTTTGAGCGTAACTATAGAGAGCAATCGTGATCATGGGGATGGACACGTTAAACCAAATGGAAGCAAGCATAACAAGGCCTCAGGCCATTCAAAATCTTCCTCAAATGCTTCTTCCTCAAGCTCTTCTTCCTCCAAGACCGCTGGTGCCCATTAATAGTATTTTTGCCGGTGACTCTACATTTTAACATAGGATAATAAATAAATCTTTTAACACACATCATCGCTCCAGGCACAAGGGTTGCCTTTATTCAACCTTTCGTATACCTTGCATACATGGAAAGCCACCATGGTAAGGAAATAAAAGAGTTTTTAGCAGATAACTACATCCCTAGTTCCGATCAGCATTGAAGGGGTTAAGTACAAATAAGACCAAATATGTGGTGAATACATCAAAGGGGCCAAGAATTACAACCATTATGGTGTTTAAAAAGATTAAATAACTTAATATGTACTCTCTCTGGGTTTTGTATCTTATTTACCATTATAAACTGTCTGAGAACCCAGGTTTATCGAGTATCTGGAATATATTTGAGTAACGTAATTCATTTCAAAGGCTTTGAAACGTGCTTTATTTGATATCTCTATGGAGGAGCGGAGGAAATCCATTTTCATGAGGTCAGGCCTGAAAGGACAGCTTCGGTTTGTTTATTTATTTTATTTACAAGGAAATAGCTGTCTATAATATTACGATTCATAAAAAAAAAAAAAAAAAAAAATCTTGCAATCTCCTGTTTATCACGCAGCAGTGCTCGTTTTAGGAGTTGATCCATGAGTTTGCAGTAAATGGTTTTTGAGGCCATTAATATTGGTATATCCCTTGCCACACCCTGGAACAAGACATTTATAAGGCTTGTTCGATTCATCCTCTTCCTTTGAGTAGTCTGAGGTATTAGGAAGCTCCATAGAAGCTGTAGGAAGACGACGCACAGAAGCTGTGACAGATCCACTTGAAGACGCTTTAGAGGCACTGATACTGCTGTAGAGATCAATATGATCATTCCGCATATGGTTATTTAGACTCGATTGACTCACATACGACTTTTGACAGGCAGGTGCAGCACAAGCGAACTTTTTCGTTGATGATCTGGATGCCGGCGCCTTGGTTACTTTGGATGTGAATGTAGCAGGAAGCACTGAAGCTGGAGTAGAAAATGCCGGGACCGTAGCAAGTAGCGCTGAAGTCGTTAATGACAGAATGCTGGAATTCGTTGCTGAATTGAGATTGCTAGCCCCTGCATCTGTAGCTGTTGTTGTAGTTATCGACATCGGTTGAACAAAAATAGGCTCGTGTGCGGCCACGTTGATATGTGTCCCAAAATGTATTCTATCATGCAAAGGATTCCCCATGGGATTTGCGAAAAAAAGCTCCTTTCCTCCAAAGATATCAAAATCTGCATTATTATCAGTCGTATTGCTGCCATTATTGCCATCGGTGCTATTAGAGATATCCTGCACATTGTTAGGCGCTGACATTGCATCTATAACCATATGATCGCCGTTACTAGCTACTTGATGCTGCAGTAATAGATTGCTGTCCAAGGGCGAAGATGCTGCTGAAGTTAAATCTATCATATCAATGTCGAGGTCGGTATGGCTATTTTGCGGGATGACCATGGCATCCGTCCTGAATATTGTATCATCGCTGTGCATAGTCATCGCCCTATGACCGTGGCTATTGGTTATGTGCGTGTTTAATCCTTGAATTTGGTGATAACTCTGTTCACACCCTAGTTCGGGACAGTGTAGCAGAGTACGATGGTTTTTAGGTGAAGATGCTCCTGAAGAGGTCTGCGAGGATGCAGCTGACCCTTCTAGTGACGATGCACTATGTGGAATATTAAGGGCGTTATGTGCTATATGTTGGAAAAGAGTCTGTGGTGGATGGTCTTTTTGAGAGGATTGGTGTAGTTGTAGATGAACCTCGGTTGGAGTGGGGGAGTTGGGAAGACCCATCATTGAGGTTTCAAACACAGTGGAAGGTATGGGCATGCGGAGACCAAGGCTAGGTGATGGTGCACTAGAAGTAGATGTATTAAGTTTGTTATGAGAATTGGGAGTGCTTTGTCGAGCCGTCCGGATGGCTTTGCTGGAAGACTCTGAGGTGTCTTCAATGGTATTAGAATGACCCGTATGTCCCGGTGAGTTCTTAGCATGTGTGACATGGTATTGAAGACCATTGATGTTCTTGTATCTTTTCCGCATCTCACAACCGGGCATAGTGCATCGAAAAGGCTTTTCGACCGTAGTCCCTGCATGCGATGCCTTAATGTGATAGTAGAGGAGCGATGGTGATGAACTCATGAAATTACAGTCAAGGATTGCGCAGCCATACGGCTTAGTGTCGTCCTCAGGTTCACTATTGTCTGCTTGATCACCCTTAATATCGCTCGCAAGTTTTGCAAAAGAATCATCGTCCAGCGTGATCCCATGCTCCAGAAACTCTTCGTCGAAAAATGAATCTCGCATCAACAGGATATCGTCTGAATTTACGTGATAGTTTGCATCGGATTCAAAGTCATCGTTATGTGTATCTAAAAGAGCCTCCAGACGACGGGTTTCGGCAAGGATGGCTGCATCATTGCTGCTTCCTTGGCCTCTTTTTTTGTTGACTCGCTTCATGTGGTTGATCCCTCTCTGAATTTTCCGCCAGCGGTTTCGACAGTGTACCAGGTCTTCCTGGAAAGGCCAGAGCAATCTTTTGCCACTGACTGCCAAACTCCTCAAATCTCTGTAACAAGATAAGATCGTCCTCTGGAGTCCAGGCAGCCCTATCAATATGTGGATCCAGACCTTCGCGCCATCTCTTGGCACATTGGTCATCAGTACGCCCAGGAATACGCTCTGCAATCTTGCTCCATTGCCCCTTAAACATTTCCACACCGGTCCTGAGTAAGTGATCCTCTTCTGGGGTCCAAGGACCTTTTTTGAGCTTAGGGTCGAGTGAGTGGAACCAACGTTTCCTGCAATTTTTGTTGGTTCTTCCTGGTACACATGCTGCAATCTTGGCCCACTTTTCTGTTTTATCCCCGTATTTTTGAACTGCAGCACGAAGGAACTCGTCTTCCTCAGGTGTCCATACTATTCTCTCGCCACGATCCCGTTTTCGAGGAGCAGCTGCTTCTTCTAGATTAAGAAGGTCTTCAATATTAGGCTCTTCCTCTCCTGTCAGCCCCAATGAAGGCATATCCTGTGGCAGCGCAGCATTAAAGACCACAGCCGGCACCTATTTATATGACAGAAAAGAATATATATATATATAAGAGAGAGGCCTTTAGCTTCTTTCGTAGTCAACATTATATGTCAATGGCTATCCTTTTGCATTAAAGTGTAAGATCTTCTGCCTTGTAACCATCCATGTCCTTACAGGTTATCCTTTGACCCACCCTCGTGTGGGGGTGAATAGAACGTGAACTATAGACCATGGATCACAAAACTGGGCGTTAGTTGTGGTAGTACCAATATATACAAGGGCTGTTCAAAAAAAAAAAAAAAAAAAAAAAAAGGAGTAGAAGTATAAGCGCAAACCACCTACATCGAATTGCGACGATGCCTGGTATGCAAAGTGCGAATAAGGCTCAAAGTCAGAGTGAGAACTGTAGCTGTCGCTCTGGTGAAAAACGAAGTGATGGATGAGACGAAAAAAAAAGCAAGCAAGCAAGGGTGTCAATTAGTAAGGAGAAGAGAGATGGAAAAGGAGCACCTTGGGTTGAGTGAGTGCTGCCAAACCCTTGTCCACTTCTCTTCCTCTTGAACCAGCGCTTTTGCTCATTACCATGTTCACTGCCATGGAGTGCTAGCAAGGGGTCATTCGCTACACGGTGCTGACGATGTACATATACACACCAGCAAGGTTTTTTGTTTTGTTTTGCTTAGTTTTGTTGCAAAGTAGAATTATAAAAGCTATTTTTTTATGAATGAAATAAAGAGAAATGGGGCAGGATAATTGATAAATATGGAACAACTTATTGTGTATGAGAATGAAGGAGATGAAGGAAGAAAGGGAATAAGTGTGAGGTATGGGGTATGAGGTGTGAGGTGTGAGGTATGAAGAATGAATGTGAGGCGTGTGAAGTAAAAGAATTTGGAATTGAGATGACTTGTCGTCTCCTGATCGAAGCCTTTGTTGTAAACTCGTTCCTGTAACATTGTAATTACAGCCACAAAACCCTTGACAATTGAAAATTCAAATGACTTGGATATGTTGCTCTTCAACCCCTGCATCTCAATTTTTGGACTTTCAAAGAACTGGCACACTTTCTCCATCAGCCCTCTTCTGGCCCGGGAGAGGTGAGGGAACAAACTTCTTAACCTCCTCTCCAAAAAGATACTTTTTTTTTTCACATTTTTGTTGCACTTTTGTTGCACTCTCACGCTCAGTATCCATATCTTTTAATTGATTCAACAGACAAGTATCATCACGACATCGGATCTCAAATAAGCGATACAACAAGAGCTTCTTATAACGGATATATTATACCATTCTACAATTAAAGATGCCACTTCGACAGCTGTGATACTTCAAAAAAAAAAAAAAAAAAAAAAAAAAAAAAATACACAATGCATTCTAATATTTATTAACGAGAAATCATCTGTACCATCTCTCTCCGCTCTGCAGATTAGATCAACTAGGACATCAAGAACAAAAACTACACTGTATGCTGTAGGTGCGTTCCTTTGTAATCCAACAAGGACTATGATTTGATTGCAAGCGCATCAAAAGATGCTTTTTTTTTTTTTTTTTTTTTTTTTGGTTTTTGGTTTTCAACGGCCGACATGCGTGATCGATCAGAAATAAATGACAATAAATCTAAACATGCAGCAATGCAGCTCTTAAGAATCAAACAAGATACGGTAACCAGTATATACAGCCGACATTGCTGTTTTTCTTATTGCTGGTGTTGATGATATGATGAGCTGTGGAGCATGATTGCTGTGGCTGCTGTGGTTACAAGCTCTATTCATACAATCTAGACTTGCGTCTCCTACCCCACATCTGCAGAGTCGGTAGTTTAATGGGATTCCAGCCTTAAACCTCTAAAGATGTATGTATGACATAAAGATCGATCCATGAATTACGTGTTCAGGTTCCCTTGCTTTGCCTATCCAATTTTGCTAGATCATTGCTGCGGATGAAAATAGACAACGACAATAGTAAAGGTGTCCTATAGCCCATTCAGGTAATTGTATGCATTGCTCCATGCGCTCGATTCTCATTAGCAGCGTTTCGAGTCTGTGACAAATATTCCATAAGTTTATCATGCCATCGCAAGTCAGGCAGGTCTGTCAATGACTGTACGAATATAAGCGCTTTTATAAACTAACTACCATCACCATTGACCTACACTCAACAAGCTATTCTTAAGTTAGGATTACATCCCCACATGCAAGCGGCGTTCGTGCAGAAGAGGAAGTGTGGATGTTTGATATAGGTATAGGTGTAGACACCCCAATTTATGATGAACATTATTCTTCCATTTCGTCCACCCTCGCATCGAATCGCTTGCTTTTTCATCATTCAGCTTTTCGGGAAGGGGAAGTATAAATTATTAAACAGCGGTCATTAGGGGAAAAAAAAAAAAAAAAAAAAAAAAAAAAAAGTCATTATAAGTTCACGAAGTCTATGGTTATCTCAAGGGCATCTGCCTCCTTCTGTCAACTTGAGTACAGCCCCTTTGATAAATAATGTGGCGTCAGATCAAGTATTTATTCCTGAGGCTTGTGGTGCTGGGACTGAAGCTAGACCAAGAAGATTGCAGTCAAGAAAGACATATTAAATTTTTTTGCAAGTGCTCAAAAAAAAACTGGAACTGTTAAATAACAAAGTTCTATCAGATTCACAGATACATTTATAATTTCCTACTTAGCAGGATCAAGAATAATGATCAGTTTGCAGCGGTCATTCATCTTGATTAGAAATCTATATTAACTTCCTACCCTTATATTATGTACACCATTTGCGTTGTCGATGGATGGTGCTTGGAAAATATGAAAAAAATGTTAAAGCTTGGAAAAAGCAACAGTCCTCATCTAGTTTACGAACGCAACGGAATTATCAAATCTATACAAAAGATAAAAAAAAGCTTCGTTTTTTGCGTTTCCTCTGGTCAAGTTTAGGCTGAATAGTCGATCGATCGCGAAGCATAAAAAAAACCATTTAGTCTCTCCTGGAACGACGAAAGATGCGTGCAAAAGAAAAAAAAATGGCATGGTGCCATTCTGTTTCTTTTCAAGCACTCTGATCTTTCACTTTTAAAAAAAGTATCCTTGACCAGCCACAGTCATTTTTACATGCAAGTCAAAAAGTAGTTTTTGTTAGCAGGAGCCCTCTCCTCAACAAAACATAAATTCAATCAATAAATCTGGGAAGTTTGATTCAGGCCAAATATCTCGTTGGCCCAGGACGGGGGGGGTGTGTGAGCACAAGCATCAAAGGAAGTTCTCGATTTTCAGCTCGAGATTCCTGGCTTGGCCCTTTTAGATCTTTAATTCTGGGGGTTGGGGAGATGCACTTCCTCCAACTTTTGTATACTAATGCCATAATTAATTTTTTTTTTCACTCTCACTCATTGCTCTCCCTAAAAAGTAAAGTGTCGAAAGATAAAAAAAAAGCAATAGCCAAGTGGTATGCATCCAACGGCGCAGCAGAACGATAAAAAGACTAAAAGAAAAGTATCTACAATCCACAGGTCATTCATCATGTGATGAAGCTTGGAAAAAGAAAAAAAAAAAAAAAAAAAAAGAAAAAGAAAAAGAAAAAAAAGGCCAAAAAATCATTTTTTCATAAAAAAAAAAAAAAAAATGAAGAAAAAAAAATTGAAAGTGGTGGATCAAGTTGACAACAGCCATAAAGGAGAGGCTGGGCTGAAGTATTGATAGGTGGTGATGATAATAACAGAGGAAGTGACGAAAATTTTAAACTGCAAGCTCGATAATCAAAACACAAAAAAAGAACAAAACAGCACAAAAAACGAGGAAGGGTAAGAAAGTGTAGTTGAGCGCGAAACCAAAACTGATGTGCGCAAGGCGAGGGGCCCCTCCACCGTATTGAGATGGAGGAAGGCCATCGAGGTCCTCAAGGTGGCGGGAAACCACCTGACGATCTCCATCACTTGGGAAGGCTTACTCATTGGCATAGATAGCAATCGAGTTAGAGGCTGTCTGCCAGAATTTGCCATCAGCTGTCTCATTGGCCATAAGATTCAAGCTCGACGTCAGAAAAGATGTGACAGATGTGGATGGGAGCGAAGACGGATAGTAAGCCATGCTAGTGTCTTCTTCAGCTGCTGTCTGATGAGTATCCTTCTCTAAGTTGGAATCGGCTTGGTCATTCATGTCCGAACCTCGGCCCATGAAGGTACTACCAGCCTCGTTTGCCTGAAGAAATGATGCAATCAGGTCACTCTGCTGTTGAAAAGTAGGTAAGAAATCATTGGAGATAGCCTCTTTTGTAGGGGACAGGGGAGCGTGCTCAAAGTTGCTTTCATTCGACTTGGACTCAACAGAGATAGGCTGCGGTTGGAGCAAATTGAGCAACTGCTGCTCATGATCGAGAGTTGAGGCAGGAATGGAGGCATGCCCAAGTGGTTGCGCAAAACTCGACATCGCTTTTCCAGAATATTAAGGAATTTGTACATTTGACCAGGCCTCATATGTTCAACCAACATCTGAAAACGAGCGTCATCGAAAATAAGAGACTTTGGTGGCGTTGTGGGTGGAGTAGGAGTTGAGGTCTGGCTCAACATTGAGGCAGGAGCCGCGCTGAACATCAAGTTAGAGAAAGGTACACTACCCAAAGCAGTTGGAGGAAGCGAATAAAGACTCATTGGTGGCATGGTAGGAACCTCGGCATTAGTGAGAGGAGAGCATACAGAGCTATTTGACGAAAATGAGCCACCGTCACTTGTCAATAGAGGCGATTCGGATGAGAGAGACTGGAGTTCAGCTGATGAGGGTGAACCATTGGTATAAGGGGACTTGATACAAGCGGAGAATGTCGGACTTGACGAAGCAAATGTTTGAGACTGTACTACTGTGGAAGCATTTGCACTATCGTCAGTCCTATGATGTACACGCTGCTCATCTTGAGACTTGCCGCTCGATTCATACTTTCGGAGGTCGACAATGCTTTGACGCTTTGCTCTTGTCCTGTAGCTCCACGGGCGCGAGCGGCTGATTCAATTTCAACATCCATGTTTTTGGATGAGGACGTAATGAGAGAGGACGATAAAACCGAAGTATCCAACTTAGGTGCCAGAATGGCCCTATAAAGTGATGATTTTGGAGATGGGGTAAGAGTATAAGGGGCAGATGACTCGCGCTGTTGACCCTGACTTAAAGATGGCTTCTGGCGGACATAAGAGGACGATGACCGTTGTACTGTTTGTAATATAGTCCACAAGCATTGCACAATGAATGCTTGCGATCCAAAGTACGACGCCACAATGGCGTTTGGGTAACCTTGCAGTTGAAGCATTCGAGAGTACGAGGAGGCCGCGAGCTCTGCTTTTTTGTTTTCTGGGTTTTGGAACCTGCCTTTTGAAGTGCAGCTGCGAGGCTCCAAACATCATCTTTGGAACTGGAGTCCAAGTCTGCGGAAGAAACGTTATCGAGAGTGCTTGCACTGGTTTTGGGAGCCAAGATAGGAGACGAAGTTTTGGTCAAATCATATTCTCCGAAAGCATCCTCACCATTCTTGGTAGATGTTGTTTGCTGCTGTTTAGATGCTTGCTGTTGCTGGAGCTGGAGCTGTGCCTGCATCAAGAGCTTTTGCTGATACTGCTGTTGCTGGAACTGCTGCTGATGTTTAAGCAATTGTAAGCGAAAGTACTCTTGTTGCTCAGGTGTAGGTTGTAGATCATCATCATCATCTATGCTCGAGCGGATGGTCGATGGCCTCCATGACAATGTGCTTGACGAGAGGGTTGATGATTTGCTGGAGAGCGATGCTGATTGTTGAGTCTGACTCTGGAGCTCCTGAAGCTTTTGCAGAGCCTCCAACGTCTTGGCACCTGTGAGAGATGATGAAGAAAACGAATCAAAGGGTTAATAAATGGAACAAGTGAGACGCTGTGAGAAGATGGAGCTATGTCTGATATTACAAAGCTCCTAAAAGACTTTGACGTACCTGAGATATTTCGAAGAATAGTCGCTGCCAGATCTTGAATGGGAGCGTCTGGTTTTGTGACGGTATCACGCGAAGCAATGGTCTGGAGAATAAGCTTACGAGACTGGTTGAGCAAGTGTTGCTGGATCAGTTTCTCCGCATCGAGGGTAGTACGAGCCTTAGCACTGGGCGAGTCAATGTCCATATTAGTAGGCATGTCGGCCTCAGGTAAATGGATAATTGTAGAAAACTTCAGAAACTGGGTAATATCTATGACAGAAGCACGTAAAGAGAACGGCGTTAGTTGATGGTGGATTAGAAAGCAACTGAGTGGAGGTCACGTTATTTAGGGTTCAAGGTTAAATAGGTTAGAGGAGGAACATAAACAAAAAGCACGCCATCTCGGGACATATCGCAGCGGGCACAGTTGCACTGGCTGATTGCACATATTACCAATGATAATTAGGCAAAGCTCTGTGTTAATAAAAAAAAAAAAAAAAAAAAAAAATAGGAAGACACATAAACAAGCAAAGAGAGGAATATGGAAGAACGAGAAAAGAAAATAAAGAACAAGAGGGATATCAAATTTATTGCAGAAAAGATTTTTACCTTCGATCAGAAAGAGAAAGTTTGTATAAAAAAAAAAAAAAAAAAAAAAAAAAACTACAACCACTTAATGGATGAATTTGCGAGGAAAGCTGTCTGTGGGTATATATGTGGGTATATGTGCGCGTAGTGCGAGTGTGGAAGAATAGTTGCTGGTATAAATAGTAGAAAGTTTGGTCGAAGTGGGAAGAAAGAGAAGAAAGGAAGCGGCGTGTTGGTTCGATAAGAAGAGAAAGAGAGGAACAGAAAGAAAAAAAGGACGAACATTGTTCGTAGTACTTCAGCTACTCTTTATATAACCGCTCGGGTCAGACCTATGGCAATGCTCTCGACCATTTTTACCTGTCTGCTCAAATGTGATACAAAAAAAAAAAATCTGTAGCCATGATTGAATACAAATGAATAACAGATGGTTGGGGTCTGCTCTTGATTTGTCACCTTTCTAGAGTAGATTTTATTGTTTACAGATTGAAACGCATTGGGGCCATTCTTTTTTCTTTCCAATTGAGTTGTGTAAAAAGTGTAGACACAGAAAAAACTTTTACACAACGTGTGTAAGCAACTTGGTGACATAAAAATATAAAACACCTTTCATAACCCAGTGGTCGCACCAAAATATCGGTTCATTCTTAAGCTACCGTGTCCCCACTCAACATTATCATTTATGAAAGCTAACATGAAGATTCAAATGCATCATGTATCGATATTGCAGCTTTTTTATTTTATTTATATTATTCTTTTTTTTTATTTCAATTACCTTCGCGACTAAAGCCATCAAGATATCATCAATGCTGTTCTCTATGAATGATTAAAATGGCACCTAACCTCTGTTCTTGACTGACGCTGGCAAATTGGAGCATGTATATACATTAATTTAAAAAAATTTGCCGCACTTTTTTTGTTGTTGTTCAACAGGTCAGGGAACCAATTGAGTGAGTCCAGTCGCGGTAAAGAAAAAAGGGGTTGAACAGAATAACTCAAAAAGAGATGGCGGCAGCCAATCAGATCTCAGGAATACTAGAAAACGCGTCATTTCGACCATCGTTGCTTGGTTGCAAAAAATAATGCACGTAGTCACTCTAACAGGTTTCCATCTGTGCCTGTGCTCTCGTTATGTTCCGTCAAACATTGCGACTACATTCATCTCAACACGCCCAACTGAGCTATAATGGAACAGCTCTCTATAACATGTATCAATATAAAGCCCTATTCAATCAGTTGCAGGAAATTTCATGTGGCCTCTAGATGAATTCATAATGAGTGAAGTAATAAAGAAAAAAAACAGTGATACGCCAGAGTTCTTACCCGCTACCTTCTGCATTATACATGTACTATTACTTTCCTCAAAGAAAAAACGTCAATGTGTCGAGCACGCTGTCGTGCATAATATACTCCACGAGTATTTTTTATAATTCTGTTTAGACCTAGCAAGCTTTTGTTCAAATGTATCTCACTTTACCTTCTCCACCTCTTTGTGTCCCAAACATTGAGACATGATTTATGTGCATGGTGTCTCAATGATCCGACTTGAATAAAACTCAGTATGTATACATGTATATATCAAGAGCAAACATGACCCATGATTAACAAATTGCTCTCACCAAGCGTTTTGTTTTTGTATCACGTCTGTTCTAAAAAGAATTAACCTAGATGGTAAAATCGTGCTTGTTTACTTTTGATGCATGTTCCAGAAATTGTTTTTGGTAGCTTTTGATCTTTCATAATACGCATGCTCAATCTCATCTTCTATGGATGGTACAGTCAAGAGACCAAAGTAAGGCGGAAAGAGTACCATTAAGGTTGAAAATATCGTGACCCATAATGACTGAAACAAATAGATAGCCCTATTGTGAAGCCCTTTGCTCTTTTTATTTGCCCTGTTTTGAAGAACTATAAAAATGGTGGCATTTAGTTTTGATTAGTATTTGCAACAGACATTCACTTTATTAGGGGCCTCGCTGCACCCTTACCAGTCAATGCCTCCAATATCCCTGCTACATGATAGACAAGGGATGAACGCACGTCCATAGATAACACGGCCATAGAAAACACGGCCATAGAAGTGGAGATTATCTTGTGTGGCTGTTAATAAACACGTGCTGCTTGTTATTACAATAAGGGATGACAAGAGATGTAGTGAAGTAGTGAAAGCCATCTTCATCCGCTATTGCATGACTGAGTCAGAAACATTGTCAGATGGAGGAAGTGAGAGACCCGTAGGAGTCGTGTAATTGCTGGCATGACATCCAGAGCTTATTGAGCTCTGTGGAATAAAGAACCAGAGCCACTGTATCACAATATATACAAAAGCTATCCGGATTAAAAGGTCTTGCACGAAGAAAGCAAAGCAAATCTAATGCACGCTAGTAGACTTTTTTACGTGACCGAGTATCTATGATGTGTTGCTAGGTATCATCCACTCGTCTAGATACCTTGGCCATCAAATTCCTGAGCAAACTCAGACCATTCCCTTCATAAGACCTTAGCGACATACTCGTTCTTATCCTTTTAAGGAACATGATTAAGACTCAAAACGACAACTTTTACTCTTTATCCGACGCAGTATCTATGCTCCATGTAACTCTGGTCATCTATAAGGATCCGGTTGCACTTGACTATTAAACAATCCTTACTCTGACTCAATTGAAAGCCGAGAGTATTAAACCTTTTCCTTTAACAACCCATTCCCAATCGCGTAGGCTATCTGAATTTCGGCCATTATCTACTTGACTACCATTCAAAGGTAGTTGAGAATACTTGAGGAAAAAAAAAAAAAAAAAAAAAAAAAAAAACTTTTTCCACAAACCTTTCAAAAATAGTTCGTCAAAAATAGAAATATAAACCTCGCTTAGGAATCATAGCACCCGATTGTTGTGCTTGTATACTATGGCCCTCCAGTGCAAAGTACCTTTTTCATACGCCACTTAACTATTCCAGCCCCTTAGTTATCAATCTTCTACAGCTTTTTTTATTTTTTTACTTCTCGCTACCTTTATTATTGCGAGACAAAGGGAGCTGAAGATTGCTGTGGAATTGACAGCAACCTCCGGAGAAAAAACCAATTGGCCAAAAATTAAAAAAACGATGAAAATTAAAATGCCGGTATGCAGATCCAATAGGAAAATAGTCCAGCTGGAAAAACCGGCACACTTGTGTCCTTCGGTTGCAAGTCTTCCGGTTGTCTTGGGGTGATCAGTTTCTCTATCATAATAATCGAATATATATTTTCTTCAGATCTCTTCTCTCTTTTGATCTCTTTCCCCGTAATTCTTTTTCTCTTTTTCTCTTCTCTTCTCTCTTCTCTCTCCATTTTTTTTTTTTTTTCTTCATCATTCATTTATAATCCAGCCTTGACATTTGTTCTTCGCTTCCTAATCATTCCTTCCCAGTCTTTTTCATACGCATCGCACATTCTCAACATGATGTCAACAGATCAAATCACACCATTCCAGGTGCTTTGGAAGAGTCGACCTCATTTATTACAACCAACAATTTCGCTGCGCTGGATTGAAGGCACAACCGAATGTAGACACATTGAATCTCTCTTTCTTCTTGTCGATGGACGCACGCGATGCACACTTGAAGCAACTCCTCAAAGTTTTCCCACATCTCAAAGATAAAAGCAGAGTTGTTCGCTATGCAAACATTAAAATGGATCAGCATTATCCCGAAAACTACAGACACGTCGCTGATGCTCGCAGCAGACGCGGAACGCGCCCTCATTTTGGTCAGTTGCTCCGTGTGGAGACAAGGTTCGTCAATATGGGCAATACCAGTGTCAAGTTCCAGCACCGTTTCTTGACTGTGCCTCAGTCGCAAGCCAGTCGTGACTTCAATAACAGGGATGAGGACATACTGTATACTGAGCTAAAGGAAGGTGATGAGCCCGAGAGACTGATTGCTAGCGCAGAAGGGGCTCTTGTTTTTATCAAGTGGCAGGAAGATGATAAAGGCCACCGCTTCTTCAAACCCACACAAGGTGTCTTTCATAATCTTGACCTAGCTGCTCCAAAAGTAATTCACTTTCTGAGGGAGACTGCTCCTGAAAGGCGGCCATCTGGTTCTGCACGCCCCAAGAATGCCTTTCGTGTACAGATTCATCTTCGCAAGTCGGATGAAGACGAATTAGGCCATGTCACCAATTCTCGTTACGTATCATTAATCCATGATGTTTTGACGTTTGGACTTCGCACCGGATACTACGCTAATGGAGCAGGGATTTCTCAAACGCCCAACGACCTACACGTCATTCCATCACATTCAGGAACAAATGAGTCAGACATCGCAGTACCCGCAGGATCAATGTTCTATAAACGAGGAACTATCTATGAGCTCTATGTTGGGTACGAGCGAGAATTAAAGGTCAAACCAGGAGTCTATGTTTGGAGCTGGGTGGAGCAAGATAAAATCCAGGATGAGTATGATGTGATACGGTTTGAGATTTGTTCGACCGAGGATGACGGCCAGGAGCAAGTAGTGTCTTTGTCGCGCGCCATCGTAAAAGAGGATACCACCACACGCCCATCGCTCTAATAAGACTAACTGAATAGACAGCATTTTGATGTACAACTTGTACACTTTAGATTGATTATATTTTCCATTAGGCATATTTAAATAGACATTAATAAAGTTATATATTTTAATTCAGCATGTGAAGTAAAGGGAACCGTATAAATTTGTTACTATCCAAAAGTAAGCGGTACTTTGGGTCGAAACTTTGGATGTCTTGCTTGAGATATCACGGAAAGACTATGTGGACTAATCAGTCTCATCTGTAAGAAAACTGACAACGTCTAAAAACTAAAATCACGTTGGATAACGCAGTAGAAAAAAGGACTGTGATAGTCTATCGCTGATGATACTGACGGCAGACTCGACTAGCAAGTTGAATACTTGAAAGGTTTGAAAAACTTCGCTTCTGGGAGTCGCATCCATCAACACTCTCGGTTCTACTTGTAATAACCACATCTTCAATTAAAAAACTTTTTGAGCTTTATCTGCAGAAAATAAAAATTAGGGCCAGATTGCGCCATTAAGGGTCAGGAATCCACTTGTTTATTGCTTTCTTTTTTGTGAGTAACATGAATCTGTTTGTTGACGGTTTCTTGGACCTTCATCGATTGCTCTTCAACATCGCCAACATTCGGCACAGGACAATAAGAGACAGGAGCTGTAAATACATTGGCTACAATCCTATTCAACAATAGCATTCCCTAATCAGCCATGGCGGAGAATTTCGACGTCGTTACAACATACAAGAGCTTATTGCTTAACTCACCTGTACGGAAGGTTTTATTAACTTGTCTGTTTTCCCTTCACAGAACACTTGGCAACGAATAACTTCATTTCAATACCTGCTGATATGGATTCGCGTTCCCCCATATGGTTTTTAGGAGCTTTCCATGCCAGTGGCAGCTATTCAGTCCTTAGTTGAACTCATCAAGCATTCGAAAGGCAAGCTCTCTTGGTTTTGTCTTGCATGACTTTCGTTAGCATTAATATATTTACATTATCTTCACGTTGCTTTCGGGAAAATCTTCGCCAACTCTTATTCCCTATCCAACAGCCACAACCATGTCTGAGTTCATGCTTTCAATAAAGGATGCAAGCCAGCAGCTCAAGTCATCTGTCCGCAATTCGATATCGCTTTCGGCAGGTTGCGATCTATTTTTACGATTCGTGACCAGAAAACTCACAAGATGTAGCAGACTTTGAGATCTGGAAAAAGACGCTCATTATACGTGGTCAGAGCTTTGTAGAGAAGGCTGATGCGTGTCGTTACAAGATTGCAGATTTAGGCGTGCCTTTTATTAAGGATGGAAGCGTGGTCTTGATCCATGCCCATTCGCGCGTGGTTTCCCTGTTATTGCAGAAGGCTGCAGAGAACCACAAACGATTTAAGGTGTTTGTCACAGAGTCAAGTCAGACACAAGGAGGGTAGGCTAAAAAAAAAAAAAAAAAAAAAAAAAAAAAAGGCGTGGATTGTTGTGGTGGCGCTGCTTTTTCTTATACTATGACTCATTTATTGTATGTGCGTTTGTACAACGGCTTTCCCTGTAGTATCCGATCTGCTAAAGTCCTTCGTGCTGCAGGAATCCCTACAACTATCATCTTGGATGCTGCTGTCGGATATGTGATTGACAAGGTTGACATGGTTCTTGTCGGTGCTGAGGGGTTGTGGAAAATGGAGGTTTAATCAATCAGATTGGATCATACCAAATGGCAATTGTGGCCAAAGCTGCCAATAAACCTTTTTATGCCGTTGCAGAAAGGTATTCATATGGCTGCCATGTACAATCAAAGGCATTTTACTATTTTATCTTACAGTTTCGCAAAGTACATTGTGACTCTTGAATTAATTTTATCTATTGGTTTCCCTTTCGTTTTTCTAGCTACAAGTTTGTGCGTCTATTCCCTTTGAATCAATATGATCTCCCCACTTATAACGCGGACACGCTATCATTCCAAGAATTAAATGTCGACCAAAGTTCTCTGACAAAGGAGGATGGCACCATCCCCGCGGTATCAACATCTTCCACAGGTTCAGCGCCATCACAGACAGCGTTGCATATGAAGACATCTGAAGACAGAGCTTCACAGGGCTCGAACCCGTTAGTAGATTACACACCTCCTAGCTATATCACATTGCTTTTCACGGATCTGGGCGTCCTCACACCTTCTGGCGTTTCAGATGAGCTCATCAAATTGTACTTGTAAAGAAACAGCTGTTACTGAGTAAAGATCAAGGCATTGTTAATTCATTGAACAAACAAACAAACAAATAACAGAGAACACGTAATAGTCCTGACATTCCAAATGCTGACTCAAAATTTAATGCATACTTGAGAGAGGCTGTGCGTGCATGTGTATGCTTATGACAGATCAACTTGGGTGTCTGTAAGCCCTACTTTGCTTGGCTTCGTCGTCCTCTTGCATAATTTATCAAATCGTGTAAATGGAAAAAAACAGATGGGTCATGTACATGTTCTTCTGCAAAAACATTACTTTGCGTTGGTTGAGAAAACATGAAGGGGTAGCTCTGGAGGATGACCTAGAGGAGAAGACCAAGAACAGGGATAGTCTTGAGCTACAATCGATAGGAGTCTAGATCTAATAAGTGATGGTGCCACACGTTTTTCCAGAACTTTGGTGTGTAAAGCTGATCAGAGGAGATCAGACGCGTTCTTTGTTTTCTGATGTGGCGACTAAAGGGATCTGTACGAAAAGATTTTTGACAAACGCTGTGATATGCAAGAAAAAACAAGAAAGGCATGTCATGAGAATGCCAACCAGAATTTGCTCACCATTAATGTAGATTTGCGCCTTCAGAGAGTGTGGCGGGGCGAGATGAGAATAATGGTGCATCTATCGCTTCTTTTATGTCATAGATGAGCATCTCAGAAGAAGGTAAAAACGGATACGTTTCTGCTCCGAGTACCACTACCCTTCCCCACATATGCCTTGGTAAAGAAAGGAAAGAAAGCAAGAGACAGAGATAGCTGGGCCAGAATCGTCTATTGGAAAGAAATATCACAGCTCAATTTACACATGTGTGCATATTCATATTCACATAAACGAATTTCCACAAGGGCCGTTACTAAGAGGCAAATGCTTATCAGTGAATATTGGATACACCAATTCAAAATTCAAAATATGCATGTCAAAAGCCCCACGTTCGGATGGTCTGTGTATTTTGTGTTTGTCGTCCATGTAAAAGTGCACAACATTCACAAGAAAAAAAAAAACGAGGGAAAGAACATCCATCTTTGTGAACACAAACGGCATATCAAATCTAGACAGAGAAAAGAGGCGAAGACGAATAAATGAAATGGAAAGGACTTAAGAAATTGACTATTAAAGTGGAGCATCAATGATAATGCTAATGCAGCCATCATCACCATCCATGTCATCCTACATTTTTTTTTTTTTTTTTTTTTTTTTGAGTATCGATCATAATGCCTCGCCTCTTTGTTCCTCTCATTTGTTATTGATCCAACGCCCAAAAGACGGAGTTCAGGGTTGTGCAAAAAAAAAAAAAAAAAAAAAAAGAAAACAAAACAAAACCAAAAAGGGGAGGATTTTTTGCACCGCTCACTGACTGCATACCTTACTCTGATCAAACTCCTTCTCATGATCATTGAGGGATTGAAAATGAAGATGTAAATGAGGAAAAGGAGAATGGCTATTGTAAATAGGTGGCAATAATGAAGACGATGCTCAGTAGTGAAAGTAATAGAAGTAATAGCTTATAATTAATAATTAGTTAGTAGTTAGTAGTTAGTAGTTAGTGGTTCGTAATTAATAATTAGTAATTAGGTATTAACAATAAAAATATACACATTCTTGTTGGCGATTTGATTTGCATGGTGTATATCGCAACCATTGAATGTCCACAAAAACGTGTAGTGAGGGAAGCACACCATGCGACCAACCTCATTGACAAACCATGCAAACCATGCAACCATGTCGAATCATGCAACGCCTTTTTTTTTTTGTCTTTTTTTCTTTTCTTTGTCAGAGTAAGAGAGAAGCCATTGGTTTTTCTTTTTGTTTCTCAGTCTCAACTGTTGTTTGAAAAGTCATTCCTAACCATTGCTCTGTTGTTTCCTGATCTTAATTTTTACCAAAATATAAAAGATTTTTTTTTTAAGGAGCAACTGCTGACCTGTTTCGACTAGTGGCTACTTGCACCCTAACACTACCCAACCTAAACCCAAGAAGAGCACAAAGCACCTTGTGCCTGTGCATGCACCTACTACTTACCCCTTCCCCCCATTCAAACTATACCCATCCAGTATACACCATTGGATTTGGATTCGACACCATTCAATACCTTCTGGTTTACATACAATCTACCAAAGTATCTCTCTCCATCCTGTCTTTTCTCTGCTCTTTTCTTCTGCTTTCTTTCTTTCTTTCTTTTTTTCTTTCTTTCTCTTCCTCTCTCCTTCCCCTTTGCTTTTTACTCCCCTCACTTCCATCCCTCCTTCCTTATCCCAAGCATTTACTAACACCATCCTTGTACTTTTCTTGCTCCTTCCTTGCCCACTTCCTGGGCGTATTTAATCATTCTCTCTCCCCTTCACTTCCTTCCCCTTTTCCTTTTTATCCCTACATCTCCTTGTTCCTGCCTTTTTTTTTATTTTTTTCTTTATTTTTTTTCTTATTTTTTTCCCTTCTCAGCTCACTTCCGTCAGTGCAGGGTGATTTGCATAGATTACTTTATTTTTTTTCTTGTTCTTGCTCACTTGCAGTTTGTGAGGTCAGTTTTGTCAGCCAGCTCTTGTTAACTGAGCACGCACCGGAAACGAGAGCAGTACAGCACAATAAAAAAAAAACAGATATAAAAAAAAGAGAGACAAGAGGTGTCCTATCAACTTCTCTAACAGTACGATTCAAGGACGCGACGAAAAAAAATAAAAAAAAGAAAAAAGAAAAAAAGAAAAAAGAAAAAGAGTATATTCATCCGGCGAAAGAGCAAAAGAAAAGATGAATTCCGCCTCTTCCTATGCGTTTCTTCCGTATCCGTCAACCTCGCAGGTGACCTCGCCAGGATTACAGCACCAGAATCAACCTCAACAGTCGCAACAACCACAACAACCACAGCAGAAACAGCAACAGCAACAGCAACAGCATCCACTTGGTCCAGTGACCACTCAACAACAACAGCAACAGCAGCAGCAACCTCAACAACCTCAGCAGTCGCAACAATCGCAACAACAACAGCAGCAGCAACAACAGCAGCAAGACTTGACACAGGATCTTTCTGCCCCTCCGACCCCGCTGTCATTGCATCCCTCATTGCAAACTTCTTCTGCAGGTGTCTCCGTTTCTGGGTCCCTGGCAGCATCGCCAGTCAGTGTTAGTAACAACACACTCAGCAACGCTTCAGGTCCCACGCTTGCAAGCCATGGACATCCAACCATCAACACTGCTATACTCACAAGCTATGGCAATATGTTGCCATCACCGCAATCCTCTCAAGTCCCTTCTACCCCTACCACTGCTACATTGCTCCCTTCAACTCCACCACCACACACTGCGGATCTAGATTCAATTCTAGCAACCTATGCGAATCAGCCCGAGTTGCTTAAGCTTATTATTGCCTCTAAAACAGAGGAAGACCGGCGCTGGGCTGAGGAGGCTCGATTCAAGATGATGGATCTGATCATGAGAGGCGAGAATCGAAATCTCATCACAGGCTATGAAGGATTGCTTGGTCAAGTTGTTCCAGGCCCAACTGCAGGGACACCCACATCAACCATCCCTACTGGTAACATGGGGACCAGCCCTACAACAAGTACTGTAGCTACAAGCACTATAACCACGAGCACTGCTACCATCCCTACTACTACAACTACAACTTCTAGCGCCTTAGGCCTGGCAGTTTCTGGAAAACGTTTTATGGATAATGCGTTTGATTCGCATTCTGGAGCAGCAAACTCAGGAAATGGGAGTGGAGGGAGCAATGGCTTCGCTCAAGGAGCAGATCTGGCTCTTGCCCGTAAGAGATCTGTTACTTTTGCCAGAGATGTACACCATGGTCATCTGCGCTCACAATCCATGTCCTCGGTACCATCACTCTCCAGCACAGGATCGACTATAACCGCTTCCGCTGATCAGTTTGGTACGCTATCAATGATGGGCTTGACCGGACCCAACACAGCTCTTCAGCAACAGCAACAGCATCACCCTCACCAAATACCATCGCACCCCTCACTGAATCAGTTGGCACCATTCACATTGCAGCAACCATTCCAGCAACAGCATTTTCAGCAGCACCAGAGTCAGCAATCGAACCAGATGCAGCAGGTAGCCCACCAGCAGCTGCCACCACACTTTGGCCAATACCCACAACCTTTTCCATATCATACTATGTCTCAGTTTCAACCTCAAAACGTTATTCGTAGAACAAGTTCGCTCTCACACCTCTCACACTTTGCTCAGAATCCACACGCAACAGTGACCGAACCTCGCCTAGCCGCAAGTCGACCAAGGAATGACAGTGCTTCTTCGTTCAGAACACTAGATGACAGTGGTATGTGAAGATGTTTTATTGATATTGACTTTACAAGTAGTGAGCAATTGCCCATATTCATATATATACTGGCCGCCTACTGACTGTTCTTTTTTTTTTTTTTTTTTCCCTCCTATTGATTACCAACAATCATACAAAAAAAAAAAAAAAAAAAAAAAAAGATGACGAATCGGATGATGGTTATAACGACCATCCAGTTTTGGGTGGTATGGATGGATAGTCGACCAGGGTCATCTTTAGTATGCACAACATGATGGGTGGCAATGGGAGACGTCACTCACCTTGGACTTTTCGGACATGGCTACTGTCTCTGGAAATGGGCCATATACATCTCAGCCACCGCAACAAGGCAGTCAGCATAACCAGCCAGGCACTTCTTCATCGATCCTTTCATCCCTTCATGGGACAGGCTCCGTAGTTTCTATGGGTATTTCCGGGCTAGGGCATGGTACCACTGTACGAAATGTGCCAACTAGCGCAGCAGGATTAAGTGGCTCAACTACGTCAGCCGCGGTATCAGCAGCAGATCAAAAGAGAAAACGTAAACGTCGAGAAATGCAGCCTGTTAACAAGATTGTCGAGTCACCTGATCCTCATATAGATCAATATCTGTGGAAGAACAATGGAAACACACTCAGAAGAAAGACTGGGTGTAAAAGTATTTATTACAAATGTTCTAACAGCGCTGGAGGATGCACGGTAAGAAGTTTGAAATAATGGATTTTTTCACGGTATCCCTATCGCTACATCGGTCGCTTGGGGTTTATCCTAACCTTGCCATTTCATTTTGCTATTTAACATTTACAATGCCCTTAGGTCAACAAAACTGTAAAGAAAAAGAAAGCGGCGGGTACATTACAAAGTAAGAGGCGAACATCTGGAGGACTGCATCAAATTCAAACGTGCTCAGATGGCGGCCCAGGCGGCTCAGAATGCATACAGCCTCCAACGCGAGCAGTAGACTAAAGAAATTTTTTTTTTTTCAAATATTATTATTATATGTTTATTTATTGTTAATTTTTGATGACCGATGATGATCAGTTCTATTCATTTTCCTGCCTCAGACTCTGCCGCAGCTTCTTCAGACGCCTTGTAGATCTCCTTATAGTTGACTTTGTATCCCTTCTTTGCTGCATTTGCTTCATCCATTGCGACTCTTTCCTCCCCTATAAAAAAAAGAAAAAAAAATCAATGACTGTATAATTTCTTTTACAAATTCGCCACATGTCTCATTCTTTCTTGTAAGAACTTCCTTACAGGATATTTCTGTGGTTTGGTTGGGATAGTACTTGAAGGCACGCTTGTTCCCGACGGCGAAGGTAAATGTCGTTCTTCGTTAAGGCATAGAAACTGAAGCCAGCTTTTTTTATGCATTAGTGGTTAAATACTGTATAAACATGTGCTGGAGATGTACATAAAGATTAAGGATGAACCCTTTTACTTACTGACTGTTAAACCAGCCCTAATTACCAATATATTCAATAAAAAAAAAAATATAATAATAATAAAAAAAGGTGCAAAGTTATATGGCAGGCTCAGTGAAGAACAGGCATCTCGAAAATTTCAAATCAAGGCTAAATCAAGTTTTAAAATGACATTTCATCATTCTTTACCAGGTAAGCATAATATGTGAAGGTTTATTCAAGTTAAGTTTAAACATGGTTTATATGATGTTCATGTAAGAATGAATGAATCAAGAAAAAGAATGCATGGTGTGTGTATGGAAGGAGCGGAAGAAAGGTTGAAAATGACTGCTTTTCTTATGTCGTTCTCTATGCCTTTGATGTTGATCCTTGGTCCTCGCCGTCATCGTCCGATTCCTCCTCGTTATCGTCATTATCGTCCTCTTCTTGAAGTTCCTCGTCGGGCTCTGTGTTGATCAACATCCAGGCCACAACCTTCTCACGTTCTTGGATCTCTGCCTCCACCATAGCGGTGTGTCCAGCTGCATTCTTTAGCTATTAAACAAAAAAAAAAAAGAGAAATATCAGGGAATAGAAAGTAAAGAGTAAGTTAAAAAAAAAAAAAAAAAAAAAAAAAGCAAATGAATGTGCATTAATATATGTGTGGACGGCGATCCATAGGATATCTGCAAAGCTATATTAGAAATCGGTAACACCAATACCTTGTAGTCAGCCTTTCCTTTGCTGACTAAAGCCTCGACAACCTTGACATGACCATTAGTGGCAGCCCAGTGTAAAGCAGTGTTTCCTTGTTCATTCTGAATATTGATAGCCTCCGGCGATATAATAGATATGAGATACTCGACTATATCTACTCATTACATGAAATCGAATACTACTGTAAGCCCTCTTTGTTCACAAATGAAGAATAATGGGTCCCTCCTCCGTTTCCTTGATGTCCGCAATTTCAAGTCACGTCCTTTTTTGGTATTTATTTGACATGGTCACTGATCATAACCTCTTTTATGGTGGTTGTTTTCTCCTCGAGTCTTCAAGCAGGAAGATAAAATTCATCCTGCTATTATATTTCCAGTGCTTCCTCGCTTACCAATATGTCCATTAGCAGCTGCCATGTGGAGGGGGGTCTTTCCATATTCGCTTTGTTGAGACAAAACGGTCTTGGCCTTCTCTGGTCCTAATGACTTGACCATGCCCTGAATCTCTTCCAGTTCGCCGTAACGAGCGCATTCAATCAGTTCCTCTAAACTCTCGGCATCTTCGACTGACAGCTTTGACATGGGTTGTATTAGCTGTTGCTCTGTTGTCATGATTTGTGGCAATGGCTTTAATGAAAATAAATGGCTACTGAAAAAGAAAAAAAAAAAAAAAAAAAGCTTTTCTACATTTAAGACAACAATTCCACGTGATAGTTATTTGCCACCAATCAACTATCCCTTAAACCGTCAACCTGGCAAATTTGCCATTATAAATGGGCTTAAAATCCAGCAATTCATGGGCATTGCCTTGAAAATTTATTTCGATGTCGAAATAAATGACCGAAAACTAAACTGTCATGGAGCTATCCTGGCTTCTTTATCTGTGCCAATAAAAAACTCTTGAAGGCTTTCGCATGACACTAGCATCCTCTTGGGGGCCATTGTGTTGTTTATTTATTGACTGGTGTAATAGAAGTGATAATATTTGCCATAGTATCGACTTGAAAGGAGGGCAATCTGAGTTGATTCATTCTACCGCACCATAGAGCTTGCTCGGCAAGACTTGATTGTCACATCATTTGCTTCTTCGTCTTCTGTGTTCCCTGGGTTGGTAAACACTGCTAATAGAGTTTGTTGGGCTTGTTGAAACCAGAGGGAACCACAGCAACATATCAACCCAAGATGATACAAATATCTCTGTTGGAGTGAGTGCTGAACTGTGTGGTTCAGATGTAGTGGACATAAACGGCGAAAGGATGCATCGAAAGGATGTGAGCGGTTTATGAGAGCAAGGAAGAAGGGGTTGGTATACCTGTTAAAGTCCTTGGCAAGAGAGCATGAGTAGTAGTTGTGATCAAAAGTTGATTTCGGTGAGTCCGCATAACAATGGTATAGTTTCTAGACCCTATCTTCCACGTACAGCATTGCATTATTGGTGTTTTCAGACCTGGCACTAATCATGCGAGGTATTTCTTTTTCTGAGGATTCCTTGTGTTAAACGGCCAGACAGAAAGCTTAAAAGACATACAGACACAACGGTGAAAAAAATGTATGTGAGCAAACAGTTGCTGTGTTTATTTGTTGTCTGCACATGCCTTCTTTCATCGCGGGCTTTTTTTTTTCCTTTTTTGTTCGTCAATCACTGTGTGCACGAATAAGCAGCTGAAGCATCTCCTTGGTTTCTGTACATGTGTAGACACATTTTACATCGCGGCGTCTTATTTATTTTCTGCAATTCCAAAACACAAAACACAAGCTTTTTCCATTGGTGCCTCCAGAAGAAATAAACAAACTTTATTTTGGTGGCCACTCCACAATCATGCCATGGTTATAACAATCCCTAGGAAAGGATGAAACGCGTCGGTATTAATCTCGCTTCTGTAATTCTAAATGCATATATTTTGGCGATTGGTATCAACTATCAAGTTCGCACATACACACACCAAACGACCGCCAAAAACCACCACTCTCGCTTCTGCTCTCCATCCATCCACAAGGCGCTGCGCAATATCACCATTAACAAGGCACCGTCCAGTAAGAAAGGGTGCTTAGCTAGCTTTTACTCCAAGCAATAAGCACATCACCTATCTCCGCCATTGATGCCGGAACCTGAGAGCCAACGAATATCTCTGCTTTAACGCAATAGTACTGGGGCTGTTGGAGCAAAGAACGACATCTGAACCCATTCTCTGATAAAAAAGACTTTTTTTTTCTTTAGTTTGTTACCTTTGACAAGGATATAATCATCAAGTCATATCTGTCAATGCATTTATTACCCCTGTTCAAAATTATAAATCTTCTTTTACTCATTAAATTCCTCACAAAGCACAAAGCAAGGGCCAGTGCAAACAAAAGAAACTGAAAAAAAAAAAAAAAAAAAAAAAAAAAATTGTATGGACGCTTTGGAGAACAATATGAGCACCTTCGAGAGAAATTCTCGGAGTGGGGTATGGACTCGTCCTCAAGTCATGAGGCGCATCCAGAAGGGTCTTCGAGAAGTCCACACCCTGAGCGTCCAGGACAAGGATCAGCTGGCAACAGGCCTTAGTTCTGTCTTCGATGTTGTCTGTGTGCATATGAAGCGGACCCATGCATAGGGTGCCATGATGAGGAGAATGATAGGATCGTGATATCCCAAGACTCTGATTTTTTTGCGTACGAACGAGTCTGCTTCCTAGTGCGACCCCTTCCGCACCGTAGACGGAAGTTTGGGTTTACGACGTAGACAACGTTATCCAAGCACTAAGACTGCCATCACACGCGCATCTGGTGTTATTCTGTGCCATCGCAGGCAATGACTACTCAAGGAACCTCGAGACGTTAGGCCCGATTATAATCTTCGATTAATTCGAAAGGTTGCGTGGAACGAGAACTACTAATAAAATGCTTCGGGCTACCTAAGGGAAGCTAGAAGGTGTTGGGAAGGAACGTAGCCTCTGAGGAAGGCCGTTTCAGTGTAGCTCTCCGCATTTTTACTTCCGGCCATCAAACGTCGGCCCAAGCGTTACCATCGAACAATGAGTTCGATAACTTCAAGCAGCGTCTACTCAATGGAAAGGATCTTCGCCATAGAATGGCTCAGCAAAGGCGAGCGCAGCGCCGCAGAACGTAAGAAAGCTCAAGCTATAGTTTTTGGCCTTGAAACCAACGTCCCCAATACTAATCGTTAGTCCCTTTCTTGAATAATGTAGAGGCGTACCATCATTCTATATAGCGGAAGGGTCACATAGGAACCAGTTCCGGCCCATCTTTTCTGACAAGGCGAGCATATTGAATGGGCGCACAGTTGATATCAGTAACTGCCGTCAGCACGATAGGCCGGGCCTTAAGCATCCACCACGTCGGAGAAAGGCAAAAAAGAAGCAACAGAAAAAACAAAAGCGGAAGCACAAAGGCAAGAAGCCCCACAGGGCTAAAAAAGAAGGTGCACCAATTAGGAACTTGAAGGATGCTACGAAGGTTGATCACAGCTACAGCAGTAAGCACCCTATCAAGGCCTTAACAATTGGGTCCCTTAAGGCCTCCATGGCAAGGAAAGGCGGACTGGACGCAGATGAAAGGGATAGTATTGCAAGCCAGATCCGAGGGGCAGTTGTTGTCCTCAACCGACTACGCCGCTATGCATACTGGGCGGATTGCCTTGGACATTGAGAGGATCATGCGGTTACCAGGGGCAGCAAAGTCGAGGAAAAAGGCACTGGACGAGGTCTTGGATAGCAATGATTATTCCTTCCGTCTCGCCACCCTTCTTTTGAGTGGTCAAGGTGGCCCCAATTCAGCTTACGCGAGGGCAAAAAAACAAGGAAAGGCGGTAGAAACGCCCACATCACCTCGCTTATGAACATTTCAAGGCCACCACTGAACTTTCCCCAATAAAGGAATAGACATCACATTGGGGGACGTCCAAGGCTTTGATCCCAAAAAGATCACATTTCCAAGAGCGTCAGACTTACTAATGGGCCAAGTACAGACATCATTAAGGCAGCACTACAGGAACGCAATGGTATAGCTTGTGTAGGGTATTTTCATGCATATTCTGCAATCAAATGCTCTTTATTCACACCTTTTTTTTTTTTTTTTTTTTTTTTCTTAGTTTGATGTCGAGAAAACAAACGAAGATATGAGCGACATTGAGTTTTTTTTGCGGGAGAACAAAAAAGTGAAAAAATACTCAGACTTTCCTACGCCCCCTGGTCACCCGGGTATGTGTATCTGTCTGAACACGCCCTAGTTGACATCCTCTGGGCGAACGAAGATACCAAGCAGCTGCTGGAGCGTATTCTGCCTCTCAATAATCTTCCAAGACTGCAATGTATGAGTGTGTACAGGGAACAAAAGGGGTTTTGATACAGGCTCTCTTTTGTGACATTGGAGGTGATCGCATGGTTCGTGGATATCAAGACAAAGTATCCCTGCAGTCACAGGACAAAGATCTAACTCGGTTCAAACTCAAAGGAACGATTTCTACCAACGGTCTAGTTCTGAATCTACTTGCCTATGACACAACCCAGACGAAGAGACAGCAGCAGTCTGACGTAGATGAAGAAGCCCCAGCCAAGAACTGGAGCTTTCTCAGGGATTTCTCAACACGACGTGTTCAAAGGCGGCCGGTGAAGACCTAACAGATGAAGACTACGCAAACATAAACTGGAAGAGGAGCTCCAAGCTGCTTGAAAACGTTGAGCTCACATTCAACAAACCAGGGCGATGCCCATCCGCAAACACCACAACTATCGTCGGATGTGATCCTGGTATTGTTAACGCCCTTACGTTTTCCTCGCTGGACCTCACAACCCTAACTTGCGGCAAACGGTAAAGGTGAGAAGCAGGTTCTTGTACCTCCCTGTCCTCCGCTTCAATCACCTGTTGAACAAAAGGAAGCGTGAAAAAGGAATGATTGAGGTTGAGAGCGCCATCCCTGTGTTTGGAAGGGATACGTATAATGAGTACTTTCAATGGATGAACGAGGAGTCTCAGACACAGACAGGATCAACGAATTTGGATGTGCTTCAAGAGTTCTACGAGTCCAGATGGCACCTGAAAAAAAAATGGGACCTACGAAAGGCTCAACGAGCTACGTTCGACTACGCGGTACAGCGAGTGTTGAAGATGCTTGGGGATAAAGGAGTACTTGTCGTCGGCCTAGGGTCCTTTGAAAGTAGTAAAGGAGTTCCCAGCAAGCACACTGCTATAACGAGACATCTTGTCACACAGGTATGGCTTTTTTTAAAAAAGTAAAGAAAGCTGGAAAGCCATAAACCCTTGCTAATAAACGACTGCCATTTGAAACGCTTAGGTCAAAGCACGAGGACACTTCGCTGTAGGAGCGCACGAATTTTACACCAGCGCCCGCTGTCCCCGACCCCTCTGCGATAGCTTTTTAGAGACGGTGTACCCTCGCTCTAAATATTGCGGACATGTAAGGTATTCTTCGACCGTGACGCAGTAGGGGCGGAAAACATCGCAAGAATCGGTCTTGCTCAAATTGAGAGACAAGAGAGCCTGCAAAGTACAAGCCCACGGAAGAGTCGCCTGCTCCGGCTGCAAAGCGCGCACGACGCTAGACACAAGTATTTGGGTGCCGGCACACCCACAAAAAATTTGTAAGTTCTGTTTATTTTCGTCTCCTGTATCCATCCTCTCTAATCTTTTGCCCCTGAATTTCTGGACTAACTTTAAAAACCGTACAGATCAAACAGATAATGCCATCTGGATTCTACACAAGAAACAATACGCTCATAAACTAAAGTAGTGATAGGCCAATGCCTCGAGGGCCGTCTTGCCAAAGCCAGACTGATATTCACGGCGGAAGAACACAGTTGAGCTTCTGATCCGCCCGTTAGTTTGTTGCTGGTATCCATGTCTAGTATTTTGGGTGAGGAACTCCAGGATAGAACTATTCAATTATTTATTTTGTATCCTCAACCCTGAGCGAGTTCAAAATCTGAATATTGGAAAAGATAATCGCTCAAACCAGGAGTGACAATTTCAGAGAGTGATCGAACCCATACAGAAGTCAAGCCAGTGGAGCGGGAACGATGTCAAGTACGCGTGGGATGAAATCCTGACAGAGTTGGTGAGGTTTGGAAATGTACGGGTCACGCAACGACTTGAGTATAGGACAGTATATTATGCACTTGGCCAGCACATCCGTCTACAAAAATTCTCGGCAGTAGGTGTTAGCTGCGTGCCAGAATGTTGCATAAAGCTCTTTTTTTTTTTTTTTTAGTGGACATTCCTGCTGTGAGCAGTAATAACAAACTGAGGGTAACATTGACCAGCTAGATTTAAAAGGCAAGGAAGGGAGTGGCTGTTGGATAGAGAGCAGAGATGGTACAAAGAATGAAATCGGCAATATTGATGGGAAATCATAGGAGTTAGACCTCTACAGAGGCTACTGATGCACATTGGATGGGTCTCCAGCTTTTATATCTCTTCTCACCAAGCTGTATTTCATAAGCTTATACCCTTCCTCGAAAGCAACTAGACAATAAGGATTAGATGGATATCCCTGACCGCTCACTCTTTTTTCTGAAGGAATGTCAGGACCGAGCACACCAAAATTTTATTTAAATTTAGATTATATCTGAATGGGAGCGTGGGATATTAGCTACACATGATGTTCCAGTATTTTAAAAACAAAAACTTTCTCTGAACTGTTCTTTATTCTTTTTCTCTCTCTTCTCTTGTGCAATTTATCTACGTTCACACTCTCAGAGCCTCGATTAATTCTTGTTGCCTTCTGTTTTCCTTTTTCTTGCACCAATTCGTTCCCCAACCCCCACTCCCAGTGAATAAAAAAAAAGGAAAAAAAATGATATTCATCAAATGAAGGCCAATCCTCTCAAGCACAGCAAGTCAATTCAGGTCTGGCGGTAACAACATAACATCTACATCTCCAAACAGCAGCTATCATTCAATAACAAAAGGAGAAGAGAACACAGAAGAAAAACAGAAGTAGGAGTACCGCCATCCTCGACACCCGAACCCATTGATAATGTTTCAGAATCCTTTGCAACTCTCTCGGTCAATCCAGCGTCTGAATTATCAGATATGAACACAATCGATAAAAGTAATACAAATGAGGTGTGAGCACACAAAGAATGCCTCTCAGTCCGTGAAGATAGAGGAAGATACTAAGCCCTGAGGAAGCTTGCTGAGGGCCAAGGGTCTCAAGAGCACACATCGCCAGGTTTTTTACGTTATATTAATTGCCCCGTCGACTCCGTATCCAAACGAAGTCAAAAACATTCGATCTTGATCGATACTGCCCGCATGCTAACGCAGATTCCTCAAGTGGGTATGTTTTTTTTTTTTTTTTTTTTTTTTTTTTGCATTTTAACTTTGATACATTTTTTGCTCAATAAATGTAACCATGTGTTTCTTCTAGGGAGTTTTACGTGCAGACATGACACTTCGATGTGGTGTGCACTACTGGGGTTTCGATCTAGTCAAGAACGGACAGTGTATCGCGCACCCTGACGAAACTCTAAATGCCTGTCCTGTCTCTGACTTGGAGTGGTAGGCATTTTTATATATTTATTAATAAACGACTATATTTTACAAAAGGTCCTGCTAGAAGGGCCAACTATGCTACAACATAACTCTAATACCGACGTGGGCGTGAATAGCGATCGCGGATATCCCTTGGAGGATATTCGTCATGCCTCAGGCCTCCACCGCTTCCGTTATTACTATACGCTCGACCATGAAGTGATCATGATTGCGCTCTTGCCGTTTAATGGAAACAGAGGATGAGTGTGCAAGGTTGGTTGCTCTGGATTAAACTGTTGGCTATATGCACCGACAGATCCATGGCTTTTTTGTGGGTTACATAGTCTGGATTCAATAGTTTGTGAACTTTTGTTTGCTCTGCTTGTTCTCTTTCCAAACGCTCCTTCCTCAGTTTCTCGATCGTGCTCAGCTCTTTCTCTTTGTGGACCTAATGGTTAAGAGAAGAATACAATCTAATGAATGAGAGGACCAAGAGATAGCCTCGATAAGGATATAACAAAACGATGGGTATTTACTGGCTGCAATGGCTCGTCTCCTTTCTGTAAACGCTTCGTTTCTGACTTATGCGGTGACGATGATGACTTGTACTTCTTCAGACGTTGCTCGTCTCGCTTTCCCAGCATTGATTTCATTGCACTCATAGGATCTCTCGAACTTTGCTGAAATTATGGTCTCGATCTCTTTAAAAAAAAATAACATCGTAAAATACATCCATATTAGTGTTATGAATCAGTTTTATGGTAATGATCAGGCACCATATCAGAGAAATAAACTTTCGATCTTTACTTTTTGCTGATGTCCCCTTGAGAATACGTAGGAAGCAACCATGGTTCTTTTCCTATTTATGTATTTATATGGCAAATTGGTATCTTAAAAGCGGCATCTTTATCTACGCATTTTTTTTTAAAAAAAAAAAAAAAAAAAAAAAAATCCTTTGACATTATCAAGAAACATGCCCGACTTTCGTTCAAACTTATTTAGTTTTGCTTTTTTCTCTGCTTCATACTCTTCATTTCCTTTGTTATTATAGCCCGCCTCCTAAATGAATTATGGATAAAATCAAAGAGGTGCTTAATAGCAAAAAAAGAAAAGAAAAGAAAAGAAAACTATGTTTTATACATAATTACTGTGTAATACACTTACTCGCCCTTCTAAATCGGCCCAGAAGTTGACATGTTGAGCTCTTGAATCCTTAGATATGGACTTCGAGTCTCTTTTTCTAGCAAGTTAGGTTGCCCTTCGTCAAGGATTTCAGTGTCATTGCTAGAGAGCACCCGGCGCTTCGCTCGATCCCTTAGCACCTTTAGCTTATATTCTCTATCCTTATGGTGATTTTTGATCGCGAAGGGTTAGATCATACAGCTCCGGGCTTGAAATAGCTCCATTCACGAAAATAGCTAATGGGCAGTGGAAGTAAGTCTTACTGCAGCTAATGTCTCTTCGGCCTTCCTCTTGTTCTTCGCTTCTGCTTCTGCTTCATCCTTTCGGACACGGTCACGATTTTTTTGGTTATAAACGTGCCAACTGAAGCGATACAGATTATTAAAAAAATATATAGAAATATAAATATATCAATATTTTCCCTGGTATGCTGCGCTTCATAAAGCATATTGCACTTATTGCCTTGATTTACTCCTTGTTACCTCTTGTGTGGCAAGATGTTCATTTCAATGAGTTGCCTTTTGTTTGTGGACCATCACACTGGAAAGGCAAACTTTAGAATGGTGATGTGACTCGCTTGTTCATGCTGTTTGTTTAATTTTCGACATAAACTCTTTAATATTTGTCCGGCGACGCAACTTCATTCACCAAAACGCACTAAATTCATGCTTGCTGCTGCAAAGGTTGCAGCCATCCGGAAATAACTGCGCGCACGCCAGTCTCATCCTTAAATCGTACAGACTGGTCTTGCTACTCTTTCCACAAGTGGTATGGAAGTGTGAGCGTCGAGGAAGGCATGGATACATATGGCTACGCAGCTTATAGAGCTAATAACTGACGCTTGTGAGATGTTGCTTATTTGTCACTATAGAGACATGGAAGCCTGGAAAAACACTGTGTGGATATAAAGTGCTCGAGGTATGGTTGACATGTCTAATTAAACCCGATGCTGTATCATGCCATCCCATCAATATGCGCATTATACAGAAATACTGGAAATTTGACCTATTTTGTTAATCGGAGATAGACTCGACACATTAAGGAGCTGGAACTCGACGCTATTCGGCTAAGGCATGAGAAAACAGGAGCAGAGCATCTTCATATCTCCCGAGATGATTCCAAAACGTCTTTGGCATCGGATTTGCCACGCCTCCAGAAAATAGCACGGGTGTTCCCCATATTCTCGAACATACGACACTCTGTGGCAGTCGATCTTTTCCAGTGAGAGACCCGTTCTTCAAGATGTTGAATCGTAGCATGGCTACGTTTATGAATGCTTTCACAGGTTTGTTTGTAGTTCATTTCAATGATTGTCATTAATATTGATTGGGCTTGAATCGACGTGCTTACGCACAATATATTCAAATATCGATTGACTAGCAAGTGATTACACTTTGTATCCGTTTTCAACAACTAATCCCATTGACTATAAGAACTTGAGGGACGTTTACATGGACGCTGCATTCTTTCCGCATCTCAGGGAGCTGGATTTCAAGCAAGAAGGATGGAGGCTAGAACATGAAGACCCCAATGGTACTTTTGTTTTGTCTATTATTTAAAGATTGGATATTGTCGGTGTCAAAAGTTGACTTTGGATAATAACCGTAAAATTTGTCTCAATGGGCTGGTTGATTCTAGACAAGAGTTCCCGATTGTTTTCAAAGGGATCGTGTATAATGAGATGAAGGGACAGATGGCAGATTCAGGATATTTATTTTGTCAAAGATGCAGCAGTTCATGTTCCTGGAACGACTTATGCTAATAACAGTGGAGGGGACCCTGCTTATATCACGGATTGACACACGAAGAACTTGTTCGATTCCACAAAACTCACTATCATCCAAGTAACGCTAAATTCTACAGTTATGGCAATTTTCGTTTGGAGGATACGCTTGAGGCTATCAATTCAAAGCTACATGAATTTTCTCCAATCACGCCTCCAGTCGTCGATAAAGTCGTCAAGCCTTTCGAGAGCCCTCGGCGAATCAATCTAACCTGCCCTGTCGATCCTAGTACGCAAATATTCGAAGAAGTATATGGGATAGAGTGTTGCATAACCTTTCGAATATTGATCTGACTGACTTTTTTTTTTTTTTTTTTTTTTTTTTTTTCTCAGTGACGCCCCCTGAAAAGCAAGCCAAGATGTCAGTTTCTTTCTTGCAAATAAGGCTACTGTACGCGTTTAAATCTCCTCGATGCGATACTAATGAAGAACATCCGTGAGATATACGGGGAAAATTGACGAACACTTTTGTTTATTGGGTTTAGGATACTTTTGAAGGGTTTGGCCTCAGAATCCTTTCAGATTTACTTACAGATGGCCATGCCTCACCAATGTACAAAGCTCTAATCGAGTCTGATTTGGGGTCAGAATACTCTTCGAACACTGGATACGATGGGTCAACCATGATGAGCTCACTGTCATTTGGCGTTCAAGGGATGAAAGTAGAAAATGTGCCCAAGGTAGAACAGACCATCATCGCAGTCCTTGAAAAAGTCAGAGAAGAAGGCGTCGACCCCAAGCGTGTCGAAGCCATTGTTCACCAGATGGAGCTTGGACAGAAACATGTATGAAATCGGTTCAAATAGAGTCAATGCTGTTTACGCTCTTTTCCACTCGGAAAGTACACCAATTAATTTTATCTTCTTTAACAGAAAACATCCTTTTTTGGAATGGGTCTTAGCAAGGACTTTCGTCTGGCTGGTTCAATGGCTGTAATCCATTGGATCTTTTAGAGCTTAATAAGGTTAGCAAACATAACAAATATAATGCGTATTGTTTTCAGAGTCGCTGCCTAGACTGACACGCAGCCTTTTGTACCCTAGAACATTGATCGTTTAAAATCCGAGTTTCATCTGGTCCATTCTTCCAAAACTTGATAAACAAGTACTTGTTGAATAACCCACACAAACTCGTATTCACTATGGTTCCCAGCACTGACTATGGAGCAGAAGTCGCAGCTAACGAGATGACGCGCCTTATGGGCAAGACTAGTGTTCTAACCAAGGCAGACAAGGAGGCTATCTATGAGCAAGGCCAGGCATTGCTCAAGAACCAAGAAAAGATTGAGGATGTTTCATGTCTTCCGACTTTAAAAGTAGATGATATTTCGAAGAAGACAAAGATCTTTTCATTGGAACATAGCGCCGTAAACAGCGTCCCCGTGCAATGGAGACCCACCTCAACCAACGGTATCACTTATTTCCGAGGATCAGTGTCATCTCAGAATTACCCCTGACCTAAAGAAATATCTACCGCTTTTCGCTGATTCTCTAACATCTCTCGGTACGCATAAGCGTGCAATGAGTGAGATTGATGACGAGATCAGGCTACACACAGGTGGAGTCCGTGTTGCGCCTTTCCTTTCCACGAATCATTCTAGTAAGTTATACTTCTGCTTGGCTTGATTGTATTCTAGCTGAGCGGTATTGTCATGATTATTAAAGCCATTTTGCCTTACTTATTTCCCTTCTATGATCATGAACTATATAGCAATTGACAGGACTGAAGAGGGCCTGTCCTTCAGCTCTTATTGCTTGGACAAGCAAGAATCGTATGTACGATCTTATGGGCGCGCTCATTAGCGAAACAAACTTTGACAATACCGACAAGCTCAGAACTTTGATTAAAGGGTACGTGAGCGTGTATCAAAGAGAAATCTGTTCAAGCTTTGCACTGAATTTAATTCGATCGACCTCAATTGTTTTTGTAGAATGCTTCGGCTCTCTCCAATTCCGTTGCAGACTCTGGACATGCTTTGCTAGAACCAATGCTGGTTCGCGCTTGACACCTGCTGGCGTAAGTCATTTTGGATATAAACAAATAATAGTATGAGCGTTAAATATTTACATGTGAAGCTAATGCATACTGTTGTTTTTATTATCTAGTATGCTTCTGAGATTTATGGTGGTATGACTCAGGTTCAATTCATGAATTCGCTTGCGCAAATGGATGACCTCACTGAAGTATCGCAACGTTTAAAGGAGATTGCTAACGTGGCAATCAAGCGTTCCAGCCTAAGACTTGCCGTTACCTGTGGAGATGATCAAATGTCGAGCAATGAGAAAGTTATCGGACAATTTATTTCACGTCTTGATGCTAGCCCTGTAAAATCTTTTTCCCAGGTAAGATGGATTAATTTAAAGTGTTTAAAAAAAAAAAAAAAAAAAAAAATATCAACACCATTTTATTGTCAATTATTAGCTTGAATTCTCGCCATCGTATGAAAATTCCTTCTTTGGATTACCATATGGTATCAATTCACTGCAAAATGCCTGCGCGGTGTACATTACACACATGAGGATGGGGCAAAGCTTCAGATCCTTGCTTCACTCATGTCGAACTTGTTCCTGCATCGTGAGATTCGTGAAAAGAATGGTGCCTATGGTGGTGGGGCCGGCTACTCTTCTACAGGCGGTCTATTTCATTCTATTCTTATCGTGATCCTAGCCCCAAGAAGACGCTAAGCACTTACGAAGACTCTGTTCGTTGGGTGCTGGATCGTAAGGACTTTTCTGATCAAGAGATGGCAGAAGCAAAGCTATCAATCTTCCAACGCATGGATACCCCTGTCAGTGCAGCTGAAGAAGGAATGATTATATTTTCGGAGGGTATCACAGATGAAATGCGTCAAAAGTAAGTTTTAGAAGAATGAAACAAAAGGCCCTCGAGATAACAAGGAAATGCCTCCTGAACACTTGACTAATGATACTCTCTCTTTCTTTCTCTTACAACAGCCGTCGTGAACAGCTTCTCAAAGTTACAAGCGATGATGTCAAGGAGGTGGCTAACCGCTATCTACTCAACCAGCCATCGAGCCATTGCATCCTTGGTGACGAAGAATAATTTTTTCACTCGTTTTTCTTTCAGATAGAATGCAATAAAGCATCAAACCGCGGCACGGCACGGACATTAAACTAGCGAAAATACACGCGTGTATCCGATTTTAAAATAAAAAGATCAGTTGAAGTTTATTCATACATTTCAAGGGCAGAGCGACTAGTGGCCATCCTTTACTCGGGATCACTTAAACTAGTAACCGTATTTGCCACACATGCCGCAGTCCTACGAGCTGCATGCTGTGTAGTCTTGATCGATATCGATGTTCATCACTATCATAGTTGCCGGACCCATAATACTCATCGTCCGAAGCAAATGCGCTATATTTGTCCCCATAAAGGAACAAGAAGCAAGTGAATGTAGTAGAAAACCTATGCAACCATCGCTCTATTAGGATTTTAAAGAACTGGAGCATTCTACGTCCATGCATCCATGATAGGACTTTGTACGTGTCAGAGTCCTTTGGGAAGAGGTAAAGTATAGATCCCCAAGATTCAAGTACTACCCATACCGCTTCAAAAATCCACATCCTTTCGAGTAGAAGGATTCGGTTCGATTGGCTTGAGATGTGTCGTCGCCTTCTTGATACCATCTGTTATTCGGACATCCTATTTCCTATAGGTTAGCCATTCCTATGTGTAAAGATCATCTCCCCACCAATCTTGCAGTGAAGGAACGAATGACTAGAGATACAGCGTTCTTGTGAAAGAATAAATGTTAAAGGAAGAATACAATTAAGGAGCACGAGTGGAAGGAGTAATGAAAGTAAGTGATAGAAGTTGGGAACAAGAGAGAAGCTGAAGGAAGTTGAGGAGTATGTTTATGTATGTGCCCATTCTCTGGAGCTCTTTTTCTCTTGATTCATCTACTTCATGTCACCACAATGCGCTTGTATCGTGGAAAAAACGTGTCTCTTGTAAATTCATTCTTTGAAGAAAAGACATCTGCATGGTCCTTACACACCTTACTCGCATGCCCCTCCCCCCCCATGTAATAATCTAAAAAAATTATCGCACGACCAACGTACACACTGATTTACACTACTTCCGTCTCCTGTGCAAATAACCTTCATGGAAAAAGATATTGGATTAATCTAATTGGCAATCCAAGTGCAAATATAGTCAACTTTGAAGACTTTTTTTGGCAGCCCAGCTGTCAAGGAACACCCTCATGATTTGGCAACCTACCTAGCGTTATTAGCCTATTTCTATTATTTCTGTAAAAACTCTCGTATCTCGTTTACTGAGGACAATCCTGTTTTTGATCGTGATATTCAGCTACAATCCAGTGAGGCACATCAACATATTTTGCGATCCTAATGCTTCCTGTCTATTGACATTTTTATTTAGAGGAAGCCCACCAATTAAAGGCGGGTTTTAATTAAAAAACTGGGATAATAACCCCGTGCAAACAGCTTATTATTTGGCAGCCCAGCTGCTGCCGCAAAAAAGGCTGCCAAATAATGGTAAAAATTACTATTTGTACGGGGCCGTGCAAATATCATCACCCCGAATAAAATGCTACCAGCAAAATGTACGCTCCTGGGTGGCTTGAACCACCAACCTCCTGATTAACAGTCAGACGCGCTAACCAATTGCGCCACAAGAGCCTGAAAATTGTCGTAAATGACGCCTATTCATTTACCTAAATATGTATTTCCTTTCAATTTATTATTTCCTATCATCCTATTTTCTACCATTTTTAAATAGTATTTAAGTAGCTTTTTCCTTCACTGCAAGAGCAAACAAGCCAATGGCTGAGTAGTAAAACTCGTCAGGGCACCCCCCTGTCTAGCCCAGGGGCCGGGTTCGAGTCCTGGTTAAGGCACATAAAGTGAAGCAAACATGTGCCAGGTCAGGGATTTGCTTGAGTTTTATACTTTCTCTCCGAGACAGCCTAGTGTTCTCCGCTAAGGCTAAGATCGTGGGTGCACTACCCTAAGTCGCCTGGCTGGCCACATGTCTTAGGTTTATATTCCACCCCCAGCCGAACCAGCGGTACATCTGGCAGCATCCCCCATCACCCATTGACTAGGACAGCGATGATCACAAAGTTTGACGGAGTCCAAAGTAGAAATTTCAGACCAATTCCGCAAGATTTGGTCCACATGCCAGTGGATTTGATCGAATAGAAAAAATTAAAAGTCGTCCTTAGCTAGAGTCGGCACGCCAGCCTCCGCGGCTTTTCACGGGCGCAACAGGCCACATCGGAAGGATGGACTTCGAGTACCGATCACGGTGTACATTGGTAGAGAAAAACATGGATACGAATTGGCTCTTCACAGCCATCCCGTGCGAACTTTGAGAGTTTCGCTTGTTTCATAGTTGAGGGCGATATCATTACTTTAGAGCGAGATTATGAAATAAAATTCCTCACCTCTGTGGGTTCTTGTTAACAGGAAAAAAAAAAAAAAAAAAAAAAAGAAAAAAAAAGCTTTTTCCTTCACTGCAAAGAATCTTCTTCTTATTCGATGCCTTTTGCAGGTGAGTTTATCTTCATTATTCTCATTATGAATTCTCAGAAAATTAGCAGTTATTAAATGACTCTCTTCTTATTATCGATGCCTCGTGGTCCTTGTTATCAAAAAAAAAAAAAAAAAACTTCTTATTATCGATGCCCTTTTGCAGCATCCTCAAAATCATTCAAAGCATTACTTAGGATCACTATCGTATCCCAAAACCACGAGGCTCTTGCCCAATTCTTCATTTTTCATCATTACCTACTAGTTTCCAGAGATCACTAGTAGATGCTCTACGACAAAATCGAACTGGATCTAAACTATTTAATACGGAAGACATCAACATCGAGTGACAGATTAAGGAGTAGAGATGCGGACCGGTGAAGTGGACCAGATGAGGCTTCCGCACTCAGCGGCCCATGACCTGAGGGTCCTTGCTCAAAAAAAAAAAAAAAAAAAAAAAAAAAAGCCTTCCACACTCGGAAGAGACCCAAAGGCATCTCCAGCATGGTTCCACAATGTTCAAAATGCCCTTCATGAGTCCCTTTACACACACAACTTTATCGAAGTATGGTGTAGAGACAAAAAGAACATTCTTCAGAGACTAGACGAAGAGGAAGAGAGAGATTTAAGGGAGCTCCAACAGCTAAATGAGGCTGAAAACAATGAGAGAGCAGATGAACTACTCACAGAAGACAATATGTTGGAGGAGCAGCCCACTGAGGATGATGAGGATGATGAAGTTGGATATATAAGTTACCTCAGTGACGTGGAAGAAGACCCCAGAGAGCCACTTGATCCCCTAAGTGTAGAACAGCGGGAGGAAAGAGAAAGAAGAGCACAGTGTTACATACAAGAGGGTATGCAGGAGTATGAAGGATACACTGAGTCTGATCGCGAACTCCAAAAAGAATACTTGCGAGAAAATTTTGAAAAAAGAGAGCGTTTGAGAGAAAAAGAGCGCGAAGCTAACGAGAGGCATAGGCTGTGGAAAGATCCTCAAGGAAGGAAAATGTTACAATTTCGCGACCGTTTGGAAAGAGGGAAGAGGGAGCAATGGTTGCTAAGAAAAATAGAGCAAGAGAGGAAAAAAGAAGAGGCGGAGAGAAGGAGAGTGTGGCGACGTGAACAGTGGGTGCAAGCCAAGCAAGAAGCCGCACACTCGAAGGCTATCGAAAGAGCTCGCCGTCAAGAACGCCTACGGTTACAGGCTAGGTTTCAAAGGCTCGATGAACAAGGAAGAAGAGAACAGCGACGACGAGCGGCTTTCAACCGAGCAAGACGTAGAGCACAAGAGCGAAACAAGATACGTGGACGCCATGAACTCGATGAACAAGCTCTCGATAGGAGGCTCAGGACGAAAGCGCAAGAAGAGATGGACTCCTCAAGAACAAGGAATAATAAAATCCCAGAGGGTCATCATCGGTGGTTTGGCTCCTCTGAGTGCCTAGGTGTAGAGATCCCACAGGTTGACATGGACAATATACTGCGTCAAAGAGAGAAACTATCAACGATGAGTCAGCTAACACTTTACTCCGATGGGTCCCTTGAAGAGGCAGGAAGAAGGGCGGCGCGGATGGCTTTCGGGTGGTGGCTCAGATAGGCCCAGAAAGCTTCTCAAATGTAGTTTCAGGTAGAGTCGATGGGTATGCTTCATCCACCAAGGCAGAGCTAGTAGGACTGTACGCAGCCATTCTAGTCAGTCCCCGTAACGTTCCAACGACTGTCTACATAGACAACATGGCGGTAGTGGTTCAGTTCAAGGACCTTGCTCAAAAGCGAGAAGCAAGCACTGAACGGCAGCGATTGCGATCCAAGTACGCAGTGTGGTGGGCAGCCATTTCGAGAGCGCTCTTTAAGCAGGGCGGGAAGGTAACTGTGAAATGGGTCAAGGGCCATGCTGGGAATAGAGGCAATATAAGGGCAGACCAAGCCGCCAAAGATGCTCATTTTAGCGAAATGTGGACAATCAAAGACTGGAACACAACGATCTGCGCTGTCACGCTATTTTCGAGAACGAGGTGGTGGAGGATGATCTTAGACACCTGCTAAAACTCCAATCAGCAGTGAGAACACATTACTTGTGGGCGTCTCAGAACAGAGTCAGGAATTATATTGCAGACTGGCGAGAAGTAGAATGGAAAGCAAGCCTGCATATTCTTCACGATGGCAACACGCCTAGAGGCCTCTTCACCAGCCCAGCAGATTGTCACAAGAGAGCGCACAGAATAAAAAGGTCCATGGTATGCTTCCTACACTCACTTATATGAGGCAGTGGCGACCGGACCTGTATGAGACTGACATCTGCAGGATGTGTGAACAGGAGCAGGAGGACATAGAACACCTCTGGCGATGTCCCATGACACTGGACGAGCAATTGAAAGGTTGGAAGCAGGCCATAGAACTCATCACGAAGGATGGCAAAAGAGCATTAGTGAAGGAGAAGAAGCTCTGGGAAGACAAACAAGGGAAAACACAGGAGCCAAACCTGAATAAAGGAGGCCCTCGTTTACACCTGTAGCCGACAACGTGATTTGGGGCTCTTTGGAAGCGATGTTCAAGGGCGTCAGAGAGATTCGACATGCGAGCACTCTGTTTGGTGAGGAAGATGTGGATATGGGACGGAGGAACGAGGGTGAGATGCCCACTGGACTGTCCAAGACTTGTACCACGGTTTGGTGCCGAAGGAACTGATACAAAAATGGAAGACGATCTTCAGAACCACAGCATCGATCTCAAGGTACATTGTTTGCCGCTTTGTCAAGTCAATCGAGGAACTCGGCAGGACTGAAATCTGGAACAGACGCTGCAAAGTCACCGTCAACTGGGAAAGAGACAATGGTATCACCTCTGTGAGCAAACGCGCCAGGGGACGCAACTGTGTTGGGAGGCACAGACGTAGCAGAGGTGAATTCTTTGGCTCTCACCAGGGACAACGACGAACAGCAGATGTGAAGGCGATCAGGACTGAGGCAGACCGGCGAGTGGCGGCAAGCTACCGGCAGCAGGTGGAATTGGCGATTATGGAGCGCCTGGAAAGCTGTAAATTTTTGATGATTGAGGACAGCGGCTAAAGGATGACCTTCGCGCACAACAGGCCAAGTAGGGAGTAGAGCCGTGCCACAGGTCCTCTGGGACCAAGGAAGTCTACTCAATGCTGACGTGGTTTATGAACAGGATGTAGTACTGTGGCAGTATGACGATGCGGCTTCGGTCGATTATTGGATACCGCTTTATTTGCGACCCCAGTAATGGGGCAACCCATTTATAGAGCTAACATCTAAATAAATCCTACATGACCTCGTGGGTCCTTGTTATCAAAAAAAAAAAAAAAAAAGCCTTCCACACTCAGTGGATGATCGAGTCCGGGACAGCTACCTTGGGAAAACTAAACTGGACGTGGTAGAGCGGCTAGGTGGAATGGAGCTTTTGATGACTATGGATAGCGGATAATTTGTCGTGTTGCGCAACAGGCCACACCGGAAAGGTGGACTTTGAGTACCAACCACGGCGGTCAGGGTTCCATGACCCGAGGTCCTTATCAAAAAAAAAAAAAAAAAAAAAAGTGAGACCTTCCGCGCTCAGCGCCAGCAAATCATATAGGAGCAGTTATTGAACATTTTTGTACAACAACGGAGACGCCAGCCGGCCGCTATCAGCCGAGGGCTCGGCAGGACTGAAATCTGAAACAGGCGCTGCAAAGTCACTGTCAACTGCAGGAGACAATGGCACCACCTCTGTAAGCAAACGCGCCAGGGGACGCAACTGTGTTGGGAGGCACAGACGTAGTAGAGGTGAATCCTTTGGCTCTCACCAAGAACATCGACGAGCAGCAGACGTGAACGGGATCAGGGCTGAGGCAGATCGACGGGTGACGGCAAGCTACCGACAGTAGGTGGAGTTGGCGGTAAATTTTTGATGATTGAGGCCTACGGCTAAGGATGACCCTCGCAAATAAATCCTACATGACCTCGTGGTCCTCGTTATAAAAAAAAAGTACTAATTCTATGACCATTGACCTTGTCTGCATGTCGATCTCTGAGGTCGCGAGCGAGGGGACAAAGATACGCGAGTGACTTGTTGACAATACAACCCCACGTGTCCTCTCTTCAGGCGGGTCCATGATAAAGGTTGGTTCTACCGATGTCACTATAGCTTTCGGTGTCGTTGACAGACCTCAAGCGGCGGCTACCACAGTACAAGGTCGGATTGATGGGTTTGCTTCATCTGCCAAAGCGGAGCACATAGGCCTGCTTACTGCTATCCTCTCTACCCCTCTAGTAAAGATATTTGTGTGGAGCTCGACAACCAGGTAGTTGTGATCCAATATCAACAGCCTGTCAAATCTCGGCACCATATATTGCCTAGGAAACGTCCTCAATGTAACTATGCTGGGCTTTGGGCAGTAGTCTACTAACCCGTCAACGACAGACCAGGGTCAGTTGAGATAAAATGGTCCGTGCTCATAGCAACAGCGCTGGCAATGTGTTTGCTGATATGGTGGCTACTAGAACAGCTAGAATGGCTTCTGCACCTTGGAAAGCCGATCTCAGTGCTCAATCTGATATCCAACACTTTGCATACTTTCATGGCCAATTGATTGAACAGGGCTTCGTCAACTTCTCAAGCAACAAACCATCATCCGATGGCAAACAAGCATGGACAGCCCAACGATGCACAAAGAGAGCGATCTGTAACCTTGACGATATGGAGTAGCGATCAACGCTGGGTCGATAAACACCCTGTGCACTCTTTCCGCAGCAATGCCAAGGATCATATCAAGAAGCCTCAATGCCTTGAAAACCGCAAGACTGGACTCTATAAATGAGTTATTGCGGTCTTGATCGCACTCAATTCTCAAACTACACCAGCATGAGTGGTAAACTGAATTTTGTTTATAGGAGTTCCGTAGCCATACTACTTTCCGTCCGAGCATAACCCTGCTTGATGATGCGGAAAAGTGAGCCTCAAAAGTCAAAATATAGGATGAAGTCCAAAGGAGGAGATCTTCTTATTTATCCAAATCAACTAAAAGCTAGTATACATGTAGTTAAAGGGTTCCAAGGTACCAAATGTGAGCAAATGCCATAAATTTTATTATAGTATGCTTGCCGGTCTTGGGAGGCTATGTTTCTCCATGGCAGTACGCAACGCCTTTATCCAGAGCTGCGTCAAATTTTCATCCCAATTAGCAGATTGCTTCACCCCACTCATCTTGGAGGATAGTTCAGTTGAAGGCAATGATTCAATTAATCCATATGTCTGAGCAGCCTCATACAACACTTGTACCATGTCATATGATGATTCTATTCCGTATGCACGGCCATCTTCATGAACAGCCCAAATGCAGCTGATAACTCTCCTGACTTGGCGTAAAAGCGTATAGCATCCGCAGCTAAATGCTGAGTCAAATGGAACCCGGAAAGGATCAAATCTGTCGACATATCCCGTCCATAAGCAATCTGATCTTCCACATGCAGCTGTGTCATTAGTTGTTGGTATAAGTCGGTCAAAGTAGGTACATTTGATGGAGAGCTTGGAATGATCGCCGTGGGAGAAGCGAGCGTTACAGCGGCCTTGCGAATTAAGGATGTTACGGCATGGTCTGGCGATCCCTGACCATCGCCCTTCGGAAAGTCCTATTTCTAACATTTTCAGACTGTCGTAATAGTCGATAAAATTCATAGCCAACAGCTCCCTTCCTCGTTTACAGCTTTTGCCCAACAATTCTCGGTACATGCTCGATGCCACGCGACTAGGATATCCAGCATCTAATGCTTCCTTTAGTAGTTTTAGTGTTGATTCGACACCATATCGATCTGCAAATGAATTCATAAGAAGTTGAAAAGTCTCTGGATGACGAGATGCGTGAAGGGATCCATCAGACCTATCCTCTGTATCACCCAAGACGAGTGGCAAAGTTCTTGGTACAACTCACGAGCAAACAGTCGATCTCGGGCCCTTAATGCGCCACCAAGGAGGATGTTCCAAGTTTGAGCATTTGGACGTATTTTCTGTGATGACATGATCTCTAAGATGCCAACAACTGTTGCTGGTATTGAGTGTCGAACAGCCCCTTCGAGTAGAGCATTGATGTGCTTGATCTCGTTTGCTATTCCAGAACGATCCATCTCCTCAAATACTTTGATAGCCTCTGACAGGTTCTCTGAACGAACATAGGTCAGCATCAGTTGTAGGTACATTTCGCCATCTCGCTTCACGCCCAGTCCTTCGAGTATTGATAGTATTCTTCGTGTCATGGGGGGCTGTCCGTATGCTGCCGTCAACTTCAAGACATTGCGGTACATGTGGACATCAGGCTTGACGCCATGGTTCTCAGCCAAATTACGAAACAGCTCTACTGACTCGTCCAACATGTCACTCTTAACCAAGCCACGTAACAAACGGTTCAAGGCACTGATAGATGGTACATGATTGTCTCGCAAAGATTTGTCCAATACCTCAAGGGCGGCTCCGAATCGATGATTCATCGTTAGATCAATTATGACCTTTTCCGACACGTCTGCTGCCAATGGGAGTTCCTGATCGGTCAGCTCCTGGATCATATCCTGAACGCGATCAAAATCATGGTCATTACTCGCTTGCCTCAGAATCTCCTGAAGCCCAAGTTCTGTCATTATTCTCCTTGATTCAATCGGGCTTTTCGCGCTATTCTGATCGTTTAGGCTCTGTAAAACGCGTTCAATCTCGATATTATGTGTTTTTGGTGAGCCAAGTTGGGTCCATTTATTCATTTCAACTAAACGCCTCATAAACCCCATAGCTTTCTGTGAATTTTTGTTAGCTGCAATGGATCGAATTAAATACTGAAATTGGATCTCATCAAGAGCATGTCCTTTCTCAAATAGATCGAGCGCCAATTCCATGGCCAGTGGGAACCCATGCTCATCCCGCCCCAGGCATATGACTTCAATTAATATAGGATTGATGACAGCCTTCCATCCCTCGATTGAACTAGGAGTCCGAGCAGCAATCGACTTCCCTTGCGATGTGGCAAGGCTTTGTATGGCTTGTTTTCGTCGTCTCAGGAACTCTATCCTTCCATCAGCCGCCTCCATATCCGTGGTGTTTCCTCCAGTACTCCCGCTTGTCACAACAAGCGGTGTTACATCTAGAAGATCGATACCACTTTGCTGCTGTTGAATGGAGATATATCGATCTATAACCGAGCCAAGTAACTTTACTGTCTTCGTAATCTCATCAGTATGGATATAGCTTTGAATGGCATATGCAATCGTAGCGATCGAAGGTAGAGGCAAGCTCTTTTTTTCAGACTCCATCTGCTTCCAAGCCTTTATCCCTGCATGCCAGTCCCTTTCCTGAAATGCTGTGGCAAGCCAGAGACGATAGAGATCTGCATTGCGAAGGACTTTATGGGCTTTCATGTACTCAATCGTATTTTCCACAAGCTCTGATGGTGATTGAATAATAGGCAAATCCAGCCCATTTGTTTGTTTTGTATCCTCTGATCGCATATTTGACTCTGAGTGATCCAGGATGGACTGCTTCCCATTAACAAGTGTGTGTAATCGAGCCTCGGTGAGTAAGATGTATGATTGAGCACTGCATTTACGTGCTAACTTTGGATTACCAAGGATGGTAGATGAACTAAGCTTAGCATATGATAGTCCTTATGGTGTGAGAGCCAGAAAATATAGGCGTCCCAATCAGCCGGTGTAAGTAAGTTAATGTGTCTCGATGTGAAAAGGATATTATAGAGTTGCTGAAGCGCTGGCAGTGGTGGGACTATGGATGATGGTATACGGTGCTTTTCCATTAATGCTCTGTGATATGTCGTTACGTCCCAAGTGGGACGAGTGAGTATAAAATCGATCTGGATATATTAATAATCTCAAGTTATCGAGAGCCACGACCGCCTTCTTGATATGTATTGCAGCTGAGGAATGGCGAGGTTGTCTTATTGACGTATTCTTTTTTTTTGAAGACTTCACAGAATTTACGACAATGTTGGGGGTATTATGAGTGTTTGATGGCGTACTGTTTGAAAAGAAGTCAGCTAGTCTGGAGCCACGAGTCCTTCGTGAGCGCTGCGGACTGCTATTGTCAGTGGAAGGCCGAGTCGCGGCACTAGCTTGAAGGTTTTGCGCATTAGATGCGCTTGAGGTGTGAGACTGGCGATATTGTCGGTATCCAAAGCGATTTGTAGTCGAGTTCAATATCTTACACTTTGGCGCAAGTACGTTCAAAGATTCAAAGAAATAACTTGTAGTGCAAATGCACTGGCTTAAAGACCGGGCACGTAGTGGGGTTACGCGTTTGTTGGGAACAGCATTGATTTTTTGCAAACGGTGTCGCCTCGAAAGATTGATCATATGAAAGCTTTGAAGTTGATATTTCTGAAGACAATCTATGTGTCTTCATGCGCAAATGTTGTCGCGGAGTACTGAATGGCAAGTTAGCTGGCGATGTTCCATGTATTGAATGAGACTTGGGAAGGGAGCTGATAACTACAGTTGGCCATTGAATAGCTCTAGATTTCGACATGTTGTATCTAGGTTTATGCTAAAAGAGTTGTTCATAAGTGAGTGGATATCCTATGCTCTTTTGGAATAGTGAAAAAACAATTTCGCACCTGGTCTCGACAATACCTTCAGACGCAGCAGTTAGAGGCCATTTGTCATAAAACTTGTAGTGAATGGCGTAGAGACGTGCTGGGTAATGGAGGTGGTTGAAGGCAGGCACTTTTCGCCCTGCAAGTGTTGAGTAAACACCAAGCCCCGCCGGATCTATTCCTGTTCCCAAAATGGTAATGTTATATAAAAACAGGACATTGAAGTAGGACATTGAAATAATTTTCATTAGTTGCAGCATTACAACAAACCAACCAGCCATCCCCATTCCAACTATTCAAAATGGCACAAGCGCCCACGGAAGTGCCTGTAGAACAGACGCCGAAATCATTTGAGTCCTCAACCTGGGCAACTGCGAGCGGAAGTGCCTCAGAGAAGGAAAGGAAGGAAAACAAGTCATTTGAACGCTGGAGAAAGACTCTCTCACTTATTACTGGTATTGGTCTAACCCCTGAAGAATTCCAAGCTGAGGTTGATAAAGCAGATCGAAAGCAATGTGAGCTTCACAAAGAGCGTCTTATTAAGAGCAGTAGGTTACAGTTTCCCCCTCAGTTTGTAAACTTGATAAAAGCGTCACAGAAAAGGTGCATGAACTCAAAAGTGTCCTTGATATTAATTATCTTAGGTCCGGGCGTACGGTTCATGATGAGCAATTTGGCAAAGGCTGGCTGCCCACTGACCAGAGAGATGCTCGAATGTGTTCCTTGCGACAAGATAAATCTGGTGGATTCTCCAAAGATCATGGTATCATGCTTTGTCAAAATGGATTTTTCAGTAAAAAACACCAGGAGCACACAATGATTCATGAGATGATACATATGTATGACCATTGTGTCTTTAATGTCGAGTGGGACAACCTTCGTCATCATGCGTGCAGTGAGGTACCTTTTTTTTTTTTTTACACCTGTGTAGACGGTATTTTCTTAGTGTACGACACAATTTTTGTTCGTCTTTTTTCTACTACTAATTTTATTTTAATGTTATCATCATCATTGTTCATATGTCGAGCTAGATTCGTGCAGCTGCACTAAGTGGAGATTGTAACTGGTTGCGTGAGGTGAGACGTGGAAATTATACGTTTACAAAGCAACATCAAGAGTGTGTAAAGCGACGCGCTATTCTTTCGGTCGAGGCCAATCCTGAATGTCCATCTCGCACTGCAGCAGAAAGAGCTGTTAACGGGTTTTTGAGTCTTGTTACAATGATACACGGCCTTTTGATGAATTTTACTGAAAAAAAATCCTCCTTTTTCAATCAGAAAAAACTAAAATAAAAAAAAACATAGAGTACTAGTCTATAACAAACTCTTCTCGTTTGCATGGTTATGAACCCAATGTGTAATCGTTTCAGCCACAGACACAAGTTGTCGCACCTGCTCCATTGGGACACCCCATTTCTTGCGCCATAGATGTGGCTCTTCAATTGAGGAGGGACATTAAGCGGTACTAGTACCGCTACCAGACATAGCTCCGTCTCAGGGATAGATATTATTGAGGTGTCACTCAACACTCTTCCATATGTGTCAACGAGAATGCTTTGCACCAAATCTTGACTGCTGTTTCCAATTTTCTAAGGATCGGCTCGGCTTTTTTTTTTTTTTTTTTTTTTTTTTTGTTAAAAGGAAATTATAGGTTAATAAAGCATATGATCTTTAGTCACCAATAATAATGGGATGGTTTTCGGACTTACTGTGATGCTGATAAATAGCCTGAAAGAGATCCCGGCCACGCCTATAGTATTCTTCAGGAGTCGTAGCATTTTTCGGTCCACGCACAGGCCCATGGTTGTTCACAGCTGTTACTAGATCCGGATCAAGCGCGAAATTCACAGCGCCAAGAGCATTGATGCCATAGGGACCGCCGCACAAGGCCGATCCTTTATAAAGCGCTTCCCGAAGCCTACGAATGAAATGTACTTGATTTGGCAAGATATCTGAAGAGGAAACGACAGGAGTCAGTGAAATCGATAGTGACCCTTCGGCAATATCTGTTAAAGCCTGTTGGACCAGCGGGATGAGTAGCTTGGGGAAATTGGCTCCTGCCAGCGTGCATGCCTATTCAGAAAGTGAGGATTTATGAGAGTTGAGCATATTACGTTTTTTAAAAAAAAGATAAAAAAATAAAAAAAAAAATAAATAAAAGCCTACGATTAGAATCGGTCGCAGTTCTGCAGGCGATAGCGAAAGTGCATTTCTCCATGAAGTAATGAGCGCTGTCGCCTCAGTGAGCAGGGATGTATTGTCAGCAGATGACATGAGTTTTTACAGATCAAGAGTTAATGAGAAGTGTACTTTTTTAGGTTCATTACGTTTTCAAAAATATTCTTTATATGAATGTGGGTATCGATGTTTACAGAGCTATTATAAATGCAACCATTAAAGCTTGACATGGGCGACTACAAGCTATTGAAAATTAAATATAACGTTCATGCTAGGAATTAGTAAGGCCATCAGAGTCATAGTCTACCACAAGCACTATAAGCATGTTCTTCCTTACAGTGCCGTTGGCCACACATGCCGCAAGTTTGTCTCCTGTGCTATTCCAGTCCACTTCAAAAATCCCGCCTTCTCCTTGATATGTCTTGACAAGTGCTCCATCCTACTCAAAAAAAAAAAAAAAAAAAAAAAAAAGAATAGCAAAGTATTTTTTTGGGTTAATAACATGCCTTAAAGTAAAATATCGAAGGAGTGGCATGAAATCTTAAATGATTAACAGACCTGCACTCTCCATATATTGATTGTCGTGTCTGGAGACCCAGTGGCAAGATGTGTACCAGTTGGATTGAAAGCAACAGAGTATACTGCTTCGGTATGTCTTGAGAGGACACGAAGGTTATCGCCATTTCTAGCATCCCATAGTCTCACTGTCATGTCGAACGAGGCTGTCGCCAGAATCCTTGGCTCCTTTGATGATGCTTCATGAGGTGCCCACGTCATATCATAGACAGCTTCAGTATGATTCGTAAGATCAAATAGACATTCGTCCCGCGACATAGTCCAAATCTACATGAAAATGATCGAGTTAGAGGGTGATGGAGGAAAAAAAAGAAAAAGGAAAAAAAGTATATCGACATCAGACTTTTTGAATACAAAAACCAACACTACCTTTGCTGTTTTATCATCTGAACACGACGCAAGAAGTTCTCCTAAAGGGTCCCAGCGAACAGCGTTTACTTCGTCCTTATGTCCATCAAACACCTTGACGGGCTCAGAGCTATCTACTTTGCATACATACACTTTCCCATCAGACGATGATGTCGCGAATGTGGTGTTGTCAAGCCAATCTACATCTAGTACTGCGCCAGTATGAAACTCATGTTGCTGTCTAGCGTCCCCTGTTGTAGCGTCCCCACAATCGTAGTGTGATCTAAACTTCCTGTGAGGATATAGTTGCCTTTTTTATTCCATTTTAGAGCAAAGATCGGTCCACGATGTTGGCTCATCAAATATCTCAGTTGTCCGCGCTGCGTCCAGATTCGAGCCTGTCCATCATAAAATCCTGTAGCAAGAAGTGTTCCTGAAGCCTATCCAGAAAAATAAATAAATAAATAAATAGGTATATTAGAATAAAATAATAATCTCATGCGTCTGTAAACTCTTCTTAATGATTCTAGATGAAAATGATAGGTTTTCGAGCCTTGCGACTTGCGTGCACATTAGTCTTACATTCCAATCCATTGTCGTGACATCTCTATTGCTGTCTGTTAATGCTGGCAGATGCTTTAGCACAATTGGTTCCAGCAGGGCGTCATCGGTGCTACTGGGTATTTGCCATATACGAGCCGTTGCATCCCTGACCTAGTAATTGTATTAAAGAATGATTGGAATATTAGATAAAGATATGATCAAGATGACTGCGCAATTTTCGCATTCTGTAAATCAGACACATACCCGGATGCCAGCAATAAGGGTGAGGTAGGACTCCATGAGCATACAAATACATCCGCAGTGTGGCCTTTCAAAGTAATAGCATCGCTTGCTGGTATGATCTTCACCTCCGCCGCATCCATTATTTCCACAGCTAGTTTATCCCATAAATCACACATGCACGCGTAAAAAAAAAGAAGAGTAAGGTGTCCATTCTAATATACATTTAGCATGAGAGAATACTCGACATTGGACATACGCGTGCCAACAGGAAACATCCTCAACTTGGTCAGTATCTACAATGGGGTCGTCATCCTTATCATCTTCATCAAGTTCTGTTCTCAGGCGCTTGTCTCGACCTTGTTGCTGCTCTCGAGGCCGTTTACTCTCTTTTCGATCTCGTTTATTACCCTTCCCAACTAAATCATCACGCCTTGATTTTTGCCTTGCTTATCACAGCGATGAGGTCCAATAAGTGCCACTGGTCCCGTACATTCCCGTTCAGTTCCATCCTGGTTTTGATAAGTCGTAAATGATAGTGATGGAAAATTCATGGCAAGGTCTTGTTAAAATAATGTGTATCGAGAAGTAAAATAAAAATTACACTACAAATTAGATCCAGGGCACGACATTGAGAGATTCAGGTCTACTTACCTCATTAACATTGAAGCTCTAAATCCATATACAGTAAGCCTTTTTGAATCACACTCACGAGAGCACCTGGTTGAACATTTGCATTCCGATATTCAGACTTGTGGATATGTGACTCATTCTGAAAGGAAAATCCTGTATGAACAAATCCTGAAATAGACGAGTGGTATGTGTTATTTTATAAAATCACGTTGGTGATACTAGTGATGCCCTCAAAGCGGAGCCTTACCTGACTCTTGAAGGTACCGAAAAATTAGATAGTTGATTTCCTCACTGGTGACGCTCATCCTGTATTTTTTTTTGCAATAATACAAATACGATGACTTTAGTTGTTGAAGACTGCGTGATGCGAGACGGGTTAGATGAATAAGTACCTTTAGTAAAAGGGATTTTGCAAGCCTAAAAGATTTTTTATGTTAGTTTGCGATCAGGAAGGCTATGCTTTTCCAGGAGATAACTTGCTTCCGTTGTAGTAGCCAATTACCACGTGACTAATGGCTTTTGAACAGAAATTATACACAAAACGATCGGATCCATTCTAAACTCTTCATATTTAAACCATTCATCATGTCCTGACGACCCAGGCGACAAACAAACTCGCATTGCTGAACAAGATTTCATGTGCAATTTTCGGGAATGTGTATAACCCGCAGAACATCCAACGGGTAATAAGATCCTTCGTCAGCGACTCATCGGACCTACTATCAATTCATACTATCCAAACGTGAAGCAGATCAAGTTGCGCGAGATCACGAGGATGGTCCAGAGATGAATCTTATTGACCAAACAGAGAAGACACGCCTCGAAGATCTTGCAGAGCGCAAGAAGCGTGGTAAAGGACCTCCAAAGAAGGTAACTGTTTAACTTTGAATATATTTTTTTGTTTTTTTGTTTTTATTTTTTTAATTTCAATATGGATTGTATGCTAAAACAAATGTTACTGTTCACCAGGTCAAGGTCGTCGCTCCACTCTCAAGAAAAAATAATTTGAGCGATAGTTGCATAAACAAACACATTATATCAACATTGTTAAATCAGCACTTCCGAGAACTATGCCCATGTAAATTATTAAAAATCATCTCTTCCAATTCTGTTCCATATTTAATAACTGTATTTAATTTCCATAATGCTTTAGAATGAATCATTGAGAATTATGGCATTGTGGGCTGTTTTTTTCTTTTCTTTTCCTTTTTCTTGCTGCTGCACCGATATTTCCTACCCTTCTCTAGTCAATTTCCTGATGATTGGCTATTTCAGTTAAGACCATTTTTGGGCGCGCTTTATACCACATTGTTTCCTGTTGATGCTTGGTCATCTTGAGCTGCAACAGGTTCGATTGAGCTGGCAGGCGGATCAACTGTGCTTGTTCCTACAATGGCTGCCATGGCTGCCATTACAGCTTCTGGCGCAGGTGCTGAAGGATCTGAGATATTATTGTTTGAATTGGCCAGCGGCGCGGTCGCCATTTCATGCTCCGCCTCGGCAGCATTGGAGTTTTTATCGGCCACGACAGGTGCTGTCTCTGTAACAGGTGTAGACGATTCTGTTCCCTTGTCTACGCTCGTGTTCAAAATCTCGCCATGTTCCTGTGCCTTTTCCATCATGTTTATATTGTTTGATGAGCTTTACTGATCTTTCAACGATTTTGTGAGGGTCCTGGCTGAACTGAAGTGCCGAGATCTTTTTCATTAATCGACCAATTTTGGTATCCTAACGAAAAATGAAAAAGCAACATTACAATATGTTCATATCTTTCTGCTTGTGAATTTTGAAACTATATATATACAAGGATACTTGATATACCTTAAGCATTTGTAAATCAATGTCAAATGCTTCTACTTCGGCGAGGATTGGGTCCGCACGCTCCAGATTCTAGTAGCGTAAGGATAGGAGGATATTAGATTAGGGTACCCAATAAGAAAGAGAAAAAGCAAATGTTTTTTTTTATACCTGAATCAAAACATCGTCTGAAAGGCCTTCCACCAGAAGCAATTTCTGCAGCTTATGTCGGAGTTTCAGAAGACGCTCGCTGGGCTGGCCACCTATTTTATTTCCAAAAGATGTTATTAGCTTGATATAATGCGAACACTTTCTCTCATCGCTCAAAATATTGACGCAGAACTATGGCATACTCTTAATCCTCTTCTTTGCTCTCAAGTCTCCCGCGTCCCCTGCGTCATCTTCCGATTGTTTCGTACGTCCATTGCTTGTATCTCCAATGCTAATATCATCATCCACGCTCTTGAAGTCTGACTCGAGGCGGGAGCGAGGCGCACTTGCCGTTCGCTTAATGGAAGGCTAGAGGCACGGAGGTCAATGTGTCAATAATAAACAATGATCCCGGAAATAGTTCTAATTATGCCATGACCCAGCTATTTTTAGTATATCCCAAACTGCATTACACACACCTTGGCTAACTCATTATTATCATCTTCAACCGATGCCGTCTTCTTGGAGACCTTTCTTTTTGCAGTTTGGTCCTCTGAAGTGCTTGGTCGTCTTTTCTTCTCCACATTAGTCTGGCCTTTTTGTGTCGTTCTTTTGGTCTTTCGGAGGCATTCGTCTTGGATGGTGTTGCTGCTACTTGATCGTCGTCATCGTCGTCATCTTCCTCGGCATCGCCTGTAATTCGATGTGCGATAATACTTGGATCTAAAGCCTCACCCAGTGCAGTCCTTAAAGCACTCCCTCTCTTGAGAGTTGACTTTGTTTTCTCAGCTGAGGCAGGATCAAATGGTTTGAGTTCTGTGGTCCCGAACCAGCCACTAAGATAAAGGCAGAAAGAAGAATTGCAAGGCAATGTCAGAAACAGGAGTAATAGTGAAACCATAAGAACGCCCTATTGCCGGCTTTCTAAACGAAGAGAAGGGAACTTTATCTTCTGCTCAGTGTCCAAGGATAAAAAGAAGGATAGCTGTGCAAAAAAAAGACAGATGTCAAAATAGTCAAGACTTAATCTCTGCTGCCAGTTCCTCACATCTATCTTCCATTGCAATCCGTACTTCCAGTGCTATCTCCTGATACTGCTCAGCAGCTTAAATGGCTATTAGGCAGTATACAGCCACCATCTTCCTCTTTCTCTCTCTCTCTTTCTCAAAAAATAAGCATAGCGATGCTGTTCATCCACGCAACTCTTTGATTGCCGACCATGCTACAAGAAACACTACTGGTTTGTAATAATATAGTGTGGTCGAAAGCATTCCAACACTTTTCCAATCTAGCGTTGTTCTTGACTCTGGTCTTTGCTGCTAGACGTATCGAGAGGTGTTTTTAAGAGCTCGCAACAGTCCGACGCGAAAACTACTTACTAGTCGTATGAACCAAAGAAAAAAAACTGGCCAAATGGGTCTCTGTTTTGGTTTCTTGCTACTAACATTGACTGGTAGGTCCTGTTCATTCTCAATCTACAAGTACATCCCATGGCAGCAATTAAAGAAAAAAAAAAAAAAAAAGCCAATAACAGGATATTGTCAACATTGGTTTCTGTTCAGGTGTACTTTTCCTATGAAGAAATAGTGTGCATTCATTGCTCTTTTTTTTTTCTTTTTCTTTTTCTTTTTTTCCTTACACGCGCTGGCCACCAAGGATATCCCTTGAGTTTGGCAAAGACGGTGGTTCCAACGGGGTAAAGGTTTTCTGTCATGTTGCCACTAAGATGAAGACCAGTTCAGCAATGTGTGTCCAATGTTTTTTAACAGGGTTTACGCGGTCGATCAAGATGAATGCTGCTCTGGTTCCGTGCGTGGTCCTGATGCTTGCTGTGCAAAAAGGTGGAGTGCAAGCAAAAATAGAGCTAAAGAGAATAAGGTCCTCTGTTTTTTTTTTTTTTTTTTTTTTTTTTTTTTTTTTTCCCGCTGGGGGCAGTGACCAGTGACGTGCTTCATTGCTTTTGACTCAAATCCCTTCCTCTATCTCTCCTATCAGCAAAAATGACATTCTCCTGGAACAAGGTTGCATCAATGGTGTACAAACATTTTTATACATTTTTTATGTAGGATCACAACAATGAAAATAATTCTACGGCGCTGAGTTGCCAGAGATACCAGTCATGGTCATGTCACCAGACGCATTTTCGTCTATCAATGGCGATCTGGGTAAGGTTACATTTGTCAGGCTGATAGATGTCGCGCCTGTTCCTGCGCCAGAGGAAGAAGACCCTCCATTGGTATTCAATGAAGAAGGCCCTGCCCCTGCTGATGAAGAGGACCCAGCATGGCCACTACTGCTTCCAGAGATATTGTTCTCTGGTACTGCTCCCGCTGCTCCCGCTGCAGTAGCGTTTTCCACAAGTTGGACTTGGCCATCCATGACACGCTTAAATGTTTCCAAGACTTTTGTATTGTATCCTTTGCATTTATCGCATTTGTGATACAGGAAATGGTATGGTGCCTCGGACTTAACCTCACAGTCGTTTACAGAGAACAACAGAAAAGATATTTGCATACTCTGGAGGCATTGTCTGCTCTGCAAGTAGCGAGTCAATCTTTGAGTAGTATGCTGACATGTCGCCTAATGATTTCCAGCATGTAGGGCACTGGTACGAGATTTTGATGTAGTTCCTCATGACACTTCGAATGGATACAATGACCACATGCTAATAAAGCAAAATACGAGGATATAGAATATGTTTCATGATCTCAATCCATGCATGAGTATCCAGCATTCAACTTGTCGTTAAAGTGATACGTACCATAAAAATAACTGTTGTCGTACTCGTGAACATGTAATTCGCCGCAGATTGGGCAATCACATTCTAAATTCCTCTCAATACACTTGTGATTGTTCTGGAGCTGAATATTCATACACACATTACACTTTTGGCAGTGAAAGTAATCTCGTCCAAGTCCTTGTCCTATCCTGCAGATGCCACATCTTCACAGTGATAGATATTTTTCTTGATGTCATCATCCCAAAGCTACAAACATCGCAATAATAATTTGCTAGTTTAGTCTTGCAAGAACTACAGTTTTGCGCGGCTGCCTGAATTGTCTGGCAATGCATGCAAAGCATCATTTTCGTCTCGCTCCTAAAACCAATAATACATTCGATGAGTAAAGCAATAAGACACTGATGCAAGATGAATACAAAAGACCAAAAGGTGAAAGGAAAAAAAAAAAAAAAAAAAAAAAAAAAAAAAAAGTAGCAGAGACTAATTTAGCGCCATCTTACCTGACGATTGCGTGGTCACTGGCGTCATCGTGGCAAAACCTACAGTTGAACCATTTGCCACAACAGTTGGCCTTGAGTTTGCACCCTCGCATATAGTGTTTGCATCCCAACTGATTTAATTCTTCATTCTAGAGTAAAATTTAGTGTGACAGAAAGTTAGACTCGAAGTCTTCGAAACTTGATCACAAAGTCCACTGAATGGCAAGAGCACATACATAATATGTCTTTTTCAAATCGTCTGCCCCAGCCTCGCCGCTTTGATTGTCTGATGAGCGTTGCGAGTCATGCCACTTGGACGACATAAGTTTCTAAACAAAACACAAGGAAGCAAAGAGATATCAGACGATGGTGAAAGTAAGCATAATGAAACTGACAAAACAAAACAAAAACAAAAGAAAACAATATTGAACAACAGCGGCAAGATGTACATCTTGATATGCATAATATACCTGTATCATTCCAGCCTTGTCTGCAAATTTGATATTGGGATCTCTTTGGATATCCATGATCTTGCGCCTCAGCTCGTTCTGAGCTTTCTCATCCACAACTGGGACGGATACTGTCCTTCCTGATGTAGCAGCAACAGCAGCTGTAGGTCCTAATCTTAATTCGTTGCTCGATATATTCGTAGAATCCGAGCTACTTCCTGTTCGCAATACAGTAGCCGATTGTGAGTTTTCAGTGTCATTTCTAGATGGGTGATCCTCATTGTTTGCACGGCCATTTAACATCCGCATCTACATCTTCCTCGTCTTCTTCCTCTTCTTCGTCTTCGTCTTCGTCTTCGTCTTCATCCTCATCCTCATCCACATCCATGTCATTTCCTAATTGATCAACTACCGTTTCATAGCGGTTTCCTGGATTTTCGCTAACAAGAGATTGTATATTATGGTTTTGTGAGCCCATAGTTGTGGACTGGAGGTTTGTCTGATGATTGTGATCAGAGGAGCTGGTGGTACTATCCATTGCTTCAAAGTGGAGTGTATCAAGAGCGTCACTGTATATACTTGGAGTTCTGGACATGACTAGACGCAATTTGTTTTGTAAATGAATGTGTATAAAGTGCAGTGAGTGAAGTGATTGTTAAGAAGGTGATGATGCAAAACTGACGACGTGAGTGGAGAGTTTATTGCAAACATGTCTGATAAGGGAAAAAAAAAAAAAAAAAAAAAAAAAAAGTCACGAATGAACTGCAACCAAACGATTTTGCTTTATTCTCCAATTGTGAGGCCCACTATGTCTCCGTTCTTCCTTAGCACCCACCAATCCGTCTACATCTAGAAATCCTTCGAAAGAAAACCTCATAAGCCCCGAATTTGTGTGAAAGGCTATCCTGTCCACCGTGGGATCCATCTGCTATGACCTACATTCCCCGACCAAAAGGAAAGAGGTAATAGCGAGCAGAAAATGCAAGGCAGGTTTTTGAAAGATAAAATGATCGAAAGATAGGATTGAAATAAACAGAATAAAATAAAAGGAAAAGAAAATGAAGCAATCCAAAATTGCAGTAGCGCAGTAATGCCTTGCGATATGTAGCTTCCCGACCAAAAGAAGACCACATATCATGACATTACTCTGTTGTCGAGAGAATAGTAGTCCAGCCGTTCGAAAGTATTGTTAGATTCAGTAGTTGCAGCTTCCCGACCAAAAGAAGAAGCACCTTAGGAAACCAACTTGTACTTCGAATTAAAAAAAGGAGTGATGTTGATGCAATTAAAAAATAAAAAAGGAAAAAAAAAAAAATAGAAAAAGAAAAAGAAAAAAAAGAAAAAAAGAAAAATAAAAAAAATAAAATAAAAAAAAAAAAAAAAAGATGGCTAATAAATACATCCATCCTTAATAACGACCACCAACAAACTCGGCCCAGGATTTGACCTCAGGAGGAATTTTGGATCCATCCTTGCTCTGTGCCAACGTTGCCTTACGCTCTGCACTTTTGTTAAGGGAATCAACAAACAGGACCCGCATTTCTCATCGTTGATAAGAGAGATTCCTGCATCTACACCAGCACGACGAATCATATACTCTTTATCCGCCACATTCTGGGCACGATTCCGTGCAAGTGAAATCACCATCTGAACGTTCTCCTTCGCCATAGTCTTATGCATCAATGGCAACGAATTAGGCGAATCAACTAACTTGCAGGAGACACCCGACGCGTCCAAGATCTCTGTGTGTGCTTAGACATGGTTACGATGTTGACACCATATTTTTGAAGTCCTTGTCCGTTTTAGCCAAATCGCCCGAGGTAGTCAAGTCATCCGAGCTCAGCAAGACACTTGAATTGGGGGCAGGCAATTTGAAATTTTGTACACTCTGAATTGCAGCAAGGTAAGCCTCCTCCTTGTCACGTCCAAAGCAGGCTACCTCACCCGTTGACGCCATCTCAACTCCCAAGAATGGATCAGCACCACCAAGACGAGTCCAAGAGAATTGTGGGACCTTGACAGTTGGTAGTTGTAATCTTTAGCCATCAAGTCTTCAGGGCAGGTACATCTGTATCACAGAGGGCATGGGTGGCAGTGGTGATGAAATTGTGACCAAGAACTTTGGAGACAAAGGGAAAGATCGAGAAGCACGAATATTACATTCAATAACCTTCAAAATGGGTTCCTGGTTGGCATTATCAGAAGTCGCAGGCTTGTGAATAATCTGCATATTGAAAGGGCCGGTGATTTGGAATGCTTTTGCAACCTGCTCTGCAATTGTCTTCAGTTTGTCCTTGGTTTCGTTCTTGAGGTCACGCGTGGGAAGAACCAATGTAGCATCCCCAGAGTGGACTCCGGCGTTCTCAACATGCTGAGAGATGGCGTGAACAAACAAGCTTTCCATTGTGGGCAACGGCATCGACGTCAATCTCTTGTGCCCCAGAAATAAACTTGGTGATGACAACAGGGTGCAGAGGTGAAACTTCTGCAGCAAAAGTGAGACAGCGGTGCAAGGCTTCGGGAGTGTGGACAACGTTCATAGCGGCGCCAGAGAGGACATAGGAAGGACGGATGAGTACAGGATAGCCGACCTGCTCCGCAAAAGTGGACGCTTGGTCTAGAGAAGTCAGCTCCTTCCACTCGGGCTGATCCACTCCAATTGAATCGAGGATTTTGCTGAACTTGTAGCGATCCTCAGCGGCGTCAATCATAACAGGAGATGTACCCAGGACATTGGCGTTATTTTCGTGAAGGCGGAGGGCAATGTTCTGAGGAAGTTGCCCTCCAACGGAGACAACAACGCCTTGTGCCGACTCCTGCTCATAGATATCCATGACACGCTCGTAAGACAGCTCCTCAAAATAAAGGCGATCACATTCATCAAAATCGGTTGAAACTGTCTCAGGGTTGTAGTTGACCATAACAGTCTTCTTTCCAAGCTCGCGAAAGAGCGCGAATGCATGAAACGCCGCACCAATCAAACTCAACCGATGATCCGATTCTGTAGACACCAGAGCCCAAGACCATGGTGCCCTTATCATTGAATTCAACATCATGTGAAGAAGCGTTGTATGTGGTGTATAAATAGTTGGTATCGGCAGGGAATTCAGCGGCGAGTGTATCGATGCGTTTCACGAAAGGTGTAATGCCCATTTGTTTACGAGCCTTGCGGATAGTGTCTTCTGTAGTCTTCTGTTGCAACAATCCTGCAATCTGAGCATCAGAGAAGCCTTTGCGCTTCGCCTCGTGCAGAAGCTCAAAGGGAAGGTTCTGAACATTGAACTTTCCAAGTTCTTTATGAACAGCTACAATGTTTGATAACTTGTGGAGGAACCACTTATCGATCTTGGTGATATTGTGGACTTGATCAACGGTGTAGCCCTTGTTTAACATAGCATCACCAACTGCGAAGAGGCGGCGATCAGTGGGGTTAGCCAAGACTTTATCGACATCTGGAAATTCTAGAGCCTGGAATCCTTTGAACTGAGGGTCAACCTGACGAATTGCTTTTTGGAAAGACTCTTCAAACGTACGTCCGATAGCCATGACCTCGCCGACAGACTTCATAGACGAGCCAATTTCGCGAGAAACGTGCTGGAATTTTGCCAAGTCCCAGCGAGGGATCTTTGTAACAATATAATCCAAAGATGGTTCAAAGCAAGCAGTTGTAGTCTTAGTGACAGAATTACGAAGGTTGGGAAGTGTATGACCCAAAGCGATCTTGGCGGCGATGAACGCCAGAGGATATCCAGTTGCCTTGGATGCCAAAGCACTAATTTATAGAGTAGTTCAGTTGGTTAAAAAAAAAAAAAAAAAAAAAAAAAACGATAGATTCCAATTCTACAAGTGATGGCCTTACCTTGAGCGACTGAGACGAGCATTGACCTCAATGACCTTGTACTCTAAGCTCTCAGGGTGTAGAGCATATTGGACGTTACATTCTCCAACCACCCCTAAATGACGGATGATCTTGATGCAGCAGTACGCAACATATGATATTCCTCATCACTCAAAGTCTGGGACGGCGCAACGACAATCGAGTCTCCAGTGTGGGTGCCAAGGGGATCAAAGTTTTCCATGTTACAAACAGTGATACAGTTGTTTGCTGCATCACGCACTACCTCGTACTCTACTCCTTCCATCCCTTCATAGACTTTTCGACCAGAATCTGGGCTGAAAGAGTCAAGGACTTTGTTCCGAGAGAGCATAAGCTCGGCAGCATTGGCAGCAAAACCGGAGCCTAGACCTCCAAGAGAGAATGCCGATCGAAGATGACAGGGTAAGCCGATCTCCTCGGCTGCAGCCAAAGCATCCTATTATATACAACTGCAACAGATTGGGGCGACAGGGATATCGATTTCTAAGTTGATTTGAAGTCGAGAGGGGGGGGGGGAGAAACAGATAAGAGGGTGTGACTATATCAGCTACAAACAGTATGTCCAAGAATTCAATATACTTTACCATTCAGAGCCTTGGCAAAGAGGTCGCGATCTTCACTGACGAGCAGAGTGCGGATGGGAGTACCGAGTACCTTGACGTTCAAGCGGTCAAAGACGCCCATCTTGTCGAGTTGGATACCACAATTGAGCGCTGTTTGTCCACCGAAGGTCAGAAGAATGCCATCAGGTCGCTCGGCTCGATGATGTACTCGATATATTCGGGAGTGACAGGTAAAAAGTAGACAGTATCTGCGAGGGCATGAGACGTCTGAATAGTGGCAATGTTAGGGTTGACAAGTACAGTTTGAATATTAGACTCTTTGAGGGCCTTAATTGCCTGGGAACCTAATCGAAAAAAAAGGTCGAAATGAAATCATGTCAGTTATTTAAGAGACGAAAGATCGTTCGCTGATCTTTTTTCTTTTTTACAAAGCCATCATGAGACTTTCATCTCTTACCTGAATAGTCAAACTCGCCAGCTTGTCCAATTGTCAGACCACCAGAGCCCACAACTAGGACCTTCTTGACCTCCACTAGAGGCACATCTGCTAGAATCGCTTCTGACACGAGCTTCTTGGTTGTAGTCTTATCAGCTACCGAACCAGAGCTTCGGTGTTCCTGATGGTTCTCACGGGTCATGGAGAACCATCGTGCTTGAGAACTAGCCATAGATTTGATACCGATCTGTTTGGAAATAGCGGTCTTGTGGACGCTTGATCGTAAGGATAAAAGTGGCATAGGGATGGAAGAGCGAAGGCTTCCATGTGCAGGGCTAGTCGCTTGATGGAACATAGCTTTCGTGGACAGAAGCGGGAGTGGAGAAGAATTAATGTTTTTTGAGGCGCGCTGAACCGAGATCAACGAATTGGAGAGGAGAGCAGAAGAGCCCTTGACGGAAACCGCCTTGGGAGCTTTGTTGTAGAGTTGCTTATACATGATTGATGATTAATAGAAATCCTTTTGGTCGCTTGGATGTAGGTTTTGCAAAGTGGAATGGTCCTTCTCGTAAAGATGATACTTGGTCGAATATCAATCAGTACTGAAAGGCAGAGGTGGAAGCCGGTGAATGGAAGGTGGGGCGGTGAAGAAGAAAAAAAAAAAGAAAAAAAAGAAGAAAAGGGTGTGGTTGAGTGCTTTATATGAATCGTACATCAAGATCAAAGACTCACCAGATAAGATTTCGAGTCTATTAAGGGCCATTGGCACATAATGATCTGGAGTGAGTAATAAATTCAAAAAAAAAAAGAGCAGATCTTTCATTTTGAAAGTTGGTTGTTGTTAATGATATTAGACTGTAAGTAGAAGACATCTTCACCTGACTTTTATGTATATCTATATTTTTATTTTTTTTTTTTTTATTTTTTTTTTTTGGCGGCAATTAGTCTTCGTCATCATTCATATCTGCAGGATGAATGACATGAAGCGTGCAAAAGTTGTCGCTCCTGCTGAACAAATCCTTTGGCATGGGGACATTTCAGCCATCCAATTGTTGTGGGATACAAGGACAGGCACAAGGTCACAGGCCCTTTCTCTACAGACTAAAAAAAGCATGCTCACGGTAATACAAAAAAAACCCCAACTCTACTCCTCACTCCTACTTTAACTCTCGTACTTCCTTCTCTTGCTTCTGTTCGCTACTCTTCTCTACTCTCTTCTTCGTCACCGCTTTACTTTTTTTTTTTTTCTTTATTTTTTATTTTTTTTTTGGATCTTTTTTTTTGGCATCCCTTCTTCCAGTCCACTTCTCATTAATCTATTCCTTGCCATGACTGATCTCAATAACACTAACGGTTCTCCTATTGATGGCGAAGACACTGAGGTTGTAGATGAGGGTAACCGTAGCATCCTCATGGACATCATCTCCCAGCTCAGCAAAGGCGGCGACCTTCATCGCGTTACTCTTCCAACCTTTGTTCTCGAACCCGTAGCATGTTGGAACGTATTACCGATTTCATGTCCCACCCTGAACTCATCATCAAGTAAGCTCGGAAACATTTTACCACACAATTAGACTTTTTTTTATTCTTAATTTTATAATGCAATTCGCATGTTGATGGCAATTTGCTGCATATTTATTTCTTTACTTTTGGCAACTATGGATGTGGGATTGCATTATTATCCCAAGATATTGATAACTATGAAGCTTTTTGACAACATGCTTTTTTTCTTTTTGTCCCAATATCTTGGCCTCCCCCGCCCCTTTTTCTCTATTTTATTTTATTTTAAGCAATTATGGTTGTACAGTTTACTTTGGATAGTGATTGCTTACTTTGTTCAATTTTTCCATTGCGACTCTAGAGCCAACCAACTTGAGGATCCTGTGGAGAGATTTGTATCCGTGACCGCTATTTCTTGTCAGGCTGGCACATTAAGCCCAAGGTAAGCTAGTGAAGTATTAGACAATCGCTTCAAGCGCGCAAAACGCAAGACATGGTGGTCTTTATAATTTTCTATTTTTTAGTTTAGTTTGTGTCTATCAAACATTCTCTAACTATTATTACTTCAATGTTTTTTTAGGGTGTGAAAAAGCCATATAACCCTATTCTAGGCGAACATTTCCGTGCAAAATGGGAATTCGCAGACGGTACAGAGGCATTTTATGTGGCAGAACAATTTCGCATCATCCTCCTATTTCGGTTTACTACTATGCCAGCCCAGAGAATAATCTCAGGATTGTTGGTGATCTTTTGCCTAAATCCAAATTTCTTGGCAACAGCGCGGCAACGTTAATGCAGGGTGAGATTAATGTCTCATTTACGAACCGTCCTGGCGAGGAATACCTCATTACTATGCCAAATGTCTATGCTAGGGGTATTTTGTTTGGTACGATGTTGATGGAGTTAGGAGACGTTGCAACTGTAAAGTGTTCGAAATTAGATCTTATTTGCTCTCTTGAGTTTAAAGTGAAGGTACGCAGCTTAGTGTTTCATGATACTAATCGCTCCGAGATAACTAGAGAGGATAGCTTGGAACTTGTCGACTTAAAGGTCATATATCAATGTTTTTAGGGGTACTTCACGGGCTCTTACAATGGCATCTCAGGAAAAATCAAACGCATCTCCACAGGGGAGGTTCTTTATGAAATTTCTGGAAAGTGGTCCAACGAAATCTATATTTCTAAGAAGGTACAAGAATAAGAATGAAGCAAAGGATAAAAGTTTTTTTTTTTTTTTTTTTTTTTGCGGGCCTTTATAGATCTTTTATCGTACTAAGTTACTTTATATGGCATAATAGGGCAACAATAAGGAGGTTTATTTTGATGTTAAGACAGCCAGAATCCATCCAAAGATCGTCGCGCCTGAAGATCAACAAGAGTGGAACGAATCGCGTCGCCTTTGGAGCAAACTGACTGCAGCTCTAAAAGTTAATAACCAATCACTGGCAACAGAGGAGAAAAGCAAGGTCGAGGACGCCCAACGACTCAAATCAAGGGAGCGCGAAGAGAAGGGAACCACGCATGTTTCCAGATATTTTGAGCCGAATGGTGACGGATTCGACCTTAGACTGAAAAAGTAAGTTCAAATTGAACTGGAGCTGTCATCCATTACACTCAGCGTCCAACGACAATACAGAGTGTTCGTATTCAACATGCCTTTTTTCTTCTGTTCTATCTATTATTATTATTAGTATATCATCTGATCCGCAGGTGGCCAAGTCGCAGATTGAGAACTTTATTTTCAATACGCCTGCGCCTCCATCTTAATGAATAATAACCTACAGCCTGCTCGGTATAGTTGATCTAATAAAGAGCAGACGTTGATACAGAGCAAAGAGAGTGAATTCGAGCTAGAGCTTTAGAACTATAGTATATATGAGTGTTGCGAAAAGATCAATATATTTTTCGAATTCATTTATTATTATACAGAGGAAGGACATTTATTATTGTAGTGGAATGCTTTGTGGAAATCGGAAGACGTTTGTAGGGTCTGTTGCGGCTTTAATCTGTTTTAGACGAGGAAGGGCCGAGCCATAGTAGGCTTCCTGCCAGTTTGGAATGGTTTTATCAATATAATTTTGGTAGCCACGAACAGGGCCATAGTTGGTAGTGTAGTCAGCCAAGAACTCACTGTACATGTCGTTCATCCACTTGAGGCAATCTTGGCAGTCGGGTTTGCCTGGTTTCGCATCCGGGTTCCCATCCCATTCGACTACGAATTCGAGACAGTATGCGAGTCACGGTGGACGAATGATGTTGCATCCACAGGAGTATCTGGGATAGCTCCTCCCAAATATCAACGATGATATAGTTGGCAGTTGAACCGATGGGTTTTCTTGCAGCCCATTTCCCAAGAAGGCCAATGGTCGAGTCTGTCAAAGGTTTGGAATAGACTAGAGATTTGCCATTCGTATAGTGCGAATCACCAGCCTTATAAGGACCTTTCAAACCCAGAGCATTGATATCTTTAGGGTCGCCGGCAACGTATGCAAAACGTAAATTAGCGTCAATTTGGCGTCCCTCTTGTACTTCTGCGGATAATGGTTTTGGTGCTGTGCTAAAGAAAGAAGAGAGAGCAGCGTCCATTTGTGCTCGCGCGCCTTGGAAGATGCCATATAACTCTAGTCCATCAGGCGAGATATTCATCTCTACACCAACATCTCGTGAAGCCGTGGCTTGAAAATTGACATAGGCGCGCAAAACGCTAGCATGGCTCGCCATGCCCCAACTGAAAGAGAAGTAGGTGACCACAGGAGGAGGTTTGATAGGCTGGATAGTGAACGAAGTAACAACACCATAGGAGCCTCCTCCTGCCCCTCGTAGTGCGTAAAATAAATCCGGATTTTGTGTTGCTGAAGCGAGTAGCAGATTTCCGTTGGCATCGACCATCTCCATCTCAACAATGCGATCAATTAACAGGCCATATTTGCGAGATAGCAGTCCAAATCCACCTCCGAGTGCATGACCACCAATTCCTACACTAGGACATGTGCCAGCATTGATCGTCCAGCCGCCTTTATTGAAGAGCTCCAGATAGAGTGGGCCCAAGCGAATTCTGAACCAACTTTGAATGTGGTGCCGGTCGCAAGTAACAGAAGACAGCCCAGAAAGATCGACCACCAAAGATCCATCCTGCGCCAATGCAATAGCCTTCAAATGAATGACCTCCAGATCGAGGCGCTACAGCAATATTAGCAGCTTTTGCGCACTTGACTGCTGTTTGAAACATCGGATGCAGAAATGCCATAACGATGATCTGGGGGTTGAAAGTGTAGCGAAGATCGAACGCATATCTGTTGTTCTCAAAGGCAGTGGTCTTGCGCTCCAGAACTTTGGAGCCTAAAGGTTTGAGACAAGTGGCTAATGATGTACTCTGTGCAGTGGGTGTAATATCCTGTCTATCAACCACATCATTACTGTTTGTGAGGTAGTATCCAAAAGAGCTTTGGCAGAGATATAGGATCAAAGCGGTTTTGACGTTGGTTCTGTGAAATCGCATTATATGTTTGAGAGAAAGAAAAAAAAAGGATGAAGTAGTAAAGATGTGGCTAAGAGATCAATGCATATAATGAAAAGATGAGAAAAGAAATGGATAAGGAAGAAGAGAAGAGGAAGAAAAAAAAAAAAAAAAAAAAAAAAGAAGAGGAAGAGGAAGAGGAGGAAGGAAGAGGTGAGGCGGGAGGAAGAGAGGAAAGAAAAAGGGAAGAAAAGGAGAGAGGAATTGCTGTTTAAAAAAAAATCTCAGGTACTAACAAATCTTGGAAATACCAGGGGTAGGGGCGTTGATGCTGTCTCGGGGATAAATTAGGTTGTGCAACATGAGCAAGGTGCTTATTGGCTGCTTTTTCAATCTTACAAGACATTTGTATAAATATGTAATGTATATACTAAGCATTGACCCACACAGTCATCTTCCCACACAGGATTATTGACAAATACTTTATTGGCAATGCTCATGAGGGTGATTAATATCTCCGTTCTCTAGGTTAGAAGCACCAAAATCACATTCCATCAGGGGCACAACTTTGGTTTTATAGTAAATTTTGTAGCCAAGGTACATGCACAAGAAGAAGGGGAGACCGATATAGCACGCTACAGATTAGAGACTTGTGGATTAGGCTTACTTAACTCGGAATATCCCTGGCCTAATACTACAACCATACACAGCAGCAACGCATATAGTGGTCCAAATGGAAACATGGCAGCCCTGTATGGTAAGTGCGAAATGTCACCACCTTGTGCGATATATGCACGTCGAAAACGGAAGTGTGAGAGTGCAATCCCCAACCACGCAATGAATCCTGCAACAGAAGAGATGTTGAGGAGCCAATAGTAAACTTCTCCCGAGCCCAGGAGCGATGCACCAAAGCATAAAGCTGAGACAACAGTCGTGCAGACGAGGGCATGCATAGGAATACCACGGGAATTGACTCGGCTAAAAAAAGCCGGGGGCCTTTCCATCACGAGCTAGCATCAGTAGCGTACGCGTAGATGCGACATACCCGAGTTGCCTGCTGACATGACTGTAATCAAAATGACAGCATTCATAATATGGGATGCAGGCTTAAGGCTTTTTGAAGTACAAGTGTGATGGAAGACAGCAACAGCAGTCTTGCGCGACATCACACTGTTGAGAAGATTAGGGTCGTCGTAGGGAATAATTAGCCCAATAATGTATAGATATGAATAACGAAACGCGTGATGCGCCAAAAACCTGCTTAATGGCCTTAGGGACATTCTTGCGTGGGTTTTCGCTTTCTCCAGCTGCAACACCAACCAACTCTGTCCCCTGGAAAGAGAAACCAGCGATCAAAAACACAGAGAGGATACCTCCAAACCCATTGACCACTGGTGCACCTGGTAGTGTCCAGTTGCGGAATCCGATTCTATCCCCTCCAACCACTCCAGCATCTACCAGGATCCCGACAATAATAAAGATGATGACAGTGAGGACCTTGATAATGCTGAACCAGTATTCGCTCGCCATATGCACGGACTGAGATAATATTAACAAAAACCATGAACGCCAAAAAGATTATGCTCCAAACCCAGGCTGGCAGCGCGTCAGATGAGACCCAGAACTGAAGAATTAATGCTGCAGCTGCGATCTCGGCAGCCACTGTCACTGCCCAACCAAAAAAGTAGTTTGATGCCCAAGGCTAAAAAAATACACATTGGTAAACAAATATAAATATGTGATATTAGTTTCACTCTTAAAGTTGGTATGTTCAAGAACGACGTTAAAAAGGATTATGTCCTCCTTGACTAACCAAATCCAAGTGCTGGGTCCACAAAACAGGTAGCATAAGTGGTGAAGGAGCCGGCGGTAGGAATCAGCGTTGCCATCTCACCGAGAGAAGTCATTAGAAAGAATACCATTGATCCGATCATGATGTAGGCAATCAAGGCTCCCAGAGGTCCAGCCTGTGCGATGGATGACCCTGAAGCCAAGAATAACCCTTTCCAACTGAGCCAGCGATCGAAATCATGGAGAATGTCGTGCTTTGAGCCCACGCTTGAGCTCGTTATCTTTTGGAGGAATTGGCTGCTGATCGGATCGGAAGCTTGGCAATTTGGCGATGGTATCAACCTTTTCATTAGATCGAGAAGACCAAGAAGAAGCCCTTGAAGGCATTCCAACCGTCTCAATACTGTTGTCTCTTGTTATGTTGCTTGGCTTTTTTTTTTTTTTTTTTTTTTTTTTAATAAATATATACAAAAAGGGAAGAGTACGAAGTAAATTTTATATTGAAGAATTCAATTTCTGATAATCTGTATAGGGTTTTTTTTCTAGTGTTTTTATGGGTATATCAAGGAATAATGAATAATTGATGAGGATGAACGGAGAAAAGAAGGGAAGAAAGGAGTAAAAAGCAAACCCTGTCCGCTTACTGAATTGGTATTTTGAAATTATGTGGTCACAAACCTTGTTTCTTTTATTGAATCACAAAGAAAAGTAATATAAAAAATTGACAAAATATATAGAATGTGATCTCCAGCGTGATTTAGCCTGAATACCGTTTTTGTGTAGATGTGTAAATTTGGAAAGGCCATCGCATATGACTTGCACTAATGGAGAGGGATAAGCAAACATTTTTCTTAACTTGTTTTATCACTTCTCCCTTCACCCACCCCTTCATTCCCCACCACTCAGCATTAAATAACATGGAAGCGCTATTCACATCTAATGCAACCAATGCACAGAATAGTTAGGAAGTCCTCTTCAAGGTAGCCTATCGCTCTCTATCGCTGGCGGACTAAGGCTGGTTTGGTGAGCACATTCGTTATTCAGCATTATATTATATACAAACAATAGTCGTCGCTTGCTGTTGATCCTTTAAAGAAAGAAAACCAAATAATAACTCTTGAACTCTTGAAATTATAATTAGAATCACCACAGAATGTTGGTCAGTATTTAGGACAACAGTTAGATTCACACATACACATGCCCCAACTCCAAAATCAAATTCAATTTCAGGTACAATTCCAAGATCAATTCCAATTTCAGGAACAAGGACTTCAAAGCCAAAAGCGGCATATAACGCTACAAGAAAACCCGGCAACTCCTAAACGACGCAAAGGTCAACCTATAGCAGCTGCGAGCAGAGCTGATGTTGTTGCATCCATGGCGAACAAGACAGCATATGCCACCCATAACAAAATAGCTTGTACGTTGGTCCTACAGGAGGCAGCTAAGGATCGTGAAAAATCCCTAGCACGTCGAACAGTGTATCATTATCAACAATACCAACGGCATTGGGTGGTGCGTGAGCTTATTTGAATAGTAGTTGAGCAATGCAAAAAATAATGTTTATTGGTAGCAATTAATTGATCCAATATATATAGGATTGGTGCGAGCGTAAGCATTTCATGGATGGAGACATGGTCACATACGAGAAATTCTTACTCTATGTGCGTGAACTTGTGGCAGAAGAATCAGTACAGGCGGAGGACGACTTCTATAGCATCAAGCCATTGCGTGTCAACGTCACAATAGATTATGAAGGTGATCTCCCTTCTCCAGAGACAGTTGATGCATATGTCAAGTCGGTCATATCGCTCTATCAGTCTCAGCGAGCATTAGTTCCCAACCCTAGCAACCAGCCATGGGCAAGTCTACGTACAGCCGAGTTCAGAGGGATCATTTCATCATACAGAAAAAGGTAGGAGTAGACAGCAGCATAATGTAGTATTATTTAACTTTGAGGCCTGAAAATTGAAGGAGTGGATGTTGTTTTAAAACATATAATATTGCATATTGCTAATTGCCCTAATTGCTGTTCTGCAGGTATCAACAAAGCAATAAATTCAAGAACCAATATCGAATGTCGGTCGACAATGCATACACACCAGCTCAACTCAAGCAGTTCTTGAAACTTTGTTGGACTCGATCTTACAAACCTCTGAATGGTGGAGCTAAGACTCACAAGCTGCTTGGGGCTCGCGACCGAGTTAGCTTTGCCTTGAATCATTTTTTGATTGCTCGTGGCCAAAATTTACTTGATGCGAAATTGAGTAGCCTGTTCCCACATATCCATGCAACGGCTGAGAATGGGCGCCAGCTTTCTTTTGCCCTTGTTCTTGAGATTACACATGGCAAGACAAATCAGGACTTCACTATCTATTCGTCTTGTATTCGCAATAAAGATGTTGAGCTGTGTCCTTTAGGTGCCTTAGGATTTTATCTATTAGAGCTATGGATGGTTAGTTCCTGATACTTTTTCTGTTTAATGTTTCGGGGCTGTACCGACATTCGATTGCTCACATCTATTATTATTCGTAACTTTTGACTGTAGGACAAAAAAAACGTTCCTGACTTTCATGACGACAAATGGATGGAAACTTTCCTCATTTTCGGCGCTTCTGATAGAACCCGTATGTCCTCAACCTCACTCTACAAGTAAGTACAGGGTATACATGGCTTTGTATGGTAGTGCAATAGTAATTGATGGATTGACGCTTCCTCGCGACTTCTTGCTCTTAGGGCTATGAAAGGGGTTATGAATAAGGCAGGCCATCATAGTGATAAAGTTACTCATGCGGGCCGCAAAGCTGGAGCACAACACGCGATGCTCAATGGATCATCGCATGACCAGATATCTCAGCAAGGCAATTGGCTTCATTCTCGCTTGGCGATCCATTACCTACATCCAGTTCCAAGAGCTGTTCCGTATTCGATGGCAGGCTTCACGCGAACTGATGAGGAATTCTGGCTTCCTCGCAACACACTTATTCCTGATCCCAAACTTCAGAGAATGATTTTTCCTTTCATTGAGAACCTGTTTGAAGGAAACAAAGACTGGGAGCAGCGCATTGAGAATATCATGATGGACCGCCCCGAGGACTACAATCGACCCCTTTTGGAACAAACAAGCCATTGCAAGGAGGAAATACCAAAAATACGCTTTAATATTATTCTTGCTCATTTTCGGAAGATTATTCTTCAGGATATGGCTGTACTTATGGAAATTACCGACAATGCTAATTGCTATTACCAGATTTACCGGATGCACCATATCTGCCAGATGCCAGTCTTTCAATCGCCAGAGTTCGGAGAGTTTAGTGCAAAGTTGCGCCAAACAATGAGTGAGGCAAGATCTCCCTCGATGGATAGCCTTGCAGCAAACGCTCCCGCAATAGCACAGAAACTTGATGTTTTAGGAGCACAGCTTTCAGCTCTTGATGACTTCATACGATCACGAGAACGCGTTGATACATCTAACTGTAACTTGACTTCTTCATTCAGGACGCATATGTCAAGTGTCAATCGTCAGCTAGTGGCACTCTCTCAAGGGATGAGGGGGCCTTCAATGGTGCAGGAAGAACTATAGGCCACACTGTATCTGAGATCAAATCAATCCAAAGAGAGCAAATACGAGAGTTCGATCTCCAGATACAGCAGGGATGTGGAGCAGGACAGAGGAGCCCATTCACCCCGGAGCAAGGGCACACAGACGGGCACCTGGTTAGCCATGAGCCGGCTCATGAGCAAGCGAGCGTTACCAACACCTCTTCACCTTTACAAGGCGAGGATTCATTCTTCAATGAAGTAGACGGAGCGAGAGAAAGAGAAGAAGAAGTAGTTGTAGAACAAAGACAAGCTCACTCTCAATCTCAACCTCAATCTCAGTCTGGTATGCAAGGTAGAGTTGATTTGGACCAGTTGGCAGAACAGATCGCCATGCTCTACGTTCAGATTGGAACAACCCTGTCCTCGCACGAAATGCTTCCGCAAGCAGCGCTTCTCAAGGATCAATGGAAGGAATGGTTCCATGGTGTCGATGGACGGCCCTCGATCTGGGCTTTGAATAAGAGCTCTGACCAAAAAAGAGCAAAATGGCGTTCAGGATTCGATGCACAGAAAAGGAAGTTGTATCAATTCAAGAAGGAACTAATTGAGGCTGTGCTAGAAGAGATATCAAAATCAACATGCATGACGTTAGTGGAAAAGGAAGCTGATGCCCTGACGTCAGTTTCCAAGGCTATCATCAACGCTGGCTCCAACAATTCCTACATTAAGATGCGTCGAGCACAAAGAAAAAAAGCTTTTAAGTAATGTGTTTATACATATATTTCTTTAAAATAAAAATAAACCACACCGTTGAAGGCGTTTCGTTAGACACTTCTAAAGTGTCACTCCATTTTACTTGAAAGCTTCCAACTGATGATATTGGAATATTATTTATTACAAAACTGCTGTATGCTATTTTAAGCGGATATCATTGTGTTGTTGTTATTGGTGTTGTTATCGTTGCTGTTGATGACTGATCAAATTTTGATTTTTTGGTTGCTGGGGAGTCAGATTCGATGTTGAAACTACCTCTCGTGCTCATTTCATTCTTCATTAATTCGAAAAGAGTAAGGACATAGCCAAATATAAGCTTGCATCTGTCTCTCACGTCTTCCATTTCTCCTATCACTTCTAAAGATTTAGTCAGTTCCAACCTTCGGTATTTTAGCGTGCCATTTTCCAATGTAGATTCAACAAATGCCCATTGAAATGAGTTGGTTACGATTCCATAAGCCCTAAGGGCTCTAGGGCAATCTCCATCCTCTCAGTTCGTTTTCGTTTCCTATTGTGCAAGGCTACATCGAGCTGTACCATATTTTGTGCAAGGCCTTGCACATGATCGTCCTTCTTCACTTCCGTAATGCCAAGAAATTGTCCCGAATTGATACAGTCAACAACAGCAAAGTCCAAAGTCCCATAGCCGCGCGTGCCTTTCAAAGACTGTTGTTGCGAAAGGATCATGTCGGGCGCATAGAGCGATACTGCTCCAACCATGAATGCATCGACAATTGTTGATCTTGTAGCCTCATTTGATTGTGCATTAAATGCATAGGCTCTACCTTTGCGAATGCAATCGTCCACAATATGTCCCAATATTGTCTCTTCAGCTTCTGTCAAGTCCTCCTTGGGCTTGAGATCAAATTTTGGTAGATCAATGAACGATTGTAATTTATACGTGTCTTGAACTTTTTTCCAGTCCCATGACGAAAAACTAATGGCTGGGGTAGCCAAAGATATAATGAGCCTTTTCCACTTTTTTTGCTGAAGTTTTTCCAAGATAGAACGAAATTGAATGTCGTCTCTCAACAACGGAAATGTCTTCGTTTCCTCATCGTACACAAATATTTGGACTTCCTCGAACTCCTCAAACTCCAAGCAATAATCTCGAAGGCTTTCTCGCAGGCTTCCTATAGTAGCTGATTTAATATTGGTGGAATATGTGCAAATAACCTTATTCCGATCTCTTTTGTTCACGACGCTCAGTGCTAGAATAACAACAAAGTCAGCTCTCTTTCACTATGGTTCCTTTCGACATCTTTCCATTCCACATTCTCACTTATTGTTGATTATCACTTACTAGTATATGTGTCCGCCTGTAGTTGTTGCTCCAATTCGGCGTTTTTCTTTTGTACCATTTCTAAATCTGCTTCCATATGCAGTTTTTGTTGCCTCAGGTCGGTCATTTCCTTGTGTAAATTTATGATTATCGTTTCTAAATTTGCGATTGTCGTTTCTAAAGTTACGATCATCGTTCCTAAATTTGCGTTCGTATGCAGTCGTTGCTTCAAGTCGGCGATTTCCTTTTGTAGATCTGCGTTCGTCGTCTGTAGACTTGCGATTATAGGTTCATTCCCTTCACTTTTAACTTAGGAGAAAGGAATACAAATAGAAAGTGCGTATGACTTGTTTAATCATAGTTAACTGTGGACAAAAAAAAAAGGCATACCAGTAGAGTGGAATAGTACCTGGTCGTTCAATAATGACATGGATGGTTTTTTTTGGTGGTACAGCGCCAAAAACCTCAGAGACCTCGCTAGTCGGATCTTCGAGCTTCTCTGGGTTTTTCTGCGCCTTCTGCTCGTCTGTAAGATTGCTTAATGTAATTGGTTTCTTGGAGATAGAAGAAATGGCGACATGCCAGAGAGTGAGCTTGCTTGCATTAATATCATGAAACTCTAGCTGCTTTTTCTTGATGGCATCCTTGAGATGGTCTATCGTTTTTGAAGAGGAGATATCCACTGAGAATATGGAGGAATCTCCATCGATAACGCAAAAGAGGGTTACTTCGGTGGCCATGGTAGTGTTATGATTGTTTGTTTCAATAGTTTCAATGGAGCGAGTATTTTAAAGGATGGCGATAGCGCAAAGCCACAATGCGCCTTGCAAATAGGAAGAGAATGTTATCCATTTTTGATTCTTATTTTAAAATATAATAAATGAATAGCTATATTTGTGATTCATATTGACGCAAGGAACTCACCATAAGAGAATGATACGGATAGATAGATGGAAATCAAAAAGGGAGGACTGAAATATCATGTGACGACATATATAGGATCACAGGAAAAATTTTGTGACCCTGTGCACGCTACTGAGACTCTTTTGTCATGAGCAGATCCAATAAAGAAATGATTGGCATCGTCCATGTTTCAGTCGCCGACAGGTTTTAAGTCAGTCGTCCTAATCATATTCGTTACGAGATGTGATTAAGGAAGCAAAGTATACGAATATCTGAATGAATATAGCTCTACCCATCACTCTGGTTGGATTCTTTAAGTACTTTGCAATTTGGGAGATCAAAGAGCAAAGTGCACAGTCCTCTTGAGTTCTGTGGGTAGCACAACAATCAAACAAGGCAAGTTTTCCACGATTGTTTACATACTTTTCTCCAACACCCTGAATGTCTGGATGCCGTTGGGACTGACGTTATCAAGGATGTGAGACTGCTGATGGATTAGAGATTTTATCTCTGTTCTGAAGTGTATAAATATAATATATAATATATATATATATATATACTAAATATCTACTGAGTCTGACTTTTATTGATCGTGGGGTCTGTTGACGAAAGAGGATTGGAACAAATAAGGTTTTTCTCTTTAGCTTATTTCACCTCACCTTCATCTTCTACTTCTTCTTCCTCAACGATACCTGCACCAGTGCCCCACCCGAAAACATCTTTTGATGCAGCCACATCTATTCTTCTATATGGAGCAATTGGTAGAGCTACCTGTTTCATAGTGCGTAATACATGACGCAAGTGCTGTGCACTAAGGAGGTGGCCTAGCCATGCCTTCCACCTATTCCAACGTGACCCGCAAACAGAACAATACCAATGAGCTTGAGTTGCATTGATGGAAGTTTCGTTGAGAAGAGTTGATGGCATTGCACGTTGTCCTGCATTTTTCGTACAGCTACTTTGTGTCTGGGAAGCGGCTGCTATACTTATATCTGTTTGGTTTAACAGACGGGGGGCCGAGATGTGTGTTATAGATGTTTGTTTCGAAGGACGATCATTCTTATTCTTGTCTTGCGTTTTTTCATTGGATATCCAGTTCATCTTTAGTCCTGCATCACCTGAGTCAGCTAACCTCTGTTTCCGAGACCTTGCCTTCTTTATGGCTCTTTCAAGTTGTCTTCTTCGTTGTTTTGCTCCTTGCCGGCGTGATACTTCCACCTCTTCAATGGGGTTGTTTTTTTCGGGCTTTAATAGTGCAGAGGTCGGTTTTGAGAACTTGTTGGAAGGATCAACTGTGGATACTGAGGTTTGATCTTTATGTAACTGCTTTACTCTTGCAAGGTGCTTTTTAGACGATAAATGAGTTGTGAGCATGGCGATTGAGGTAAAACGTGCATTTGGGCAAGTGGGACATTTTGGTGGGTTTTCCTATTCAAAGGTAAACAGCGATAATTTAAAAAGAAAAGAACGTCTGTTGTCATATAAATAACAAGGAGTTTTAAACCAAAGCAAACACAGCCAAGATAAGCAACCAGCGTCGGATTAAAAAATATATACCATTAGTCTTTTTTGCTGCTGCTTGCGAGAATTGTATGAAATCCTTTGCAGCTCCTCATCAGGTAATAATTGCCAAGCATAGAGGTGTTTTTGTGCAGCATTGTCGGTACCAGAGGATTTGGTATCAACACCAGCCTTATGTATTGGCATTTGTGTTTGTAGTGACTTTATAGTAATATCCACGTGGTCCATCAAATTGAAACTCTTGAAGTTGGTACAGGTCCTCTAAGGATTGCATATTCGTCAAGTTCATGAAGCACAGAGCATTCTCGAATGAATAGAAGATGTACTAACTAGCCAAGATAGTTGATTACACCCAAGCCACAACAGGTTTCCTGGACTTGAAAATTGCAGTCGTTCATGTCGCGTCTTTTATTATGACCCATATCATTACGATCACATCCATTTTTCCGATCACTGCCATCCTCGCCCACTAAAAAATACACTTTTCTGCAATCTCCATCACTCTCGCAACAATCAAATAAATAAATAAATAAATAAAAAAGAGTGCCATTTCTTTACGACGTAAGCGACAAGAGACAGCGAGCTTTTGTGCGTGCATTAAACAAAAGCCACTTAGGCTGGTGACGAGCTCACTTTTCCCCCCATTTCACTTTCATTGACTTCTCCTTCCACCGGGCACTAACAACCTGGCCGCGACCTTGCTCATGATGCTCAACGCATCCTATATCCAAATCCTTGTGGTTCTCGGTTTGCCATATGCGGTTAAGGCCGTGCGGTCGTTCTTTGCAAAAGCACCCCCGCCATCGCCACTCCAACGCTTAAACAACAAGCATAAGGAAGACATATCTCCAAAGACTCGTTCATGGAATCGGTTTATATTAGCCTTGTTGAGTCTGACAACTCTTTACCATCTCTATAATGTCGCCTTATACAATCCTCCTAATATCTTTCGGGCACTCTCTTTACCTCCTGACTGCCCTAATTTCATTCTGCATCAGTCGTGGAAGGAATACGCGGATCACCATCCAGGTTTTATGGACAAGTATCCGGATTCGATGCGAGAGCGATTCAAAGCTATGGAGTATCGACTTTGGTATGAGGTATATGGGCAAGATGCCTTTTTGAACTGTGATCACTGCACAGAGCAGTCGGATTTCATGCTATATCTCATCCCTGGAGCATTGGCTTCTTATATGAGTATGGGTATTATCTTGGGCTTGGCAACCACTCAAACCTCACATCTAAACAAATACAGAAGTTGGGGAGCTGCCGCCTTGGTTCTATTTGCGGTGCTTGAATACGGAATTTACCAGAGAAGCGCTGGTTTCGGGACGCTAAATGGCCTCATGAATGACGATGCCTGGTTGGTAGGATACACGGGTGCACATCGTCTTCGACATGGTGCTCTCGCTTTGATGTCGGCGGTAATCATTGCACTTTTGCAGCGATCTGGCCGTAGTGGTGGATCGAGGGATGAGATAGAAATCCTCAACGATCTTTGTCATGCGCAAGAAGCCATGATTCAGAGACATCGGGCACTTCAATTGGCCAGAGTCGCATCGCTGAGGCATGAAACGTTGAGGAAGCAGTTTGTCGAGTATTGGAAACGACGGGAGATTGAGCACAGTCTTTTGTTAGGCGATAGCGAATATAGGGAGGCTCGTGATTTAGCCCTTAGCAGGATAGACATTGATGCCATTACACAACAGGCTGACCAGTACATCGATGCCATCATCAGCGCAGGAGAACGCGTACCCGAGATGTCTGATGAATTAGATACCAGCTCGTCGGTGACTGAGGATTTAAAAAAAAGCAGTTAGAGATTATGACATGGACTCTATGATCTGAATAATCTACTAGATAGTAATGGTCTTTCTTTATTACTGAATGAACCGTCTTTTTTATTGCTTTCACTCCTATTCGCCATCGCATTAAAATGAGTAAGAAACAACTACAAGGTTACAGCTAGAAAAAGACGATTGATGCAAAGTTGGTGATGGTACAAAGAGAAATATAGGAATATACATGAACAGAGAAAAACATGGGCGGGAAAATTCAAATGCTGAACTTCTAGTAAGATAGACTGGCACTGATTGCTGTCAACTTCAAACCCTGTGGAATGATTTTTTTTTTTTTTTTTTTGTTTGTTCATTCTTCATTCTTTTCTTGCATGATTAACACGTGGCCAAGAATGAATAGGGAAAGAGGACAATGTGTTTGTATAGCCTGTTACTTTCTTCTAGTCAGTCTCATTGCTCTCTGATTCTGCACCGAACGTATTCTCGCCAGAATATGTAATATAGAGGAATCCATCCTTATCCTGATGCTCTTCGTAGATTGATGACATCAATGCCGCAGTTGGAGGCAAGACTTCGTTGACGAAAATGAAGATGGCCTTTTCGGGCGATAGCTTGATACGTTTGCGAATTACGTAAACAAATTGGCCTACTGTCAAATCAGCGGGTACTAAATACTTTTTCTTGTCGATAGTGGCGATATCAGACTTGTCGACTTTCTCACAAATGACCTGGAGATGATTTAAGCAGATTGGAAGCACAAAAAATATTTAGAATAATAATTCCATAAAATGCATAAAATGAATGACAAATAATAAAGCTGAATCTTTGACTAACTTACTGGGATACGATCGGGATACTTTTGACGGATACGTTCAGCCTCTGCCTTGCGTTTTTCTATAATGACAATAATGATAATAGTAATAGTAATAATAATATGCATACGTCATAAGTTTTTGTAATATATTTGTTTGGTAATAAAGTTTGAAAGTAAATGCTTTGCATATTTCAATTCCTTTGATGCGCGGCTTTTGAAACCAACATCTATCAAGGTCTACTTGAGGATGGTTCAGCAACCCAAAAGACAAAGCACTACCTACCAAAGGCATGTTCTTGCTGGAATGCGGAGCGAACCATATTGAAATTGGAGGATGGATTGATTTGAAGAGTATAGGTGCTTACGTGTGCGAGAGAGAGAAAAAGAGAGAAAGAGAGAAAGAAAGAGGAAGCGTAGGACAGAGAATGTGTACTAGAATGAAGATAATTGAGGTTGAAAAGAAATGAATAACACGCGTGTGAATGAATAGATGGATGAACAAATGAAAGACAGTAAGCTGAATATTTGTATGGGGTAAGTCTGATAATGATTGGAAAGCAAAAAGAGGGAAGTGAAATTGTTTGGAGTTGTCATGCGGGTCTTTATAAATAATCACTTTGGGCTGCATCCCTTACTCCAAAGTCGAACTCGTGAGTCCGCGTGACTGTTCTCGGCAAATTTTCGACTTTTATTCATTCTTATATTTATTGAATTGATAACAAAAATAATTTCCATTTGTGAGCATGGTGCTACTTCGTGATGGCTCTTGCGTCTATTCAAATTTGCTAGACTTACTTACTTGTGCCCCGTGTTCTACTTGTCGTATATCGGTTGCCTATTGCCTCAGACTTGAAATCAGTCCCTACGATGCAACACGACAGAAAAAAAAGGTATTTGGAATGACAAGATGTCAGATTTATTTCATTGAAGCAGGTATTCAACTATACTGTATACTGCAGGAATAGTTTGTCTGTTAGGTTAAAAGTCAAAGTCCCATGGGGCTTTAATATAACTCAGTGCGGCGTTAGTGGGTCGCCTCATCAGCAAAATACAAACTACAATAACATGAATTGTTTTAAAACCTACTCGACTTATCAAAGTCGATATGGGTTATCGCAGCCCTATTCACAAGGTTGTGTCGCCTTCATTTCTTCGATCCTCCTTTTTCCTTTCAAGCTATGATTCCCTTGCTTCGCTGCAGGAAACTTCTTGACACTAAAAGGACCCCACGCTACGTGAAGGGATTGGAACTGAAAGAGACTTTCTCGTTGACTGTGGAAGGTGTGCTGGATCATTTTGTCGCTCAACTCTAACAACCACGACAAAGCGATAGTGTCCGGTATGTTTTTATCTACAGTGCTGATATCAAGTGGGACTGCAGCTGCGGCTACTTTTTCATTCATACTCGCTTACTTCGATGCTTCTCCGCCCCCGATAAACCTTTCTATTCCTCTAACTGCCGCAGTATTTGGGGAATTTTTCAATGTCTGCTCCGTACACCTCTGGATACACGACCTTTTTTAGGTTAAGGATATTGTTTAAACATCGGTGTAGATGCTGTGGCCTTCGTTATCCACTTCTGACTAATACCAGAGTTGGATGGCTCTTGCAAGTCGTTGGTTCTGTGCCTTGAGAGACGATGCTATTTGCCTGAGCCCTATCTTGTCTCGTCTCGATATTCTCTGATTTGTTGAAAAAATTAACTAGCCTATCTCGTGATAAAATGGCTTTTATTTCCCCCAAACGATAATAATTCATGGAAGCTGATAAGCCCTCTCTAATTGTATTCGCCGCTATTGAAGAACTTTGAAGACTTTTGTCATTATAAGTTATGATGTTGATAACTAATGGATATAGAGCGGGATGAGTCGATAAATGGAGCCAATATCTTGGAATAAACCAAACGAGCTCCAAGCCCAGTAGGCTTTACCATCCTCATTAGAGCCACCAAGGCTGACGCCCTCCATTTAAATGTATATACAGCCGATTCTCCCCTCATAGTTCAGAACAAATAACTTTCTTACATGGGCCTAGCATGTACTTTATATAAGAAATTCGGTCCCATCGCGTTTCTTATCGAGAGAATCGACTTTAATTCTGATACCAAAACTAGCTTTTTTTGCTACTTGGACATATAAGCTGCAGCGTAAGGATGGAGCAATAGCATATTGAGGCATCAAACCTGCACAGTAGACATGGGCTACAATCAGGTTGATAAAATCATGCGTTATTGCTTACCATCATTGATTCAAATAGAATTCATGTGCTTCTGCTATTTCAATCCTTGATCCTCTACCACATGTGCCTACGCTCTACCCTGCATACTCTTTTATAGGAGAGAGATTGTACAGTTTGATGAATAAGGCTCCGGCGTTTGCGAATCTTAGACACATATTATGGTGATTAGAAAGAGCGAAATCTCTTTTGGAAAGACCAACACCACTGTGTAAAAAAATCAGTAGTGAGCGATCGACCAACAAACAAGAGGTGTTGCAAACATTCTTTCCTAGGAATGCTATTACAGGAAGACAACGCCATGGCTATTTGAGTAAATTGGAGAGAGAGGGGCGGAAGAGGAGAGGTTTTAATCAAGCATGTAAATTATACTTTTCTGAACATTTATATTTATTTTAATTCTTTTTTTTGCTTTCCAGCCTTGACGGGTTGAGTACTAGAACCCAGTCGCTTATTCCCGACATTTTTACGAGTGCCGCTTTGTTCCTTTCGCATCATGGTATTATCGATCCTAACTAATCCTCCAGCCGAGCCCGATGCCAGCCATGTTGCTGAATGTAAGCACCGTGACCATTGTACCTGAACCGTATATAAATATAAAAAAAATTAGAGTAGATTTTCTAGATGAAACCTTAAGACGCCATCAAAATCAAAAACGAAACAGTGTGAAGAGACTAAATACCCTCTGAATAGCAATGTTGGCTCCATAGAAGCCTAACAGTCCATCTGACTTGCTGATAAACTCCTTTCTTCATCTTCTTTGAAAAAAAGCTTCGCTCTCGTTCTACTTGCGGACTCTCTTGTATTTGATGGGCTTCATCGTCTATGCTATCACAGTTGTTTTGGATAGCTGTATTGGATTCATCACCGACGTCAGCTTCTTGAAGCTGATATACGCAATTCTGGACCATTCCCTGTTTTAAAAAAGGATTTTGATTAGCCGAAATAAGGAAGCAAGTTATTCATTAGCTAATGAGATGGGTAAGGTTCATTACAAATCCACGGCGCGCCTTGAAAGCAGGATTTGAGATCTTGACGCGGCCATCAGAGACCGCTACCGCTAAATAGGGTTGGTAGTCGGAATAAGAAAAATCCCAAATTGTGCCCTTGACATTAAATAATCGAAGTCCTCGAGACTCAACATAGAGTTGATCCATTTTGGCTCCAAAATCAATGTCGACATAAACTGTGCCCTCAGCCCAGGGCACACATATAGATGACATGGGAGCCCCAAGGATAGTCTTGATATCAATCCGTGCATATGGGTCGCGAAGGTCGGTGTAGCGTACATGGCCATCATAGCCAGATGTTACAATGATCCAAGGTACAACTGCAGGATCACTAGACCTGAGCCAGTCAACACAACGTACACAGACATCATGCACTTGAAGTAGGTATATTGGATCAAGATACTCTGTAGCGAAGGGTTTTAAAATAATTTTTGAGTCTACTTATTCCAAACTGATTTAAAAAAAAAAAAAAAAAAAAAAAAAAAACCAGCAAAGGTCTATATACTTCTTTCTTACCAGAATCTTTGCTAGCAAGATCTTCGATTGATTGAACAAGCATAGATTTCATATCCCAGATTGCGACAGTTCCGTTAGTTGCACTTGCAGCTAGTCGTTCCGATGCCCCCAGCTGATAGACATGAAGTTGACATCGCCTAATCGTATCGTCACGTAAGGCTTGAAGTACTCAACTAGATTTTATGTAAGATGGGATCAAGTTAGAGTGAATGCTGGTCTAGTGTTAGATGCGTAAATTAGTCCAAAAAGGAACATACTATATAAAGTCTCCGGCAGCGAGCCATTTGCCGTTGCGACCTTAAGGTGATGGCGTAGGCTTTCGGGTCTGGTACGCTAAAGATCCGAATAGAACCGTCGCTGAATGTAGCGGCTAAAATACCTAATCTTGTCAAATGCCCTGATGCGGATTCCTATACAACATATTTTAGAAGATATTAGATGAATGAATTGCAAAGTTATTATAGTCTTGAAGAGAGCAAGATGCTCTCTTTAGGTCATGTTCATACCGCCTGCATGAAACCTCCTGAAGGACACCATTTTAAATCAAGGACAGCACCATACGAGTGTAAAATGCACAGAGCCAGATACGGAGAGGCTCTCCTTGAAGTGCACCATCATCATCGGTATTGCAGTTCATACTCCAGAGCTGAATCAAGTTCGGATGTGCGTCCTGTTTCCCCAAAGGATACAACTGATCGCGCGCTATACAGTTTTCAGCAGTATCTGGAAAGCCACCAATGGCTACATAGCTTTTGTTTTCGTTTGCTTCTTCGCCGCCATAACTAGGAACGGACACCAGTCGAGAGCCCAAAGAGAAACCAGTATTTAGAAGATAGTAATCTTTGTTTCCAGTACCTAATCAAAGAGATACAACATAATCTTAAGATTATCATTGTTTCCAGCGCATGAGTTTCGGATTTGTAGCTAATTATAACCAACAGACTTGAGCTGCCTTCACATAGTGAGCCGCCATAGTGTTCATATCGAATTGCGTTTCACGCGCGGTTACTTTTGTTGTGGCTAGGAGAGGTAGGTACTCGTCCAGATCAGTTGGCTCTCTATTAATGACATAGAATAGTTTGTCAACTTGGGGATCAAAAGCATTATGTACAGCCACGATAGCGAAAATTTAGTTGTAATGCTAACCTAAGCACACGGAAGTCCTTTATACTTGGACCAATGTTAGGATATACGGTCTGTTTCAAAAACTCCTCCTTCATGCAAACTTGAGCCACATCTTCACAGGTTGGTGCCTCAAATGAAGAATCTCCAATGTTGTGGGCAATGGTTCAAATTAAGCAACTGTCCTCTCTTGGGTTTTGGCACATTCTTGCTGCTCTCTCGAGGTTTACGCTGTGTAGTCGTTATCGGTGCGAATCGGTGTTGAGGTTTAGCAGGAGTAATGCTCAAAGCACGTCCACTACCATCGTTGCTACGCACAGCACTCAACGTAGGCGAAGACTCATTTTGTTCCGTTAGAAGCTCGTTCATTTGATCTAATGAGACTGTGAAGCTCTGCATGGCCTTGCGCCGTCGCGGCTTTCTAGTTGAATTTGAAGTCATATCTTCGTCTTCTGCCTCAGAAACCCTCGCGCCAGTATCATCATTATATCCATCACTCTCTTTATCATCATCATCACCCTTGTAGTCAGATCCATTGTCAGAGCTATCGCTGTGCTTTGCTTTGCGGCGTCTACTTTTCCGTACCTCTTCCACTGGCCCCTCATCCACCACTTAAAATAAGACGTAATCTCTTCTTAGCGGAACGAGCTGGACGCGAGACATATTGCACTAGAAATGTACCGATTTTATGTGAGAAGTTCAATATTTAGCCTTTACTACCGGTCCTTACAGCGCCATGCACGGTCTCATGTATCCAGTTCCTGATCGTCTGTTTGTGAAATGGAGGATGTGCACACAACACATGAACTATCGTGACGGTTGTTTGGGCCTTTCTTTCTATTTCTTTTTTTTTTTTTTTTTTTTTTTTCTTATTTGGTCATTCCTTCTGTCCTAGTCGAACTGACCTAGAAACCATGGGAAAGCTGTGAAAAGATCGCAAGCGACGACGTTTGCTCGCCGAGGTAACAGGTGTAGGAGCTCGTCAATTCGGAAAGAATCAAGAGAATCTCATCGGCAATGATGAGAATACTTCACAAAACCTCACAAAGTCTTTTGGAGGTGTTGTCTCTGAAGAGGACATGGTTACCACCCTCCGTACTTTGCTGACATTGGAGCAGCATACTGATGTGTTCCGATCAAAAGTCATGCAAATCCCTTCGAGCAGTTATTCACCAGCTCCAACAGACAGCCACTGCAGCGTCTGGCATGGGTAAGAATCACTTCCTACTAATAAGGCTATTTTAACTTGGAAAGCTGTAGCATGAGGCTCATGACCATTCTTAACATCATATTAGGACAAACCCAGTCGGCCGTATCTCTGATGCTTTGGTGGACGGCCGATGGAATGATGCTATGTCGGCGCTGGAGGAGATGAGGTCCCGAGGCCAGGTGCCCAAGTTAGGGGCTCTGCAACGGTGGGTGCGCGACTGTGATGCAGCATCTGCAAAGAGTGGTGCATTCGGAGACCCTGTTGTGTTGAGACTCCTAGACTCAATACTTAGAACAGTGGATCCTTCTATGATCCCCAAAAAAGTCAGTGTAGATGGTCAAGAGGAGTCCCCTGTGAGAATGCATCCAATGTGGCACGCATTCCCAAGAGTGGATGACAATGTCCAGAAATATGAAGCTGCCTTGGCAAAGACCTTGTTTTGTAAGCATTGTTTCAGTGTGGCGCTTATAAGTGCTTAGTATAACCTGGTGGTTTTCATTGAACTAATTGGCCTCACCCACATCTCTCAGCGGAGGAAGAGGCAGAACACTACAGGGCCTCGTTTAGAATTGTTTCCCATCAAAAAGGACCACTCCGCCGGACTCCGAACCTACATGATTTCACACTTTATCTTTCTAAGCCCGATACCGTCCGTTTGTGCTACCGAGACAATCCTGCAGTACAACCTCCTGTCGAACGCATCGACATGCCGCATGTGCCGGGTGCATTCTTACTAAAAGATGTACTCACTCGTAAAGAATGCCACCAGATGATCTCAGCTGCAGAATCCGTAGGATTTACTCCCGATGTCCCCATTGTCGGAAGTGCAGCAGAATCTATCTCAGTGCTAGCGCACAACTTTTTCTGGATGGCTGATGACCAGTTGTTAGAGCATATTTATGCGCTGCAAGGCTCATTTTCCAGAGACCAGTGGTGATGGACGAGGAGCTGTTGGCATCAATTCGAGATGGAGGGTTTATCGGTACGTTCCTGGAGCTATCTATCGCATTCATGTAGATGGGCAATGGCCAGGTAGTGGCCTAGATCCAGTGACAGGAAAGTACTTGTATGATGCATATGGGAGTAAGAGGTTGTCTCGGCTTACGTTCTTGGTTTATTTGAATGATGAGTTTGAGGGTGGCGGAACTACTTTTTTTACTCCTTCCGCTGATGTTGGCTTCATGGATGCAAGGGCAGTCTCACCGAGAGCAGGTAGCGTACTCTGTTTTCCCACACGGTGAAGCAGCAGGTAGCCTGCTCCATGAAGGATCTCCAGTACTCAAAGGAGCCAAATATATCATTCGAGCCGACGTCCTTTATGAAATCCCAGAGTGATTATAGCATAAGATATATTTATTGTTTTATGGATAAAAGAATGTGATACCATCAGGTGTAAGTGTAGCCTTGCAGCCCTTTCTGAAACAAATTCTGTAAAAATCTCGAAAAAAAGGATGCAACCAGCCAATGCCACTGTATTCAAGAAACCCTTTTGACCACTGTGTCAATCCTCACTTTCTAGCCCATCTGCATCTTCGAAGTTGAATATATCTATATTCTGTGCTTATTATGACATTGTTATGGCAGATAGCCGTTATTGTTCACTTTGGGTCGTTGCTACGTATCAGATGTAGACCAGAATACATGATAGCCAAGTACTATACTCATATAAATGACAGGCTAGGCTAGAATCGGCCAAGCATAAATGTGTGCACTTTTTTTTTTTTTTTTTTTTTTTTTTTGTTTGTTTGAACCCTGAGGAAGCTTAAAATCAAGGCACTAAAATGAAGGCCTTGATCAGCAGGTGCTATTGGCTATCTCTTCAGGGATTCTTCTACCCGATATGCGACAATCCCTTATAATCTTGAGGCGCTGCGCAAGACGCTTGACCTCTTCTGTTCCCTGATCTGCTAGTAGCTTGTGGTTCCATGGTGGATGATCACCTGGATAACTCAAGGGGTCCGCAGTATCGTTAGTCGTTATATTAGAAACAATATTGGGTTCGTTGCCACTCAAGACTGGAACACGACGCAGGCCGGAACGTGCGGGTCGCATTGTGATCTGCCAAGTACCGATGAAAAACCTTTAGCTTCCCACGAGCGAGCTCACCGCCAAGGATGTACACTGGTTTACTAGAGTAAAGGTTGGGGGCAATTAGAATCAGAAAGAGTATAACGAGACAGGCTAATAATTCACAACTTTCTAAAGTAATGAAAAAAAATAAAATAAAATAAAATAAAATAGAAGGACTTACCCAGTGGCCAGAGCTTCGTTGGTCATTGCAACCGAATCTGCTGTGACCACAATTTTGTCCGCTAATGCCAGCATAGCCTCGTATGGATTATGATCATTGATGAATCCTATAGTATCTTGGACCTTACATCAGCGACCGGATCATAAACGTAAAGCCTGTTCTCATCCTGAATATGACTTTCGAGCTTTTTGACTGCGACTTTGGTATTATCGGCAGTCCTTTGCGAAAACGAAAGTAAGACTCTGGAGCCTTGAACATCCAATAAGCGGGATAGCCGACTGATTAGTCTTTCAGTATTGTGCGAGCAATCTTCGTTCGGACCACCAATCAGTATGGTAACAATGGGCTGTCGAGTTAGCCCGTTTCTATTTCCCTGATTGAAAAAGGATTTTGGAATAAGTTCTAGTTCAAAAGCCTTGCGTTTAGCAACATCAAGTGATCTTTGAGTGATGGTATTAAGCGTTGAATTGATACGGAAGTAATTTTTTTGATCTTTCATCAGCCCCAGACCCGCTATAGGCGTCAGAAAAAAAGGAAGAGGGTTATCAGCATTGACCAAATACGTATTTGAAGCATCATTCAAACCACCCACAATTATTTTACCAAGCTGGACTAGATTTCGTGCCGTTGAAGGAACACTTGATCGAAATGCACAAATGGTAAAGCAGGAAAATGAATATGGGCTATGAGAGAGCAAAGGGAAGAGACGTATGCCATGATTGGTCAATGCCTCAGAGGCGAATTAAATTATTTTGGATGGACAGTTTAAAAGCAGTGGTACCTGAAAATGATGCCTTTCCACTCATCCTTGATACATGCACAGACCAGGAAAAGCTTTGGCCCCCGAACCAATCACAAAACTAGGATATGGTGCAGCCAATGCATCACCTTCCATGAACCATGGTAGTTTGTCCGCTAATCACAGTTTTAGCAACAATGTATCGCCGATTTTAATTAACAGGAGAGTCAAGGTTACCATACGTCACAGGTCAAGCGAGAAACCTACTCGATTTCCTATTGACAACATGATGATAGTCCCATTAAAAGTTTTTTGAAAGGCGTTGGAATCCATTGTAAACCTAAAGATTGAAGTTACGGAATAGGGCTTGTTATTCTATATATCAACCTCCTGTAGAGCAAGCGTTTGGTTTATTACCTTGGGCGCCATTTAAACACGCTTGATAGCCCAAGGAAGCCCAAGTGCTTCGGCGAGAGCAATAGACTCCTTGTCAGCACTGACAGATCCCTCTGATATAATCCAAGTGACGGGTGTAGTAGGTTGATATACAGCCCGGGGGGCAAAGCGTGTTCTTCGATAGGCTTTTTCGTGCATAGCTTTTGTAGCATATAGATTCCGATGGCACCATATTAACCGGCGACTTTTGGAGCATACTGTTCAGAGTCATGGTCGTACGATTCAGCTGATTAGCAGACAGAAGTACATGACGGGTTGTAAATCCTGCGACAGTTCGCAAGGGATCCATGATGTGCATTCAATACTGTCCAATTCTGATCGATGCCAAAAGCAGGATGCATGGCCAAAAAACAAGTACAAAGTACTAAATTTTCTCACGATTTGAATTGGCTCTTTTTTTTTTTTTTTTTTTTGCTTCCTCAGCATTCCATCCTTTCCCATTATTAATTCTTCACCTCGCTTCCATCATCATTATGGCGCCTATTACCCCCCACAGCAAGGTCAAGGTCGTATTGACCGGCTTTGAGGTAATAGGCACATAGACATGGGTCATTTGCATATTTTTGTACCTGATATTGAATAAACTTTCACTTCTTGACATTCTTCTATTTATACATCTACTCCCTTTTCTTTTGTAGCCTTTTGGCAAACATTTGACAAACCCTTCATGGCTGTCCGTCCAACCTCTCAATTGTAATACTTTACAACTGCCCCCTCACTCCGAGCAGGATCCCAAGCATCATAAAGCTACAGAAGCATATATCGTGTGCCAGGAGTTGCCAGTCGAATACCGTAAGGTTCCTGATCTCGTGCCGGCCTTACATGCTCAGCACAGCAGAAACAAGCAAGCGGAGGAAGAATCTGAGGATTTTATAAAGACTTACTATATTCATGTTGGCGTTGGTCGCGATGGACATACTGCGATTGAAACACAGGCCCATCGAGTCGGTTACTCCCATCCAGATAATTCGCAGTGGAATCCGGAATCAAAAGATATTCCTCCTGTTTCTAGAGATGCTTGGTCTAATGATCCTGAGCGCCTGACTACAACTATCGACACTGAAGCGTTGGCTGAATACTTAAAGACCGAGAAAGGCTGGATTTGTGAAAAAAGCATGGATGCTGGGTTATATCTTTGTGAATATACATTTTACTTGAGCATGGCTGAGAGACACAGAAGAATTCAAGCAGGAGAGGAGGGTGAGGACGAGCGAGCTTGTTTATTCGTGCATCTTCCTTCGGTTGGTAACCCATACTCACTAGAGGAACTTCAACAGTTCGTCAAGGACATGGTTATTGCAGTTGTCACTCAATATTAGAAGTACTGTCCTGGCATTGAAACTTTTTTACTGCGCAAAAACTTGTGCTGATTAAAAAATCTTATTTTCATAGAAACGCAGTCTCAAAATGTAAACATTTTTTTTTTTTTTTTTTTTTTTTTTTCCTTTCTAAAGGAAGCAATTTGTCATCGACAGGCCGCAGCATTGGTTTTCTTCCATTGTTCCCTCACTGCCCTCACATCTTTACATTCAACTTATTTCTTTCCTCGCTTTCTTTTCCTTCAGTACATAACAATGGAGTATCGACCAGAGCTCACTCAACAACAAATGTAAGGAACAGTATATAACCCCATCGACTTTACTTGTTACTTGTACTTGTAAAAATTTGTTGTTTTTAAATAAGTATGTTTTTATATCTCTTCATATGATACTCTAGTCTTTGTTGTTCATGTGGAACAACTATTCCCCAAACCCTACGAATATGTGTATCAACTGTATTCGTAATCAAGTTGATATAACTGAAGGGATCCCAAAGCACGCCACCATCTGCTTCTGCCGTAACTGCGAACGTTACCTTCAGCCTCCTATGCATTGGGTTGCTTGCCAGTTGGAGTCGAGAGAACTACTTGCATTGTGCTTAAAGAAGCTCAAGGGTCTAAATAAAGTCCGCCTTGTCGATGCAGGCTTTATCTGGACAGAACCTCATTCAAAACGTATCAAGCTCAAGTTGACTATCCAAAAAGAAGTCTTTACCTCGACTATTCTGCAACAAATTTTTGAAGTCGAGTTTGTCGTCTCGCATCAGCAGTGTGATGACTGTGCCAAGGTCATGGCTCAAAATACATGGAAAGCTATGGTTCAAGTTCGTCAAAAGGTTGATCACAAACGTACTTTCTTATACTTGGAGCAGTTGATTATCAAGCATAGTGCACACAAGGAGACTATTAACATCAAAGAATGCAAAGACGGAATCGATTTTTACTATGGATCTCGTTCACATGCCTTGAAAATGGTCGAATTCCTGGCAGCAGTCACGCCATTGAGGAGTAAATCCTCTGAACAGCTCATTTCTACCGATATTCATTCAGGATCATCAAATTACAAGTTCAGTTACTCGGTTGAGTTGGTTCCTATCTGTAAAGATGACTTGCTTTGTTTACCACCTAAGGTTGCTAAGGCCTTGGGAAACATCAGTCCCTTGGTCATATGTTATAGAGTTGGAAATTCTGTCCATGTCATGGATGTAAACACACTTGCTGTTGCAGAGGTCTCGACCCAAACATACTGGCGTACTCCCTTTCAAGCATTAGCATCGGTGAAACAATTGACTGAGTACTATGTCCTCGATGTTGAGCCTTGTGGGCCTGTCCGTGGCAAGTATGTCTTGGCCGACATCCAGGTAGCTCGTGCAAATGACGTTGGCCGTAACGATACCACTTTCTTTGCGCGCTCTCATCTTGGAGGTGTTCTCAACCCTGGTGACAGTGTTATGGGCTATGATATTGCATCATCCAACTTCAACAACGATGCATTCGATGGACTTCACCGAGGATCTTTGCCAGATGTAATTTTGATCAAGAAGGCTTACCCAGCACATCGAAAGCGCAATCGTGGACGTAACTGGCAATTGCGACAGCTCCAGAAGGAAGAGGAGGAAATGGCTCCTCGCAAACAAGATCAAGAACGCATCGAGCATGATTATGAAATGTTCTTGCGCGATCTTGAAGAAGATCCAGAACTTCGAGCTACTATTAATCTTTATAGAGGTGTGTATCTTTTAGCATCATTTATATTTTGCACCAATGAGCACACATATATTAATTTTATTGTTATTGTTATTACTATTTATCAATTCTATAGCTGACAAGCCGAAACCGGTGCAAGATTCAAATATGGATAATGAGTCGGACTTTGAAGACGAAGATTTCCCTGAGGTTCAGTTAGATGAGCTCTTGGACAACCTCAATTTGGATGATGGCCCTGATGGCGAGTTTTCGGAGGAGGGTGAAGACATGATGATGGATTAAGCATCATCACCGAAGCAGAATACTTGTAGATTATATCCTCCATCCAACTCCTACATTTTTTCATATTTTTGTTTGTAAAACAATGATGTCCATAAACTTTAGCATCCTAGACACTGGTTTCATTCAAACATTAATGGCCCACTTCATATGAACTTTTGGTTATACAAAGTCTATAATTCTACTGCTCAGTAACTCTCCGCTCAAAAGACATGACTTTTCTGGGCTCAAGTTAGTTGATAGCTCCACTATAATCGCAGTCCAGCCTTTTCCTTGGTCATACCCTCATGGATATTTAATAGTCCATTATATTATTAATAAACAATTGGTAGTTTAAGAGCTGAGGCAACGTGTTACTCTGCTTAAGTTTCTACTCTGTGTGAGCTTTTAGCCTAATAACATGCTAGGTAAATCATTAGAAAACGTATGAAGAAAAAGGCAAATATACTACAGAATCCGAAGCCGGCTCTTGATGCAAGTTAGTTTTAGGATAGATCAGCTCCGTTAGGGTTTAGCCTGCTTCACTCGTTATTATTTCGCGGCGTCCTTGGAGTTTTTTTATTTTATTATGAGTCCAGTTTACAGTTAGATATTCTTGGCGGGCCTTCCCAAGAAAGGTAAATGTCTTGTCCCTTGCTCACTGACTTTAGGCCAGTTACTGTGAGGGTATGCGGCGTCCAAGCGCTTGCTGTGTGCTTAATAGGTCGCATGCAGATCTCGTGGCAGTTATTTTGACGTACTCAAAATGTTAAGTAATGTGGATGGATAAATCTAGTGTATGGAATAATGAGAATGGGAGAAGCATATTGACAAAAGCAGTTAAAAAAAAAAAAAAAAAAAAAAAAAAGGCATGAATCGATAGGATAAGAGGATAGATAATTCGAATGAAGACTGACCAGCATGGGGAAGGTTCTTTCATACTTCTTACTTTAATTTCATCGCCACATTCCACGTGTAACTAAATATGGCTCGTGCTCAAATAAAGTTGGCTGGTTTGGAACGGCGTTCGTCAAGATCATCGAGTTATCTAAGTCGTCCAACATACCAAGGCGCCAAGATACTCAAGATACCCAAGATAAGCAAGGAATTTCAACCAAGCAGGACACCCAAGCTAGCGAATTAAAACCGGAAATATTAGATTGTGCAAATCTCTAATACTACTTTATTGATGCAAAAAAAATGTGAAAAGGCCAATTGTCTAAAACTACTTTTATGTCTATTTTTACTTTATTTACTTCTGCTCTTCCTTCTGCTTCTTCTGATATGCCTTGATCAATTCAATCTGGTCCTGAGGTTGTACCCTTTGATGACGAAGGTACTCCATCGAGAACTCACCCTTGCCTTGGGATTGACCACGGATCTCAGAGGCATATCCAAACATGGCATTCAGCGAAACCTCTGCCACACAACTAAAGTAGTCCTCTCCAGACTCTGTATCGACAATAGTTCCTTTGCGCTTGTTGATACCACCAATGACTGTACCTTGGAACTCAATAGGTGCAGTAACATCAACCTTCATGATAGGCTCCATAATCACGGGGTTGGCTTTCATATACGCTTCCTTGAATGCGTTCAATGTTGCAAGCTTGAAAGCCAATTCTGAGGAATCGACAGCGTGAGCGGCTCCATCCTCAAGGATCATGCGAACACCAGTGATGGGGTGTCCAATCAAGAAACCCTTCTGCATGCCCTCACGGAATCCCTTCTCACAAGCAGGAATAAAGTTAGTAGGAATGTTACCTCCCACAACTCTGGATTCAAAGAAGGCATCTTTGCCATCCTCGTCACTCTCTGCAGGTTCAATATATCCTTGGACACGACCATACTGACCAGCTCCTCCAGACTGCTTCTTGTGAGTGTAGTTGAACTTGGCCGAGTTCGTAATAGCCTCACGGAAAGCGACCTGAGGCTTTCCAGTCACACAGTCGACATTGTACTCACGGCGCATACGTTCAACATAAATTTCCAGGTGCAACTCTCCCATACCAGAGATAATAGTCTCTTTGGTCTCAGAATCGACGTGAACCGTGAAGGTAGGATCCTCTTTCTGGAAACGGTTCAGGGCCTTGGAGAAGTTTGGAGTCTCCTTGCCTTAGGCTTAAGCGACAGTGAAATGACAGGGGTAGGGACGAACATCGAGGTCATGGTATATTGGAGAGCGCCATCTGTAAAAGTATCTCCAGAGGAACAGTCAACACCAAACATGGCACAGATCTCTCCGGGTCCAATCTCATCAACATCCTCGAGCTCATCGGCATGCATGCGTACCAGACGAGGGACCTTGACCTTCTTATCGTTCTTAACGTTGGTGATGAACCCTCCGCGACGCAACATACCCTGATAGACACGCATATAAGTCAGCTGACCGAAGCGCCCTTCTTCCAACTTGAAAGCCAAACCAACAAAGGGATCCTTCTCGCCTGATGATAGCGTAACCTTGGCTTCCTCATTCTTGATGTCCAAAGCAATATTCTCAACTTCATTGGGACTGGGAAGATAGGCGCAAACAGCGTCCAAGAGAGGCTGGACGCCCTTGTTCTTGATAGCAGATCCCATCATGACTGGGATGAACTTACGGGCGATAGTGGCGCGACGAATAGCTTCCTAGATAATCATGATTTATATTAAAATTCACATCAGTATCAACCAATTATAGATGTATTTGTTATAATGGGCTTTAGATCTTTTAAACACTCACTTACAGCCAGCTGCTCACTTGTGGGGGTTTCCTCCATGATAAACATATCCGACATGGTCTCATCAACCTCAGCCAAATGCTCGAAGAGTTCAGTACGCTTGGTCTTAGCGAGCTCCAAGAACTCCTGTGGGATCTCGCTCTCAACGACCTGGATTCTGGATGGATAAATATTCAGCAGTTTCGAGTAAGTTTCACAAACAAACTAACAAACAAATAAACAAATGAGACGCACGGACTTTCAATAGTTTAGATAAAGCATTTACCCATCCTGGCCTTCAAAGGTGATAGCCTTCCATTTCAGAAGATCAATAACACCCTTGAAATTATCCTCAGCACCCATCGGGATCTGAAGGGCGGCGGCATGCATCTTCAATTTGGTCCGGAGAGCATCTACAACCTTCCACGGATTTGCACCAGCACTAATAAGATTAGAGATTCAACATAGTCATATGAAATGCGCAATGTAAGTACGTTTTGATGAACATCATTAAAGTACTGTCAACATCGATAATACTTTCGAGAATGCTATTGCTAGGATTGAAGTATTTACCGATCCATCTTATTGATGAAGCAAATCCTAGGGACGTTATAACGCTTCATTTGGCGGTCGACCGTGATTGTTTGAGATTGTACTCCACTGACAGCGCACAAAACAAGCACAGCTCCATCCAAAACACGAAGAGCTCTTTCCACTTCGATGGTGAAATCAACGTGCCCTATATTGAACATGCGATTAACACAAATCAGTCCTTCTCGAGCCTTTTTTCTTGAATCAATTATTCAAAACCGTTTTCATATTTCCTTCTTCTTACCAGGTGTATCGATGATGTTAAAGTTATAGTCCTTCCATGCCGCATAAGTGGCAGCGCTCTGAATAGTGATTCCCTTCTCACGCTCCAAGTCCATTGAATCCATCTTAGCCCCAACATTGTCCTTGCCACGAACTTCATGAATTTGGTTGATACGACCAGTAAAAAAAAGGACACGCTCCGTCAATGTTGTCTTTCCGGAATCAATATGGGCCGAGATACCAATATTGCGCAACCTGTCAATCGATCCCTATGATCAGAGAAGGATTTCCAGGATTAATAATTGAAGAAAAAAAAAAAAAAAAAAAAAAAAAAAAAACGCAGCTAGACTTACAGGCTTCACAGGCTGTGCAGAAGCCGAACTCCAGCGCTTTTGGATCATTCCGACAAGAACCTTTCCAGTACCCTGAGCAGCATGATCCTTCTGAACATGCCAGCGGGGTTGCAAATAGAGCATATCTGGGTTAAAGCAGTTTTTTTTGGTGGCAGTGGCAGTGCTGTTGCTGCCATACATAGCTGTTGAGAATGTACGACGGGCCTGTGCGGTCAGCGCACTGTGTGCGTTGATGAAAGAACGGAAGAAAGTCATAACGAAGAACAATGAATGAGCAACCAAGAAGTAAAGGATCTCTTGAATGTATTCCAGAAGTTGGAACGAAAGAAAACAAAAAAGAGAGAGAGGACTGTCGGAAGAAAAGGAAAGTAGCCCAAAGGAAGGCAGAAGTGCGGAAGGGAGAGGGCGAGTGAGAGTGGAAGAGGAGGAAAGAAGAGAAGACAGTCAGGTACCAACCAATGCACGAGTGACTGCATTTCTTTCGGACAATACTTTTTTGTAAACAAACAGTCGCAAATGGCAAGTGGCAAGTGATCAGTAGTAGTGAACAAGTAGAGGGAACACCCTTTACTTTTATTTACAATTTAACCCCTAAAATCTCTTAGTTGTGGGTGAACTTGGCCTTTCTCTTCTCAGCAAAGGCAGCCATACCCTCCTTCTGATCATTAGAGGCGAAAGTTGAGTGGAACAATCTCCTCTCGAAGGTCAAACCAGCCGCCAAAGGAACCTCAAAAGATTGGTTGATCGCATCCTTGACCATCTGCACAATAGGCTGCGACAGGCTAGCAATTGTTTCGGCGGTCTTAAGAGCTTCATCAATGACTTGATCGGCTGGGAGCACTTTGCTCACCAATCCGGCACGCTCCGCCTCAGCAGCTGTCAAATTGACGGAGCCTGTCAAGCACATCTCCATAGCTTTGGACTTGCCAACAGCCTTGACCAAACGCTGCGTGCCGCCAGCACCAGGGATGGTTCCGAGCTTGATCTCGGGCTGGCCGAAAACGGCCTTGTCACCAGCATAGATGATATCTATAAGTGAAATGCAACAAAAATGGCGAATTCGAGGTGAATAAGGCCACCATTACAAAGCTTATAAATTTGTCTAAAGTACTACTGAGTGTCAAGTGAATGTCGAAACAGCTGTGTAAACACTTACCACACATCATGGCCAACTCACATCCACCGCCAAGCTAAATATTTCAATGTCAGTAATTAAGCAATTCACATTAGTTAAAGAAATGTATAAGAGTCAAGAAAGAGTCTATGAATAACTGATCTGATCTTGATCTGGTTCATTTTTTATCCATGAACCATCCAAACTTGTTGCTCTTACAGTATGTCAGATCATAGCTAACAAAGATTAAAAAAATAAAATAAAAAAGTCTAAAATTGGTTTCCACTTACAGCAAAACCATTAACAGCAGCAATGATTGGCTTGCGAATCTTGGTGATCTGGGTCCAGTGACCAAGGAAATCCTCGCTGTAGTTCTCAATGAATTTTCTATCCTTCATCTCCTTGATGTCAGCGCCAGCTACAATATTAATTCAAACATAAAATATTTTATATTTATGAACTATTTCGACGATGAATTATATGTAAATAAAAGGAGATAAAGATAAAGACACATTACCAGCAAAGGCACGCTCACTTCCAGTAAGGACAATAGCACCAATATCCTTATTATCATCAAACTCCCTTAAGACCTGGTTAAGCTCCACAAAGAGGCCGTTGCAAAGCGCGTTCAGAGCCTTGGGGCGGTGAAGAGTGACGAGGGCGACGCGTCCACGGGTCTCTGTCAAGAGATACTCAAGCTTGGGAGAAGTAGGGGCAACAGCATCTATTTCGTCCGATGTTGAAATGGGAATGAGAGTGGAAATAGAGCAGAGGATTGGGGGAAAAGCGCGCAAGAAAACATTTTATGGCGTGGGAATTAGTTTTTGGGTGTGAAAGAGTATTTTAAAATACAATTGTTCTGTAACAGGTAGACCAGTAATAACTATAAAAGACACTTGCTCAAGGAAGGGCTGTAAACAGAGAAGGCACGAGTGAGAGGCTTCGCAGCAGAAGCGCGAGCAAGAGGTTGACGAAGGGCAGCAAACATGGCGATAGATGGAAGAGGAGTTGGAGTGGAGTGAGTTGAAGTCGAGAAAGAAAAAAAAAGAAAAATCGGGAGTGAATTTGAGTGGTGCTACAGCAATCACGGATACAGAATGCTCCATCAAAATCACGTGTAAATTCAACGGCTGATGTGACAAATTCATTTTTATTCACAAACTAGTTGGAAGAGGCGCTCTTGCCCTACTTCCTTCTGATCTTGTCAACGATGAAATCCCATAGTTGAGCGTGGGCCTGAATCTGATCCAGATGCAGATCCCCCACCGCCTCCTGCCATTCTTCTTGCTCTAGAAGATGGCTGTAGTCTTTTGCCCTGACTACTTGTCCTTGATACGGTTGGCCCTGATGCAGCGCTACTTGACCCTGACTTAGCTGCTAGAGCCGCTGCTCGCTTTTCTGATCTGCGCTTAAAGTAACTAGCCTTGTAGGCACTGAATCCCTCTTGAAATTTCTTGGGCACTTTCCGAAAAAATGACAGCTCAGGTCGATTATCACGGTTAAAATGCATATTAAAGATGCGAAGAACTCTGTTACATTGCGGAACGAATCTAATTTAACGACCACACGGAAAAAGTAAGAATCACTATTCTATTATTTAAACAAAAGCTGCCAAATGGTGATATCTTGGGTTCTCTACGTACTTTGAAGAGTATCCTAGTTTTTCAGAGTACATTCCAGTAGCAAAGAAGAGAAATAGCGTCGTTACAGAAAGAAGCAAGAAGAATTTGTGTAGTAGATGAATATAGTATATCTACATTGAAAATACGAGAATAAACAACAGTTAATGAATCTTCTATTTAAACAGATGAAAAATGTTTTTGAGAAGTAGACTCACAATGCATTTAATTAGTATGATTCAGCGTGAACTGTGTCATCCTTTCAACACTTGTACCTGACTAGGTTGATAAAACGTGGCAAAGGCGCAATATGCAATCAAAACAATCAAGCAACCCAAGAATGCTATAAAACAATAATAATATTATATTATTAAAAAATACGCGTGAAAGAACCAGAGAAAGAGTCATTCAAATATTGATTGCATCCTGCAACCGAATCTCTTTTCCAATTCCAAAAGGGGGGAAGTGGAAGGAAGAAGGAGAGAAAGAGAATAGAGGCAGGCGGGTATACGAGTTATGAATAAGAGATTATCTTGTTACACGCGGCGTACCTTCATATTTCTGCTGCCGCTTCTTAAGCCTAAACATATTCAGCTTGAGCCGTTCCTCAAAGATCAAAAGATCCCGATATGTAACCGACGATGCATGAAGACTATTGAACTGCTCTTCCGAAACCTTCTCTTCAGGTGGTGAGGATGCTGGCGTCGCCTCCAACACTTGAGTCACTGGTGAAAAATCCTGGGGCGCTGACATAATTGAATCCTCTTTCCCTCCTTTTTTTTTTTCTCCGTGCTTAAGGTCCCAAAGGTAAAGGTATGAATAAAAATAGACAGTGTATGTGTGTGTACAAAAGGCGGGGTGGAGCCGATATTATTAATATAAAGCTCCCAAATCATTCATGCAGGCTAACCAACGAGTGCCGAATGTTAATATAATACTATTGATGCCAAGGTCTTTTTGAGTAGATTAAATAATGACAGAAACAAGCTTCTATTGAAAATGATGAAATAAGAAATGTAGAGGAATGAGAGGGCCCGCTTGCTTACATGGACGCTTCCCTTTCTTGTGCCGAAATGCATCACGTGCGCACTCAACAGGAAGCACTTGCGCCACCAACTCACAGTTAATATATATATATATATATATTAGAACACAAAAATGACGATAGCAAAGGAGCCTTCTCAGCAGTCCAGGGTTTTTGTCACGGGTTGGTGTCAAAAATATAGTCAGAACTAGAAGGGATATTTTCAATACCTTTCTAATATTTGAAGCATGTAGACCTGCCAAGAATATCCAGGAAATTGGGAGGGTTTTGGAACGGACGCTGCCAAAGTCAGTGCTAACTGGAACCAAAGATACCACGTTTATAAGTAAACACACAGACGGGTGCGAACTGCATTGAGCGTAAAGACGATTTCCTAGGACCTATCATGGGACAACGACAGGCAGCCGATGTGAAGGAGATCAGTATAGAAGCTAACCAAGCAATCGACCGCAGCTGGGAGGGACATCACTTTTTTGATAGTTATGGACCATGGCAAAAGATGTGAACAAGGCGTCGTATGGCGAGAGTATATATGATGCGATTAAAGTTGATCGCGTGAAAATGTTCTCCATCCCAAGGCTATTGGATACTCCATCTCTGGGCACATCATCAGAAAAAAAAAATACTGTCGTTCCTGTACTAAAGCGCCCCGATATCGACTATGGATTTGGGTAGAGTGTCTGATCAAGGTTCTATATAATAACAAGCTCTGCAAATGATTTCACTGTCAGCAATGCAGGGATCCGTTGTAGGATTAGATCAGCGTGAAGGTGTTTGTAAATACGTTCATGGCTGGTTAAACACGCTTCAACAAGCCGTCAATAACGACCTTTCTTGCTTTCGAGTATATTTGTCTTGAGTGAAGAATATACTCCCTTCACGAAGCTTGGACCTGACCATTGGCTGACATCTAAGAGATTCTTCCGAAACACTCGACTAGAAATCGTCGTCATTGCTATTGCTCAGATCATTGGATTAGCTTTACTGCTACAAATATTTTCACAGATGTCGGAAACAACCATTCAATCGACGCAATGTAAACCTTTTCATGTATTTTATGTGTGCAGCTGAAAGAAGTGAAGAGATTTCTACTTCAGAGAGAATGTCAATTTTAAATTCTTTCTTTCTATGAGGCTGGCTTCTTTATTTTGAAATGATGCGAAATAGGCATAAATAATAGTAGTCTATGAATATGTGAGGAAGAGATGGAGTCTGTGAAAGATCTATAAAATAAGCTTTGCACTGTACGAGTTTTTTCTATATGAGATTTTTTTTTTTTAGGCGTTGGTAGGCTTGAATTGGTAGACCTTAGTGTTCTCATCAAAGTTGACACCGAGCTCAAACAGCTTCTGAGCAGCCTTTGCAAAGTCGTCAAAGAATTTCTTCTCGTCCTTGGCATAGATTTCGACCCACTTGCGGAATTCCTTATCCTTAGCCATGGCCATATCTGCAGGCAACATCATCAATGATTTGGATTCCTTGTCCTCGTACTGCTTGGGACCCTTCCACTTCTTTTCAGTCCAGGTACGACCCAAGAGTTCAGTGTAGAAGGCATTGGTGAAAACTGTGGGTGAGGCTGTCCATGGACCATCGAAACCAGAGCGATCGGTGTGGCAGCGACCCATAGCGTGTGCTCCCAAAAGAGCGACAATCTCCTGATCGTTGAAGCCCATCTTGTAGAAGATATCGCGAGAGTGCTGGCCATCAGGTCTAGAAGCATCAGGGAGACGACCATCTGGAGGGCAATGGTTTTCTTCACCATCGACACGACCGGGTCTCCAGTTGATAGTGGGACCGCCCTACATGAGAAAAAGTAGGAAGGGAGGAAGAGAAAAGAACACAGGATTGGTCAGCCATCGTTTTACCTTAGACATTATTGTCGTACATCCTCTATATCAATCATGTCAGTTTTCTTTTTAAGCCTACCGCCTCCTGGATAGCAGCAACACCTGCCAAAGTCCAGAGATCACCATAAGAAATCTCAGGGAACTGGTCCTTGACACGGTTCAAACGCTCGCGAGCAATTCCGAGACCAGCGTTGGCACCGTGGCCAGCTTCGGGCTTGAAGCGCATGGTAGCGTAGTTGGAGCCACCATCTTTGTTGTTGATGTCAAAGGTACCGGAGGCGTGCCATGCAAGACGAAGGAAGACTGGACCATATGAGCCATCATCGTAGTTATCATCTTCAATGAGGGCAGCAATGGCGTTGTAGACCTTCTGGTAATCAAGAGGCTCCTTGGGCTTCTCAGCAGTAGCGGCTGCGACCTTAGGAAGCGAAGAATCTGAGAGTTTTGTTGAAACGGATTTGAATTTCAAAACAAAGTTAGTGACCAGGAAAATATCAGAAAAGGAGCAACGCCTCCGAGATGAGATGGGAAAAGTAAAAGATATTAATATTCCCGAAATGCATTCAAAAGTGAACACGGAACAGGGAACAGTGAACAGGGAACAGGGAAAGATAAATATATAAAATAAGATATGGTGACTGGAGTACAAATGTTTGATCAACTCCTACTTGGAATAAAGATACTTTTGTAGTCTGGTGTAGTATAGAGTTACAAGAGATGGGTTGATACACAATGGATAACAAGATCAGTCATGTAACCATCTTACTCAACAAAATACAAAATTCTTCCTCCCTCTTCCGATCGAAGGCATAAGAAAATTTAAACTTTGCCCCGAAGAGTTTCTGCCTCCAACTGCACACAGTTTCTTCCCCATATGACAACGTTAAGAAAAAAAAAAAAAGACAGCACTCAAGTTCAGGTTGGGAAGATAAGAGCTGAAGTGTATAGAAATAACTTTTTCTTCGTTCTTTTATGTTTCAAAATTATTCTTTTCTTGGTGTCCAAGACGCGAATCTCGGATTTTTAGGCACTGCGCAGCAGAGGGGTAAAAAAAATTTAAACTACTCTGTCCACGGGGAGATTGGTGCCTGAATTATTGCTGTTATTTTTTTTTTTTTTTTCTTTTTTTGTAATCTCTCCACTATGATCCTATACAAACTTACTTTCATTCTCAAGATAAAGGTGATAGCCAGCAGCACCAACTCCAGCACCAAGGACAGCAAAAGCTAACTTGGAGCCGAAACCACTAGAGGGAGCAGAAGCTTGGGAAGAATAGGCACGGGTGGCAACACGAGCCGAGGTTGTGAAAGCTGCGCGGCGAGCAACAATTGCCAAGGGAGCTCGGAGGAGAACACGGGATCCGATCATATTTATGTAGAGTGGAGTGAGGATTCGAAGGGAGAAGGTGACGATGAGGTGAAGGAATGAGATGAGTAAAAAAAAAAAAGAGAGAGAAAGAGAAAGATGAGCAAGTCAAAACTTTTAGTTTTTATACACAAGAGCGGGGAGACATGAGATTCTCCTCGACAAGTCCGAGAGGACAACAGTGAAAGTATCCGAAAACCCGAGAGAGCCCTCTCTGTGCCAGACAACGCGCGGATGGCTTAGATCCTTTTTTTTTTTCCCTTCAGACAAACTTGATCACATGGCCATCCCTACACTCTTCTTTCATTCTTAATCTCATATCAGTTAATTAACAGTTTTGCGTCTATGGAAGACGATCATGTTAGGTGGAGCACTACACCACAGTGCTATTGCAGGTCCGACATACGCCACTAAATTAAGCGATTTCCTGAACTGAGATGTCTGTGCGCTGTAACTGCGCAGTCGTTCAGACAAAATGGCCGCTGCAGGTACGCCATTTTTTTTTAGCACAGACAACAGTTATTTCTTTAATAATATACAATGGTGGTTTGTCTAATGTGGCAAAAAATATATAAAAAAATTCTTAAAAAAAAAAAAAAAAAAAAAAAAAAAAAAAGAGAAAGAAAGGAAAAAAAAAAAAAAAGAAAAAATCATGAAATGAAACTATATTACAAGTGAGATGCTGTTTCAACCACCGCGGCGTGCGCCTCGTCCTCGAGCTTGGTTGAAATGAGATGTGGTATTAAGCCCCTTGGGTCCTAAATGGATCGTCTGCGGCTGCTGTTGCTGTTGCTGTTGATATTGTCCATTGCTTAATGTTCGGTTAGAGCTTGTAGAACCACTGACTGTCGAAGATACTCCTCCGCGGGCCTCCATATCTCTTAGACTCGCTCTCAATGCTGCGTCAAGGTCATAGGAGCCATCTATGGATGCTGAATTCGGCGTTGACGTCGATCCTGACGGTGCGCCCGATCCAGGCCTCGCACGGAATCCGCTTTGTCCATTACTCCCACTATTACCACCATTGAGTGTTAGACTCGTAGGATTTCCTAATCCCGAATTAAAAGCATTCACAGAAGCTGACATTACTGTTGGTGAAGAAAATAGTGTTCCCGATGACGAGGAATGTTGACTCGAGTGCTTGTGGTGAGTTTTGAAGTGGGATCCACCACTGCCTGTACCATTAGAGCAGAATGTTGGCTACTGCTATTGTTGTTTACGGATGAAGCTGGTCCTGGATGAATGAACTGTGAAAGCACGCCCGGAGTCGAAAACCCGTTCAAGGAGCTATGCTTGCTGAGGGTCGATTTAACATTACTGATAGACCCTGAACTGGCTAGCCAGGACGACCGTGAAGGAGTATCAGTAGTAGGAGTTGAGGGTACGGATGCGGACTGAGTAGATTGACGTGAAAATGCCTGTTGTTGTTGTTGCTGCTGTGGCGATCCACGGAAAGAGGGACCTTGTGTTTGTACTGGAGAAGGTGATGGTGCATCCATTTTCCTCTGATACTCTACCAGTGATTGGAATAGGATTGCAACCTCTTGACTCTTGCAAACTGAACACAAAAACTCTGCAAAGCATGATAATATCCTGCGATAGTGATAGCCCCACTCCGTAGAAGCGATTGCAAGAAGACACACAACTATGATGTAAAGTAGAGCAACAATAATTTCTCTTAATACCTTTATATATATATATATCCTTTTATCTTTAATAAATTACTTAAAATTAACATGTGAAAGGTTTGGAAACTTACCATACGGACGACGCGAGCTTGCCCAACCTTATCGTCCACTAGTTCGCAGCATCGGATTGCGTTTTCAATATAAGCGTGAAGAAAGCGAGGTGAAAGTGTTGTGGCTCCAGTCAATCGATTCACTACCTCTAGTGAATGAAGAGTTAATCGTTTGGCGTGGGTCATCGTGTCCAAGTATGCATCTACGATCGAAGGCTCCGGACTGCTAAAATTGCTACTCTTTGCACTAATTTTGCCTGGGGTTCCAGTATTGCCGTTAAGTTTTGATGCTGTCCCAGAAATATCGGTTCCATCCAGATCCGATGAAAGTTGAATCAAATACAACAGCAAATTAAACGCGATCGATGGATTATTATCAACGATCCCTGGAAGAGTCTCGGAGGTGGAAGTGGGATGTGAACTTTGGTAGAGTTCGTATTAAACTGAGAAAGCATAAACTGCGTATTGGCCATAAAAAAAAAAAAAAAAAAAAAAAATAGGTCAACAAATAAAGCCTTTGGTATTTTAAATTATTGTTTCATCCGAACAAGATGTCGATGCCATGTACCTGCTCTTGATCAAACGTCAGTGGTTGCACAGCAGCCTGTTCCATGATGGCGTTTAGCTGTTGGCGATTGACAGTAACCTCTACAGGCTTTTTAACTCTAACATTGACTTTTGCTGGCGCAGGGGCTGCATCCTCTGCATCCTGAAAATGCTTCTCAGCTTCAATTTCCCATTCTTCAAGCTCTTCTTCCTCGTCCTCTCCGTTATTATTATTATCATCATTATTTTGTATTTGGTTTGTGGCCAAAGAACTGACGTAGATTCTCTGTTAAACCGTTGTTTGCTCCCGGTTGTCCTATGATAGCTGTAGAGCTCCCGTCGTCTCCATGTTGTTCTCTCTTGAATGAATATCCTGAGCCATCCAACTTGTCCAGCAAGTTTAATGATTCCCAGACTTCCTTATGGTGACCCGCTTTTTGGCGTCCAACACTTTCCCAACCTAATCCTAGGGTGACTTGCTCCTCCAGTGGTACTTCTGGAAGAAATCTTCCAAACGCTGAAAGTTTATTTGCTTTGATTCGACCTCATGTGCGATTGTGATTAGCTCTGAAGGAGTACTGGGAGCTAGCTATCATGTTTAATACATAATGAGGAAGACAACTTAATAAACCATATGTAATTTTCGGTATTGCATCTCTCAATTATGGACAGGAAATAACATCCATGGTCTGATTTATTACCTCTTCTCCATCGCCACTGAGGATCACACTGACGACAAAGCGCTCTGGCCGCTGCTGTTCATCTTGTAGAGATGTGGTATAAATGTCCATGAAAAGACAAAGGAATGGATTCTGATGGATCGGAAAGCGGCTGTACAAACTGTAGAGCAAATACAAAGACGTTATTCGGATCTTGAGCGGCTATGATCAGATACCAAAACAAAAACAAAAAAGTTGGTAAATTTTAATGTTAAAAGTAATGAAATAAAAACCAGGTCCGCTATACAAGTTGAGCAAAACAGGAAATGAGAGAAAAAGAAAACGTCTAAATTTGAGGTTGATGACCGTTGACATAGCGTGCATGTAAACAAAAAAAAAAGCCTTTCCAATCTCAGAAATCAAACAAACTTGATGATTTCCTCATGATTCACACATATCAATAATTATCATCATCATTATGCGAGCGAATATATAGAACGATAAGGAAAGATACAAATATAATGCAAATGTAAGAGATATCTCAATTTCAAGCCAACCAACTGAATATCATGATTGTTAGGTCAGGTAAACGATGAATGGATCTGGATAGTGAGAATAGTTTTTTTTACCTCTGAAGCCACAAGATCTTTCTGGTTGGCACTAGTGTTCTTCTCCGTTCCTGTAGAAATGCTCGTATCCGTTCCTGAACAGACTCGACAGCGTTCAAAACATCCATGAGTGCACATCCTGCCTTGAACTGCCGATTCGCCGCTAAAGTCTGTGAAAATTCGAGCGCACTCTGCTGAAGCACTTGGTCGAGATGATTCCCGAGAAAGGTTGCAAGCTCCTGCGATGGCACTGTAATCATCGTCCACAGTTATGGGTAAGTGGTCAACCAATACACAAAAAATATGAAAAATTGGAAAGAGAAAGCTTAGCACTGATAAAAGAGGTGCGTTTGCAAATATGTGCTTGGTAATCTCGATAATTATAATAAAGTGCAAAGGCTACGACGAATTGATATGCGCCTGTTACGAACTGTGGTGCCTGGCCGTATATGTTTTTTTCGGGGGCTGAAATGGAGTGTATTGTTTTGTTTAAAAAAGATGATCTCGATCTCAACGTGATAGCTCCTTAGACCTTTGTTATTGTACTATCGCTGTTCCTGTTGTTGTTGCTGCTGGGACTTTTGCTGGGTAAACTGAGTAGGTCCGTTGGATAAAAATACGAATATTAAAAAAAAAAAAAAAAAAAAAAAAAAAGATTGCTTTTGATAGTTTTTTGTTTTGAGGTTGTGGCAGAGGAAAAAAAAAAGAGTGAATGTGAATGTATTAAAGCCTAGATGAAGTATTGTTCGCTTGTGCTTGCTTGTGCTTGCTTGCTTGTGCTTGCTTGTGCTTGCTTGCTTGTGCTTGCTTGTACTTGCTTGTGTTTAATCAATATCCAAAGGTAAATGAGAGTTGCGGAAGAAAGGACGACTTGAATATGCAGTAAAAGATAGAATGTTTTGCGGGTAATGGGGGATGTGATTGAGAGTATGTTGTTGATTTAAAAATGAAGAAAAGAAAGAAAGAAAAAAAGAAAAAAATAAAAAATAAAAAAAAAAGAGAGAGAGAGAGAGAGAGAAGAGAGAGAGAAGAGAGAGAGAGAGAGAGAGATGGAAAAAGATGTGATGTGATAGTTTGTGATGTGTACGTGTATATTTATATATGTTTTGTTCAAGTCGCAGGGCTAAAGGCTGAAGATTACTTGCTGTTTTGCTTTCTTTTCTAAAGTGTAATTCTATTGAAGAGAAAAAGGGGAGAAGTGATGGGGAGATGAATGTTTTCAAAGTGAGTAGAACTATAGATGGACGGATGATGCAGTAAAATAGCGTGTTGTTTACGCACTTTTTTTTTTCTTCAAATTGAATGGGAAAAATAGGAAGGTGGTAAAGGAGGTTGTTCTGAATTGTTATATAATCAAATCAAATAAAAAAGAGGAAACAGCAGTTTGTGAAGCACATGTGAGAGTGAAGGAAAGGGGAGTCAAAAAAAAGAGGTGCGTAAGGAATATGTATTTCATTCACCTATTACACAGCGCCAAGTGGCTTTTTCAAATTAATCGCGTTCATTAACATCAAACCTGAATCACAGTCACAAGCAGATCTGGGAGGCAGAATTCTGGTCCAAAAACAAAGAGCTCATGCATGAATTTGATATACCACAATTTCAGGAGCTTTCATCGTGTGGACTAATTTCCTCAGCTCTGCTGGATCTTTCCGTTATTCCAGAACAACTACGCCTCAGAAACCATAGCTGGCATAACATTCTAAGAAACTTTGCTCTGTTTATTTCACAAACTATTTTTTAATTAATTTTTTTTAAGAAAAAAAACCCCCTCCACGTGGTTTTGTATATCAAGAAGAGTCGTTGCGTGGACCACGTTGCTGGCTGGGATGATCCATAGTGGGTCCTAAGCTAGCAGGGGCAGTCGTTGTAGAATAAGATGGGTAATTAAAGTCACTCCAGCCTTGCGTACTTGGCGGTGGCTGTGTATTTTGATAGTGCTGGTGATGCTGCTGCTGCTGATGTGTATGCTGTGGCTGCTGTGGCATCTGAGAGTGGTTATTATTAATATCCGAGGGAGCGCCACCAAATGTATTAGCGCCGCTCGTTGGACTGGAGACTGATATCCCATTGTAAGCCCAAAATCCTGAGGATTAGGACCAGGGGTTGTGGGACTGGCTGGCATCATGGGCCCGGCGAGCCACCATTATACTGGCTTGATGAAAGATGCCGTTGATGAGACATTATGTGTGGTGACTGCTGTTGCTGATGGTGATGATGATATGTCGGACCCTGTTGCGGAGAAACCGGAGGGTTGAGACGAAGGAGACTGACCTGAATATGTTAAAAGCTCTTGGCTGCGAGACATGTATCGGAGCGAGGATGGTGATTCCGGAAGCGCGCTGGAACTACTGTTACTATTAGAGGCAGAATTGTATCCAGCGTTGGCCGAGAAGTATGAAGTACTATTTGTAAGGATGCTGGGTATGCCGCTGCGACTGTTGCTGTAAATGGTGTCGATGCTGTTGATGTGCTCCACCAAGATGTGATTGAATGGATTGATAAGCTCCTTGCTGAGAGTGCACCGAATGAGTAGATTGCTGATGATAAGATTTGATAAAGGGCTCATAGCTGAACTCTCTGTAATATCTGTCTCGATTCTTAGATTCAAATTATTGTGGCCAAAGGTAACAGGTGAGAAATCATTATTTGGGCCGACTGTGTGCTCAAAGGACCCGCTAACAGGCCTAGAGTGTTGATTTTGAGCAGATGATCCAGGCTTGTTAAGGACTTTATTAAATTATTATGCAGAAAAAGAAAAAAAGAATAAATCATGTTAATGCTCGCGGATGAATTGAAATAAGGCACTCTGCTAGACGTCCATAGAATCAAGTGTGCTGTTTTCTTACGTTCATATGGTTGCTCTACAGTAGGGGGATACGAAAGTTTTGTTTGATTAAAAACTCCGGACTGATCTCAAGGCCTACCAACTCGGGCACAGACGAAGGAGTACGAAGTCTCCCTCCTAGAACGTCTTCCCTGGAATAGTACGAGATCATATGCTGAGGGACACCATTGACAACGATGGACATGGTCTTCTTGATCAAACCGTTTTTCTTGAAGTGATAAGAATTCGTTAGAGATCCAACAAGCGCGCGTTCCTTGCTTTTTTCGACCGCAGACTCTATGTCACTTGGACTAGAGCGGGAGGCTCGCTCGGAAGGCGGGTATCCTTCCTGCCGTTGCTACGCTTGTCTAGCTCGCGGTAGACTAGAAAGTTCCCAAGGATTCGCGAGGGTGACCAGATAAGACCATCAGTCCAACGTTTAATACCCGATTCACGCTCATCAAAGACAAAGACGGTTCCCGACTGGACTATACGGCGCTCTTTCTCCTGAAGGCGGCGACAAATGCGAGGCAGAAGGCCTCGACGACACGCTTCAAAGATAAGGAGTGTGTCTTGGGTCGTCTCGACATAACCGTGAAATGTCTCGACAATACTCATAATAAATCTGATAAGGACCAGGTTTTAAACAGATAGGGTTGATTGGAAAACTCTCTTGGAGGGACTGCAGATGAGAAAGGTGAATGGATGAGGAAATGAGATTCTGTTAGCGTCTGATGAGGACTGGAAAGTGAGCGCGCGGTGCGTATGGTGACATTACGACTCACATATTACACACTCAGCTCCATTTTTCTCAATGTAATGTTATTTATTATTTATATCAGTTTTTTTAATACTTCTCCCAAAGGTCCCTTTTTTTTTTTTTTTTTTTTTTTTTTTTGGGTTGTCACCCATCTTATCCCTGTCCGCGTCCCTCCCAACGTTCATTTATTTTTTTAAGGGACCATAAGATGCCTCCAACCACCAATATTTTTCTGTTCCAACCGAAAAACAAGCTCAGTTACGTCTTTCTTTGGATCATTTCGTAAAAGACAGAGATCGACAGTGCATCATACATAAGCATAATTAAAGGCTTAAATTACAATGAAGACTACAGCCGGACAGCTCAATGTTCTTTCGATCTGGAAGTGGTTGTTCAAAATAAAAAGAAGTAATAAAGAAAAAAAAAGAAAAGAAAAGAAAAAAAAGAGTGACAGAAATAATATGGCAGCGGCGTGTGTTGGGCTAGTCTCCCTGATTATTTTTTTTTTCTTTTTTTTTTTTTTTTTTTTTTGTGTTTTTGGAGCGGAGAGAAACGATGACATGTTGGCCTTTTGGTGTCAGTAAGGAGAAGCAATACGTCTCACAATGCGCTCTTAACTCTTCTTTTTCCCTAATGGTCCTTCCTGTACCCGCATTATTGTATATCATTGCATGAACAAGAGCTCCCTGATCTTCCGTAAAAAAGAAAAAAAAAAAACAGAAATAAAGAAATAAATAAATAAAGTAAAAATAAAGAGGGTAGTGGTGTGTTCATAAAGGACATTGAAGCACAAATAAAAAACAATATTTTGGCAAAGAGCAATCCCCGCTTCGACCATGCGGACAAAAAAAAAAGGGAGTATGGCTAGGGATAAAAAAAAAAAAAAAAAAAAAAAAAAAAAAGATCCACAAAAAATAAATGGGTCCCGAAAGAATAGAAACACTTATAGATACCCATAAAGAGATAGGGAGAGATATAGTGTGGAGCGCATAAAAAAAGATTCTCGACGGGAAAGAAATATGCATTTTAGTCCGAAAGACACGCCGTAATGGATATGCTTCTGTGTGATAGTGTGATAGTGTGATAGTGTGATGGTGTGATAAAGTTACCAAGGACAATGCGGAGCAATTGTAAAAATGCCACGAAAGCTTATAAATTCAGTTCAGTGTCCTTTTGCGCTGCCTCCAGCGATGAGCCTATGAAATGGCTACAGATGTGCTTATTGTACTGTACTACGGTTCACTTATTTGCAAATACGTAACTGAACAGGGCCAATGGCCATACGTGCAAATATGAAAAGGGCGCGGGAGGGATGAGGATAAAATAAACAATGTGTGAACCAACCTGAGCAAAGTACTTTGATTTGCAGCTTTGTTTGTTCAAAGGATGACAATCAATTCAATACAAATTTAGGGGGAGATTCAGAAAAAAAAAAAAAGAAAGTGCTCTTTTTAAATACTTTAATTCAGCCTTGATCTTGTTGCGAGCGTAAAAATTTTAGGGTAAAAATTTCTTGCAAGAACAAGTCCAGAAAACCAAAAGTGTGGAATGAGAGGACTTTTAGGAATGAGCAAAACGATGAGATGCAATGAGAGGAATGGATGAGGGCACTTGTAGGAAACAAGAAATAAAATAAAAAAGAAAAGACTTTTTTGATGTATTAAAGCCGCTTTTCTTTTTCATTTGTTTTTTTTTAGATAAACAATGGGTCTTGTGGATCAGATCTTTGTGCGTTAAATATTCTAACGGTGCAGCGAAAAGAAGAAGATAATGGTGAAGCACTGTGAAGTACTCACCGTTATTGTAATCAACACGAATCAATGAGGAGAGCAATAGAAGGAGGAGTAAGGTTCGATGTCAAGAACAATGAGATTATGAAGAGAAAAGGTTTTAACGAGAAGGTTTAGAAAGTGTAAATGTTCGATGCAACAACAACAAAAAAATAAAAAGAATTAGAAAAAGCTTGAAAAGCCTAAAAACTGAAAAAGAAAAAAAAAAGAAAAAAAAAAAAAAGGAAAGATGGAGAAAGAAGTAAAAGAAAAGATCACACCAATACTCCAAAGAACAATGTCTAGTTAAAAAAAAAAAAAAAAAAAAAAAAAGGACCTCAATGTTCCGTGTATGAGGATGAGAGAGAATGGAAGTGGGACCTGCATGGTTCGGTCCGCCCTAACTTTCTTTATTACTCTCACCCAAGTAACCTAATTGCTAAAGAAAAACGACAAGATTAAGGTCCTTTGCAGGAAAAGCAGGTAAGTCCGACACCGACCTTGCCCTACTCAAGAAATTCTGTACATCCATAACTCCCCGTGGAAACCTTCCTTCAATGGTTTTCTAAGCTCTTTATTGTTTCACTTTATCTGGTGTTTGATTCGTAGTCTTTGATGTCATACCTTTCTCCTTTCTTCCACACTTGTGATCCTTAAAAAAAAAGGAGATGGTGTCTGTATTTAATATTTTGATGTTAGGAAAGATGTTCGAATGATTTTTTCTCTCTTTCTTTCTTCAAAATACGCGCAGGCATGTGCTTCGTTCTTAGAAATAGTGTTTGTCTTTAATGACCCTTGCGTTGTGCAGCATTACATTATTCCCTACACTCTATTGACGTCCCTTTTTTATGTGTATGCCAAATCTGTCTTTAATCAACGGATATCAGTTTAACAAGAAAGCATTAGGCAAAAAAAAAAAAAAAAAAAAAAAGAAGGATCCATATTCAAGACCAGGTAACACACATTGATGAATAATGCTTCACAGGTGAAAATTGTAGACCCTAAAACCCTTATATCTCAACATGATGAGAAACTATGTTCCTGAGAAATTGTGGCCAGGAAAATGTATTACCATTCTTGCTGCGTTGGATTGCCATTGGTTCAGATTCAAAATTGGGTAACCTCTTTTATTTTTTTTTCTATTTTATTTCGCAGATGCTTATTCGAACCTTTTTTTACTCTTATTTTATTTGCCTCTCCTGTGTACATGTACAACGTGGCTATTACAACACCGGATTGAGTTTCGAATGATACCAGAAAAGAAGGACCTTGAGAGACCCTTTCTTTTTTTTTCATTTTTTCTTTCCTCCTTCTTTTTCTTTCCTTCTTTTCTTCTTCTTTTACTTTTGATCAGTGGTGCCAGTTAACCGGTAGATCACTTGACGTCTCACCAAATTTTTTTTTTTTTTTTTTTTTTTTTAAAAAAAAAGTCAAAGGCTCACATATCCAAACGTTTTGTATACATGTACATGGCATATGCACGCTCTCATGGAAAATGTTTCGTGTTACTGTTGCTGTTACGCGTCGTAAAATTGTAGACGTACATGTACGTACTACCACCATAGTACAAACATCCGGAGAATTAATTAAGAGCTCGGAGAAAGAACACGCCCCTGCAGGAAACATACACAGCCCTTCCTCTCTATAAGATTTGGACCACAGTTGACGAATCAACAGCCAGGAATTCAGAAACACAGCTTATTGGAAATTGCTTCGTCTGTTCCAACTTCCTTGGCTTTGGACAACCCCTTTGTTGATAAAGGTGTATTTCTCCAATAAGGCTCCCCTTGTTTAAAGCTAGGCTTAATGCCGAAATTGCTCATGGTCCCTTCTTGCCTCCAAGTACCTTCGAGGTCACGGTAAAAGTTGTCGGGCGCCTTGTAACAAGGAAAGAAATTAGGCAAAGGTTCGTGCTTGGAATATGCACATATGCTGGTCTAATCCTTCTTTTCCAGAGATGGCCAACTTACTGATGCATGAGAGCCTCGTGGAGCTTCAAGTACATGCACAGTGCTGTTTTTTCACAAGAGTTTAATCAAACTTTGAGCATATTCGAAGTTTCGGCGGGGATGTGACGATTATACGTATATACCATGGAACAAAAAACAAAAAAAAAAAAAAAGCAAATCAATGCAATGCAAGGCCTAAGAAATGTCTATTTTTGATATCTTTATCAATCCTTGATTTTACTCGTCAAATTGACCCTCTCACTCACTCACTCAACTCCGATCTCTGTCTATCTTTTTTTTTTTTAATGTTACTTGCTTGGATTGATTTCTCCCAAGAACATAGTTTTATCTGAACTGCATGAAACAACTATTATTCGGGAAGCATCCATAATCATGAAAAATAATAAGCCGAAAAGGAAAGGAAAAAGTTAGTAAAAGTATACATATATGAACCAGTAAAAAAATAAAAACAATAGAAATATAAAAATATCAAAGCCATGCAACAATTCTATATTTACCAATAGGTTCTTTTGGATGAAGTCTACTTCATAGACAGATCCCTTGTCCTGGCAGTTATAGAGGATCTTACGTGTCACAGTGCCCAGATGACGACGGTTCTGTCTCCAGAGCCTACCCAATCATGGCTCCATCTTTCGACCATGCAGGACGGACTAGGTTCTTTTCAAACCCATGCGGTGCGCCTTCGAACGTCTTGAGCAATCGATTACCCGTTGCTGAAAACGGTTTTACATCCCAGGTCCTCACCGTGTTATCCATTGCATTCGACAAAAGCTGATTACCATCCGGTGATAAACTAATCCCCGAAATTGTATCTTGATGTCCCACCAACGAATATGAAACCGCCTTCTTCCGCAAATCCCATGCTGCAATCGTATTATCAATCCCTCCTGCAAATACCAAATCACCTGCATCCGAAAATGAGACCGCTGTGATCTGATAGGGCGACTCAAATGTTTCAACTGCATTTTTGGATCGAAGATCCCAAATCTAGTAGAGAAATATCAGGAGAAAGCATAAAAAAAACGCGTTTTAGGTGTTTCATTAGAAATATTGGAAAACAATAGACACATATATTATATAATAAAGAACCAGTATCACCGTCTCTAGGGTCTCTCGTGCTTTTTTTTTTTTTAATTTTTTCCATATACCTTGACTGAACCATCATCAGATCCACTAGCAAGCAATTCGGGTCCTCTTCTTGCTGGTGAACAACTGTTGACAAATGTTGAATGACCCTTAAATCTTTTAATTCTTTCGCCCGTCTGCACATCAAAAACACCACAGCTTTTGTCTGTACCAGCCGTAAAAATCATACTGCAATCAAATTAATACAAAAAAAAAAAAAAAAAAAAAAAAAGAGTATTAACTGTGAGTGGTTTCGCTTCCTATTTTTCCCTCAAATGTTAACATTCCATGCTTGTTTACAATTATATCTTCCTGCATTTATATGTCCATAATTGATATACCTATTGTCTCTCGACCAATGAAGCTCCGAAATAGTTCCTGAATGTCCTTTGATGTCTCCATAGTTATTGCAATCTCCATATGTATTCCAAAGATCTGACGTGTATTTATTAATGAGAACAATAATGATTAAGGATCATTGGGTAGTTTATATTTCTATTTATTTATTCATTCATTTTTTTAAGAAGAAAAAAGATAAAAGATTAAAAAAAAAAAACTTACTAATATTGCCTCCCGTTCCTGCAGATGCAATATGCTCTCCTGAAGGACTGAACTTGCAAGTATGGAATTCTGATTGACCCTGTAATAACAATATTGGAGCCTTGAGCGCGGACGTTCTCTTGACCTAATGTTATATGTATTTTTAAGTGATATTAGCCACCAAATCCAATGATCCATGACTTTTTTTTTTATGATAATAGTAAAAGAAAAAAAGGGATTTCCGTGTCTATAATGCTATCCAGCGATCACTTCGTTTGTTTAGATAATGAGTATATTTCCTTCTTCTCATCCCGTATTGACTTTTTTTTTTCTTTATCCATTACAGTTTGAACAAGTGCTCCACTGGCTCCCTTTGTCTGGATCGTGACAGCATTCGATTGTGCACCAGATTCGTCTGCTTTCTGGCGTTTCACAAGCGCCCCTTCTGATGTTGGTGGATCCCTGCGCTTATCCATTATATATTATAAAACCGGTGTAAAAAAAAAAAAGAGAGAGAGAAAGGTGTTCGAAAGGAGTGATGTGGTAATTGTAAAAAAAGAAAGTTGATCACTTCACTATTAAAAAAGTTTGATGGTCGACAGTTGAAAATTCGCTTGGAAATAACATTTTTGCTCGGAAATAACATAGTTACACGACTTCTCATTCAAGTTCAAGAAGCTTTTTTTTTTATTTTTTTGACTAAAGTGAAGAAATATTCTCTTTATTTATGACGTGAAAATTGTTTTTAACTTTTCTTCGAATGGTTCACTCTCCCTGAGTTAAATATCTACGTTATTGTCATGGATCACTTTTATAAAATAATATGGATAATCCGATGAATATATTTATGTGAATGTGTGTCCAACGGATTCACAAAAGCATTTTTTTTTTTTTTGTCTACTTGATAAGAGTGGCCTCGACTTCAGCAGCAGTAATATTAGCAAGACGCGAGATTAAAGTCTCGTAAAAGTCAATGCCCTCCAAAAAGATATCTTCATGCATACGCTCATCATGATCGTGCAACAACAAAGGCGTGTTCTTGAGATACGAAACACCCAAGGCTGGAATACCAACTTCACGGAGATAACGTGAATCCGTTCAGCTAATTTTTTTATGTTAATGTAGGAAAAGGATAGAGTTTAATATTAAAGAGCTAAATAGTCTTTTTGCTGTAACAAAAAGCAGTTGCCATGGCAAAGTAGTTTTTTTTTTTTTTTTTTTTTTTTTCTTACCTGGGAAAATCTCAGTCTCATACTCTACGTTCATACTCTTGCAGGCTTCACTGAAAACCTTCCACCAGATGTTAGATTCATCAATAGAAGTAAGTGTGTTGTCAAAATGGCCATTGACAAACTCCATGGTGACGCTAAAAAAAAAAAAAAAAAAAAAAAAAAAAGTCGTTGTTATTTTCATCCGCAAGCATTCATAACTTAACAAGGAAAAGAAAAGGCTCCCTTATTTTATTTTATTTATATTTTATTCCTTACCCTGGCTGAGATGCAACCATGCTCTCAAGTTTAGCCTGGAATTCCTTCATATCGAAGAAGGGGCTTACACGGATATCAAATCCGCAAGTAGCTTTCATGGGAATAACATTGAATTGAACGCCGCTCTAGAATTGATGTGATTTGTTAATCAAAAATGATGAGCATAATGCTTAAGTCTATCATTGATAAGGTATGTAACCCTGGTTGATCCACTGAATATTTAAATATTATTACCTGCAAGAAAGTCAGATTAATGGTAGTGACATCTCCAAGTGTGTAGCGCTTGCCATTGTGATGCAATCCAACTTCAAGCAACTTCTCTTGCTCATTTCTCAGCTCCATAAACTTCTCAATCACCTTGAGCAGCTTGGAGGGGGCAGTATCCTGGATGAATTGCGACCCATGACCTGTAGGGCCTGTAGCTGTGATTTTGATCACCATGGCATACGCTCACCATAAAAGCCTTCAGTGCATTCTTGGGCGCAATACCCTCATCCAGGCGAATCCAACATTGAGACGTTTAAAATCTGGATTGATGTACAAGTAACTTCATGCCCTCGACGCCTCCGACTTCCTCCTCTATTGATCACAGATTAATGATTATTTGATTAGTTACTGCAATTGTGTAACTATCAGACCAAATAAGGTAAGGTTACGCAGTAGGCGGCATGTCTTTTTTTTGCGTGATTTTTCTTAGTGTAAATGCAACCCTCTCTCCTTCAATCAAGGGCAATTGTGAGAAGACGGGTAAAACTGAATGCTTGCGCTACCACAACATTGATGTGAACTCTCACGCCACAAAATAAAACAATTATTGTACAAAAAATAATTAAAATAAAGTCTACGAAATTGCTCTTGCCTGGGACCACATGTAAGGTGAATAGTTCGGAGCGGCTTCTTTCCTGCAGCACGATAGCGGCGAATGACCTCGAGATAACTATCACAATACATAAAAAAAATGAAACAAGGAAAATGTTAGACATTCCATTCAACTCAAGTGAATTTTTTTTTTTTTTTTTTTTTTTCGCTTTTTACCTGCTGCCAACACATTTCATATCTTGGGATCCACGGGCATAGATAAAGCCATCTACTTTGTTAGCTGCGAATGGATCCTGGGTCCACTTATCGAGAAAGACAGGCACCACATCTGTGTGGCTGTTGAGTAGGAGTGAAGGCAGACTAGGGTCTTGACCTTCCAAAGTCATGAACACCGTTGGTTTACCCTTCACACACTTTTTTTTATGGAATCAGAAAAGAGAAAAAAAAAAAAAAAAAAAAAAGAAATGAGTTTATTGCAAGAGAATGAGAATGAGGGTTCCAACAAATGTTTGTCATGGTCATTACCCAACTCACTACATGGTATGGAATACCAATCTCCTCTGCCTGACGAATCAGGAATGCAGTACTACCAGCATAGTCGGGGGTGGGTTGCATAGTTTTGATTCGCAAATACTCGCGGAAACGAGTGACTGCAGGGTGTTCAGTTGCGTCAGGATAGGTCATGATATGGATACAACACTGCAATAAATAGATGAGTAGGTAGATGGAGTTTGTCTATAAACGAAGAACGAAGCTGAGTTGGCGAGAAGGAAAAAAGAAACAGAAGAAGAAGAAGAAGAATAATAAGAATAAATACAGATGTATATATTACTATCAGTTTTTTTGGGAGTAGAGACGGTCGATTCAATCCTTATTGGATGTAGGATACAGATTCAAATGCAAAGCATTCAGGGACGCCTTCAAGTTTCCCATGTAGCATTAATTGTGAGAAAATTGACCTAAAAGGGTGGAAGAAAATACTCTCACAGTCTCGCTCGAGCACCGAATGGAAATCAAAGGGACAATATAGAGGTTCCAATGGAGATGCTTCATGACACCATTTCTCTGTGCCTAATTTATTGAAGACAATAAAACAAAGGTATGATAAACCCCATACCCAAAACCTCGAGCAGAATATAATTGACCAATAGTTTTGCTCACTTCAACGTTTCACTGCCATCTCATGTAAGCCACCTTAACCATGTGTGAGAATTATCAAACGATCTGCTAATTTGTGAAAATGAATAATGCTCGACGAGAAACATTATAACCGCGCCTTCAATCTCAATGGTCCTATCTCTATTATCTACAGATCTAGTCATCAATTGGGCGTTTCTACAGAGCTTCCTTCGCCCAATTCTCTTTCGAAGCGTTAGAGCCGAGCTCACCTCTTCGGATCATCACATCCTGACCTGTGGAGTCTCGCGTCTTTGGTGGCATATCCTCTATCATGAATTCTAATGTTGAGTTATTTTGGGCAGATGTCACATGGGGTATGTCCAAAGATACCTCCATCTCTTTGTTTTCCTTCCTGTTTTAAACTCGATTGCTCCATAGTTCCTGCCTCAAATGGTAGAAAGAATATCAATCTTTATTACACTGCATACTTGTCCTATCATTTCGATTCCAACCAATCAGTCCATGAATTATTAAGACTAACTATATTTCATACTTTTATTTTCTTAGTTAATGAAGAAGTGGTGGCATACACAAAATAGGAGTGCTAGCACAAGTCGGATAAATGCTACTTCAGAGATTAAGATCAATCCGTAGGTTTCTTTTCATCTGCAATTTACAACTTTGACGCGTTGTTGACTATGTCGTGAATATCAGCATTGCTGTAAAAAGCCACCTGTGTCTTGGATTTTGGATGAACTTCAACCCTGCTTGGTGTCACGCCCACCACTTCCACCGTATCTGAGGTCCGACTAGCGCATGCTCTTCGCCACCTTATCTACACCGACACTTGCTTTCTTCTCGCCACAAATCCACTACCGGCATAAGCAGATCAACTGCCATTTCTGCGAACCGGTTACCAGATTCACGAGGTTCAACAGGCTTGAGGAACCCAGGTTGGAAAATACTCACTCGCTCAAAGCCAATCGCGGCCAATGCATTCTCGGTTTCACCTTTAGTCTTGGGATACAAGAAGAATGATTTCTCACTCGCATTTGCAGAAGAACAATAGAGGTAATGAACCTTTGATCGTCCGGTCCTGGATCTTTTGGTGCTTTCTCATGGACATAACGGGCCGAGTCCAGTACGTATTGTTGATCAATCTTCTTGAAACCCTCGGCTCCTCCTGCGGCTGCTCGTGTAGTTCCCAAAGTACAAAACACTACCTGAGGCAAGTCCGATTGTGGGAATGTCTCGGTGATGTTCTCAAAATCAACGACTTTTTGCTCAATCACTTCTGTATTTGTAAAACTACCGTCGTCTGTTTTGACGGGGCGGCGGCCAAGGGTGAGGACATGAGTGAAAGCCTTGGAGGCAAGAGCATCACGGACAAGACATTTCCCCACCGCACCAGTGCCGCCAAAGATAAGAGCCGAGTTCTTTGAGATAGTCATGAGCAAAAGTTTCAGTTGGATCTTTTTTTTTTTTTTTTTTTTTTTTTTTTGCCTCCTTTGTTACTTGAGGGTGAGGTGATAGATGGAATTATTCGTATATTTAAAAAAAAAAAAAAAAAAAAAAAAATTGCTTATGGCCGTATATTGTTGTTCTCGTTTAAACTGAATGCAATGAAAGACGAATGAATGAATGAATGTGAAGAAAAGGAGAGAAAGGGGAGAGGGGTGAGAGGGAAAAAATAAGAAAAAGGATGTGCTTACCTATTCTGCATTTTGTTTCGCTTATTTATTTACCGCACCGATCATTTTCATAATGCCCCAACGTTACGCGTCTGTCGTCCTTCTCCGAAGTTTCTCCTCAAACAGACCTTTTTTTTTTTTCTCTGTTGTTGTTTGCCCCATCCTTACAAATGTCTTGGTGCTATTTATTTCTCAAGGCCTTCACGTTGGCCTTTGGAAATGTTGAATGATCCGGCAGTAGATCTCTTTTGATTAGCCCTTTTCAAATATAAATGGTTTACTTAACAAAATCTTATAATTGAAAAGGACTAACCAAAAAGAGCGACAAGCTTGACCCCAATATATCGGCCATAAAATAAGAAACACATTCTGTATAATTGACGTATTTATTTATTTTTATACATTTACTAAAAGGACGGATGTCTTAGTAGATGTAAGGGAACAGCTTATATGGTAAAGCTTCTCGTACTCTCCAGTACTTGCCATACTTGCCCTTGCAACGAGTGTGATCGCGCTGGATACGATGAAGGAGCAGATATTCATGTAAATGATGTAAAATAAGGCAAGAGGTGCTTGGTACGCAGGTCATGCACATGGCCAATGCCATCATCAAGTCTCCGACAAGTTGAAGTGGCGAGAGAGACCCCAGTAACCTGAGCAGAGCAAGAGAGACTGTGGACTTTCCATCTGAGGTTCACGAATGAGGTACGGATCACCTTGGCTGGCTTTCCCCAGATCATGCATTCGCCGTTAGTGGAGCGGACAATGTCCTTCTGATGGTTGACAGAGCGGAAGATGAAGTATCCAGTAAAGCCGATGGCAAAGATGATGGCGAATTGCACAGGCGTCAAGTCGACAGGGTTGCGGAAGAGATAGTGTGACTGGAGAGTGTACTATTATATGAAATAAGTAAAAAAAGAGAATGAGCATAAGCATGAAATATAGGTATGGATATGTATATGAGCACCAAGGGTGAATAATCATGCTCCTTGCTTAATGAATCACTGTTTATGACTAACTAGTGGTAGTACTTACCAACCAGGGCAACCAGACGGCATCACCCCAGGCGAGGTAGAATCCAAAGTGATCATGAGCAATGTCAATAGTACGGAGGTACCAGTCCTCATTGTAGAAATAATCGAGGACATAGGTACCATGGAGTAAGATGAGAAGAATCATCGAGTTGGTGACATAACCAATCTTCTGGTACTGAGCTGCGGCAAAGGAAAGGTCGATCATAGTCCAGGCCACAATACCGGGACGACCATTGTGGAAGAGCTTAAAGTCAAAGTACTTGCCAATACGGGGGTTAAATTCGATACCCATCAAAAGATCATAGATGAACGAGCCTGAGAACTTGCGATCAGCAGGATGAGAGGGGAAAACGCGGGCCTTGAAGTAGCAGAAGAAGGTCAAGAAGTATCCGTACATGTTGGCAGCAAGCAAGAGACCACCCCAGTTCTCCTGAATGACTGAGAGTCTCCACCAGCCAAAGTACAGTCCGCCAGCAGCAAAAATGATGTGTGAAATGATCCAAGCAAGCAAGCCATTAACCTATAAGAAACCAAAAAAAAAAAAAAAAAAAAAAAAAAACACATTCAGACGCGTTTTTTTCTGTTTCAGTAAAGCAAAAAAAAAAAAAAAAAAAAAAAACCCTCGCCATTGCTTGATAAAGGAGTGCGTCGTATACAGCAATACACCATTTTTCCTTTTTCTTCCTTTTCTTTGTTACCTTGTAGGGGAAAGGTGACCAGCAGGGGTGCGCTGACCATAGCCAATCTTGGCGGGCAAGAAGGCATAGAGAGCAGCCTGGAAGAGCAGCCAGCCGAAGGCGATACGAGTAGCATGGGGCGAGAACCGAGGGACTTCACGGATTAGGAGGGTTTTGAGAGCCTCCATGTGGTCAGGCGCGTTGTAGACCTCCAATGCAGGTGCAGACATGGCACATTCATAGGCATTGCAGGAAATGTATTGTACATCACCCACAAAGGCGACATAACCAGAATTCCGAGCGATATCAAGATCGTGCCAAACGAGACATCTAGCGAAATCAATAAAAGAAATGAATGAGAAAACGCACACATTTCAATGTTTTCACTTTCTTGATTTCTTCTCATTCAGGAGATTCCATTTGTATTCCTCATTTGCAAACAATTGAGGAAGGTAACAAGTCAGAAAGAAAGGACGTTCCAACCCCAGTTCAAAGGGAAGCCTCTTAGTCTTTTTTTTTTTCTTTTTTTTTTTTTTTTCTTCCACTCATTTCCTATTTGAAGAGGGTTCGTGGGTCTTTATTGTGTTGTTCATTTTTTATTTTTACCTCGATCGCGTCCCCATGTCTTGCCGACCTGAGCATCGATTTTGTTTTCAACCTTTGTCTCTTGAGGTGATGGTTTCCTCTGCACAGCCATGGCGATGAAGTGGAAATAAGTAAGAAGAGAAGGATAAAGAGGAAAGAGTTGTAGAAGGAAAAAGGAAAAAAGAAAAAAAAAGAAAAAAAAAGTGGGATCTTTTGTGTGGGGAGAACATCAAAAACTCCTTAATCACGGTTAGAAAACAACTTTATCTAAAATAGCATTTTCTCAACAGTCAATAAGCACTGCTTTTTTTTCCTTTTGTTTGTTTGTTTGTTTGTTTGTTTGTGAACTGAACACACAATGACACAGAGAACAGACCTATCCATTGACCCTCTATCTCATTATCTGTTCTTACTAAACAACTTGACCATTGTCCTTCTCTTCCTTCCTGAATGCTTAGTTGGATTGGATCCGATTACTTTTTTTTATCATTTCAAGCATTGATTGATGCCTTGTAATTGATCATTGAAAGAACGAGGAGGAAAAGTTTCACACGCATAACGACTGGAGAATTAGAGGATTGCACATGTACAACCAACTGGCAGGACAAACAGGAAAGGCTGGTCGACTGGTTGTGATACAGGATGTGGAGGCAAATCAGAACACATTTTGATTGAATTACTGGTAAATCCTACCCAAGAATTTGGCGTGTAAGAAAGGGAACTGTGTTCCTTTTTCGAAAATGTGATCTGATTTCCACAGTGCATTTTGATTGGCTGACGCGACTATCATTCCATTTTTTTTTTTCATTTCTGGCGTCAGATAAGGTGGACCTCTTTTTCATTAGCTCACGTACAAGGAAGACTTGATTCTCGCCATCATAATTATAATTCATAACAGCATTATATATGTATATAGATGTATATATATATAATAGACAGTGAGGTTTAATGCTTGTGATCTGTACGTAGTAAAAACAGTATATTTATAAAAGCCTTTTTTTATTATTTAGGTCAGGGTATGAAATGAATGTATCTATAAAATCTTTATATGGCCCAGACAGTGTCTGCAACAGCAGTCCATAAGCTGTCTCGGTTCCATGCATTCTCTGGGGTATAGGCAAGCCGATGAGCCGCAATATGTCTTGCTGGGCTATAATCTAATGGAATCGTGTCATTGCCAGCATAGATCTCAATAAAAGGAATGGAGCAAAAGCCCTTGTACGGCAAACGCATCAATTTTGGAGGTGGAAGTACTGACAAATCCTCAAAGCTCTCAATTAGCTCGTCCAATGTTATAATCGATCCACCAGCATACGAAAACATGGACAGAGCCTCAGACACATAGTCACTAGTGTTGTTCCTGCCACTGCCATTATCCCCGGTGGTGTTGTTGTTCCTTGGATGATGGTAGCCACCAACCGCTACAGCCTTAACCCCATGTTGACGTACAAGGAGGTCACTAAACATGCCACATGCAGAGCCACATAGGCCACTTGTCAGGATCGTGATATTGGCAGCATTATGCAACCATGGATGTTGTGTTCTTCCTGCCAATGTCTGGTTATTGGTATTGTTGAGAGGTAAAACGTAGTCTTCGGCCATAAAAAACAGATCTGTGTATTCAGCAACCCGATCATTGATTTTCAAGGACACAGGCTGTCGGAACAAATCGTCGTTGTGAACTTTTGCTGGGTTGTCCTATTTGCCAATATTTCCGGTTCATAGTAAGTATCTATATCAGCATTTACTAGATCAGCAGCCGCTAGTTTCGAGACTTCAGCTATAAGTCGGAAGCGAGCCGGGTGAGAGTTTGTTTGTTTGTCCTCAGAGGGGAAAAAAACGTTAACCAGATTTGTCATAGAAGAGATATAGCCTCCAGTATTGCCTGTAGTATCAATAATGATATGGGTCACGCTTCTCTGTGCCAGCATCTCCAAATATGATTGGATCGCTGAGACCTCTACCTCATCATCTTCCCATTCTAGGGAAGATATAGCTAGGATGCCCACATTTGGCCTTGACATTAGTTGGTACACAGCTACGGCATCCCTCCCTGCAATAAAAGTAGCGTTTTGGAGGTTGATGGAAGACTTTTGATGTACTACTACTGGAAAGCCTTCTTCTCCTTCCCCTCTTTCAATTTCTATCGATCCCTTCTTGAAAACCAGCTTGTCCTTCCCCGAGTAGAGTCCTTGGAAATAGTCTGCATACTTGCGCTTACTCGTGTGCTTGACTCCATTGATTTTAGACCGGCTTTGCGATACACTTTGTTGACTGTCCTTAAGGCAAGTGGAGCATCCTCAGAAGTGAGTTGGGATTGAGATGTGGCATAGCAAACGTTTTCCAAGAACGAAGTTGTATCCTTGAACGTTCCAGGGGTTGGTCCATCAACGACCAGCCATGGGACACGGAACTTCATGTCTTTGGGACCGTTTACATTGTTGTCATTGCTGTCACATCGTAAGTGGTAGATCAGATCATCGGTTTCTGGTAGACGATTTCTTGCGGAAAATAGACCCATCATATACATATCCCAATTCTGTGTCTCGGGATCACGGTAAACTTCCCCAAGTGCTAAATTAAACCGAGCGCCAGGGTCCTTGGATTCTCCCGTATACTTGTCTGCCCAAGCTTGAATATGCGACTGCGCGTCTTGTTCATTGATAGTCAGCACTTCACAGTCATGAATATCACTGCCACTCATATCAAATACTCGGATGGACTAGAAGCAGATGACAACAGAGAGGGGATTGTTGAATATGTAAAAAGGAAATAAGTAAAGGTATAATGGAAAAGCGGTATTTGTGGAGATTTAAAAAAATAAAAAAATAAAAAAATAAAAAAATAAAAAAATAAAAAAATAAAAAAATAAAAAAATAAAAAAATAAAAAAATAAAAAAATAAAAAAAAGAGTCTTACCTGCTTGCTGTTCACAACTGGGGCATAGAGTGTAAACGGCTGCATAAATATGAACGAGGTATAGCACGTTGCTAAATATGACGAGTGTCCATGGTACGATGGTTAGAAACAGTAGTAGATACCGCTATCATAGAAAAGAATTATACCAATATATTTGATGACTTACGCCAGTAGGAAACATGAGCGTCGTTGAGTGATTCTGCTAGCATGATCAGGTCCTCTTGAAAATCAAAATCCGCGAAATATTTTGTTTGGCGGATCTGTTCAATACGAGCCAAGGCATCAACAGGTTCACTCGAAAAAGGCTGTGTCAAATTAGGCGTCAGAGCAGAATCTCGGAAGATAAAGAAGTCGTTGAAAAGGGTCTGGAGCGAATCAAGTGTGATGTTGGCGAAATCCGGATTGAATTCGATGGATTTGTAGCAAGCTGCGACATCTCGCCTAGTAATCTCTGTCGTTTCTAAATGACTGAGGATCGTGCATGGGTCTGTACTTTCAAAAGAAGGAGAAGGAGGAGGAGAAGATATATCGGCGAGGGAGCGAACGGTGAGTGCAATACAAAGCACCGATACAAGTGCGAGCGCAAACGCGACTGGTTTGTGAGAGTTTGCCATTGGTAGTAGTTTACAAAGAGGATCGGAAATGAGATAGAGTAAAAAAAGAAAAAATAAAGAGGAATCATTACTTTATTTATACTTCCTGAGCAACTAACGGACTGAGAGAGTCTTCGCCATTAAGTCGTCGACAAATATATTTTGAAAAATGTTTTTTTTCTAGATAACGTCTTTTTCTTTGCTGACTTCATTTTAGACTTTTGGGATTACTTTACTGAGCCATCAGTTACTCTTTCTTAACGGTTCCACCAAATAAAAGTCGAAAATTTGCCACCGGCCTTTCCCTTTCTAATGGTTTCACAAGCTTCGCCAAATCTTAACTTTTTGCAATGCACCTCCTGTTTCGAAACTTTCAATGTTACAATTTAAAACAATTTCCCGGTAGGATTTCTATCACTGTGCTTCTTCTTTTTTGAAGCGTCATTCTTTTGAAGTTTCAGCCATTACAAATACTTTCCTTATGAATGAAGCTTTGATGTCATATCATGGAGCTACGTGTTTCTATATTAGACTCGATATCGATAGCCAATCTTAACCAGCTTCAAGTAATAGTACCGTGCTGAAAAACCCCTCTTATCCAAATCCGAGCTCCAAAATAGAGACTTACGGCCTTATGTGATGGTTTGCAAGGGCACGATTAAGGGGCCCTGGCTCCATGGTCGCGCCCGTATCTTGGATATTGTGATCTGACGTGTCAAACTAACTGGATAAAAAATAAAAAATAAAATAAAAATAAAAAAAAAAAAAAAAAAAGCTGTAAAGATAGATATGTCGTCCTGAGGATCCTAACTGAGAGACAGGCTGTAGTTACTTTGAATTATCACTAGAAATAAAGATGTGCATCTATTAAGCTCAAAAAAAGACGCGACGCTATCAAAGTTCTTCGCAACTGTCTTGGAAGTACGTTTTGATATGTTGCTTAAATTATAATATTGTTTATTTTATTTTATTTTTGTAGTCTACTTATTGCTTTCTATCAAAAAGTACACCTACTAAGAGTTAGATATGATGGTTACGTCGGATGCAGCGTTGGATGGACTCGGACTAGAAGATCCTTGAGACGATAAGAAATATGAACTAGGTGATCTTTGAGTTGCATGCATTTCATTAGTAGGGAAGTCATTCCATTGGCTACTGTATTGATTGTTTGGGCTATAATGGCTGTATTGAGAGTTTGGTTGAAAGATGACTGGGCTTGCTATAGCGGCTGTGGGAATAAACACATTTGGGACGTAGCTTACTGTTGCTGCTGTTGTAAGAGCAGGTCCAGAGACGGCAACCCCATCGGTGGTAGTAGCGTATATGGCTGATTGATGATGGTATCCGGGCGTGGTGGCTCCGACACTGTAGTAATGCGGGGATAAGGGGGTATTGTTGTTGCGTCATGTCTGACGGGAATAGGACTGTGCTGATTATTTAAAGTATGTACATGTACAGGTGTATAGTCGTGTACAAGACCCATAGCCACAGCGTCTTGAGGGTGACGCTCAACGATATGACTATTTTGAACTACCGCATGAGGATTTCGGCCGTAGGCATGGGGTGGGGTCTGCTGATTCGGGTTTGTGCTCATGTCTGGTTTTTCACTTCCGCTTGCAAAGGCTTGAGCTCCATCTTTTGATTGTTCCTGCTGAGTCTTTAAGTCATGCAGTTGTCGATCGGATTTCCTCTTCATGTAGAGATAGACGATGCCCGCTAGAGCTACTACGAACAATGCACCAAATGTGCCTCCAAGGATGACAACCATATTTACAGACCCTGATTGTGAAGGCAATACGGGCAGGAAGGGCTCTGCGGGGGACGACTTGGGCTGCCTCGGGGAAGGATGAGATGCATTTACATAGTAGTCTGGTGGAGAATAGGACTTTGTCCACTGACGCTTAGTTAAGTCAAAGATCATCGGTGTGGCAGATACGGTATTGAGGCCATCGTAGCCGCCCCATGAGATAAATTGGTTGCCAATGATGATGCAGGCCGTATAGAGCCTTGGTGTCGGTGCAGACTTCTCCTGAGACCATATGGATGAAGTAACGTTCAAGACGTACAGTGTACTCGTAAAGTTGGTAGGAGGGGTTGCAGTCATATTAGCTGGTATTCTACCTCCAAATATTACGACGATACGTCCATCTTCGCCTGAAAAAAAAAAAAAAAAAAAAAAAAAAAAAAGTATCATCAGAGTTTTGATTATATAAAAGGTAAAGACATGACACGTTATAGCTGCAGATACTTACTAGAGGCCATGCAATGATCTGCTCTAGGCGTGGGAAGATCACCTTTCGTGTCCTAATCAAAGAAAATAAACGTGGCAAGATTAGATAAGATATTGAACTTGAGTGAATAAGCAGACCGTTTGCAGATTGCTCAACTCACTTACAAAAGTAAGCCATCTACCCTCGTTTGTAGCCGTGCCTAAAGAGTACTCCGTGATGTATGCTTGTGGTTCCCATTTTACCTCTACTGTGAGTCCACCCAAATACATGATGGAGTTTCTATAAGCATTGTATACAGCACCTGAGAAGAACCGTGAAGTGAGAACATCAGGTGGGATAGGGGTATAGACGAACGCTTGGTTGCGAGGTGGTAGGTATAGAAGTTATTAGGTCCAGCAATGTAGACAGTGCCTGATTGAGGATCCAAGACTGGGCGAATCGCTTGCATGGGTTCTATTCTGTCTGTGGCCATGACAGAGCGTTCCCACTTGTCTTGCTGGATATCATATGTATTAACTAGGAGCTCTTTGCTGGCATCCATAAAGAAAGTCGTCAAAGTCCGGTTGTCAGGGCTCCCTACGCCATTGTACAGATTATGGGAAGGGCCAGAAGAAAGAGGCTTCCAATGTGGCGTGTGAGCGTCCCAGGATACAGCCAGGTCTAGAGCAAATAGTTGGCCTATGGTCGGATCATCGTTATTGCCAGCCACGTGTTTACCTCCTTGAACATAAAGATACTGCCCCGCACGCATGAAAGCCATCTCCTGGACAGGGGCTGGCACTTGTGCGTGCGAAAGAGCTGTTAAGGCATTAAAGAAAAGAATGACAGCAATAGGTGAGAATAAGAGTTGCATGGCAGTGTTTTTTCGTGAGGTTTGCATGATTGTTTATCCTGCTTGTTTCTTGTGTGGGATTTTCAATGTTTTAGTTTGACAGGAACTGTGTTAAATCGCCCAAACTAATGCTGGCATGCAATGCAGGTGGAGAGAATGAATGAGAAGGTGAGATTCAAGAAGAATGGTGAAGGAGAGGAACAAGCAAAAAATAAAAAAATAAAAAAAGTAGTAGCAAACAATCAAACAAAGAAATAAACACCATGCATGTGCATAGAAAAACACATAATTGATGTCTACTCGCAAATGACTGATCAAAGACAATCAGGCACACATGAATCCGTTATCTTTCTAAGGGATTGAACTTTACATTGGACGCCGTCTGAAGAAAGGGTGAGCAATCTAATGAGCATACTTTCTTCCTCCCTTGCATTTCTCTTCGGAGCAGGAATTTGCCTACATGCCTCATTTCATTGGGCATCTGGAAGTTTAAAGCATGTTTGCAACAACCATCCAGGCACAACTCGCATGTGGTGATGTATTTAGAATGGATAAATCAAACTCTTTGTTGCACAACGTACGATTTGTATACATGTTATATATATAATTGTTTTTTATATTCTACAGTGAGCACCGAAAGGAGTCATATTCAAGGCACAAGATGAACGGCAATTCTAGGCAACGCGTTGTAGCCTAGTGAAAATATCAAAAAAAAAAAAAAAAAAAGACATGGCACAGCAATGGAGCAACATGAAATGTCTGGGTTCATTTGCACATTCAAAAAAAGGATTTCTTTTTTTTTTTTTTATAGGATGCAAGCACAAATAATAAACAGTTCATGATTGGAAGATTATGTTTGTACTGTTTATGCTGTTTATGCTGCTTATGCCATTGACATGAATATGTCAACGCACTAGATAACGATTTTTTTTTTTTTTCCAGAAAAAAGTGACGCAAAGCCCGGTCAATGTCAACACATGCTTGCCCACATCATAGCCAACTTCCATCACCTTCTGGTACGATTGAAGACAAACCCTTTAATTAAAATAAGTAGGAAAGGCAACTGAGGGAGCTTTTTTATAAATATCACCATCTTATGTCTGTGTCTGTTTTAAAGTTGCATGGTCCTGCCTTGTGCTAGTATCTTTTTTTGCCGAGAGTTTCATGGTGGCACTTTCGAAGTCGAGCTCGAAATAACACCAGGGTGTCTCCTCTTTTCATCCAAACTGTTCAGTTATTTGTTCCTTCTTCCTCTCCTCTCCTCCCTAAACCCTTGATGTCTTTTGGCTGTTGTTGCTTACATATTTGAGCTCATTCTCCCATCATACCACTTTAACTACCCTCCTTCTCTCTCTCTCGATTTACATTTGGCTATTGTTTTCGTTTTCCCACTCTTTTCTCCTGCTTTCTTTCCTATTCTTGTACACTATCCTCTCTTCTTCCCTCTTCCCTTATAACCCAAACGAAAATCCCTATACCTCCACTGTTCATTATTATTATTTTAACGCTCAGCCTGCTCTTGTCAATTCTGTCAGACGCAATCGTCCGACATTATACCTTTCTGGTATTTTAGACACTTTGCCTGACAACCATGACCGATGTTTCAACTCGCTATTACGACTCTACTTTCAATGGCTTGATGGCCCAGATCGGCCTCAGCGTTGGCGTTAGCGTCGTTTGTCTTGCTTGCTTTGAATACAATCGTCGGAAAAAGACGCTCGACTATCTCTACTCACCTCGATGTCGTCTAAGTGTGTAAGCTATCCTTTTTGCGCTATTTTTTTTTTTTTCTTCTTCTATTTCTGTATTGTTTATCACTCCTATAACATTTAATCGCCAATCACACTTGTTTAGTGATCCATCTCCGCCAGTATCACGCAAACTTCTAGGTTGGATTATACCGACAGTCAAGTTGAAGGAAGATTCTATATTAACAATGTTGGTCTGGACGCAGTCATGTATTTACGCTTCTTGCGGATGTGTTTTCATTTTTGTGTCTTCAATGGCATCGTTGCCGGCGGGATCTTACTCCCAATTCACTATTTTGCTGGTGGAACTCTAACAGAAGTCGCTCGGATGAGCATCACAAACGTGCCCCGGGACACTAACTTGTTTTGGGGCGCATGTCTTTTTGACGTACGTTATCAGTCTCAGCTGGATGTTTTTATTGTTCAAAAATTACTGGCAGTGGATGGACCTTCGGCGGGAATACACATTACAACGAATTCGACATGGTGAGATTGCAGAACGGTCCATCTTTATTAGTCGGTTGCCTTCCAACCTTCGATCCGATGCAGCACTTAAGCAATATTTTGAGTCTCTTAAGATGGGACCCGTCGAATCTGCAACAGTTGTCAAGGATTGTGGTCGCCTCTCTCAAAAACTGGATCGGAGGGACAGTGCACTCAACAGACTGGAAAAGGCGCATATTGATCTTGCTCGCTCTGTACTTGAAAATGTCAAATCAGGACATTTTCCCGAAGAAGCAGCAACAGTAATAGTATCTGACAAATCTCATGCTACTTCATCTTCAACCACAGTGGATTACGCAACCCTGCAGCAACTTGTGCAAGATCTATACAAAGACAGGAAACACTACAATAAAGTGCGAAAGTCGATTTCTGCGATAGAGCGTGCTCTGGCAACTAGGGGCAATAAGGACACCAGTATGGTTGCTGCAGACATAAACCAACCAACTACTGCTAAACAAATACTTGAGACGACAGCCACCTCTGAGACAGTCGTAGCGCGTCATGACTTGGATACAATTGACATTGTAGTTCATCAGGAACCTGAATCCATTGCGCCTTTCCGGACAGGACTGCAGGAACCAGAAACTAGTACCGTCATTACTACTGGTCGCTATAATGACCCTGGCAAAAACAGTATATGGCATATTCTAGCATCCTTGCGTCGTCAAGATTTGGATGCCTTCCAACCGACCCGGACAGAGAAGCGCTTCAAGAGCGGGGAACGTGTGGACTCAATTGACTACTTTTTGAAGAAGTTTAACCGTCTGGATAGAAAAATCGAGGAGCTTCGGGATGGTTCTTTGAGATACAAATCAACTTCATTTGGTTTTGTCACGTTTAAGCATCATCTATCCGCACAGCTGTGTGCGCAAACAAAATCGATTCGAGGCCTCAGGGGCTGAGTGTGCGCCTGGCAATGGAACCTAGGGATGTACTATGGAGTAACCTAACTGTTAGCTTCCGAAATCGTTTTACCCGCACAGTGGCTGTCAACTTGAGCTCATGGTGAGTACTTCAGATGACTTTTTTTTTTTTTTTTTTTTTTTTTTTTTTCATGTCTATGTCTGAATTCATTTAAAAGCGAAGAAGCTTTGTCAACTGACCACGCTGTTGCTTTTATGGCTTAGGGCTTTAATCATATTCTGGATTTTCCCTACATCATCTTTTCTGCTATTGATGTCATTGACTCAACTTTCGCAACGATTCAAATTCCTGGAGCCTATCCTTGAGGCCTCACCCTTGATACAGTCCCTCATACAGAACGTCCTCCCAATCATCTTTGTCACCATTTTCCTTGCTCTTGCACCAGTTATCATCCTAGGTAATAAGGATAACAATGATGTGGAATAGAGCTCAGAGTCCAATGAGATGGATAGATAGCTACAATAGATATTAACTCGACCCATTTTTTTACCTTCATGACTTCCATCCTTCCTCGTTTTATTGATTTATTAATTTTTTTAGCCATATCCAAGCAAGAACTTCCCGTATCCCATTCAGAACTGGAGGGCAAAGTCTTACAGCGCTATTACCATTTCTTGATCTTCAATGTCCTTTTTGTGTTTATGATCGGGAGCGCGGTTGTCAAATCTATCATCAGTATCCTTCAGGAACCAACCAACATTTTTAAATTGTTAGCCGATCTCTTGCCTTCCGGATCAACAATTTTTCGTATTCTACATCATCTTCAATACTTGTACTCATTTTCTAGAGCTACTTCAAGTGTGGGCGCAGCTTGTGATCCATATCTTTGTTACCGCAAAGAGACTAACAGGAACACCTCGATCCCTTCAGAGAGCCATCACCCCTTGGTGCTTTCAGTACTACTACTATTACCACAAAATATCCTCGCCTTTGTAATCACACTCATATATTCGATTATTAGTCCACTGATCCTTTTGGCTGCCGTGTTCTTCTTTGGATTTGCACTCCTCATCTTCAAGTATCAGCTTGCCTATTGCTATATTCGTCGATATGAAAACAGTGGGCGTTATTTCAGACACGTCTTCCAGTACACATCGGATGGTCTGATCATTTTCAACGTCACCATGATCGGTGTTTTGTGGTTGAATGAGGCTGTGGTCGGTGGATTCCTCATTGTGGTCTTGCTCGGATTCACAATTTACTTCAAGATTGTTTGTGCAGATTTATTCAGACAAGGACAAAATACTTGCCGTTGGATACAGGACTTCGGAACTTTGGGCCTGAACCAGATCCTACGGGTCCGGATACAGAACTAAGATCGAATATATTATCTACTTCTGTCGGGTCCACCTCAACAAGGTCCTGCGCTAGCAGCGCTGCTTCCACTTCCGGAAGAGGGGGGTTGAGAAAGCGTCATATTGGCGAAAACGCGCAGACTGCAGCTACTTCTGTCGCGTCATTGGGCAATTTGACATCAGAGGGGTTGGCAGACTTAGGCAGTAGCGATCCTGTTGGGAGCAGTTCTGGTAGCGGTGGTTCTGGTAGTAGCAATCTGGGTTTGAGCCAACCAAAGACATTTTCTCGATTACGTCCAGCTGCGGGTCAATCGGATCGATATGAAAACTGATGCACCGCGATTCGAATGATGATATTTTGGATGAGAGCCACCTGGAAGATATCGTAGATGAGCCTGCAAAAAGGAAAAGGAAACTATAGCGATATCACGGGATACAAGCAAAGAGGGCAGAGATGATATTATTGATAAGGGTGATGATGATATATGCAGATGCAAGGCCTCAGTTAAATATGGATGACGATTTCTGTGATTATGATAACCATAGTGGAACTTTTGCTACTGGATACGAAGCAACAGCAACAGCCATTGAACTTACTAATGGCGGCTCAGGGCCCTCGGCTGAGGTGGCAACATCTAGACGAAACAAGAGAGCGACGTATGGCGATGGGTTTTTGGCCGACAATAACTATTTCTCCAAGACTGTTGGGCCGTCTCATTTCTTACAGGCCTGTACCGATCCAGCAGCTCACTTTGACCATTCTCCGTCCAAAATCATATATCAGGATCAGACATCAGAGTTTGAGACCTATATTCATCCAGCGCTGTTCAAGCCCTTGAACCGTAAGATGTGGTTACCTAGAAACCCGTTGTATGAGCATTGGGATCTGGATGACACGATGGAAATTGATTTTGCGCTCAACAGTTCAGCTACAGAGGGTAAACTCAAGCTTCGTGTGTATGAAGTTGATGGCATTGGTATTGCTCAAAGTCCTCGGTTTGATCTTCGTGTACTTTGTCATGACACATACGGACCCAACACAGGGGATTTGTCGGCTCCAACATCAGCCGTGGCGCCTTTAACATCTGCCTCTAATTGGGAAGGATGTCTAGGAAGCCCTTCAAATCTCGAAGCCGCTCAGAACTCTGCTCTGCAGAAATCCGTTGCCTCAATCGAGGGAGATGCAATGCCAGAGGAATATGTTGAGGACCAGAACTATGGATGCAACAAATATCATTCAATCGCAATACATTTCCTCCTCGCCGCAGACTTCCTCTCCATGCAGTCAACCTATATCGCTAATTGAGCACTCCAGTTATGTCGCCTCTATCGGTTCACAAGGCTTTACAGCAATCTCTAGATCAAGACGCATCTTCTCTTGCTAGCTTCCGTCCTCGTCGACGCATGACGATCCCAGTGGGACAAGCATCTGATAGTAGCAATGTCAGCCGGAAAGATGCCCTCACGCCGCTATCATCATCTGGAGTAGTGACAAGGCCTCGCGCTAGGACCCCTTTGCGCTCTTGTTCCCATGGCCCTTCCATAATTGAACAAAGTACTGATCAGGACCTAGCCAATAGTAATTCTTTGACATTCCACTTCCCGGGCGTCCGCTGCCTCCAGCAGCACCATTAATGCGTCGTCGCAGCACATTCTTTCCAGCCCAAAATCATTCAGGTTCTGGAGCTGGTACAGTTTCTGGAAGCTCAATTCACATCACACAACCTAAAAATGCGCGAGGCTTTTTGAATATGATTTTCGGTGGATTGAACCATGATGACGACAACGATGATGATGATGGCGATGGAAGGCCTACAGGAACAGATAAGCCCCAGTTTGGATATGAGACAGGCGGTGCGTGGGTCAGTCGACGCCATAACCATACTGAAGAAGATGATACCGATGATGATGAAGATGAGGATGTACCGAAAGCGTTGGGGAGTTCAAGTGCGAATGCAGCTGTAAGCGGTACTGGTGATGGAGATGGTAATAGCAAAGATGGTAGCGGTGGCGCTATTGAAACTGGACCGGATCCCTTAGGACTAGAGGAATCCCAAAAGACGCCTTCACCTGCCGCGAACCTTGATCTGACAGAAACATTACCTGTCCCCAAGGTTAGGGACATATCCAGGAGACGCTCCGAGGGTATTATGAAGCGGACCATGAGTTTTTGGCGCGACTCGGACAAGCCCGATAGATCTGGAGTATAATATATTCTTACTATCTTACTATCTTGCTATCTTAGTACCTTGCTATCCCCTAACATATTATATAATACTTATAATAATAACGATGTCCTCATCGAACAAATGAGTGCACATTCGACAAAATTCCCTACAATCCTATATAAAAACTCACAGGAACCATTTGCTTGTGAGCAGTTAGCAAATGATCCCTTCTTTTTGGAGCCGCCTCCCCAATAACTCGATGAGTGGGTGGAAGAACTTTAGGGCAAGGGAGGTTGAGCCATGACAGGGTCATACTCGTGTTAATATGAACAAATTTGTTTATTATGCCCATTATATGGTTACAAGAATGAAAATATGTTGACTAACAGAAAAAAAGCTTAAAGAGGCAGCCAAAAGCCTTTTTTTTTTTTTTTTTTTACGGATGAATGGAATGATTGAATAAATGAATGATGATGATAATAAAATGATATTAAATACAATCATTTTGGAGGCGCTACGTATCCCAGGTCCTCTCCTACCGGGTGCAAAACCTGGGGAGCTCTAGCAGATTTGGAATCTGAAAAAGCGCTGCCAGAAGAGTCACGGATACTTTGTGGTCCTGAAAGACGGTTTGTGTTCTGCATACTGAGTCTTTGGTCTTTTGAGCTTTTAGGAGACATGTCATCGTATGGTGTTTTGTAAGGGTATGGAGAATTTGCAGACGAAGTTGATGCAGGGGGTGATAGCGGAGGTGCATAGCTGGATCTTTGAGAATATTGATCGTGGTATGCTAATTTCTCTTGTTGTTGAGCTGGAGAATATTGCGGCGAATATTGCTGCTGTTGAAACTGGAGGTGTTGTGGCGAATACTGCTGCTGTTCCTGGTACTGAGCCCTTGGTATTGTACAGGCGGCCACGGGATGACCTTTGCACCGATATCTGGTGGTGCTTCATAGCCTGCAGGTGGTGGTATTTTATACGGGTCCACAAAAGTTTGTGGACTATAAGCGTTCTCTTCGAGCGGCATACCAGCACCAGACAAAGGCCTCGCAGCTGCCGGGTCCATATAGCCAGCGAGAGGGTCCCAATAGCCAGACATTGTATTAGCGCCTCCTGGTAAAGGATGCTCTCCTGGCAACGGATGTCCATACATTGCTCCAGCGCCTGCTCCAGCTATTGCTCCTACTCCAGGTTCAACTGCATAGTATGGGTCTTGTCCTACTCCACCAAGGCCGTTTGTAGCTGCGAGATGATTTGACGTTTGTACCATTGGCCCCATAGAATATCGATTATCTGGATAATGATGAGCCTCAGGCTCACTATCATCCACCATGTTTACGTTAGTGTAACGCTGCTGCTGACGGTTTCCTGTGCGAGGCCCTGCAATATAGCCAAGACCATCATCATAGTCGTCATTTGAAGATGAATGCTTTCCTCCACCTGCACCTCCGCTTCCTCCTACTTTGTCTCCATTAGACACTGGATCTTTCTTCGCAGCCCGTTTCTTGCGCCTTATTATGATGAAGGCAGCAATACATCCTATTAAGACCACCACCCCACCTACAGCACCTCCGATGATAGGCCCTAGATTGGTTTTGTCATCCCATGGGTTGGATCTACGGAAGGGGACGCGGATGGGTCTGAAGTATAATTCTGAACCCATTCATCACGAGCGACATTATAGACGATGGGGATATTATTGTGCATAGTGATGTCTCTTTTGTCTCCGCTTGAGCCACCCCAGGCAATAAACTGACCCTGTGGAAAGCACATGACATTCGAGTACGAGGAGTGCTGGCTGGTGAGCCGGCTTTCCATTGTCCAGTAGTAACATCCAGGATGTGAATATCTGAAAAGAAGGTCGTGTTGTCTAGTGAGCCTCCAAAGAGCACGATCTTTGACCCATCGTCAGCTGAAAATGTACGTCAATATTAAAAAAAAAAAAAAAAAAAAAAAAAATTAGGCATTGTTGTTGTTTGTGTTAGTTGTTGATATTGGCCTTAACATACAAATAAGGCTAAATAAATAAATAAAAAAAAGTGAAAGAGAAGGTGCAAAAGTTTCTTGCCGTTCAAACTTACAAGCTGCAACACAATGATCCAATCGACGTGGAATACTGCCTGAAGTTCTCTATTGTAGCACAAAGGGGGGCGAGGGAACATGGGATGCATGCATGGGAACCATTGTTAGCATAATCTTTGCCCCATTTCGCGGGAAAAAAAATAGGGCGAAGAGATTTTTTTTTTTTTTTTTTTTTTTTGTTTGTTTGTGTTTGTTTACCATGGGTTGCCTCCAAGATTGGGATTTAGGATCATATTCACTCAACGATTGCAAACCAAGTCCATCTGGGTTTGAAGGCGGTGCTCGCGACCCTCCAAAGGTCAAGACGGTTTTTCGAACACTTGACCAGATAGCGGCCACATCCGTAAGGGATGCAGTCTGGGCCGCTTCACTCTGCAGCGAGACAATCGACCGGTTTGAAGGGTCAAAAACCATCAATGCATTGTAGATCCCACCAGTCCAGTAACCTCCAACGATATAGACTAGTCCTGTATCTGGATCTGACACTGCAGTATGACCCTCCAATGCTGTATATGGATTGCTGTTGATGTTGCGCTCACTGGGACAGATGACCATACTCTTGATTCCAGATCATAGGCGTTAAAGAAAGGCTGGGTTGCGGCACCTTGAAAGGCGCCTCCGATTAACAACAGATAACCTTGTTTCCCTCCACCAAGGCCTGCAGAATGCTGAGGTGCCACCCTTACCATTGCATGATGGGTGACCGAGGGTCCATCCGGGAGCATGGACCATGCGGGTGCGGATGTAGGCCAGGATTTGGACAAATCAAGTGACTGGAACTGAGAACTGTATGATTGAATCGAGAACCACCTTGGATATAAAGCGAATCACCACTCTGAGCAAAGGCCATGCGTCGACGACCAATTGGGCCTTCGCTCTGGGCCTCAGTAAGAGGGATGAAAGACAGAAAAGCTGAAAGCACAACAGTTATGGCGAGAAGGAAGAAGTAGGAGAAAGAGGGAGATGAGGAGTGGGTTGCTACGGCACTGTGGACGCGACAATGATAAGGGTGGCCATGACTATGGTGCCTCTGTGGTGGTGCAACAGAGTAGCAAGAAGCACAGCTCTCTTTCATTCTTAAAGAGCAATATGTATATATGGTGGGAATGTCAAAATAAGAAAATGCAGCCTCGAGCAATAGCACTTCGATTATCTACTGTCTGCTGTTAAAGTTTATGTTATAGAGTCATCGACTGGAATGCACAAAAAAAAAGGAATCGAGATGTAATGATGAGAAAGAAAGCAGGAGTAATGTAAAGAAGAAAGATGAGGGGTGAGAGAAGAAGAGAGAGGAAGAGCCACAGGGACCACTTGCTTTGTTTTTTTTTTTTTTTTTTTTTTTTTTTTTTACTTCCTCGCTGACCACACAGGGCAAGAATGCTCCTAGACTTAAAGTCGGTTGGCATGCTTGACCACTCTCGCCCCCATTTTCTCTCTTTTTTTTTTTTTTTTTTTTTTTTTGCCTCTTGCTCTGTTACTCATGGATCTGCACAATGAAGCAGACAAGCAGACATGCAATGAAGGGCTTTGACGCAAAAAAACCCAAAAAATAAAAAGAAGGGTAGTCATGCAAAACAAAAGCCGAACACGCGCCCTTGTAGCTTGTACACTTGTACTCTTGTACCCAAAATAGAATTCGTAGAATCTGTAAATCTGTGCCTGGCCATCTTTATTATCCATGACGGCACTCCCACCACATCATATATATTTCTCGTTCTTTTTATATATATATTTATTATTACTTTACTCGTCTCTACATTAGGTGTTTGTACAATTAAAAAAAAAAAAAAAGAAAAAGAAAAAGAAAAAGAAAAAAAGTCTATATAAAGGTCTATAATGATCTATTCGATTTGCTTGTTTATTTATGAACGATGTCGTACAGGAATGGGGGCTGAATGGAAACGACGTTCTTCCATTGGGGCAGGAGAACCTTGATGCAAAGGATGCTGTTGTTGCTGTTGAGGATGGTGGTGCGAAGATGTCGCCGATGATGATTGATTATAATACGATGATCCATGATGATGATGGCTACTATTGGGTCCAGAAGGATGAGAGGAGAGATAAGATGATGAGGGCGAAGAGGAGTAATGGTGGTGACCCAAATGTGGCGACTGAGGGCGAGGTGACTGAGGGTGAGGCGAGGAAGGGAAATGGTGCTGTTGATGCTGGTGTGGGTGCATAGATGAATAGCTGGGGAATGATTGAGAATAAGAATCAGGACTTCCAGCACCTGAACGCGAGTGCGAGTGCGAATGAGAATGAGATACATGTCCATATCCAGAACCTTGATCGCGACCATGGGCACCTTGGTCACGATGTCACCAGGAACATCATAACCCTGGTGAGAACTTGTGTGTGGTCGTCGACAAGGGCGAACGGCCAGAAAAATCTTGTGAATGTTGGGGCTGATGGCGGTGAGAGAGCGTCTGTGAGTGTGAAGGAGATTGCGGGCGTGGAGGTGTGACATTGTGGCTGCTGCTGTTGTGGTAGGCGTAAGACAATGCAGCTGCCCTCCACTGCCAGCACGTGGCGAAGAGTAACTGGAGCTCAAGATGGCAGAGATGGTAGGGATGAGGACATTGTAGTATCGATAGGCTCCGACTTGGGGCTCACGCTGCTGGTATGATGGCCTTGGCTACGATGACTGGGAGGCTGTTCCCATCGGCCTCCAGATCTTGATTGTGAAGTTTGCATGTGGAAGTGAGAAGGAACGATGAGGACAATTCGTGCTGAGAAGAGTGATGATGGTGTCCGCCATGTTCCGAATGATGACGATAGTGCTGTTGCAAGTGCTGTGAACCGCTACTCTGGGAATATCCATGATGACCATGATCATGGTAATGAGCCGAGGAGCTACGGAAAGGTTGCTGCTAGAGCTAGAGTGTTGCAGATGACGCGGGAGACTACTCTCGCCTTGATATGAAGATGAATGACCCCCGCTGTTGGAGAGCGCTGGTGGAGAAGGTCTCTGGAAGGAGCTGGGCGAACTTGTGCCAAAGAACTTGGATCCCGATGATGGTCCTAGTGACTTGGATCCAAGTGGCGAGGTCCCATACCGATCGTGGTTCAGAGATGGAAGGAATCCAGAACCATATGGCCGACCATGAGGACTAGGCGACGGTGGTGAGGAATGTGCAACCGAGTGGGACTGGGACCTTTGCAAATGAGGACGGTTCGGAGGGATGGGGCGCTTTGGACCATAGCTCAGCGAATCGAGGACGCCTGCAGCAGCAAGCTGTTCCCTGTTCTCACTGTTGTGTGAAGCCATAAAAAAAATAATAATAATAATAATATAATAATACAATAATAATAATAATAATAATAATTAAAATATGTTTGAAGTGATATGCATTCTGTGCAGAAGCATAAAGAGGTGCTTTTACCTAATAAAGCTTCTGATATCTGGCTCATGGCCCTTTTGATGCCGAGTGAGAGTTGTACGTCTGGTAAAGGTCTTACCACAACCTGGGTGATCACACACATAAGGTCTCTTTCCAGTATGTGTTCTGCGATGACGAGCCAAAAGATGAAGACTAAAGTAAAATAAAACATAGTAAAATAAAATAAAATAAAATAACTAATTTATTAACTTCTGATGCTCATTTGATTGTTAAAATTATTGGTAGAGGCATAGACATGGTACTTACATCACTGAATGATTTTTGACACGACTCATACTCGCATACGTGAGGCCTTTCTCCAGTGTGAGTACGGTAATGAACCGTGAGTGCTGACCGCTGAATAAATTGTTTTCCACAACCAGCCCAGTCGCATTGGTAAGGTCTTGAATAAATATTAAATTATAAAAATAATAGTAATCGCTGGATGAGTAATCTTTTAATCGAGACATGAAGAAACTCACTCGCAATCCTTTTTTTTTTTCTTGCATCTGTGAGGTGAAGAAGCTCAAGAACAAGCAGAACTTTCGATCCGTTTTATGTGAAAATAAAAATATGTATATACCTTTCGCCAGTATGGATCCTGCGATGTCTTGCCAGATCTGATCGACGTGAGAATGACTTTGTACAATCCTCCCAGACGCATTCATAAGGTCGTTCTGAGACTGTGCCCTCTGCCTCTGAAGAGCTACCACTCTCCTTCCACCTTCACCCTCATCATCATCCAGTTCATTGTCCTCCTCTGCATTATCGTCCATATCTGTATCCATATCAAGATCCATATCTTCCTGATTGTTGTTGCGGTTCTTGCGGCTACCTTGGCTATGCGAAGAAGAAGGGTGACGCTGTAAACGTTCCTGTTCCCTTTCCTGCTCTTGCTTGAACTTTTGCTGAGCCTCAGGCCCGGAATTAAGCATGCTGCGGATATCCATTGGCGTTACAAGTAATCAATAGGGGTTATTGTTGTTGGTACTGGTGTTGGTACTGGTGCTGGTATTGTTGTCGTGATCTTGATCGTTATTGTTATTCGGTATTAGTGATATTTTTTATTGTCAGGTGTTACAAGTAAAAGGCGCAGATGAAAATGGGAAGGATGATGTTCGACAAAAGATTGGAGAACAGGGTCAAGAAGAAGTAATAAATTTAAGGGTCAAAAAAAAAGGAGGTGATGGTGGAACCAGGTACAAAGAAAGGGTCGTGGACTCGAATGCTTCCTGTGCGCACGGGCAATTGGCAACACAGGGAGGAAAAAAAAAAAAAAAAAAAAAAAAAAGTGGGGAAAAAAACAATAATAATAATAAAATATAAAAAGAGACTGTTGCAGACACTCGGTTCAAAAGGAAGAAGAGAAAGAGAGAAGAACAAGGGAAGAAAATGGGGACAATGAGGAACTATACAGTTTTAGAAAAGAAATAAATGAAACAGAGTGAAGTGAAGTGAAGTAAAGGAATAAAGGAATGGAGTGAAGGAATGAAGGTGTGAAGGAATGAATAAAACAGTGATGGAGTGTGAAATGAATGAGGTGTGACAAGCAGGGTCTAATGGAATGACCAACAGAGCGATCAGAGAGACACGAAGACGAGGACAACAGAAACCAAGTGTAAAGAGAAGAGAAAGAGAGAGAAAGAGAGAAAACGGAATGGGGAGGAAGAAAAGAGAAAGAGCAAAGTGTAGATGTAAAATAAGATCCTACTTTGACTCAATCCTTGAAGATTTGTTTGTGTGTGTTTCTGCTGGTAAAAAAAATAATAATAAACAAGTTTATATATACAAACGACTGTGATAGAGTTGAGCAGGAAAAGAACCAAAGTGAGTCGGATGAAGTGAATAATACATGTATAATAGAAAAATAGTGTTTTCCACGATTGATCCGTCTGCTCCTTTGCTCTTCTTGCTTGATTTGTTTTGCGCTGTAGGAGTTGCGTGCGCATTATAACATCCTGTGTATTATATAATACAATCGAGGCACTTATTCTATTGCTTTCCATGTTCTTTTTTTTTTTTTTTTTTTTAGTATGATTCCTTGAGGGTATACACAAAAGCTATTACATGTAGGCTATTATAGATCCATTCATTTGTGTGCATGGATGCCAATCCCATTTGCAAGGTTTTCTTTTTGTTCTTTTTTGTTGTCCGCGAACAATAAAAAAAAAAAAAAAAAAAAAAAGAAGCAAGGGTTCTCTTTGTATTTCATGGCAAATAAAAGAGGCGGGATTTGCTGAAACCTCTTTTGTATTTTTGATTGTATTAGGATCGAGATTATTTTTGTATTAGAATCGAGATTTGTGTACAAACAGCATGTTGATCGGAAGAGTCATTGAATCGAGACTCTTTCAGGTACAACCTCTGGAATAAGACGAAACAACTGAGTGGAAGGATAATATTTGTGAAAGGATAATATAGCGGATCAATTCATTTATACTATATTTATATATTAGAATTGGTTGGGTTTGCACAGATGGTGGGTATTTAATACATACACCACAAGAGAGCCAGAACTCTATACATACACGGATGAAAAACTTTTTTTTTATTCTCTTTCTCTCTTTCTCTCTCTGTCTCTCTCTTCCTTTCTTTCTCTCCCAGCAAACCACTGGATAGGCATGTCTTCTTTTCTTCAGCCAGTGTGGTCAACGTACATCGATGCTGCATAGATTCCCTGCACGACTCCAACTTCCTCTTTGTTTATTCTCGTTTAGAATTTTTACCGTTGAATTATATATTTATTTTTGCATTCCGTTTTGAGGAATAGTCCGTAAAAAAACTTTTTTTTGTTTATGTTTATTTGAGTGCAATTGTTTTGTTTGTCAAATCAACAAAAACACAGACGCACGCAGGCGCACAATATGCAGCTCGCTTGAGCCACGAGGACATCAACTTTTTTTTTTTTTTTTTTTTTTTTTTTTTTCTGTTTGACTGCATGAGGAATGATGAATTACAAGGTTGTGCGCTGCTCTCGGCACGGTAAAAAGCATTTCCATACACATCCAGATCACTCCTAGTCTAACAAAAGAGACGATCTTCGTCATGTTCCTGAAAAGAATAAATAATAGTGGTAATAATAATAATAATAAAAAAAAAAGGGGGGGGGAGGAAGAAGGGGCACGACTTTCTTTACCGCTTGATCGATTCTGTCCAAAGGGGTAGAAAGGAGAGGAAGACATGGGAAAGAGGCGAGAGAAGGATAAAATATATAATAACATTTGTAATATAATAATGAATACGAAATATACAGGGGGACAATGTCTGCAGTATTTTTATATATAAAAATATACACGCAGAGGACTACACAACGGATACAGAAGGTGTATACATCTTCACCTGTGGCATGACGTGCAATGCTCACTGTGATACAATCCTGTGCATACATGGGGTCGGGAAGTTGTCCATGTCCAAATTCTTTTTTTTTCTTTTTTTTTTTTTTTTTTTTTTTTTTTTGGAAGTTGTGTTTCCAGACAGATCTTCAAGATTAATAAGGATCAACATCCCTCCTCCCCTCTTCCCCCAAAAAAAAAAAAAAAAAAAAAACATGTACAACAGCAACCTTTAGTATAGAGCCCTTTGTATCTCAATCTTTCCTCACTAAAGGCAACAACGTTTTGAAATAAACAAAACGTGGTCAAATGGACCATGACACAAAATTCAAGGCAAAAATAAACAGACAAAGGCGTTACTTGATCAAATGATGAGATTACTGTTCGTGAGATGCTTTTTCCTTTTTCTTTCTCTTTCAAAAAACATGTATTACATATACTTATTGTCCTGTTTAAATGATTAGTGAATGATTAGTGAATAAAAGGTGATCATGATAGAAGTGTATAGACATTGACATGCGAATTATTCATTTCAGACATTAATCTTTGAAGCAAAAGGTCAAAATTGAATTCTCATCACAGTGGTCTCAAAAAAATATTACAGTTCTCACCCATTGCTCCTTCATAGCTCTATGCAGATGCATGCATCCGAGCCCAGATGGGTTATTGTGCTTTCTACATGAAGATTATAAAAGCTTGGTCCGTTCAAAAAAAAAAAAAAAAAAAAAAAAAAAAAAGAGCCACTTTTCTCTCAGCCTTGTATATACAGTAGTTGTTGTTGTCATGTTTTATCATTAGTATTTATATAAAAATGTAATTTAAAATTAAAAGTTAATACTTCTTTAAATATAATATAGACAGCATGTTCTTGTAAAGAC